GGGCAGAAGGTAGGACATACAAAGCTCCCGATTGACCTTATCCCACGATCCGAGCGGTTTCGTGTCTGGCATCTCGCCTTCCATATCCCGCTTCTCGAACGCGCGACCGGGAACTACGCCAGCGGGGTAGTCTAGCAGCACGAAGGAGCTGGTGTAGCTGACCCCGTTCCAGCGATCGATTGGCGGCACGGGATGGGGAGCCACGGGACACACGAATGCGTCGATCGGTCCCTTTTCGTCTCTCCAGATCTTTAAGAAGGCGTTCTCGAGCTCGACTTTCTTCGCATGCAGCGCTTGCAGCTTCTCGATTGTCTTGGGCGCTTTCCGGGCGAGGCGGCCAGCGAGCCAGGGGGAGAGGGGCTCGTTGGTTGCTTCGACGAGGTCGAAGATGTGGTTGCCGCCGTCTGTGCCCATGAGGGCGTTGGCGAGGGACTGGCATTGGCAGAAGAGGGGCGCGATGTCAATTTCCACGACCTCGATCCCCGAGGCACGCAGAGCGGAGGCCGTTTCGTCCATCAGCCGCTGGATAGGGGGTAGCGGGTCTATCAATCCGTCACGGCGAACGACCCCAATCCGCGGACGTTTCGAGGAGAGTGTTGAGAGAGATAACCATAGGCTGGGCGTGACGTCTGGATCGACCTCCCACGGTTTCTGGTCGGATACGGTGGAGAAGAATAGTTCAAGATCTCGCATCGTATGTGCGATTGGGCCCGCACTCGCGGGAATTGTGAGCTTCCCGTGGCCTGGCAGCGTGCCACTCTCTTGCCCTGAGAACGGGATCCGCTGCCAGGAGGGCTTGATGCCATACAGGCCATTGCACATGGCCGGTATGCGTATGCTACCGCCTACATCGGTCCCGACGCCTAGCACGCTTCCACGCATGGCAATTAGTGCGCCTTCGCCGCCGCTGCTACCGCCGGGTGTGACGGCGGTGTTGGATGGGTTTATTGTCCGCCCGAAGATGTTGTTGTGAGAATCTAGTGCCATGAGAGTTTGCGGGACATTTGTTTTGCAGTATAGCACCGCACCCGCGTTGAGCAAGACATCTACGAGGGTGGAGGCTGTGGTGGCAGGCTTAAAGGCGAGGATTGCGAGACCAACTGTGGCATCGTAGCCCGGTATCTTAAAGGTGTCTTTCAGGGAGATGGGGAGGCCGTGAAGAGGGCCCACGGGAGGGTTACCGGCGGCGAGATGGGCGTCAAGATGGGCGGCTCGGGCGAGAGCTTCGTCGAATAGGATCTCAGTGAGACAATTGGTGAGTTGCTGGGCTATCGCTGCTCTCTACTTGACGAGTAAGTGCATGTTTGAAGGTAGACTCAAGTCCAAATTCTCGTACCTTGCAGAATGCCCTCACGACGTCGACACTTTTCAGCTTCCCCTTTGCTAGACTATCAACGAGAGCAGTGGCGTCATATTTCTCTGTTATCTCAAGGTCCTGAGCATCCAGTATACCGCATTTACGCGGGACATCGAGGTAGTTTGTCAGTGCTGGGGATGGCGAGTACTTCAGGAGCCATTCCTTGGGTATTCTCAAGTATTGTTGGTCTTTTTTCTGCCAGGCAACGAGCTGCCACTTTTCTGGCGTTGCGAGTGCCATTGTTGAGTGTGAGGAGACATGGCGCACGGAATGTTTATGGTGATGTTTGACGAAGCTCGATTCGAAGAAGTGGGGATGCCGAGGTTCGTTTTGGTCACGGGCTTCGAGGGGAATGGTCTGCCTATTATGGACTTATAACTCGCTGATATTTTTGACTATCGGGGCTGAAGATTTTTATGGAATCGTAACGGTATATGCCCAGATTACCTCCCTTAATGCTGCATCAGGAAATACAGTATCCAACATTCTGCCCATACGAAATATGCTTAACCCGATTCAGTCGTCATTCCCTCTTTTTTCAATGATTCAGAGAACCGTTGCGGCCGCAATTGGATCCATTCTCAGTAGCTCCAATTCAAACTCCTCTAGTTTGTCCTCGAACATCATCCTGCCTTGAAATGCCGGGTTTTCCCCTTGGTAAACCCATCGCACACCCCTACCATCAAATCCAGTTGGAATGGCATTACCGCTGTACTGATCCCCCTTATCCCAAGCCCAACTTGAAAGGGAGCCCGGGGTGTAAGGTCCTTGATCATCATAGCCTTTCCCTTCCATCAGCAATCGAGCACGAACTGATACATGCATCCTTTCATGCGTCCACTCCAAAGGCTCGGACGTCTCCTTTCCAGTGATGTAATTCATGCGAGTGTACATTCCCGGTTTACGAGGCTCGCGACCTCCAAGTGAGGTTGGGAACGTGCAGGAGTCGTAGATCTTACCAAGACTCCAGCCCCGCGCAAGAGGCGGTTGTCGCGAAGAGTTGTATTTCTGGTTCATGAAATGCTGTTCTCGAATATAGTTTGGATTGAAATCGATCCAGTGCCTTAGGTTCGACATCATCCACGCCAAAGTAATGTCTGCCATCCCTGTATCGTCGTAGCTACCGCCCACGTTGGAATGAACCCCAGGAAACCAGACTTGCTTGATGTTTGTCGTGCAGTGCGCTGGCTTCTCCCAAAGGGTTGGGGTATACGATGCGCGCTGTTCGTCCAATGCCATAGCGTGGAAGGCGTTTTTGACATGATTGTCTAGCGAGGTGTCGAAGAATCTGTACTCGTGCAAGAAGTCCGGGAGGCCGACTTTCTGGAGTAGAGGCGTTGTAGGAATTCCCAAAGCTCCAACGGTGTCCCAAACTCCAATCGCCTGGATATCTACTTCGCGGGTCATGCCTCGCTATGATATATAAGTCAGTTTGAGCTCATTGTCGAATAGTAGACCTCAAACCTTAAGGAGCTCGTTCCTATAGCTCCAAAGATATCCTTTGATGTCTTCGGGCGGCGCAGCTATGTTGAAGTCCGGTATTGCATGCAAGATGGATGGCTTATAACCTTTCACGCCAGCATTCTCCCAGTCCTTGAAGATGAGGTAGAACCACGGCTGGGGATGGTCATTAGTACTATCAAAGCATTTGTGGAACAAGAGCCTACCATTCCCGCCTTTTCCAGCAACCCCATACCGCCAATCAAACCGCCTATGCTTCGGGCAGTGAAAGCCCCCCGGGAAAATCCTATCAGAAAGATGGAATCCCCCGGAGTGTAATTGTTCGCAAGAAAGCCATATGCTTCGCGAATGTGCTCTCCTATACCTTCGCCGGTGCCACCTCCATACAGACGTTCTAAGTAAGTACTACCATTTCCAACTCCAGATTGGTAGTAGACGATCTGCGGGTGGTGATTCCGATCTTCAGGCAAAATCGCTCTGCATATCCGGGTGACGTTTGACGGTGTTTGCAAGTGGCCGGGACCATCGAAGACGGATCCCTTGACCCAACCCTTGTCGCTGTCCTGAGATATATTAGAAGGTAACTGCTAAGTTATGTGGTAGTCCGCACCATCCACGTCCCTGTCAAAATCAGCTCGTGATTGCATGGATCCGCATTGCAACATACCATCACAACACGCAATGAGCTTCTTTGGCGACCTTATCTTAGGCACCGCCATTCTCGAGACAGAGGGCGTACTACTTCGAAATCTGATGGGCTGGTTTGGGCCTGATGGGTTGCCACGGAGTAATCTCGAAAAGCGAGAACGATGACAATGGACCAACTCTAGACGACAAAAAGCAGGAAGACAAGAGGACGGTGGAAGAAAATTTCGACAAATGATCATTAAATACTCTGTAGGTTTTCAAGCAGGCTGATGAGAGACAAGGCGAGTAATATAAGCGCTAGTGTGAGGTCAGACAGAGTCCTGGCACACAAACTGATGTTATGAAAGGAATAGGGCTGGTCACAAGGTGTAGATGGGCGTAAAGCGAGGAGGCACCTAGTCTTTTGAGGTGGGACAGACGGTGAAGGTAAGCTGAACGAACACGGCGATCAGGCATTCTCCGAAAATGGGTGCTGCGCCTCATGTTGCTTCTTGAAAGGCACTACTCCGACTGATTGGCGAAACGGCAACGCCATCCGGGGGCTGATGATAGACGCATGCATCCGTGCCCGTGTTGAGAACTTAGTGGTTGGCGGTCTCGCTACATGGCGTTCAGCTGAAGTGGGGCCGGGTTTTCTCTATTGAGGCGTGAATTTATTGGTTCGGCTGGGTAGATGCCGAGTCAGTGCATGTCACTGGAAGAAGTCAAGACATCGCGTCCACGATTGCATAGATGGGAAGCCCAAGGTGCCAAGTTCATTGACTGCTTTGCTGTGGAAGAGCGTAAATGACTCCCAGAGTGATGTTCTGCCAACTTGTCAACACAAAACTCGAGCGAGTTTTCGAATTGGGAGCTTTAGGGGATGAATCTCGTAACTTTTGCACAGTATTGGAGAGCCCGAGACACTCCCTGTATACAAGCCTCCACATGTTGGTGAGATGTGGTGGATGTGATCTCGTGAATTGGAGAAGTCTAAAGTTTTGTCTGTGCCTCTATTCGAAGGCCGAAGTTCCCCTGAAGACAATCGCGAGAAGCAATAGGCATTATTAACCGAGCGTAGAACAAAGTATGTTGTACAGTGCCTTGCCATACAGCATCTTCCTGCGTCCGGTGACTTAGCGCGGAAATCAAACCACAAAATTACGGTTTAAGGTACCAATTCCGAACGCCTTTAGGGGGAATAACAGCTCCCTAGCCAATGAGTCTTTAAGCCACCTCTTAATAGCCCAGAAAGGGAGGTTTACAGGGGTCGACTCAGTTTCCGCGCTAGGTCACCGGACGCAGGAAGATGCTGTAGGTATCCGTACATCTTCCTGCCACGGTCTGTGGGGCTCCAACGAACAAAGGTCCTAATAGAAACCGAGGGCAGCGGATACACTCCCAATCTGCCACGCTGGACGTGAACAAAGTGGCACACTCATACAGCATTATGTCTGGTGTGTACAGTACCTTGCCTAAGACATCTGTACGCATTCCTGCCACTGTCTGTGGAGCTTCAACGTACTAACAGAAGCCGTCGACAGTGGGTACACTTCTGATCTGCGCACACCCTGTTGACGCTGTCTGAGGTAGCCTTGCAGGTTTACTAGTTGTCCAAAATGCCGGACTTCTTTCTTATTTGGAATGCTGAAAATGCTACGAGGCTCCTTATGCAGCGGTGACTGAGTGTACGGATTTCTATGTCGAGGCATTGTACACTTATCTGCCACTGCTTGAGGTGCTTCAATAAGTTTCCACATAGTCCAAGACAAGGAGCATTTATCTCGTTTATTTTTCTGAAAATGAATTAAGGCACCCTAAGCAATGGTATACATGCGCACACCCATGGCGGTGGCTTGTTCTAGGAATTAGAGTGTCACTTTTTTCGTGCCCCGCGTGTCTGCGTACGCCCTGTTGACGCTGTCTGGGGTGGCCTCGCGAGTTTACTAGTTATCCAAAATGCCGAACTTTTCTCTTATTTGGAATACTGAAAATGCTATGAAGCTCCTCACGCAGCGGTAAACGAGTGTACGGATTTCTATAACAAGGCATTGTACATACAGGCATGCAAATTAATTCCTCTGGGTTAAGCCCACGCCTCCTTTCCTCGGAAGTCTACAGCTAATCGTCTTGCCGTGACGTCTCTAGTGGAAAAGGAGGGAAAAGAAGATATAGAGAAGAGTTGATAGAGGGCTTGAGGAGTACCTAGTCCATAGTTTTTGTTTATTGTGATCTGAGCAAAAAAAGAGCAGGAAAAAGGCAGAATTAGCAGGAAAACAGGACGCAAAAACGGAGCTAAAGGACAAAGAGCCCATGCCATGTATACGGGCAATGAGGTTCCATGAAAGAACGATCTCCAGCCGCCTTGTATAGCCGACTCCGTTTTGCCCCGCACCTCCGTTTCTGCGATCCAAATGTTCTCCATGCCCCCGTTCCATATCCCGCTAAAGCATATATCAAGCCAAAAAGCCCATGCAGACCGACCGCTCTGGTTTCCCGACCTACGCCCCACCTGGTTCCTGTCCACCGAACCGCCGCTAAACGCTATGCCATGCGGCCATCCCATATGTCGCTGCATTGCAGACAAGTGCAAGCAAAAAGAGGAAAAACAAGAACCGAAGCAGGCTGAATGTGAAAGGGAGAGGAGTCGGAGAGCCAATTTGGAGAACTCAGAAAGGATAAAAATCATCGAAGCAAGAAAGAACAAGTACAGCAAGAAAGAGAGATCTTCCAACTAGACCACCCGAGCAAATCCCAGCACCCTGACCTGTGCTTTTCTCCCACGCTTTTATATCGATCCTCCAGTGAACACCGCCCGCCGAATGTGAGGTATCAAACTCCCGGCCTGTTTGTCTCCAGTCTATGCACCACCCCCACCGGTTCCGTTTCCATGCTCCTTTGCCTGCAGATTTTGCGAAGATGTGTGTTGTCCAATCTGAAGAAACTCCGAACCTTCAAGAAATCAAAGACCCCAAACCCACTCCATCGCTGAGTTCATAGATTATTTCCACCGCCCAATGAAATCACTTGGCCCGACATGTGAAAATCCTGAGAAGGAAAGCTTCCGATAAATGCATTTATGCGGGAGACTTGTTAGCCGGGTTGTTGGGGTTACGTCGATCATCGTTCATTGAGAGGCCACCGAGGCCGGTCGAGAGGAAAGAAAAGGGATCGTTGTGACCTCCGTCGTTGAACCCACCATTGGAGAAACCAGCACCAGCAGAAGCAGGCGCCTGGCCAGCAGAGGTGAACGCCGCTTCGGCAGCACGGCTATCGAAGGGAGTACCCCCGTGCATGCCGCCGTTCGGTGCATACTGTGCTCCCATTGGGGGGTAGGGGCTAGCAGCTCCAATTCCGGAAGGCAGAGCGTAGGTGCTTGGTGGGCCACCGAACTGCTGGCCAGGGAATCCGCCACCAGAGCCGAAACCAGCGGCCGCAAAAGGACCAGGGCCAGGAGTACCGGCCATTGAGGGAGGGCCCATACCAAAGCTCGAAGGAGTGTCCATAGGAGAAGTGAAGCCCGAGTCAGCTGGAATCGCAGCGTTAGTGCGGCTAGCACCACAGCGGAGACAGCTGACGTTCTTCGCAAAGTTATGATATCCACAGCCGTCCGAGCCGCACTTCCAGTCACCAGCGCGGAATGGGACGACACCCGACGTGCCACCACGACCCATGTGGCCCATGCCGTGGCCATGACCCATGTGATGAGCAGGAGGGCCCATCATAGAAGGATGTCCATATCCGTACGGGTAGCCCATTGGGTCTCCTTGAGGAGCACCCGACATAGCTGGGAAGGAGCAACGGAAGCATGCGGTGCGACGCTGGAAATTGGAGAACCCGCATGACGGGCAAGTCCAGTCTCCAGGACGCGGGCGGTTCTTGCTTGGCGGGAAGGGGGTGAGGATATCGGCAGCGCGGTCGAGGACGCGGCTGGAGGAGGGAGACACCTCAATGGCCTTCTCGTTGAGGGCGCGTCCGTTCATGCACAAACTCTCGGCAGCCTGCAGAACAGTTAGCAAACGTGACGTCACGGGTGGAGGGGCATAGTGTTTGGCCGAAAATTCCAGCATCAACATAAACAATGGGCAACATACCTCTTCGTGTGAAGAGAAGACTGCGAAACCGGAGCCAGTGGGCTTGTGTTGATCGGGAGTGCGGAGAGTCCAGAAAGCAATGGGACGGCCGCCAAATTGGGTGAACCAGCTCTCGAGCTCGGACTGGGTGGTGTCGTGGGGCAGTCCACTCATGTGTAGAACCTTGCTACGCTCCGAGAGGAAAGCGCGGACATCAGCTCGGGCGTCCATTGGCTTGGTAAGCACGTCTGGATGGTCCTGTGCTGGCTGAGACTTGCGGATCAAACCTCGAAGGACTCTAGCAAGAGTGACAGCCTCTTCCATAGCACGCCTTGGTGAGGCAGGCGCTAGAGCTTGGAGGTGGAATGGCAGGTTGTGTTTGATGGGTGCCGATGACTGCACCGGCTCGACCTCAAGGGCTGCACAGATGTTGGCCAAAGCGCTCGAGCCGAAGGGCAACGACTCGGGGTGGTGAGCCTGCCAACGCTGGTATTCGGTGCGTAGGTCGAAGGTGCGCGAATGTTGTAGATACGGCGGCAAAACTACGGCCTTGTCACGAGCTTCACGGGGCAACTGAACACGGAGATCCCATGAATCGAGCGTCACGAACGCAAACTCGAGGTTCTTCGGCGTGAGATGCTCTTGGGCGAACTGGTCAACACGATTGACGGCGTCTCGGAAGGACCCGGCATTGCGGACATGCTCCCATGTCAGGGTGGTCAAGCTCGCTGCGAAAAATTTGATGTTAGCCTTGGGGCTGATTTTGAGGGGCAGATTCACCGTCAACGGCGAAGAAGTTTGAGGGAACTTACTGCACAATGGGGTAATGGGCGTGTTGACAGGTTTGACAAGGACTGATTCCCGATGGAGCTGTGACGTGGCGTCAGAACTAGATTGTTTATTTTGGGTATCGTGGGTGACTCAACATACCTCTTCACAGCTCTTCGCGTCGAGCAGTATCCACCCGAGCTCAATAACCTCAGCCGAGTCTTTCGTAACATATACACCATGTTCATCACACGTTGTAGCAACGTGGATGACAACGTACCGATCCAGGCTCGGGGCTTGAGGGGACGAGGTTGCCATTGTTTCCAGAAACGTGGGGCTGGTAAGAGATAGGGTTTGTTGGGACGGACGCTAGTGAGGAAAGGTGCAGTTGTAATCGATGTCGCTGTGTCGTCAATACTTCTGACGGAAGGAACGGATGAGGGAGAGAAACGGGATGGGACGTCCAGGACTGGAAGAGCTAGAGGACTAGCTACAGCAGCAGTCAGCAAGGTGAAGGAGCCCAGAGCCCAGCAAATCAAACGCAAAGCAAAGAGGCTGGTGATGGCGAGGCAGGCAAGATGGCAGACCCGTGATGGGCGAGGTGAAGGAGGAGAGGTGAAGAAGTGAGGTGAGGACTCGAGTTAGCTTGCCCGGGTCGGAACGTCGACGCAGACCAACCGCCAAATTCGTTACAGGCATCCGGGACGAGCTAAATCGACAGCTTGCACCTTGGCTTCTTCCAGTTGGGCCCTGCGCGCATCAGCATCGCGCATCAGCATCGCGCAGGCCAGCACTCGAGACACGCCATGCATCTGGCAGCGTCTCTGTCAGTTCTGTCAGGATGCCGCCGCCATGACCTCGCCGCCAGACGCGCTGCAGCTGGCTTTCTTGGGCGTTATGCGGCGGGCTGTACACACTGGACAGGGGCCGCGACCTTTGGCAGTGTTTTGCACGTCCCAGACTCTGAAACAAAAGCCCGCCGCCCATTGGAACCCGCACGCGGACGACTCGTGGTAACGGGACCACGGGTTCCGTGGCTCCTTGCCGTCCCACTCACCACGTCGTTGTGCCCGTGTGTTTATTGTTTGGCTGCGACCTCTGTCACCGTCGCCGTCACCTGCACTGGCACCTGTAGCGTTGGCCAGACGAGTGCTGCTGCTCGAGGCCGGCGCAGTGCTGGCATCCTGTCGGAGCAGCGCTTTGGCGGTGCACGATACAGGGTTCAAGGGGACAGATTGTGCAGCCCGAGGCGTGCCCGTTCAGCAATCAGTCACGACGTGCCGGACGGCGCAGCGCCTCTCGCTGAGACAGCTGGCAATGGCAGCGGGGTGCTGCGGACGTGGAGGATGCATGCAGAGCACGAGGTTGAGATTGAGATGGATTCCCTGATCGGCCGTTGGAAGAAATCCTATAAATATCCCGTTTCGGCGTGGTTGGCGCACGTTGTCGGCGTGTGGCTTGCAGCCCCTGGCGCCGCTGGCACCGCTGTGTCTCCGGCCATCCATCGTGACAAACCTACTGTATCCTCCAGTCTTGGCTCGATGCCATGCTGGTGAAGTGCGTCGTGACTGGACTGGGCTCCATGCTGTCCAACAAAATGCCAGCCGTGAGCGACACGCTGCTGACAGCCCCGACATTCACCGTTGACCCCACTGGCCCTCGTGGATCGATGTGCACCAAGGCACCGGTTGCACCCTGAGCCGTCCAGCTGGCCGTGTGAATGCCCCTTTAAACCACAGCTGCGTCCTTGTCCGCCGCCGAACGCCATTGTCTCTGCCTGTCTCAGTCCCGCAATCTCCCCCGACTCGCTGCCCTTGCCGTGCGTCAAAGGAAGACCCAGGTTCATTCTTTGTTCCGCTCCAGAAACAAGACAGTCGCGCGCTACGCCGTGCCACGGCTCCACCTGCATGGCTCGGCGCTCGCATCTTTCACCCCGCGAGCGCGACCGCGAAGGGTAAGCCTCCTTGCTTGCCACACCCCTCAAAGCTGCCCGTTGCTGCATGCCTCCCCGTCCATTCACTGTGTCTGTACGCAGCTAACACGAACCCCCCGCCCAGCACCCTCGTCCGCATCATGGGCTTCATGAAGCACTTCCGCTCGCGCTCCAAGCTGCGCGACAAAGAGAAGGACCTCCACCAGCAGCACTTCTTCCCCGCCGTCTACACCGGCCCCGACCGCATCAGCCGCCTGCCCGAGAAGGTCCTGCGCCTCATCTTCCAGAATGTGTGCCCGCACTCTACCGACGAGACATACGAGTCCAGCGAGAGCTCCATCGTGTCGGATGGCTGCATGCTCTGCGACCTCCGAGACCTGGCAAACTGCTCCAAGACGCGCCGCCAATGGTACCCAATTGCGTCGGGGCTGCTGTAAGTTTTCTGGGAAATGCTCACAAGTACCGTGCTGACGTACCGCAGCTATCACAGCATTAGAATCGACGCCGTCCACTACTGCGAGCTCGAGGAGATCTTCTCCGAGAAGCGGCGGCGCAAGTCACGCAACCACGAAGCCGTTGACACCCCTACCGCGCGACTACAGCTCCTATGCCGGACCGTAAGGGACAATCAATACTGCGCCAGTGCTGTCCAGTTCCTCAAGCTGCCATATATGACGCGGGAGACCAGCAAGGCCGACCTTGCCCGAACTGTCTCGGTCCTCCCAAATCTCCTCTATGTCGATTTACCGGAAGGCTTCTTCACGGGAGACCCGTCGTGTCATACACTGAGACAGGAGCTCCAAGTTCGGTGCCCGCACATCCGGAAAATGAAGTATGAGGCTGGAGCAGAGCAGTCCCTGGAGCTTCTGCTACAGCGGCACTGGCAAGACCTACAAATTCTGGAGATATCCAAGTTACGGGTCGAACCCACCATCCTGCGCCAGGTCCTGGCCTCTCTGCCTGTCATTCGCAATCTAACAATTTCCGACATGCCCTGGTTGGAGAGCTCAATCTTCCAGTCCAACCAAATGATCCCGGAATTTCCGGCCTTGCACACCCTTACCCTGAATAGGGCTCCAGGCATCACTGCTGACGGACTTGTCCAATATTTATCCCGGTCCGACACGCGTGGATCCCTCAGGATTCTGAAACTAAAGGAATGCTCCGGCATCCCGGTCTCGACACTTCATTCCGTCCTATGGGCTGCCTCACACCTGGTGGAGCTCAGCATCATTGCTCAAGTTGCGAATTCACTCCCACTGGAGCCCATCCCACCGCTCCAATCGATCAGCCTCAAGACTCTCCATTTCGAGATCACCTCAATCTCCTCAAACCAGCACTCGCTCTACCCACCCGCCCTCTCCTACTACAATTATCTCACCAACTCACTCATGTCGAACTCTCTCCCGGCACTCCGAGAACTTTACGTCCGCGACCCAGATTTCCCCGAATCACTCACCCTCGCGCCTCCTATTGTACCATTTGCAGATTCGCCCCAACACGCGCCCCGTGGCTTCCACCAACAGCTCGAAGTCTTCTCCAAGGGCCTCGACGAGCTTGAATGGGTCTACACATCTGTCATGCCCTCTGAAGGACCTGGCAGGCGTGGCTCGATGTCCGGTGGACGTCCGCTCAGCGCCTACACTGCGAGCAAAGGACTCGGTGCGCATTGGGGTGGCGAAGCAAGAAAGAGCGTGGTTGTGGGCAACGGCTTCGGCGGGTTCTTGGCCGTGCCTGCAGACGACGAGCGGCCGCGCACCGCTGGGAGTCTAAGTGGTGGCGGATCTCGGGGAAGCTGGGTCCCCGGCCACGCATCCCGCGAGCACAGGGGCTCCAAGGCAGATTTGTGGCGCTAAATCACTTTACTTACAGGTTTGGAGGAGGCTGTTTCATTGGACTAAGACGGTGTTGTTGGACTTGGGTCACGTGTTGGATGACAGGCACTAGGATGTGTCGAAATGGACGAATAGGAGCGACAGCGCGTTTCGCGTTTCCATGGATCGCTCATGGATTGCACGAACTCAAAGTCGACATACGAATCCCGGAATGAAAGGACCAAGGCACATTTGGAAAACCGAAACACCGATGTTTCGGATACGGACACGACTTCTGCTTCAGTGCCACACCTTGGGATGGAAATGGTTTAGCTTTCTTATACCCCCTTTCGTTTGCGACAGGCTGCGGCTGTTCTCTCGTTTTTGTTATCGAATTGACTTGTTTGCATTCTATGGCGCTGGCCGTTGCTCGCGCAGAGCACTCTATACCTTGTGGCCCCGGAAAAATGGGAGTCTGCTGGAGAGGCTGGCGAAGCCTTTTGTGGATGAAATCTTTTTCTCTTTTCTTCAACAGGCAAAAGCTGTCTTATTGGCAAGTTGCATGGTTGGTTGGTCCAACAGTTACTATACGTAGGTCTACGTCTTTGTAGATACACCTGCTTGGTCTTGGGCGGCTTGACTGGACCTGGATTGAGGAGGTGCGAGAATTACGGTGGGATCTTTCACGCTGTGAATAGTACGCTTCAAGAAAATAGACTAAATTTTCTGAAGATGTGCTGGTGTCCTACTGATCTACCTACTTCATTCAGTACCAACAAATTGTGCTTGTTAACAACCATACGCCAACCGTCCTCGGGCGTCCTCGCGTCGCACAAGGTAAGCCCATCCCTTTCCCATAATACCCATGTTCCTTAACACCAATGCTCGCTATATCATACCTCATAACTCATTAAACACCTCCAACCCGTCTCTTCAACCTTCGACAATCTCCTCACAACCTGTCCTCGCCTCAACCCAAACCCCCTCACGGCCACCTCCCCAAATCCTCCTCCATCAAATTCCCCAAACAAGCCCCCCTCTCCACCCTCCCCCTCAACCACCTCAACACCGCCGCATCCTCCGTAACCCACCCCTTCGCCCTCGCCCCACACGCAATATTCGGCGTCGCTCCTCTCCCTCCCCTCCTCGCTCCCCCATCCACCGTCTTCCCCGCATCGACCCCCGCGATCTCACTGCCGCCCTCAACATGGTGCAGCAGCTCTGGATTCACGCTCCAGCAGCCCCACCCGTGGTCCCTGCACGCCTCGAGTATCCGCACGTCGTAGGCCTGGCACCCGCCCGGCCCCTCGGTGCCGTACGTCTCGAGCAGGCGGGCGGCCGAGGCGCGCGTGACGGCGTAGCCGAAGGTGCAGAGGGGCCAGCGGGAGGGGTGCAGCAGGCGCGTCTGCTCGGGGAGAGCACCCAGAAACTCCGCGGTCTGAGGCCGTAGGCGGCTGCGAGGCGGGAGGGTGGGGTCGTGGTAGGTGCTGTAGGTGTGGCTAGGGGCGTTAGCGAGGTAGGGGGCTAAGGAGGGGTTGTCGTAGGGGCTGGCTAGGAAGTCGCCGCAGTGGCCGAGGTGGAGCAGCTCCCAGGTGAGCGGGCCCCAGTAGGTGGAGGTGGTGTTGGGGGAGAGGAGGGCGCGGAGGGCGGCGGCGGCGAGGGGGATTTGGGTGCGGCGGAGGTGGATGCTCCAGTCGACGTCGTCTTCGAGGATTATGGCGGTGCTGAGGGGGGTGCTGAGGAACCTGGGGGTTGTTAGTGATTTGGGTGCTTGTGGCCAAGAGGGTCTGAGTTGGGCGGTTCAAGATTTCGATATTTGAGAGATGATAGTTCGCAGCAGTGCTTGAAGAGTGACGGACTGATTATTGTGAATGAGGATCAATTTGAATAGCTGGTAAACTCGCTGAGTCACCTCAGACAGTGCCAAACTGGTGTATGCAGACGGAAAGGTGAACGTAATGGTAGCTGCCAACATGCAAGAGCGGTTGAAACATAACGAAAGCATTACCATTTCAGGGCATACAAATGTCCCATCCAGGCTAGAGCCGAACCCTTGCCAATTCGAGAATTCTCCGGCGATCGAAAGCTGCGGAGATCCCGGTCGGTCCAGACCGGCTGGTCAGGGATTGTGAGATCGATGCCGGTCAGGTTGGCTGCGAAGATGAGATCTTTCCGACGCGACGATTTCGCATGGGAAACGGCTATGACGGCGCCGAACTATTTTAAGTGTTAGTACGAGATGATATACGAGGTCCCAGACAAGGAAATGTACCCCGAGAGTCGAATTTGCTGACTCAAGAACTGGGTCTTTCCTGGGCAACGAGGCCACACTCCAGTCGACGCCGAAGAAGAGGTAGATAACAGGAAGCAGGCATATCGCGAGGCAGACTGCCAAGAGACGGATGGGCTTCCTTTTGCTGTCCATGGTCTCAATGGTACGAAGGATGAATTGACGATGGTGACGGACTGGCCAATAGCAGACGCCAGCCTCGCTCTCCCGGCTGGAGCGACGCCTCGTCCGCGTCGACCTGCTGCGCGCTGTTAGGGCTGCTGGCGCTGATGCGAAATTAAACGCGTCTCGGGCTGAAAACCGCTCAGCACTGGGCGAGTGATGCGGCTAGGGGAGCACTGGGGAGGCTGTCCGTCATGCGCCCCTGCATTGGTGTGGTCTCCCCACCAGCTGTACATTCCCTTGCTTCAGATCCAGCTTACTGCAACACCACCCAGGAACGCTCCTCCACGTCCCACGACACTCACCAGGAATGCGACACAAACATGGCCGACGTCTCGACCTCCGCCGCCCCCAAGTTCTCGCGGTACCGCTCCGTGCGCCGCCAGCAGGAGCAGCAATTGAAGCAGCCGCCCCCGCCCATGCCACCGCTCAACCCGCCGAAGGAGACCTCTGTTAGCAGGAGCATGTCGCGATACCATCGCCAGCGGCCAGGCGTCGCCGTCAACAATGCTGTTCCTCCGATTCCCGACCTCCCCGGCATGCGCAGCGCAAAGTCTCAAACTCTCCCACCTCCTCCCCCTGTTCCGGTACCCACGCACGCGACCTCAAGTCCACGCCTTCGTTCGGGTACTTTAGGACCCCATAATGCGTCGCAACAGACTAGCAATGAAGAGAGCAAGGCGTCGCCATCCATGGGCGTGGCGGGGAAGCAAGTTCCTCTGGTCAAGCGCACAGCTCGAGAACCGTTGGCCACTGCGCGCGAGGAGGCGCGCAAACTGATGCATGGCGAGGCTGAGCGTCTCAGGAGAATAAAGGAGGAGCAGCGCACAGAGAGGGAAGCTTTGGAAGCTAGGCGGGCAGAGCAAGAGCGGAGGGAGAGGCACGAACAGGAGAAACAGAAGGCGCTTTTGGAAGCAGAGCGGCTGAAACAGCTGCAAGAGAAGGCAGAAGAAGAGGAGCGTATCCGGTCACAACAAGAGGGAGAATCTCGCAACAAAAGGAGGCTTCAGGAAGCTAGCCGCGCGAAACAGCACCAGGAAGAGGAGGCACAGCCCAAATCGCGAATGCGAGCCAGAACCGTTGGCAAGGACCAGAGACCGTCAACTTCAAAGGGTAGTCCTTCCGAATCCAGACCTCAGACATCATCACAGAAATCGCTACCTCATAGTTCACCTTCGAAACTCGGGTTCCTGAAGAAACGCAATCGAGATGACGCTCTTAGAGCACTGGAAGATAGGCCTAAGACCTCTTCAAGACCCAGGGAGATTAGCACTAGTAGCGGTGACAAGAGCGCTCCTAAGCCATTAGCTGGATTTGATGCGCCAATCTCAGCTGTCAATGCCGGTGATCGCGTAAGATATGAACCCCGTTGAGGGGCTATACCGCTAACATATTCCTAGCGCGTGATGGTAGAGTGCAATGGCTCTCAAATACTTCTCCCAGTTGTTCCAGAGACTACCCCATTGGAGCTCATTCGATCGGCAGCCAACTGTCTCTCCGTGCCTATTGATCCAAAGGGATCGGTGCTACTCGAGAACTTTGGCAAGGTTGGAGTGACGAGACCGCTTCGGCACTATGAGCACGTACGTGATGTCATGAACTCATGGGACAGGGACGATGAGAACAACCTCTACCTTGTGGACGCCTCCACGAGAGGCGCTGAGGAAGAGCTCAGTGCTTCCCAGGTGCCCACATCGAAACCCGAAGCCTTCTCTTGTTTTATCTACTACTCTCAGAAACCCGGCAAGTGGGCTAAGAAGCACTTCACATTGCGATCAGACGGTCAAATCCTGCTTGCAAAGAATGACGCCGGCAAGGACTCTAGTAGTGTTTGTCATTTGTCCGATTTCGACATATACACTCCGACTGTCAAAAAGGTGTCAAAAGTCAGGCCGCCGAAGAAGATCTGTTATGCTGTAAAGAGCCAGCAGAAGACAGCAATGTTCTTGGATGAAACGAGCTTTGTCCATTTCTTCTGCACGGCAGACAAGGCGGTTGCGAATGCTTTCTACAAAGCAATCCAGGGATGGAGGAGCTGGTACCTGGTAAATGTCATGGGCGAGGGGCAAAAGAAAGCCAAGACGGCAGAAGGTGCCACTGGAGGTGGGCTTCTACCAAGCTTTGGATTCTTGGGCGGCAGTCCGAAGGACGAGAAGATGGCCTCTCATTCTAGAGGGTTCTCCGTCGACTCGCATTACCAATTAGGCTCATTCAAGCCACTTCTCGATCTCAGTATGTTTGAAAAGGAGGAAAAGAAAGACAACAACAACGTTGCAGATGATTGGCGATTGCCTATGGACACAAAGGCGATACACTCTCGCAAAATGTCCACGCGCGTAAGAGAACCACCACCACCTTCTGGACATGCCACCAAATACAGCCAGAACTCAAACCGCCTCAACTCCTTAGCACAAAGTACATCATCATCCCATCAATCGAACGGCGAAGAGCCCTTTGCTGCAACAGGCCTCCTAGGGCGCCAGTACTCCCATCGGCAAAAGCTACTTCAAGAACGAGAGCAGAATACCAGTAGTAATATTGGTCCTTTCACTGGCGGTTCCAACCTCATCAGTAACGTCAACTCACCGTACATGGCCAACGAACCAGGTGCCGGTCTGGGCCGGAAATCTTCCGTGCGCAGCACACGTCAATCTAGTGACCTGAACCGCTCAGCTTCCACACGAAACAAGCCTAAGCCACTGATAGACCTCACGCCCCAATATCGTGAGCCACCTCAGCACGCTCGCAAAGGCAAGGGATACATCCCCGATGCCAGTAACGAGCCATTAGTCTCCAGTGCCACATCACCAGACGAAGCCATCAAGATCCCGCCGTCTACAGACTGGCGTGCGCGGCCCAGCACCTCTGCAAACCATGGAAATTACGGCAGCGGCAACTATGAGCGCAGCCGCTCCCTCCGTGGTGGGCCACCAGCCGGACTAGCTGCTTATGCCGTCAACATCCACGATAACGTCCCACAGGATGAGTCGGATGCGTTCACGGGCCGTGGTCTACTTGCCAACGCTGGCTTCAGCCAAGGCGGTGTGAAGACTGGTCGCGGAGTTATGGATGGCTCAAAAGCGAAGGGCCCAATGCTCGATGTTGATGACCGCAGCAAGTTTGTGCCCGGCAGTCTACTCTCTGGCGTGGAGAAGGTGCAAGGGTCTGGCGGGCCTATCATTGACCGAGAGAAAAGACATACTGCTGATGTTGCCACTGGAGAAGGGACGTAATCTGACAGCATCCTAGGGAAAGCAAGCTTGGGCAAACGTGATGACTATGTGAATGGGAAACACGATGAAATGAGAATCCTACGGACGTGATACCTCCGAATTTCATAGGGAAGGGCAGCAAATCAAGGGTCCAAAAAGTCTTCCACCTGGGGGGAAAACTGTACACCACCGAGGCTGGTGGTGGAACGAGGGGCGTCGGTATTGATTTTCATGGGGTTTCGAATTACTCCTTCCCGCGTCTTTTCCTTGAGTCCTTTTTCCTCTCTGTTGTCGTGCATAGGATTTTCTTCGGCATTTCGACGGGGTCGAGGGTTATTTGCCTTTCGTTTTCCCCTTCTTCTCACGAGTGGCTAGTGCATTTGAGTTGCCCAGGCGGCTTTTGCCTGTTTTATTCCCCGTTCCCCCTTTTTTTTTCTTCGCCTTCATCCGACAAATCTGCCGTTTGCTTGCATCGGCCTGTGCTTCTCTTTTCGTTCTCCTGCATAGCAGGCCTGTGCCTTTATAGCACTGTTTTCATTTCGGTCACTGGAAGTGCTTTCGCATACCCATGTAGCATAGCAGTATGGTACCCAACCTGCCAATGAGACATCAAATTAACCATGCTCCCATGCATCTGTGACAGCGACGCCTACCTGTCCCACTTATAGCACTTTCCCGTGAGCATAAGCACACAGATATATCACTGCTAGAGTGACACTTTCAGATCTAAACACCACTGTCAGGAGCAGCCCCGGTACCGGGACGCCAGCTGGTCAAGAGGTAGCTCAGAGATGCAAAGTAACTGACGGCCGTCGTTATAGCCGTGGTCTTCTCTCTTTCTTTAGTTAGCTGAGCAGGAACCTTCATCCTATTACTATAAGCCCTGCTTTGCTCACCCGTCTTAGCATCAGTAATATAGAAGAGGTCAAAGTGTGAATTATAAGGATTTTCGGTATGCTACTGTACTGTACTCCAACTCCAGCCGTATTCAAGCGCCCTAGCAGATCCTAATCCCACAACACTCCAGACTAGCCCCATGCACCTCCGCCTCCCTGCCAAAGTACGTCATCAGGAAATCCTTCGCAAACGCCTTGTCCGACTCGCTCCACGCTTCCAAGCCCATCCTCGCGATATCTTCGCTCGTCACCTGCAGAACCGTGTTCTCTTCTCCAGTCAGGTCCTCGTCATCCGAGCACTCGATCAAGTCGGCCAGCGTAGTTACCATGAGCGACGTTAAGCGGTGGAAGTAGGCGATTATAGCAGTGTGTAGTCCCGTCTGGGCGAGCCCACTCGCTGTCATGGGGTCTGCACCGTTGCTCTCCATATGCATGCCGCCGGGCACGAAGTCGGAGATGTCGCCGAGGATTTCTCGGTCACCATCCGCTTCTTCCGTTAGGTAGGAGTCCTTTTCGCCGGCAGACGCCCACCACATAAAGCCTGAGTAGGCGAGTTGAGCCCATGTCATTGGCTCAATGAGCTTGTCGTCGTAGCCCTCGTCGCTTTCGTCTTCGCTCTCGTTTTCAGAGTCGTGCGGTAATAAAGAGGTACGGTCATCCGTGTCTTCGTCTCCGTCGTCATGGTCGGATTGCACACGGTGCCGGATCTTCCATAGCTCGTGGTAAAGAAGCTTGAAGCGTCTTAGATCTCTCTGTGAAGCTTTGATCTCTGCTCCATCTGATGTCTTGATAGTCGACCATCGTTTAGTTTCCGTTGTGTTGTTCGGAGTAGGTGGTATATCGACAATGATATCGTATAGTTTTTGCTTGATTGTTAATATCTCGTCGGTCGTGCAAGCAACCCAGCCGTAAGTGTCGTCATCATCTGGGTTTTGGGTTGCTCCTGGTGCACCATGCGGGACCGACATTTTTTCTAGAAGCGGTATATCGTGTATACCTAATGTGAATAGGGAACGGAGCCTGTGAAGAGACTCCGAGCCAGGAGGAAGAAGCTCGGAAACGGATCCGGGAATACTCGAGAGAATAGAAAGGTCGTACACTAAGTATTTTGTATTAGGAACAGAACGTAGATGGGACAAAGATGTGGCGTTCTCCATCACTTACCAAATTCGCAGGCCGGTCGGACAGGCGCGGACGTCATGAACAGAATCCGCTTCCGAAGCAGAGCAGCCCGTTGTAAAGGGAATACTAAGGGACCAAAGGTATCGATGTATTTTACAATAGACAAAGCAGGATGCCAAGGTGGTAGGGATTGCTCCGAAGGGATGACAGCAACCAGACTCGAAAGGGCGCGGCTCCTGTTATGTGTTTTCCACGGACTTGGGTTTGAGCCGGATGATATGGTGGAAGACTTGAGGTTTTGAGTGTCCCCGTCGCCATTCGCTCCGTGCTTCTCCCAGTATGTTTCTAAGGGTTCGGTTCTGGACACATCGTCGACCAATACCCTGAGCCTTATTTAGCAGTCGCCGGAGTACTCCATGCGAAAAGAGAACGTACGCAGCTAAGTTCTGGAGAGCTTGGGCATGGAGCCAGCTCCGTCCAAGCCTTCCATAACTCAATGGCACCAAGATGCCCACTGCAACAAGGTGTGCGTTGCGCTCCGCCTCTGAACCCGGTCCATTCACAAATGCGCTTAGGCCAGCGTACCCCTCGTGCACAAAGTATCTGCCTGTAAGTCAGTTCCAACTCATGCGCTCAGGTCTACTTCAACATACACAAGGTCCTCTTTTACAGTATGTAGGCCGGAAGGGAGGGATTTGAACTCGACGGTGCCATCAAGGACAACTAAGTAGATCGCGTGAGCCATCCATCAAGCAACGAATTCGGAGGGCAATGAAGCTTACCATTGGCAGCCGATCGCTTCCAGGCAATTGAGTAGCTGTAAACAGACCGTCAGCGCGACTTTTGAGTATTTGGGGGAGCTGCTAGTACACACCCTACCTTCTGGTCGAACTTGATCAGAAAGAGAGCCGACAAAGGCGGCGCTGTGGTCGCGTCGGAGGGACTAGAGTCGACATCGGTCGTGCTAGCATCGCTGGTGCCAGACATTGTAGAGGGTCAACATGACATGAAGGTCAGCGTATTAACTTGGCGGGATGTCGTGGTGGAAGTGGTGGAGCCTGGGTGCGCTTTGCGCCTACGTAAGGCCGGGAGCTGAGACCTAGGGTTTGTGGTCACAGCGCTAAACGCAAAACGGAGACAAAACAGATGACTTAAGCATATTTTGACGACGGAAGCTCAAGCTTCAGTCTTTCATGTTCATTATCTACAACTACTGGAGCATAGGCTCGAGGCTCTCTCCGAGCGTTTCTTCCATCATGTTGATCCACCGAAGCGTTTCGCTTTCCACCGCTTCGTCATCATCTTCCTGCAACTCGCTGATGAAAGGCAGCATTTCCGATATCATTCCCAGCCAATCCTCCCCTAATCGCTTGGTCAAAGCCTGCTCACACTTGACAACTGCCAGCCGGGTGTGTGCCTTGTCAGAGCGCATCAGCTTAAGAAGTATGCCGTTCATCTCTTTGCGATGATCTGCGGAGTCTGCCGACACTGCCAGCTCTACGATGGATGGAATCACGTCTTCTGTCACGACAGTGGCCGATTCAACAGTGAGTTGCTTCAGCACAGGACCCAAGACGGCACTGAAGTGCGACGGTGCTTGCCAAAACCCTAAACTTATTGTTAGTACGGGGTGGAACCTAGGTATCCCGCAGAATTTACCATCTTGATCATGCTCGAAGCTCTTGGTAAGAGCATTTAAAACCGCCTTGACGAGTTTTACATCCAGACTGTCGAGGGTGGAGGTGTTTTGCAGTATATCAGCAACATCCTCAAGGATATAGCTGGAATAGCTGATCACGTAGGACTTCAAAGGTCAGCATGTATCTATCTTCGGATAGAGTGATAGTACCTTAAATTTGTCGAAGAACCTCTCGAGGAAAGAGTAAAGAGATATCGAGCGAAGAGCTCTGCCCTTTGTATCTTTCTTCGGAAGCCCCTTGGATGCCCACTCCACGAGCCGGGAAAAGAACGGGCGGAACGTCATGTCATTGAGCTTAGTCGTCATTTCAATAGCGGCATCCTGTACGATGGAATCCAAGTGCTCGATATCGGCGTCATCATCACCATCTTCGACCTGCGAGCTATTCGAAGTACGCCGAGTGTCAAGCGCAGTCAAGAAAATGGTGAACAAGGTCTGTGTGTTCTTGAGGATCGCAGAGTTTGGTCGTGACTTGACAGCTAATAGGAGGGCATTAAGATGTTCGCGAAGTGCCTATCATTCATCAGCAAAGTGACAGGAGCGAGACTTGAAGTACTTACCTCGTAGCCATGCTTCACTGCATCAGCAAATGTCCGATTGATAGCCTCAAAACACTCTTTAGCTTCAACCTGTTTTGCGACATAGCTATAGAAGTGATCCCTGCTCTCATCACAGCTCTCACCCAGATCGCATTCTGCAGATTTGTGCGACAACTCTAGCGACTTGTCCAGGTAGCTCCCGATGAACATAAACGGTAGTTTCTCAATGATGGCACAAAGAAGCGAATAGACCGCGTTATGTAGACGGGGTTTCTTTCCGTCCGCATCCATACTCTGCTCCAGGTAGGAGAAGGCTTGCGGTAGGACTGCCGGTAGGAGAGGGATGAAATCCTCTGATATGACATCCACAACTGAGGCAAGACAAATGACCGATATCTCCCGCAGCCGATCATCATTGCTTCCAAGTGATTGGACGCCGGCGACCATTTGTGCTGAGGACGCAACAGCTGCACTGTCTCTCTTACCGAATCGTTCTGATATTTGATCAATGCAAGCGACAGCACTTTGCTTTAGCACAGTGTCCTGGGAATGCTGTATAATGGTTCCGACACGAGACAGGAATGCTAAGGCAGCCTTTACAGAGGGCTCGTCACCTTGTTTGATACTTCGCACCTTGATTTCTACTGCCTGCAGAGTCGTTAGTCTAATATCGTCGTCAGAATTCTCCAGCAAGTCTTCTGCGGTCTTGATGAGGCTGGTGATAGGTAGAAGCTCTAGAATGCTAAACAAGACACGGCTGCAGGCGGCGTAGAGTCCTTCCTCGCCCTTTAGGCGTCGAGAAAGTTGAGTAGCTCTTTCAATAGCTGGAGCAAACGTCTTTTGCAAGACAGCACTTTCAGTGCCAGGTCGCAAAACTTGACCGACATATGCAATCAAAAGTGGGTCTTCCAGAATGCTCGCTAACGACTCCAACAAAGTCAGGAGGGTACCGTTGACCTCAGCTTGGCTTTTCTCGTTCAAGCTCAGGAGCACTTCAGAGACCGTGCGTTTAGGTTGGAGGGCATCAATAATGAGCTCAAGGTATTTGGTAGATGACTATGAACATCAGCACTGCGACAAGGAGGTTATTGATAGTCGTGCTTACCTGTACCACCAATGCTGGCTCAAACGTTCTTAGTAGATGCGAGACGAACGATCGCGACTCTATCGCTGATCGCGAGTCGGCTTTTGCCGGATACTTGTCAAGCAGCAGAGCCATTACAGCATATAGTGATTCCTCTGCACCAAGAGTCTGTAGAAGTCGATCGAAAATCTCCGGTCTTCGGTGAAGGGGAATATGTTCGAACGCGGCGGTAAAACTCAAGAGCAGATCTGCCACTCCAATAATGAAATTCTTGTTTCGGTCTCTTAACGATGCTGCTAGTTGCGGGACTACGCGTGTGATGGTCTCATTGACAACATAAGCGGAGTTGTCGTCGCTCTGTCGCAGCAGTGTAGATCCCATGAAAGTGAATATAGGCATCAGAGTGTGCAGAACAAGGTGTGCCACCGGCTTCCAAGAGGCTAAGCTAGAGATTAATAGGAGGGCTGCATTTTGAACCTCTGGGCTACTGCTGTGTCGTATGCAGTCAACAAGTAGGTCGGCCCGAATAGCGGAATGATCCTCAGCGGGCTCTTGTCCATCCTAGACGCTGATTAGTCCATGCCCAACGGCACTGGTGAAAGTGGCTTACCTTCAGGCGTTCGACAATTGACAACAAAGATCTAATGATCGGACTTTGAAGGTAGACCAAGTTTGATCCCGAATGTGATCGGAACTGGTGGAGCTCCCCTAATATGTGAAACAAGCCTCGCAAAAGCTCTGGATGTTCTTCGGGCTTAGAGGCTTCAATTAGCTCCAAGACAAAGGTGACCCTCCGCAAAGCTCTCCCAATATCTTTTGGATCAGGCGTGTCTTCTCGTGAAGACTCCAAGCGACTTGTTCGCCTCCTCTTTGCAGACGGAGGTTTGTCTGGCGATTGAATAGCGCTGATAGCGTTGATAGCATTCTCCAAAAGGGTCCTTAGAACATTCGACGAGAGCTTCACTGCACCTAGCAACTCCTTGGAGCTTTCCTGACGAAAAGACACAACCTCTTGCTTAGATTCGTTTTCATCTAAGGATAAGTCTAGGAGAGTTGTGGCAAGTGATGGTTTCAAATCAGACTTCAAATTAGGCCAGATAGCTTGCAGTCGTTGGAATGCGGCCTCTTGTACAGACTGGCGATGAAAATTAAGGTGGTCCGTGATGATGGTCTGGAGGAGATCAACGCCTTCTTGTTCTCGCGCAGAAATTACAGCTATATGCTGGCTATCCGCGTCGGCAGTGTCGAAAGCATCGAGATTACGGAGACTTAACAGGTAATTTTTCGATAATGAGCACCACTCGCGAACAGCAGGAAGCAGCATGTTGATGCGAGCAGAGGCGCAAACCTTTCTGAGTCGACTCAGTAGAGAGAAAAGCTTTAGTCGAACGGATATCCGTGCCGTCAAAACCGCGTGGCTACTCAGGAATGAAACAACGCCGCCACGGTCAGAAGTTTTCAAATCTGCGACCCCAGATTTATGTGCCGGGAGTTTTGAGTGTGAGTGGCCGTCCAATGCAGAGAAAATGACTTGAGTGATGTGGCTTGCATCTAAAATGCATTCCTCCAGCGTGGGCATCAAGACTGATGCCAAAAATTTCGAATATAGCTGTATTGGCATCCAATGAACCTGTGATGTTTTGGGACCATAAAGGGAGGAACCAGCCCATGTATTCACTTTGGATTTTTTGTGCAAAAGGGTTGCCTTGCGGTCCAAGAGAATGACACAGTCCGCAGCACTTTGACGCACTTGTTTCGATTGATCCGCAAGGGCGTAGATGATGTATGGTACCAAGGCTTGCAGATCCATCTGTTCTGTAGCCTGGTCGAGAAGTTTCCTCACTGCCTGCAGAGCAGCGCTACGTGCAAGAATTGGATAAGGCCCACACCACATGCTGATGAGAAAACTCAAGAACACTGGGCTTTGAAATGCTCCCTCTTGATTCAAGATTGGCAGGTTCAGAAATTCGTCAATGCTATTGCCTTGTGGGGATGATTGGATGAATCCACGAGCGAGAGTTTCTAGAACGCTTGTTTCCGTGCCAATGAGGAAAGTATCTCCTCGAACACGTGCTGGTAGATTCGATAGTACCAAATCCGCCCGTGTAGTATTGTTGTCTTCTTGATCGGGCATCTCTGAGTCCTCCTCGATGGGTTTGGGTGTAGTCTCGTTTTCGAGGGGCCTCAAAACCGTCTTGAGTTTCATCTCCAGTGTCTCGATGTCAAAATTGTTCTCCTTCAATACTCTCTGAAGCTTGTTTTCCAGGGACGCTGAGTCTGCCAGACGAACAATGAGGTCCGCAATCTGACTTCTGATTCGGAGTGCGACATCTGTAGACTCGTTGATCTCCATAGTCAACCGCAGTAAAGATTTGATAACAAGCAATGCCTGAGAGTCTTCTAGCAGGTCTGAAACGAGTATCTGTTCAACGACTCGAATTTCGCAGCTATGATGGAGATGTTTCAGTCGATCCACAGCTCCAAGGGCGCAACCCAATGCCAAACGCTCGACACGGATTTCCCGACCGAGAGCGACAATCCGTTTTACGAGATCATCATGCTTTAGCAATCGCCTCACAACGTTGCGGGGAAATTTTGCGCTTCGGCGCTCTTCTGCGATTACCGCCAAACATTGGAGAGTGGCGTCGGTCGTATCGGGTCTGCAGGTTGCGGATATGGCATCCAAGAGGGAGCTTAGTACTTTATCTTCCAAGTTCCCTTTGCTGACCAGAATTGTAGTGATCGCGTAGCATCCATGCATTGCATCAGGAATGTTCACAAATGTCAGACATTTGCTGAGGGTAGGTAGGATGCGATTGATCAGATCTTCCTCTCGTTGGTGCTGTACAGATTTCCTGCCGGACCTAGCGGTGTTGAACATGGTATTGATTGCTTGTGCTGTTACCTCCGCCCAGAACTTCAAGAATATATCAGACTGGTGTTCATTCTCTAGGATTTTCAAGATATATTGTTGCAAAGCAGAGAAAACTCCAGGGTTGGTCGACGCATTATAGACAATAGTTGCTCGTGGAGGGTTTTCCAGAGAGCTCACGTAGGGTTGTAGGAAGCGGAACGTGGGGGAAGTCTTGGCCGGGAGTATGGAGAGGAGCGTAGTGAAGATGGGTATCGCGTGGAATGGGAGGAACGTGAGAATGACGATGTCCGTATTGTACTCGTGGATGCTAATTGCAAGCCGTGTTTCAGTAAAAGGATTGTCGAAAAGAGCTCAAGGTTGACATACCGGAATCGTCGTACAAGCCATTCTACGGCTTTTTGTGCTGGCTTCAAAGCTAACCTTGGGCCCACCAGGGTGAGAAATCTTTCAATAACGACGTCAAGCTCCGCATTCTCCTTCGCTGTCATTTGGGACCGGTCCTCGGTTTTGCCTTGGTCACTGAACAGGTTCTGCGAAAAGGCGACAAATCGGCTGTCGAGCATACATAGCTCGCGATATCCTTCGTGGCATACTTGGTAGATACTGTTGAAGTTTTGAGAGGCGGCGACTTTCGGTTCGTACAGCAGCGATTTCCCGTGGGCAGTCTTCTGCGCCTTCAAATCCAGCTGCTGGGTGCTCGTAGCGGCGATGGCCGCGAGCTGCTTCTGAAGTGCAGAAGTCATGATGAGTCCAGAAGATGGAGGTTTGGTGTGATTGTGACAGCGTCCATGGGCAAGTTTAGGTTCATGGGCGGTTCGGCGGGCAGTCCTGGGAAAGTCGCATTTGTCTCAGTCGGAATGGATTGAGGTGAAAATGCATAGCTAAAACCCGGTGCCAAGATTTTATTTAAAGTGGGTCTGGGATCCCTGCAGAAAGCGTGGACGCGACCGACCTCCAAGCTTCAACTTCCAACTCGCATCTGTGTCTACCTGTGAGCCACATCATGAAGCATTCGACCATTCCCCGGAGACCAGAATAGACTGTAAAGGCTGGCTGCTCGGAGCTCAAACGGGGCGATCCACATCTAGTACCGAAGCTTGATCCTCAACAGAATCCATTGGTAAAGCGCTGTCTTAGCCGTGGCTATGAGCGACGTAACGAAACCTACCGCGCCCAAGTTCGCGAGCTTTCGTCCGAAACCCGCTGCCCCTATACCAAAGAGCTCCCAGGCCAATACAAAGGAGCAGCCAGACAAGGTCAACGAACAGAGACACAGTGATGGACATTCCAGAAGCCATGGGGACCGCAGGAGACGTCCGTCTCACTTGAAAGAGAGAAAATCAAAACATGGCGACCGCAATGGCCATGAGTTGGATCAGACAAGACATACCCACGGCATCAGAAGAGACCAGGCGCCATCTTCGGTGGCTGCAAAGCCGTTGGAGGATGAAACGGAGTATTTCATAGTCGACCGCAAAGGGGATCCGGCAAATGTTACTTTTGGCAGAGTTCATCGCTACAGTGTTCCGCCTTTCCGTCGATATGGCTATGGTCGTGTATTTGGCCTGCCAAAGAACCAACGGATTGATCTTGGGGCTACCACCGAGCAAGAAATTAGCATAAGAAATGATGACAATCGAGCTCGACCTGAAAGACCATGGGCAATGAAATACAAGCCAAGTAACGAGCCACGAATCCTACGACTGATACGGCCAGGTGCAGAAGATGGGCATCTAGACAGCCGCCTGGATTATATTCCCATGCAGTCTAACAAGAAAAGGAAGCGTGACTCGGAATCACCAGGCTCGCCACATGGAAACGCCGTAGACTATCGCTCCATTGAAGGCCAGGCAAAAGCAAGCGTCCATCCGGCAGACTCTGATCTGGAGTATGAATCGGATCAGTCGGGCCAGGATCATGCAACAGGGTCCGCAAAAGCTGAAAACGAGATCCGACAGAAAAATGCAGCTTTATCCAATCGTACGAAAGAGGCGCCTCGCGATTTACAGGCTTGGTTGGAACTCATTGACCATCAACAAGATATGGTGCTACTGGGCCGTACATATCCCTCTCGAGACCCTAGTACTTCAGAACGTAGAAACATTGCCGACATTCGAATCTCAATATATACGCAAGCACTCCGAGAAATTCGCGTGAAGCAAGACCGCGTGCAACTCGTCAGCGGGCTTATGAACGAGGGTAAACACTACTGGGAATCGAAGCAGCTTGCTAAGCGATGGCAGGAGACACTCAACGATTATCCAGATAGTGTGGAACTGTGGACCAATTATCTTAACTTTGCCCAAACCAGTTTCGTGGACTTCAAATACGAAACTTGTCGCGGGGTATTTCGAACTTGTTCGGAAATGCTTGCAAAGGCTCGAGATGCAACGCCGGCGGGGGGTCCATCGTGGACCACCGTGGTAGAAATTCAAACCTACGTCTTGCTGCGACTCGCAAGCCTGGCGAAGGAAGCTGGGTACCATGAGCACGCTGTGGCTCTTTGGCAAGCGCTCCTCGAGTACCACATGTTTAGACCAAGCGACGACCAAGGAACAGTGGATCCAAGCGGACTTCTTAGTAATTTCGAGGAGTTTTGGGAAAGTGAAGTGTCACGCATCGGGGAGGTAGATGCCAAGGGCTGGAATAAGTTCGATGCCCTTCAGACACCAGTACCAGAGTCTGTGACGCTGAACTTTCTCCCTATTGTCCCCTCTTTGAAGGTTTTCTACGAGTTCTCAGTCTTGGAAGAAGAGCACATGAACGCACTTAGACTCCCGGGTCGTACTGCTGATGACTCTGGAGATGACGACCCTTTCCATCTTATACTATTCTCAGATATCCAAGAGTTCTTGTCGCTTCTCCCGCAGAAATTTCCACACGATGCACTGATTGAAGCATTCCTATGCTTTTGGCATTTGCCACCGTTGTCCTTCGAGAACACATGCAACCGCCAGTATTGGTGGCAAGATTCTTTCCTTCGAAATGAAGTTATCGGAACTAGTTCACACGACAAATTATCTCTTCTTGTCGAAGACGAACCCCAATCGACTGGCAGCTTCCCGGAATCCTTGCGAGCTTTCACAAATTTCCCGATGAACTTCCTGCAGATAACGACAGACTCTTTATTCAACGACGCATTCAAGCGAAAGTATCATCTGGCAGACTTGGAGTTCATTCGCCGCGCTCTCAAACAATTAGCCTCAATCTCCACGAATGATCGAGTTGCAGAATACCATCTAGCTTTCGAGCTGCATCATTTCCCAGACACGTGAGTTCCAATATATTGCTTGTCACCATGCACAACTAATTAGATAGATAGTGCTCGAAAAAGCGCTAAGCAATTGCTAAAGAAGCGACCTACCAGTCTTCGCTTATGGAACGCATATGCACTAATCGAAGCAAGGACTGGAGCTGCCGAGACTTCAGACTTTGTCTTTTGTACAGCACTTGAGAAGGTTAAGAGTTTGCCTGAGGTTGCGCAACGTGATCACATCCTTCTATGGCATACATGGATATGGGAGGCTCTTGATCATGGGTATGCGGCAACGGCAGTTCATCGAGTCACGTGGATAGGGAAGGATAAGCCTACAGCGCAACCGGGTGCTGATTTTGACGTTTCGGACCTCTCTGCGGCTGATACGCTAAGAACTAAGAATGTGAGTGTTTTTCAACTCCCTTCGAAAGCATAGGACGATGATATCCGACAAGGCTGACTTTGAATAGATTCTCCGAGACGGCCGTGACCACTCCCTTTCCACCGGCCGATATGCCGACTTCATACTCTACATATCCTGTGACGCCATCCTATCTTACCTCCTAAACAACTCCGACATCGGTGCTGCTTTGGCAATCCACCACGAAGCCTCAGACGCCTTCGACAAACGAAACCTTTCCACATCACCTGCCGCAGAACTCAATCACCAGGCCCAAGCTCGTCTCCTCGCATACCACGCTTCCCAGTCTCACTCTTTCAAGCCTTCTCTCGTCCGCGCCGAACTTGCCCAAAGCGTGGCTTTATTTCCAAACAACACGTTATTGCTAAGCATCTATGCAGCGAACGAAGCCCGCTTCCGCATTGACGGCCGCGTCCGCGCCATCATGAGCGACGTTGTGCTTAGAAACGGGGGCGGCCGAGGTCAAGCGCCGAGCGTCGTGGGCTGGGCATTCGCGATCTTCTCTGAGATGAACCGAGGCGAGGCTTTAGGATCTACTGCGCACTCGGTGCGCGCAACCTTCGAGAAGGCGGTTGAGAGCGATTGCGGGAGGAATAGTCAGGCTCTCTGGACCTCGTATGTCCTGTTCGAGGTCGCGCAGCACAAGCCTAGCCAGGAGTTATCCGTGCAGAGCAAGAAGGCGAAGGTGAAGAGGTCGGAGCCGGATCATCGGGCGAAAAAAGTCTTCTTCCGCGGGCTAACGCGGCTGCCGTGGTGCAAGCCGTATATGATGCTGGCGTTTAGCCATTTGAGGGAAATGTTGACGTTCAAGGAATTGAGAGGGGTCTACAATGTTCTCGGCGAGAAGGAGCTGAGGGTGCATGTGGATCTGGAAGACGCGTTTGAAGCGATTGAAGAGACGAGGGTTGGGGCTACGGGGTCTGTCTCTAGCTTGATTTTGACAGAAACCTCAGAGACCGATGCGGACTGAGTTGAGGGAATTCAGAAGGGGAAATCTTGACAGCCATCACCTTCAGACAAGGGTGAAGATCGAATTGACAATGTATGCTGCCCACATTCTAAGACTCAATAATCGTCACATCTTGTGTAGATCGTGAGAAAACCAGAAGCAGTCATCCTCATTCACTGATAAGCCTCAGCCTCCCAGTTCACGAGGGACTCGTCCGGCTCTTCTTCGAGAGTTGGTGCAACAGTCATCGGGCCTGAAGGGTCAAAGTGAGGCTGCCTAGTCGTCCCACCTCCATCTGACCCTTGCGCAGGCGCGTATCCTACGTACAGTAGGGGATCTTGTAGTGTGATATTATCGAGTAACCACTCGGATGTGAGATTCTGATTGGAGTCGCCATTATCTGAGCTCAGCAACGCGGATGGCGATTGTGTATCGAAGGGTCTGTCACTACTCCTCGAGCTGGTAAAGATGCCTGAGTCTGCGTCGTTTTGACCCTGCTGTCGGCGTGCCTCCAGCCATCGCTCGATTATCACCTGGAAACCGTCTGTGATCACAGTCTCCAACAACGATGATATCTGCGAGTCGCAAAGATCGCCAATAAAACCATTGTCCCTCAACTGTTGTATCATGATGCCGGACCCTGCATTTGTGGCGAAGTCACGGAATGAGCAAAGCTCTTCCGAGAGATCGGGGTCGATGTATGCTGTTCTTGGCCGAGGAGAAAAATCTGGAAAGAGCATATCGAAGATGGTGAACCACTGCTGTTCTTCATTCATTCCCGATGGGACCTTCTCGCGCAATCTTTTTCTCTGTGCTTCTGTTATACCCTCCAAATTCACAATAGGGCTCAGTTCACATGCGCTGGCTCTTGCGTGGGTGTCCCTTTCCGCCTCTGTATCAAAGGTGCTCATGCATCTGGAGCAGTATATCGGCAGTTGATGCTTCCTTGACAGATGTTGTTTTACGAATGAGATTTTGGTCAGTGTCACTCGGTGACAGCGACCATAGCGTGCTGGGTCCTTCTTGTTGAAGGGACAGGCTAAAAGCAACCGTTTCTCTTTGTCTGATTTTCGAACCCTGCGTTTCTTTAGGATGTTGTTGTGCTCTCCGAGCGAGTTTTCCGCGGCATCGTCAGCGCCAGTCTGTCCCCGCTTCCTTTTTGGGGGTCGGGTCCCGGACTGAGATGCCTCTTGTATCGGTGTGCTTGAAGCTTCTATAGTACCCTCACTCTGTAAGTCGTTTCGATTCGTGTAGATCTGACTATTGAAGTGATATCTTGAGTCGAAATCGCTGAGTAGTTTATCAACGAGAGTCTTTCGATACTTGCTAGCGAAGATGTCTGTGCCTTCATTGGGCGTTGGACTAGCTTCGGACCAGTCAGAAGCCCAGCTAGACTCCAGGTCTTCTGAATTTATGGTGTTCGAGCTCTCGAAATCGTTGCTTGTAGTACTGTCCTCCTGAGACCCGCCACAGGCTGTGTCTGTAGCCGGTGATTCAGGCCTCCGGTGGGTCTTCCCCTCCGGCCGCTTTTCCAGACTGTCAATGCCTTTGCGTCCTCCGCTTTCGGTTTTGAAGACGGCTTTTAAGTTTTTCATATAGGCAGCTATAGCTTGAGGCGGCAGTTCTGTTATGACTGATAGCGCTTTGATCTTCTCGCTGGATGGGAATGAGCCATCTGCGGATTTGTTTTCCAGGACGCTGCGGATGATAGCTATTGACGGTGCCGGTAAAGCGTAGACTGGAGATGATCCAAAGTTATTGCCATTATTATTATGTGTCTGTAACGCCTGTACCGAAGCATCAAACTGGTGGGATAGTGTCAAGTTTCCATCAGTCTCGGACGTGAACTCTTCTTTCTTTACGCGTACTCCATTCGCTCCAGAGTTAGTATTTGCCCAAAATCCGGAGTATGCGTCGTCTGCAAGTGCCACCTTCTCACGTTTTCTTTTTTGGAAGGAGAGAAATTCGGCCTCCAGCTGCGCCTCTTTTTTGGCGTCATGTTTGCTGTCTTTGCTGTCGTCGCTATCATCCTCTTCTTCGCTATCATCCGCTTCTTCGCTATCATCTCCTTTTTCGCTGCCACCTTCTGACCACGAATCCCTCCACTCACTCATAGTCCTAATCCCCCCTTCAAGCTTCCCGTCAAAGTGTGCAAGAATATGACTACTCCGATGGTCCCAGGATTTAAAGTGATCGCCACAAAAACCACATCTGGGTTTGAAACCTGCTACATAGTTCTGCTTTGACTGTTCTATTACATCATCTACATCATCATCGGGATGGTTATCTTTGACATGTGGTAGCAGCTTATCGCGTCTACTAACAAGCACTATCCTTGGAAGTGTATCGGTTCTGCAGAGCTCGCATATCCAGAATTCCTGTGGCTGATGTGACTCTTCGTGTCGCCTCCAGTCAAATGAACGCTTGGTCTGATATCCGCAACCCGCAGTGCATTCATACCGCCCACAATTGACCTGTCGATGACCATCTCCTCGGGGACGTTGCTTGCTACAGGCTAAGATGTACTTCTCGATTGCCTGGCGAACATTCTCTGGCACATGGTCATTGGAGTCTCCGCCTACGTCGAGCTGAGGGCTGTCACCTAGGCCAAAGCTGGCTAATAGTGGCGTCTTGTGAAGACTTTCGGATTCGGTTTGGACCTTTCCATGCGCACTGGATCCGAAAGTAGAATTCCGTGTGGGAAGGAGCCAGTTGGACTCTGCTGAGATATCTTGGTTGCTTCCAATATGCTGCGACGCATGTTGCGAAAGGGTGCCATAGACGGAGCCGGCATAGCCAGAGTCTCCAGTTACACTAGCTTCACTGTTGTCCTGCTCAAACCCAGGATGATTGCGATAAGTTCCATTGCGATAAGTTCTATTGTGATAAGTTCCGAAACTAAAGTCCTGTGTCAAGTTTGAGGAAATGGCCTTTTCATCCCCAGGGCGATGGAGGACCTTTTCCGACATCCATGGGCTAGCGTCTTCGGCGAAGATACGATCGACAGCATCGAGACTAAATTGTAAACTCGGCCTGGACATGCTGTTTGGCGATTTGGCAACGCTAAGGTGCCCATTTCCTAAGCTAGGATCTATAGCTTCGAGATGATCGTCTTGAGGAGCGGAATAATCAGGCCGGGACGATCGGCTGCTTTCTGCAGACAAAAGGTCGTCTTCAAGGGACGGCAGGGCATTGAAGTCCTTATTAGTTAGCAAACGAAGCATGGTCTGGAAGGATGTTTGGCCCTACTACGAATCGTGGGAATGGGAATCTGAAACCCAGCCCACGCTCTTTTGACGGCTTATGTGGCGGCATATCTGATTCAGTGTGTTTCCAGTACTTCATGTACGTAACGAGGTAGACTTTTGGGTCCAGCAAAGCTCATCGAAGGCCGCGTATGGGATGATTGAAGAGAAGATGATTCTAACGCAAGGCTCCGCAGAGCACAACTGTGCTCTCATTGCAGTTGTGGCTGTGCTGCATATCGTGGCTTGCGGGGGACCCAATAGCAGGCCACCCTTTGGCGCGTGGCAGACCTCAGAAAGTCGAGTATTCAAGATATTGAAGACACAAGCATCTAGAGTTCATTTTGGAAAGCTAACATGACTGCGCAGAGATTGCAAGACGATGGGGCACCCAACTGCGTTGAGGTCTAACTGCTTTTTGAAAACCGAAATCTTGACAACACAATGTTCCAAGATGGGGTTAGCGCGGTAAGGCTGGATCTCACCAAGCTGAGAAGACGACTAGGTGAGCACATTTGTGCTCTCGCAAAGTTGACAGCTTGAGCAAAAGCAGATCGTGAGTGCTCTTGGCTGTGAGCTGCTGAGTTATATCAGTGCTACAATTCATTTTGCGCCCAACTACCTCCGTGGCTGCAGGAACGTTTATCCTGAGGTTATGGATTTGCAATGATGGAACTTAACCAACCTGTAAACTCTAGAAATGACAGGTACCATAGCAGTGAACCAGATATTCAAGTGAGCCATTCTTCGTCCTAGACTGATTACTGCGCAGAAACTAATGAATTAATAGTATCGACAGCACAGTGGAAAACGCTACGCCATCACCCCTTCCTCCCTCAATGCCTCCTCCTATGAAAGAGCTTGGACATGGACCAGACCTACATGCAACAGCCACCTACCTCCACGGCCTCATCACGGCCTTCGAGAAAAGCGAGCCAGTGATTCCCCATTTCACGACAAAAGTTTCCAGGAACTACACTGAGGCGAAGGCCTCGTCCAACGACATCCCCTTAAAGCTCACCACCCAACCCACCTGGAGTGGTCTGACTCTTTTACCGAGCCGCGCAAGCACTCTACCCAAACGGGGAGGAAAAGCACGAAAGCGGCTAGTGCGAGCATGCCTGCTGCTCAATCTGGCACTCTCCACCGCGCTCGGGCTCGCAGTCGGAGTTGCGATGCGTAGAGCCGAGACAGGGCTTACAGTGGGGAATACTTTTCTAGCCTTTTTCATTGTGATTTAGAAGGCTGTGTTGGTGGATGAGAAAGCGGAGGGAAGGGAGCATGTTGCATAAAATCTGCGTAAAGAGGATTAGGAGAGTTATGGTACGGAAGATGGATGGGGCTCAGGGGTTCGATTTGTCAGCCAGATTAGAGATCAGGTGTTGACTATATCTGGAATAGTTTTCTATATCTCATGATGTGAGTATTCAGAGAGTGGATATGTCGGAGGATCGGAGCAAAAAAGAAGAGAAAAGCCTAAATGACATACGTAATAGCAGTAGGTTTCTGATGTTGCGATGCTTCGTTTGAGGTTCTGCAATTGACCCCGGGAATAACGGAAGATCTACGCGATGCAGGCTAAGCGGAAGCTTCGGAATAGCTGACGACGAATGATGCAGGACTCTGTTGAGACTTTGGCTGAAATCAGCTAACTCTTCGGGTGCCTTCGTGTTGAGCGGACAAAGTAAGGTCAGCTACCCGTGGTACAGTAAGTAGATCAAGGGTCGCTAGTGCTGCTGCGCGGTCCCCTCCTCCTGCTCCTACAACGTGGTGGATGCGTACTCGGGATATGCTGTGGACGAGTTCCATGTGGATGTCTTGCAACTCTCAGTCCGACATGCAAGTCGGGGCCAATCGCCGGTATGGGTGGCCTGAAATACGTGGCCATGCTGGTGCAAACAGAAGCAGCTGAAGTGACATGAAGAAAGAAGTACTAGATCTCGGCTAGATCGTGACACGACGGCACGTGGCGCCCCTTCGTTCGATCTGCTGGACGAAGATGTAATGATACTCAAGGCATTTTGAGGCGGTGTAGCAGTCTCTGCAACGAGAGAGAAAAAAGCGGGGAAGAGCATACTAGTGGATGCTGTACCATTTAATGAATACTGTGACCACGAGAATAAGGAAAAACCACGTCTCCATGCGGAGTACATTTGACTGAGACATTCTTAAAAGGCTGAGCTGTGAGAGCCAAGGGACAACGTGTCTTAGGTGCAAACCCCGCAAAGTGCTAGAGGAATATGTAGTCTGCGCTACTACAGATTGATGATTCTGACTCTCATTTTAAGACTGAAAGGGGATATTGTGATGCTTACTGATGAGACCAAGAGGCTAAAACGACGCTGTCCGATCATCATATCTTCCGCGACCTGGGACTTCTTCACACGAAATCCGTCTTGTCTTCGGCCGAGTTGGGCAGAGCTGTGGTCTGACATAATAGAAGCAAACTCTAAGGAGACACGCGATCAGGGGTGAAGTGGAGATGTTGTCAACATATACGGGCAAGTGCTGAGATGAAAGGATGGGTACTCCTTGAAGGTAGGGCCGCAACGGGTTTAGAGCATAGTCCAGAAATAACGAGACGCGATGGACCCCTGTGATCGACAGGTGGCCTGGGCAAAGGGCACTCGAGTATTGTAATCTGAAACGCGGACCCACAGCCAGCGCGTTCTTGAGCCCAATGCTCTCGGTTCTCGGGGGGTGACGTACGACGTCGAATTAAAGCTAAAACGAACGAGGATTGGGCTTTATCGCAGACCGCTGAATCTCATACACAAGTATAAGCGATTTCAGGCCCCGCGAATCGGGTGAGCGATCAGTTTCTTTCGCCCGGCACAAATAGCTCTAGCAGAAAATTCTCCTTGGCCATTATGTTCATGCAAGTCTCACGGTGAGCGCTGAGCGCCAATTCTATATGTGGCACAGAGACGGGTGGAGAAGACTGAGCGATGCTACAGACGTGTCAAGCTCTCGGCGAACGTGTCAATGCAAGAAAGGTTGGAGAGGAATGGTTCGCTCGGAAATCTTGGTGGCGTAAGACTAGCATGCAGAACATCGACGACATCCCGGCGCGCTGAAACGGCTGCAGCACCGTGGTTGGTGCCACTGCTAGACCAACGAGCAATCCTCCAGTAGAACCGCAAAACTCTCCGCTTTTGGTGCATGACAGTGTCCAAAGGGCTGGCATGGAGGCTGGTCGAGTTGTTCAGAGGGGTGCATGTGCATGTGCATGTGCGGATGCAAGATTGATTACTTGATGGGAATTGCCACTGTGCAGATACTGCGCCTGGCGCTGCTGCGATTGGCGCTGCTGCGATGGAGTTCTGTATGTACAGAGCTGGTTCCAGCCCACACAACGCCTCGTCGCCACTCGACGCGGTATCCCAGGATGCGGTTCTGATGAGCTGCTAGCAGCCGTCACGATGGTAGCCTCCCAGCCTAACTCCAAAGTATCCGTACGAACATCGGTACAGAGGACTGCTGGACAGCCGGTTGACAAGCCACACCGCTAGTAGCGTTCCAGACGCCGCCTCATCGCCTTGGAAAAACGAAAGAGCAGAGAGTTCTGTCCGTTCCCAGTCCGCCGGAAGACGTCCCCTGCGCGCTACCGTTCCACAGCAGTGGCGCGGGCGGCCGACCACAGGCGACATGCTTGGTGGGACGCAGAGGAGTCGGCGTGAAATTCCGAGGGCTGGGCCATGCTGTCAAGAGTACGCCGGCCAGCAGACTTTGAAGGGACGAACGAACCGATAGGTATGTATCTCAGGGTCTGGTCCTCGACGCCTCCAGGATTCGCAAACCCTGCTCGATCCGAAGATCGTCGAGGGACGCCAGAAGCAGACTACTTGTACGGGCATCGCCAGGCTGGGCGGAACGGGATCCCTTGCCATGGATTCGTTCATTTTTCTTTTTGCCGCGGCGGGCGTGCAGATGGGGAGGGGTTGGAGGTCCGGCGTGCTACTGGACACTTATCGGAAGACCCTGCCCAGGTGGAAATCCCATGGTCGCCATACGTATACGACCGAATCTTTGGCCCCTTGGCCCTCGCAATCCCCGGGAGTTCCTGGCTTTTAGTCTTCTCAACACCACGCACGGCCGCCGGGATGAGGCCGTCCATTTCCCATCCCGGTCCCCCACAATTTGGCCTGCCCGTGACGCTATCTGCCAAGGGTGGGCGTTTCACCCTCCCCGCCCAATCTCGCCGCCAGCTTCACCTTCTTGCTGCGGCTTTGGCTCGCAGTTCCCGCGCTCCTGGTGGAGGAGCCGTCTCCGCGGTGCAGGCCGCGTTCGGCCAGGCGGTATGTTCCTGCAAACCCACCCAGGCAGACCGGCCAGGCAGAAGAGGGCATGCGGCAAGCGTCGTCAGATGGCGTCTCCCGGCTCGGCGGGGTAGCATGCAGGACGACTCGACCTTATCACTGAACAACCACCAGCCATGCGCGCTCGTATTGCCCAGCCTACCGTTCTTGCAGTGCACGCCATCAGCCGCACTTTCCGGCGAGGCGGCGGGAGATGCCAGGCCGGGGCAGCGACTGGCCGCAATGCGCTCTTGACGCGCCGAAGCAGGCGTGAGCGGAGCAGCACGCTGATTAGCCAGGCTTGCACATACCCTCTGGCCCTCGCCGCTCGTCGCTCGCACCGCAACCATCTTGTTATTGCCAGGCGCGGAATGCGTGCTGCTGGCGGCTCGTTGCTCCGATGCGGCACTGTGGCACTGGCATACACTCGCAGCACCCGGCAAAGACGCAGGGCGGCCGTGGCCCGTTGCTATGCATCCAGTCCAGGCATGAGCGGCGGGGCTGCTCGTCGGGGAGGCATGGGACGGAGGGAGCCCTGAGGATAGCACCAACAGCTCCTGGTTGAGATGCCGTGATGTTCCAGCGAGATCAAGTGCAGGCGACCGCGGGAGGCCGTTGCAGCAAAAACGGCGCCGCGGACACTGGGAGCCACGGCCGGGCCGTTCGACTCGCCATCGCGCGCGGTGAATGCCAGGCTGCGGTCGTCGAGCGAATGCGTGCATGTCTGCAGTGCTATCAAGACTTCTCCTGGCCGCGCATGGTGCAAGCGGCGCCGTCCGTGCGCGCTGGCACTAGCCCGCCTTCAGCATCCCCCGTCTCGTCTCCGTGACACTCCCTTCTCCAGGCCGGCTTCCACTGCGACATTCACCCTATTCTTTGCTCTTCTCTTCCACCTCCCGCCGCTGCATCCCCACAGGCGTCCGGCCCGTCGAGCACTTCGACATTGAACCCTTCGGCCCGCCAATGCAGACTTGACGGCCTGCATTGCCTCACGGGAGGCCTGCCTGGTACGCGCTGCCAGCTGCGAAGTCGATCGAATCGACCGGTCCGTCGCCCTAGACGCCGTTGCATTCTACACCTTGTTTTATTAGCCCGCTGCTGCTTTCCACTGCACGCCTCTTCTTTTAATACGCCGTCCGCGAGAGACGGCCGCTGAGCGAAAGGGGTACGTATTCTCACCCGCCAGTTCGAGACAGCCCTGCCTCACCCTCAATCCCTGGCCACACCGTCCCTCGTCCGCCATCCCACCGTGCAACACAGTCCCCTTCACGCCATTCACCGCCCGCTGCCCAGTGTCTCTGCTCGCCCTCTGGCATGTTGCTGACTCGTTGCTCGTGACCCAGCCTTCGCCTTCGCCCTCTCCACTTCCACCAGGCTCTTCCCGCAGCATTTCCTCACGAGACCTGTGCAAGGACCGATGGCTCAGGTACTGGCGCCAATCGTTCAAACATCTGGCTCCATCACGATGCTGCACACTCCCGCCGATGCCTTCCAGAACAACAACTCCTCCCAACCCCATCACCAACAGTCCCGGTCAGCCCAGATGCCGCGGAGCCACCTCTACAACACACAAACTGGAGGCATCGGGTACCGGGGGGCTTCCTCTGCTCCCATAGCAGCCTACGCGTTCCAGAGCACGCCGCCTCTGCGTCAGGAAGCGAGTCGGGCTTCGTCGGCCCCGGGCAACATCTACGGCCAGCCTAATTTCCAGACTCCCAACACCTCCAAGCTCGGCCATCCTTCACACCCGTCGTCGTCCTCCGACTCAACTGTCTCCACTTCGTCGTCGAACCGCTCTGTGCCTGGGCAGCCGTACGCGTCGAAAGACGACACGGCCCTGTCCAATCAGAGGACAATGCCAGGAAGGGCCAATGATGACACAGTTCGAAGGTCGATGATGGACACGCATTCTGCTTCGGCCATCAGCATTTCCACGTCTGTGCCGGACTTGTCCTTTTCATCGTCTTTCGATACACCGGTGAAGCCGTTGGCTGATCGCTATCGCCGTGGAGGAGCTCGCCGGGCGGACTCGAGCAACAGCACCGTTGCCAGCAGCTCGACGCCGACCCAGGCTCCGCAACTACCAAACCCATGGATAGTGCCGCCTGGCTCAAGACTCGCCAACGTGCCGCCTTTCACGACCGCCAACCCCAATGCACTGAATCGCCCTTCCCACAATCGGGCCAATAGTGCTGACGACATGCAAATTGGCCGTGAGAGCTCTTCCGATGCAGCCAAGCGTTATAGGAGGCGAAGTCTAGGTGGATTCGAGGCCAATGCTCTGGCGTATAAGGCTTCGGCGACCGGATCCAGTCAGAGACCGACAACAGGTGCCGTTTCCCCTAAACGACCAATAGCTCAAGAAGCAAAACCCCAGATGGTGGCCAGCCGTCCTGGATCTAGCCATGAGCGCCATGGTAGCAGTGGTAGTGTTGCTTCCAACAGCACTCCCACGCGTCCGGCATCCGTAAGTCTCGATCCAGATTGTACATGTAGTTAACCTGCTGACATTCAAAAAGTCTAGGAGAGACTCTGCTACCTCCCGTGGGTCTAACAATGGCTCCTCTACAGCGTCTAACACCCGACCCCACACAGCGAATCCTTCGTCGCGCGGTCCGACCGAGACAAAACGTGTCGCTACTCCATCTCCACTTTCTAAACCAATTTCTGCTGCCGACAGTGACGTCCCCAGTCCATCGAAAGCTACTGCATCAAGCTCTACACCAAGTGCAGCTGTTCAACAGTTGACCGCCTTGAATGATAAGGAGACAAACAAAGGCATGAAATCCCGGCTACGGCGAGCTTTCTCGTTTGGAAGCGCTGCAGAGCTCCGGAAGGCGTCTGCCGAGAACAACTTGTCGGCGGAGCGTGCAAGACTGCGAAAGGAGAGATACCAGGATGACATGGAGGCAGAGCATGATGCTATCGCCGCCAAGCAAGAAGCAGCCGGTATTGGTGCAGGAATCTACTCTGGACAGGGCGGGTTTTCTGGTTCCACCGATAACTTGTCGATCTCGTCGACCGCCTCTTCTGCCTCTATAATGCTCCGGAAGATGGGCAGCAACATGAAACGGGGAAGTCGCTCGATCAAGGGTCTATTCCGTCCCAAGTCGGTTATTGGAGTGCCAGCAGCGGACCACGCTGTCACGCAGCCAAGCGTTGGACAAGTCTCGATGGTGACAGTCGAAGCTGAGAGGGAGAAGGTCAATGTTAACGTCAATCCTCATGACCAAGCTGGTGGAGGCACTGGTTATCCGAAGTTGGAAAGAAACTCATTGGATGCTGCTCGTGCAGCGATTCCTGACGCTCCGGGTTCGTCTAGCGGAAACGGCGCTAGTACCGATGCCTGGTCTAGGAAGAGCATTCTTGGTGGTGAGAGGGAACGCGCAGAAGTGCTTTCTTCCATGAAGAAGAGCAAGGGCATCCTTAAGCGTAGGTCCTTTGCTTTCTTTTTTTTGAAGACACAACACTAATTGATTTTAGGGAAAGGAACTGGCTCACCAACTCAGTCACCCGTTGTTCGACCAGTGGACGTTGCTCTACCAACAGATACACCAAAGTCGAGTGCACCTAGTACACCGAACGACGACCCGGCTCGCTCAGTTCATGTACACATCAATGGCGAGGATTACTTCGCCGGCGGACCTCGTCTGCCCAACCCAAGCACAAGAAGCCTACCCAACACGCCACACGGCAACCGAAATATTTCCTTTAATACTCGTGTACAATTTCACGACGCGTGGTCTAGTTCAGAATACGACCGACGAGGAGACATCGCCACTTGCAATCGTCTGACTCCTATTCTCGCACAACAAATCAAGGAGGAGCTCAACACTTTCAAAATGGTACGTCATCCTCCTTTCCCGACAGAAGTCAAACATGCTAACGGCATCGCAGGAGATGGAAGTTCACGAACAATCCAAACCTCACACGCATTTCTTTTAACGATCACGCATTCCACCTTGAACTTCTGGCGTCTTGGCGAAAGAACTCTCTACCTCTCTCTTCACTTTGGGTTGAAGCAAGCAGCATTTACGAGTTCAACCTTACCTTTGTTCCATTTCTGGTTACGATGGGTTGCTTTCTCACTTTTAGGATCTGCGAGCGGAAAGGAAGTTTCTTTTCTATCTTCCATAGCGAGTGTAACAGCGTAACACAGTCGGGAACGGACATGTTTGCATCAGAAGCGGGCAGCGTAGCAACGCGGGAGGGGGTTGAAGCGGCGGGGAGGAAGAAGAAGAAGCGGGCCACATTGAAACGGATTCTCTATCTCCGGGTCATCACATCACTGTTGTCTGTGTATTCTGTTGGGCACATTCTGTCAGGAGGGTTTTTTCTTGCTCATTTTCTCTCTCTTTTTTCAAACTATTGTGTGCACACATGGTACTATTGGTCGGTCGGCCCTCTCCCTTTTACTCCTTTCTTCTTTTGCTGCGCTTAGAGAAAACTGCGAAAGGGCAGGGCCTGAAAGTATCAAAGTGTTCTGTACCCAGGGGGATGTTTTTTTTGCAAGAAAAAGCTCCCCCCAATCCTCTCTAATTAAATCAACCGAATCTTGGAAACAAGGAACATCACCCTTCTTTTTGAAAGCTAAAGCCGTTGTGGTGACTTCTTTTCTCGTCGTGGGTTTTTGATGGATCGTGATCGGCAAAGCGGTGACGGGGTTTTTGGCGGGGGTTTCTCTATCGTTTTTCTTACAATCCTGGTTCCTGGTAGATTTCCAATCCAATTGAGGGTCAGGGGTATACAAGCAGGCCTTTTTTCCAAGTTTTCGGTTCATTTTGTCAAAGCAGGGCAGGTCATCCGGCCCCCGTTCCTAACTTTTGGAACATCCGTACACCCTGGATCCTTGGGGTTCTGCCACGTCGCTGCGGCCCCGCCACACCGCCGTTGAATATACTCGTGTAGCCTGTTGTTTATCAGAGACCCCCCGGGTTATATGATCGCAACCGCGCTATTGATGACGTAGGCTAAATATGAATAATACGACAATGTTTTGGGGTCATGGATGAAACCTGCCTTATGCAGCAGGCGGGTGCCCGTGCTGGCGTTCATATGAATGTGGTGGTAGTGGACCGGACGCCGTGACTGGTCTGGATTTAGCGCCGGGGGTTGGACCCTGAGATGGGAGGGGGTGGGCGATCGTGATGGGGCCTGGTTTTTGAACTGGTGGGCTTTGGATGCGAGTCTTTTTATGGTAAGATGGTGAGGTTAATAGGTGGTGGGAAGGAGGGAGGACGGGTCGAGGGAGGCGTGACAAAGGGAGGTCTTAATCAGAGTCGTTCATCCAGCCCCGATGAACCTAAATATATCCCAAAAGGTGTCTTCAAGTATACATACCGTGGGGGGCATACTATTACCACCCGAACACGTAAGAAGCCAGAATGCTAAAGGGCTTCTTGAAGAATCCGATCATTATCATTTCAATCCACCCAATCTATCTCAGGCTACAATCTACAAAGCCGTTCCTAAGGGTAACAATCGGAGCATGCTGTGCCGAGTTTTCCTATCCTCCCCTTGCCTGTTCGAGGCAACACCGAGGTCATTTTCCACTCCCTGACCACGACGGATTTCACGTCCGATTCTTGACTCCGGACTTCGACGTCGATTCCAAGCTTAGTTTGCAAATCTCTGAGCCCTACTAACATCTTCTGAATTCAACACGGTTGGATGCTAAGACTTGCTGTTTTCAAGTACTAGGTAGGTAAATACTAAAGGCCCCTTTATGTGACATATTAACGTATAGTAGATGCCTGGAAATACTTTTATCTTGATCGCTGTTGTTCAAGCATCTGTAATAATTTTCTATGGGTATTAACCAAACTTCAATCCTCGCTTGAATACAATATCCTCTTCTCTCTACAGAAATTGAAGCAGGAAATCCATACCACGCGTGACGATCTCAGTCATGTCATGATTCCGGAAGTCCTACTCCTTCCAACGCTCTCACACACTCCTATAATAAATCTCTTTCCCAGTGCGCATTCCCATATCTCTTAACCACTTCCTAAGATCTACCGCATAACCGGCGGCCTAGCCTCCTTATTCCACCTCACCCGACTACACAACCACTCCACGGCCTCCTGCACGCCCGTCCCCGTGAGCGCACTACACGGCAGCACCCTACTATCCCTCACACTGCCGCCACTCTCCCCCTCAAACACCTTCCGCACCAGCCCCTCCTTAATCCTCACCACCTCCACACAGTCCTCGCGATCCTGCTTATTCGCCAGCACAAGCAACGGCACGCCCTCCGTATCCTCATTCTGCAGCACGCTCTCCAGCACCTTGCGGCACTCCTCCAGCCGGCCCTTGTCGCCGTCCTCGGCCGCCCCCGCCGCCGCGCCCAGCGACGCTATGTCCGCGTCGCCGACATCCGTGCTGTCGATGACGAAGACGATGGCGTGGCACGAGGCGTAGTAGCTCTGCCACAGCCCGCGCAGCGCGTGCTGCCCGCCGACGTCCCACACCTTGAGGTACAGCGGCGGCTCCGTGAGCGAGATGGTCGACACGTTCTGGCCGACGGTGGGGACGGTCTTGAGGTTGGGCCCCGTGGAGGAGGCGGTCGAGGTGTAGGCGGCTTTGATCTGCTCGAGGAGGGTGGTTTTGCCGGCGTTGTCGAGGCCGAGCAGGAGGATGGAGTATTCTGTGGGGGATTGTGAGATTGGAGGTTTGATGCGGTGAGGAGGAGAGGGAGGGGCTAGGAGGGGATTGCGGTGAGTGGGAGCTTGGCGATACCTTCTTTGCTGGTGGCATAGAGATATAGGCCCTTGACGAGGTGATACATGCTTCGATGGCTTGGATGGGCTGGGACTAGCCCACGATGCAGCGTTTTGGTGTTGAGCTGGCCTGAGACCCACCCGCCGATTGTGGAGCAGGCTAGTGGCTCTTGGCAAGGCGGGACCAAAACAAGGATGTGGAGCTGATGCCCGCACACCGCGGGGTGCTTCCCGTACGTCACGTCACAACAACAACACCCCCCATTCCAGGAAAAACAACGCGACCTTTCCTTTGAAGACACTCGGCATGCGACAGCTTTCACGAGCAGTGTATCATCTTCGAACTCGCTGAGCAACCGCAGACGGCGTCAACAGCCATATCAGATTATATCTACGATCCACAAGATCGACAGCGCCCACCATGGCGCCAGTGGAGCCCGATTCTCGCACGTCCAACACCCTCCCCATCGTCATATTCAGCACGCAAGTAGCCCTCGTCGCGTCGCTGAGTCTGGTCGTTCTCCGCACTATTTGTCGCGCCGCACGCACACTTCCACCGCCGTCTTCAACACGTGCACAGCAGACTAGTCGCAAGCGCGAAGTCGCAGTTTTCGCGACGCTTGCGGGTCTTTCTTTGGCAACTATCACTTATTGTACCGTAACGTGGCGCATTGCAAGCTATCTCTCCTGGGTAGAAGAGGGCAAGTTTGAGATTCCTGGCAGCATTTGGAGCGGCTGGTATGGCACGGGAGAGGGCAGCGACGCGGCGAGGTGGTGGCTTGGGAGCTGGCTGCAGGACGTTGGGTACCTGAAAGAGGCGGAAGATTTGGGATTGACAGTGCCGTCGGGGGTATTCTGGTTGGACCAGGAGTTTCTCGGCCTTGCTGTAGCGGGCTTGTTCATGGGTGTTGAAGGTGAGTGGAATGAGTAGTCGAAGGAAAAGGGGAGACCGCTAACTTTTATGTGGCATGTAGGCCACAGACGCAACTTACCGTTATCAACAACCGTCTCTTTTGTTCTTTTGAGCCAAGTAGGCGGCCTCAGCTACGCGTTGAATCTGTTCTTCCTGGCTATGATCTATACGCCGATCCCGCTTCATCGAGCCCTCCCGCCGCGTCGAGATCCACTTTGGACGCCGAAACCGTTGGTCTACAGAGTCCCACTGCTACTGTCATTCGTTTCCTTGGCCTTTATGTATAGGAATACGAACAGCGACCTTGCTAAGATTGCCTTGCGTATCGGGTATTTTGCTCTGCCAATATATTTGGCGACGGCTATCGAGGTAAGTCGATTTCTTTCCAAGAATTCTGGAAGTGCAAGGGGATGCGTATTACTAAAGAGATTTGGTTCTCCAAAGGCGATTCATATATTCCTGGATATCCTACGAGCTTTTTTTTTGAGCGGCATCATCAGTATCTTATGAAAGCATTTTCTAACTTGCCTAGTTTATTCCTAGCAGCTGGGGTATCCAACACAACACCACCACATCTGCCCACCGTTCGCTGCTCAGCTTTTTCCGGTTCGCCTCTTTTGTGTCGCCTGTATTCTACATATTCGACACTTTTCGATCTTTCCAAGCTGAAACGCCCAGTAAGCACTATACCGGCTACAACTACGTTTGGAACATGCACACTGGGGGTATTCGATCGCCTTATGATCGTGCTACCGGTGCCATTTCGGGCTTCTTGGAGTCGCTAAGCAAGCATCCGGGTTTGAGTGCAACGAGCAGCGACGTGGCACTCGCTGCACTGAGTTTGTGCATTTGGGCTTTTGTAAGGGGGCTTGACGTGAGCGAGATGCTGAACTCCGGTTTCTTGGCCTATTTCTTCGGCAATGACAAGCATGCGAAGCATGTTGCGTTTGGAACCGAGCTGGAATCCAAACCCGTCGAAGAACCCTCTCCCAGCGAGACTCCAGGGAAGAGGACAAGAGGCAGGCCGAAGAAGAGCGAGACTGTTTCCAAGAAGAACGGAATTGTATCGGGGTCATTGAGAAGAAGCACTAGACGAAAGACTATTTCGGAGCAGGGGTCTGACTCCGAGGATTCGTTCAAACCAAGCACGCACACGAAAGATGAAATCGCGGCGACAGAACACGATACAGCTGAGGGAGATGACCTAGTAGCTGATGGCGAGGCTGCGGCTCTGGGCCTGGGCCTCTACATTGTAGGAGGGCTTGGGACTATAGCGGCAGCTGTTCTGGGTGCTGAGATTGCAGGCAATTAACGGAGGAATGCTTGATAACACGGTGTTACTAATGAGCTTATATCCACGGATAGCTGTTGAACATCGGACGTGGGTGCGTGGAGGTCCTGCAAGTGGGATGGGTGTGTGGCGAAAGGATGATGATCATCAAGAGACGTTAGGTTTTACAATTGGCCTTGGCGAATGCTTTTATCAGGATATGCATTCGCGAGAAGGAACGGGGCGTGGAGGCGTCTATCGGTGTTCTGGATTCCTGCTCTGCGGCGTGGGGAGGAGGCTCTGCCATGTTGCTCTTTTACCAGATCCGGCGTTCTTGAACATAGGTACCTGGTAAGGTTATGGATGTGGAGGTGTTTCCGATTGTTCTGGATCCTGGGGTTGTGATAGTTGTAAGATACCCTGTAGGGTGTGGCGTTTTTCGAGTGGGATGAATGGGAGCTTTTAGGGAGAGAATACTTGCGTGACAGGCCTGGGCCGTATCGACTCTAATCAAGCTGAATCTAAGATGTTGCAAACAATGGTGTAATGCGGCAGGGGATGTGGATTGGTAAACAGTCGGGCTTTTGGGCTCCGTTGTCCATAAAGTGGCAGTCCAACACCATCTAAGGTGGCCTAGAGAGCTGCCAGCCTGCTCGAACCTGTCGCATTATAGATTTTGATAAATCACCAGAGAACTTGAAGCGGCGCTAGGCGAGTGTGCACGAGCCTAGAATGAGTGCTTTTAAATTGTATCAAAATCTAGAGTTATTTCACAGATTCGCAGACTGCCACTTTTTGTTCAAGGCAGCCTGGCAGGGCGCTCGTCGCTCTCGATCGGCCGGACTACGTGTGGCGTCCGGGTGTGGCGTTTGATGGCGTTGAAGTATTTTTTTTCCCTCACGCATTTACGAGGATGATTTTTTCACTTAACCTCGGAGTCCGGACCGGGGATGAGGAGAAAAGCAACCGACCGTCATGACGTGACCCCCCTTGGTTTCTTCGCGAGGTTGCTTATCAACAGGTGATGCGGCGGCCAGCCTGTGTGCATGAGGAGCAGGCGATGAGAGGTGAGAGGAAGTGATCGGTGAGAATTTGAGAATGCTGTCATCGGGTACTTGTCAGTGGTACAGGGCTGCAGCAGGCATATGCCGGCCCTGGGTCCTTGGTATAGTGTTGCTGGCACGGTGATAACACTCCCTTTGTGATATACGTTGGATACGACGGGTAGGACCTGTCACAGGCGTCCAGGACCGTCGTGGAGTCGATTGAGGCGTGCAAGGGGTCGTCCTGATTGCGCAAGAGTGAAATGCAGAGTGCCGAAGAGCATCCCGCAGAGCAATTGCTGCCCACCACGGCAGCCGTTCTCCATGTGGGCGCGTGTGTGTGGCTCCGGACTGCAGCCCGCTGATATCATGATGGGCGATTTTGGCTGGGGCCTGGCATGGAAACTGGCTGCAGCAGCATGCAGCGTCCCGCGTCTGGACGGCGGAAGCTGGACCCGCGCAGCTGGAACGATGATAGTTTGGCGCGTGCTCTCCATGCGGTGAAGGGGAACGACATGCGCCTCTGTGAGGTTGGGCGTTGAGGCTGGCGGGGAGAGAAAAAGAACCGGTGCGTGAGGGACAGCCCTCGCACAAGAAGAAGCCCTTGCCTGCAGTCGAGTCATGGCCCTGCGGTGCCACGAGAGACACCACCGCAGGGCTGGCGAGCGCCGGATCGAGGCTGCACGCGGGCGTCGTCTTTGATGTCCCTTTAGGCGATTTGAGCGATGATGGGCGTCTGCGCGGCTATGCCTCTTAGCGATGCCGGCCTCCATCACAATCCAGCATCGCCAGCATCGCTCCCGCGGACCTGGGCATGAACAACGCCTCCAGACGCAACCCTGCCGCCAGCTGCCCCGAGAGCCCTCTGCTCGTGTGCTCAGGCTTTGTCCCGCTGCGACTCGCCTGTCTCGTTGCTGCCCTGCGGCCGTGCCCCCGCCGCAACCAGACCTCGTTGCCGACCTCCTCAACACCTCTCCTGGGCTTCTTTCCGTGAGCTCCCGACCTCCAGGGCACGGTAAGCTGCCAGACCAGCAGCGACACGGCTTGTGCCTGCTCTAGGCCAGCTTGTCGCAAGGGGCTGCGTTGAAGCGCGCTTGGGCAGCCATCCGGGTACATAACTGCCCACCCGGCGCTATAAAAATGGAGGTGAGACTCGACCTTTTCTTTTCCCACCGTCCACCACCACGCTGCTCAGCCCTACTGCCGCTGGGATCGCCCGCCAATGCCCTGACGATCTGAGTGCCACGCCGTGGGAGACGAATGCTGCATGCCCAAGGGCCCGGGATCGCCGTTGGCCTACGCCCGTGACGCCTCCAGTGCTATCTGGGCCACGCAGACGCCCTCCTCCAGGCCGTCTGCACGCTCTCCAGTGCCAGCTTGCTCGTTGCGTCCCGCGCCGTCGTGTCCACGCCGAGTGACATGCTACCCAATCGCGCCCCTGTCCGCCACCTAGGAAGCCCGGCCTGGCGGAGCGTATCACTCTTGTAAAACCTCACTTCTCACTGCGCGTCCTCTGCTGCCTTTCTTGCCGCGCGAATCCTCTGGTCCCCTTCCAACTCCTCCAGTCTCTGCGCCGTGGTCGAGGTGTGCCGTCGTGCGAGTTGCCTGTTTCGTCACCCCGGTCATAGTCGGCCATCGGTGCCTGTTTGCGCCCTCAGTCCTTTATCATCCTCTCTGTCGTCGTCGAGATGAGGCGCTCGGCGCTGTCCTGACACCTTCACTTTCCGTTTTCCCGCTCCTATCTCCCGAGTTGCTTTCCAATCACGTCTGACTTTGTGTCACCTCACATCATCATGGCCGGGCAATCGCATTCACCGATACGCTCTCCTCCCGATGGCGACCCAGAGGCGGCGGATGACCAGCCAGCGGATTCTTCTATGTTGAAACCAGCAGCGCAATTGACTCTGATGCGCTATCTTCAGGACCTCCCAGACGCCGATATACCACCGAGCCCCGTGCAGCCGCGCTACCACACCGGACGCTTCCCGAACAACAAAGCCGGTGATGGGAAGCCACGACTGCTCTTAATGGGGCAGAGGAGGTGAGAATCCACCCACCGCGTGGCTCCCACGCCGAGACCCGACATTCATTGTGGATGTGGCTGACTACGGAACGTGGCAAGGAGCGGGAAGTCGTCTATATCGAGCGTAGTCTTCCACAAGTTGCCGCCAAGCGAGACGCTGTACCTCGAAACCACGACCCGGATCAAAAAAGAGTCGATGCAGTGAGTGCCACCTTTCACCGCCTGACCGCCTGCGACTCTTCACCGCCTCCGCGCTAAGTCGGATGCTGACTCGAGAGCCACAGCTCCTTCATGGACTTTCAGGTCTGGGATTTCCCTGGTCATCTTGACTATTTCGACCCTGCCTTTGACGTGGACAACATCTTCGACGAAATTGGAGCCTTAATCTGGGTGATTGACGCGCAAGACGAATACCTAGACGCGATTGTGCGCTTGAATGCGACGATACTGAATCTACAACAAACCTACCCGAACATCAATGTAGAGGTCTTCGTACACAAAGTCGATGGCCTTTCGGACGATTTCAGGAATGAGGTTATACAAGACATCACCCAGCGGGTGATGGACGAACTCTCGGATAACGGCTACGAGAATGCGCCAGTATCATTCTACTCGACGAGCATCTACGATCATTCCATCTTCGACGCCTTCTCGAAGGTGATCCAGAAGTTGATCCCACAGCTGCCTACCCTTGAAGCATTGCTCGATAGTTTGTGCAGAAATTGCCATATTGAGAAAGCCTACCTCTTCGACGTGCTTAGCAAGATATATATTGCGACAGACACGAGTCCGACAGATATCGGAAGCTATGAGATATGCTCGGATTACATCGACGTGGTGGTTGACGTGAGCGAGATATATGGATGGGATAGGGGCGATGAGGAGGCACAAGCACGGAATAACGAAAACGCCATCAATGATGCCGAAAGTCTTATCACTCTGGAGAAGAAGAGCAACAATTATCTCTATCTGCGGGAAATTAACAAGTAAGTGGCAAGGCAACTACCGTCTCCGCGTGAGCGCACAGCTGACGTTTTGCAGGTATCTAGCTTTGATCTGCTTAATGGGCGATGACAGCCCTGCGGACAAGAAACCTCTGATCGATTACAATGTCGGCGTTTTCCAGGAAGCGTTGGCGCAGGTCTTTCCCCGAGGAGAGAAATGAATTTTTATAGGTTATCTCGCGACCTTATACTGGTCACTTCTTCTTCATGGGGATGGAACTCTATTGTGAGCATTTTCTGCGGGATGGGAAAGATTTGAAGGTTCATTTTCGGGGCATAGACTTTTCATGACTCTGAACGGCTCGGCATGGACATGTACCATAGATCAGACAATGCAGCCAGGGTGCTTCTGGAAGGCGATATTTGATAATATGACCTAAGGAAACGTGGCCCAACAGCAGTGACGTCTCTTGCCCCCACGCTCTAGAAACCCCCAACTCAGGGATCAAGCAAGCTCCCTTGAACAAAAGAAGCGGCAGTCCACGAATCCGGGATTCGATTGTAAAGCGTCCTTTAGTTTAGATATGCACTCATTCTGCGCTTATGTACATTTGCCTAACACTGCTTGAGGTTCTCTGATACGTTATTGGGAGTAAAACGGCTGTTTTGACCAGCCCGATAGCTCGCGGGGCCACCTCAGACGGAGTTGAGATAGAAGCTTGCCGAGGACCACGCACCACGCCTCCAGCTGTTGCCCCTGACCCAGAAAGATCGCTAGCCACATCCCGACGCCGAACAAGCTCATCCGCCGTCCGGGAAATCCCGCCGCCAACCGGGGGGCGGAATCGTGGCTGACGAGGTGTTTTCTTGATGACCCGGGGTGCTGGAACCTTGGAAACAACCTCATACCATTTCTACATTTATCCGCCGCTACGGCCATCTTGAAATTGTCCGCCTTCGTCTAACCCGGCCTGCGGACCGACGAAGACGCATTCCAGCGTGTCTGGGCACAGAGGACACGGTTTCTTGGCGGAAAGCTGGGGTAGTGTTGATGAGATCTAATTGACGACCGCGGAAGCGTCTATGCATTGAGGCCTGACATCTCCTCCGGCACTGCTTCGACGTTAAGGATCTTCTGGTGTGGTCAACATTGTACATATACCACGTCACCGGGCTTTTCATCGAAGATTGGTGGAATACGGGAAAGACTCGAGACCGATCTCACCACCGAGTGGGATGCTGACGCGCGCTTCCTTGCCGCCACCTGCATACGATCCCCACATCTCTTCCCTCACCTTCGGATTTACAATCAGAGAAAATGGCGACCCAAAGACGTCCACCTGTGTCGGCGACCGATCCTTCCGTGCCCAATGCCGTAACTCAAAGCAATAACAAGTCTACCGCCAATAAGAGCTCGGGTGATATTGGTGGTCTCGGTGTACTTGATGTGGTGCGGGTGCTAGGAGGGTTGCTATTGCTGAGTAGCTGCTTGAGCTGGCTGTCAACGGACAAAAGCAGTCTGACTTGGGGATGGAATCCGTGGTTCTTGAGGGTTGGGGAGTGGAAGACTTTGACGGTAGGTGATCCATGTGAAATCCTACATATTCAGCAATCATCAGAGCCACGTTACGTACACGCATGCCGTCTTCATATTTCTATTCCGTTTTTCCACAAATTCAGTCCATAACGCACTAGCTAATAGCTTCATCACAGCAAGGTCCAGTCCGCCTAACAGACAAGCAACTCGAAGCCTACGACGGCACAGACCCCAATAAACCCGTCTATATCGCTCTCAATGGCACTATCTACGACGTCTCAGCAGGTCGAAAGACGTAAGTCACCAATACGTCTACCATCAAATTCACACACGTTCCGATTAATTACTCGCACTAACACCATACAGCTACGGTCCAGGCGGCTCCTACCACTTTTTCGCCGGCCGCGACGCCGCGCGCGCCTTCATCACCGGCTGCTTTCAAGAAGACCTAACCCCCGATCTCCGCGGTGTCGAGGAAATGTTCGTGCCGCGTGACGCTCCCGAGTCAGCTGCATCTGGTTCCGACGCCACTGTCTCTGAGGTCCCGTACCCAACCTACGACCCCACAGCACCTGAGGGTGAGCACGTGCCAGACTCACAGCCCAAAGCCGTCAAGGTAGAGAAAAGTCCGAAACGTGAGTTGAGCAAGGCTCAATTGAAGATTCGGCGCGAGCAGGAGTATAGGCAGGCGAGGAAGAACGTGGCTAAGACGCTGGAGGGGTGGCACGTGCTGTTTCGAGGGGACAAGGACAAGAAGTATTTCAAGGTTGGGGAGGTGGTGAGGCCGAGTGGGTGGTTGGATAAATTGCCCAAGAGGGGGTTGTGCGAGGCGGCGAAGAAGGCGAGGCCGATTAGGAAAGAAGAGTAGGGGTTGAGTTATGAAGGCTTTGAGTATTCTCTCAAATTGGCGCTTTGGGACGGTTTCAATAAGGAAATTCGGGATAGGCGGGCGGCAAATACACCTCTCATCCTATTTCTTCTAGTAATTCATTCATGAACAAGTTATTAGAGGAGCATAGTTCGTGGTAGCGTGATGCTAATCCATTGCCATTGCTAATGCATTTCCCTATCAACCCAAATCACACCCTTGAGAGCAAGATGCACCATCACAGTGTCATATTCCAGCTGAATGTATTTGATCGTATACGCCGATAGTCGAGAGGAAGTCATAAGAAATCCGGCCCATGCACCGCCTGTCAACGAGCCCCATATCTCATCCACCGTTTTCCGTTGTCATGTTCGTTTACTCCGCGGGGCCAACGGCTCGTGCTGAGAACAAAGGTGTTAGCAGATGATTGATGTTTCGCGACCAACTGGCATTTCCAAGGGCTCCTCACTGTATATGCTCAACTTGCTGTGCCCAACGACCTTCTTGATCAATCCCTTCTCCTCGAGATCTACGAGCGCCCTTCGGGCCAGCGATCCGTTGATCTTGAGTCTGTCGACGAGGGTGGCTACGGTGATGAGGCGGTAGGACTGGACATCCTTCTGGAGCTTGTCTGAGATGGACTTATCGAGGACGACAGCGTGGTTGGCCTTGTCCTTGACTGTAATCGCATATCAGTTGGCGGGGTTGTTTCTTCAAGTAGTTGGGGGCGTGAGGAAGTTTCGAGACAGCGAGAGATGTCCAATCAATCTCTAACCGCCAGGAAATCGGCACGAAGAGCGGTTTCAAGGTAGGTAGTGATTGGGCTGGATGTTCGCCGCCTGCTAACAAAGGGTTTCACGTACCCTTTCCCTTCGACCACTTCTTCTTCTGCTTCTTGCCTCCGGTAGCTGAGGGTGCCTGTTGAGCGTCTGGTCAGTAATGCGCTTTCTGGACCTGCGATTTGGAGTCCTGGAACGTACCATTTTGATGGATGTGTGATTGAAGTTGGCGATGGACTGGCTTGCAAAATCGTGATGTGGAGTGGTTTCGCTTAACTCAAAAGACTTGGCATAGGTGATCACGTGTTGCTTGACGTTCTTCCTTGAAGAGATCTTTCGTCTTTCATCGCCAAAACACTTTTCAACAGGATCATTAAGTCAAGTTTTTGAAATATCCCTACGATCTGCCATACACACTGTACCGTTCTAACGTTTGGGATTGTTTAAAATCCAGCGAAGGACTTCTAATACTAACTGACCATGTGTAACCTAGAAAACCCGACTCTGACATTCCAAAGAATACAGTGCCTTGCTATAGATATCCGTACACTTTCCTGCAAGCATCTGGGGGCCTCTAACGTACTAATAGAAATCGGGGGCAGCGCCAAACTTCTTTCTTACTGGGAATGCTCAAAACAATATGAAGCTCCTCTTGTAGCGGTAAACGAGTGTACGGGTTCCTTTTACAAGGAAATGTACTTATACAAAGTCTAAAGAAGACCCCAAAATCCTCCATTTCTTGTATATCCATGAAGTCACGTCCAATCTCAGACCAGCTTCTTTTAGAACCATGTTTCTACTCTCTGGGGCCTTCTTCCAGCGCAACCTCCTTCACTTCGCTTTCTTCCATGGCAGCTACCGGACATCCTTCCTTCAGCCCTTCGGCTTCCACGGCAGCTTTTTGTAGGCGCCATAGTCCATGCTTTTCCTATCTCTGACAATGCTTTGATTCTCAAATCGTCCCCGTCGTTACGCTGCTGGTGCGGTTCTATCCAAGCCACCCGACCAGAGATCAAATTTTCCACCTGATCCTGAATCTCTTCCTGTTTGGCTATCTCGGCTTCCATCACTAGTATGTTCCGCTCAGTTTTAGGCGTATCCGTCATCGGGTCAGTCTCAGCGGTCCCGGAATCCCTCTTGACGTGTCTCCCCTTTCCTGTTACCGTATACTCTTTCGCAGCAGGTGGTTTGGTTGCCGACTGTGATTCTTTCTCTAACCGGACCGTTATCTCCTCTGTCCGACTTCTTTTCTCGTCATCAAGCTTGGAGTAAGCCGACTTCCAACGCACGCGAGGCGAATCTGGGTCCTTCTTATTCGACTTCTTAGCCTTAGAGGTCTGTACTTGTTCGTGTGGTTCAATGTCTTTGGCAGCCTTCCATAATGGCTCTGATTCTAGCGCCTGACCTGCCATCGCCTTGTTCTGAGCCTTCCCATCCGCAAACTTATCGACAAGATCTATCTCTGTCTGCGTTTGTTCATCTTCCAAATCATGAAGCAGCTCTTTCTCGAACTGCTGGCTCTCCTTTCGACGTGCCTCCTTCTTCTCTTTCTGTTTTTCACGGATGCGCGTGGCTCCGACTACCACAACGGTGGCGAGGAGTGAAGCTATGCTTTGTGTGGGAGATGTCGGTATATGTCGACACATTATGTGAGAGACACAAGGTCAAGTACGGAAGGTGATTATGATTCATTGATTGCATGGAGCGGACTTGGTGGCGTCAGAGCGCGATGAGACCCTTATAAGAACCTCTTTAAAACCGAGGCTATTTCTCTAGTGACTCGACGGATCCGGATACTCGGGACTCTGGGGTCTAAGTCTCTCATGCTCGATAACAGGATAATGAACGTAGTGCTGAATCGGCAACCGACGGGATGGTTCAGGGAACGACATAGGAGCTCTAGAACAGCCGAAAAATTATGTTTCGGATGTAATGTAGATAAGGGAATAAAACATGAGAGTTCAGACCTTCAAGCATCGGACATCGGTGATCGGATGATAGATTTATGACTAGGTAGCTCGATTGTAGAAGTCCGTGGAGCAAGCTGATCAGCGCTCGGTAATGCTTGTCCCTCCAACATGGACGGAATTTCAATCTAGAACACCGCAGGATCTTCCATACCATGGTACTAGGATGTAATAAACTTGCCCTGCATCTTCCTCTGAGTCTCAATTGGCAAGATCGCGGTAACTAGCTGCAGGCTAGTTTTATTCGTTGAGCGATCTAAAAATGGTCCGTGCAGATTATTTTGTAGCTTCGACCCCAAGCTCTCACACCTTGCGAAAATGTCACTCTACTACGAGGCCGCGTCGATCTTGACCAACGCAGACAGCACAGGAGGATCCTTGAAGTCGAGGATCTTCAACAAGAAAGATCTCAAAAGTAAGCCCGCTCAGGTATTTGCGCTGGTCACAGAGGCGTCAAAATGGTCCGGAGTTTTGAAGGATGTGGTTGAAAAGAGTGGGCTGCTGAAGGAGGAGAGAAAGGTACGCGAACAATCTGTGATTCGATTATTTGACTTTCTTATTTCTATGCGGAACAATCAATAGCTAATTGTTGTGACCAGCTTACTCCTGTCCTTGCCCTTCTCTTAACCCACGATCTTCTCCTCTCCAAAGGCGGAGTAGCAGCTCCTGCCAACCATGTCCTCAAGCTCGCGATCACTCGACACAAGGCTAGACTAAATGCGGAACTTGTAAAATTGAGGATAAAGCGCGGCTGCGGTAGCTTGGAACAATTGCGAGAACAAGTCAATTCGGGCGGAGATGAGACCACGACAGCCCCCAATGGCTCACCCGCGGAGTCAATCCAGCACCCACGATGGGTGCGGATAAACGCATTAAGGACCAGCCTCGACACCCAACTTTCAACTACCTTTGTGGGGTACAACAAAGCAGATGACCTTGCTCCCGTTCTCTCCGCGTCCGGCTCGTCGAAGCTCCTATATCTCGATCCTCACATACCGAATCTAATCGCGCTACCACCAAGAGCTGACTTCGCGAAATCACCAGCTTACCTTGCAGGTCAGATCATCTTCCAAGACAAGGCATCGTGTTTCCCGGCCTACCTCCTCGATGTCCAGCCCGAGGATGAAGACATCATAGATGCGTGCGCGGCGCCTGGCAATAAGACAACCCACCTGAGCGCCATCTTGTCCGAGCGAGTAGACTCTGGTATGCCTAAGGGACGGGCACCGAAAATCTTTGCCTATGAGAAAGACAAGAGACGCTCAATAATATTGGACAAGATGGTCAAAATAGCTGGAGCGGACAAGAACGTCCGCGTTAAGGTCGCCAAAGATTTTCTTGCTACGAAGCCAGATTCGTTAGAGATGGAACATGTCCGCGCCCTTCTCCTTGACCCAAGCTGCTCAGGCAGTGGGATCGTCGGGCGAGATGACAGTGTTAAGGTATATCTGCCAGATCCCAAATCCGCAGAAGCGACGAATACATTGAGCCGCAAGAGCAAGAAGCGCAAACGCCCGAAAGCGGGTGTCGAGACACCCGAAACGCCGGCAACACCCCTCGAAGTCGAAGAATCTGCTCCGGAGATTGCAGCGCAAGACGGTACCGAACTCAAAGACCGCCTCAAGGCGCTTTCGACTTTTCAATTACACCTTCTTACCCACGCCATGCGCTTTCCCAATGCCCGGAAAATCACTTACTCGACTTGCTCGATACATTTCGAAGAGAACGAGGGTGTCGTTTTCGGTGCCCTCACGTCACCAATTGCAAAGGAGCGTGGATGGAAGATCTTGCTTAGAGATGAACAGGTAGATGGAATGAGGAAGTGGGAGAAGAGAGGGATCTGGGAGGAAGATAAGTTTGATGGAGGCTTTTCAAAGGAGAAATGGAAAGCAGATGTGCTCGATGGTTGCATTCGGTGTGAAAAAGGAACTGAAGAAGGGACTATGGGCTTCTTTGCTGCGGCACTCGTGAGAGACTCAACATTTGAGGCTGCCGAACCCGCTTCGGAGGTGATTGAGGAGAATGGGGAGGAGGAAGAATGGTCAGGGTTCAGCGATGATGATACTGGCCCCTCTGAACTTGCTACTGTCCAAGCACCAGCTTCTACCAAGGTGAAGAAGCTAAAACATAAGAGGTAATACGCTTGACACAATTAAAGGCGCCGGTTGACAGCTATGGACTCAGTTGGTACCAACTTACTGAGCACTTATATGGAAGCACCCTGAGACAATTATCCGAATACTCGCTACCTCGAATGCTAAGTGCAAATTCTGAAGTTCCTGCTACTGGTCTTATATCAACCTATCCACGATCCGTTCTCCATCTTTTGTCGGTGGTCTTATTTCCAGCCCAAAATCCTTGTCCTTTGACATAGACCAAATCTGCACCTCCAGTCAAAGACCTGCAATAGAATCAGACGGCTGCCTATGGACGCCACTTTAACGTATTTCGAACTCAAGACCTTTTCGCTAAGACTTACTCTATAGAATACCACATGTATAGAGAACACCTGCACTGGAATAAGTCGCAGTCACGTGATGCAACACCACATCCACTTCAGGTCAACCCAACGCTCCAATCTCGCACAGCCATCACGATTAAGTCAACAGCTGATCATTCCCAAATACAGTAGCGGATCACAGAATAGGCAGCAAGAACGCAGGGATCTACAGTAGATTCCACCGCCATCCATCATGACGTAAATTTGATGTCAAAAACAGAGCAGCTCAACAAAGGTTTAAAAGACTCGCCTCACCACAGTCTCGAATTCAAAATCCCAACCCTCAATCTCCAAAGCTCCTTCTAGCCAGTTCTCAATTCGCCAAAACTCTAATCATAAAAAAAACTTCCTTTCCCTCCACAAACATCCACACGCAACGCACCAACCATGTCCGCCTCCAAAAATCCCGACTCCATCACCGCCGCAACCGGCGAATTCCACTCGCGCGTCCCCCCCGCGGAGCCCTTGCAGCAAGGAGGCGTGAGTGCCGCCACCACCGCTCCCCTCCTGCCCCACGAGATATTAACGCCCTTCACCAGCACAAGCCCGGCGTCCTCGCCTCTGACCGCGACGCTGTCCCGGAATTCCACGCGCGCACCCTCCCCGCCGGCGACGCCCCCGCAGACGCAACCTACCAGCCCGACCCGGAGCTAAACAACCAGCGCCTGTACCAGGACGCCAGCTCGACGCTCACCGGCGCCGATTCGGCGGACGTGCATCAGGGGTTGGGGCATCCCGGTAGCGGGATGACGAGCCAGGAGGCGCACCATGCGGGGACGAAGGGGGGGAGGAGTGGGTTGGCGGGGGTGGGGGCGAGTGTGGGGAATAAGGGGGAGGTGGTTAGTGGGAGGGACCCGGAGTTTGCGGAGCAGAGGGCGTTGGATGAGGATGTGCCGAGTGGGCAGAGGGGGAATGTGGGAGGGCCCGCGGCAGAGGAGAGGTTCCCGGAGGGCTCGGACACGGTGGCTGCTGAGGCGCCGAGGGGGAGGTAGGGGGGATGAGAGGGCCACCGAAGAGTAGGGATATAGGGGTGTGAGTATGCTAGAACTCACGATGAATTATGATGATAGCTACCTGATTTGATCATGTGTGTTATAGGAATTGCTCACAACACAGTGAAGCTTCATGATTTGGCAGGAAAGCGGAAGCAGACTTATGGTGAAGCACTAGACATGAGTTGTTGTTATAATATGCTGTAAATAGACAGCGTCCCTGCGGCTTGCCTTTGCGCCTTGTGAGTTGTCCCTCCGCGCGCTGGTCGCTATTGTATCTTCTGGTACAAAAGCATAATCGCTGTACTGTTGTTTTACTTTTCTAGCACCAACACCCTCTTCATCAAAGCTCGAATACTATACTTTACCCGGAAAATCAGCTAGATATTATTATCCTCAGCACCTTTCAACTCCCGGCATCTGAATCACAGCTACTCCCTCACGCCTCTTCCGCTCCAAGGGCTACTTTCCCACAGTTCGAATCCCGGAAAATGGTCGCTCATGATCTTCCTGCATCGGAGGTGCTGGAAAACCAAGTCGGCTGGGTGTGCTGCGCCTGTGGCGCTCACTTGTTCCTCCAGAGAGGCATGAGTGCATGCCCTAGCTGTGGCCATAGGTGGTGCTTGTCATGCCAAGCTTGGCAGCGGTAAGCAAGTCGTTCAGTGCAAATGATACATCGACGGGCCCCCAAAACCGGATGCCTTTAAGCTCTGTCGATTTGACGCTGGGGCTGAAGTAGAGAGATTAGTAATGTGTAGGTAGCAGTATAAATTCTCAGACTGTAGATGCTTTGCCTGCAATGTGTCCTCTTGATTGGTATACGCTGCATACTCAATCCTATTGCGGCCCAGGAGGGTAGTAGCCTATGATTGAAACTTTCGAACCGAGGAAGCTAAAGGATAGGATGGCCATGTATGGATTGCTGACCAGCGTCCCATGTCTGTAGCCGAGATGTGTCCTCGTGCGCGGTGTAGCACCGCCTCGAAAGGGTGGTATCGGAGAGTTGGCGTGGTGGTGGCGGCGCTGCTAAGATGTACCTGAGGCGGAGCAAGTCTGATACGGAATCCTTCGTTTATCCCACAGAATAGTAGACGGTAGAGAAGAATGTAGAAATGAAGCTTTGGACAGAGGAGTTCTGCGAGTATGTTTGGTACGAGGATAGAAGCTTGAGAACGCCTGACCGGATTCTCGATGTTGTATGAATGATGTGCAATGTGAATGCGAGGTTGTGAACGTAGTGGTTTCGCGATGTTTCACACCAGCTCGACCCTCTAGCCTGAGAGCGGTTAGGTAGTTTGAAGGCAGAAGCTTATCGAGGTAGTGCTGCAGTGATGTAGCTAGTCTGGACCGCTCGACTCATGGCATCCTGCATCCTGCATGCGGTCAGTGCTGGCTGTAGTGGATGCTGCGGTGTTCTGCTGAGCATCATGCTCTTCTGTTGATTGCAAGACTGGTCCCGCAAGTCTAGAGGCCTGATTACCCGTTACTGATAGAGATATGAAGCGTACGCGGCGCTGATGCGTTGGCGAACTCTACAATATGAACGAGGTAGGAGATCGACTACGTGGTGTGCGAGGCATACTTGCTAGCGTACTAGCATTCTCTAGCAAGCTACGAAGAAGGAGCCCAGACCGACAGTTACTCCGAGAAGCCTTAGCTTGAAGGAAGGATTTAGATATACGACTTCTTTTACGCCAAAACTGCTATGGTATGTATTGAAATGCGAGATGGATGTAAATGCCTAGTGGCTTGCGAAATGACTCGTAGTCTTAGGGACGCCCGCAAGCAGTGAGATGGACTCGGCAGTGTGATGGGATATGGGACAGCGATTTGAGGTCGGCGGGACGTCATGAGATAGTATCCATGGAACTGGCTCATCTGTACCGGAGATTATGAAATGCTGTACACACGTGGTGCCCCCTGAATTGGCTTCGGAAGCCGATGCTCTGGTTAACGTAGTTGGAGAAATGCTGTGTTCAACACCACAGGACATGGGCGAAGCAGCTCTGAGGAGGGGCAGGCTTGGCTGTGGGGCTTGGAGTTGCTGTTCACGGTGGGCGAGACGGCGCTGTTAGGGCAGAACCAGCCACACCAGCTGCAAGAGGCGGCGGGTATCGTGCTATTTTTGGCCCATCTCAACTGCCACCCCGCATACCTTCAGCAGAGATGGCCAGGAACAGCACTTGCACGTCGCAATGAAGGCCACGAACAGTGACAAGACAGAGACCAGAGAGAGCCCCAAAGTCGCCCCTCAGCAGCGTAATCTCACGGTCCACAGTGCACCTCGGCCAGGCATTCAGGCGGCCATTAGACCCCGAAGGCGCTCAGCCCCGGCAGCTCTGTCGCCAGCCTCGTACTCAAGCGCGGTGCCTGCAAATCCTCCCGGCTAGCCTCGTCTGCCTGCGCAAATGCGCTCTATCAATGAAACCAACACCTTCCCCGCCCAAGCCGGAACCCTTCTTCCTCCAAATATCCAGCATCCCCAAAAGCACCACTCGTTTGTCGCCGAATCGCTGCGAAAAGGGCCCTGTCGCACTGCATCAGCGCTGCACCGCACCCTGGGAGAGACACCGCAACAGACCCGCCCTCTCGGAACAGTCGTTAGGCTGACTTTGCATCTTGAGCTGAGCCTCACCGTGTCGCCGCCTATGAACCTCCTCCATCAACTCTACCGACTTCGCTCGTTACCGCTATAACCCGCTCTTGCTGCATGCACGCTCTGTGACCTCTCGGCGGGCGCGACTGATCCCAAGATCCCCCACTGCGCCAACGACTCCCCCGCAACGGTACCAATGCGCGCGAACAACCAGAACTACCGCAACTTGGACGACTTGACTCCGCCTGACCGGGAACTGGTGCCTGTGAGTGTGCCTCTGCTGGCTGCTAGAATCGCAATGCTGACCCACGCAGTGGTATTGGCGCCTTATAGCTTTCGCTGCGTCATGGATGATACTCGGAGGGTACGTACACGTCCAAAGCACTCCCGAAAGTCCCTTCGCGCCTTGCTGACATTTCCCAGATACCTCATACTTCCTGCCCTCTACGATAAAAACCCCGAGCTGCGCTTCAGCAAGACCGTCATCAGTGTTCTCGTCGTCGTTCTCCTCACCGCAGGCTACTCCTTCACCGCACTACTATGCTTCGCCTGCCGCAATGAGATGTTCCAGGCCGAGGCAATATTCCTGTAAGCGCAGTCCTGGAAGTATTGCCAGTTCTGTGCTAATCTCCACCCCAGACCCTCCCTCGCATCCTCAGCCCTCGGCCTCCTCACCATCCTATACAACTTCGTCTCCAGCACGCGCTACACATGGAACACCGCCGCCATCATAGCCACGGTGCTATCCAGCATTTCCGCCGTCATCTACGGCCTCCTCCTGATCTGGACCCACCGGCGCATATTAAAAATACGAGAGTCCAGCTCCTCCCGCTCGCAAAACATGTGGTCGGACCCCTCCTTCTACTCCAACTTCGTCCAGAACATGTACCCGTCGGCACGGGCGACGCCCGCCGACCGCCCGCCGCTCTCCGAAGACGACCTCGTCAACCAGCAAATGGCCATGCTGCTCATGAAATCCGACTCGGGCCCGTCGCCCGACGCGTCCCAGTCCACCTTCCGCATCGACCTGCCCGAGGACCGAGAAGAGCGCGAGCGCCTCGCCAACAGCTCCGAGCTGCTCGCCACGCCCACAATCTCCCACCACAGCAACCGCGGCCGCTCCCTCAGCGTCAACAACTCCCCGAACCCCGCCTACGACCGCAGCGCGTGGGAGCGCCGCATGGAGGACGGCCGCGGCCGCAGCGACATCCGGCCGACGCCCAGCCAAGTATCGGGCGGGCACTCGCGCGCCGTGAGTCGGGAAGAGCGCCGGCGGGAGATCGAGCTAGGGTCGTATCCGGGCCAGCGAAGCAACGGAAGCTGAAGCTGAAGCTGCATTGTAACGAAAGATCTCTATGTGACTTTGAGCTCGGCGCTGGCAGGATTCTTGGGGGAGCGGGGAGGTGTTGCTGCTTTTTGGGGATTTACTAATGATGGGCGAAAACCTGGGCATTTGGCGCGTTTTGGCGTACGAAATGATGGTTTATAGAATTCTTGGAAATATGAATGATATCTAGGATGGAGAATATTGGGGGGGGGGGGGGGGCGCTGGAAAAGACTGTCTGAGGTTGCTTGCATGTAGTTGCACTATTTAGTATATATCTTTGTGATATGGCATATTGCAGCTTCGATCCTCGTGAATCTACGCAGGGGTGACAGCAGCATGACGAACGCGTAAGCTAGGCACATTGACATGAGAAACGACGTATCAAAGACTGATATAACCGTATTGACCAAAAAAAAACTATATGTAGCTGAATCTGCCTATCTCAGACCCAACTCCAGCACGCACCCATTTTAGTGAACCGCCCCTAGCCAGTCCATTTGACGCTCCAAGAAATGCAAAGAGGAGAGGGACAGTATCAACTTTGGATTTCCAGAAAATGCTTGACAAGAAGGAAAAGATATGGAATGCTACCCATCATCGCACGCGCTGCTTATCGCCTCACAGCTCCACCGCCGCCGCCAACGGGGGGCCGCCCCCCACCACCGGCCTGCATCGTCTGCATCTGCATTTTGAAGCCGTTCTTCAGGGACTTCATGTCCGGGTACTGCGACCCCTGGAGCTCGAAGCCGCGCGGGACGACCTTGACGGGCCAGGCACCCAGCGCCGCTGCTTGGCCGGCTTTGTAGCAGAGGAAGAAGTAGCCGGGGTACTTTGGGTTGATGCAGAAGGCGTACATGGAGCGCTTCGGGTTGGCTTCCGTGTAGGTGCACAGCCATTGTTCTATATTAGACATATTAGCATTAATCATTCAATCAGGGTGAGTAAAGTGTAGGTAGGCTTACCAGTCGCCGCCTTGCTACCCTTCTGGTAGCGCTCGTCCTTCATCATCTCCGTGACCTTCTTCGCCATCGCTTCCACGTGCCCGACAATCAGCTCGTCTAAATCGCTGTATGTCATGCGGCCGACCCTGAGCGTCTTGCCTAGTGAGTACTCGTTCTCCTTGTCTAGCTCGAGGACATCGAGATGTTGGTAGACGTTGTCTGCGACTTTCCACGTGACAGCTAGATGATCAAGTCCCTTGGAGGAGGGTCGAATCACAAGCTCGCCCGGCTCTTTGCCACCCAGGTATTCTTCAGCCTGCGCGGTGTTGAAAGCAAAGAAAAGGGGATGGTTGACAACACGGTGGGCACGTCCGGTGACCGTCTCCTTTTCTTTCTCGGCAGCCTTCTTGTCGTCAGCCTCTTGCCGATCATCCCATTCGCCAGGTAGCCGGTCAATCTCCTTGCGGAAAGGTCGTCGGAGGAGGTCTTCCCGGAACGTGAGCTGCGCAGTGAGAGCCTTTCGGTTGATGAACAGAATCTTGGCCGGAACCGTTTGATGGATCTGGTAATAGTGGCGAGGTTCGATGCCTGCACCACCAACGCCTTCTGGGTACTCCGACTCTGAGACGCCACCATCAATTCCACAATCAAGCTTGACTTCGATATGGTCCGGGAAGGTTCGTTTGATGGACACAGGTACTATCATACCCTCAGTAAGAGACTCGCGTGTTTCGCCAGTGAGCATCGTAAAGACTTCGTCGGTTGACATGATCGAGAACGCGCGTCGAATCTCTTCGTATGCAACCATAAGCTCAGCACGAATGGTCTCTAGCGTTGCGCGCTTGCGAATTTCCAGATTCTTTTCAATCTGCTCAGCGTACGCTTCCAGAATGAGGTCCTGGACTCGTTCATTGGCGTCTTCTCGAATCATCTTGCGAATAACACCGCTGGGACCGTATTCGTCGCATTCGCCCTTGACGTCTTCTTCGTCCATCTCCATGGCGTCAGCAGCCATCTTCCGGCCCAGATCGTAATCTTCGGGGTGAACTCTGGTATTGTCTAGGTAGTCAGATTCGGCTTCTTGGCCGTCATAACGAATATACAGAAAGCTGGCGCAGTTCTGGAAAACTTTAGCACCCATGGCTGGGCGAAGTTCTCGGTCGGTCGCATAGCCACATAGTTCACCGCGAGAGTATACCTCGCCACCCTGAATGTTGTTAACTACAGTTCAAAAGTAGTAGGCTTTGTACTTACATTCATATTAATGACCTTGAGGACATCGTCGGCCTTCCGCGGACCCAGACCACAGATGTACGGCAGAAGGTTGGCGAGGTAGGGATCGCTCACAGCTTCGTTGATCTCTACGCCGACAAGGTTTACCATATCCACCATGGCCGAGTCCAAGCGAGCAAGGAGCTTGTCTTGCGGTAAGAGATTTTGGTTGGGAACAAACGGTATCGACACGATGTCTTTTTGAAGGGCCGCATACTCTTGTAGGGGGCTCTGGAGATACCTTGCAAGAGCAATGCAATACCTTGTGAGAGGCGGGTAGGTGGGGAATTCCTTAGCAGCACGTGCGCTGTTGTAGTAGAGCCTCGCTACCTCGTCGTTAATCATGAATACTTCGAGAAGATCAGACTTTTCTTCATCCTCGTCGTTCGGGTCAGTATATTCCGGGCCTCGCAAGTCGTACGTCTCGATGATAGCCTCCAGGTCCTTGACGAGGCGTTTCGTTTCCGTTGAGAATCCACTCACGCCAATAACGTCAGGCTTCCGACGCCGTACGATCTCACAAAAGTTGGCGACGTCTTTGCCATCCGCGATATATCTCTCGGGATTGCCCATTCGAAGATCTGCAAACTTGCCCTGCTCTTGAACTCGACCGTCGGGCTCTAGATATGCCCAGCAGATAGCGTCACCCCTGGCGGCGCGGCCGTTCGACAGCGTAAGGACTCTGGGGACAGTACCGAGATCCGTACCCTTTGGCTTGTAAGGCGCCTGATCTAGCTTTTCATAATACTTGTCGCGAGCAGTTTTGCACAGCTCATTTTCGCACTCTGATCTGAGAGTTTCTTTCACACCTCGAGACATGGCCTTCTCCAATTTCGCAAGGGCACTGTCCAAGACTTCACGTCTGAGGACGTTCCAAGCATCGGCAACCTCGCTGTAATTGTCAGACTGGATGTACTGATAGAGGTTCCTCTTGAACTTGTCGTAATCCATCATTCGGACCTTGACTTCTATCAGTCCTTCCTCTTCTGCTTTGAGCATTTTCAAGTACATCTCGGGCTGTCGACTAAGGGAGTGAAAGTCCTGACGACGGAGGTATTTGAATTCGTAGTAGGGATGGTCTTCTCCGATTTTACGAAGTCCCTTTTCTGTTCGAATGCAATCAACCATACCGCTTTCGTAGAAGCTTTGGCGCAAGTACCTCCGCATGCGAGGACTTGCGACTAACTCCTCAACGTACATGGCCTTGGCTGCGCGCAGGACCTGTGCACCGGTGTTGTATTCGGGCGGGTCGATGAGCGAATCGGCCATGTCATCAGGTGTGTCGGCAGGATCCTCAGTGTAGTGGTGTCGGCGCGAGGCCATTATATTCTGCGCAAAGTCATCCGCGCTAATACCGAAGGCGCGGACCATGGCATACGCCTTGCTTGCACGAACTTTTTCAAAGATGTTACGGGAAGCTTGCGCACGCTTTTGCGTTCCGTTGCGATCCGACTCCAACAGGCTGATGTCCTTCATCTCTGCAGAGTATTGAAAATGAAGATAGTCCTGTATTTCTTGGATCTCTTCAATTGTCTGAACTTTGCCGACCATCTCTTCGAAAACGGGGTCCGTGATGTTTGATATAGATTTGAGGTTGTCGTAGGATCGCTGCAGAGCATCTCGCTTCTCTGCCAGGGCTCGATATTTCATGTCTAGCTCGAAGATTTCCCAAAGATCATTCTGAACCAACAGCCTCTCCGGTCCAGCATCCGGTGGAGGCGCATCCGCGTCGTCTTCATCCGCGTCGTAATCGCCTCCGGCATGGATAAGGTAGTCTTTCCGATGCGTAAAGATGAAAGGAACTTCGTAGTCTTCGATAGTGAGAAACTCCAGGACCTTGTGTACAGCTCGCTCGAAGGGTTCGGCGAAATACCGAGCCAACCGCTTCTTGGGCAATATCAGGGTTGTGATCCAATGCGCTTCGTCTTTCAGTCGTGCCTTCATTTCATCTGGCGTGAGCTCGAGAGGTTTGAAAGGCTTTCGTGCCAGTTGCAGTCGTTCTGGGACGTCAATCCCCCGAATAACCATGTCATCGTCTGTGATCAACCTCTCCACCAACTGGGCAGGTTCGAAGACGTCTTTGAGCTCAAGCTCCCGACCTTCTCCTTGTTCTTTATCATCGGCTTCCATCTGAAGATCAAGCGCCCAGTCGTATTCGGTTCCATCCCCAAAGGCAGCCCGGAAGTCTTCCTCTGCGGCCTCATCCAGCCCGGCTGCTTGCAATCCGGAGAGTCCAGTAAGCCCAGACATCCCGGGTCTAGCCACCTCTCGGTCCTCCTCAAGTTCGCGTTGTATATCATCTTCGAATTCGTCTTCATCGATGAAGTCAGCAAACTCATCGACAAGACCTCCTCGCGGCTCTCGGTGTCGGTCAATAGCATCATCCCCCTGGCCTTCCTCGTCGTCGGAAAATATTTCGTCAATACCGCGGGCTTCCTGGGTCGGTCGGTCGTCCTTGTGTCCGCGCTTCAGACGCTTGTACTTTGACTGGAAAGGAATCAGCGGCCATGCCAGCGCAGTAATACACATCCTGTCCTCACCTTTGACGGTTGTCGGGCCTCGTATTGTGGGTTCGCTTCGCCGATGAGGTCCAAATCTTCATCATCCAAGATATCAACCTCCTCCCGTTCTCGTCGGCGCTTCTTCTTCAGGCGACGGCGCTCCGTCTGCTCGTCCTCGTCCTCGTCTTCATCAACAATGAAGCCTTCGCGGATCTACGTAAAGCATCAGAAGTTAGCAAGTGCGCCATTTCTAGGCAGGATCAGCCTGTCTGGAATGGAACTTACACGTCTGGCGGCCTCCTCATCATCGTCGTCTTCCTCTTCTTCGCTAGAATCATCTACGGCGCCGTTTGCGCCATTCGACTTCTTCCGCGCATCTCCAGCCTCCTCATCAAAATCCTCATCATCTTCGCTGCCTAGCTCGGCAATCTGGTCAAGAAATTCGGCCATGGCGGAGAACTAGTGATGGAGACAAAGAAAAGTTCAAGGAGGTTCTCGAGTCGAGGACGGCGACGGGTCGGTTGGGAAGAGCCGAGGGGGGAGGAGGATGAAGGGCGCACTGTGAACTGTATGGCGAGGGTGTAGCAGGCGGCGAGGCGAATGAATTCGAGGAGAGGATGGTCACGTCTAGTCGCGTCGACGGCAGTTCAAAGCGCTGGAGGTGTCGATGGATGCCAAGCGATTCGGGCCGATCAATCATCCGATACCAGTGAGTCAAAGCTGTCTACCGAGGAATCCGGAAGCAAAACCTGTGTAATCTTTATGTCTTCACCTTGCGATTCACCACCGCGCTTAGCTTCATGGCATGGGTTCTGGACTCGTTGTACAGTGCCTGCGTGGCTCTCAGCCGCGTCACGATGCTCGGTCGCTGCACAACGGCCTCTGGATCGCGGCCGGCGTGCGGGAGCTTTTTATAGCCCCAGCGCTATGCTAGAACAAGCGTGAAGCAGCAGGGCAGAGTCTCTGGAATACCCAGTCATGCGAAGTGAAACACAGGTCCTGACGGCTGCAGCGGCAGGTACAATACGAAGCACGCGTATTCAGGGCACAATACAATAGCACACAATAGCTTCAACCACAATACAAACTTCGTGCTCAATAGCTATTGTGCTGCTCGCGCCTCTTAGCACCCTTTACTCCTTTCCTCCCCGCCAACACCCCGCCAACTCTCTTGTCTCCCGACTCCGTGCATCACGCCTCTACACAGCTCTTCGAGCACAGCAGCACTCCACGACTATTGACCACCACCTCATCGGGCAGCAACCCTGCCACCGTGCTGCAGAGCCAACATCAAGGCTGTCCCGAAAGCGTTAAACTCAATATTCGCGGCGACCCTGTCTTTGAGATCGCCATCCTGATTGGCGAAGCACTTCATCCTATCCTGGGCGGCAAAGACGAAACACACGACGCCGCTGTCTGATCCCCTTCTCTTTGACCATCGCGCAGGTTTCACGTCGACGCTCGAACCATTTGAGAGACTGCGTGTACCTCCACTACCTCCTCTCGACCTTCTACTGCCATCATACCAGTGCGGCAATCTGCGACCGACAGAATGGCCGAATCATCATTCAAGACGAAGACAATGAAGAGGAAGAATGTCAAGGGACTTGCCCTCAGTGCGCCTCAGCCAAAGGCCCAGGCTCCCTCGGCTGGCGACTCACAGATTCCCGGTGCGCTTGGAAACGACGATGATCGAACGGATACACTAGAGATTGGAGTCGAGTTTCGGTTGGACCTGAAGGCAGAGGACCTCATAGTTCTGAAAGAGCTAGGGTCAGGAAACGGGGGAACGGTCAGCAAAGTCCAGCATGCTGCCACCAAGGTGATCATGGCAAAGAAGGTGAGTGCCACTTGGCTTGGGGTTGTCCAACAGAGGGACCGACGCTGACTGGGAATAGATCATCCACGTCGAAGCAAAGAACGAGGTGCGGAAGCGGATAGTAAGAGAGCTGAGAATCATGCACGACTGCAACTCGGATTACATCGTCGCCTTCTACGGCGCGTTCCAGAACGACACAGGCGACGTCATCATGTGTATGGAGTATATGGATGTTGGGTACGTTCCCCTGGCCTTGGACAACTTCCACAGAACTTGGTCTGACCGTGTCGCAGCTCCCTAGATTGGGTTTCCAAGACATTCGGGCCAGTGCGAGTCGACGTTTTAGGAAAGATTGCTGAAGCCGTACTCGGGGGCCTCTCCTACCTATACGCTGCACACCGCATCATGCACCGCGATCTGAAGCCGTCCAACATCCTCGTCAACTCTCGCGGTAGCATCAAGCTTTGCGATTTCGGTGTATCGAGCGAGTTGGAAGGCTCGATTGCAGAGACCTTTGTTGGGACTGGCACATACATGGCCCCTGAGCGGATACAAGGATCACGATACACGGTCAAGTCAGACGTCTGGAGTGTTGGATTGTCGTTGATGGAGCTAGCCATTGGCAAGTTTCCCTTTGGCAACAGCGACAATGACGACGAGCCTGGTGGTCCTCAAGGTATCTTGGACTTGCTGCAGCAGATTGTCCTCGAACCTGCACCTAAGCTCCCCAAGAGCGATGCATTCCCATCAATCTTGGAGGACATGATTGCGAAGTGTATGTTGAAGGAACCCGAACAGCGCCCAACGCCCAAGGAGCTCTATGTAAGTTAAGTCCTCCGTCGTGTCTTGCGACGATGCTAAACAGTACAGGAATCTGATCCGTTTCTGCTTGCCGCGAAACGTACGCCAGTGGACCTAGAGGCTTGGGCAGTCAGCATGATGACCCACCAGAATCGCAAATCCCACCTTCCTCCGGCATTGTCTCCTGCGACCAAGGAACTTCTACGGGATAGGTCGCCTCCGTCGTCTGCGAATTCTACCGCAAGGACACCCACCTCAAGCGAGTCGGTTCCATCCGACACCAACGGCGTAGGACCAGCTCCAACTCGGCCCTCGTACCCAGTCAGGACCTCCAGTGCAACTAGCCAGAACACAATGGCTCTTCCACTCCGCCCAGCACCACCTCCAGGAGGACCGCTACCGCAAGCTCCTCGCAGGTGGGACCGGGAGGTCTGAGAGTCATCATAAAATCAGGGAGGAAGTTTCGCTCGGCGAACAAGCAGCACTGTGAATACCAGAGGACGTTTCTAGCCAGACGAACCGATGCCACTTTTCACGAAATTACCCGACATTTTATCCGTGTTGGTGGCTTAGCTTGCTTTTGTTGTAAATGCAATCGGAGTTGAGTTCGAGAGCGACGGAGCACACAATTTTTTTTCCCTAGCGGTTCTCGAGAGGTTTCTTGGCCAGCACCCGGTTGGCGTGTGTTGCTTGATTTGCTTCCTTGCTGTCGAGGCCTGGCGCCTGGATGCATATATCATGACACACTTGCATTTCACATGGGACAGAGGGCGATAGCTGTAGTAGGATTGGCGAGCGATTGGAAGATTGGAATATTGCGGTATTTATTCGGGAGGATATAGACCTGGTCTAGGTCTCATGGCATCACAATTGATTGGAGTTTTCCCAGACCTTAGCACTCGTGTCGGAGGTCATATTGAAGAGTTCACGTGCTAGCTCATGCTCGATTTCGAAGAAAGATCGAACTATACTGTCCGCTAGCACAATCCTTTGGTAGTTTCGGCATAGCACACATCTGGGCAGTCCAGAATACCAGTGTTCACATCATTTTAACACTTTAATATAAAAACTAGCTCTCATGTACCCCGCAAACTTGGCCATAGAGCCCTCATGGTCCGGCACTTCCTTATGCAAGACTGCTCGAAGCCGAGCACTGCTCTCTCCCCAATTTCTCCGAACGCACCCCGCGCTCACAACCCGGACGCATCCAACATCGTCGCCGTCGATCCCATGCGCGAAAGGTTCTTCGTCATGCAAGAAACCATGATTCAAACAAGGCACGTGGACAACCCAGAGTTTATTCGATTTCCACGAAGACTCTCGCTGCCGGCACCCCCTGACTACTCTCATGCTTCTCTGGACCTCATGTCGTGAACACTGTCGGTCCCCGCTCGAACAAGGGCAACGATGCCAGCTGAGGAGAAGCGTGCCATGGAGATATGGTTCAAGGCCTGAGACGCTACCCACCTTCCAAGCGTGGATCCTCTCCGTCGTCTCGTGGCTCTGAGACAGCCGGTACGTGTCGTTGATCCCTTCTGCATCTCGCAGGCAGCCCTGCCCATGACGGCCCGAAATTTGATAGGACCCTTCAGCCATCTCAATGGCCTGCAAAAAACAGCGGGGTTGACCTTCGATAGATGAATGCCGTGGTGGTGCGTGTGATAGGTCGGCGCTAACGCCCTAAACTTATAAGAGAAATTGAGGGAGACGACGGTCGGACAGCAGGTGTATGAGAGGCAAATTGTTTCAAAGGGGTTCTGGTACAAACATCTGGCCTCTCGGCCAAGTTTTCATTCACGTCATCGTCTTCTTGTTTCTGCCTTTTTCCAACTCAAATATGAAACAAAAGATCCTTGCTGCAGCGGCAGTGGCCGTGGCTCTCGCGAGTGTTGCAGTAGATGCGGCCACTCCCGCGCAGTGGCGCTCCAAGGCTATTTACCAGGTTCTTACAGATCGGTAAGAAAAATATCCGATCAAGAACTCTACGTATCATCCTGACTGTTCCAGATTTGCTCGGACGGATGGTAGCACTACAGCTACGTGTAACACCCCGGATCGTGTGTATTGTGGTGGTAGCTATCAGGGCATCATCAACCATTTGGATTATATCCAGAACATGGGATTCAGTGCTGTTCGTACTACTATGATTAGTCGACTATCCGCTTCCTAACCAAACACAAAGATCTGGATCTCACCCATCACCTATAATATCCCTGATACGACTGCATATGGGGATGCTTTCCATGGATACTGGCAACAGAACTTGTACGAGCTGAATTCAAACTTTGGCTCAGGTTCCGATCTAAAGAACGTCGCTACGGCCTTACATGATCGCGGAATGGTATGTATAGCCTTTTTCGGATATAGATCTTCTTTTATAAGATTTCATACGTTTCTCTCCTTACGCTTCAGTCATCTAATGATTATTTATACAGTACTTAATGGTCGACATTGTCGTCAATCACAACGGCTGGAAAGGAAATGAGAGCTCCGTCAACTACTCTAGCTTCTACCCGTTCAATCAAGAGTCATACTATCACTCATACTGTGCTATCACCGATTACAACAACCAAGACAACGTCGAAGATTGCTGGCTGGGTGACTCGAACGTTGAGCTAGTGGATTTGAAGACTGAGAACTCTACTGTGGCGAGCATGTATAACACGTGGATTACCCAATTAGTTTCGAACTACAGTAGTAAGTCAAACTTATTCATATTCAGAGGAGGACGTATAGCTAAACGAGCGTGCAGTCGATGGGCTACGTGTTGATACTGCTAAGCACGTGGACAAGAACTTCTTCCCCGAATTCAGCTCCGCAGCTGGAGTATTCATCACTGGAGAAGTATACGACGGTGATCCTTCTTACACCTGCCCTTACCAAAACTACATGGACAGCATACTCAACTATCCAACGTCAGTGATCCACTATCTTACTTAGTCTGCCATTATCTAAGCTAACATCGAGTAGCTACTATCCCCTTCTCTCCGCCTTCCAATCCACCTCAGGCAGCATCAGCGATCTCGTCAATCAACTCAATACCATGAAGTCCACCTGCAAAGACACCACCCTGCTCGGCAGCTTCTCTGAAAATCACGACCTCCCCCGCTTCGCCTCATACACGCAAGATATCTCCCTTGCTCAAAACATCATCGCCTACACCATCCTCTCCGACGGAATCCCAATCATCTACGCCGGCCAAGAACAGCACTACGACGGCGGCAATGACCCTAACAATCGCGAAGCAACCTGGCTGAGCGGCTACAACACCGACTCCACACTGTACAAGCACGTTGCGAACCTCAACCAGATTCGGAACCAAGCTATCTACAAGGATAGCACGTACCTGACGTATCAGAACTGGGTTATCTACTCTGATACTACTACTATCGCGATGCGGAAGGGGTATGATGACAAGCAGATCATCACTGTTTTGAGCAACAAGGGCGCGAGTGGAGCCAGCTACACCCAAGCTATAGGCAACACGGGGTGGAGTGCTGGGACTAGTGTGGTGGAGGTGCTGTCGTGTACGACGACGAGTGTGGATAGTAGTGGGAACTTGCAGGTTCCGATGGCAAGTGGGTTGCCGAGGGTTTATTATCCCACGGCGGAGCTTTCGGGGAGTGGTATCTGTGGGCAATGAGTTCTGGGGTTGTGGGAGGTAAGATGGCGCGTGTGATGGGTGCGAGGAGTTTATAAGGATGCTTGGGTTTGGATAATTTGATATCTCACGTTGAAAGCAGAATTCGATTCCAATTTCTAAAAATGATGGGCAATATTGGACACGAGCACAGTACTGGGTCATAAGTGTGGCCATACGGAACACTCACTGCTTGGGCGCCAGCTCTTGCTCGCTCGACACCACTGTATGGAGTGCCTTAGCTAGCATGTCTTCGGTCAGTCAATTAGTATCTTGCCAAGAAAAAAAAGTGAATAACAGGATGACTGAGACTTCGCTTTTGGAAGGCTCGGAAAGACAGAACAGGCAAACCACTAGACACGTATATTCATCTTCTACTTGACCACCGCCTTCCCCTCCATCCTCCTCGAAGCAGCCCATCCGCCATGGCATCTACAGGTTACGGGTATCTAGGACTCCCCCAGATATCAGAAGTCACACTCAGCCACGCCGGCTTAAAATACACCTACTCCCCCGGCAACGGCTTCCGCCGCTTCGGCCACACCTTCGACAGCGAGGCCGTGACCCACTACCAGCGATACCACTCTGTCCTGGTCTACAAGAACGCAACGAGGCGGCCTCGCAACTGGTGGCGCGCTCAGTGCGCCTTCCGCGGCGTGGCAGAAGATGGTGATGACGAGACGCTTTGGAAGTTGAAGGGGGCGGCGCCGAATGTCATGGCTCCAGAACTCGTGCGGCTGCAGGCGGAGGCGAAAGTGATGTGGGATGCTGAGCGAGAGGCGGAGGCTAGACGGCGGAAGGAATGGGAGCAAAAGGAGAAGGATAGAAAGGTCAAGGAGAAGGATAGAAAGGTCGCGGAGAAGGTAGCGGTTTTGAAGGCGGATCTTGATAGCATAGGGGCTTCCCCGGAAGCGGTGGTTTATAAGAAGGGCTGGGGTGGCAAGGATGGCGGTATGTTGGAAGCTGCGGAGTCAATGGGACTGTTTCACAAGGTCATCGAGTGGATCAACTGGGAGGGGGACCGAGAATGGATTATCGTGGGGACGGGTGTCATTGCCATGGAGGACAAGTTGGAGGCTCTCGAGAAGGAAAAGCAAGATCGCCGCGATGCCGAAGAGAAGGCCAGGGACGAAGAAGAGCAGGCTGAAGAGATGGAGAGGAAAGAAGAGCACGAGAGAGACATGAAGAGACATGCTGCCACCGCCAAAGCGTCTGCAAAGAATGGCAAATGGGATGTTACTAGCACCTGGCGAATCTTCCAAGATGAAAACCAGGACAAGAGGGGTGGGAGCTCTCTCTTCCGACTGTCTCGCATCCCTGAGACTATGTCCCTCATCATATACCGCGCCGCCGACAAGGGAAGCACTCAGCTATATGGGGAATTCGATTTCGGCGACATAGCAGGATGGATGCGATTCGAAGCCCAGGACAAAGCTACGTATATAGCACAGACCGGTCAGAAGCGGAAGCATCTAGGTGAAGACGATGATGGCCGACTTGCATACGGTGCTCGCGGCAACTACAACAAGCCTAGTCAAGGCGACTTCAGCCTCTCGGCCACAGACCTCCCATCGCCCAAGAACCCTTCGATGCGGTATCGCTGGCGTGGACGGGAAGTCGGAGAAGAGGGCGTGATCCAATCCACTGCCGATCAGCAACAATTCTGGGTATCGTTCAGCGGACAAGGCGGTGCTAAGATATCGGGCACTTTTGCGTCTAGTTACTTCACCGGCAGTTTCAATGGCTTCAAAGTCGCCATGGGGGGACTCTCATCTCCCGGCGACATCGAGACCCATTGGCGCGATCTGGATGAAGCGGCGTATGAACGAGAGTGGACTGGCAGATGGGGCTAGACAGTCGGATGATATTTCTTCAAGAGTATGGAGCGAAGTACAGAGACAGTCCTCTGATGTTTTTCAAGTTGAAGGGTAGCGGCGGTGAGACTGATGACAGCTATTGGACTGAGTTAACGAGAATTGGTAGGGTTTGAGAGAATGAAGGTGTACCCATCAGGGCGTGGAGAAAATGTGACAGGCCCTTGCTGGGCACAGGATATCGTGGATGATGATGCGTTGCTCGGGTGGATATGTTGAAGATGGCGAATGACAAGTAAACAAGAAAACAAGGAAACAAAGACAAAGTTCTAGAAATAGCCCTTTGAGCACGATTGAAAGAGTAACATCATTTTCTGTACTCTATTCAAAAAGTAGAAAATACTGTGACCATGTTGACGACATCTTACATACGAAGCTATGATTGAGTCGCGGCAAAAGTGAGTACTACATTTCGATGGATCATGCGCTGCCTTTGAACACCTCCCCATCCACGTGCTCAACTCTCAAGCATCAAATCATGACAGGACTTGAAGGCCTCGAGGAGGTACCATGGTTCGAAAACAGCAATGTCAAAGGCTATATACTCTAATCTAGACGCAGGAAACTAGGGCGGGGTGGAAGGAGAAGAAATGCACCATGTCTGAGATCAGATACTTCATACGTTCGGTTTGACAGTGTTTATATGACCGGAAGGGCCCTATGGAGGTACTGGAGTGCTGAAAGCTGAAATGTTGAATGCTACACGCTCCGATTTAGCCGTATGGATACGAGATGAGCTGGGACAGGTGTATTTGCAACGGATCGAAGATCAGATGGTTCAGACGTTCGATTTGACAACAGTGATACTGTCTTGGAGGGCAGAGGGTCGACAGAGCCACAATGTCAAATGCTACAAGGACTGAATTGGACCTAGGGAATTATGATAGGCTAGAATAGGAAGCTTTGCAAATAGTTAGAGATCTCATTCACTGTATCCTCGAAAAGAACACGATGACATCGTAGTGGAACACCTCAGGAGGGTGGAGAGTTTCAGAACTGCAATGTAAAAGGCTACACGTGCTTGATTGGACACGGAAGTGAATCAAGCTGGAGAGACAGGGGTTGCAGGGATCCAAGATTGTATCGACCATACAGTCCAATTCACTCCGTTGTTGTCGTGTTGGAGCCTTCAGAAAGGTGGAGAAAATATCCGAGGTCATGTGCCGACGCGATATGTCCCAGGCCTCCATCTCTGCGGCAAACAATAACGATAACATGGACCCCTCGGCCGGCACGAATGACTCGGAGGCGCTGACGATCCTACGAGATGACCTCTATTTGGTGAGTTTTCCAGTTGCTTTTGTCAGCTGTTTCATAATTCTCGTCCCCAGGCAGCATTTGTGCGGATTAATCAACGACGCCACATCTCCAGGATCCCTCCCAACTCTCCATCGCGCTCATGCAGCGAGCCGACGACAGTCACACCGTCGTTCCCTCCGGTCGCCGCACCCGCCCGTCAGACGCGTCTGGAGACTCGCAGAACGCGTTCAACAAGCCGTCGCCCTCCTCTGCCGGACGACCTGCTACGCGAGGCGTCATACCGCGTTTAAATGCCTCCAAAACCGCACCGCCTACGAACCTGCCCATGCTCAAACACTCGTTAGACGTCAGGATGAACCACTCCTTTGCCGCTTTCACCACCGACGTGCCCGGTGACACGCAGCCCGACTCCCAGATCTACAAGAACTACATCAGCGCACGGCGAAGCGCTACAGAGCAAGTCTCACACAATGTTGCATTTGATGAAGCGGAGCGTGAGACATCTCCAGATCCCATTGAGCCTACCGGCCACTGGAACGATGAGAGTCTTGACGACGACCCAACGTCCCCCACAAGCTACAACGACGACGATGCCCACGAGCTCAGTCCGGAGACCCAGCTCAGGGTGCAGCACACCTCCGCCGCATTTGCCTTTCCAGAGACGCCGGCTATGGCAGGGCGGAAGCGTAATAATCGCGGCGAGACTCTCAGCTCAGTGAACAGGACGCCTGGGACTACTATGACAGCTGCTTTCTTCGCCAATGGCCTTGCAAATGGGGGAGGCATGTCCTTAACGCAAGTCTTCAACGCCACTCAGGTGGCTACGTCCCCGTTGCCAGATGCTGCCCGCTCCGATCCTGTCTTCCAGCGCCCGTCGCCCAATTTTAACGCCGGGAGGTCAAGCCCGCCAGTCGCTATATCCTCCCCCACAAAGCTATATAGGAGTGACCCTTCGAGATCTACGACGGAACCGCGGGACACATACTTGTCAATGAAGGAGTCACAGGAGTTGAGAGAGCGCCAGCGACTGGCAGAGCTAGAGCTACAACAAATGAAGGCCAAGGAGCAGGAAGAGGAGGACTGGATGGATAGCCCAGTAGGACGCAGTCAAGTACGGCAGTCATACGTGGCTCGTTCAATCTCGAGGAAGGAAGCCTGGACTGGTGCGAAGGGAAAGCCATTGGTCATTTCCAGCGATGCTGCGTATATGACTCCAATTCAGTCATATAAAAGGGGTGGAAAAGTTGTTAAAGTTACGGAGCAAATTTCAGAGGAGGACGAATCCGATACCGGCTCGAACGACGAGCTCTCCAAGTCTCAACCACCCCCACATACATCCGGCAAGCTGGCTGACAGAAGGGAAGCGGTTGTGTTGCAGGTTCCTATGACATCTTCACGCCCTGACAAGGCATCTTCTGGCAATCGTACTAGGAGTAGTCCTCCCGATAGCCCGATCCCGCTAGGTCGAAGCAAGCTGAGCCAGGCAGTATCCGCATCGCAGTCTCAACGCAATTCGAACTCTCAACAAAGGGTTCCAGGCGGTACGCAGACGGTGGCAATTGCGGATTCGCAGCCAGATATCGCACAGCCAGAGAGCTACCTGCGGCCACCTCTTCTGGCCGACCCTTCATCTCTTGGGTCGAATCTCAGGATTTCTCAATCCCAATTCACCAATAAGTCGAGGCGTGCGACTCAATTGACCGGACTAGACATGTCTTCGATTCCTAGACTGCCTCGCGATTCCTCCCCGCTCGTGCACGAAGACGACGAACAGGTGCCCAGCAGCCCTCCGATTGTATATGAAGAAGGAGAACATGACGGAGGAGAACACCCGAGCATTGAAGACGATGAGCATGACAATCTGGTCACAAGTGATGATGACCTACAACTTGTCGGTGATAGGGAGGCCGAGATGGAAGACGAGATTGATGACACTGAAGAACGTGGCGATCCAGCTTTTCACCAGGTCCCTTCAGTAAAAGGCGCCGCGAGTCAAGACGAAATCGCTGTAGAACCATCACGCGAACGACTTCAGTCTACAATACCTGATTCGGACGCAGCAGGAGCTTCCGACTCTGTGTTTGAGCGTACCGAACCTGTCATTGAGGAAGAGCCGCTGAATCCGCCAGACCACGTCACAATCAAAGACGTGCACACTGAACACGAAATCGACAGCACTGGGGCATACCAAACAGCGCACTCACGGAATACAGCCTCACCCCAAAAGAAGATTTCGACACAAGATTCCAAGATTAGCAGCCCTAGTCCCCAAAAGACAAGATTTCGTACCCTAACGGAAATTGCGGCTCTTCCAGAGTCGCAGAAGTCGTCGATCGATATAGACTTTGACCTTGGTCTCGATGGTCTCGACGAATTTGCAAGTTTACTCAAACCGGTTGAGCCTGTGCAATCGCGGACGAAGAAGAGAAGGATCACATATGGCAATAAACGTCTAAGGTCTCCAGCTAAGAAGAGTGCGAAGTTTCTAGACGAAGCAACTCCTCCTGACGCGAACGAGCGAGAGAATGAGGAAGGGAGTGCTCCTCTAGATGCACCGCAAATGGAGACATCACCGACGAAGAAGCTCGCCAGATTCTCTGCGGAGCAAAATCCTGAGATGACATATCCAGAAGATGAGGCTCATGAATCTCCAGGCGAACCGCAACCGAAAGGAACTCCCAAATCAACGCCACAGCAAGTACAGGACGGCGCAGTCGAGACACCACCCTCAATCCGAAGGCGAGAAACCGCTGGTGCCCTAGCCGCGGCTGCCGCTAGGGAGGCTGTTCGTTTTGGGAAGCCAGCCATTCCTAAGAAAGGCAAGCTCACAAGGCCATCCAAAAAGATCGGTACACCCACCTCCGGTGTTCAACGTCTGGCATCGAATATGTCCAAGGCGAATGTTGCTTCTAGACGTTCCGAGATTCCTGAGACTCCTGGTGTGAGCTCCGTGGAAAAACGAGCTGTCAAGCCGCTCTCTGAGAGTCAGGTCTGGGAGGTACAAGATTCGATCGAACAGATGGATGTCGGCGTTCTACACGAGGACTCCGATGATACAGAAGGCCCTACACTTGCTGAACCAGAAGCTGAAGACATGGAGGAAGCTAACAACATCTTGCTCGCCCCGAATCGCGTGTTTGCTCTTTTCCGCGGCAATGATACCAAATACTATCCAGCCACCTGCCTTGGTCCTGCTGATGGAACTCACTGGAGAGTACGATTTGACGATGGATCTGTCGACACGATGTTGGCGACGGAAAACTTCAGGAACCTTGACCTGCGAATCGGCGATCAATTGAAGGTTGATCTACCTGACATGCGGAAGCATATCTATGTTGTGGTTGGCTTCAAGGACAAGACTCACGCCAATGAAGAGGATTGGCCCTTGACGGACAGGTTTGGACACCGAACAGTTGCTCTGAAAACCAAGCCGCGAGAAGGTGAGCCCAAGGTCAAGCCAAAAATGTCGAAGACGGTCGATGTTCCCGTCACGAGCATCTACATCACTCAGACCATGTGGAAGAACTTTAAGGACCGCCATTATAAACATGCGTCCGGTCTTTCCGCCACCTTTGACCGTCGCTTTCAAACGCCTTCCAACACATCGATTCCTGGGACGCCCTTATCCAGGTCTCGCCGGGACCCCGTGAATGCTCTCACTACGTCTATCCACCGAGCGTCTCCCGTGGCCTCCCACTGTGCGACCGGCGTCTTCACAAATATGGCCTTCGCTCTCTCCTTCTCTCACGACGACAGCGAACGCGATGCCATCTCAGCACTCATCATTAATAACGGCGGCCGCGTTTTCGAAGACGGTTTCGAGACTCTCTTTCAACCTTCAGACGGTGCACTTGCGTTGACCACGGAAGCCACTTCACTAGGCTTCGTCGCCCTCGTTTCCGAGACCCACTCCAGACGCACCAAATACTTCCAAGCGCTCGCACTAAACCTCCCTTGTCTCGCCGCCCGTTGGGTCCGCGATTGCGTTGCAACGTCCTCCGTTGTAGCATTCGGTCGCTACTTGCTACCAGCCGGCGTGTCTGCTTTCCTAGGCGGCGCAGTGCGTTCAAGGACCATGACCCTTTTCGATCCTGCGGGACCGGAGGGACGGTTCGACGAAGTGATCAAGAGGAGAGAGCGACCGTTCCGGGGCGCAATGGTGGTGTTTGTCTCTGGCCGTGCGAAGAAAGGAGAAAAGAGGGGCAAGACATACGCATTCCTCTGCAGGGCATTGGGAGCCGAGAAAACCGTCGTGGTGAGAGACATCGACGCTGCGAGAGCTTTTTTGGCACGTGAGACCGAGGAGGATGCGGATGAGGGTATCTACGACTGGGTCATTGTGGATGGAGAGAAGCGGAGCAAGCTGGAGAGTCTCCTGTTCTCCCGAGCCGAGAAGAGGAAGAGAGACCGAGACGCGTCGGAGGACCAGAGCATGGTGGGCACTGGCCTCGTCGCTGGCAGGGGCGTCAAGGTTGCTGGCGATGAGTTTGTGGTGCAGAGTCTCATATTGGGGGCGTTATGTGAGGGATGAGCTGCTCTAGCTCTGAATGTGCGATGCCTCGGCGCAGGTATTGTACGAGAAAGCATGATAGGCATGACATATGTATGCGCTACGATGGCTGCCCTTGACTGTGGCGGCGAATTACGGAGTAAGTGTAGGATAGATCCAATTCGGCCCGTAGAGCCCTTGACATTGTGGTTTTCAAAATATCATACCTCTAGGAGGCCACGCAAGCGATATCAGCGTTGTCAGAACGGCTGGACGCTGAGTTTAATGTCTACAGCGCTGTAAATTCCCTCCCTTAAGCTCACCCTAAGTCCGCAGGTCTAATTCATCACGTGCAGCTCTTAACATTGCAGTTTTCAAAGCTTTATACCTCTAGAAGGCTCTACATGCCATATCAGCGCTATCAAATCGAACTAGACAATGACTTTAATGTATGATGCGCTGTAGATTCTATCCCTTAAGCTCACCCTAAGTCCGCAGATCTAATTTCATCACGTATAGCTTCTTGACATTGCAGTTTTCAGGATATCATACCTCTAGAAGGCCATGCACACTATATCAGCGCTATCAAAGCAACTATACAACAACTTCGATGTATGAAGCTGTGTAGAATCTATCCATCCAGCTCATCCTCGGTCCGTTAGCCTACTTCATCACGTGCAGCTTTTGACATTGTCCTTTTGAGGTAGTTGATACATCCAGCAGGCCATTCAAGCCACATCACCATCATCAAAACAAACACCAAGAAAGTTGCAAACATGATTTGATTGACTTTTTGAGCGGCTGATTCACGCTATCCTATAAAAGAGCAGCCAATTGAGGCCGCCTTCTTCGGTCTCCAGGACCGGACAGTTCAAATATCAGCCAGCTACCGCTTTCCCCAATGCCGCTGGCCCAAAAACACCTCGAAACCACCATGACCAGCCAACCCCGCCGCCAAACTAGGAGTTCTTGAGCTGCTTGATCCTGCCGCCCGGGAGGGGGCTTGCGGCCCTGCTTCCGCCATTTGCGCCAACACGAGGGCTCTTGGGAACACTTGTCTGCCTAGTACCCATGCCCACGCCACGCGAGCTCTCCACAAGCGTCTTCTGTTTGTCTGCAAGCGCCTTGTACTGGCCAGTCAAGGTACCATTCTTCTTCTTCAGCGACTCGTTCTCCCTCTTCAGGGCCTCTGTGGCCTTGTTCTGGGAAGCGGCCTGCATCTGGAGGCGAACCTCGGCAGACTTGCGCTCCAGGATGGACTTCTCGCCCTCCAATCGGTCGATCTGTTTGGACTGCTCCATGGCGGTCGAGGCGCCGCTCTGGTACTGGTTCTTCAAATACTCGAATTCTTGGGCCTTGCTGTCGTAGTTCTTCTGGAGTCTGACGTTTGCAGCCTTGGTGGTCTCAAGTTCGGCGCGCACGGTTGTATATTCGGAAAGAAGGGAATCATGGGACGCGAGGTTGCTGCGACGCTCCGATTCGTAGTTGGCAGTCATGGTGGCGAGCTCTTCGTCCTTCTTCTCCAGACGTTGGATGAGCTTCATCTTCTCCGCAGTGAGTGCATTGATGGTCGAGGTGGCCTGTGTGAGTTGTTCTCTAAGGTCTCTGATGTCGGATCTGTCCTTCTCACAGCGGTTGGTGAGATCTTGAAGAGACTGCATGACCTCACTCTTCCGCTGCTCGCTGGTCTTCAAGCGGGTATCTCTGAGCATGAGTTCGGACTTGAGAGTGTTGAGTTCGTCCTGTGCAGCTTCGAAAGCAGTCTGGAGGTTGAAGTGAGTCATGGTGCCGGATTGAGTGGAGCCGCCGATGGAGTCGCTGATGCGTGTGGTGTCACCGGCGTTGGAAGAGTCGTGAGGTTGCGGGGTGAGGCGGATCTTCTTCGACGCTTCGGAAGCTTCGACGTCCAAGGAACGCTTGAGACTGGCGGAGGCTTGACGTGGGCTTGTGGACATTGACGATGATGAAGAAGGCGAGGAGTCATCGAGGTGGATGTAGTCCTTGATCGGAGGGAGTGATGGGAGTGCCCAACCCACGAAGGTGATTCCGTTGCCCGGAGCAGACTTCACCGCAAATCGGGCCAATTCCTTGGCAGCAGCCTCGTTCCAAGGGTCCTTCACTTTGGGGAATGCTTCCGGCAACTTTCCGATCTTGTCTTGCAGTTGAACAGTGCAGTCGACTAGAATCTTGGTTTTCTCTGAAGCTGAGACTGAACTGCTAATGCAATATCGGACGTGTTCGGAGCTGTTCACGATGACTGGGTGAATGATGGGGGTGATGTGATTAGGATCCGTCAGGTGATTGCCGCACAACTTCTTCACCTGGTCCTTGTTGTAGGTGTGATCAAGACAGATGATCATGTCCGTGTAACGAATGACAGGATTGTCCATCTCGGTCGACAGAATCGTGACCAACAGCTTCCCTTCGGACTTCTCTGGAGATGACTTTCGTAGCTCGCTAGGATAATCGTAGTGAGCTTTCTTTCCCTTCAAGAAGCGTTCGAGCAGGCTGAGGGCTCGATCGTACGCGACAAGAACGATGTGCAGATCCTTGTCCTTGAGTGCTTTGAGCACGAAATCGAGGAACTTGAACTTTGCGCTGATGTTGCTGGCATACTTCGGGAAATCCTCGACGTTCAAGTTCTCTGGAGTCCAAACATCGGCAGGAGAAGCAAGTTCAATAATCAGCTCGGCGGCATGAAGATCAGTGAGGAACGTGTTGATGCTCTGTGGCGTTGCCGAGTCCGCGGTCTCAGAGAACTTCCGAACGACATCTTGATAGTGGGATTTCTGCAAGCCTGGAAGACCCAGCGGTACAATGTATTCGCCCTTGTCCAGTTGCGGCTCGGTGAGCGAGCGAGCGTTGACGTTGCTGTCGGAAGTGGCTGGTACGAATACAGCTGGGGTAGCTGCCATTGGCCGAGCAGGAGGAGACATCTCCATGGCCGAGTTCGTCAATGCAGTCGTCCTCAGCGAAGTCTGAGATGTTTGAACAGGAGCACGATCCGGAATGGTTGAAGGGGATCGGGTGCCCGGAACACCTGAAAAAGTGGGCGAGTTCGGCTGTCGGATGGAATTCTGTTCGGCTTGAGCTCGTTTCGCAGCGGCGGCTTTCTCCATCCTATTCTTTGCAATGTTCTTCGAGATTCTAGCTGCAATGTCCCTGTCCTGATCAGAGCGCCTACGAAGCACTGTGTCAGGGTTGACTCGCCTTAGCGGTGGAGATATGATAAGTGGTGTAGCTTGATGTCCACGACGGTTCAGCAGCGGGTTTTGAATATATGACAAGGAATTTGAGTGCGGGGAAGGCTGCGATGACTTCGCGAGGGAATTGGGCGATACGTCGTTGTCGCTGGGATTGCTCTGAAGAGGGGTACTCTGAACAACTTCGGTGGTAGGCAAGATAGTATCAGTAGAATCGTCTTGAGCAGTCGAAGTAGAAGAGGACGCAGGTACAATTTGAGCGGGCTGGAAACTGCTGTCGCTTGCTTGAGCCGGTGAGTCGGTTCGGCGAGAGGGTGTTCCAACCGAGGCGACGGTTTCTGCTTGTGAGATTCCAGCGAAGTCGCGTCGTGTAATTCCGTCGTTCTCTTGAGCACCCACAGCGTTCTCCAAGGCGTCTCCGGTGGTTGACTGTACAGGCTGGCTCAAGATTGGCTGTTCAGGCTCTGAAGCAGTTTGTGTGGAGACAATGTAGGAATCCGACAGGCCCTCGGAGTCAGGGATAACACGATCTTTCTCTACTCTCGTAGGCGTTGAGAGGGCTGCGGATTGCGGGGTGGTGGGATCGCCAACGCTGCTGTTCTCGATGCTGCTACCCGCGATCTGGCTGGTCCCTGTGGGAGACGAGCTGTTGTTCAAGACAGTTTGCTGTGTGGAGAACCGATCGTACTCGGCAGGATCGAAGCCGGGTGATCGGGTGATCTCGATAGCCTGTACGGTCCGACGCTCTTCCTGTTGCTCTGCTACAGATTGTGTGGCCTCGTCCTCGAGAGCAGTGTCTTCGGCGGGTTCAGCACTTGCGGAGTGGGTGTGTGCAGAGTCTTCGATGACCTGAGACGTCGAAAAGGGCGCAGGAGTTGGAGAGCTGTCGGGAACGCGTCGAGCGCGCGCCTTCGCCTTGCCCTTTGCGGGACCTTTCCTCGAAGCTTGCTTCGCAGCCTTTACTTGCTTCCACTCTGCGACGAGCTCTTCATTGGCGTTTGATTTTGGCTCCCAAGTGGGTTCGTACTCTTCCCCAGTGATCGGGTGGGGGGCCCAAGCAATCAGGTACTTCCTCTTGTTCTCTTTGAGGATGGCACGCGCGGGGCAGAGGCCTTCCTGAGAATCGGCAGAGGCGCTGGATTGCGAGTCGGCGGCAGCTGCTGGGATCTCGGTCGGAGCAGCCTTATCGACGTCGGAACGGGGTTTTTTGGAGGTAGTCTTGGTATTGGAAGTTGAAGATGCACGCTTCCGCTTGTTGGTATTTGAGGATGGGTTGGTAGGCGACATTATGCGCGATTGGCGCGGGAGCGGCCTAAGCTGGTAGAGACACCCATGGTCAGAAAGAGTTTGATCGGGTTGGGGGAGAATGGAGGGAAAGCATGATAGGAATCTGGGACAGAGAGCATATCCAGCGGCAGCGAGGTGATACACGCAGGCATGATACTGCAGCTAGCAGCCGCGCACGTGCCACCGCTGGAGGCGTCGGGGGATACGGGATAGCCGTCTGCATTGCATCAAGCTCCTCGCATCCAACCCTGCCAGAACAGAAATAGGTATGGGCACTAACCTTGATGATGGGAAAGGACGGTGGAACTGCTCGAGAGCGCGCAAATTGCGTCCGGGACGGCGATGTCGATAGCGATGTCGATGTCGCAGTCGGGTCAAACGATCCAGTCGTTCAGCAGTCGAGCGTGTTTGCGAGAGAATGATGAGTAGGAAGAGCGCAGAAGAAGATGAAGTATAAAAGGGACTGAGAAGGCTCGATAGATGTGACAGGAGAACAATAGGCCGCGACAATAGCAGGCCGTCGACAATAGCAAGCTCGTTTTATTGAGGAGGCTGGTGAACATGGCCCGTGTGACTTTCCACGGCGCGCAGCAAGTCCTTCCCAGGAAAGATACCTATCATTGCCTGTATTCAATGGCTACATGCTTGTAGTGAGTATGGGCAGCTGGGCGACGAGTGCGACCCGTCACAGTATGATGAAAACTGACCAGTTCTTCACTGGCTGACACATCCTTCGTAACATGTCAGACCAGAACTTGACTCCACGATATCTATTCTTGTGCATAATTTCTAGACTACCCCGAGATCATGATGTGTCCTGATGAACATCCTATAGTTGGTAGCAAATAGAAGGTCATCTCGAGACTATCATGTTGGTGGTTCAGATCTGAGTATATTTCAAAACGCACGATGAAAGTGTAAGTTGATCATTTCTGCCGGTGCGTAATCACCTAGAAGACCCTAGAATCTCCTTTATAGAATACTCTTCAGTAGAGACATGTACCTCCAGCGCTCTGAATTCATCTAGAATCACCTCCTAAACGTTGGCAAGCAAGTGTAAGAAAGCAAACGCTCTCGCATTGAATCGATTGAATCAAGACCTGTGATTATCACATAGATTACATGTATTGTCCTCTTGCTTCAATTGCTTTTTAACGAAGCTGTAGATCTCCTTGGTTCTTGGGGTCATTTGAGCTTCTCCATCTCCGACCTCTGCCAAACCCTCTCCATCTCTCACGCTCTACTTGTTCTCCCCCTTCTTAAACCGTTCCTCGCGCTCTTCCTCTCTCCTCCGTTCAAGTTCCTTGACCTTCTCAGGAGGACTATCCTCGATCAAATCGCTCTCATTGTTGATTCCAGTCCACTTCGGTAGGCCGTCAGGAATATCCATAACGCGCTGACCGTAGAACATGTGACATCTGCGACAAACTCTTAGTAATCAAGGCCCAAAGCTGAGGGACAAACGGTTCCCCGTGGTCTAATCTTGCTCACCTTGGCTTGAACAGCTCCCTATCCTCCTTGCTCTTGAAATTGACTAAAGACGGAAAGAGCAGAATCATATTCCGACCCTCGTCCATGATCGGGGAGTGGCAGAAAGAGCAGCGCACTTTGCAGGGCAATTTGTGCTCTATTGATTTCGCGGTCGGGTCGTACCATTCTAGGTCGTGGTGACCTTGCAGGAAGTTGATGTCCTGGGGTAATAGGTGTGAGACTCAATTGGAATGCAAAGAATGGGCCTAAGAACGTACTTCTTTATGGAAGATTGCAGCCCATTGGAACGGTGCGGCATGCTGGCGCTGGCACTGTAACATATATCAAGATTAGAACGCTTTTTCAACGGAAGAGTGCCCCGTGTCAAGTCTGTGTACACTTCTCCAAAGCAGCTTGGAGTACTTCAACGTGTTCTAAGAAAGGAGTGATAGTTACTTCCAGGTAATACATCGAGCCGTATAGGGTAATCCAGCGAACCTTCAGGCCATCTTGAATGAACGACTTCCGTTGTTCATGAATCTTAAAAAAGCATCAAAGCACGTGACGATTTAGAAAGAAGTATACACACATGACCAATGAATGAACGTGTCTCCAACTTACAGTACTGCAATGACAAAGCTTCGAATCCAATGGCTCCTGGCGCGAGAGCTCATACTTGACCTTCCCACAATGGCAATTGGCATCATACAGGGCTTTGAAGTCCTCGCCCTTGTCGTGGATCTTATACGGCGCCCTCTTCTTCCATTCATTGATCCCGGAGACGGACTCGCCATCTGCCTGCTGGGGGTCCATCGTTGGCTTGGACGTAGAAAGCGGTCTTCTGAACAAAGCCGCAGTAGTGGCGCTCGCTTCGAAATGTCTTGATAAAGTCGTCAATCTAGGCAGCGCAATCCTCGCGGCCATACGGCGTATTCGTTTCTTTAGGGCAAGATGGCCGGAAACAGTTTGAAGAGCAGGAGAGATTGTTGGAGTTGCTCGGTAGATATTGCCAGACGTTCTACCTAGACCCTTCTAGGATCAATGCATCACTTCATCACTACTCCATCTCAATTACGTCATCATGACTTTGATGAACTCGGACAAGCTGTCATTCAATGACTAGCTTCCACAATCGCGAGCAAAATTCATGCAAGGCCGGTTCTTAGTCAAAACTCCTGCAATGCCGTGTGCCCAGCCAAAAGAGCCTTTCCCCGCAAAAGTCAATCCCGCGTGCCTAATTCGCTACTTCTTCAACAGCTTCTGCGCCTCTTTAAGGGACAGGCCGAACACGTTAGTGAGGTAATCGAGCCTAAATATCCCCGCGCATTAGTGTCCGCAGCTTGATTGGAGTCCCTAGTGCGCTCTATTGGGACGATGGAGGTCTTGGCACTTACTTGATATCGTTTGCGATACGACGTTTGACATCCTCAAATTCGTCCTCGCAACGATCGCGTGTTGCTATTCGCATTTTCGGCGATATAGTCTTGACACGCACCTTGAATCTGCCACTGACAGGTCGGTGGTCAGACACTCGTACTTCGTGCCGCTGGTAGTCTACCTGCTTTATGCGGCCAAGTCCACGGTAGAGCAGTCTGTCGCACCACGCAGGCGAGCGCTTCTTCTCGCTCGAGTCGTAGTTGTTCGTGCCAACGTCATACTTATATGTTGGTGCGAATGTGATGGGTGCTTCGTTGAATGCGCGTAGCCTGAAGCCAGGGTTCCTCCTTCTTGACAGTAGTAATTGGTCTCGCTCAAGGAGCTTGGCCAAATTGTTGGCTTCGACTGCCGCAATGACCGTGTTACGGGGCATTGTATCAATCCGATAATTCAAATCCCCGTTCAAAATGCAAACCTCATGATCGAGAATCATGGACCCGTCGCCTCCACCCACAAACAAGTCTGTCCTCCCGGCTGGGTCAAGTCGAGCAGGCAGAGCCTCTGCCTCCATTATGGCGGCAATGTCGTTGTTACGATGCATAGTCTGCGTTTGTCCAGCGGCCAGATGGCAGTTGATGAAGCAGATTGAGCTATCATCTATCACGAATCGCACAATGAGAGCGCCCTAGCTATGAGTTAGATTGGAAAGGACACTTCGTAGAAGAAGCAGCGACCATACCTTGTTCCCGTGCAAACCACCCATGCCTAACTTCACTTGAGCGGCGCTCACATCGCGGATCGATTGCCTCATTGACGATTTAACAAAGACACAAGTAAAGAGGCCGACCAAGTTTGCTGTGTGCAATAGGAAATATGGCTCCGTTGGTAGTATGACTTCGATGGTTCGGACAAGATGATCTCTCCACGCACGATATTGGTGGCTCATGTGCTCTTGATCTGGCGCGTCCTTCTTTTTGCCTTTCTTGAAGAAGCTCCCTGTGACAGTCAATACCTATTTCTTACTCCATAAACTTGACACAGCTTACTTGCGGTGACTTTCTTGTCTTCCAGGTCTACAAGCTCCTGGAACCCAAAAACAAGGATGTCTGAGGGATACTGAGGCTGTAGGAGATCCCGGAAGAAATTGCCGTCTCGTTCATCATGTCGTAAAGCTGTTGGTTTCGAGGCACCCGCGTTCCAAGTCATCACCGTAGCAGTGACCTCGCGGAAGTCGCAGAATTCAGAGTCGTGCTCCTGCATTTGAGACTCTGCAAAGCGAGACGCGTTAGTCTTGTCAACTGGCTCCTGGAGGAGATATTGAGGGGCATACCTAGCCAGTCATCCTTTAGCATTCCGTCCCATAGCCGTAGCATATTGTCCGTGCCCAGAGAAGCTACTTGTAATCGATCAAGTTTCCAGATACTTGTGCGATCGACAGCGATGCCAGCAATGGGATTGCTATGTGCATGCCAATCCTTTTTCACCTTCCATGGGTTGCTTTGTGTGTCGTAAACGTAAATCATCCCCGTAATGTATCCAGCCCAAAGATAATCGCCTACTCCCACAAGGGAGCTAATCTTGTAAACGCTGACATTGACAACTCCTAAGCACACGAAGTCCTTTTTAGCGTAGATACTCACTTTTCCATCATTGTGTCCAAAGTATATCCTATCAGGCTGGCTGCTAATGATGGCGCCCGACGTAACCTCGCCGACGTTAGGTTGCGAGAGAGGCTTTTGAAGAACTTGAAGGAAAGAGTTGGTATCATTACTTCGTTGGAAAATTCGTATGTCTTTCCCGGTGGCTATCCAGAGCTGCATTCCGGTAATAATGGAGAAAGTGTGACCTTTCGGCACTCTAAAGCTGTTAGGTGTCTGCGAAAGACTTGGGGACCCTTTCTCGTCTGGTGGCCAAATGTGAATCCTTCCTTCATCATCCAATGACCACATCTCGGCAGCGTATCGATAGATTCTGATGATCGCACACCTGGGGTGAGCATTTCCTTTTGTTTGCACCACGGAATGACTCGGAATGTCAACTTCATGGATCTCGCCGATATTAGTTCCCAGCCACATCCGCTTTCCTTCGTCTTCGACATCTTTGACCGGCCGAAACGATATAGCTGTGACCTTTACGGTGTCTCCATGGCTAAGACTCATCAATAGCTCCCCGGTCAATAAGCTCCAAACACGAGTGACGTAACCAGTTGTACATATGTACTCCCCACAAACAGCGAACAATTTCGTCTCATACTTTGTTGGTATCTCTTGTATGCTTTTCGCAAATACCGGTGGTCGTCGATTTGCTTGTGAGGAGTCCGGGTAATCTGTCAGACTAGAACCGCCCTTCTCGGCTTGTGCATCCGTATCATCGGAGCTGTCAACATAAGCTTCGACCTGGGTGGCTTGTTTGACTTGAGATAGAAGTGGCCTCCTCATGTCGGCTGAGGGTCGTGGTGGTACAGATCGAGAATTGTTGCTAGAATTGGCAGTCTGGAGCGAGGAACTACTTTGAGGACCAAAAGTCTGTGTTCGCTTCGGTGGGGGTGGGAACCTCGATTTAGGATCCGTTGAGGACGCTGTAGGACGAAACTGGTCCATGGACCTCCGCACTGGAGGCTCTGGAGGAGCTTGAGGTCTCGATAAAGACATACTCGACCGATAGTCGGCAGTTTCTCGCCGTGGAGGAAGGTAGGGACGGTCTTCCGGCAGATCGCTGGCTAGCTGAGCACGTATGTTGGCAGCCTGCTTTGACGGTTGAAACCCTAGTGATCTTGCATCAGGAGTTCGCTTTCGCTCTACGACAGAGCGATGCTTTGGTGGCGGCGCGAAGTATCCGTCGCGGCTTAGCGGGACGTCCTTAGAAGCTGAGCTACGAGACTTCGCTTGGTTTTGAATAGTCGGAGGAGAAACGTCTTCGATGGGGTTGCTTCCCTCACTACTTGGTGGCGTGCTAAATGGAGACACTCGCTCTCCTGATGCATCAGGAAGTTCAGGCGCCAAAGATGACTTTGTGCCTAGATCTATAAATGCAGGAGGTTTGCCGGATATTTTAGGTTTTGCAGAACGGTTGACAGGGGGAGGGAGTCCAGGGCTCGGCGCTTGTGTTTGATTTCTTGAGTTGACTCCTGCCTCAAGATTGGGTTGCTTGCGCGGATCCAACGTAGGCGTTGGAGTGTTAGTCGGTTGAAGGAATGGTGTCTGCTTAGCTTCAATGGCAGGCGTTGTAGAACGGCTTGGTATCCTGAAGTGACGAGCTCCATTTGCTACGGGGGAACCAGATCTAGACCCAGGGGAGTCCAAGCATAATTGGGACACATCTCGAGGCGGCGTTGGAGCATAACCATGAGATTCAGACGGTTTTGGAGGCGATCGCGGAGACTGAACCGTGACTTTCGGTGGTGACCTTGTTGGAGACCTCGGAGGAGAAAATGCCATCATGGAGGTGGGTCTTGGTTTTGGTCTGCTCAAAGGTGTACGTGGTGCTCTTGGGCTGGGCGTAAGAAGACCTTGTTGGCTATTATCCGACCTGTTGGGCGATGAAGAGTGGCCAGCGTTACTCCTTGGGATATCCAAAGAGCTGCGGCCATCAGCCCGTGACCTGACGTCCTCCGACTGTTGCAATCGATCCACGGCGGCAGGAGACGGCTGTCTTAACGAAGGTGTAGACGGCGTTGGGGGAGGCTTCTTCCCACTCAGCATGTTCTCAAAATGGCTCCGGAGGGAGGAGACTGGCTTCTATGGTTGCTGTGAGCTTCATTCGGGCAAGGGAGCGGAGGTCATGCTCACGATGGAGGAGCCATCTGTGTTCTCCGGCGGAGGTTCCATGTTGACAGAGGCCTCTGGTCAGCCCACACCCGGAGTTAGTTTATGAATGTGCACGCAGGAGGCGCTGGACAAGCCCATTGAGGCGGGGAGCTGGCGTTGGGCAGTATGGGTAGCTCCAGCTTCATAAGATCGCGTAGGTTCGACCAGATGCTTCCAGCTGCCGGAACTGGTACGAATATATAGACCGGTAGTCAAGGAGAGCGCCAACACGGTCAAGGTACGGAGTGGTTTCGTGAGCGAGCGATGGAGGTAGGCCCTTAGCGGAAGAATGTCTGGGTGTTTGGGACGCGCAGGCTGCCAAGGGCCGGATTGCTGGTGAGCAGGTAGAATGTAGAGGGGTGAGCTAGAGCAGCTATGTGCGAGAATGACGATACAGATCCAGGCTGCGAATAAGTAGGTGAAGGGGGTTGTTAAGTGCAGGATCACGCTTGCGTGGCATACATTCCGGAGTCCTGAGGCTCGCATCAATTCACGCCGCCACTATTACGGGAGATCCCTCCCCGCACCACACCTGCAGGATTCAGGAACGCGTCCGCGACTGTCAACAGCTGCTGAACGACACCAGACAGGCCGCCGCCATGTGGTAAGTTCTACCTATGTGGCCTTATTCAAGACCTCCGCTTACCACCGGGGACTTTGTATACTAACGCCTATGCAGCAAACATATTCTCAACGCCCAGGTGTCCATCCGCTCGCCCTGCTGTACGTCCTTTCAACCTCCAAGTGACATAATCTTTTCTAACGACTATCTCCAGGTCGTAAATGGTTCGACTGTGCGGAATGCCATGCGGAGACCCAAAAGCACCCCCTCATGCAAAGCTTCGACATGACCTTCGTGTGCAAGAAGTGCAAGAAGGCGTTCCGAAAGGATACACGGGAATTTGAGGACAGGTGCGCATACGTAGCATATGAACTTCAGTGGAGGACAATATCTCATGGGACACAGTGACGAGTACTGCCCGCACTGCGACAACCATTTTGTGCTGGAGGCAAAAACTCCGAAGGCATCCCTCCAGGTCGAAAGCGAGGACGTGCGGGTAGATGCGCGGTAAGTCCATCCCTTCTCATGAGGACGGACCGAGACTGATCATACCTACCAGCATGCTGAAAGACGACCGCGTTCAAGCGGAAGAACAGCGCACTATATTCGACGTTAGAGACGCGGCAGACCGCCTGGGCTGAATGACTTTCACGGACAACCTTAGTGAGGTTGTTTAGGATAATTAAGCGTTGCTGCGGCGTCGCCGTATGGAGGAGGCATACACAGATGTCATACGAAGGAACGGCTTGTGGCCATGTTTAAAAGCATGAAGAACCCGAAGCCAGCTGAGTGGCCGAGAGCAACGGCAGGACAAGTCCAAGTAGCTTAATTGACGCCATGTGAAGCTGTGAATTCGTACTTCCGCTCAAGTATTGGAAAGCAAGAGACTCTTTTGATACAGTACAGACCCAAGAAGGCTCTATTGATCCGGACGCCAATGCTAGTTATGCAGGTCCTACTACCTACTGCATCATCGCGAACTACGAGCCTGAAGGTGCATCCCCAGCCGGACGAGTGAGGATTGCGGCAGTGCCGGTGCCTGGCGTGCGGCCTGGTCTCCTGCTAGCTGCCTCCTCTTGCTTCTCCGTGTTGATACTCTCAACGTACTTCTCGATATCCTCGACTGGCAGCATCTCCAGCGGCTTGCCTGGTGCCATGACCGCGATCTCGATATTCTTCGCTCCCGTTTGTACAACCTCCAGAAGCGACTTCACGGTCAGCTTAATGGTCTCCTCCCTGTCCATGTCACCCTTGTGATTCCGCTCCAGGAACTCCCGCACTGTCTTGCTCGATCGTCCGATAGCATTTGCCTTCCTAGTCCAGGATTAGTCCTGAACATAATCAAACATACCACTCGTAACGTACCATGCCGAGTAAATGCCTGAAGGCTCCGTCTGGTACAGGCGCGGGGTCTTGTCGTTCGGGTCGAAGCCGACGATGAGCGTACTGATCCCGAATGGCCGAACACCACCGCTCTGGGTATATCTCTGTTGCACACCTGCGACGTACTTCGTGATGTATTCGATCGACACTGGATCTTCGACGGTCAATCGGTGGGACTGCGCTTCTAACCGCGCCTTGTCGACGAGGATTCGTGCATCTGCGTTGAGACCGGCGAAGGCGAGCGCAACGTGGGTGTCGACCAGGCAGATTTTTGAGGGTGTAATCCTAGTGTCTTGCAGCTTCATGGCGGACCTTTTCTCGCATCCCAGCACGACGATGTCTTTGCCCTTCACTCCCACCGCACAGGTTCCTAAGGACTGTTATTAAGGCTCCCACCAAGCCCTCTGGAATGTTTTAGTACCTCTTTTGACAGCTTCGAGAGCATACTCGACTTGGAAGACGTGGCCGTCAGGGCTGAAGACTGTAAGTACCGATAGTATCAGTTTATGAACAGTGTTGATATATCAGAAAGCTGTCTAGCGTACCCGAAAGAGCTCGATCATATCCTGAAGCCATGATGTGATATATGTGGTGGATGTGTCAGGTTGAGAGCGAGCCAGAAAGTTATAAAATCGGCGGAAGAGGTAGCGAGTTGTGGAAGGTGAATAGAGCGGGCATACGAAGCTGGGGAGAGCTTCCGCGTCGTGTTAGCCTGGCCGCCAAGGAAGTCGAACATCAAGGGTATGAAAGAAAGGGCACTCAGAACCATCATATTGAGTAGGGTTTTAAATGCACTTCTCCCTGATACTCTGAGTACAACATCTCCATGTTGTATTTTATGAGTTGGCCTTACTGACTTTACTCAACTTCTGGCCTTTTGATTGTTAGGTCTTGCCTATGTCCCTAGTTTGAGGCAATGATACACTAATAAATTCTATACAAGTCCCCCACTCTAGGATACACCACTTTTTGCGTGATCGCCTCGTCGCCATCGGAGGCGCATAGCTCCGTGGCGGCCTTCTTTCCAGACAAGAGATTAAATTCTCCTCTGTCTCCTCCCTCAAACTCGTTCTTGCTGTCTATTATGGCGAGCGTGTCAAGATTCTCATTGCCATTGCGGCGACTGAAATGCTCTCCCGCCACCCTTCAGAAACAAAGTCGTTTACGGCCTGCAGCTCAAGTACGATGGGCGACAGCTACAACAGAACCTCACCAGGCGGACAAGAGTGGTGGGACGAAAGAAGCCCCAGCGCCTGCGAAGGCCGTCAAATTCACCTCAGAGTCGTACGAACGCCATCAAATTGCGATCATTAATTCCATGGTACTAATGGTATCGCAGATATCCAGAGCTTAAACGAGACTCGAAGTACTCTCAAATCACCCCCGAACATGTCAAATTCTTTCAGGACCTTCTCGGGTCAGGGTCCGCCGTTATAGATGGCCTCTCTACAGATGCAACGGATGATATTGAGCCATTCAATAGTGACTGGATGCGCAAATACCGCGGTCACTCTAAGGTGGTCCTCAAACCAGGATCCACCGAGGAAGTCAGTAAAATACTCAAATATTGCAATGATAATATGCTGGCTGTCGTGCCCCAAGGAGGCAACACTGGCCTCGTAGGAGGGTCCGTCCCAGTGTTTGACGAGATTGTTATAAACCTACAGCGCATGACCAATATTCGATCATTCGATGAGGTATCTGGAATATTGGTCGCCGAAGCCGGGGTTGTTTTGGAGATCGCGGATAGCTTTCTTGCTGAGAAGAACCATATATTCCCCCTGGACCTAGGCGCAAAAGGATCCTGTCAAATCGGAGGGAACGTGGCAACCAATGCAGGAGGGCTTCGGCTGCTGCGCTATGGCAGTCTCCATGGAAACGTTCTAGGCATTGAGGCGGTCCTGCCGGACGGCACCATTGTGGACGACCTAATAAAGCTACGGAAGAACAACACCGGTTACGATATCAAGCAGCTCTTTATCGGAGGCGAAGGAACTATTGGCATAATCACTGCAATATCCATTCTGTGTCCCCAGAGGTCCTCGGCTCTTAATGTGGCTTACTTCGGCCTCGAGAGTTATGAAAAATGTCAACAAGCATTTCGTGAAGCAAAGACTCAGCTTTCCGAGATTCTGTCCGCATTTGAGCTCATGGACGGCCGAAGCCAGAAGCTACTAAACAGAGCAACTGGTAGGAAATTGCCACTGGAAGGAGAACATCCATTCTATTGCTTGATTGAAACAAGCGGTTCAAATAGCGACCATGATTCCGAGGTGCGCATTGAATGATTTTGATACTGACCTACGCTCACTGCTCAAACAGAAACTATCAAATTTCCTCGAACATGTCATGGAGTCAGAGATTGTATCCGACGGCGTATTAGCGCAAGATCAGACGCAAATCCGGGACCTCTGGTCCTGTCGCGAAGGCATTCCCGAGTGCCTCGGTCACTGGGGAGGCGTGTACAAATACGACTTGTCAATTCCCATCTCTTCGATGTATGATATTGTCAATGACGTCCGCGATCGAATGACGGAAGCCGGTCTCACTGGAGACGACGATGCGCATCCCGTTGTCGATGTAGTCGGGTACGGGCACATGGGGGACTCAAACGTACATTTGAATATACCCGTACGACGATATGACAAGAAAGTCGAAAAAGCACTGGAGCCATTCGTATATGAATGGGTACAAGGAAAGAACGGAAGTATCAGCGCAGAGCACGGACTTGGCATTCAAAAGAAGCCTTATATAGGTTACAGCCGCAGCGACACAATGGTCAAACTCATGAAGCAGATCAAAGATCTCTATGACCCGGTGAGCAAGCAAACCCTGAAACGAACGAGTCATCGCTAATGGTGACCAGAATGGGATCATGAACCCTTACAAATACCTATAAAGGTGTATCAGCCTGACCGCCATGGGATTCCGTATTAGAGTCTTGAATAATCGGACTCGGGCCCTATCAAGGGTCGCCTCGTACCACAATTGAGGGTTTATATGCATTCATCGGCGGATATCATAGCTCTAAGTTCGCGTGGCCTCGTCACTTGTTCTATTTCTTAAGCCGCCTGCGTTGACACGCCCGTCACTCTTTGTGCTTTATCCACCCGGACTGCCTAGTAGGCTAAACTTTGCCGTCCCTTATGTCGACGAGATCATCGACACCAATGCGACCGCCGGCATCGCGACCAGTGTTTCCCTTTCTGTAGTACTTGTTGAGAAAGGAGGTGGGGTTCGGATTCGAAGCTACTGAATTCTAGAGGCTGATGGAGGACACTTATAAGATCCTTTATTCTCGGTGTGCGTGGCAAGAACATGTGCATCTTTGCTTCAACAGGAGGTAGTGTTCTATTGCGAGCAACTATCAAAGAATATCACGCTTCAATGTCAAATTTCTCTTCCGTGCAATCATAAGTTAGTGCTATTCTCATTCTGCAAGCAGCGCTGTCGCATTCTTTTCGTATATTTCTTCTCGTTCCTCTTCATTGAACAGATCTTCCAGCCCATCCTTCATCCGATCCGCGAAGTTCTTGACAAGCGGCGTTTGAGTGAACGGAAAGTCGCTTCCATACAACAAACTGCGATGGTCAATGTTGTACCCTTCGAGTAAGGCCTTCAACTGTCCACTTCCACCTTTCTCTCCCGCAAATACGAAGCCGGCTAGATCAAAATAGAACTGCCGTGCTATAGCTCCGCGGACTTCTTGGTCAATCATCACTGGTCCTGCCGGCCGGATGGAAGAGAAGCCGATGAAACGCGAGATGACGGGTGGCAGACAGCCTCCAGAGTGTGGGATGATGAAGCGGATGTTAGGACAGCGCGCCACAGTGCCGCTTAGGAAAAGGTTTGTCACCGCGCGTGCCGTATCAAAGAAGAACTCGTATATCGGGATCGGATGTTTAGCAGCAAGTGGTGTCGCGTTGACCAGTGTAGGTGGCTCTGAGGTTGAGGTTTGACAGATGACGCAGGGCATCGTAGGATGGATGAAGACTCTCGCCTTCAGCCTGTCCAGTTCTTGGAACACTGGATCGAAGATATCAGAGCCTAAGTAGTTCCCGTGGTAATTGGTCAGGAGCCCAAACCCATCTGCGCCCTCTTCTTTGGCCTTCTTGATCTCCTCGAACGTGGCGTCGATGTCTGGCAGTGGTAGGGCCGCCCAGTAACCAATCTTGTCTGGATGATCGCGTTTGAGAGAAGCGGCATACGAGTTGCAAAAGCGCGTCAAGCGAATGTTGAGGGCATTGTCGTTGGCGTTGATGTTTGTGCCGGGAGAGCTGATGCTCAGGATTGATTTGGTGACATTTGCTTTCGACATCATCTCCAGGTGGCCTGCGAGAGACCATGTTGGTATGGCCGGCATCCCGTCGGGCTTCGAGTGGCCATTCTTCCGGAGCTCGTCGCAGTACTCAGGAGGCAGGAAATGGGAGTGGACGTCTATCCGTGGCGGTAGTTGACTTTCTTCACCCATTTTGGGAATGTTTGACAGTTTTTGTTGATAGTCAATGCTCCAGCAGTTCGATTTGGAGAGCACCAGGAGCCTCAAACACAGCAAGACGGTATTTGCAGGAACAGCGGGGCATCTAGACTTATATAGCAATGGCAGTACAATGCTTGCATCCGCTAAGCACGCGCAGGTACCACTGCGTTTCGGTGAATGGATGTTCCCGTCGCTGCCCCACTCGCTCGCCTGGGTACCTCTCCCCTGCCGCCTCCGATCTCTTCCCCGATGCCGCCGCCGCTGATGTGTGCCACTCCCAACTCCGTCCTTGAGTTATGACCTTTATAACCGTCACCCCACCCCCCACAATACTCGACCGCTGCATACGAGGTCGCCAGGATGGAGAAGGTTACGGATAAGATTGCCGCCCTGCCCAGCGATGCCCACTACTTCTCGCTGGAGTTCTTTCCGCCGAAAACGCCCATGGTAGGCATTCTCCAGCAACAAAAATCTCCTAGCGGCACTGGCGATCAATTGACATGTCTCCACAGGGTTTCGCAAACCTCCAGAACCGACTGGAGCGCATGTCCCGGGCGCTGCGTCCGCTCTTCGTGACGGTAACGTGGGGTGCCGGCGGTTCCACAGCCACCAAGTCTCTCGAGCTCGCTGAGATCTGCCAGCGCCAATTGGGCCTCACGACATGTCTGCATTTGACCTGCACGAACATGAGCCGCTCGCTCGTCGATGACGCGTTGGAACAGGCAAAGGCTCTGGGTATACGCAATATTCTAGCGTTGCGGGGAGACGCGCCAAGGAGCGAGGAATACCGCAACGAGGAGAAGCCGGAGGAGGAGGACTCGAACAATGACTTCACCTGGGCTATAGATCTCGTGCGCTATATCCGCAAGCAATATGGAGATTACTTCTGCATTGGCGTGGCTGCATATCCCGAAGGCCACTCCGATCAGTCACATCCGCAAGACCAGGATCCCCTCTTCGACCTACCTTACCTGGTGGAAAAAACAAAGGCGGGCGCGGACTTCATAATGACACAGCTGTTCTTCGATGTCGAGGCGTTCGACAGGTTTGAGAAGCTTCTGAGAGAGCATGAGTCCGGAGTCTTCAAGACAATACCCATAATACCCGGTTTGATGCCGATACAGAGCTACCAGATCTTACGGAGAGTCACAAAGTTGAGCCACGCTAAACTGCCCTCGGATCTGCTCACTCGACTAGATGCCGTAAAAGGCGACGACGAACTGGTCAAGCAGGTCGGGGTGGACATCTTGAGCGAAGTAATAGATCACGTCAAAGCATCCCCAAGCCCGGTAAGGCGAGGCTTTCATTTCTACACCTTGAATCTGGAGAAGGCGGTGGCACATATCCTGGAACGGTGTCACCTCATACCTCCAATACAGCCAGATGAGGACGAAGAAGCTGTGGTTGTGGATTTGTCGAAAGACTTCGTGCCTCCTGAGACTGCGCTGCAATCGAAGGACCGACGAAGGTTATCTTCTGTCAATTCTGGGCCCCGTAATCGCGTAGTCGTCGAGAGGCACACTAGGTCAAGTAATACCAGCTTTGAAGCACGAGAAGACGAAGCGGGTATACCAAGGGACGCCATCAACACAAGAGCAAATACTCTTGCGATCTCAGAAGGGGAGGGTTCTTTAGGACGCGAAGCTACTTGGGATGATTTCCCGAACGGACGATGGGGTGATGCAAGATCGCCAGGTACGATGTTTAACTCCTAAGTCTAGTCTCAAGCTCAGAAAATTTACTGATATCTATAGCATTCGGTGAGATCGATGGATATGGTCCTAGTCTTCACCTCCCCACACCTCAGGCCTTGAAGCTATGGGGTCACCCAGTCACCGTTGAGGATGTATCGAATTTATTCCGACGCCACATATCCGGCGAGTTAGACGCCCTACCTTGGAGTGAAGAGGGGTTGAATCCTGAAACCAACATTATTCGTGACGAACTACTCCGCCTGAACGGCAAGGGTTGGTGGAGCGTGGCTAGTCAGCCCGCAGTAAACGGTGTCAAGAGCACCGATCCTATCTTTGGGTGGGGACCGAAAAACGGCTTCGTCTTCCAAAAAGTACGTTCTCCTAGCTATGGTACGACTTACACGGACTAATAGCAACACTCTAGCCCTTTGTCGAGCTATTCATCCCGTCAGCGGACTGGCTCAAGCTACAAGCGCGCTTAGATCAGACTGACCAGATGACCTACTTTGCAGGAAACAAAGCAGGTCACTTCTCGGCGTCTAACGAAGAATCAGTGAATCCCGTCACATGGGGCACATTCGCTGGGAAGGAGTGAGTTATTCAGCATGCCCTTCGCGGCTTATTCCTACAGACCACGCGAAAGGATGCTAAGAGAAGAGCAGGATCATCACCCCGACAATCGTCGAGTCCGTTTCTTTCCGCGCCTGGCTGGAAGAAGCATTCAGCATCTGGGCCGAGTGGCGGCGCATATACCCGGCCCGATCTGCGACGTCGAAGCTGCTAGGTGGCATCATGAACGACTACTGGCTTGTCAATATCATCCACCACGGCTATCTGGAGAAGGGTGCGCTTTGGGATTTCCTCACTGAAGGCTAGGCGCGACTATAGTATGCTAGTGTAGATTTCCCCGGTTGCACCCTAATTCTAGGTTGCTTAGTTCAATAGCTCGAGGCTATACCAGTACAAAGTATGATAGGCAGTAGATGACTTGAGGGTGGCTGAACATGTGTCTAATATTACCTCTTACTTGAAAATCACTAGGACTTTATGCGCTAATTATATGTATGTTTCCAAATCTAGCTGTGGTACGATGGACTACAATAGAAACAATTGGTCTGGGTACCCACTCTAGTGCTATTCTCCACAGTTTCTCCCTGCACAAAAAGACGAGAACATGGAGGAGACCCAGGTAACGAAGACGTTTAATTCTGGAGAATTCGCATCCAGATCAGCCCTCCGCGTCACCACCCCGCTACAGCATCTAATATATAAATATGCTCTCGCACCCTACAAACACAATCATCTTCATGCCGTCTTCACTCCGAACGGCAGACAAATGTCCGACTCTCTGAGCATCACCCCTCAATCCCCAACGATACCTCGACCTCTTCGTCTCTAAACACCCCTTCGAACAATTTCCTCAGACTTACCCACCCTAGCCGCATCCTCCGCCCAAAATGCGACTAGTTGTCGCCGTCGTCGCCCTCGCCGCCTCCATGGCCACCGGCATCCCCCTCGTCCGCCCTCAGCCCGGTCCTTACATCAACCCCACCAAGAAACTCATTCAGAACTGGAACAACAAATTCTTCGACCATTGGAAGGATGTAAAGGTCATCGATGAGAAGGACGGGGATATAGCTAGGATCACCCATGGGAAGCATGCAGGCAAGATCATCCCTATCACAGAAGAGCTCCTGTGGGATATCCTGCAGAACACATCCTACGCCCACGGGAAGGGTGTAAAGATTCATTATGAGAAGGATGGGGTTGTAGCCAGGGTCATCCGTGGGAGGCATGTAGGCAAGATCATTGGCCCCATCCCGACAGGCCTCCTGCAGGACACATCCCACGACCTAACGATCATCGACGAGAAGGATGGGGATGTAGCCATAATCACCCATGGGAAGCATGAAGGCAACATCATTGGCCCCATCACGGATGACCTCCTACAGAAAATGTCCCATCTCGATTGTTTTGGTATAGGGGTTGTCGCTGGGAAGCATGCGGATGTAGGCAGGATCATTTATGGGAAGCATGTAGGCAAGACCATCGGCCCCGTCCCAATAGCCTACCTGCAGGAAATATCTCACAACCATGATAATGTGGAGCTTTGGGCTAAGATCCTCGGCGCCATCGCGGCAGGCAGCAACAACACCATCAAGACAGAAGTGCAGAACATATCTCACAACCATGGGAATATCGTTAAGAAGTCCACCGATGAATTCTTGGTCTACCATCGAAAGCATCCAGGCAAGATCAACGGCACCATCAACCCGCAGGACATATCCCACGACCATGAGAAGAATGTAGGCAAGAATATCGTTAAGGAGGCCGTCAAGCCTACGAAAGTCTACGAAACCCAGTCCGGAGAGCTCAGGACTGATCTTCCGGATGATCTCGTACCTCGAGATCTGCATGATCTTGGGCTTGCAAATCAGCATGATCACCTACATGAGGAGGCCGGTCTGGCTTCCACACTCCACCAGGGGAATGATGGAGGTAAGGGTGTTCCCGGACCTGAAGCTCTGACCGTCGGGTCCACGACCAACCGAGATGGGGAGGTGCCGAAGGGGTTCCAAAAATTCCCGTGGCATAGCTACGGGAATAGGCCGCCACTTGCGGGTCTGGGGGAGCGGAACGCGACGTATCGGCCCAATCAGATTGTGGAGACTAATAAGGACGGCGAGGTCGTGAAGAAGCAGACGCTTATGAGGAAGGTTTGGGTGTAGTGGTGATGGAGGCTAGGGGAGGGCCTGGAGGGGGTAGAGTGTTGAGTAATATGACTGTTGAAGTGTTGCATGGGGTTCAGGTGTCCAGGGAATTGCGTGAAGTTTGAGCCATTGGGCTGTGTGAGGCCTGGGTCTTTCCGTCGTAGATGCATTTCCTAAAATAAATCTCTGAGGGTGAATCTCATCCCATGGGCACTTAACTAGCCGAAGACGTAATGTTATTCAGATCATGTCTCGAGGTATTTTGGTTCCAAGTGCCCACTGTTCCCTGGAAAACAGTGTTCTAGACACCTGTCACGTGACTCGATGTGTCAAGGTCGAAGAGCTGAACATATTATTGACTCGTTGTGTTAGTCAGTCTTCGTCGTCATCATACGCTGCTGCAAGCCGTCTTGTGTGAGCCAATCTTCGCCTCTGTTGCGTGGTCATGAGTCGAGGCTGCTCTGAAGTTGTGACTTTGTCTGGAACAGCTAATTCGATGACAACTGCTTCGGTGCTCGAAACTGTGTCCAGGGATGAAGTGGCAGTGGCCGCATTCGACGAAGTAGGTGAGGCAACGCGAACAATTTTTTCGCTCTGTACTTCGCCCCAAGGGATGATCCACTCGCTGAGTCCAGTTCTGAGTGAAGGATGCCGCGGAATGACAGGCAATGAGCTGGGAATGTAGGCTATCGGTTTGCGTGGTATTGGCGGCCTTCCATCATGTCCTGAAATGATCTCTTCGCTAAGAGGAAGATCGGGCATACTTCGTGTTGCTGGGAGACAGCCTGGAAGCTCGGGATACGGTTTACCATTTTGCTGGAGGATTGGAAGCGACGGGAAATATCCAGATGAGCCTCTGAGACTCAGGTGCGGACGAAGATTGTCCTCTGTTGAGGCAATAGCAGGTAGTGCAACAGGCATGATAGTCACCGGCTCTGATGAATTGTCAGCCTTGTTGATGTGTTTGGTGTCAAGATATACATACCTGGTAAATTCTCACTTGCGATTTCTATCTCTTGTGCATTCATTTGAAGATCACTTCTAGTACTGAAGCTTCTTCTTTTCCTTCTTGTGTAAGGACCAAGATGGGAGTCATCGGTCATACCCGTTGACCCTCGCTGTCCGGGGACGAGCAAGGTAGGAGAGTTATTGTCTGGCCCTCCAAGTTTTAAGTCCATCTCCACACCCTGCATAGCTTGCACTGCAATCATCAGGCTCTGATGACATGTGCTCAGGGCTATCTGCCTCGTAATGAGCTTCTGTTGATTCCGTAGCACCCATTCAAATTTGTTCTTCATCTTGACCTCCACACGGCCATCCATATCTATCCTAGCATTTTCAACGTATAGCCCGAGGTCATTCAGCGACCGCTGTACGTCCATGATCGTCCCGTCAATCCAATTTCTTTCCTGCGGGAAAGTCGCAAAATGATCTGCCACCTTGCGACAGCGACGCAGTCGAAAAGCCTCATCTACGTCATGACGGACGCGTTCAATGAGCGATATGAAGATGCGATTTTCGTCCGAGACCTCTTTGAGGGCTGTAACGAAATCGACGAATCCGAATATGGTTGAGATAGCGGTAAATATGCTACTCGAGCCTGGATCGGAGAACCTATGTTCTTTGGCGGCTTCTCCGGATGGCTCCATGGATTTTCGGCGTTGTTCAATACCTTGGAAGGATTTCCTCTGGTTTTTCGTGACTCCCGTGGAACGTGTGAGTGTTAAGGCCATTGTTGACGGATATATAGCCGAATGGCCATCCATCAGACCTCGTAGAAGTGTAGTGCAGAGTTGCTCGGAACACTGCGAGGTACGAGGGGCTCCAGGCTGGAAATTAGACGGGGTGTCGTGCAACCTTTGGAGCAGGGAGGGCCGTGCTGCGGCACAGTAACGTGAGAGCTCTGGGTCAGAGGTACCTCTGTGCGACTGTAGCGTTCAGAAGCTTGCAAAAAGGGACAGTCGATGGACGAAAAGACGGGGTGAGTCGAGCTAAGAAGCACATAGGAGGTAGTAGGAAGGTAGCGAGCAGCATGTGACGGAGTTGAGAATGCTATGCGGCACAGCAAACAAGCTTCTAGCCCTACCGAGGGTCTTCAGGTCTTCATACGCAAGCCTAGGGGGCACAGCAACTTGGCAGAGAGAGCGTGGAAAGTATAAGCAGTGTGTAACAATAACGATATGGTATGCACGAGGCTGAGGGACAGGCAGTGCCGCAGAGGGCAGAAGGTTGAAGCGGGTTTCGGGCTCCCATCGCGCCGTGTAGACGTAAAAATAGATAGCATGGTCACTTGAGCCCGTTGCTGCCGCACAGCCTCGTGTGCTGGACCGGCAGACTGCATGAAGCGTGCGAGGTGCAAGGGGCAGTTGACGCCGGAACAAGTAAAGGTTGCCCTGTTCCCGAGCTGGCGTCCAGTCGAAAGCCCTCTATTTGCCGTGCAGTGGAAGACATACGGTACGGTGGGAAGAAGTGCACAAGCTTGACAGGAATACGCCCCCAATACGCCCCCAATACGCCTTGGTCTCTGACTTTAAGTCTGGTTCCAAAAAAGTACATTTCCACTTTCGAACCTGACCATATAAGTGGTTGCACAGTTGTTCAGTAAATACAGGGTTATGACTAAGCGAGCCCGAGCTTCACTAACTTACTTGGGAGAATGTGTGTGGAGGTACTGTTATATCGTTTATGAACCTTCATGGATAGAAAATTTTCACCACCAACCAAAATTGCCTTCCTGGTCTAGTTGGTTATGACGTCGCTCTCATAATAGTATGTTATGACTTCGATCATCGAAGATATGCGAAGGTCGGCAGTTCGATCCTGTCGGAGGGCATTACTTTTTTTTTCCTTTCCATGGATGGCGATAAAGTCAGACAGTCGTGGACGGACGTGAGGTGTTTTCCTTTTATTAAATTTTCCCAACTTTAATGCAGAGATACTCCAAGAGAAATGAAGATGTATACACGCACGAATTCCATACGGGACAAAGACTGCAATTATGTTCACTCAGTCACAACTGGGTTCTCCCCTTGCGAAAACTCAGGGGTAGGAAATAGAGTGGAGGATAGCCTTGAACCACGTAGCGATTGAAAAGACAGGACGAGGTAAACTTATGTCTGTACCCTTTGCACCAGGAAAAAGAAGCATTATCGGTTCGGTGTCGTCAGCCCAGATGCAAAGCTGTTGGAACTTTTACTTCAAAATTTGGACTCGTGAAGATAGTCCAAGCTTAAGGCACGGTGATGATCATTCATTGTGGCTCGAGACACTCATTATTGATCTTTCATCATACCGCTGACCTTACTGCACGGCACCTAATTCACAGAACAACCGGTGCATAGGAAACCAAAATCCTCATCGTGAAATAAACGACCCTCCAATCATTATTCGTGTCTACTCCAAAGCCGCTAGCGAACTATAAAGAACCTGCAGCTTTCCAAACGCTGAGCGACCAACCACCACGCATGCAACCCGCTAGCTTATTCATCTATCTGCCGCACTATCATTTCGCTGAAAGCCCGCGGGGGCTGGAACCTTTTGCCCTCTTCGTCCATTAACTGCTCAAGCGCAGGGAAAATTACAAGGCTTCCGGGCGCCATCGTCCGAGAGTCTGGCCAATCTAGTCTCCATGAACTGCGTTGAGAGAATAGAACGAATGCGAAGGTAGCCGCCCGCTTAGTGATCTCCTCCAAGTTCCGTTGTCGGGTGCTATGGTCCATTCGAGTGACGGCGAATGGGGCCAAGATTGTCTCTAGGACTTCTGTGGCTTGTAGAATGTTGGCGTTGCGAGCATCTTGTGGGCCAAACGGGTTTGGAAGATACGCGTTTTTTATACATTCGGCGGTTATTGCTTTCCAATTCGCCGTAAATGCGTCCCAGGCTATGCATAAGTCAGCCATGCTCATCAGATTATCGGATGATCGAGGCCTACCTTTGGGCTCCCAGTTTATAGCGCTCATGGAAGATACGCATTGAACTACTTCTGGGGGTAGCAGAGTGGTCTTAGGGTCGCCGTTGAGTTTACTTCTTGATATTATGACCCAAGCAATACAGAATCGGAGGCCAACTTCTCGTGTCGTTGGATTTGACAGCAATGTTCCCAGGGTTCCGATGGAGACAGGCAGATTGTCTCCGAGAGCTTGAAGAGCATCCAGATCGACCGTGCCTGAGGCGACCGGAGACTCATGGTAGTAGCTCTGAACGTGGTTTTTGATCAGGGTGCTGAGCTTCGTAACATCTCCAGAGATCGCATTATCTTCGAGCGGGAGCGGGAGATGGTTTTCGACTATCCTCAAGGTTGAGTCAGAGCTGGCGTTGGAGGGCGCCCCAAGAATGAGTTGCTTCTCGGGCCCCGCGTGGGCTGCTGCAGGGCGATCTTGGAATCCAGCCTGAATTTTGTTCCTTGACCTTCGCATCAGCAGCCACACAATGAGCCCGGCAATAGCTGCTCCTGCAATGAGACAGCCGATGGCGATTCCAGCAGCCGCTCCTCCAGAGACACCAGACTTAGACGGATGGCTTTTGCCTGTTGCTGTAGGTGATGTGGTGGATTGGGTGGCACTTAGAGCACTTCCAGACGCTGCCGTAGAGCTGACAAAGGAGATACTCTGTCCCGGTGTTGGTGTGGTCAGAATCGTCGACATGGTATTGCTAGACGCTGCACTTGAAGGTGACGATGAAGGGCCTACTATCGCTGATGCAACATTGAGACTCGTACCATCGACCCAAAGAACATTGTCCGGTCCAAAAAGGAAGTTGAGTCCATTATTTGAAATAGTAGTGGGGGGACCTGCGGTCAAGGTGGTTGATCCAGGAATGACAACTACGTTGGAGCTTATGATGACCACCACCACCGGTCTGTCTTTGTGATTTCCAATGATTGTTGTAGTTACAGGAGTGCCCATTGCTGCCGAATGTAGAAGGACAAGGTGGGCGAGTTAACAGGCGGCCAGAGTGGAATGTGTTGGGATGTTGATGAGCGATGGATAGGATGAGTTTAATAACAAATGTCAAGCATCGGGCATATCCAAAGCTGGGAATCGTGGACCTGGAAAGGTGAGTTGAATCACAAGCCCACATCCAAAAAGCAAACCGGGGATTCTTAGTAGCAGCCAAGCTTGTAATATGGCCCCCACAAGAGATGGGGCACAGTCGACGCCTAAACCCACAGCCTTGCGCGAAACATTGCCAAGTCTCAAACTAGTGGAGCATAATTAAAGAAGGCACCGGGGCAGTGCTGTATTCTCTCGCTAAGGCGTCCAAGCATGGGATGTGGTTGTCCGAAGGCTGGGGTCGTTGCATAAGGGTGTTTTAGAGAGAGTCCATAATTTCAAGACCACCAGTTGAAGAATTCATCCAGATTAGTTCGACCTGCTTCCTTTAGCATGTTTTCATCATAGGGCATGAATATATAAAGGTTGATAACAGTAGCGATTGACAACAAGACTCCCAGAGTCCACGAAGGAAAGAGGAAATTCATAGACTTGTCAATGAAATGGGGGCTGAAAAGGGGGAAGAAGCAATTCCTGCTAGATGAAGCGCTTAGCAGCAGAATACGCCATACGCTGTGCTTACCAGGGTCGCGGCACAGTTCCCGCTCAATTATGGAGCCACCAATGATCGAGGGCCAGCTGCTGTGCCGCAAGGCTGTGACAATCTGCAGGAGACGGCACTGCCCGCCCCTAGGTCGCATCCTGGTTCCACACATAAGGTAGCTGTTCTGCTCAAGTGTATCCGTACACTACGACGAGTGAATCAAGACAAGATGGAGGTCGTAAAGCCGCACATGGTTATCGGGGTCGACTTTGGCATGACATGTGAGTGGTGATGTGAGGCTGGAGTGGAGGCCGGGCCTCGGTCACTAGCGCTGAGTCTATTCCCTTTTGGGCCGGCGGCTATTCCTTCCATCATTCTCTCGATCACTGCAACGAATGCTGATGGTATATCACTTCAGGCACTGGAGTATCTTATGCAAATCTATCAATCGGCTCAGACACAGTGCGATGGGTTCAGAAATGGCCTGGCCGCTTCCAAGCAAACGAAAATAAAGTCCCCACAGTTGTTGTATATCCAACCAACAAGTCAGAGCCATCATCATGGGGATTCTTGTCAGAAACAATAGTAGAGACGACCGCCGAAGACAAAGAATACAGGGAGTGGTTCAAAACATCTCTGGATCCCCAGAAGCTACTAAAGAAGCAAGAGGAGGACCCCGAAAACACAGCGAAATCCATCGCTGAAGTGGAAAAGTGGTACGAGGACTATCTGCGAAAGCTATATCAGTATCTCGCTTTCAAACTTGAATCGGAACTCTCGGGAGTCACGTGGAAGGATGCGAGAATCGAGTTTCTGTTCAGTGTGCCGACTACCTGGGCGCCTAATCCAACCGTAGAGCTGTTTCGAAGCATTACCTCAAGAGCTGGATTCGGGGAGCACATTGGCCATTCTGTCTCTATTGGCTTAACGGAAGCTGAAGCAGCTGCTGTGCACGTCTCTACAGAAGCTTGCGGAATTTTCAGGGTGCGTATTCAAGCAGTCCAAACCGTGGCCGCCGCCTCTCTAATCTAATAACACCTAGGAAAGAGATATATTACTTATTTGTGACGCAGGAGGCGGCACCACCGACTTATCTGTGCTCCGAGTCACAAACACGTATGGGCAAAGCATCTCATTGGAGCAGCTAGACGTTGTGTTTGGCGAAACCATCGGATCTGCCGCCATAGACTTCGGCTTTCAAAAGCTTGTAAGGGCAAGGCTAGAAGCAGCCAACAGTACTATTGAGCTCCCAATATCAATCGACGATGCATGTTGGGAGATGATGAAAAGCAGGGACTTCCAGGCAGTGAAGTGCGAGCACGGCTCGCCTGATGATACACCATTTTTCTCAATCGCCATCTCAAAGTTGCCTCCAGCCTACAATAGTCCGGAGCACAACATCAAAGACGGAGAGATGAAGTTTGCCCGGTAAGTCGCTTCCGAAGCATGAACTGACAAATCGACAAGTCTGACCATAAGTAGAGAAGATTTACAGCGAATGTTCGACAAACAAATCGAGAAGCTATTCAGACTCATTGATACTCAACTAGAAAGCTTATATCGCAAGCATCCTTATGAGAGAGTGGTAATACTTCGCCTCATTTCTGTCCTAAGCGTCAATCTAACACTCGACAGTCCCACCTCGTACTCTCCGGCGGTCTCGGAAACTCGTCCTACGTCCAACAACGCCTAAGCGCCCGCTACGCCTACAGCTCCAACTCACCACATTCTAACGCAAACACAATGCAAGTGCGCATCGCTCCAGACCCCCAACTCGCGGTCTGCAAAGGGCTAGTCGCCGACCGCGTCCGCAAGCTAACAACCAGCCAATCCATTCTCGGCTGGCGGTGCTGTCGCGCGTCCTACGGCACCATCTGCAAGATCTTGTACAACAAAAAGAACCCCGAACACATCGGCAAGCCGACAATCAAAGACCCCATCAACAACAAACTGTATATCTCACAAGCCGTGGCGTGGTTCATCAAGAAGGGGGAACCGGTGTCGGTGGATCAGCCTATCATTCACAATTTTTTGAGAAAGCTGAGTCCTGGGGATCCGCGGAGAGCGTTTCCGACGAGTATTATTACGAGTGATGTGGACAAGGAGTATTTGCCGTTTAACATGGGTCCTAGTAAGATCACTTTTCCCTTTCAGTCGGCAATAGGCTTAACATGGATGTATTAGATGCAAGACTACTATGCGAGATCGAGTCAGACCTCTCCGCCGCAGACGAGAAACGATTCGTAGAGAAAAACAGGCAGTTCTGGAGGATCGCAAAACACTACTTCAAGGTAGAGTACCAGGTCAGGGTCTTGATTGGTGCTGCAGATATCAGGTTCGAGCTTTGTGAGTATCTTCACCTCTTATATTTACCTCTGCCTTTCGCTCAGTATAAATCTCTTTGAAAGCAACCTAACCACCCCAGGGTTCGACGGGCAAAAGCTCAGCCGTGATCAACCTATTCGCGTCGAATGGACTTCCGCAACACCACCGCCACCTGAGCCAGTGATACCCGTAGCAGCGCAATCACCAAGCATTTACGTGCCACTCCGTAGCTGGCAGAGTCACAGTCCGGTCACTAGTATCATCACGTCCAAGGAGAGCAATAATTCGCCTATCAGGCCAGATGGTCAGCGCTTGACTCATTTGTATGCATGAGAAAAGAACAACGAAAGTTTCGATCCAATTTTCTTTTCGAAAAAAGGCGCATTGGATATCCACAGGGGAAATAGATTCATTTTGGGCTATGGGAACTCTACTTATTTCTCGCTCTAACTGATTTCACTTGATTCCCTCTTTTGATTGGCCATACTAAATGCCAAGTAATAGAACAGCTTAGGTGTATTTGACCTCAAAGTAGTGATAAAGTAGAAATGATCCAAGTATTAAGTAGTCCTCCCTCACGATTGACGGTGACAAAGTACATGCTCTTATCGTACCGGAAGGATAGCATGGGAGACGTGACGGTCCTTGACAGAGAGTTATAGAGCAAGTTCGGCCAATGAAAGGGGCCTCCTGTCGTTGTAGAGTAATCTATTTTTAGACATTTCCTCTCCGCCCTCAGCTTTCAGCTCTCGACCTCCAAACTTGAACCTTCATCGACCATCGCGATCAAAGTTCTGTGAATTAATGGCCGATCCTATCTCTGCGATTGGATTGGTCGCGAGTGTTGCTCAACTAATCGATGCGACGATTAAAGTCGTCCAATACAGCAACGGTATCAAGAATGCCTCTAAAGATCAAGCAAGACTTGCAGTGGAGGCAAGCAGCCTCTTATCGCTGCTTATGTCGCTACGATATGATCTTGAAAACATGAAGACAGAAGAGGACCCTTGGTTTGCGGGGATCCGATCTATAGCGGCCCACAAGGGCCCGTTGGAGCAATTCAGCGAGATGATGGAAGAGCTTGCTGCAAAGCTCCTCCGGCCAGCGACGGGAGTGAAGCGACTAGCAAGCAAACTTCTCTGGCCACTCGAGAAGAAGGAGCTTGACGAAGTCCTTGAAAGAACGGAAAGAATCAAGACGATGATAGCTCTTGCTTATGAAAGAGATGATTTGTGAGTCTGTCTTCTTATCTGCTTGGCGTCAGCCTGACTCTTCAAGTGCGCTATCGCTTGCCATCAAGGTAGATCTCAATGATGTATCAGACCGAGTAGATGGAGTCAAGAAACTTCTTCAAGGTCAGCAATCCCAAGTATCAAGTTAGTGTCTCCTCTAGAATGTGGGCTGTCCGACTACTAACTGGTCATAGATCAGGAGAGGAACGAAATCATATCCTGGCTATCTCCGTTGACTTATGGCACTCAACATAGTGATATATCCCAACGACACCAAGAAGGCACAGGGAAGTGGCTACTCGAGTCTAATGCATTCAAAGAATGGCAAAATAAGAGCAGGAAACTTTTATGGTGTCCGGGGATGCGTAAATACTCAAACCCCGTAATATTTGCTCGGCGCTGACGTTCTTGTAGCTGGGGCAGGGAAGACGACTCTGGCGTAAGCAAGTTTTTGTCTGGGCTACTATTTAGTCCAACTTAGCTAACGACTTCGAAATCCAGTTCGTTCATCAATAGCGAAATACAGCGAACCGCTACTAGAACTCCGGGCATTGGGCTCGCTTATGCTTACTGCAACTACAAGCACGAGAATGAGACTGCCCTTAACATTATGGGAAATCTTCTACAACAACTCCTGCATTCAATGGACATACTACCAGGACTTGTGAGAGACCTTCACAGCTCTCATCTTAGAACTGGCACGAGACCAAAGCAGAAAGAAATCACTAGTTGCCTTGCGGAGGTGATTGGTATGTTCTCTGAAGTCTTCATTGTCATCGATGCCTTTGATGAGTACGACGAAGGCGATGGTGTACGAGATGTCCTAGGCAACGCGCTTCTGGACCTGGTTTCATTGCCAAATTCTCATGTCTTGGTCACATCTCGCTGGCTAAACAGCATTCAGAGCCTATTCCAAGGTTGCATCTGGATTGAGATCCGCGCAACGGACCAAGATGTTTCCAATTACCTTGAGAAAAGGATGGAGAGTTCGTTGCGCCTCCAACGGCTCATTAAAAGTAACGATCCGCTAAAAACGCAGATCATAAGCACGCTCGTTGACAAAAGCGAAGGAATGTGAGTTCTTACTACAGTCTTATTCGTCAGTTGAATACGCTAATTGCTAATTGTTCGAAAGGTTCTTGCTTGCTCAACTTCATATGGACACTTTGATTACAAAATCAAGTATCAAAGCCGTTCGAGAAGCGCTGAAAACAATCCCAAGCAAGTTGGATGACACATATCATCTTGTCATGGAAAGGATCGAGGATCAAAACGAAGACGATGCAAATTTAGCTCATCGGCTGCTCTCGTGGCTTACGTACTCTGCTAGGCCACTAACGGTATTAGAACTTCAGCATGCTTTAGCCGTTGAGCTTGCTACGGGCGATGTCGATGACGAGAACTTGATTGACCAAGATTCTATGCTGTCCGTGTGTGGCGGGCTTGTCACCATGGAGGAAGAGAGCTCGGTAATCAGATTCATTCATTACACTGCTCAGGAGTACCTCGAAAGAATACGGGAAAAGCGCTACCCAGGTGCAGAATACACCATCACAGAGACCTGTCTTTCCTATCTTCATAGAGACTGGTCTGCCGTTTCGAGCCAATTTTCTACAACGTCACGGAACGCATCTTACCCCTTCTTCAATTATGCTGCCAGATGTTGGGGAATACATGCACAGGGACCCGTTGAACAGGAAGTCGAGAACCGCATTATAGACTATCTCTTAGATGATTTCGCGGTCATTCCTGCCGCGCGAATGCTCCAGGACGATCTCAACCTCGTAACTGGTCCCAATCGTAGCATACAATATGGCGTCCATGTCGCAGCCTACTTTGGCTTGGGTCATACTCTGGCATGCCTGCTTGAGCGTGGAGCAGACGGCGAGCGCTTGAACGGCTTTGGCCAGTCGGCGCTAACCATCGCTGCGTCCAGAAATCACAGAGTTTGCCTCAGAGTACTTCTCGATCAGGATATCCAATGCGAGCTTGGACTCTTCCGTCACTGGACTCTGTTGCATATCTCGGCCATTCTCGGACAGCTTGATCTGGCAAAAGAAGCCATTGCTAAAGATGAAGGCTTGTTGAGCAAAATCGATCCACTTGCAGTAGCAAATGATGGGTGGACGGCACTACATCGCGCAGCGTTCAATGGCCGCGATACCATGGTGGACTTTTTCTTGAAGAGCGGGGTGAGTGTCGAGTCTAAAGATGTACAAGGATCTACGGCCGTGCACATAGCTGCTACTAATGGTTATGCATCCGTTATAGAAGCACTGGCGCGATACGACGTGGATGTTAATTGCAAAACAAAACACGGACATACGGCTCTGCACCACGCGGTCGTCTTCTGTAGGACTTCCCGGGAAGAAAAGGAACAATTAATCCGATTATTGCTTCAACTTGGAGCAGATGTCAACTGCAAAAACCAATTCGGAAAAACGCCGCTAAGTCTGGCCATCATGCAGGGAGACGAAAAGGTTGTCAAAGTCCTCCTTGATAATGGCGCAAAGGCGGAATCAATTTCGATCTGTGCTTCTGCAGGTGGATTTCCGAGTCTTGCCGCGCCCTTTAGTGTCGTGGGTTCACAGAGTCTAGATATCGTTCATGTGGACCACGATATCAACTCTATTCTTCGCGAGGAAGATATTGATCGGCTCATAGAAAGAAGGAGGAGAAGGCTACAATTCCATGGGGATTGTTTAGATATCGATGGATTCGAGCAGATGCTTGAAATGGACGACGACGACAACGGCCTGTTTTCATGTTCCATATTTTATCAAGGTCTTCAAGAAATACTCTACGGCTTGATAGCGCTCAAGGATGCTCGGTAAGCAACACACCGAAGGACTGATACTTATAAAATCTGACTAATATACGACTTCTAGGTTTGTACCGGACAATTACCCCCCTACTAACCACTGTGTCAACATCCTGGAACTGTGCGGGACTATGGGATTCTCGCCCATGAATGAACACTGTCGGAAACTATATGAGCTTTATCAACAGCTTCAATATGGAGACGCGGACGCGGAAATAAAGGTTTTAGTGCAAAAGATCGAGGATAACGTGAGGAAGATCGAGGAAGAAATCGGAAGGGTGACACTCGCAATTGAAGACATCTACAGCACATCTCAGTCTCCTCATGATATTGTCTAGGTTTTCAATGGCTCGTCAAAATGGGCTACCAAGATATGCTCAAGGTTTAAAGCTACAAGCTAAGATTCGCTCGCTCAGTCATTGATCAGTAATACCTTTCGTGCTCAGGTTTGAGGGCGTAGAGCCTAATCAATTTTCACTCTACTTAGAATATGTCTTCAATCATGAAGAGGTTGCATATGGATCAGACTTGACAGTCCTTGGAAAACACGTGCGGTGATGGGTTTCGTTTATTTTGTAAAGTTCCATTCTGTTTCTCAACTATGAGTTATCTTACAAACACGCCGCCAGCCAAGAAGTCGGGTCTATCTCACATTCCGAATGCTTTCTCAAACTTGGGTGGCTTCTCCAATCGCCCTATATCCAGGGCCCGAGGAAACATCGCTTCGCCCGTGATTGTTCCCATTTTTGCACTAGAAGCTACCGTAATCATGCAGCTGCAGTGATTCTCCCCCGTCGCACTCAAAGCTACCATGAACGTGTAGCCGCAGATGCACGTAACATACCGTATGGTCGAGGGGTGTTGATCTTCCCTGCTCCTCCAGCTCTCTCAAAGCATACCATTCTTCAACAGATCATTGTAAATCCTCTCCGGCATGACATTGCCCTGCGAATCCTCCATCTGGACAACACCATCAATCGCCTGTTCCTGCTTCTTCTTGTCGTTGTTGATCTTCTGCCACAAGTTCATGGCCTCCTGAATTTTCGTAATCTCCCTAAAGAGTGTGGTAGTTGTGATACCTAGCGACTTCAATCCATAGATATGGCGGGCCTCATTGAAGTGCTTGTCAAACGCCCGTCGGCCCATGTACACGAAGTTACCGCAGATCTCGCAGGGAAACTCGACACCGAGACCATGCAGCTTGTAGAGCCAGAACGGAATTGGCTTGCCGTCCCACGCCAGCGGAAGCTTGAGCGGGTTGTAGATTTTGCCTTCTTCGTCTGAGTCGCCTCCGTCCTCGCCACCAGGGCCACCTGCGTTGTCCTCGTTTTCTGCATACATCGAATCGATCTCAAGTTGGCGTTCCTTATCTGTCATGCCTTGCCTACGCTCGACGTTGACTCGAGTATCACTACGCTCAGTCGACATGGCAGCTGCTAGTTTATGGATCCGAAACTCGCGCTCCGCAATCGCGCGCTCCTTGAGGCGATGGAGAGGCATTACTGATGAGGCGGAGTTGTCGTTGGTAGCTTCCTTGCCGCTTCCGCGGGCTTTGCGCAGTTCGACGGCTTTGATGTGTTTTTTGCCCGTCAGATGTGCTTTGTAGACATTTTCATTCTTGAAGCTCTTCTCACAGTCCGCGCAGAACAAACTGTCCTTGACAGCATCATCTTGAGGGGCCGCTGGTCCAGCCTGACCGTTCTTCGACCACCCTGGTACCTCATCCTTCTCCCACGCGTCATCAAACTCCTTGTCGAAAGACTCGAAGAGCTTCTTTAGATCCTCAAGCGGTTTTGTTCGCTCCATGAAGCTCTCCAGGTAACTCGCAAGTGACGTGATGTATTTGAAGTAATCTTCTGTCATCTTGTCGTTGTACCGCAAGGTGCACTGTGGAAGTGTGAATATGTCGAAAATGTCAAGGTACTGCACATAAGGAATACGGCGTGTATCCTTCACGCCCTGGAGGTTGACATATTGCTCATGCAGCGCCACCAGATCGAAGAATCGGCCACATCCCTCCTCTCCCGTGAATCTAGATTCAAGCTCTGCGACCGCTGCGGCTGCTTCTTCTGGACCCCTCTTGTATGCGCGCTCCAGATTTTCGACCGGTTCATTGGGGTAACGCCGATGGAAGCTCTTGATCTCCGCAAGCTCCTCGTTGAAAGCCTGGAATGGGTCACCGGTCCTGTACTTCTGAATGTCGCTTGCTAGTTTCTTGTCCTTGTCTTTGCGGAGGATTTGTGCACGCCTGGCCTGGTTTCGGAAGTGGTCGAGAAACTGCGCGATTTGATGGTCGCGACTCAGACGGTCCCGTATCTAACAACACAAGTCTGTTAGCTTGCTCGTCGAGAGGAAGAAATAGTACTGACATGCTTTGGGTCCTCAAGAACGCGGTCGGCAATAGCTTGCTCCAGTCTCTCCATATCCTCCCAAAGGAGCCTCTCATCCTCTAGCGCACTCATGATTGCGATGTTGATTCGATTTCGCTTTACAGAAACTGAAGTGAGTCTAGGAGTTCAATCGAATTCACAGACGCGAAGGGCTGGGCCCTGCGTCCTGTCGCAACGGTGAAGCACTAATTCCTAGCGGCTGAAATTTGACGAGAAGCAGTGAATGCAATTAGGTGAGCTACTGGGCAGAGACCCAGACCAAGTGACAGCGGTTAGTGGGAGGGGGGTGGGGTGCGGAGGTGAGGTGGCAGCAACAGAAGTGGCGCGTGAAGTTGAAGGTAGAAACGAAGGCGGTCAAGTTCTGCCGGTTATGCAGGTGCGACCACGGGTTGTCGTTTCCAGGAGTCCTGGAGTGAACGTCTGAGGCCACGCAAGACCACACATCCCCAGTACTCGATATGGCGCTGCCCAAGGGTATACGCATTCTGGCGGCGGCCACACTATGTATCTTTTTCTACATGGTTGTACAGATTTTCAAGGCTCCCGAGTCCCTCGAGGCGCCAGGGAGCGGGAAGTTGGGAAAGTTAGACAAATGGACCAAAGACCCCCAATTAGATCGTATGTCCATACCTGTTTGCTCTCTTCACATTCTGATCGTCTCTAGCATCCGGAGAACCCCCAGAGCCCCTCCGAAGAGTCGAGGGCGACAACTACGAGCCCAACAACCCCAACTCAGCCCGGATTAATGCCACGATACTCTCGCTGGTGCGCAATGAGGAATTGGACGACTTGCTGCAGTCTATGAACGACCTCGAGCGAACATGGAACCACAAATTCAACTACCCCTGGACCTTCTTCAACGACGTCCCCTTCACAGAAGAGTTCAAGAAGCGCACGCGAGCTGCCACAAAAGCCGCAGTCCATTACGGTACCACCCCCTCCACTATCACCCCAAACCCCCAATCCCTCTAACGCGCGCCCCAGAAATCGTGCCCAAAGAGCACTGGGACGTGCCCAGCTGGATCAACATGGACCTCTTCGGCGAATCCGTGTCCGTCCTCACCGAGCAAAAAGTGCAATACATGCCCAAGCTCTCCTACCACCAGATGTGCCGGTGGAACAGCGGCCTCTTCGTGAAACACCCCGCGCTCGCGCACACGCAGTACTACTGGCGCGTGGAGCCCAAGGTGCACTTCTTCTGCGACGTCGACTACGACGTCTTCCGCTGGATGCAGGACCACAACAAGACGTACGGCTTCAACATCAACATCTACGACTCGCCCGAGTCGGTCACAACGCTGTGGCCCGAGACGCGCAAGTTCATGGCGGACCACCCGGAGTACCTGAAGGAGAACAACGCGATCGAGTGGCTGCAGGATAAGGAGCGGCGGCCGGGGCATAATAAGCTCGCGCATGGATACTCGACGTGCCATTTTTGGTCGAACTTTGAGATTGGCGATATGGCGTTTTGGCGCAGCCAGGCGTACCAGGACTACTTTGACCATCTGGACCGCGCGGGCGGGTTCTTCTATGAGCGGTGGGGTGATGCGCCGGTGCACTCGATTGCGCTGGGGTTGTTTGAGGATAAGAGCAAGATTCATTGGTAAGTCTGCGCGCAGCTCTATCAAAATGGTGTGCTAACGGCAATGATTTTAGGTTCCGTGATATCGGGTATCAACATATCCCCTTCTTTAACTGTCCTAACAGCCCTAAGTGCAAAGGCTGTGTTACTGGTCGCTTCACCGACGGAGAGGCGTGGCTGAACCAGGAGGACTGCAGGCCGCTGTGGTTTAAGTATGCAGGTATGGATTAGGATCAGACGGATTATTTTTAGTTCTCTGCTTGCGGAAAACATGGGGTGGCGTTGGGAGTCAGGAGTACTAGAGCTGGAGCCTGTACATGGTTATTGTGATCGCATAGAATTGACCCAGTAATTGGGCCCGAAAGTGTGTCAAATGAATGTGAGATTGCTCTGGACTCATGAATTTAGTATCTTATCAAGTGGGAGGCTGTCCATGTCTCCAGTCATGAAAGTGTAACTGTTTACTGGTAGAACTCTTGGACCATCGCTTTCCCGTTTAGAATGTGTATCTATGAAGTCAGTATTGGGACAAGCAAGCTACGGCTGATATCAGCCAAGCCCAATTCACAAGCAGTCAAAAAAGTGGAGTCTCCAAATGAGCTGTACAATTGCTTTACCACCAGCACGCCACAAGCGGCATACCGCTTCTCTCTCGCTTCATCTAACCGGAATCCAGGGAAATCATATGATGATACAAGACACAAGTCTCCGCTCTCCGCTCTCCGCTCTTCAGCACCCGCCAAGCTCTCAACCCCCCATCTACAATCCCAAACTTGTGCTTTTGACGATTCGCCTTTCCGCAGCAGCGGGCGCAGGAAGCTTAGTAGAACTGGGTGTCCGGGTACATGTTCTCCTTGAGCACGATGCCAAGCTCCTCTCGTATGGGTTCTAGCTCCGTGAGGTACTCCTCATATTGGCCCTTGTTCTCCACCTTGGCTTTGATACCTAGCAAGCAGCCGTCCATTAGTAACGCCGTATACAGTTGTAAGAATGGAGCTCCACACACCCTCGAAGACTCGGACGGCGGACGGGTAGTCGTTGACCCTCCTCGCCGCCTTCAGCGCCGCCACGATGACGGACGGCGACGGCACCAGATCGTACGCAAAGGCGTTGTTGAGGTTGCGCTGCCACCGAAAATATCAGCCATAATCGCCAATCGCATCACACCCCCCTTTCACCGGGGTGCTCAGTGACATGACACCCACGCCCAACATACCTGAAGCTCAAACACATCGCTCACAGCATCGAACTCCTTCTCATACCTATCACCCACGTATCAGATCAGCAATTGCCCTTTCTCAGCAGCGTTCCCCGCCCCCAATCGCACTCAATGGCCTCTCCCCATCCCCCCGGCTACCGCTCCCCCCGCTCCCCCAAGCCATTGCGGACCCCCCATCCCCGGGAAATCGGAAAAGCGTACCTGGCGCTGAACTCCTCAAAGCTCTCCTCCGCATGCGGGTCGTCGTTCAGCCTGGCCGGCGTCTGCCCAAACGCCCGGCGAGCCTGCACAGGCAGCACCCGGCGCGCCGGAGCGGCAGCCCCCAGGCGGAGGCACGGGCGGGCGCGCGAGGCGGCGCGCACAAAGGACATTGTTTTTTGGGGGTGTGTGAGTGGAGATGTGTGCGTGAGCTGGTGTGGCGGGGAGAGAAAGAAAAGCTCGCGGTGGTTGGGCCTGGCGAGCTGTTTTATGGAGGTTGGGAGGTGAGAGAAGAACGTCGGCTAGAGATTCAGGTCACACCATGCACCCCGGTCCGGGTTCGCTGCCACGTGATCGGAAGGGCCCGCTCTATCAAATTTCGATTTGGGAGGGTTTCTTCCCCTGGGATTCTTTGCGTCATGGGCTTTGAGAGGAATGCCATTCGTGGTTATTCCCGAAATCTGCATGGAGAGCTTTGTCTGATACGTGAGACGATATGCAGGTTCTGTAGGAACTTTTCGAGTGCATGCAAATTTTTATTTCATATATCCAAACGCAAGCAAGTAAACTATGCATTACACTTTCTAGTAGCGGCGCCTCCCCGCGCTGTGGCTAGTGATGTTCTAGAATTACATTGACAGTAGTGCTCTCATGACGACCCAAACGCATAACTGATTACAAGGAAATATTTTGCAATGTTGGATCCCCTCGCGGCTTTTCGCAAACATGAAATGCGAACACGGGCGCGTGAAAGCATTCGACGAAAACGGGGGGTCTTGACAGAATTGAAGCTGCTGGTGCATTGCTTCATGGAGATTTTGGGTTGGCCCGGCGAAATCATCCATGGGCCTGACACGCACCGGGGGGGACGTCCAGCGTACGAGTAGCCAAAGCAGACGCTCGATCTGCTTCGTCGCCTGTCCTGACTTAGTTTGTGTGACGGCGGTCGGGCGAGCGTTTACGCCTTGCGGGATCGGGTAACGCGTCCGTTGGGTGTCGCTGACCCTGTAGAGGTAGCATGTCCATTAGCCCGCGAGTGTGCGCCTTGGCTGAGACGCCTCCTGGCCTCTGCGACCGTCGGTACCTTTTCATCCTTCATCTCAATCAACGCGCTTGTAGCCCGACGCCTGCTCTTGGGGATGGGCTTCGAGTACGTGGCGAAGTAGAATGAGATGAATAGGACGAGGTACGAGGTGAGAATGCAGATTCCAGCGATGGCGGCGAACTCCTCGCCGGCGCATTTGCCCGCGTTGGGAAGCCAATCCCAGTAGGTGGAGGTGAAATAGGTCCAGGAGGCAAAGTAGACGAAGCCTGTCTATGGTTAGCGTTCTAGTATGCAAGGCAGATACAATAGACTAACCCAAATCCAAAACAAACTGGACAATTTGCATGACGGTGATGTATTTCTTCCACCAGATGCGAATGCCTCGCGCGCTTTGGAAGTAGTACCAGTACATGACAACGTGGACCATGAGGTTCAGCGTTATGGGAACCCAGGAGACGGAAGTATTCCCGATGAGCTGGGTGTAGCAGAGAAGGGCCGTTGCGCCGTGATGGTATGTGTGGAGGAAAGCTGGAAACCTGTCAGCGCTGGAACTTGTATGGTCTGAGGCTGTACATACTCAAAGGCTTCTTCTTCAAGAATAGGAAGCAGGTGTCGATCAGTTCCACAAATTTCGTGAGGTAGTTAAGCTGGGCCTTTGTTAGCCAAATCCAGAAGGATGGAGTTCATAGCGCGCACATAGTATAGAATGACCAGTTTGTCGGTCCAGCCTCCATTGTGATCGCAAATAGCAAAGAAAACGCCGTTGCGAGCAACGATGGGGATCAATTGCTCCGCAAACAGCGCCAAGAGGGTACCGCTGATTACGGTGAGGTAGAAGTTGTGGACCTTGAAGAAGAAGCTGAGCTGGAAGGGTTCCCGACCGCGCATCAATTCTCTGCCTCCAAAGATTATAACGTAGTATGATGCAAGCATTATGGCCGTGGCTTTGAAGGTCGATAGCGTCGTCTCTCCGGACACGAAGCGGAAATCTTGGGGTTTGTAGCCAGCAACGGCCGCGAACCCCTTCTCGAAGATAGGCCACAGTTCAAGGCCAAAGGGGCGATCCAGCGAAGGAGCGCCATATTGAATCCAATCCGGCTTCGACATGGTGGTGTTGGTGTTGGTGGGTTGGGGAGCAACGGAAGCTGCGGAAAGTTGGAAGGTCGCGTCGAGAAGTTAAAGAAAAAAGTGGTGGACCTAAGATGTAAGACGGCGGAGGCTCAGCACCAATGCCAAAGGAGTGACAGGAAGATCGAAGAGGAGGGGGGAGGCGCGATTGCGATGGCAGATGGCCCTTGGGAGATCTGGTAAGTTTTGTACGGGGTTCCAAGGGTGAGGGTCGGGGGTTGTTGCTCGGGAAGCGGCGCAATGATGAATAAGGGGTTAGGGGGATTGAGCCAGCTCCACCCTCCGCGCCGTGATTCCCGTCCACCCAACGTTTCTTGCAGCCTCGACGCCGTTAGGTGCGAATTGCGCATGTGCTGGGCATCATCCTGCCTCGGCCTGCCGCACAGCCGCGCTTGATTGGCTGCTGCGCAGTGAAGGTCTCTCGTGCCTAGGAATTGCCTGTTCGGGGCTCGTTTGCGACGGCAGAGGACTCCACCACAGCGAGGGGACACGGAGCTGCCGGATGGGGTGCATCGTGGAACTTGGCAGCCGGATTCACGCACATGGAGTTTCTCTCCGGGATGGATCGCGTCGTGGCATGGTGAAGGATACACGAGGATGGAGTTCTCGAAACAACCGCCACCTGTAGTTGCAATTGACGTGGGATTTGCGGTCGACATCTAAGCATCGTCTCACAGCGGGAAAATCACACCAGGCGCTTTGCAAAGTCAGAACGCTCCATGTCTATCAAGGTTGTGCCGCAACATAGCGAAGAGTAGAGGGGCCTCATATCCCAGCCCAACACGACCGACGCCCTCAGTCAATTCCGTACTCCGTCGCGAACCTATGGAAAGAGAAAGTAATGAACGCTCCAAGTTCGTTTTAGGTAGCCCTGTGCTTTCTACCAACGCATCCTCCTTCCAGCTGGCGCAATCGGGAAGAGAAAAAAAGGAGACCGAAACAAAATCCCGCTCGGCCCCGCGCACAATGAAGACGCTTTGTGTCTGCACCTACAAAGGAGGGGAATCGAGCAAAGGCAATAGAGCCAAGCAATTGGCCATGCAAAAACGCAGGTACGCGCCATGAGAACTAACACTGCGTGCTACCCAACCCGTGTCGCTCCTCCAGTGTTGGTACGCGTGGGCCCCGTCGGAGCTCCCACGCCAGAATTGCTGCGCGACACCGATGGCGAGACAACCCCCCCGGCAGATCCAGGACGACTGTTGCTGCGCTGTCGGCCTGACCGTTGTGTCCTCGGCTGCTCTTCTTGTGCTGAATGATGCCGGCGCTGAAAGAAGCAACGACAAAAACAAAGTCAGATCATCGTGCCAAGAAGCATAATAATCTAGAGAAGGGAAATTTTGAAACCTAGGGATGGGACTAAGAGTACATGGATTCGGTCACAGAATTCCCTAGGAGGCTTCGTGAAGACTCGGAAATCAACGTACCGAATTCTGAGTTTGCCTCTCATAATCCTTTGGCCTTCTGTCTCGAGCTGACATCGCGTCGTCCTGAAGCCGGAGTGCTTCCAATCGGCGTTGACTGTCCTGGCTCAATGGATCGGACTCGTCTAACCGCATTGGTGAGCTGACCTTGGAGCTTTGCCCGGTAGGTGCTGCCGGCTTTGGCTCAACATATCCATTCTGTCTAGCTTTCGCCAGCTCAGACAGCTTGTCCCACCTCGATTGTCGCGCTTGTTGTCTTTGATCCGCGTTGTTCTGGGATTCGGCGTAGTCGTGAGAGCAGTCGTCGAAAAGTTGGGGATTGACTTCCATAAACAGCTTCATTGCATTGTACACCATGCCGTGGATAGTCCTGCTACTAGTCAGTCGACATTCAACCAATCAAGGGGAGTACTCACCGATTCCAATGGCCTTTCGAGTTTTCGTAAAGTGGCGCAAACATTATCGGCAAGATGACTTCAACGTTGTCGCTGACGAGGTTGCAGAAGTACTCGTTGTTCCAGAAGTAGAGTGCCCTCTCAGCAACCTAGCAGACGTTACTTTCTGCGTATTTGTGATATAGTGTGCACATACCTGGAAATGTGGGCTTGCCACGGATTTTGCTAGTTGATTGAACAAAGGTTCTTGAACCTTGGCAAACTCTGCCGGGTCCATGACCTCGAAAATATCTTCCACCTCGTTCAAGAACATGACCTCTTTCGTACTGTTCACCTTTGGCCAATATCGCAGAAGTCCCAAAACAACCTAGTTTCACGTTAGGAAGAGCTCAGGAATGGAAGCATCGGATAACCGTACCTCTTCAGTCAACGCCGCATCCTTTTCCAAAAACTGTACTATACAATACGCCAACTGTGGGTGATACATACTCAGACTCTTCACTTTGTGGAGAGGTAGAAGGACTCGTGTTAAGAAGAGCTTATGCTCCTCTTTTAGTGGAAGAGCAAATCCGTTGATGATGGATCCGAGGATTTCCAGGAGCTCGGCGATGCCGTTGAAGCGCTCCGTTTCGTAAACGAATTGGAAGAAGACGTTGTTTATTGACCGACGGATGTATGACCGAAGGTTGAGGAATTTGCCGTATATCCGGTGAAGGGTCGTCTTCAGAAAGTCTCGTTCTCTGGGATCTTCGGAGTCGAACAACTCAAGGAGCTACCAAATTGTTAGCGTTCGGTCAAAAGAAAGTCTCATGTCAGGCTTACCTGTAGGACAAAGCTGTGATCTATGTACTGCTTGGCAATATTGGTATTGAAGTCCTGGCTCTCGATGAAACGGAGGAAGAACTCGTAGACCACTTGGATATGGGGCCAGGCTACTTCAAGAACCGGTTCATCTTCTTCGGGATCGAAAGCTTCGCCTTGAGGATTCATCGGCGGGGGAATCGGCCGGAACAAATTTTTGCTGAACATTTCGACCACGCGAGGATACATCCGGTCTGTGATGACTTGTCGATTATTGGCGACATAGTCAAGCAGCTCGTGTAAAGCTAGCCGCTTAATCTCCTTGGACTTCATGTCACCGCTAGCGTCGTTGAAGTCGAAGATGATGTTGCATTGGTCAATTTTCTGCATGAACAGCTCTTCGCGCTTGTTCGGAGGGACCTCGTGGAAACCAGGGAGCTTTTCTAACTCGCGCTGTCTTTGATCCGATATGTCAAATCTAGACGAGTGTTGGCGCTTCGGGGTGCGGATGCCTTCGGCAACATCCTTTGGCGTAGTCTGGAGACGGTCGTAGAGCAGCGACTTCTGGCCGGCTTTGGGAGGAAGAAGATCGCCAGGCATCGTCTCTGCGGCACCAGGTGGCGGAACGTGCTAAATAAAAGCTAAAGTTAGTGAGACCTTCCAGAGGACGGAGCTAGACAATAGGATTGTGTACCAAGGCGAAGGGAGCAGTGAAGCTGGCTTCGGGGTTCGACGTCCTAGGATTGACGTTACTTACCGGTGCGCTGGGACTTATCACGACGCTTGGAGCGAGCGATTGATTCGGCCTGTGAGGTGTGCCGGGGCCAGTAGCACCTGGACTGCTTGCACCGCCCAACCCCATCGCAGGTGGCTGTTGTCCAGTCAAGAATTGCGGTCCGGCAGACAGCGCACTCGGCACGCTCGACGGCGCAGCTCCTGCAGTTGCGTTCACACCCCCAGCACCGTCGCCGGCTGGCAGAGGTTTATTGCGAGTGTCTATCAGTTGGGTAGTGGACGAGGTTGGCGTAGCGTGGGCTGAGCCGGAGGGCGAGTGGGTGCCCGAGCTCGCATGCGAAGGTGAAGAGGTGCCCGAGCTAGTTTCTTTCTTTTTGGATGATTTGTCCTTGTTAGCCCGTGAGAGCTGCTCATGCTAGGTATGTTAGCTTCTAGTCGATACGGGGGCGGCAGCCAGGCGGATGTAGGGGAGGGGTGCAAGGGCGGGGGGAGAGGTGAGCTGCTTACAACTCTCTGCCGGAAGCCCTTCATGACGGCGGCCTGCGCGAGGACTCTGTAGATGGCGCGAGATACTCCAGTGACGCGGCGGGGAAAGCGACACGGTATGGACGGGCTGCCCCCTCAAGGGACTCCGCAGCAACGGCCAGGCGAACCCAGCGAGACAATCCAAGAGGCGCGGGCAGCGAGCGCGGTCGATGGCAGCGGGGAGCGGGAGCGGCCAATTCAGAGAGACATGGAGGGAGATTGGGCAGGATTGGGCAGGGTGAGCGGTGGTGGTGGTTGTTTTGGAGCTCGAAGCAACGGATGCCACGATACGGCGTGTGAGCGGGGAGGTAGAGGGACAAGCGGCCGGGGCGGGCGGCGCTGGAGAGCGATGAATGATGCTATGTCGAGGGCTGGTCGCAACGAGGTCGAGGGAGGAGATAATGCTGCGAGGCAGAACAAGCAGCTGGAGGGGTGCAGTGGTGAGGAGGCCACTGGGAGACGGGACTACGCTGGTTTAGGCGAGCGCACGGTTCGGGGACGTGGGAAGCTTGGGGCTCGGAAGCGGTGGTGGAGTCGGGAGCACGACGAGGAACACTACAAAGGTATAAAACTGTAGAGCCCAGGAAGACATTCACCTCTGCCCGACGCAGCATCTCCGTGGCTTGCGAATGGAGGCGGCAGAGGGTCCCGCTGAACGAGGCCGCTCTGCGCTGCCGGTCGAATCATCCTCCCACGGCTCCACACGCTCACTCAATCCCTGCGGCTGCGCTGCGCTGCCTCCACGGGTCCACCTGCAGCTTCAATATCCCGACGAGGAGATGGACTCCCCAGCAGCGATGCCGCATGCACGCGACGCCGATGCTGCAATGGCCAGCCCTGCGCCGGACGCCGCTCCAGCAGCCGCTGCGAAACGGCGTGCGCCATGGCTTCCTGTGCCCGCCCAGCCCGTGATATCGGTGGAGCACCCCTGCATTATCAAAAACCTCGACAAAGGCATCGCGTCGCTGGGAGGAGACGTGAGGCTCGGCCAGGTGAGCGCTGCACCATGACTGCATGGGAGCTTGATAGTAATGGCTGCCCCAGTTCTTGGACTCCCAGAACAGCACCAAGACCATCGCCGTCTCGCTCCGCCCTGACGACCGTCTGGCCAAACCAATGCCCTCTGTTTCGGCCAAGACAGAAAATCTGCTGCTCAAACTCACCGTGCCCAAGTTGACCGGGCGTAAGAGGAAGAAAGGCTCCTCAGGCCCCTTTCTCCCCCCATCTGAAAATGGAATCGATCAGACGCCCCAGTCCCAACCTGTTGGTGCCAAAAGAGTGCGTCGCAGTCTGGAGGCCAACGCGTCCAAGTACACGGTGGAAATTGTAGGCCATCTGAGCGAGACTCATCGCTTTAGGAGTTAGTTCTCAATCTATACATTTCAATCTCCTGACCACAAGAACATTCTGACCAACGCAGGTCTACCTGACTTCCAATATGCTGCCTCACGGAACCACCTTATGCAAAAACTACGAGACTCTTTCCTTCCCCTCGATCGTAAGCATGACTTTTTCCATTTTTCGACTTATTCGCTGATGTGGTCCTAGCTGCCAAACTCCAAGCAGCCACTTTCGACCACTCTAAATTGAATCTGCTTCCTGACATTGGCCCACCTGCGCGTTTCAGCCAGTCGGGCATACCTTTCAACTACTCGTGAGTCCATCGACACTGTTGATCGCTCTCATATTCATCCGATCTCTCTAGGTATCAGCAGAATCGCGCTATAACGTACGCGAAAGATGCCACGGGCTCAGGGGATGTTCACGTTGTTGCTCCACAGCGACGAATACCGGTCAACAACCTGATCATCCCTACTGACGCATACAGTGTGCCCTTTGAGACAACCCTGCCGACAGTACCCGAGGATGAGCTGGATAGAGACCATCAAGAATTCATCGCCTTGATTCGGCAGCAGTTTGAGAAGCGACCAATAATAAGCCGTCATGTCCTATACAACACTCTTGGCTGGGGTAACAGAGACAAGATTCGGCTAGCCGTCTCATACTGCGCCTACCGCTTCAAATCTGGTCCCTGGAAAGATGCTGTTATCAAACTCGGCATAGATCCACGAACAGACCCAAAATACCGGCACTATCAAACGATCATGTTCCAGCCATTCCGAAACGAAGAGTACAAGCACTGGAAATATCTTTCCAGAGAAACATCATCAGAAGCATTGGAAAGGATATCCCGAGGACACATATTCGATGGCAAGAACTACGTCCAAACTGGTCATGTATTTCAAGTCTGCGACTTCACAGATCCGGCCCTACGTCGCCTTCTCGATACTCCCGACATCAGGACTACATGCAGCGTAAGACAACCTGCTTCTTCATGTTACGTACTCAATAGAGACACGTCCTAATCGCTCACACAGACTCATAACCATGGCTGGTATCATGCTGGAACATGGGCCAAGGCACGGATCGTAGCGAGAGAAAAGGGGAACATCATTCTAGATGGAGAAGAAGCCGATGACCAACTCTTCAAACGTATTCTAAATCTTCCCGAGCATATCACGACTGCAACTGTTCAGGAGTTGAGAGATAGAGAGAAAGAGGAAGGGAGACCTATATCCAGACGAGAGCTTAAGTTGATAATGTCAGTGCGCGATCTCGCATATGTTCCCGATCGTATGGAACACATCATCAGGCCTAAGGCCTCGAAAGAGGAAACCGAAAACTCAAGAAGGGATATTGGCGCTCTCGATGGCTCTCCAGAAAGCGCGGAGCTCTCAAGTACCGAGGAACTTAACGATAGCCAAAACGGCGAGGGTAGCGAGATCGATGAATACGACGAGTATGACGAGGCCGAGGGTTCTGGCGAAGAATCATCAGAGATAAGTGGTAGCGGATCGTTAGATGTAGGTTCGGGAAGCTTAGAAGATATCACGGATGAGGAGAGGAGTGAGAGCGATAACGGAGCTGTGGATGCGTAGTGGTATAATTATAGAACCGTTGGAATGTCAAGTTCTTTCGAACTTTGAAATTACCTGTAATAAGGGAAGTCTCCGTATTTATTCGAACTTCGCGCCTGAAGACCTCACAGAGCGAGTTGGTGGTAATTCATACATACCTAGGTAGACTTCTGGGCCTGTAGCCCGGATGTATGGAATGCACCGCCACTATTCCAAGAGGCTATTCTTGCGCCACACCTCTAAACTCTGCCCCTCGCTGAAGAAAATCCGATCACTTCACCCCACCATCCTCCACACCTCAGTGCCTTATACTAGCCTTGAATGGCCACATTTGAGCTATCCAAGTTGTGCCTCTGTACAACCTGTCCTTGATGCTTTAGCATTGCCCTTGAAGGAGCTCTTGTCACTATATTTGAGGCGGTATTTCTGTACCATTTCGTTGATCTTCTTCCTAGTACTATCTACACAGAAATTACGCCTGCGGAAGGCACACCGCAGTAAAGAACATGGCGACATCCCAAGGACCGTATCTTCTTATACCCGGCTCTGCAGCTTTCTCCGACTTTCGACTCACCCGGCTTGCCCAGGCCATAGGAGCTGTCGAGGTTAGGGCCGTCTGGGTGCATTTCGTCAATCCCAACATAGACCTCGACGACAAGGAGCTTAGTACGCTGGAACAGCTGCTACAATATGGGGATTCTCCTAGCGCCCAGGATAAACTATACCAGTTATTGCTCGACGCGGTATCCCGGAGCGGCGACCCACGGGATCCCAATACTGCACTATTCTACGTCTGTCCGCGCGCAGGAACAATCTCGCCATGGAGCTCACAGGCTACTAGCATAGCGCATGTCTGCACTCTTGAGGGCAGTGTGAAGCGCATCGAGCGTGGCATGGTCATTGCAGCAACATTTGCGGAACCGTTGGACGCCGAATTCATCCCAAAACCCGACTCCCTCCACGACCGCATGACGCAAACGATTAGTCGCTCTCCACCAAACCTCAATCTCATATTTGCTGAGCATGAGCCCGCACCCGCAAAGAGAATAAATTTGGAGGAGACTGGGAGGACGCCACAGGAGGTGTTACAAAAGGCGAATCGCGACCTTGGTCTTGCTCTCGATGCATCAGAGATCGAGTATCTGGTGGAAGCTTACACCCATCAGCTCAAGAGAGGTCCGGTAGATGTGGAACTGTTCATGTTTGCTCAGGTCAATTCCGAACATTGTAGGCACAAACAGTTCAACGCGGAATGGACTATTGATGGAATACGAAAGCCGCGTACTCTTTTCGGAATGATACGAAATACCCATCAGAAACATCCAAAGCATGTTGTCAGTGCCTACAGTGACAACGCAGCAGTCCTTCAGGGAGAAAATGCTAGTCTTTGGGCCCCAAGCCATCTGACGGGAGAATGGAATCAAACTCGAGAAACCGTCCACATCTTAGCCAAAGTTGAGACTCATAACCATCCCACCGCTGTGTCGCCATTCCCTGGTGCCGCGACAGGATCCGGTGGCGAAATCAGAGACGAAGGTGCCGTTGGACGAGGATCTAAGCCCAAGGCCGGTCTTTCGGGCTTCAGTGTTTCGGATTTGCTCATCCCAGGATTCGAACAGCCTTGGGAGTTGAAAGATGTAGGAAAGCCGTCACATATCGCCAGCAGCCTGGACATTATGCTTGAAGCTCCCATTGGTAGTGCCGCTTTCAACAACGAGTTTGGACGGCCTTGCACCACTGGGTATTTCCGCACGCTTCTTACCAAGGTTCCAACCAACGAGAAAGGAACCGAAATTCGAGGCTATCACAAACCAATCATGATAGCCGGTGGTGTAGGGACAGTGCGTCCTCAGCACGCAATAAAAGAAAAGAATGTAGTCAAGGAGAAATCTCACCTCATTGTGATTGGTGGCCCAGCAATGTTGATTGGTCTTGGTGGAGGTGCTGCATCAAGTGTCCAATCAGGGGAAGGATCTGTTGATCTGGACTTTGCCAGTGTGCAGAGAGGGAACGCAGAAGTTCAAAGACGAGCCCAAGAAGTCATAAACACTTGTACTTCCATGGGCAGCCAAAATCCGATTCTTTTCATTCATGACGTAGGCGCTGGTGGTCTCTCAAACGCATTGCCCGAGCTTGCTCACGACTCTGGTTTTGGTGCAACGTTCGAGCTAAGAGAAGTCGACAACGCGGACAAGAGCATGAGTCCTTTGCAAATATGGTGCTGCGAAGCTCAAGAGCGATACGTCCTGGCCGTTGCGCCGGACACTTTGGACCTATTTAAACGTATTTGTAAGAGGGAGCGCTGTGGATATTCTGTTGTTGGAACAGCTGAAGGAGGCACATCAGAAAGCGAGCAGCGTCTGGTGCTCATGGACCGGGATTCGAAGGATGTTCCTAAACCTATCGACCTGCCTATGTCTACGCTTTTTGGGAAGCCGCCAAAGATGACAAGAATCGTAGACTCCAGGAAATTACAACTGCCTGTATTCAACAGTAGTCTCTCCGTCTACCTCCCAAACGTATCCAAGGATGGGCTGCTTAAGGAGGCCGTAAGTAGAGTGCTTGCTCTCCCGTCCGTCGGCTCAAAGTCATTCCTCATTACTATTGGTGATAGGACTGTCGGCGGCTTGACCGTTCGAGACCAAATGGTTGGACCATGGCAAGTTCCAGTTGCAGATGCCTCTGTCACCGCGACATCCTTGCTCCCAGGAGTGAAGACTGGTGAAGTTATGGCCATGGGCGAGAAACCCAGCCTGGCGCTTATTTCTCCAGCAGCATCAGCACGTATGGCCGTAGCCGAGTCCTTACTCAACATCGCGGCTGCAAGCATCTCCGACAGACTGGCTCGCATTCGGCTATCGGCAAACTGGATGGCTGCGAGTAGTCATCCTGGCGAAGGGGCAGCATTATACGAAGCTGTCGAAGCTATAGGAATGGATCTTTGTCCACGACTCGGTATCAGTATTCCGGTTGGGAAGGATTCAATGTCAATGAAGATGAAGTGGAACGATAGTGCTTCCAAGGCACCAAGAGAAGTAACGGCACCGATGTCTCTCGTCATCTCTGCATTTGCGCCGGTAGAAAGGACAGATCGTACTTGGACTCCTGCTTTAGAGCGACGAGAAGATGTGGGAGAGACCGTCTTGGTGTTCGTCGACCTCGCTGGGGCAAAGAAGGCTCTGGGTGGCTCATCGCTTGCTCAAGTCTTCGGCCAGGTTGGAGACGAAGCGCCTGACGTCCGAGAGATTGATGTTTTGAAAGACTACTACGACGCCATCGAGGACCTACATGAGTCTGGCATCGTCCTCGCATATCACGATAGGTCTGATGGAGGTCTCTTCACTACTCTGGTTGAGATGATGTTCGCTGGACGTTGCGGACTAGAGATCATGCTAGACAAGATATGCCGGTCTACCGATACTAAAGATGTGATGGAAACCCTGTTCAACGAGGAACTTGGGGCCGTCTTCCAAATTCGCGCCAAGGACTTTACGGAGTTCAAGTCGTGCTTTGCTACATGTGGACCACCCCCTGGAATGGTAGAGAAGATCGGAAGGATTCCAGACGCCTCTAAACAAGAAATATCATTCCGGCATGGTATCGATGTTGTTTTCCGTGCCTCCCGACAAGAGCTTCAGCAAAGATGGGCATCCACTTCACATCAACTACAACGTCTGAGAGACAACCCCGCGTGTGCGGACACCGAATTTAACAACATCAAGGACAGCTTGGACCCTGGTATCCGGTACAAGCTGACATATAATCCTAAAGAGAATATCCTTCCTTTCACAGCATCACTATCATCAGCTTTCACCTCCAAACCTCGCGTAGCCATCCTCCGAGAGGAAGGCGTCAACGGCCAAGCCGAGATGGCCTTCGCCTTCAACGTCGCCGGCTTCTCCGCCGTCGACGTCCACATGACCGACATCCTCACCGAACGTGTCTCGCTTGCCGGCTTCGTCGGCCTGGCAGCCTGCGGCGGCTTCTCCTACGGCGACGTCCTGGGCGCCGGCCAAGGCTGGGCCAAGAGCGTGCTCCTGCACCCCAAAGCGCGGAAGGAATTCCAAGACTTCTTCGAGCGCAAAGACACCTTCACGCTGGGCGTCTGCAACGGCTGCCAGTTCCTCTCCAAGCTCAAAGCGCTCATCCCCGGTGCGCAGAACTGGCCCTCATTCGAACGCAACGCGAGCGAGCAGTACGAAGCGCGCGTTTGCATGGTCGAGGTCATGGACCCGCCGGGCCAGACGCCGTCGGTGTTTCTGCATGGCATGCATGGCTCGTACCTCCCGATCGTCACGGCGCATGGCGAGGGCCGCGCGACGTTCCCGCCGGCGACGGTGTCGGCGGCGACGGCGGAGACGTTGTCGGAGCAGGGCTTGGTCTCGATGAGATATGTGGATAATTATCTCACGCCCACTGAACGATATCCATTTAATCCGAATGGGAGTCCGCAGGGTATCACGGGTGTGAGGACGCCGGATGGGAGGGTGCTGGCGCTGATGCCGCATCCGGAGCGCACGATTTTGAGGGAGGTGGCGAGCTATGTGCCAAGGGGGAAAACGGAGGAGTGGGGGGAGTTTGGGCCATGGGTTAGGATTTTCAAGAGTGCGAGACGGTGGGTGGGTTAGGCATGGGGTGTGGATGTTTTGGGAAATGGAGTCGACGTTGGAAAAGCTCTAGATCGGAGGGGAGATACGCTTGCTTTATTGAAAAGACTATTTATGGGATCTATCAATCTTTGTACCATTGCTTAGTACAGGCTTGTGCGAAATCAGCTTTCCGGCTACGATTTGATTCTCCAAAAACAAAACGAGCTTTTCCACTGGCAAATTGTAAGCTCGGTACAGTTTCACAATCCGCGAAATGGTGAAGCTCGCTTGTTCTGGGCCTAGACGCGGGAGGCGAGGTTACGAAGGGTATGACTCCTATGAAAAAGACCGCTTTTGCTCCAAAGATAAAGATCTGGACGAGAGACTAGGTTCGCATAACTCTGTATGCTCCAGTATTGGATTATATTTGGATCCCAATCATTCTGAAGCCCGAGTTCAGGTCGCGGCCCCAAGAATTGTGGTACCATCTAGTCAGAGATGTGGTTATATACCTACCGGTGGAATACAATCGCGGAGACAACTGCGGTTACGAGTGCGGAGTCGAGGTGCGGGGACAGTTGCGGAGACGACTTGCGGAGTGGTGAAGGGGAGTGGCGGAGAGGGCCAGCGGAGTGGCCCAGCGGAGAGAATTTAGTGCGGAGGAGCGGAGAGATGTTTAAGAGGAGTAGCGGAGAGGAATAGTGGAAACTAGCACTGGGTACTGGATACTTGAAGCCACGGAGCCCGTTTAGGGTGTTGCTGGACTATTACCCATTCCAGATTCGCACGAATGGTCAAAGACTCGGACGACGAACGGTGGAGATGCTTGGAAACGTAGTAATCGTCTTGGAAACAGTGAATATGGATATACCGCAAAAGAGATTTGCGGCATATGCTTGGAAAGTGAGGTGGTGTTTTGGAGATACAGTAGCATGCTTGTTACGAACGTAAGACTAGGTATAAGGCTGTAGATTAGAAACGTAATTGTGATATCGAACATATATAGCAGATCCTCATATTTTCTTGCAGTAGCAGATCTATACGCCCACCAACTCAAGATGAAAGAAGCAATCGTCGCCCCAGACCAGACGGTCGAAATCGTCGACTCACCAATCCCAATCCCACAGCCAGGCCAAGTCTTAATCAAGGTCATCTTCTCAGGAAGTAATCCAAAAGACTGATAATACCCCATCTTACCACCACAAACTCTCCCGTGGCCTTCCTAACAACATCGCAGGAAATATGGCGCGGCTTACGGCAAGACCACCAACCCAGGCCACGACATCGCAGGCATCGTTCACGCGCTCGGCGCCGGCGTCTACCAATTCAAAGTCGGCGACCGCGTAGCCGCGTTCCACGAGATGTTTACTCCTGGTGCTAGCTTCGCCGAGTACGCTCTCGCGTGGCAGTGTACGACTTTCCACCTACCAGACCACGTGAGCTTTGCGGAGGCCGCGACATTGCCGCTTGCGGGTATGACTGCGGCAGTCGGGTTGTATCGCTACCTGGGGCTGCCTGAGCCTTGGTCGAGTGCTACACCAAAGGACAGCGAGAAGCGGCCGATTTTGGTGTATGGAGCGGCGTCTGCGGTTGGGGCTTTTGCTGTTCAGCTTGCGAGGTTGTCGGGGCTGCATCCTATCATGGGCGTGGCGGGTAGGGGGGTGGCGTTCGCGGAGGGGCTGATTGATAAATCGAAAGGTGATGCTATCATCGACTACCGTGGAGGCGAGAAAGCTGTCATCGCTGGCATTAAGGACGCCCTGCAGGCGGCTGGGTGCGATCATGTCCCACTACAGTACTGCTTCGACGCCATTGCCGAGGCGGGCACTCACGAGATCATCGCCGCGGTGCTGGATACGAAATTGGGTAGCAGCAAAGCGACGCATGTTATGCCCATAGAGCGGTTTGCGACGAAAGGGTTCAAGTATCCCAAGGGGATTGAGGCTAGTCTAATGATGGTGGGCGATGTTCATGGCCCGGCGAAGGACTTTGGCTATATTTGGCTCCAGTACTTTTCGAGGCTTTTGGAAGATGGGAGATTGAAGCCGCATCCGTTTGAAGAGAAGCCAGGCGGCTTGGGAGGTATTGCCGCGGCTTTGAGGGACTTGAAAGAAGGGAAAGCCAGTGCGGTGAGTCGTGCCTGGATACACTTTTGGAAATTTGAAGCTGACCCAGTCAGGTGAAGTATGTCTTTGATATCGGGAGAACAGAGGGAGTTGAAAGGGCTTGAGAAGAATGAGCAAGAGAGAGTAGGATTCGAGGACTGTAGACATAAAGGTCAATGATGGAATACATTGCCTGGCCTGGTCGTAAACTGGTGTGCTGGTCTCTGACGCGCCTGGATACATCTTGAGAAATTTGAGTTGATTAATTCAGGCAATCTATAAACTCGTCGGGCGACCTCAGACGGCGTCACCCGCGTTTGATGTTGGAAAATAAGGGGGTGCTTTCAGAATCTGTAAGAAGTGACGCTCATTGCAACGGCCGGTTTGTTGGGGCGAACTCCTGTGAAATCTATGCAAGCTCGGTTTGACACGGTGGAGGTCAGTCCATAGGCTTCCAAGAACCTGGACGGAAGGTGAAGCAGTTCATTCTCTGGCGGTGAGCGGAAGAGTGGCGATGATTCTCACTTTTTCCACCGCACGTGACTAGAGACGCTCGGGCCATCCACACGGAGGAACAGTTGATCCTTATAGATAGCGAACCAATGAATTTTGGAAACGGTTCGGCCTAGGTCTATATAGGCTTAGCTTCTTAGCATCTCGCGGCGATGCAGTCCCCCAACCCAAAGGTTCGCGATCCCATCGCGCGCATCTAGGTCGACGACAAACGAAGTGGAGGAGCGCCCGCGCTCAACAACACAAACTGTTTTCCTTTCTCTTTACCATACTTCTAATATCCTGCGGCCTCTGTTTCTCCAGCTTTCCTTTTATACCCACAGCTTCACCCAGGCGCACCGAGACTCCTCCTTCATCCTCCGCAGACATCGCAAGGCTCAACGCCAATGCGCTCCTCTTCCGACAGAACCAGAGCACAACCAAGGGAAATATCCATCGTCCTCGTATCTGGTAGCGACGACGGCCTCTCCAGCTCTTACTCGAGCAGGTGGTCGTCGTTGAACGCCTGAAGATGGCGACAGAGAGGAACTTCGAGGCTACGGCCGCGAAGCTTGACGACCCAGGCACAGGTATGTTTGCGGAACTCAGCTTCCGAGACAGCTACTTTTATATGGAGCCTCTTGAATGTTTTAGCTGGTCACTATGCTAACGAGTCACCGCGCTAGATCTAAAGGTCAAGGGAAATATCGCTGTGGAGGTGCGGGATACCATCGACACGAATTGCCAGGGCGCGCAATATGCCTCATTCTTGCAACACTTTGTGCCAGTGTTCTTGAAGATCCTGGATGGCGCTCCTGCGTTCATCAGCAATTCGCAAGAACAAGTGAGGATATAGGGTTCCCCAGCTATGACCGTTTGACTAATAATGACTCTTACAGCGGCTTCGAAATTGTGTCCTCGAGATCCTTCACCGGCTACCTATGACGCCAGTCGAGACAGTTGAACCACATGCGCAGGCGATAGTGGACAAGCTTATGGGCTTGGTGAAGATCGAAAATGAAGATAATGCGGTCTTGTGCATCAAGACAATCATGGACTTCCAGCGGCATCAGACCAAAGCGCTGGCGGATCGGGTGCAGCCTTTTCTAGACTTGATTCAAGAAATGTTCGAGACGATGGAGCAGGTTGTTCAGGATACCTTCGATAATCCAGCACCGGCTGCGGCTCCGGGGGTTCCATCAACGCCAAACAATCCCCAGTACTCACAGTCCCCACGACCCGGATCTCCTGCAACCGCATTGAACACTGGGCCCGCTGGAGATATTGGATCGGAACAACAGCAAGCGCGAATGCTTTTAAAGGGCATGCAATCTTTCAAAGTGCTCGCCGAGTGCCCCATTATTGTGGTCTCACTCTTCCAGGCCTACAGGACTTGCGTGCACAGGAACGTCAAACAGTTTGTGCCTCTAATCAAGAATGTCCTCATGCTCCAGGCCAAACCGCAAGAGAAGGCGCATGCAGAGGCTAAGGCCGCAGGCAGGGTTTTTACAGGCGTGAGCAAAGAAATCCGCAATCGTGCTGCATTTGGAGACTTCATTACAGCACAAGTCAAGACGATGAGCTTCTTGGCCTACCTGCTCCGGGTGTACTCGCAGCAGTTGACCGATTTCGTTCCCACACTGCCAGATATCGTAGTGCGGTTGCTGAAAGACTGCCCCAGGGAAAAGTCTGGATCCCGGAAAGAACTCCTTGTCGCAATCCGGCACATCATCAACTTCAACTTCCGCAAGGTCTTTTTGAAGAAGATTGATGAGCTCCTCGACGAAAGAACTCTTATTGGTGATGGCTTGACGGTGTACGAAACTATGAGACCCCTGGCCTACAGCATGCTGGCTGATCTCATACACCATCTTCGGGATTCATTGTCACGGGAACAAATACGTCGAACGGTGGAGGTATACACCAAAAACCTACATGACACATTCCCGGGGACGAGTTTCCAGACGATGAGCGCAAAATTACTCCTTAACATGGCGGAATGCATTGCGAAGCTCGAGCCTAAGGAGGATGCACGCTACTTCTTGGTCATGATTCTGAATGCAATAGGGGATAAATTTGCCGCCATGAACCGCCAGTACACGAACGCTGTAAAGCTGTCTGCGCAGTATTCCCAGCCATCCATTGATGCCGTGCCGGAGAACCACATGGCTGAAAAGTACCATCCACCAGACTGGGACGACATCGACATTTTCAATGCTACACCCATCAAAACGTCGAACCCGCGAGATCGGAGCTCAGATCCCATTGCTGACAATAAGTTCCTATTCAAGAACCTGCTTCATGGACTGAAAAACCTGTTCTACCAGCTCAGAGCATGCAATCCAACCCGCATTAAGGAAGAAATTGACGCTAACAACGCGCCGGCGAACTGGCACGAGGTCTCCTTCGGCTATAATGCGGAAGAGGTGGAAGTTCTCATCAAGCTCTTCCGAGAGGGAGCACAGGTCTTCCGCTACTATGGCACCGACAAGCCCAACCCGGACCAAAAGCTCTCTACCAATGATCTTCTCGCAAACCAGCATATGATGTCTAGTGGTAAGGAGGAAAAGGAGTTGCTCGAAACTTTTGCAACCGTGTTTCATCACATCGACCCCGCCACTTTTCACGAGGTGTTCCAATCGGAGATTCCACATCTATATGACATGATGTTCGAGCATTCTGCACTCCTGCACATCCCGCAATTCCTCCTCGCTAGCGAAGCTACCTCGCCAAGTTTCGCTGGCATGCTCCTGCAGTTCCTTATGGACAGGATAGAGGATGTCGGAATCGCAGATACTAATAAGTCCTCGATACTGCTGCGCCTTTTTAAACTGTCATTCATGGCCGTAACCCTCTTCTCCGCCCAGAATGAGCAAGTTCTCCTCCCACACGTCAGTAAAATCATCACCAAATCTATCCAGTTGTCTACGACCGCAGAGGAGCCCATGAATTACTTCCTTCTTCTTAGATCCTTATTTAGAAGCATTGGAGGCGGCAGATTCGAGCATTTGTACAAGGAGATTCTCCCGTTACTTGAGATGCTCTTGGAAGTCTTGAACAACCTACTCATAGCCGCCCGGAAGCCATCAGAGAGAGATCTCTTCGTTGAACTCTCCCTTACTGTTCCTGCTCGTCTCAGCAATCTGTTGCCTCATCTGAGCTACCTCATGAGACCGCTGGTTGTTGCTCTTCGTGCCGGTTCCGACCTCGTCGGCCAAGGGCTCAGGACGCTAGAACTTTGTGTGGATAATCTGACTGCAGACTACCTTGATCCGATCATGGCTCCAGTCATTGACGACCTTATGGCAGCCTTGTGGGAACACCTCAAACCCAACCCCTACAGCCATTTCCACGCGCATACTACTATGCGGATCCTTGGAAAGCTAGGTGGTAGGAATAGGAAGTTTCTTACCGGCCCACCAGAACTTGACTACAAAGCCTACTCCGACGACGAATCCAGCATAGATATTCGTCTCATAGGATCAACAAAGGACCGAGCATTCCCAGCTGCCACCGGAATTGATGTTGCCATAGCCAAACTCCAGGAAGTGCCAAAGCTTCCCGCTGCTAAAAAGTCTGACAGTTTTCACAAACAACAAGCATTCAGGCTTATCACTGCTCATATCAAGCTTCTGATAGGTTCTGATAACCTTTCAGACGACTTCGCACAACTCGTACGGTTACAGGCAAACGACCTCTATTCCGGAAAATACGATGCCGGCAGTGATCTTATGGACATATCAGAGCGCGACAAGTCGATGGTTAAAAAGTCTGTGGAACACGACACTCTCAAGAAGCTGATCAAAGCCTGCATATTTGCGGTGTCCATTCCCGAATTGAAGGTTGACGCGGAAACGCTAGTCGCAAACATGGCGCGGCATTTCACCCTTCTTGAAGTCGGACGAGCGCTTGCGCAGTTGAAACACAAGGAGAAACCGTTCGACGTCAAATCTGGAGAAGGCCCCGTTCATTTAGACAGCCGGATCATCGTGGAAGCCATTGGCGATGCACTCTCATCTGATCATCCCGCAGTCCAGGAGGCTGCCCAAGCCGCAGTCATCGTGATTCGTGATGCCGCAAAAGTGATCTTTGGCTCTCAGGATAAATTGGACAGATTCGCTCTCTTCACACACATGTCGAGAACATTCTGTCATAACTGCCATGCCGAGGAATGGTTCATCAAAGCTGGGGGGACACTGGGTATAGAGATTCTAACTAAGAAGCTTGACCTGGGTGACGGATGGATGATGGACCGCCAGCTCGACCTTGTGCGCGCCTTGACGTTCGTCATGAAGGACATGCCCGCAGATCTCACCGCGAAGACGAGGGTTCAGGCAGAGGAACTGCTCGAGGACCTAATTCGAAGATGCAATTCCTCGGTTTCGAAGAAAGACATGGAGAATCATCAGAGCTCCTTATTCAAGCTTTGCGGCCAGCTGGTTGTTGACTTATCACACATGAATAAGAACGTTCGGCTCGCTACACAAAAGGCATTCAGCATTCTGGCCGAGGTGTCAGGTATGGGAGTCCACGAGCTCATTAATCCCGTTAAAGAAAGACTGGTGACTCCAATATGGACCAAGCCTCTTCGAGCATTACCGTTCAGCATCCAAATTGCATACATCGATGCCATTACATACTGCTTGAAACTGAAACCAGGCGTCCTGGAATTCAACGATCAGTTGACGCGATTATTGATGGAATCACTGGCGCTTGCGGATGCGGAAGACGAAGGCCTTGCCACTAAGCCCCAGGAGCAACGCAATGCCGAGCATATTGTTAATCTCCGAGTTGCATGCATTCGTCTTCTTTCGAAAGCGCAGGCGTTCCCTGAAGTGTCTCCTTCGCCGCCGAACCAGAGCTTTCTCCGAATCATCGCTGTGTTCTTCAAGGCCCTATACTCCAAATCTCCGGAGGTCGTCGAAGCAGCGAATGCGGGTCTGCAAGGTATCCTCGCAGCAACAAATAAGTTACCGAAAGACGTTCTCCAGAGCGGCCTCCGACCTATTCTCGTAAACCTTCAGGATCCTCGCAAGCTCTCCGTCGAAGGGTTGGATGGCCTGGCTCGGCTTTTAAAGTTGCTCACCAACTACTTCAAGGTTGAAATCGGAACTCGGCTGCTCGATCACTTGAAGACAATTGCCGACCCCCTCAGCCTGCAGAAAGTATCCTTTACTTTGGTCGAGCAAAACCCGAAGATGAAGGTCATAACCGCAATTTTCAACGTGTTCCATCTTTTACCACCTGCTGCGGTTACGTTCCTGAAGCCTCTAGTGTCAAAGGTTATCGAGCTGGAGACCGCCCTCCGACGCACCCACTATAGCCCCTTCAGAGAGCCCCTCATCCGCTATCTCAATCACTATCCGAAGGAAGCTTGGGAGCATTTTGCTCCAACTGTCAAAGATCTTGCTCAAGGACGTTTCTTCGCCCAACTTCTAGAGGACTCTGCAAGTGGGGTTCTGCGAGAGACTGTCATGAACGACGTCCAAGGCTTTCAGGGCTCATTTGCGATTGATGGGTCTGACACGGAGAAATGCCAGGCTGCGATTAATGCCATCCATATCGCCTTCGCTATGTCCAAACATCCCGCCACGAGTAAGTTGCTATGCGCGCATGAGAGTCTAAGGAAGGCGCTCTTTGAAGCAGCAAAGTTGCTTGAGACCAAGCTCAGGCAGAACTCCATCGACGAAGAACTTCGCCTGGCAGGCGAGCAGGCGAGCGAACAGATCATAGTCGTGTTCACGAATTACCTCAAGCACGAGCCCAACGACTTGGACTTCTTCTTCGAAGTAATAGATGCCGTTACTTCAGAGGAACTCAAAGCTTCGCCCCTTCTCTTCGACTACATTTATCGGGAGATGATTTCGAGCGAGTCGATTGACTACTGGAGATCCTTGGTACTCCGTTGTATCGATATTTACACTGCGCGCAACACCTCCCAGAAAACGAAAACTTTCGCATTCCGTAACATAGTGAACCCTATCTTTGCTATGGACGTCATGCGGAATTGGGATCGCTTATTTGGGACCACGAAAGGCACCAAGCTGATGGATAAAGCTATGACAGAAACCATCCACGTTCGTCTCTGGAAACCACAATCGTTGAGCGATACCTCCGAAGAGACTGCGCAGCTAGGCGTTGATCATTCTCGAATGGAGCTTCTGCAGCTTACCACGCTGCTGATCAAATACCATGCACCACTGGTCCAGGAAACGCGCAAAGATATCATAAAATTTGCGTGGAACTACATCAAACTCGAAGACATCATCAACAAATATGCGGCATATGTTTTGATTGCGTTCTTCATCGTCATGTACGAGACACCTCCAAAGATCGCTAACCAAGTCTATCAAGCACTGCTCAAGGCCCATCAGAACGAAGGCCGGTCTTTGGTCATGCAAGCCCTTGAGCTACTTGCGCCAGTACTGAAAAAACGCATGGGCACAATGGACCCCAAGATTCCAAGATGGGCAGCGATTCCCAAGAATATATTGGCACAAGAGAGCTCCAACTTGCAGCAGCTAATGAGTATCTTCAACTTTTTGGTCCGCCACCCAGACCTGTTCTACGAGGCCCGGGAACCTCTTTCAGCACAAATCATCTCCTCAATTACGAAGATTGCCCAACCGCCAAATCCCTCAAATGAGGCTAAAAAGCTAGCATTAAACCTGATTAGTCTCATCCGATCTTGGGAGGAAATGTCCGTCAAGGAGGCCTCTGCTTCTCCTGGGAGAATGTCACAATCACCTCAGGCGGCCAAAAGGAGGGTTGATGGTTCTCTTGTACCCCCAGGATCCTTGCCCAAAGGCTTCGTCGCGAACCCTGCAATCAGAATGCTGCTCATCAAATACCTCATTCAGTTTATTGCCTATCTGCCGGAGAGATATCCAGTTCCTACTGCGAAACCCAAAGAGACCACAAGCAGTACGAATCCGTCACCTGCTCAAACAGCTGAGATCTGCAAGAAGGCGGTTCAGCTTCTGCATGACTTACTGTCGCCGCGACTTTGGGCAGATTTAGACCTGGATCTTATGCTCACTAAGAAAATTGAAGAAATCTTATGCGCTGATCTGAAGTCCGACGAAAAACAAGAGGCGTTCAACACAAGGATGATCAATACGCTTCAGATTCTCAAAGTCATCGTGAACGTCAAGCCGGATGAATGGGTTCTGGATCGTATGGCTCAGTTCCAGAAGATTCTGGAGAAACCGATTCGTTTCGAAAATGCTGACGTCCAGAGCTGTCTTCACGCGGCCGAGGAGCACGAAGATGGATCACCAACCCTCAAACCACTATTAGCGCGGGTCCTCGAAGTCATGCCTGAGCCGGTCACAGACGAAGACGGCACCAGCGAGGAGACGCCGTCCACAGAGTTCGTAACATTCCTGGGTGCTGTAGCTACGGAGGCACTCTCGAATGGGTCCTATATATCTGCTGTCAACATTCTATGGACGCTCTGCCAGAAACGACCCGACGAGATCGATCAACATATCCCTCAAATCATGAAAGCCTTCCAGAGCAAAATGGCCAAAGATCATCTCGCAGTCCACAGCAGCCTTCCTGGACAAATCAGTGTGCGAGCTGATGGCGTCAAAGAGATTCTGCGACCCGATGGCACCAAGGAACCTATTGACATGCAGGAGGTAGAGATCCAAACAGGTCTGATTCTGAAAGTGATCGATATCCTAGCAGCACGAATGAATGAACTTGGAGATAACAGACGTCCGTACCTTAGCGTCTTAGCCTCCTTAGTCGAACGGTCTCTCAACAACGCTGTTTGCATGAAGGTTCTTGATCTTGTAGAGAACTGGGTATTCTACTCAACAGAGCCAGTACCCACTCTGAAAGAGAAGACGGCTGTGCTCACCAAGATGCTACTTTTTGAACATCGAACAGACACCTCTCTTCTAACTAGATTCCTTGATCTAGTCATCAGAATCTACGAAGATCCCAAGATCACTCGATCAGAGCTGACTGTGCGCATGGAGCACGCGTTCCTAATTGGCACACGAGCGCAAGACGTGGAGATGCGTAATCGATTCATGTACATCTTCGATAAGAGCTTGAGCCGAACCGCTAGCAGTCGCTTGAACTACGTCCTGGCATCGCAGAACTGGGATACGTTGAACGACAGCTATTGGCTTAGTCAAGTCATTCACCTCATGTTCGGGTCGGTCGAGATGAATGGGCCTGCTCAATTGCATTCGGATGACTTCGTGGTAATGCGAACATCAACTATATTTGGCACATACGCGAAAGACTCGAGGATAGCCGATGTCATGGTTGACGATACCCTAGAGACCTTTATTGCCACACACAGGCGATTCTGCAGCTCATTAGGCGATGTCAAGATTCGGGACGTTTTCGAGCCGTTGGGCCATCTTCAGCATACCGACAGCAACCTTGCACACGACATCTGGGTTGCGTTCTTTCCTCTTTGTTGGTCCGCTCTCGTCAAGGACGATCAAAGCGAGCTGGAACGAGGATTGGTCTCTTTATTGACGAAGGATTTCCATACTCGCCAGATCGACAGACGGCCAAACTGTGTAGCCAGCATGCTTGAAGCCATTGTTCGGACCAAACAACGAATCAAGTTCCCTCCGCATATTATGAAGTATCTGGCCAAGACCTACAATGCCTGGTATACCACAGCTTGTTATATGGAAGAAAGTGCCATCAATCCAATCATCGACACTCCGGCTATCAGAGAAAGTAACCTGGACGCTCTTCTTGAAGTGTACGCGAATTTACAGGAAGACGACCTCTTCTACGGAACATGGCGCAGACGATGCCAGTACGTCGAAACTAATGCTGCCTTGTCATACGAACAAGCTGGAATATGGGACAAAGCTCAGCAAATGTACGAAGGTGCGCAGATCAAGGCGCGTACAGGCACTCTTCCCTTTTCCCAAGGCGAATACATGCTTTGGGAAGATCATTGGGTTGTATGCGCCCAGAAACTGCAGCAATGGGAAGTCCTGAGCGATTTCGCCAAGCATGAAAACTTCAACGACCTGTACCTTGAGGCGACATGGAGAAATTTCGATGCCTGGAGTAATACCGAAACACGAGAGCAACTTGACTCGATTATCCGATCCGTCAATGACGCCCCCACGCCTCGGAGAATATTCTTCCAAGCTTTCATGTCGTTGCTCAAGATGCATCTGCAGCAAGAGACTCCTCAGGAATTCAGTCGGATTTGCGACGAGGCTATTCAACTATCAATTCGAAAATGGCACCAACTACCAAAGCGGATGACGAACGCGCACATACCAATCTTGCAAAACTTCCAACAACTCGTCGAGCTTCACGACGCCAGCGTTATATGCCAAAGTCTTGTCACCACCACTCAGGCTAACTTGGACGTCAAGTCTCAGGAGCTGAAATTGCTGCTCAGTACGTGGCGAGATCGTCTTCCAAACTTTTGGGATGACATCAATGCATGGCAGGACTTGGTGACTTGGCGACAGCACATCTTCCATTTGATCAACGAGAAGTACCTCCGCCTTCTGCCACAACAGCAAGGCAACGCTAGTGGTAATTCTTTCGCATACAGAGGCTATCACGAGACCGCCTGGATCATCAACAGATTTGCTCACGTTGCTCGTAAGCACAACCTTCCCGAAGTCTGCATCGCCCAGCTCAGTCGAATCTACACCCTGCCAAATATTGAGATTCAGGAAGCGTTCCTCAAGCTTCGAGAACAAGCCAAGTGCCATTATCAGAATAAATCCGAGCTTACTAGCGGTCTTGATGTCATCAACAATACTAACCTCAACTATTTCGGCGCGCAACAAAAGGCTGAGTTTTACACTCTAAAGGGAATGTTCCTCGCGAAATTGGACAACAAGAATGAGGCCAATGACGCGTTTGGAAGTGCGCTCTACTTTGACATCAAACTACCCAAAGCTTGGGCTGAATGGGGCCGCTACAATGATATGCTCTTCAAGGAGGACCCTACTAATCTGGAGAAAGCTGCGGCTGCTATCAGCTGCTACCTGGAGGCTGCAAGTCAGTTCAAGAATGCGAAGTCGAGGAAGCTGCTCGGGCGCATTTTGTGGCTTCTTAGCTTGGATAATGCTGAACACACGCTGGCGAAGTCATACGAGACGTTCAAGGCGGACACACCGGCTTGGTACTGGATCACCTACATACCTCAGCTGCTCGGCAGCCTGTCAAGACCGGAAGCGCCTATCGCGAGGCAGATCCTCGGAAAGCTCGCCAAGACGTACCCACAAGCTCTTTATTGCCACTTGAGAACCGTACGCGAGGAGATGGTGTCGGTCAAGAAACAAGCAGAGGTCAAGGAAGCCAAAGAGAAGGCGGCTCGAGCCAAGCCAGGTGCAGCTCAAGGCTCACCACAAATTAAGCAAGGATCCCCCGACGCCCGCCCAGGCTCGGCTTCTAGCTCGAACAGACCAGGCACTGCGAATGGAGATTCCAAGCCCGCCATTACGAACGGTTCCGCAAACGGAGCGAATGGAGCCTCATCCGAAGGAAATGAACAGTCCACACCCAGTGGCACTCCGGCCGTCCAGGCAGTTGAAAAGAAGAAACCATGGGACCATGTGGATGACATTTCAGCCGCACTCAAGACAGCATTCCCTCTTCTAGCCCTCTCTATGGAAACCATGCTTGACCAGATACAGAAGAACTTCAAGTGTCCCCAAGATGAGGATGCCTACAGGCTCATTGTCGCACTTCTTAACGATGGCCTCTCCTATGTCGGCCGCCAGCCTGGTTATTATGCGCAAGAAGTACGACTACCGCCTTCGACAGAGGCAAACATCTCGCGCTTCGCAGAATCAGTACTGCCGTCGCATATCCGCAAAGCGTTTGAGACTGACTTTGTCACCATCAAGCCCACGATGTATGAATACATACAGAAGCTACGGACTTGGCGCAACCGATTTGAAGAACGATTGGACGGGCGGAACCAACGCGCTACTCTTGAGTCCTACACCCACCAGTTAAGCGAGTTCAGTTTCCTGAAGTTCGACGATGTCGAAGTGCCCGGACAGTATCTGGAACACCGCGACAAGAATCAGGACTTTGTACGAATCGAACGTTTCCTGCCCGATGTTGACCTGGTCAGAGGTATTGGGTTCTGCCACCGTCGACTCAAGATACGAGGCCTGGATGGAAGCGTGCACCCATTCGCGATTCAGTATCCAGCCGCCAGAAGCTCGAGGAGAGAAGAACGAATACTGCAGCTGTTCAGAATCTTCAATGGCATACTGTCAAAGAGAAAAGAAAGCCGTCGCCGGAACTTGCAGTTTCATCTGCCACTCGTTGTACCAATCACGCCAAGCGTACGCATGGTCCAAGACGACGAGTCATATATCAACATGCAAGGCATATTTGAGGATTATTGCAGAAGGACAGGTGTCAATAAGGATGAGCCGGTGCTGTACAGCATCGAGAAACTCCGCAGTCTAGCACCTGTAGGTGTTCGTAACTCTGGCTCGCCACATCGTGAAAGACCTAACGATTCCCAGAAAAATATCGAGCAGGCCAATGCTATTCGTCTTGAGACATTCGCTGCCGTACAAGAGAAGTACGTACCGCCGACAATCATTCTCGACTACTTCCGAGCTACATACCCGTCATTTGCGGACTTCTGGCTCTTCCGGCGTACTTTCTCGTACCAGCTTGCGGCACTCACATTCATAACCTACATCATGCACATGAACACACGCTATCCACACAAACTGTTCATCTCACGAGCAACTGGCCGTGTCTGGGGCTCAGAACTTATCCCCGTCATGGCTGTATCCAAGCCTATTCTCAACAACCCCGAGCCTGTTCCATTCCGCCTCACGCCAAATCTTCAAACTCTAATGGGGCCGCTTGCTACAGAAGGCATCTTCGCACCCGCAGTCATGGCCATCGCACGTTGCCTAATGGAGCCCGAAGGCGAGATGGACATGCTCCTCTCTATCTTCATGCGCGATGAGATTACTCATTGGTTCACGACGCAGCACCGTGTGCTTCAAGACGGAAGCAGCCAGCTACGAGAAGCAGTTCAAGGAAACTCGGATGCCGTGGTGAAGCGCGCAGTTACCTTGGGCAGCTTGCCGACGGTGCAAAACTTGCCAGCCAATCAAACTATGGTCGATTTGGTCAGTGTGGCTGTCAATCCGGTCAAGCTCTCTCAGACGGATCCATTATGGATGGCTTACCTGTAGAGCGGGAGTCGAGAATCCCACCATGGGGTTTTTTTTCTTTCCTTTTTTTTTCTTTTCTTGTAGATCTATCTTAGCGATGCGGAAAATGACCCTTAGTACTCGGGCAAGGAGTTTTTGGTCATCAGGGGCAGTTTGTCCTTGCTTCTTTCGATGCGTTCACGCGGTGGTGGATACTGGGTCTGGAGCGGACTTCTATCGGCATATGGCGTTGAGATAGGTGATAGTTTAAAGGGGCAGGCCGCCTAAGTCAAGGAGGAAACCTATTTTCTTCTAAAACAGGGGTTTTCCATGAGTGTGCTGATTTCCAATTATGCTCTGGAATTCATAGATAGTTTGTAAACTCAAGACTGTTGTCGACTTTGTGGTATTCTGCTTCGATATTAGTTTTCTCATGCTCTACAGAGGTCGTCTTTTGATGTTTGACTATCCTAGAAAGCGGTCCACAATTCGAGCATTTCTGCTCCATAAGAGCTTATTATGGCATGCCGACGTTTGGTCAAGCGTTTCGGTACAGTATCCGACTTTCGGTGCTTGTTCCCTGGCTTGTTCTCTAGCTTGTTCCCTAGCTTGTCCGACCATCAACGGCTATCTATCGGCGTCAACCCCACTATTGACTCAAGATAGGTATAAGAACGCGGACCGGAGGGCGCCGGCAGCCTCCCAAAACACTGATCATAGTTAGCCCAAACATACTTACAACTACTACTCATTCAAAATGGCAGCAGCCATACAAGCCCCTTCCATTCCCAGGTCCCAAAATGACCTGTCAACCTTCGACGAAGCTAGAAAAGGCGCCTACGTCTATCTTCAATCTCGCCTAACTCACAAAGCCCCAGCCTCGAATGAACCATTCGAGATCCCAGTAATTGACATCTCCCCTTCCTTCTCCTCATCTCTTCTTGACCGCCAAGCCGTCGCCGATAACATCCGCGCCGCGTGCACGACCAGCGGATTCTTCTATATCACCAACCATGGCGTGCCGTTGCCAACCTGCGCGACCATGCTCAGCGAAGCCAAACGCTTCTTCAAAGCGCTGTCTCCGAAGCAAAAGGAGCTAATGCATTTGCGGAACTCGAAGGTGGGCATGGGGTGGGAGCCGAAAGCGTATACGAGTATTGCGGGGGACTCGGAGACGAAAGAAGGGTTTAATTTTGGGTATGAGGCGGGCTTGGATAAGGCGGGTGGCGATGGGCTGTATAGGAATATTGATGGGACGGACGTAAAGGGGAATCAGTGGCCAGGGGAGGAGGCGTTGCCGGGGTTTTTTGGGAATATGAGGGAGTATTATAGTGAAGTATGTGTCTCTAAAGCTCCCCTAATCCGCCAGCATTCTGCTTCTATTTTGAAGTATCGGAGGAGAGTACTGATTAAGTATCCAGCTTCTGCAACTAGCCCGCCACCTCTTCCGCCTCTTCGCCCTCTCCCTCGCCCTCCCAGAGGATCATTTTGATCCTATGACAACGCACCCAGGTGGCACTGTTCGCCTGCTCTACTACCCGCCCGCCAAATCACCTGCCCCGTTCTCCCCCGACCCAGCATCGTCATCCGAAATCGGCCTTGGCGCTCACTCCGACTACGAATGCTTTACCCTCCTCCTCTGCTCCGCCTCCTCCGGCCTCGAGATCCTCAGCCCCTCCGCTCAATGGACGCCCGCGCCGCCCGTGCCCGGCAGCTTCATCGTCAACGTCGCGGACTTCATGATGCGCTTCACGAACGGCGTGTACAAGAGCACCGTACACCGCGTTGTGAACCGCGCTGCGGAGGAGCGGTACAGCGTCCCGTTTTTCTTTAGCGTGAACTACGATCAGGTGGTCGAGACGCTGCCGAGTTGTGTGAGTGCGGAGAATCCGGCGAAGTTTCCGCCGATAAGGGCCGGGGAGTATGTGTTGCAGCGGTTTTCGAATACCACGGAGGGGGGTGGGGGGTATGGTGCTGCGTTGTAGGCTTTTTGGCTAGATTGGGGAGGAGTTTATGCCTCGAGTTGAAATGGAAACCGCCAACCCTCTCGTGTAGGGCTTTCTTGAGTCTAGCATAGCTTACAAAGTGGCTTGTTCTGTAAATTCACCATTGTTTATCTTATAGCTTGCCTTGCAGCTTGTTTCGGGTGTTCCATCTGATTGTATAGGGTCTTGAATTCTAACAGCTCGTGGCGGACTTTTCGCTTGATTCGCAGAACGGTAAATTTTGCGATCTACCTAGGAAGGACGGGCGACGGTGCCAGCAGACTGCAATAGTCATATGCGTACTAGCAAATGATCTTTAGTGGCGTAATTCCTTGGGGTAAATAGAGAATCTCAGTAAGAGCCAATATTTCCGACATTGGTCTCACTCTGTGATCTTCAATGGGACGCAGGCGGTATTTCCGCTCTTGACACTAGTTGCTCAAAGTCTTCTGCTGGCGAAGGATATCCGCAGAACTCTGACGCGTGGGAAGATGCTGAGGCAGCCGTGACCGGCGGACTAGGCGGCCTGTTTACACTGATTGTATATGTGAACGGTTTGTGATTGCTACCTTCGAATGGTTTGGCGGAAATCGGTGGTGGGGTAGTCGAATGGCTTTCTCGGTGATGAGAGTCACTAGACAGTGTCAAGGCGATATCCCCAATTTCTCTCGCATCCCCTAGGTCCGACCTAGACTGGTCATTTGCTTTGTCAGGTTGCATCTGAAGTATCGAGTCCGGAAGGTCAACCGATTCAAGGGGCATCGGGTCAAGCTCTGGAATCGTGTTGATCTGACAGTCATTCATATAGAGCGTATCGGCGTCGTGCATGCCTTCCAGGTAGCTAGGGGTTAGTGAACATTTCGCCATCTCGTAAGAACTATGCATGGCGTAGCCAGGTAGGCTGGAACCGACGACGGCTTCGTCGGCGTCGACAGAGTCTACAAAAGCGTGAAGGGTTCTGTATGATTCACTTTCCGGCTGTCCATGGCTTACAGAAGTACTGCTCGACCCATCGTCCCAATGTGTGATGATTGGAAACCAAGAGCTGTGTTCAACATGTTGATCGCAAAGGCTATAGAGCCAGGCCTCGCAACGAACACGTTCGAGATGAGATTCCAGCAGACTATCAAGAATCCAAGCATTGACTCGCCTTCGAACGCTTAATACACCGTCATCCAACTGGTCTAGCGCACTGCCACTCTGCGTTCTGGCATTATCACGGAGGAACTCCTCTCGGTTGGCATATAAAGTGTGCCCCTCTATGCGTATGCGTTGCTTCAAACGCTGCATCTCTGCACCGGCGCTGATTAGCCGTCCAATCAAATTGCTTGTTCGGTCGTCGAGGTTTTCCAGGACGTGTTGTAACTCCGGCGGTTCCGGGAAATCTGCCAAGTCTCGTAGGCGATGTTCTTCCATATAGCATTCTTGTTCATCCCTGAGATTATTGAACTGGGTTTGGAGTCTTTCAACCTCCAACAAGGCTGAGAGGTATTCTTGATGGAGACTCTCGGGAGCTGGCAGATGCTTAGAGTCCCTGCAAGCGCCACAAAACAGGAAATTGCAGTGCTCGGAATGGCGCAAAGTCAATTCCAATCCTTTAGCATGTATACGATCAAAAGCGTTTCTTTCTAGCATTTGATATGCCATTTGAGGGATGATGGAATCAGAAACCCAGGAATGTCCCTTGGTTTCGTCCGGTGCTTCCTTCGCGTCTCGAAGGTTTTTCTGGATTTGGTCGATGTTCTCGTGGTAGCAGACATCGGTATTGCCCTTAGGTTGTAGGATTCCCAGCGCTACCAAGATTTCCAACAAAACACAGCCAAGGGAGAAGACGTCAGACTTGGAATTGCGATCACAGAAGTCCGCCACTTCTGGAGCGCAATATCGCCTTGAAAAAGCTCGAGGACGCCCTGTCGTGGTGCTATGCTCTGCTTGACTCGAGTCATATGATATCCCGAAATCAGTGTAGACGGGTGAGCCTTGGTGTATGAGAATGTTCTGAGGCTTGATGTCTTTGTGCCTAATGGCTTGTTGCTTCATGAAGGCTAGGCCACTGGCTAGGCATCCAAAACATTTGAGGAGAATCTGGGTGTCGTAATCGTTTGGAGATTGTGAATCATGGTATTCCCTGAGGAATGTGGCAAGATCTCCGCTGTCTGCCACAGGAAGCAGAAGAAGGCCTAGTTCCCGCCGAGCGATGTACGTAGCGAAGACTCGTACTATATGATGATGTGGAGCTAGTCGACGCATGATTTTGACCTCATTATGAAACAGGCGATTAACCTCGTCAAGTCTCCATAATGTGTAGTTTCGGAAAATTTTGCGTGCATACACAGATCCGGTGTGGATGTCCTGAACCATCTCGACGCTCGCATTTGCGCCATGTCCCAAATTCTTGATCAATTGGTATGGTAGAGCATTTTTGTCTACTATGTCAAGATGATCTCCTTCGTTGATCACGATCCGGGCTCCGGACTGCTGTTTCTGGTTTTGTGCCATGGCTAGACATGCGACGATGAGGTAGTGTGGTTAATGGCCACGTCCTAACTACCACTTGAAACGGATGGGTAGTTGAAGAGATTCGGCGAGATTCGGAGCGCACGCGCATACTCAGACGATGGCGCTGCACAGTATTGAGCTTCAGGAGCAGAGAGGCAGAGTTCGGAGTGTTTCGACAGCCTAGCCAAAGCACAAGCAATCAGCAGCCGTTCTCCGCATAGCCAAGATCTCTTGAAGTTACTTACTACCCCTACGGGCACCTCTCTCTACATCAACCTGATAACAATGCGACGTGAACATGGAGTGTAAAGTCAAGCAAAGTGCGGTGAAGAGAGCGCGGAAAGTGGAATGCGTTGTCATTGAGATTGAACCGGGAAGGCTGTCCTTCTGCAGGTCGTGGCGCTGTCGTCGATTCCGGATTGGATAGAATCACAGCCTCGCCGCTCTCGAGCAGCATCATCCGATCCCGAGCTTCGGCCAATCTGAACAATGGGATGAAAGCAATTGGAGAGTGAGTGTGTGGAAACCTGAAGCTTGGAAACTCTAAACAATCGTAGAAGGTCAGAACTACGAACCTCGGCGAACTGTTCATCCTTCAGGACAACGTCTAGCCTAGCCTCAAGGCTGACTTCTAAGCAGGCCCCCAAGCTATCAGATCCCCCTCGCAAGTGCTGGTAAGATCGTATCGTAGATACCGCGTAAAGCAGACTTGAAAGAGCTAAGAAGATTTCTTTTGCTGGCTTCCAGCGCCGCGTTCTCCCCTCGAGATCGTGTAACGAATAGCCTGTAGGTGGGTTTCAGCGTAGCGCAAGGATAGATTCTCACGCCCAATGATCAAGATAGCCTGCCAGCGATCAAAAGCTCTCTTGATACCTAGGGTTATTTTCGTAAGCCGGCCATCAAACGTCATGACGTGCGACAGCAGCGTATGTCTACCCACATAAACATCCCAGCATCATCATCCATGGTATACAATCCCAATCGCACCATATCCAGCAACACCCCTGAAAGCCCAAAAGCGCCACCGATTCCGGAGAAACCAACCTATGCTCCACTCCGATGCACCTGTGCGCCCCCACGCCTGAACTGAATAGTCTCTCGCCTCTGCATAACGATCAATGCCCGGTTGAGAGCCTGCTCGCTATACCCCTTCCCATCTACGAACTCGCGCTTAAGAGTCGCTAAGCTGGTGTTCCAACCAATAGGCAATCGCCTTCTTAGTTCCTCTTCGACCTTCATCATCTCGTCGTTCAGTTCCTTGCTCCCCTGGCCTTCACCTTGGCTGACGGCGTCCATGGTCGAGGCCAAGAACAGTCGAATAGCTTCATCCACATGAGCCTCGTTTGCAATGGGAGAGAGCGAGAGTTTCGCAAGGGACTCGGTGATACGGATAATAGCTTCAAGCTGACGAACAGTGATGGGAATACTAGAGCGGGCATTCGCCGACAATTCAGCAGCATGGACCTGGCGACGGATGGACACGAAATGAGAAGAGAGCTTTTCTGCGGCCTCGGGGGAGAGACGGGGCGCGCATTTTCTAGAGGAGGAATGTCAGCCATTTTTTTTGAAAGTGAATTGATAGAATGGATTAGCCTACTGTTTGCAGTAGCTGATGTACCGCTTCATCTTGTCAACGGGGATTTCAGCCTGTACCTGATCTTCTGCGCCCCGTCCACCCATGTGGATGTTCATAACATGCTTCGCCATCTTCTCATCACGACCACGCTCGTGCTCATCACGAACGATGAAGATCATGTCAAAACGAGAGAGAATGGTTGTCTGGAAATCGATGTTCTCCCCGGGTGTCTTGAGATCATCGTAGCGTCCAAAGATCGGATTGGCGGCAGCGAGTACAGATGTGCGGGCGTTTAGGATTGTTGTGATGCCGGCTTTAGCAATGGAGATGGTCTGTTGTTCCATGGCCTCATGAATAGCAACTCGGTCCTCATCCCGCATCTTATCAAACTCATCAATACAAACAACACCACCGTCTGCGAGTACCATAGCTCCACCTTCAAGGTAAAATTCTCGTGTAGTGTGCTCGCGCTGCACTGAAGCTGTCAGACCCGCTGCGGACGAACCTTTTCCGGAAGTGTAGATCGCAATAGGAGCAGCTTTCTCAACGAATTTGAGTAACTGCGATTTGGCCGTGCCAGGATCACCGAGTAGTAACACGTTGATGTCGCCACGAAGTTTCATTCCATCGGGGAGAATCTTCTTAGAGCCACCCATCAGCAGACAGGCAATAGCTTTCTTAATGTCCTTGTTTCCGTAGATCGAAGGGGCAATGCAGCTCGCGAAGACCTCGTAAAGATCCGGCCTCCGACTTAATTCCAAGAATTCCTGCTCTTCCGCTTCTGAGAATGTTGCATTGCCTTTCATGGAGTGATCAACATCAGCTGTAATGCCTACAGCTCGCAGATATGGGTTTCGAATGGCCACAGCTGATTTCTGCGCCTGCTTGGACGCCTTCTGTGAATAGATCGAGTACACACCCATGACCGTGCACCGAGACCCCGGGACGACGCGATTCGCAAGATATCGGTCTGCGGAGACTACGATAGATCGTGGTAGCTCTCCCACCGGGACGTGGTCGGGCGCCTCTTGAAGCTTCAGAATTTGCTGGTCGATAAACTGGCTCTTCTCGTGCACAACGACATATGGGTCCATAGGACAGGGTGCGTTGTCCTCTGCCTTTCCCAGCCCATCGGGCTTCTTTTGTCCAGCTCTACATGTTCGAGGAAGGGTCACACCTGCGACACCTCCAGAGATCGGGTAGTCCAGCTCGTCCTTGCAGTTCCGACATTGAATATGGAGAGCGGTGGCTTTTGAGGCCAGGACGGTGGCGCTGATAATGATGCCGGGTATTCGCACAAGATGTGAAACACTAGTAGCGGCAAGATCTCGTATGGAGAGCTCAGAAGCTCCTGAATGTAGAAGGAGTTGGTGCTGGGGTAGCTCCCTAAGCATTTTCCGATCGGAGGGGAAAACGATTCGTTGTGTGCAGATTCTCAGCGCAGATTCGAACTAGAAGTAATTAGCTGGGCAGAAGACGCCAACTTCGAACTGAGCTTCGTACCAAGGGTATTATATCGGCGGGTTCATTCTGCAGTCGGTGTGCTAGTTCCTCGTTGTAGGAGATCAAATGCGCAACGTCGATGTCGCAGTAGAATTGCTTCACCAAGACATTCTCCCGTATCTGGTCTCTGCAACGCTGTCAGTCCGGTTCGCCAAGGCTGTAAGAATCTTTAGATAGTCCTACCTGTATACAAAGACATTGTTGATGTGGAACTCCATAATGAAGTCGACGAGCGCTTGCTCTATGCGCGACGGCTGCATGCCATCGGGGCCGTCATCGTCAATCTGGCTGCCGAATAGCGGCACAGAAATGGCGGATTGTCTATCGAAGGCCATGTTGGAGCGTGATAGTCGTGGACGGGAGTGTTTGCGGAGTCGTAACAGGAGGTGGGATGAAGACGAACTTTGGGACGCGATCTAGCGCGTTGTCGCGTAGAAAACCACTTAAACTCCAATTGGTCCGTTAGTAAGCAAGTATCTTATTTAACGTAGTCGGCAAGCTAGTGGGCCATGCAAGCTAGTGGGCCACCCAATTATTGGTGCGATTTAGACCTTTTAGCACCCTAGCAATCTTAACAATCACAGAATATTCCAGGTTGTGACTTAGGATAATGATATCCGTGGTTATTTTAATATCATCTGTTAATTTTTTAGATCTCTTGATAGCCCTGTTTAGCCGCAGTAAAATGTTGCCTAGTTTTGGCCCCTAAAATCAAGTAATACCTACAATATAATAGGATTACGCTGCTATACTGCTCCAAACATTCTCTTAGCTATTAAAATGAGCTAGATAGTATATGCAATCTTAAAGCTATACTTTATATCTCGTAGTTGTTGAGATTGCTGGGGTGCTAAAAGGTCTAAATCGCACCAAAAATTGGGTGGCCCACTAGCTTGCATGGCCCACTAGCTTGCCGACTACGTTACTCGTATGCTATGCCTGCATTTCATCTCCATCACTTCAACAATACTTTCTACGCTCCATCAACAATGGCATCCACCCTTCAAAGCGGTCCTACCGCTCCCTCAGAAACCCCCAACACCCACGAACTCTCATTCCCTCTCCCGCGCGCCCCGCAATCCCACATCCACCTCCACCTAACTAACCACACCACCTCTCTGCTCCTCTTTCTCACAAGCTCCGGGGAGTCCGCGTCCACATTATCCTCACTGGGTAGCTTCGTGTATGCAATGCCGAACGTAGGCCTCACTTAAATCTCCCTATACTTTGTTATAATTTTGGGGTTCTAAGCTAATGCGATTTAATGGTGGATAGAGAACCGGAGGACAACCGCTCAGCACACCACTATATACCCAAGGCTCCACATTGGATTTCGCGACTAGGTTGGCGAGGGTGCTGGCGAAAAAGGTGGGCAAGCCGGTGTATGTGGGCAACTCGGTCAGCTTTGCGGGGGCGGGGATGGGGGGAACGGTTGAGGAGGAGATGGAGGGGTTTAGAAGGTGTGTGGAGGTGGTTGTCGGGGTCTTGGAAAGAGAGAAAGACGTCAAGGAATGAAAAGACACATGATGTGCTATGAAAAACTCGGTATTTCAGGGCACTAGGAGGGCATATCCTGAGGGATGGCGAATGCACGAGTATGAGATCATGTCCAAAAACAAAAGGCAAAAAGGCGTAAAGAGCGTAGGTACTGTTTAATATCTGAAGGTGTTACATTCCACTCGAAAAACCGCCAAGAGGACAACGCTCCTGCTTAAGGTAAGACCTATGGACGACTGAAGCTTCAGTTCATCCCCTCCAAGCGCTCCTTAGCACTATCCTTGGCGTCCTGGGACACATTGGGATTCTTCAGCGTCGCTTTCAAACCACCAGCACTACCGGAAGGAGTCAGTTATCCAACTATAGAAGCTTTAGAATTACTCGGCACGTACACGTTGTTGGGATTCTTGTTCTCATCCCTGTCGGCACTGGTCCCAACATTTCCGCCATCCAAATCCTGCTCGAGGACCTCGCGGGAGTGTTGCTTAGACTCTTCGGAGGTGTCTACAAACGCAATCAGGATTATGATTGTTATAGGAGAGGAAAAGGACAAAAGAGCTTACTGGGGTTGTTGAGATTAGCCTTGTGGCCACCAGCGACATTTCCGAGGTTAGACATGGTGATGGAAGAGTTGATTTGGACGGTTTGGGAAGGCTTGGAGTTTGATGTGCGATATGGATTGAAGGCGAATGGGGTGAGATTCTAACAACATACTTCTCGGGAGTCTTTATACCATCTGGAAAGGTATTTTCGATGACGGAAAACAGTCATACTGTTTCGAAAGCGACCGGCAAAAGATGAAGACTTTCATCGGCTCGTCATACATGCACCTAGGACACGATATCGCTGCACGCCACATCACACTCTTTGCCGATTGTGACATACTGGAGTCGTTGCAAGGGCAATTCTAAGAGAGGCGACGTCGTGGAAAAGCTCCACGATCCAACTTACAAGGATACTACGGCTGCCTGTGCACATGTTGACACCGATCACCAGGTGTGGGGCGATGCCAGACGGGATGTCCACGGAGTCTAGTGGCGGATCTAGAATCGATCTGCAACTACCTATGATCTTAGATCACCCCAAATCCAGGAACTCAGACTTGGCAAGGAACTAATGGCGGTGAGAGGTGCGGAGAAAGGGCTGTGCAGGATGAGGAATGTGATCCGATTTTACAATGATGTCTAACTCGCTATATTTTTTGGGATTTTTTTTTTAGATTTGTAGCCTCTCCGTCCTTCTCCTATCGTCACTGTGCCATTCACAGGTCCATCCCGCACTGGCATTAAGTCTTGAAATCCATAAATAGCACAACTACCCATTTGTGTGATTGAATTGCGTGTAGACAAATTAGCGCCGCAGTAGTGCATTCTGTATGTTGACATCAGAACCACACGGACGTGACGTGGAAATGAATCACCGCGTCTAATGACACGCAGTCACGGGGGGCCAGCCCGATCTCGGGAGCCACTTAGGTATCGTCTAATTAAGCTATCACTTCATTGGCTGGTTCTTTCACCGTGCTCCTCTGACCATAGCGCAGGAGGCTAATCCATGACGTGGTATCAATGCGGTCACCTTCTACAGACGGGGAGTTTAATGCCGCACGCGGGCTGTGATATCTTTCTGAATATATAGAATTGCAGTACTAAGACATGAGTCTGGGCACTGCTTGCAACTGCATAGGGTACCCTGACAGGCTTTGGAAACTCCAAATACGATGTCAAGGCTAACGCAGTGGGGCTTAGACTGCCTTTTGACTAAGTGAAGACGTGTTACCTAGGGCACTCCTTACAGTGGTGCCGAGAGAGCAAGAGTGAAGTCAGAGTAGCGCTATATCTGTGTGCCCAAACTTATGACCCAGTACTGTAGTGACGGAAAGTAGATTACCTCGCCACCAGCTTGAGATACCAATACTACAGTGCCTCGCTATGAGTGTTTTGCACGAGTTACTATGTGACACACTTCATCATAACTACGCGTGGAACAAGACGAACAGTCTCCAATATATTCACTCTTCCTAGCCGCTAGGCAGCTAATCATCATCAAATCCCCGCCTAGCTCCAAAATCTACTCGGCCTCTTCCCGCCCTTCCACCCACACCCCTTCTTCAACAAAAACCCCGCCGTATCATGACTCCCCACATTAGCCACCACTCCACCCCCGAAACACCCCAGTTTCGTGTCCGTCCAAATATCCACCACTTCATACATCTCTCCCCCCTTCACACCCGGGATCTCCGTGAAGTTCGCAAACTTCTCCACAGTCTCCCCACCCGGGTTAAACAAGAGCACCAAAACCCCCGCCTGGCTGTCGCCGGCCCAGAATTCCGCCGGCCACGTCGCGTTGAACGTCCAATCCGGGTTCGTGCCCCACTTGTACGGCATCGCCGGCTTGCCGAACACCGCGTCCTGGTTGAACGCGAGGAGGTACTTGTTCTTCAAAATCGCGACATTGGCGTCGGAGAGCGTGTCCAGCGCCGTGCCGATGAGGAGGGGGGACTTCATCGCGGCCCAGAGAGCGAAGTGGGAGCGCGTTTCGGCGGGCGTGAGGTCGCCGTTGCCGACTTCGAGCATGTCCGGGTCCGGGTGGCCCCAGAAATCGGCGTAGTTGAGGTAGAAGGAGTTCTCGTTCAGGATCTCGACGATGCGGGGCCAGTTGGAGGTGATGTCGCCGGACATGCGCCAGGAGGCGGCGGTGTCGTTGCCCCATTGCTGTCTGACGGTGGAGGTACGCGTTAGGGGGGGTTGGATACAGGGTTCTGGGTACAGGCTACGTACGGATTGGCTTCGCCCCATTCGCAGAGGCTGTAGAGGATCGTGCGGTTTTGCTTCTTCAGAGCGTCGCCCATAATGCGGAAGCGTTCGGCGGTGTTGGACTTGTGGAAGTCGTAGCCGGCAGGACATAGGCCGGTTTTGTCGGTGCCTAAGAGGGGTTAGCAAGTGTTGGAAGTTGGGGCATTTGGTCGTCATAGGTCTGTGTAGGCTTGTCTACCACTGCCTGACCTTCCCCAATGCTTTTTCCTAATCTCGATAGAAATGAAAGGTCACCATTCAGCAACTAATAAGAAGCATGCTGTGCCACCTCGGACAGGGGTACAACGAGTGCACATAGGATTTGAAAGAGGCATTAAAACAGCACAGGTAGTGACTCTTGAAAGATCACAAACATATGAAGGACAGAACGGTACGTACATGTCCCGTTTTTGATTGGTCGATAATGGCTCGCCCAAGAATCGGGCACACAAGCGTCGCACTCGTCGGCCCACTCCGCAGGAACGTTGCAATTGTCATATTTGAGGTAGTCGATTTCCCAGTCAGCGAAAGTAGTTGCGTCGATTAATTCGTTGCCGATGCTAGCGACGTAGCCTGCGCAGGTCTTTGTGCCGGCGCTGCTGTAGATGCCGATTTTCAAGCCCAAGGCATGGATCTTGTCAGCGGTCCCTTTGATACCATCTGGAAACTTGTCGGGGTCTGGAATCATGCGTCCGGTAGTTTCGTTCCGCTTGTCTTTGACTTGCCAGCAGTCATCGATGTTGACGTAACTGTAACCGACATCCTTCAAACCCAACTCGACCAACTTGTTCGCCGCGACAAGGAATTTTGTTTCGTTGATGTCGCAATTGAAGGCATTCCAAGAGTTCCAACCCAGTGCTGGTAGCCTGCCAACATCGAGAGGGCGGACAAGAGCCGTACTTGGACTGGGTGAAAATGCAGAGAGTAATAGAAAGAATAGAGAGATCATTTTCATGGTAAGCTTTTCAAGAAGGCATGCAGCAGCTTGAAGAATTGGGAGCTGGAGACATGAGGTTTCTATATTTGGTCTCAAAATGGCGGTGGCAGAAAGGACGGCCTGGGCCTGCGCGGTGCCCACATTTGGTGCCATTTTACAGTCGTAATGGAGGTATTAGGCCTGCTGATTGACGTGGTGGCTCCCACTTTGATGCATGTCAGTTCCCGAGCTTGCATGGTAGAGAGAAGGTATAACAGGATTGAGACGAGTATAGTAGGATATATGCACATGACAGCGCAGTCCGTACACCACCATTCCCCTGCGTGTTATGTTTCGGCAGGGAATACCTACGGAGTAATTTCTGTTTTCAGGCGGTTGTATAGCGATTTAAGAGAATGTTGTAGGCCCTCCCTGGTCAGCGAATAGATTGAACAGCGAAGCGTTGCGTCATAGGCCGTGCGGCGTAAGGAATGTATGGTGGGGTCAAAGCATTTATTTGACCAAAGAAATGACAGACAAAGGTGGTACAGCAGATATCTCAACGGTCTTCTAGAAGTCGGGTGGTGGTCAATGGTGGTGAGTGGCTGTGAAGTTGTGATGGATGCATGCTGCAAGGCACGCGGTACAGACGGCTGACTAGCAAGCGGGGAAATCGGGAAAATCAAAGCGCGCATAACGGCCCGAGCTGTGACCTGACAGATGAGCGGCAATGAAGAGTATTGCGGTAGCATCGTACTCTATGTATATGAGGTATGAGGGTCATTCTCATCTAGGAATGGCTCTCTAGCTCCCACTCCCCTGCGCAGGCTTGAACGCTTTGATCCTCTGCTCCATATACTTCGGGTCCAGCAGCGGCGACGGCATCGCGTACGGATTGAACTCGGTAACTCAACTACCATCAATAATTATACTCTCAACCAGACAACGTATAGCTGAAGCTCACCTTTGAACTTCCGCTTGTTAGCTGAGGAGACGATGGGTAGGTCGCTCTGTACGTTTGCTGGTTGCGTGTATGATGTGGAGGCGAGTGGGGCGGTGGGTTTGCGGAGCGGAGATTTTGGGAGGAGGGGGCGGGAGGAGTTGGGTTTAGAAGCTGTTCTGGGGGAATTCATGATGATGTCTGGAGAGGTGATCTAGGTAGCTTGTTTCTGTATATCAAGGGCACGAAAAAGGGTAGGTAGGCAATAGGTAGCTTACGCTACACTTTGTACGTGATAGGGAATACGCAGTTTGTGACATTAAAATCACCTCTAATCGCTACACGTAACGCGTTCACGCGTCCTACGGTATTCATTCACTTCTGCCAAATTATGGTGATTGAACCATCTTGAGGTTTCGTTCATTATACAGTCCAAGTCCTCCTAGCTACATACATCCCTGACTCTTATAATCATCAATTGCATCTTCTGCAAACAGATACCATATCTCAACAATCTTGCACAAATTGCAATGCCCCAAATGCCAACTTCTGCGGCCGCTGTAAATCAACCGCCTACTGTTCAAAGGAATGCCAATAAGCCCACTGGGATGTCCACCGCAAACTATGCCCCTCGTTCGCCCAATTCCTCACTCCTCCTGGCCTCGATTTCCGCCGCGCCATCTTCTTCCCAACCTCCCACCGGTCCGGAGGCCCTCGCCTGACATGGGTGCAAATAATCCCCGGGAAATTCAAGATTCACGACAAGCCACTCTACGACGACCTCCTGAAAATTACTCCCGCCGAGCCAAACTCCAAAGGTCGCGGATTCCCAATGATTTACGGTAACAGCCTACGAGCCGGTCGCCTCGACCACGCGATCGAACTGACGTTTTGCGATCTTTACGATGTAACGAAAGCGGACCAAATCGAAATGGAACCGAACCAAAGCATTGCGATGGTCGGCTGCAGTCGCTTCGAAACGTGGTATGGCCACCATATCGCCATAGCCAAAGCGGGAACAGGCATCGACCCGCCTCACTACTAAGATATCACGCTAGTAGACTTTTGTGATGTCGTCGATTACTATTCGTCCTATATACCGGGCCATGGGAGTGTATCGAACAGGGACACGAAACGCGGTCCGGCAGTTGCAACCGGGAATGCGAAGGGCGTGCGTGTGAATTGTCGAGACGATCAGGAAGTCTGCGGACGGCCTCAATTCGAGCTTGTCAATGTATCGCGGAAACACCCCGTTTCGACGTGGAGAATGTCGAGGCTGATGTGGCCGAATGCTTATATGACGATTATGGGAATGAGGCGCGGAGTCTCCACGCGAAGCCCTACCCGCCTGATGCCGCATGGGAAAAAATGGAAACGTTGCCAGACCGGCGTGAGAACCCGTTATCGACGCGCTCTGGATAGGGCTGCAGCCCAAGGAATGGGAGCACGAAGTATATGGATTCCCTTGGGGCGAGCCGCGGTTCGCAGGAAAGGGCAGCTTTCTGGTTGTTGCTCGCGACGAAGAAGACTTGACGATAAAGGAGGTCGAGGACTTGTACAACTTTAGTCGAAACTGTATCGTCCCGAACATTCCCCGCGCTCATCCGAGGGGCAGTAAACGGGAGCGCGCTATTCGTAAAGAGATACAAGATCCAAACTTGAGCAGACTGTCGCCAGAGGCGGAGAGGGTACTGCGCACCCGTGAAGCGTTTCATGAGAGGATCACATATAGGGCATTTGCTAAGTATTGCGGCATTGAGTACGATGAAGAGGATGAAGAGGAGGATGAGGATGAGGATGAGGATGAAGAGGAAGAGGAAGATGAGGATGAATAAGAAGGTTGGAAGTATGGACAAAAATAGATACGTAAAGTTTCAGCACCAGATGTTAGATCATTTCCATCGTCCAATGCCGGATAAGAGGCGTTGTCTCCTTTACACTACAAGTAATATGGTATCCTAAAAGGAGCTAGATCTGGGGAAAGCACGGTGGTAAGTTTCTAGAAAGCCGACTTCATGAGCATCGTGCGGGAGGCAATCGATTGGCGTTTAGATTCTCGCTACTTTACTGCTGAACCACTGATACAACCCGACCATGGGCTGTCAAACTATTGCTCACGTGACCAGCACGTGGATATTTGGACGTCATGCAGGTATCCGCAGGCCCCCCGCCTTGTACCTTGGAGTAACGTTGAATGAGCCAAGCCATGGCACAGACAGGATTGCATCTTCTGTTCCACCGTAAGACCTGTAGTCGCTAGAAGGTGGAGTGCACCAGGGAGGCTTCCTTCGAGTCATATTAGCCAGCATCAACGAGCCAAGAAATATTCTTGTAAAGAGGTGCATTCCGATACATGCATCCAGCAGACAAGGGGTCAACTTCAACACATGGACACAGCCCTACTGTCTCCAGGCTCCCGTCATCCAGCTTTGCGGCAAACACATGTCTGCCCTCCAGCCAGATTATTCACAGAAGGGAAGGGCACCAGGAATAGGTCGCGTCCGTTAACCTGCCCGTCTACCTTGCACTCAATATTGCTGGCGCGTGTTGGATTGCTCTCATCCTGGGAAGTTTCGCAAGTGACCTAGTCTTGTTGGCAAACGCCACCAATGACGGTTATGGCACCATCCAGCTTCACCGGAGCTCTGTACGTGCTTTAAGCGACCTTCATCCCGCGCTCTAGCTGTCGCACTGATCTTGGACGGTTGCGGGAGGTGGATTGCGATCGCCTGGCTCGAAGTGATGTCGTCTGGGCGTTCGAGCCGGCCAGGCTATTATGTAACGTTACCTGCGGCCAACTGACGTTCTGAGTCGAGGCGAGGCGTCCCTCGATGAGCTTTCGGATCCAAAACTGTCTTGCGGCCTCGTTTCTTATACAATGTTTGCCTCGCCTTGCGCTGCTGATGTTTGCATCGGCGAGGGCGAATCGCAGGAATGTGTTCCTGAAGGATGACACAATGACAGCAAGGATGATGCGAGAAAGAGAGTTGACCTTTGAGAATCCTACCGGCGGTAAGCACGAATCACGGCTCAGGCTAACTGAGGCCGGCCACCCCTTAATACCCACCCGCCTAAGTCACATGATGTCTTACAGCTCGAGCCTCTGCTGGCACTCGCAGCGGCCCAGACTCGGGCACAGAGCAGCCGTCTGACAGACAGCCGAGAGTGTCGGCGAGCCAGCTGAGCCGAAGCAGCAGCCCGAGCCCTGAAGAGTCGCGGATGAAGGGGAACTGAAGTCTCTGCCTCGCTGCTGGCGCTGCGGCGCTCTCCTCAGTGGCAGGCCCGCCTATTCCTGGAGATTGGCCGGGGAGACTGGCTCGAGGGGCTGAAGCAGGCGGCGAGTAGGGGCCCAGACCAAGCCTTCTTTACGAGACGGGCTCATTTGAAGGGCTTGGAAGGGGCGCGAGCTGACGAGGGGGACGAGTGTCTAGGAAGCAAGCAGCTAGCGTAATATAAACACGGCCGGGCGACTGGACGGCAGCCTGGCGCTACTGCAGGAACGCTGTCGCACATCCCGTGCGTCGTCTGCAATTGGCGAAGGCGTAAAAAAGCACGGCTTAGTGGCTAGCCTGGAACGGCGCTAACCGTGCTCTCGTCTAATCCCCCGACGTCTTCTTAACTGCTCTGCCTCTTTCGTTCTGCACTGCTTCCTCCCTCTCACCCACACTCTTCTGCCTTGTGACCATTCCCCGAAGCTCCAGCTTCAGCCTCTCTTTTACACACGCCTTGTGCGCAGTCATTCGTTAATATAACCACCACCACCCACACTCTGTCGAGTCCCACCGCCCCAACACGCTCTTTTGCACCCTAATCGTCTAATACCCACCCAACACCACACCAAACCGCCGTCAACATGTACGCCCGCTCAGTCCTCGCTGCCTTCGCTGGCCTCGCCGCCATGGCATCGGCCTACACCACCCCCGTCTTCCAGAGCTCTGGTTACGCTGTCCGCACCCCGGGCCTCGCTGAAGTGAGTACCACCTTGACTATTTCAGTTCACAGCAAAAATGCGCTTGGGCATCGAAGCAATGCGCAAATCTCGCCTTTAGATGCGTCGGTGAATAGAGCGCCTGGACTAACCCTCCACAGATCGTCCCCGTCGGAACTCCCTACAAGATCACCTGGGACGTCACCAAGCCCGAGCAGAAGACCGTCACTCTTGTCCTGCTCCGTGGCCCGTCCACCAACATCAAGTACCTCTCCACCATTGTCGAGGACACCCCCAACACCGGCTCCTTCGAATGGACTCCCTCTACCAGCCTCGAGCCCGACACCACCCACTACGGCATCCAGCTGATCGTTGACGCTGATGGCGAGTACCAATGTAAGACTTCCGCGACTCTCCATTCCTGAACCTCAAACCTAACGCGCCCAGACACGAGCCAGTTTGGCATCTCCAACCCCAGCTACGGCAAGTCTAGCAGCAGCTCCGTTGCGTCCGTCTCCAAGACCGCGTACCCATCCTCCAGCAGCGCCATTGTCTCCGCCGCCGCGACTCCCTGCAGCACCTCCTCTAAGGCTGTTGTGACGCCCATCTACAGCGCCAACTCCACCAGCGCGTACATCACCGGTACCGGCACTGCCTATTCCACCTTCGTCGCCTCCACCGGCGCGCCCCACCACAACAGCAGCATCATCCAGCCCTCCAAGCCCTTGACCGTTCCCAGCTCGCTCCTGACCTACACCACCGCCGGCTCCGCGCCCTCGTCTGCTTCGCCCTCCGTGCCTGTCGGCACTGGCGCTGCCGGCCACGTCCAGGCCGGTCTCGGCCTTGCTGGTGCGATCGCTGGTCTCGTCATGGTGCTATAAGCCCAGCACCATTTCGTTCCAGTTCCAGTTCCTTTTTGGGGGTCCACTGTGTCATGTCAGCATCTGCGGTGCGTAATTACGGTCTTGGCCACGTCAAGTTCAAGTATGAAAGTCACTTTGCATGCATCACCCCGCATCGGATCTTGAGGGTTTGTGGGGATATGGTTTTGTTTTAAAGATATCACAAAATTGGTGCTTTGCATTTTTGGTTCGACTGCAACAGCTTGCTCTCTTGTCAGTTTGGTCCGATTGGCTTGCACTGGGGTCTGGTTTTAATTGGGAGTCTGTTTAATGAGATTCGGATCGTGTATCGAATCGGATTTATGCCTTTAATCTTTTTGTGTGCGTGCGTGGAGAGTGATGTTGTGTGATGCTGAAGAGTATGGGGAAAAATCTGACGAGTGGTGGCAGTGCTAATTTCAAAGGAATGAATTTGGCGTCAGAGGCTCGTATTGCTGACTGCATATACAATGCCGAGAAGTCGTTCATGGATGCCTCCCACATGCACTTGGCACGTTGGACTCTCAGCCCTGGCTGAAAATAGTCGCCGAGGTGAATAGTGCGGGACTTACATTAGCATATTTCGTTTCAACTCGAGGCGACATATCGACATCGCGTCAACCGCTCGCATAAACAGACCTGTCGATTGGTAGTGTCTAAAAGACTTTTTGCTTCAACTCTATTAGGCCTCTCCGTCGGCTGCTGCTAACGTACCAGCCATTCTCACCTTCTCACAATGCCGGCAGTCTTTACATCTCATACCTAGGTCAGTCGAGAACTAGTCTACTCCTGCGGCGTGTCGCTCCGTAAGATTAAACATAGCATCTTAGGAGCTACAAATCGCCGCTCGACCCCAGCTAAATGGCCCGCGTCCCTAATTTTTTTTTTGACTGCCTTGCCACGTCGTATTTTCTGTCTTCCATGGCAAATACCTTCGCGACTCAATAAACGTTTCGCAGCTAGATTCTCTATCGTTACCTCCAAATAGAGCAGTCCGATGTCCTTGAGGGATTTGATAGAAGTCCTGATCAGCTTACGCCAGACTCGAAGACAACCTACATCAACTCATCGAAGACCACCCTGGACGGCCTGTATACTCCTGGCCTGTGCGAATTCTGTCGCAATATTGACCTCGACAAGGTCAATGTCGAATCCTATGGCCTGCATCATGCGAACTTTGCCGAGCTTGAAAGTGCGGTCTCTGAAATACTGACGAATACGCAAGACGTTCTCTCAATTGATGTTCTCTCAATTGGCACACAACTATTGATGTAGCAGTATTTGGCTAGTAACTCCTCATATTCCCAGTAATTCGGACAATGTCGGCGAAATCATCCGAACTTGTTTGTGTGCTTCCAAACTCAGGGTCAAGGGATACTCATGCCATCTATAACCACTCTCAAACTCATGTATCCACCAGGCCTCCCCATCCACTCCACACCCTTCCTTCGTTGCTGCTAGACATAACATTTGGCTTTGAGCCATAGAAGGATCACCGCTGTTTCTAGATCATTGCGAAGAAAGCAAGCAATCCACTCCCAACGACAGCCGCGGATCCGACCAACATAGCACCTCCATTCGTCGACACCCCGACACTGCTGCCAGATGGGCTGCCTGGTCCAGCGGTGCCTGAGGGTGGCACGGGGGTAGTGGTGGGGTTGCTCTCGATAGTATTTTGCCCGAGAGTTGTCCGGATGTTGGTTCCGCTCTCCTTCAGGCTGCTGCTCGCGCTTGCCATAAGGCTATCATAGTTGTCGGCCGTGAGTGGGATGTCGGTCGCGCAGCTCAATGGCGATATGGTCTGGCTGGTGGTTGCCGGTCCCGTGCAAATAGGCCATCCGGGACAGGAGGATAGAAGAACTGACTGCGGCGTGGCGCCCACACAGCACGCAGTCGAAGACGGGCCGTCAACGTGCAGGACGCCGGGGCAGTTATTGGTATCGGCCAGTGCAGGCTTCGCCGAAAAAGCCAAGGAGAAAGCGGCCAGGACGATGAAAGCTTGCATCTTGTAGCTCCGAAGACGACAGACGGGACGTTAAGAGTGCTGTTGACGAATGGAACAAGTGTTTGGCGGAAAGGAGAGGTTATCTGTGAGAAATTTGACGACTTCAGAAGGACGGTTTCTCTTTGTTTCTTTGTGCCATGAAAAAGAGGGGGATGCCAGTGTTATATGTCGACCACAAACCGGCCCCGAAGCCCCCAAAGATGGCACCGTCCCAATTGGGGTATTCTGCCCGTTGGAGATGCCTCTCGGAAGCTCCGTGAATGCATACACAACGTGCAGTGCATTTCATCGGTGGCGCCGAGTAAATCCTGTTTGGAGCCGTTGTCGCGTCAGCATCGTCTGGGAATCTGGAACACCACGTAGGCTCAGCGCATTTGTTCCCAAAACGGCAATCCTTGGCACCAACCACCGAAAGCTCAGCGTAGTGGCGTTAGGCACTTGAGTTACTCGACCTTGCATCTGATATGTCGAAAATCTACATGATGAAGACCTATTCAAGGGCATGACATCACAGGTTAAGCCTCACACCGTGGATCTCCTAGCATGTCGACCTGGGCGTACCAACACAGGGGATCCGGTAATGCGCCGTAGCCCCCCGGTGACTAGTTCTGGAGTATCTACAGAGCTTCCAAGGTTGATCAAGAGCGCTAGCTGAAAGCTAATTTTCACATCATATATTCGGTAAGTCTATTGTTATTAACGGCTTCAAGAACTTGTTTCGAACTGGGCAAAAGAGTCGAAACCAAGGTCGACGTTATCCCTTAACCCGTCGGAATTGGTGCGTTGGTATCGATACGGATGCGACCAATGAAAGTTTTTAGGGATGACAACTGCGGCGACTTTCGCATGCTTGTGTACAACTCAGTAGAGCTCTACGGTGCTCAACACACGTTCAACCACCTGGTCCGAGCGTTTCCCATGGATGGGCTAAGGGATATACCATTCGTGCTCCAGCAAAAGATTCACTCCTTGTACAAATATCACTGAGAGAGTCTTCCGGCGCCTTCCAGTCCTTCAAGATGGCATTCGAAGTGCATAGGCTCCACTCTTGCATAAGTACTCCATACATGCCTTGTGTGTTACCGCATTGTCTCTTCGCCAGCCGATACCAAGCACCGAAGCTGTATTGCAGGGGCGTTAAAATTCGAAGAGCCGGCAGAGGAAGCGACCGATCTACTGTCATGGCGTAGTCGACAGACATAGCAATAATGGTGGCTGCCTCCGTGTCCTGGGATTCTATAGCCTCGATATCGAACTGGCTCGAGAAGGGATCGAGCCAGTGCAAAGTTTGCAAAATCCCAGAGAGCAACACCCGGTAGGTCTCGAATCTGATGGCCAATGCAAATTCCTCAATAGATGAGTATTGCAACGATTGTTCTAAAACTTGCGCGACACGGGGCGTAAGGGTTTGGATTTGGCCCACCTCGCCGATAGATCTGGTTACTAAATCTCCAACGGGACTGAAATATAGCTCTTCCGCCAGCTGCGTTGTCTCTGAAAGAAGAACCGTGTTCGTGGGACAAGCGGCACATGCCCGAACGAGTCGTGCGAGACGGGGAATCTTGACGAACTGCTGTATGAGTGCTGTAGAAGCCACATCCGGCGCCGTTAAGCGTACGCACTGGCGAGATGTTGCCGCTGTGGATGCTTTTGTGTCATAGATACAATCGCGTCCACGACGCAAAGCATCTGTGATCTCCTCTAGGTACGTGGAATTTATGAGCATGAAATCAAGGTCCTTCTCTATGCAGGAAAGGGAAGCAATTCGAGAGTGGAGGATATGGGAGAGCCCCCGAATATGCGCCACGTAATGAAACGTTCCGAGTGCAATGAAGACCTCCGCGAAGACGTGGAGCGAGATGGCCAGCAGAATGCTGTCGTCCACTTTCGGGACTGACATTGCGCATCTTAGACTCGTCAATGCATTCTCTCTAGTGGCCGGAGCAAGGCTCTCAGCTACCTCGCGACGGCAACGAAATGCCTCGCCGCTCTCGACGAAGTAACGCATCGCAAGATCAAACGTCTTTTCTGAGCCGATGCGAGGAGGGAAAGTATGGATCCAGAGCGAAAAGGCCTGCAGAGGGTAGGACGTTGATGTAGTGGAGCCCATCATTGCTGCCCATCGCGAAAGCAGCCTGCTTTGTGGAGAGGTTATGGCACGTCTCGGTGCTGGATGGTTGACTCGTCCTTCTTCGCTACTCGTTGCCAAAGATGCATGTTTTGATCTCAGCAGTGGGATTTGCAGTCTACTCCTAGGTTTCTGTATTGGAACAAAGACGTGAAAAAGGGCAGATCCCCCTTCTATGGGCTTTGCGGTTCGTAGGCGTAGACCGCGGCGCTGATCCTGGATATTGGGATCTGTGATCTTAGATATCGTGCGTGTAGAAGTTTTGTTCGTCCCTGTTGGTCGATGGATGGAGAACACAGAAGGATTGTTTGCTGGGTAGATACATGATTTACCCCCGATTTTACATGTGTAGCACTCAGGACGTGTCTCATCGCACTATACTCATATTAGCAGGCAAAGTGGGGTAAAGAACTGACAGTACATGCCTTGATCTTGCGGGCCCTACATGTCGAGCATTTCAACGGCTGTACCATGGTGGGAATTCTCGAGGTTTGCAAGTTTTGAAGGGTGAGTAGGTATAATTAAAACACATTGCATACAGTATAATCTTCTACTCGACTTTTAACGGGATCCGAGAAAATCGGAGGTAGTACTGCGCAACGGCGAGCAAAAGGCGTGCTAGAATATGCCACCGTCGATCAGTTGGGGCCGCTGATGTCAGCCCTGGGCTGCATTGCAGACTGCAGGTGAGAAACAGCTTCTAGCGCACATAAGTCGGTGGGTTCTAATTGGGTAACAACCTTTCGAATTCGGCAATAATGCGAGCGAGTATAGACGATCTCTCAACTAAGCTTTAAGCTTCCAAGTTTCCTACATTTCCTACATTTCCAAGTGTCCAGTGTCACAGCCTTGCGTAAGAAAAGACAACTTCAGACCGAAATCCGGTCAATAGGTCCCAGCTCGCAGCTGAAGCGAACTCTGATTAGGAGAGAACAATCCAAATTTGGTTATACTGCGAGTAAAACTTGACAGTCTTCTCATTGTACTCACTCAGCTTCGAAGCTTTCAGCATCGCGGCCTGACTTTCACAAGATTTAACGACAACATGTACAGGAATACCGCCAAGAACATCACCTCCTTACGTCAACACATTGGCGAATGTTGCTAGCGTACGCACATGGGCTACAAGGCCGGATTACTTGTATTTAAGCTCCTTTCTTTCGAACTTTTCGGGCAAAATCATACCAAGTGAAAACCGTTTGGAGCTTTGTATCCTGTCAACCCGGAAACATGCACTTTTCACTTCAACTTCTTCTGACTCTGCTTATATCTGTCACGTCCGTTGTGGCGGATTTCTCAGGGCCAAGCTACCCGCCGCCGACAGATCTCACCAGCAACCATAGCCTCGTTGCTGCCGGTTGGCACAATGTCACTTCTACTCTCGAGACATATCTCAAGAATCAAACCTTTTCGTCCACTACAGCAGCTGCGTTGAAGAACGTTACCTTCTCCGTGGGCTTATTCTCGCTTCACGACCCAGCTGCCGTAAAGCTGCAGTTCCATCACACATCCCCCGAAGTTGCGAACGCTGCCAATGGAACACACAAGGTGGATGGCGATAGCATTTATCGCCTCGCCAGTGTCAGCAAGCTATTCACTGTCTTTGCGGGTTTGCTGGAGCTGAAAGACGCGGACTGGAATCGCCCTTTCACAGATATTGTTCCCGACTTCGCCGACTTCGCTCGGAAGCACCCAGATAACGACCCCGTACATATCGTCCAGTGGGACAAGGTGACGCCCAGCGCCCTTGCTGCGCAGATTGCAGGTGTCCCACGCGACCCAGAATCTGGCAGCGACATATTGGCCAGTTACTTAGCCGCACAGGCGCTTGGTGAAGTAAGCCTCGATCCGACAGCTCAAGGCTTCCCACCCGTGAACAAGAGCGATCCATTTGAATTCACACCATGTTCAACTGTCAACACAAGCATTTGTACGGCCGATCTTTTCGTCGAAAGTGTGGATAGTCGACCGCCTACATTTCAGCCATGGACAAGCCCAGCATACTCGGACATCGGATTCGCCCTGCTAGGCCTCGCAATTTCCAACATTACCGGCAAGAGCATTGACCAGGTCTACCGCGGGAGTATCTTCGATCCACTAGGCCTGTCGTCCTCGAATTCCTCAAACCCCCCTGAGTCGGAGTGGCACCGCGCCGTTATCCCCGCCGGTCCATTGGACAATTTTATATACCCCGAGGACGTTTTTGTTTCGTCAGGTGGACTTTCTTCTACAACGAACGATTTGGCTAGATTTGGCGTGGGAATCCTAAACTCCACTTTGCTCCCCCCCGACCAGACGCGCAAATGGATGAAGCCCGTTGCTTTCACCGGCCGGCTCGACTATGCAGTTGGACGACTATGGGAGATCATGCGCTATGTGCACCCGTCCGGCCATATAACCGACATCTATCCCAAGAGCGGCAATTCAGGTCTTTATAGTACGTGGATGGTTCTTCTACCAGACTACAACGCGGGTTTCGACGTTCTCGTGGCCGGCACCTCTACCTCCCGATACCAGGCGACTCAACTCATCGCAGATGTGGTCACGAATACAATCTTGCCTGCTTTGCAGGCCCAAGCCGGTGTCGAAGCCGGGCGAAAGTTTGCCGGTACCTACACCTCTACGACTCCGGGCATCAACTCGTCGCTGACTGTGATTTACAACCAAACGGCCATCGCGGCCCCGGGGCTGGTGGTATCATCTTGGATCAGCAATGGCACCGACATGCTCAGCGGGCTCCGGACAGCCGTTGGCGCTACGCCTGGGCGGCTCTTGCCGACGGTTGCGAACCTAGAAACCGGGCAGCAGGCGTTTCGGTTGGTTGGTTCTGTGGATGCGCCAAGTGCACGTTTGCCCGGACAGTTGTTTTCGGGGCCAGGCTATCTGGGTGCGGATTGGATTGGGGTTGATGACCTGACGTACGGCGGTCTGGCAGTGGGTCTCCTGGTCTTTGACATTGGTTCCGATGGCACTGCAACAGCTGCCTCACCGGCTGCGTTCAGGACTACGCTGAGAAGAGCGGCTTGAGTGATGGAGACGGAATTACGGTGTAGGCTAATTGACGGTCACTATCGGTTGGATACTTGACTGTATCTCCTCGCGTTATTTTTCAAGGCCTCGCTGTAACTCGCTTGGCACTGCCAGAATGATGGGTTACTTCTGTAGTTAGTTTATAAAGACTTTCAAGCTGCCGAAATTTGTAATGACCGATCCCATTCGTCTAGCTTCTGTTGATGGAGCTTGACTGTAGGCCCCTTAAGTTTTTGTGAATTCGCTTCTTTATTAATGGAAGGAGGTAATCTAGAACCTGTTTCTTCTTTCGCTTGCCGGATGAAATCCTTTTTGGCTTTTGGCATTGAAGAATATTAGAAATGGAAAAGTATCGCTATAGGACATAGAAACCAGATTTAGAAATGGAAGATAAACGAGAAAAGAGGAGGCGAGGCGCTAATACCCTGCAGCGTTTAATATTTAGGCTAGGTTAACGGGGACATAGAAGGAGATCAGTCGGTTGGAGGTAAACGTATTGGTCTTGGAAGACGTCCTGCAATAGCTTGGTACGTTCAAACGCGGTGGCGTTGTGAGGATGAACCTCAAATCCGTCAATGCAGGTCTAGAACAGAGGCAGGGGAGGCGGGTAATGATAATATGACACAAGCTCGGAGTAGTAGTGGGAATGATACTATTCTGAGCACGGAAATTCGCCTTTGAGATTCTCTCATCCCTTTTCATGGCAACGAGACCATTACCGTCTCCAACACGGCGACGGATTTAGCGACTCCAATTACTTCCAGTCCAACTCCACCAAGGTCCATTAGTACCTCGACATGCCTGAACGATTGGTGGTGTCTGAAGGACATTTTGCTTCAACTCTAATTGCTCGTCATGTTAGTTCTTTTACATCAGCTCCAATATACTCCCAAGATTATCTTCTAAAAGTCACGTGATATGACCTTAGACGCCCCATTATTCCAACCCTCCCCACCCAAAAAGCCCCCTACTCCATCTCCAACCTCCTCTGACTAAGCAAAATCGTCGTATCACACGTCGCGCCATCAATAAAATCATTCATCACTACCACTGTCCGCTCCGCCCGCAACCTATCCACCACATTCTGCCTAATCCACGGCAGGAGCACCATATCATTACTCGCCTTCGTACTCGTCAGACAACTCGTCGCCGCATTCGCCGACAACACACTGTACACCATCACCTCCTTGATGCTCTGGCTCGTCGCCTGGCACTGCAGAATCGTCAGATCGGTGCTCTCCTGTCCTTCCGTCGTCATGCCCTCGAACCGCGCGAGGATCGGGTCCGGCACGAGCGTCGCGTAGGCCTTCGCGGTCCACGAGTCGTACTTTTCGGCCTCGGTGACGACGATGAGGCGCGTGCCGGCGGCGCGGAGCGCGTCGATGGGGAGGGCGAAGAGGGTGCGGTCGCCCCAGGTCAGGGGCGCGTTCTGCGCCCTGCTGCACGCTTCATTCAGCAGGTCAGCGATTTCTTGGGTCGTGGGCCGTCGGCACTGCTTGACAATGTTGTCGTAGCGCAGGTGCAGCGTCACGATCTCGGTGGGGTTGGCGTCGAGGAAGGCGACCTGCTGCGCGAGGAAGTCGTCGAAGGCGATGCCGGGGATGCAGGCGTGCTGGAAGTAGAACTTGTTGGGCAGTTTGGATAGGCGCTGGAAGGTGGGGAGGAGTTGCGCGGGGCGGAATTCGAAGTAGCGCGCGCCCAGGGCGAGCATGACGGATATTTCCTTCTTTTGCGTGATGGCGGTGCCGTAGACGATTTCGGGGAGGTGCTCGAGGATGAAGGCGTCCGAGATGTGCGAGAGCCATTCGACTTGGGGGATGATTTGGCGGAGTTCGCTGATCAGGTCCATGTTGGCCGAGGAGAAGATGGCGTCGCAGGTGGTCATGCTGTTCATGCCGTTGTCGTGGGGCGCAGCGAGGACGAAGCGGGTGAAGGGCTTCTGGGCCTGTGGCGAGCCTGGGGGGGCGAAGGTGCCCATCCAGTATCTGTTTGCTGTTGAGCAGACAGTGACATAGCATTGATCACGGTTTGGGAGGCCGATGTGGCCGTGGCCGGCGTCGTAGAAGCAGTAGGTGATGATTACGTCGTCCGTCACAATGGGTGAGAAGTGTTGGGTTGACATCTGACCATCTATATTAGCCCTTTAGAGCCGTACTATACACCAATAGGCCGCTAACCATTGTGCCGCCTTCTAGGTTACCCGTGAACGTATTGATGTCATTGTAGGCGCTTCCGACAACTTCGCCATCGCGTACGACTTTCCACTCGAAACGGCCTGTAAAATTGAGGTGGCCTGGGACTTAAGGTAGCAGTACACATGTCAGCGGGATTTTAGGGAGAGAAGAATAGCGTTAAGATGAATACTAGATCCTCTGGAGTCAGATTTCCTGAAGCGTCACTCAAATCGTATTCAGGACACCCCTTAATCTGCGCCGGTTGAAAGCGACTAAATTGGGCGCTCAAACGCAAACTGAATGCACATTCAAGCTCAATTTGAGACAGTTCTAGGTATGTACAATGACACCGAAGGGCTCTGGTATGCGTACTAGGACCTTACATACTGTTGTGAGACTCAACCTCGAGATGTGTACTCGAGAAGTTGTTGTCAATAGTGTGCGTAACGGCTTGCGCCGGAACGGTAAACTCGATAGAGTAGCCAGGGACTGAGATATAGGAATAGACCTGAACGCCTTTGCTTGGCATGGTGAATGTATCTGGGATGGTGTAAGACAGATTAGATGGGGTCACAGTTGAAATAAGGTTCGACGCGGAACTCGGCATCATTCGGCGACGCGTCTCCTCCCCTCCCGCACACCACCATCTCAGACCAAGCGCTATCACAAGTCTGCTACCTTTGTACGAGCACAGCCCTCAAGGCTGTCTTTCCTTTAGCCACAAGAATGGCCCGTGGAACAGCAGCAATGATAGCGTTGAGAACACAGGTGGGTGGTGCCCGAGCGGATCAGAACCCGTGGAACCCGACGCCGCCTAGACGACGCCGTCGAGGTATATCCACCTCATGACTAATCTTTTATCTCGTATGTCTCCATTGCCTATCTTAACCTTGCCTGAAATCTGCACGTCAATTCTGACTTTCCTGATCCTTGTCGTCATTCGCGACCTGTAAGCCATTTCACACATGTCTCCCTGCACACTGCAGTCCGATGCAGCTATGCACGCTAGACCATGATTCAATCGCCTCAACGCCATATGCCACTCCCGAGTAAGTTTCGCAAGGCCAACGTCGAAGGCAAAGCGGGGTACAAAGAGCGGGGCCCGACCTCGGGAGGTCGAGGAGTCTACAAAAGCTGCCGTGCCACAACATTACATAGAGCCTACCCGTGCTACACACAACTACCGTCCTATCCCAACGTGTATTGGAAGCCAATTGCCGCGAACATGATCTCGGTGCTCGGATACTTCGTCCCAACAGATGGCAAAGACGACTACGTAAGGCTGACCACCCCGGATATGCAGAGACATCCGAATCCGTGTAGGGAGACCCAGCTGCATGGGTCTTCTTCACAGTAAAACAGGCTAACTTTCTTCAATCAGCTTCGAAACGAACTACAAGCCTTAGTCAAACTCGTCAAAGAGAACGAGCCCGACTGTCTCATATTCGAGCTTCTTTACGACGACGACATCGAGCAATTCGTCATACACAGCATGTAGGTTCTAAATCCGACTCTCACGAGCTTCTATAGCTTTAGACTTTCACTGATATCTCTTTTCAAAGGTTCAAGGACCGAACGGCCCTCAACTTCCATCTCAAGCAGCCATATCTTACCGCTTTCAAAGAAGGAACTCGCGCAGAGTCCTTTGAGTCAATGGATTTGAAAATACACGAGCGAATTGACGGGTTCTCGAGATGACTTGGTCCTCGTGTTGGGTCGGGATAGGGCGTCTGGCGTTTTCTCGTCCATTCAGATCCTCAAAAGGTCGAGCTTTCATTGTCGTGTTCCCTTACTTCTACATCGCTATATAATTCCCAATCACAACCTTTCCCCGCCACAAATATCCTTGCTTGTTTAGTCTCCGACCTTTTCCCGATGGACTCCAAATTATAGTACCTGTGAACCCAGATGCAGGGATCGGCTCGGTTCCCGGTGCCCGTATGACAGGGTAAGTGCTGACGCAACAGTTTTCCCTCATGCATATGCATGTGAATGGGATAAGAAACGGCAAACCCGCATGACCACTGGACCGATCAGAGACCTCACCGTCTTCCTTTCCAACTGCTCTCATCTAGAGGAGTACGTAGAATTAGCTTCGCCTTGGAGTACTACTCTACTCTAATCCGCATCTATCGAACGAAGCCAGCGGTACGTACAATACCTACCGCTTCGTATGCCATCCGTCTAGACCCGCAAAGAAAAACAGATGCAGCATAGCGAAAAGCTTAAAGATGTTCCCCTCCCAGGATTCTCTACATACGCGACGCGCAACCCCGTTTCTAGCCCCGTCCCGACCGCGCTAGCACAATGACTCGCAGCCGACAGACCCCACTCCCCAGACGCAGGGGAATATCGTTTAGCAGAAAGTCCATGCGGAGAACCGCCTGACTTCTCACTCTTTCCTCGCGGCCAGCTCAATAAAACCCATTATAAGTAGGACACGAGAGTCTGTTTGCTGAAATTTGTTCTATGTTGTGGCCGATCCGGATCTCCAAAGCTAGAGCGACATCGATCTAACTTTCATTGAACGGTCAGGGCGCGATACGAAGCATTGGGTCCTTCCCGCACCCGCATTGACCACCGCCAAAAGCCAAAATGTCGAAGGCAGTCCAATTAGTCACGACACTGACGCCGATGGACGGGAAGAAGGACGATGTGAGTGTTGACAGATTGCAATCCGCATCTCTTATCTCGGGACTGACTAGGCTCGCGCAGGTCCTAAAGATCATCACTGATATGGCTGTGGAAGTCGAAGAACAGGAGGCTGGGTGCCTTGGGGTGGATGTAATGTGGCACGACGACACCGACACATTCATTCTCGTCGAAAGGTGAGCAACCCTCAAGTCGTTGCTACTCTGCATATAATTAATTTTGATGCTGTGTAGGTTTAAAGATCAGGCGGCGTTCGAGTTTCATTTTAAGCAGCCGTACGTGGTGGCGTTCAAGAAGAGCCCGGTAGCCCTTACCTGCCTCGAGGCTATGGATGTTAAGATTTGTTCGGTGGCTCCGGGTACTTTCAGTAGATGAATGGTCTTTTGTTCTTCACGAGTTTCTGTTCATGCTGTTCTCTGTTTTCCTTTTGGTCGAAGTTATCTCCTTATTAGCCTCCGTTTTTTAAGGTCGCGATGCACTTTATTCAAACGCTTCTAATACCAATGTACATGACCATAATAGAGAAATCAGGCGCACCGGGGTTGGGAAGAGATTTACCAAGTTTCGCTGTGAAAGACTGGTGTTCAACTTGTATGGCTTCTTCGCACGGCACGTGACTTGTATGAGTGAGCCAAGTAGAATTATGATGTGATTGTCAAATCGTAAAGACGAAGAGCTTCGAGAGAAGTACATTGTTGATAGTCCTACTAGAGATGATCATGTGCAGAGACGAACAAAAGCAAAGAGCACGATCTGCATGTAGAAGCGGTCAGCGGTGATGACGTAATTCTGCGAAGACCTCGATATCTTGAGCCCTGCTCCTTGCAATTGCATTTGGAAAACACCAAAATCCTCATAAGGGTGCAGAGTTGTCTTTTGATAGTGCTGGCGTTCTTCTTATGTCGACCACGAACCTTGCGCTGTCCGCTTTCCTAACCCCAAAATGCGGCATCCTGCTGCGCCGACTGTCTCCGCTACTCTCGTTTCACTCCTCATTGCGTTTGTCACTTATATGTGGTTCTTTTATCCCAGTAAACATCACGAGGGAAATCCAGGTCCTAAATTGGAACCGTTCGAAATCCACTTCAAAGATGACGGCAAGCCAACTTCGACTGAGGATGAAGATAGGGACGTTGAAACCGATGTCGATATCATCGAGAACAACGACAAGGAGTTCACGATTCCATACTCGGACGAAATTATTGTAGAGCCTATTTCTGCGGATGCCCCAGAGGGAGTGCCAAATTCGATTTCCTACTCTCTTCCCATTCCCATGAGCCGACATGTCACCCCTACTGCTACACGCCCGGCTGTGGACAGAGACTGGGACGATCCTCTCTTTGAAATCGAAGTATCATCTTGTTACATATCCTGCGAGATCACAACTATCCAACCAGCCCACAAATATGGCAACAGGAGCCCAGCTTGCCTTGTCATCCTCCAATTCACATTTCATCCTGCGCTCAGCCATCGCTTCAGGAACGCACGACTGTCCTGCAGTTTCACGCCTCCCAGAACTTCCAAGGTCAAGAAAGACGGTACCCCGGTTGTCGCGTTTCACGCACCTCGGACTGCCTACGGCGGGTATAGCAAAGGCGAATCACATTGGACTTTTGGACTATCGGCACCGCTCCAGGCCCCGGGTGGCTACTTCTCCATCACACCGTCGGCTGAGAAGTCCCACGATCGCATCGTAGATCACTATATGCGAATTGAGGGCTCCGCCAGAGGGACTCCACGGTCGAAATGCATTTGGACAATGGCCGAGAACGAAGACAGCAAAGCGGGATTACCATTGGACTTTCAAGTCGCAGTAGTACTACAGGCGAACAGTCCTTTTGTTCTAGAGGTCGACATCAGCGCGGAGATTGCTAAGTGGTGGAAGAGCAAGAATGTTGAGGGCGTGGCGGTAGAACCGAGGGTGATAGACCCCAACGTGCCTCGAGGGAAGCAGTTCAGCTTTGACGCTGACCTCGAAGAGCTCAAGCTTGGTAGTTGGTTCTCAGGAGCTGTCGAAGGAGGCAGCGTGGCTTGGGAGGCGACTATTCCGCGACCTTGACAACTGAAAGGTAATCTTCTTGGAGCCGGCCACATTTCTTCATTACGTGGAGGTCACTCAGCACAATATCAAATATTCGAGATGACTACCACTGATCTAAGTTTCTGCTATTGATTTTATTTTCAGTGTTGGGTAGTGAAGGATAGAAACAAACTAGCGTCCGCGTCATCTCATCTCGCGGCCTCCACGCGTCAAACTTTCAGCTTGCGACCGCCGTTTACCATGGCATACTCAACACCCCACCCTCATTTCCACTACCCGGCATACCCCATACCAGCTCAGCGCTTGGCTTTGTGCCCTTCGCGAAGTTCATGACAATGCAAAACAGAGTGCTACTCCGCGTTGGCAAAGGCCTCGACGGGTCTTCTTTACAGCAGATAGCTTGTGGCGCGTTGAACGTGTCAGAGAACACCTTCTGTCTTAGCACCTCACCTTTGGGAGCCTCTCCACTCGAGACCAGCTCGCCCGTGAGTTTCTTCATTCTCTCCAGGCGAATAGGCGATCCCGCAAGCCACGGCCGCTCGTCGACCAAGCGATTTTCGATGAAGTGGTTCGTGTGAACCACAATGCCGTTGCTGTCTGGTTTGAGGTGAACACTGCCATTTGGCGACACCTCCAACCCAATTGGACCATCACGGTCCGCGATGAGGATGTGCTGCGAGCTTGCCACCCCTCCCAACGCCTCCAACTCTGCGATAGCCGTAGCAGCCGAGACAGAGTTCAGACAGACTCGAAGCGCCACATGAATCGGGATTTTCGACGGAATCGTTGGACGAGCTCGCACAGCGTTCAACAACGTACCCACGGACAGCGAGTTGAAGCCAATCTTCCCAACAATACCAGCCTAGACAGGTCAACCTCCAACACCTCCAATCGAACAACCGCTCAACATACCTCAGTAATCATATAAACCGTCGGCTTGTCCACCTGCTTAATCGACATCATGACCAAATTCGGCTTGACCCTCTTCGTCCAATCCCAATTCTGCGCCAACACCGTCCCCCCATCCCCGTGCAACTTCCACCCTAGACTCGAGCACCCGTCCGAAAACAACCCCAACGCGATCTCGCTGCGGCAGTTCAGCGCGACGATATCGAGGATGTCGAGGCCGGCGCCGTCGGCGATGCCCACCATTTCGGCGTAGATGTCGGGCGTGAGGCGCTCGATGGTGGGGCGGTACTCGCGGGCGACGTCGCGCACAGCGGGCCAGTCGAGCGCTGAGGTTTGCTGGAACATAGCGTCGTAGGTGGAGATCTGGCGGCGGATTTCGGTCGCGAGGAGGGCGCCGTGGGTGAGGCCGATCTGGGGATCATGGTTTCAGCACTACTACGTCGAAATTGTTGATGGAGCACTCACCTCACGCGGCGTCCCGCTCAGATCTATCTTTCGCGGTGGTGGGTCCATCTTGGATGTGATGGCAACGGGTGGCGATTCTCGAGTTGATGTTGAGGAGGTTGGCGACTTGACGACTTATGAACGACTACTGTAGTAACTGAAAGTTTGCTATGGTTTGTTTGTAGGAGTACACGTCAAACACCAAATAACCAGGCAAACAACACCTTTAATAAACACCACCCCTCCCTGCCGCGCTTCCGTTCGTTGCTCATGCGCCGCTAGGTGACGCGATATCGGGTCCAAAGGTGGGGTTGCCGCAATCCTTATACCACATCTGGCTCTTATTCAAGCTCTCTTGTTCTCCAATCAGACTCGGTTGTCCGAAGATCTGTGGAAGCTTACCCTGGGGGCCTGACCTTCCGGAATAGGCAAGAAAGGCAGGTTGCGGGGCAGTGGTGGTGGTTCCCCGCATTTAGTTAGCGACGTCAGGACTTCTTGATATCTAATGCACTGCACTATGCTTCATTCCACGACGTCTGCATTGGTTCATGGTGGGATTTTTTGTGATGGGTTAGGGTATGCCGGACAGTGGCAGATGAGTGTATATTGACTACTGGTGAGGTTGTGGATTCTACTGTCTTCCCCAAGTCGCCTCATCAGACCGTCCATTTCAGCTCCGTCTTTTTTCGTAACCAAGATCTCGATCCATCTTCCAATCCTCTATCCCACAGTCCGATCCAGCGTCTAGTGAACATGACGTTGAGGCGAGAAAATGAGAATGTGCTGGGGGCGTTCGGACGGTGTTAGACAGGTCCTAGAGCAGAGTAAGCAATAGGTTGATTTGGAGGCTCTGGGACATTGGTAGCATTTACTTGGTCGAATCCTAGAGTGTGGAACTACCCTACAGTCCCTCCTCTTCGTCGTCGTTCTCGGGGTGAATGGCAGTGAGAGCACCGCCCTCTGGAACCTCCACGACATCCTCGGTGTGAGCAGCAGTTGCTCCGCCGCTGGCTGGACCTCCTCCAGTGGTGCCATCTTCAGGATGAAGACTATCTTCTCTACCGCTCGCTGTCTCCGCGCCCACCCCACCTGATCCCGAGGCCTGAGGCTGAGGCTGAGGCTGAGGCTGAGCGTTGTTGTTGACACCTTGGCCGGAGCCAGAAGCAACAGGAACCCTCAAGAGCGAAGAGTTAGGGACGACGACAGGGGAGTAGGTGTCGTCGCTAGTCACGATAAGGATGATCGACCAGCCGGGCTGAGCCACCATCACCACCTTCTGCGGAGCGACCGCAATGAGGGCTACCGTGCTGTCCAAGAAGACATTGGTGCTCGTACTAGCTCTCAGCGTGTACGTGTCCTGGGTGGCAGGAACCTGCACCGCCAGGGCCTGGGCTAGGTGCGGATAATTGACGACTGTAAGAGTTGGAGTTAGATCGGGGTTTCGGTGCAGTGAAAGAAGGGGAGTTGTACTCGAGTCGGCCGCGTTGCCCAAGACAGTGCCCTCCAGGGCAGCGGCACCCGATGAGCCAGCTGCCGCGGCGTTGCCTGTGATAGTGGCGATGTGCTCGCTGGTCATCCTCTGCAGTTGTTCTTGCGCTTCTGGGGAGCTTGCTATTTCCGCCCGCATCTCGGTCATACGAGCTCTCAATCTCTCGTCGGTGGTGGGTTCTTGTCCGGACATGTTGGAACAAGTGTGAGAGAAGTGTGTTGTAGAGGTGTGAAACGAGGTTGTTGTGATGCAGAAGGTTGTCGTAGTGCAGGTGATGGAGCCAGATGTCGTGGGTTAACATAGGTGAACTGACGCTTCTGGTGGCTACTGTCGGGCCGTCGGCCTTCTATCATGAGCGGCTGTGGACTGTTCAGTCTATTCACGTGGCTGGACGCTGGGTGCGCCGTAACGGCCTCCTCTTCCTTCTCTTCAGATACATGACACAGCTTTAGTAGAACAAAGACTATCCGCTCTGAATCCTGCGGCTCTTGTAGTACTGCTGCAAATACAGTAAACTTGTGGAGACGCCTCACGACCAATAAAGAATATAGAGACTAGAAGTACCAGTCCACACACCCTAAACCAGCGCCTATCCACGGATGTCACGAACCCCATCTGATTCCAGCGGTGTATGCTTTGCTCATTATCCCAAACTCAGACCTCCAGCACTACTTCGACTCACCAGCAACTAATAAAAGTAATGCACTTCTCAATAATTTTTAGGAACAGACATTCCGATCCCCCTCAACACGCCCCCTTAGAACTACTCTCCCTCCAATACAGCATTCTTCCTAACACACGGCCTCCCCGACGGCTTCCGACGATGAAACGGCTCAAGCACCAGACCGCGAAGCAGCTCGAAAAGCTCCCATGGCCGGCAGAGAATACTGGGATTAGGGCAAGACATAGGACGAGGCGACCTTCCTTTCGCTAGGAGACTTGGGTATAAAAGTAAAGACCGAGATAACCGAGACCGTTGGATCTATTAGAAGGTAAAGAAACCCCTTTTGAGGGCACTGAAGCAAGAAAAAGGCTGCACCGCGGCGTATTATCTTCATATTCATCGTATGAGGATTGACGTGCTGATTTAGCGACAGAGTTCTGGGATGTTCACAGCACTATGACGTCTGGCGAGAGAACTGTCACACTGTGGAGAATCGAGGGGTTGGAGGAGAGCGCGACTTTGAAGCAGTGGGAATATCAGAACACTCCCTACGGTGGTATCAAGCAAGCAAAAGGGAAGCCCCGGCGCTACTCTATCCGAGTTACTGCCTAAGCTCATCGCTTTCACTTTCCTACAGGATGGTTAGGGCTGATGCGATGTGAATTGGGCTACCTCTTGACCAACCGGCCACCGACTAGCTGGACTACTCCTTACGGTGGTGTTAAGCGCGCAAGAGTGGAACCCGAACGCTTCTCTATCTAAGCTGGTATATAGATTTATCGTTTCTACGTCCTTAGAGGATGCCAAGGATGCGGTAGAGACCGGGCTACTTTTTAATTAACTAGCTATGTGCTGGCTAAGGACTCCGTACGATAGTGTTGAACAAGCAAGAGTGGTGCCCGAGTAGTGAGCCTTCCGTGCGCCTGCACTTATGGCCTAGGACTGTATGATTAGCTAGTTAGTGGTGTCTGAGCAGTGGAAGTGGAGCTATCATTTGGCCGGCCGAAGACATGCCAGCTGGGGGACTCCTCACAGTGGTGTCGAGCGGGTAAGAGCGGAGTCGGAGCAGCGATATATCTGTGTGGCTAAACGTTTCACCTAGCACTCTATAGATGGCTAGTCAGCAGTGTCTACGTGGTGGAAATAAGACCACTGTTTGACTGGTTAAATATGTACTAGCTGGGGCACTCCTCACAGTAGTATCAAGCGAGCAAGCGCGAAGACCGAGCAACGAGATATCCGTATGCCCACACTTATGCCCCAGATTTGTATAGTCAGCGGTGAGTAGTAGGACTCTAAACGCTGAAACAGTGTTAGCAAGGACAAGCATGTTTGAGAAAAGTGAGATCAAACCTTCATTCGTAGCTATATTAGGATCAATCAAGCCCTCTCCAGAGGGTGTGAGTTTTCTGATTTCATCGGTTCCCAACCCCTCATCAAAGACATCTGTACACTTATTTACCGCTGCGTAAGAAACCTCATAATATTGTGAGCATTCCAAATAAGAGAGACGTTTGGTATTTTGGACGACTGGTAACCGCGCGAGGCTACCCTAGACAGCGTCAGCAGGGTGTACACAGATTGGAAATATAGCCGCTGCCCTTGGTTCCTGTTAGTGCGTTGACGCCCCACAAATAGTGGTAGGAGAGTGGAAGGATGCCTATGACAAGGCGGGTGTGGGCGTGGAGGAGGGGGAAGAGGTGGACAGGGGGGAGAGGGAGATTGGTGGCGCACCCGTGTTTGAGATGAGTGCGGGGACGGGGCCGGTGGAGGTGGAGGGTGTGGAGGTTGGTGAGGGGGGTGCAGGTGAAGGGGATGGAAGGGAGGCGGGAGAGGGGGAAGAGGGAGGAGAGTGGGGTGGGAGGTGGGAGGAGGGAGGAGGGGCGGCCGGTCGATCGAAAGGCTGGATAGACATTAGAGATGACCAAGTAGTCGCAAGTTAGAATGTTATAGATCTTCCTCGTGTGCTCTGTTTAAGACCCGGAGCCTACCTGCTGACATCTAATCCAACTCCTCCACCTCACCTATATATAGCCCATTATTTTGCCAGTCGAGTCCCCTTCGGGGGGCTATCGGACTCACTTGGCTGAGTGTGATAGTTCCGTGGCGGATTCTCTGTTCACGTTATGGGTGATTCAGCACTAAAAATTCTTTGTTTGTAGCAAAGGGTTTTTGTAGGGCTTTGGCCCGAGTTTTTTGCTGCGCGGATGTGCGGGTTCGATTCCGCATCTTAGTTTACTTTTCTTTTTGTATCGATAATTCGTGTTTAGGTGTAATAGAATCGAGGGGCTAATGATGTGATGGAATCAAGTATTAGTGATAAACACCTTCAGTTAGGTGAGGTTTCCTGCCTTTTCATCACTTCCTATCATCAGTCAACGTACACTATATATACCCTATTATTTCCACCGTCACCGTATCATCGAGTGTAAAAATTTGATCGCGACATGAAGCTGACAAGAGTGGAAAGAGTGGAAAGAGGTTGATTTCGTAAGGCATCATCGGGTATAGAACGTTCGCTCCATACGCTTTCGATGCTCGCCAGAGTGAGAGTACCTGAACGCCGTAAAACCCAGAACATCACCCATTATGCCCCCTTGCAGCCGCTAGCACGCCACAAATTGTTCCCCATAGCCCTTCCCATGCTCCTTTCCATACTCCTTTCCCGACTCTCTCTGTAGCTCTTTGTACCTCTTCGTGGCTCGTCGTAGTTCCTAGAGTCAGTCACAGCCGCATAGTGGCCGGATTCGGAGAGGGCGATCTACCACGCAGTGCAGGTGAGCTAGGTCTTAACATCGGTGACGCAGCAGCTTGCAGCGCATCCATACTCAGGTTCGAAATGACATGAAGATTGCCCTTGACCTCCTCATCGCTCAGGTCCAGCATCAGCCGCAGCTCCTCCGCCTTCAGGCTCTCGCCCAGCCCAATCATCAGCTGCAGGCCCGGCGATCCGGGCAAGTTGTAGTAGATCCAGTTCCACTTCAAGTCCTCGACGGTGTGTGGCTCCTGTACCCGCGAGATCCTGGCCTTGATGCGCCGCACGTCCATTCCGAACACGCCACTCAGATGCGCCTCCGTGCCCAAGCCCAGCGTGCTGTCGCGGCGCACTGACCGCGGCACCTTGGCCCCCTTTTCGATCGGTTGTTCCTTGAGCCGGTTGCTCACACCACCGTCTTGCAGCACCGCGCGCTTGAATACTGCGTTCTTGAATTCCGTGATGCCGAGCACAATGTAGCAGGCCTTCTCTTCTTTGGCCAGCTCTGCAATCCACGCCTGTGCGTCCGGGTCCGAGCACACGGTCTCAAAGGCAGCGTACGGGTGCTTAGAGATGCGCTGGATCATCTGCTCGGCGCTGACGCTCAGCAGGTTGGGCTTGCGGTAGACCTGTCCTAGGTCGAACTTGGCGCCGAAGTTCTGGGCGAAGCGGCCCTCGGTGTCGACGCTGAAGAGATCTTTGTACCGCAACTGGATGAAATAGTCGTTCAGCTCATCCACGGCGGCGGCCTGCTTCTCGCTGAAGAAGCCGTCGAGTTCGGGGTGCAAGGGGTGGATGAGGAGTTGGCCGACGTTGACCTCGTCGGCCGGGAGGGGCTTCGGGAGGAGGGCGACGCGTTTCGACATGGTGTAGGAGGGGGTAGTTCGGAATGAAGGATGTTTGGAGGGTCTTCTGGTTGAAGGTTTGATGGAGCTGCAATTGTTGTGCAACGTGTTCTCGTCGTGGAGCTCAGGAGCTGGAAGCTGAGGTGAGGTGAGTTGTGGTACGGTTTAATCGATAAGACGAAACTATAAACGGCCTGACAGGCTTAGCTAGTATTCCTCCCCAGTAGGGCACTCTATCACCGCACTCTGCAGCGTATTTGATTGCTACTGCCCCCCTGTAATATTCCCTTTTGCGATTTTAGTCTCACTGGACGTTCACCTGCGGATGCAGACAGAGAGACGCACTCCGTGAGTTTCGGAAGTCTTTTTAAGGAGTCTGCCACGCTAGGCCTTGACAAAGTGGCATACTCATCAAACACTCTTCTCGTATGTACAGCTGCCTGCCATTGCTTGAAGTGCTTCAACGGCTTTCCACATAGCCTAATGTGTAGAGCTTCAATCTTTTTCAGACTCCTTGAAATGCTTTGAAGCACCCCAAGCAGTTACAGACAGGTGTACACACGAGACTGCCTGTTCTAGAATGAGAGTGCCACCTTTTCCTTGTCCCGGGTGTCTGGGTTGAACTTTAACAAGAGTAAAAAGAGTGCATCATAGCATTTTCGGGATGATTTCGAATTGCAAAGGGTTAGACTGTCTTCCTTGAAGATAAAGTAGCAATTCGAAACCGTCTGAGGTAGCGGAGAGAACTTTCAGATTTGCCAAAACTGTAGCTTCACAACTTATCATGATGCTCCAGAGGACCTCAAACAATGCTTTACAAGTGTACACAATAAGCCTTAAAAGATTGTGCCCCTTGTAATTGCGAAGAATATTCCTTGAGGTGGGAGCAGAGAGTAGGTGAACATTGTGAGAGCTAGGACATTTACATCAACCCACCCGATCATGAGCATTCACACAAGCTTCAATCCGAAAGTCATGAATATTCTTTCATTACGCAGCTTGATTAGACGGCAGCTATATATCATTTCCAACAGAAAAGGGATGTCCGTTACCGCCGCCACCCCCTCCCAGACCTCTCTTGCCTCTCCGCATCCCCGTTCTCCTCCGGCGTATATGTCGCAAAAACCATCGTTCTCGACCCCTTCTGTAACCGCGAGTCCCTCGGCGTACTCGGCATCGTCTTATTATGGTCTACATTCGGCAAGCTCGTAAGCTCCTTGCTACTCCTCGTCGAGCCAACCTCCATGTCCGATGTACTGTCCCCTCGATCCTCGATAGTAACACCCATTGCCGTTGACACTTTGATGCCGTCGGAGGGCAGTGGTGACGACGCGGACTGAGAAGGCGAGCTCCAATTGCGCGAACGGGAGTTGTCCGACGGCTGGTCGAGGTTCCGGATATACCCCATGCTGTGGCCGCTGCGGCCGCTGCGCGTGGAAATGTTGAGGTAGCGGCGGAAGAAGACCTTGAGGGCGGGCGCGGAGGCGCAGATGACAGCGAGGTCGGCTTCGAGGCAGCTCCAGAGCCAACCAGGCAAACACTCCCAGGAGATGTCGTATGTTTCGAAGTAGACCCAGTGCAAATAGTAAATGCGCATTGCGCCGCAGATTGTAGTTCTGGTGCTTTTGTTAGTATATGTGGACGAATGGAGGATGCTATGGGTGGAATTTACACTAAGCCGAGGGCAAAGATGCCGTAGATTGCAAGTTTCTGGCGACGAGGGAGCTGGAGGTTCCACAGGAGCATGATGGGTAGAACAGCGGCCATTATGTCTTGAACCATGCTAATGCTAGCTCCAGCAAAGAGGGATTTGTACTCCGGGTGGCAATGGAATTTGTGTGTCTCTGGCCATCCCCCGGGACTGAAATCGAATTGATTCCAGAAGGCGTTGACAGGGTTGCATGTGAGGGGCAGGACGGTAATGAAGATAACGGCATATACAATGACAAAGGCAATGCTGGCCCATACTAACAGAATGAAGTTCCTGGATATGCTGCCATTTGCCATTCGTCGATAAAAAAACAATATGGAGACCTTCGTCGGGGAAGTGGCAAAGACGTAGAGCAGTTCAATCGCGAAGACTACCTGCAGTGTTGTGAGCATGGGCGAACCTGAATTTGGTATCTGCGCCCTACCTTACGACTTGTCACAGAAAGCTCCGGTGTATGGTCCCAGGAATGATATTGGAACCCATATACTCTCGCGCCTGCATGATTTGGTAAGCTCTTGGCTAAGTTGCAGTCACGACGTCGGACTTACCGAGACAAGTGGTAATAGTGAGTCCATATACGGCCGGCTAGGAGGGTTAGTATGTATTCAAGTGGAGAGTGCATCTCAGTTGGACTAACTAGAGCAGCAATAATCAACCAATCGTCAAGTCCTGAATTCTTCTGTACGACAAATCTTGCCCAAAAGCGAGCAGCCAACACGAGGGTCATTATTGACAAAGCAACTATCAAAATAGCGGGAATGGTCCAGTCTCTTGTTACGGGATCCACATAGTTGGGTTTGGGCCAGGCCAGGAGGACCGAGAGGGGAGTGTGGATGCCGCCAGGCATGGTGGGTTAGGCAAAGGGAAAACGAACGCTTCAAGCACGGCTTTGACACGATAAGAGAGGGTATGTTGAGATGCAGCTGGCGTGTGCTTTGCAGCAGGAAGTTGGTCTTCGTATTTCTTGCTACTCGGGTCGGCGTGGGTCAGGGTGAAGATATATCTACCAGTTACACAGGCCAGGCCCCAGGCCACGTCTGCCTCCACGCGCGTGGATAAGGTGAGGTCTGTGAGTCCAAGGGCTGGTGGGATGGCGAGGCACGGTCTTCTCTAGAATGTTTCGATGAACTCCCTGCCCCTCATCCTACAGCAACGGTTGAGTGCTTCCTGGGCCTTAGGGCACTATCGATTCTGCTCTTACCGCTCGTCTTTGAGGGCCTCGAACCCAGTCTGGAGAATTCTCCGCGACGGTGCTGCTTGAGCAGGCCTAAACGAGGGTGAGGCCGTGGTTATGCGATAGAAGGCACAACACGGGGTGGATTTCAGCGGACAAGGCCAATCAGTGGTACTGGAGCCAGGAAATTCGGCTGCAGGGGCAGCACTGGACGTCTGAGCAATGGTAGCGATCAGCATGGCCTCAGACAGTAGTCGGGAATATGGCGGGCGGATGCGGGGGGGGAGGGCCAGGACGGCCCCGGGGGCTGCAGAGTCGCTTCCATGCGTCCCGAAGGAGCAGAGAAGCCGTTCAACGGCCCTTGACCACGAGCATTGTCGCCCGCCTGGCAGCGGAATGGCGCATGGCATGCACTCAGGGCCGTTTCGACAGCTGTGCCCCTGTTCCCCTGTTGCCACGCGGGCGAGCTGCGAACATGCCGAGGCCGAGTGCGCGCCGTCGGATTGGTGGGGAGAAGGCATCTCGTCTTGCCAATACATAAGGGCCGGCGGAGTGCCTCAAAAGCAGTTGGGAATCGGCCCCCTCCACTCGACGCTCACACAGGCTTGGTCGTTTCGGAATGACGGGACAGACGGCAGTCGACATGTCGTATTTCACGGTGCTTCAGCAACGAGTTGACGCATTGTTCGAGTAGAGGCCGCCATGCCTCACCGGCGCGGGTAACGCTGTCGCCGGTGCCGGAAGACAGTCGCGCCTGTCTGAAAGCGCTCTCCCATGCCGAAGCTTGCGATGACTGCCCAGGTGCAAATCGGAGGGAAAGTGGCGTGCTAGAGGCATAGCTGAAGAGGTGCTATCTTGAGAATTGCGGTCTGGTTCTGCGAGTCGTGCCACAGCACAAGTCCACGACGCTCTGGGAACCCGCTCCGGCTCGTGGCTGGTCGAGGTGATCAGAGCTCTTAGCCTTACAGTATGCATCGTGGCAGTCCCAGCGAGGAGCTGCGGGCGGCGTTGAGCCCAGCAATATGATAGCGGTCCGATTCTGTTAGCTGCCTGAAAGAGGAGCAAACAATGTGTTCCATGCATGGAAGATCAGACAAGTGCCGGATCTGCCGCCTTCATTTAGCTGAAACTCGTCTCAACTTTGGTGCGGTTCGCGCAAGCGTGGAGTGGATGGAGATGCCTTGGGAAGGTGGTTGATGTGGTGGCTGGCTACCGCGAGGTTGGGGGATCCGAGACACGTTCCAGGCTGCGCACAAGGGGCATGTGCGGATCTGCCGCAGACTTGCTTGCCAGGGGCAGCACTCCGATGCATACCGCGCGACGCAAAGACGCCATCCGTCGTTTCTAGAAGCCGGTGAAGGCCTATCAGTCTATCACTTGGGCGCACAGGCGTGTGGGGGTGCAAGTTGTGCCGGCGCACTTCTGCTTCGGAGTATTAACACGCACATCTTGCAGCAACATCGATAGATATTTACTGGGGGCCTCAATCTCCATGTCTACACAGTACCGCAGATTATCGCCTCTCTGGGGCTGCACATGGAACGGCAAGCAGACCGAATACGAGGCCCACGCTTCACCGATCAACACAAGGGAGATTTCAGATATACCTCGTACTGCGATGAAGCAGTGCTCACAACAAGCTGTCCTCGCCATTCCTCCGGCACACAATGTAGCTTTATGGCCGTGGCCGAACGACGTATGAGAAGACGAGAGAACATTGGAAGAAGCAGCTGTAACTGCTTTCTATTTATGGGACCTCAATACAAAAGAAGTGGAAGCAGTTGCTGAAAGATACCGACTGCATCCGGCTTTCCTGTCGCTTAGCCTTGTGCATGCATGCTTGTCTGTCACAGAGCCCCACTGCGTTATTCTGCATCAAGATAGAGGTCTACTCCGTCTTACATACCTAAACACAGAATTCCCCTCTGAAAACAGGGGCCGCCCGGATTAGCAGACTAGCTGGTCCTCCCTCGAACCTGTTTAAGTACCAGTGGATGAAAAACGGCCCTCTCCACAATAGAGCTCGCCAGCGGTGATCGCTCAATACACGCCTGTATCGAGTCATGAACGCCAAAGAAGCATGATAGCTGTGGTGCTTTTTATTCCCGAGGAAGGCGGTATGGAGCCCTGAAGTTCGACCATGTTGCGCTGGCAAAGTCTTTCCAAAGCGTCTCGTACAGGCGAATACCGTCATGGATGCTCAACGAGAGTCAAAGTCGCCCAGCGTTTTTAACCATCTGACACATAGCGTTAAGAAAATAGTTCATTTTTAGCCGGAGCCTACCCAGCGCTGTACCCACCTCCTCCTACTCCATAAGCGTAAACACCTCCAAAGCCATCGATGTTATGCTGCTTCCCAAAGGCGACCTTCCTCACTTGCTCCAAGATGTCCTCCGGCGTGCTTTTTGACGGCACGAATACCAAGCCAGCATCCGGAGCTGCCTTCTCAGTGCCGACGTAATTGCCATCTTTGTCTTTGGCATAGAACTTCTTGTAATGTTCTCGAGTCATCTTCCGCACAATGACTTGTTGGGACACTTCGCCGCTTTTGCCCTTGATGAAAGACTTGAACGAGCGCTTCTCGGTGGACAAAATCATGGGTATGGAGATGGACTCGTTTGGGTCGCCGACGTCTAGAGAGCGGATTTCCGAGGCGACTTCTTCGGCGATTGATACTTCAGCTCTGGACGAGCTTTGGTTTGAAGATTCTTTTGGTGATTGCCTAATGAGTAAGGTTAGCGAGAGTACTTAATGAATATACTTGTGTGCGCCTCTTCCTTGCCAGTCAGACCACTTACACATCTACTTTTCCTTTGGCATCTGCTTTCAATGTGTCGGTGTACACCCTACTATCAGAATTCGATCCTTCTCCTCCATTGGGCTCTCCATATGCCGGGGGTGCCGCTGTGACGTCGACATAGTCATCCTCGGTTTGCTTGGTGACATCCACGTACTCGCTTTTGCCAGCCATTGTCGTTCTAGATGACAGATAGCTTCAATGCTAAGGCGCCTTCTTACTGCAGGTTTATTGACTCGGATTCTGGCATCTCTTATACTGGCACCTGTCTTGTGTTCCCGATGCAGTCAAGGAATGTGGAGGCGCAGCACTCTATAGCGTCACTCTAGCCATCCTCTAGACACTGTCCTTACGGAATCATATGACACTCACATGCGAAACCAAGGCCCAGATCGTGGATATACAGGCGAAGTTACGAGACGAATGAGGAATGAAGCTTGACGGGTGAAGGTAGCCTCGGAAACAGTAGACGGTTTTGGGCTAGCCCCGCTCTACTTTTAGTAGAATAAGGTGGATTCAACCTCGTGGCATTGCAGGTTAACCTCGTGACCTGTCTGTATACACTCTGTTCACAAAGCTCTGTTTCCGTTCTAGTATGTAGGCACCACGGTGTGTGGTTGAGTGGAGCTATTGGTACCCTAATTGCGACGGGTGAAGGCACAAGAGTGACAAAGCTCTCGCCGCACTCACTCGTCTCATCACTTGTACTACCAGACCAGGATGCCAATGGTCAATGGAAAGGAAATATTGACGGTTGCCAAACCTGCAATGCAATTGGATTTTGTCCCACTTTCTGGAGTACGCGGGTGAAATACACTAACGCTTACATCGACTAAAAAACAGCGTTCGAGGACCTGGCCTCCATCAACTCGTACGACTACGTGCTGATCCACAAATGAATGCACAACGATGTTACCAATATCAGCCCTCACAGTAAGTTTATCCTACAAATCTTCGCCCGGATCTGCCTTGCTCACACTGCGTAGTCAGCGACGTCGATGACACAACGATCGATGGCTCGTCGCCTAACTTCTGTTATGGGTTCAAGAAACCCATTTATGGAGCCCTTCAGTGCTCGCGTTATGCTAAGAAATATATAAACGATATCAATGAAAGAACTCTGGAAAATGGTGAGCATTTAACGCTCTCAAGCCGACAACCCGTCACTCCCTTTCAGTATCAACGCTGATGACTATACTTAGCGGACACCTACGCATGGATGATATTGAACAACTACCTCAACGCCAAGCTCAAGTGGAACGACTACGGCACCGTCAGTCTACTGTTCCAGAAGCGAAGCCTCCTCTCAGCACGCGATGAACCCGCCCCTATCTATCCCATCGACGAGACCAACACAATGGACGACGACCTCATCGACGGTGACGCGCTCCCTGCGATCCCCAACGACGTACCAACGAACTGCCCGAGCGAGCCGGGCTGCGAGTCTCTCGGCGCGCTCACACTCGCGGGATACGAAGTCCTGAGAGCAACGGAAGAACTCGAACCGATTAGCCCCTACTACTCGTCCGGTGGCTGCAAGCTCTCGTAAGTCTAGCCCGACCCAGGTTGCTTATATTTCCCAGAGGGCTGTCTAATCATCTATCGTAGGAACGATTGCCGCACTGCTGATGGAACTAACGTTGCGGCAGCGTGTACTTGCACTTGCGATGGGAAGCCGTGGGAATTGACGGATCCGATCTGCTCGGGCTTCCAAGGGACGCCCCCGGTTACCGTCGTTCAGACTGTCACTGTTATTCCCATTGCAGCTACCCCGGCGCCCTAGTCTGGAATTGCGACGTCGGGAGTTGCTGTGAAAGTAAGGTAGCTTGCATATGTTAGATCTTCCGGTTTGAACAGACGGATGTGTCTTGAGGTGTAAAATAGGTTCTTTAGCGACACAATTCTTTGTATATCTTCTATCTACTTGTTAAGCATAGCCGGGTATCATGGGAAAAGCGAAAAAAATATAGGCATTTCGGGGTCGTTCATGTTGGTGGGTTTCTTGGTAATGGGCACGGTGTCCATATTTTTGGATAAAATATATTGTCTTCTCCAATGTACAATCAATACAGACGATAGTGGTGTAGGTGGTGGTCGCTCTGAGGTAGGGGTCATGGAAACCTCGGAAACAGTAGACAGGTTTGGACTAGCTCCATACTTTCAGCCAGGCAGATTCAGCCTTCGAGGCATTGCAGTTCGACATCGTGAGTTGTCTGTATACGCTTTGCTCACAAAGGTCTGTCTCCCTTATTGTGCGTAGTAGGTGTTGCGGTTTGTGAATTAATAGATCTATTGGCGTCCCGATTGCGCCTGGTGAGGCAGAGTGACAAAGCTCTCTCCCCGCACCCACTCGTCCCATAGCACCTCCATCACTCAGTGGATGTTCGTACTTCTCACTCATACCATCGCCAGCCCTCTAGACACTCAGCTGGTATCATTGATTGCACTGACGGAACAATGCCTCAGAAATTGAAGCTCGCAGTGGCCCAAGCCCGAACTCTATCCTCAACCGTCGACACCCTCCACGCTCTCGAAGAGACAACACGTTCAGCATCACAAGCCGGCGTCCACCTCGTCTTGTTTCCCGAAGCATACCTTGGCGGCTATCCTCGAACATGCAACTTCGGTGCTTCAGTGGGAGCTAGAGACCCCATCGGACGCGAACAATTCCTCCAATACTTCCATGCTGCCGTCGATCTCGGAGACACACCAGTCGGCGCCGGCGACGATTGGGTGGACAAGAAGCTTCCCCTAGCAAAGGACACAAAATATAGGGGAGATGGGACTCGAGAAGAGCTGGAAAGGATAGCTCGAGAGACCGGCGTCTTCATCGTCACCGGTCTAGTCGAGAAAGCTGGAGGCAGCCTATACTGCGGAGTTGTATACGTGTGTCCACGATATGGAGTGCTCGGAAAGAGGAGGAAGGTTATGCCAACGGGTTCTGAAAGGCTGATCTGGGCGCAGGGAAGCCCGAGTACTCTACGCGCCGTCACAACAACAATTCAAGGAGTCAAGTTGACGCTCGCTGCTGCAATCTGCTGGGAGAACTACATGCCACTCCTTAGACACAGTCTCTATTCTCAAAATGTCAATCTGTACCTGGCACCAACAGCAGACGCGCGGGATACCTGGTTGCCGTTGATGCAGACGGTGGGATGCGAGAGCAGGGCATTCGTGCTGAGTGCTAATCAATGTGTCAAGAGAAAGCATCTACCATCGTGGGTCCAAGGGAACAGTGCCACTCAACCCAAAAATGCAACGCCTCAAAGCGCCGAGGCTCCTCAGTCACATCGTCGGAGAAGGTCTACCGTTACTTTCACGGAGGATAAGCACGAAATCTGTTGGCCAATTGTCGAGAAAGATACCGAAGGACAAGACGAGACGACCTCTCCAAAGGAGAATGGCATTCATCCCAGCCGTCCGCCGTCAGTCTTTGAGGACGAGTCTGATGGAGGGCCCCTAGGTAGGAGAAAGTCGATCATCACCGAAACTGCCGAACACCATCAGATATCATGGCCTCTCCCTAAAGCCAGTCCCCCGGGCTCGATTTCTTCGAAGAGTCACGCCGCTAATAATGACGATGAAGAGTTCATTTGCAGAGGTGGGTCGTGCATCGTGTCACCTCTGGGTGAGGTACTCGCTGGCCCACTCTGGGAAATCACCGACGGCAAGCTCCTGGCCGTCGAGGCAGACTTCGAGGACTGTGAGCGTGGCCGACTGGACCTTGATGTTGCGGGGTCTTACTCCAGGAACGACGCTTTCAAGCTCCACGTCGAAGGGCTGGATCTGAATCCTCCACCTTGATATCGCAGTACTAGGCCGTAAGTCTGAGCACGTGGATACACTTCTGCTTGAGTGCCACTATGGAAGAACGGCACTATTCTCAGGAGCAGACCCGTTCCCGAGAAGCCGGCTAGCGAAAAGCAGCTCAGATTCCACTGCTTGAAACCTGACCTTGCGCCTAGACTCTGAAGTCCCATGGTGGTACCTAAGCAGTGACGAACGATTGTGCATATACTCATGGCATTTCACTGTACTTTGAAATATTTACTGGCGATGCAGGAAGTTCTAAAACTTCTTCACAACTCCCTCTAGACGGTTAGAAGATATCAATGTTAATCTCTATGTGTCATTCTCCTAGTCCACGGACCGTCTCTTTAACATGATCGAGTGCACTGGTCTAGTAGTTTCGGGGGTCGTTTACACACTAGATTCACGATGTCATTACAGACTTCGTAATTCAGGGGTCTATCTCCTCTGTCCCCGTTCGCAACCCGCCGTCTTTGACATTGCTAAGTGCCTTTGAATTCGCGATATAGAACGCTTTCCGAGGCTTGGGGGTGTCTGAAGACGGTACCTGTATCTGCAGCTGGTTTCTCAGGTACGATCAATTCTCACCGACATCCGATTTACCAAGTTTATCCGTTGACACTATGTCTTCACTCATTTGTTGACGAGGATTTCCAACAGGGTTCTTTGTTTTCACTGATTCTATCACCCGTCGGATTTAAGAAGCGTTTCTCAGACCGTTCCACTCAGACTTCAGTGCTTCTTCTCAGGCGCGGATTCCCACATCACTGCCTTACGCCTTCGGTTCCATCTCCTTAGCAATCCATACAAGAACCTCTAGCTGCGGCAAGGTCCGCTTGAGTGACCGATAATTATGTCCAGCTGGGTTGACCGCTCTGCGATACAAAGCTCCCCTAAGAGTCTCCATTGCAGCCTCGACATCACCCATTTTGCAATGCGTCAACTCGCAGACTCTGGCGACCGACACGCCTGCGACCTCGTACTGTAGCCTCTCGAACCCCGTCGCTATGCAAGCAGCCATGACAACATCCACCTTCGATAGCGGCAACATCGTTCCATAATCCACGAGCTCGAAGATATAGCACGCCGTCATCTTCGCACCCCAGCCGGCAGGCTTCTTAGGGGCAACTTCGTGCTCCAACTGTTCGCTAAAGTGCTCGATCTGAGATATCAGTGCTTCCCTAGCCTTGACATCGACAGTAGGTCGTCGTACGCGGGACTGCCGCTTGGCTATATCGTATCGCGCGCGCTCCTTCTCGGCGGCTACGGATACGGCTTCGCGTATATCGCCGATGTTCTTGAGCGTATCCGCCGGTATAGCTTTAGCACCAACGACGTCAAAGTCAAGCTCCCCCTCATCCAGCGCGTTTCGAAGCACCCCTTGGTGCGGCGCTGCTCGAATGGCTCGTGGGAAGACCACGCCGTCGTTCACCAGAAAGACGATCTCGCTCGGCCGGTACTTCTGCATCTTTTCGGACTCATCCTCCGCGACATGGCGGCGCAGTAGCAGGTCGTCGAGTCGTTGGAGATACCAGGACACCGCAGGACCATTGTTCAGTCGATAGCATAGACGACAGCCGAGCTCTCCTTCGACGCCATGTCGGCCTTTGGGTCTGATGCAATTCTTCGCACACAGCATTCCGTCGGCAGCGTCGATGGCGAGTACTGCATGGCCGCATCGCAGTATATGAACGCACCGATCAACATCGCAACGGAGTCGAAGCTCCTTAGGCTCACTGTCGTCGGTGGCTGGCGCGAAGACCTTAGTGATAGACTCTGGCTCGCTAGGAGCTTCTTCGCTAAACAAAGAGTCCTCGCGAGCGTCTGTCTCTAGCATGCCGCCATCTTGGGCCTCAACTCCCTCCATAAGATCCGCGGTTGTGCCGTCAGCGAGCATCGTGGACGATTTAGTCTCCTCGTCAGACTCGTTGCTGTCTGAGGCAAGGTCTATAGGCATGTCCTGCGTCCCGGGTACGTGCTTTGGTGATGTAGTCTCCGCGTCGGAATCAGGCGAGTCCTCTCCGCTCACTGACATTCCTGCGTCTTCCTCGTCGGACTCGTTGACCTCTGAAGCAAGGTCTATAGGCATGTCCTGCGTCTCACGTAGGTGCTCTCCACCCACCGGCATTGGCGGTGCAGATGTTGTCTCTGCATCAGAATCGGAAGAGTCCTCGTCGCTAGCTAGAAACCCTGAGTCTTCGTCATCCGTCATGTCCATCGGGCCTCCAGGATCCGAAGCGCTCTCTTCCTGCGCGTTGTCGTACGGCGCTGGGCTAGAGTGGTGGTGGAGCTCACTGCCCGCGGTGCCCGCATGCAACGGCGACGAATTGGACTTGCGAAGGACATCAGCGTAGGAGTTGCCCCAGCCGCCGGAGAAGAGCTGGGAGGGCGGTGTGGCTGGAGGATCTTCAGGTGCGTCGCAGTCAGAGTCGGGCTCGCGTTCGTGTGGCAACTTGGGGGAAGTCATTGTTGAGAGTAGGTCGTCGCGTCTGTTTCGTGAAGCGTCGTTGATATTGAGGGTACGCTGAGATGCAGCTTTGTTGGCGAGCGGAAGAAGCGTCAAAGAAGGTGATGGAAGTTACGTGAAGCAGAATCGGACCTCAGCAGACAAGATCTTGCGGCTAGGTAACCGATTTAGCGCCGTCGAGATGGTGAATTAGTTGGTCAGTGCGTCGTCTTAACTTCTTTGATTCACTTCACTACCTGTTTACCCTGACATTCACTCACAGGCCCATTTTACAATACGAGACAGTGCAAATCGGACTATCTTTTGTCTGACCTGCTACCTAGGCGTTGGGCTACTTCTTACAGTGGTATCGCGCGAGCAAAGGTAGAGCCGGAGCAGTGTCATCTTATAGCCCTGTGCCTTAGCCTACAAATTTTACGTCCTAGGAGATAAAGGTCAGTGCGGTGGAACTTAGGCCGCCTCTTGACTGACGGATACTTGCAAATTGAGCTACTCCTTACAGTGGTATCGCTTCAGCAAAGGTAGAGCGGGAGCAGTGTCATCTTCTAACCTTGTGCCTGAGCCTACAAATTTTACGTCCTTCTAGGAGATAAAGGTTAATGCAGTGGAAACTAGACTGTCTCTTGACTAATCAGCTACCTGCTAGATGAGCTACTCCTCACAGTGGCGCCGAGCGGGCAACAGTGAAGTCCTCTTGGTATGATCTCGGTATGCTAAAACTTAAGACCTATTATCTAACCTCCGTATTGTGATAACAGGTTCCAAGGCTGGGTACAGTTCTACACGCAGGCGGCCGAATCATTTAAATATTTCACGAATCCAGGGTATTATCCAGGTGCAACAGTAATCATTACGTTCGAGAAGGGACAGAGCACTCATGAATCAACGCTGCATCTATTTAGTTGTTCTGGAAACCTAGGCGTAGGTTTATATTAAACATGTCAAGACTTTCTACTAAACATACAAAGGTATATCGTTCCCTAGTCTAGTCTACCGGCAAGTCCAAAATTGAGAAGAGGGACCCATCTTTCCCACCTATTCTTTTGACTGACCGGCCAGCTGTCGGCTGGGCCACCCTGACGGTGGTATCAAGAGCACAAGAGCGAAGCCTGAGTAGTGGTACAACCGACAGGTTTGGGGTAAATGACTGGGACATAGCGTTTGGTCAGTGCCAGATCGATATCCCCTCGGGTGCTCCAGGAGACAGCCTGATTCCTACTGCATCGACCATTACATCATGTTCGGAGGTTTGGAAATATATGGGGCTACCCCAAGCGGCGGCAGACTGAAGGACGTAGGTCAGTAAAGAGGTAGTCTAGTTTTCATTGTCATAACCTCTGCATCGTCCAAAGAGGTTCGAAGCCTGGGCACACGGATATCCCACTGCTCAGCCTCCACTCTTGTGCTCTCGATACGACTGTCCGGGGTAGCCCAACTGGTAGGTAGTCGTTTATTCAAAGGGCAGCGTGACTCTTTCTGCGTCGACTATTACATCATGTTCGGAGACTCGGAAACCTAGGGGGGCCACCCCAAGCAGCGGCACAACAGAAGAAAGTAGGTCAGTCAAGAGGTAGACTAATTGCTCTTGCGTCGACTATTACATCATGCTGGGAGTATTGGAGATCTATGGGGGTGCCCCAAGCGGCGGTAATATAGAAGAAAGTAGGTCAGTCAAGAGACAGACTAATTCCCCCTCCGTTGACTATTACATCATACTTGGAGACTTGGATATCTATGAGGGTACCCCAAGCAGCGGTATATTAGAAGAAAACAGGTCAGTCAAGAGTCAGTCTGACTCCTTCTACCTCGACTGTTACATCATATTTGGAGCTTTGGAAACCTATAGGGACACCCCAAGCGGCGGCAGAAGCACGGTAGTAGGTTAATTAAAAGGCAATCTGATTCCTCCTGCATCGACCTTCACATTATATTCGAAGTCTTGAAAGTCTATAGAGGTACCCCAAGCGGCGGCAGAAGATAGTATTAGGTCAGTCAAAAGACAGTCTCATTGAAAACATAACAATATTCACATAATTCTCGTAAAAAGAATGCCTAGGCACACGAATATATCACTACTCTACCTCTACCATTGCTCGCTCTACACTACTGTAAGGGGTGGCCTAATGAGTACTGTGTCTTGTCATAGATATCCGCACACTTTTCTGCTGCCGCTTGTGGTGCCTCAAGTTATTTTCAGAGTTTCGAATCAGACCGAAGTCCTACCCTTTGAATATCTCGTAAATTCGTTAGGCCACCCCAAGTAGTGGCATAAGAGTGTACACAGATTGCAAGTGTGAACCGACGCCCTGTATTTCCAAAACACCTTGAGGTACTACAAGCAGTGGTAAAGAAGTGTGCGGATATCTATGACCACGCACTGTAGGTGGCTATTTGGCTAAAAGACAGCGTAAGTCCTACTGCATCGACCTTTACATCATGTTTAGAATCATAGAATCACATAGGGGTACCCCAAGCAGCGGCAACACGCATATGTTCAGGCTTTCTGACAAGACAAATTAAAGGCCCCTTGAGACACTCGTGCCATTTACTATCAACTTTCCCTCGTCCAATACAGCCATCGTCAGTATTGCGAGCGAATGACTACTCGTTTTCCGCGCGTCTTGGGAGCGGGGAGCGAGACCGACGTCGTCGAGAGCTCTCACCCACAGGTGAAGCAGAACGATCTCGACGCTTCAGCATCACCGCACTGCCACGACCCGGGCGCTTCCTCTCCTTCCCCTCCTTCTCCTCTCCCTTCACAGTAGACTCGCGCATAGACGGCGTGACCGGCTTGCCCCCCGGGCGCTTCCTCTCCTTCTTCTCCTCTTTCGCCTCCTCCTCCTTCACCGCTTCGTCATAGTCCTTCCCAAACATGTCAGCAAGAAGGTCCACAACCTCTTCCCTGTCCGGCACCGCTTCACACTCCCGCTTCTTGTACGGACCGCAGTCATCCGCAATCGCCCGCGCGAGCCGCGCGCTGACTAGATCCGCGGACATGGACTCCTCGAGTGGCTCAGTGAAGCAGCGTGCGCAGAAGAACTCCGCCTCAGTGGCCGGGTGCTTGCAGTTGGTGCCGCAGGAGAGGGTCGTGGTGGTGTGGATTTTGTGGCCGCAGGATAGCAGATGGTAGCGTGAATCGGTTGCGCAGGGGGCGACGGTGGCGGCCATTTGGGCGAGGGTGATGGGGCGCTCGGGAGATGCAGGGGGGAAGGGGGAGGCGGGCAGGGAGGCGGGCTCGAAGATGCGGTCGCGCCAGGTTGGGCGGCGGCGGACCATGGCTGTTGCGGTTGTTTTGGTTTGTTTGGCTTGTGGCGCAGGTTTGATTGTTGTGAGATTGTGTAGTGAAAGGTTTGTAGCGAACTGGTAGGTTTGAGGGATGGCGTTGCTGTGAGTTTACCTCGCCGAGATGGGTGTGGCGAGGTGGTGGGTTGGAGGGAGGGTGTTGTGTTGTGAATTTATATTGACGCGGTTGGCGGCAGCCATGTGACGTGACGTAGGTTAGGCGCGCTCTAACATTCACTATGCTTTCCAGTGATGTTAGAGAGGTTTGGACGGTTTGTGTTGTCTTGTCAGGGCAATTCTCGATGTCTTCACAATGTTCTGTTACCTGCGCTGGTCATGGTCCTGGGAAAGACGTTAAGAGCTTGAGGATATAACTCGGAAGGCGCCCAAATCTCACATGCTTGACATACCTGGGAGTACCTCAAGGAACTTACGGGCTGTTCCAGCTGGTAGCTCTCCAGCTTGTTCTGATTTCTTGAAGTGTGTTGAAGCACACACGGACGGTAGCGAGACGTTGTACAAACATCTGTAAAGACCATATAGGCATCACAGAACAGGGCCAAATCGAGTCATTGTTATTCATCATTGATTATAGAAGTTATAGATCACGTCTTTCGTGTAAGAAGAGGAGTTGGAGATTTGAGAGGAGGAATTTCATGGATTTGATTGGTAGAGAGTTTACAAAACAAGGAGCTACCTATGCAGACGACAGGCCAACTCCGCGTCCCCGGTTTTCCCTATCACCCATGGCATCACAATTGATTCAGCCATTCCAGTACCTGAACCAGTTGAGTTCCTAACAGGTCAAGTGAGCTTCGCGCCTACGACTATCCAATCCAGTCAACCATGGCATATAAGTCGTCCAACCATTCCAGTGTTTATATTCGCGTAAGGGTCTTTAGTTTGTAGTCGCTGAAAGGCATTCTCGAAGTTTTCGTCTTCGATAGCTGTGTTAAAGAATTGCATGTTGTCAGTCAAGCCGTCGACCAATATATCCGCAGGGGTGCAGGCGAAAATGAGCGGCTTCTAGCGGAGTGCAGTGGCCTAGAGATGACCAAACAAGTTGTCAATCTCATCGACCTGACGGACCGACTCCTGTGATTCGTCGCAGATTGTCGCCCCAAACTGTCGAAGGTGCATGGGCGCACCGACTACTCCATCTCAGAGGCCGAGGTTCAACGACGAAAGTCGCTGCACACGCTCTTCAAGGTAGGGAGGGAGGATGATGAGGGGCCTGTCCATCCTTGGCGACGACGGAGGAGTGTTGTGAATTTCGGTTTGTAGTGTTAGGGGGTGGGGTTCGGAAGGTTGCTTGAGCAACGGCCAACGGGGTTGTGAAGTTCGGTGAAGACTCGAAGAGCGCATCTGACGCTCTTTTTATCCACCAGCAAAAGCGAGATTCACCTTCGTTATCTGATCATGTTCCGCATCGTAGACATTCACTTCATGGCCGCGCGATGTGAAAGTTGTGGCGCATATACAGACAGTGAATCATATATACACATTGTACATTGTGGTTGCTGATAGAACAAGGAGCTCCTGAGACTCCGTCAGCACGTCTCACCAGCACTAGAACTAAGATTGATATTTTGGGGGGCGAGGGATTTCTATTGACTTGATAGGGAGATTGTCTCACCAGTCATGATATAACTAAATGGCAGATACTGGTGTACCTACACTAGTTGTTCGGGTGGTAGAACTATCCACCCAAGGGGAGTATGATTATGACATTACTGCAATGCGATATCCAGGTAGTTCGCTGATTCTACCCTCGATTATACGGGTCATCGACGGCGTAGACCGGTTATCCGGAAATGTTCGCGTCTTGTTCTGGGCCCTTGGCTTCGAGACGTCCGAACATATCATCAATTTCGTCGACCTGAGAGTGGTCTCCGTCATCCCGGATTGCAGCGCCGAATGATTGAAGCTCCTCGGTCAGGCTATCTACAAGGTCATCAGCAGGTGGTACAGCCATGGTATACCTACGGCTGTAGTTCCGAGCATCAGCAGTATGGGTCCGGTGATATCGCTGCCAGATCTCCGGATTCCAGGGCTGTGCCCTCGCTGAGGTACGCAGGAACTTGTGCTCAACATCTTCCATCTTGCGTAGTTTCCATCAGTGCGTCAGCCTCCACCAGTTCCGGGAAGTTATCCCTATAGAAGTCTTCTATAGAGTCGCGATACATCACCGTAGTGGCAACACGCTTCCGACTTAAGGCGACTTCAGCGTCAATAGAGAACTTAATCTCCGCAATGATGTCTTCTTCAGGGATTTCCATAGCGTCGCCAGCCGCACGAATTGCTCGTAGCTCTTTCTCAATGCAGCGTGGGCAGGCGAAGTCTGATCCATTCCAAAAGATGCGGCAATTTTCTCCGCAGCGCTCCGGAACGGTGGTGCGAACCTTATGACCGCATCGCAGGATATGGTATAAGCTACCCCGGCTGCAGGGACGGACTGACTCCTCCATTTCGAAGAGTCCAACGTTCATGTTTGAGAGCCGGACCACACGCTCTTCAAGGTAGTCCGGTAGGATAACGAGTGGTCGATCCATAGCGGGCGAAGGTTTTGAGAGGTTTTGAGAGAGAGAACGCGGTTGAGGTTGTTGTTAGAGTGCGGGTTCTCTTGCGTGAGAAAATAGGAGAAGATTTTGATGAGAGGGTGGAGAGCGCATCCCACGTTCCTTTTATCAACCAGCAAAGTGGAACTGCAGCTAAGTTGTTTAACTCCATTGCACGTATTGTGAAAATACAGATTGTGGCTACGGAAAGCGAAAGATGTGATGTATATACACAATCTAGACAACCTATACACAATGGAAATTATGCATGGATAGCACATGGAATGAGGAGTGGTCCTGTTCAGCGATGGATGCTATTCTGCAGAAGCACTAATGACGAAAACTCCTCGTATAGCAACAGAAGAGCTATAAGAAATAGATGAGCCAGTTGACATGTCACAGGTCTGATTGAAGAAGGAAACAATTCAAAGGAGGGGATAAAATTGAACTAACACGATTGTTGTTCTCAATCACAATTTAATCTCTCGCAACAAAGCGAGCCTTCCTTTATGGCCTTTACAACAAAAATAGCGAGCTCTTTTGGCTCTGAGATCAGACGAGTATGTTCCACTGGCATTCGTGAAACATCTAAACGGGATTTCGAGCTTCGGGGATGGGTAAGTCTCAGGCGTCTCCGATAAGTCTTCCGCGCATAATGCGCGTTGGTTCATTAATTCATAGTGGACTAAGGATGGCCCGTGTGGGAGTGGTAAAGAAGTCGGCTGTTGTGCGGCATCCTTCCAAGATCCTCGCCGAAAGATAAGGCAATACTCTCGAGACAGGACCTTTCTTTCCTGCATGATCCCGTCGTCGAAGTCGATAGCCGTATACACCTCAGGAACAGGGAAGTTGACTTCGGAGTTTCGTCTGCCACAGTGCTTTGGCCAAGAACATTCCTATCGCGGTAGCACACTCAATCTAAGAACGACGATTGTGGTTGAGTGGTTATATGGGTATCCCAGCGTTCATGCAAGCCGTAATCGGCCGAAGGAGGATGAAACACGTGACTAGTATGTGATTGGCCCCCATTCTCGTGAACAGGGGCGCTCGAAACGGATCGGCAAGCGAAAAAGTGGGCTCCGTCTCCTTAATCCCCAACCGCCTTCCCTACAGCCCCAAGATCCTCTCTCCCCTGTACACTGCCATCTAACTCAACGGCCGAATACCTTAATGGCAGGAGCATGCGTACAACCGTCCTCCTGCCCTAGAGAGCTTGGCGAGGTCGCTCATGCATCATTCCCGCCGACGTGCATAGTGGATGCTCCGTTGATTGGGCGACGTCACGGAAACAGAAACATCCTCCCGGCCTCTCCGATGTTTCTGTTCACGATCTGCAAAGAAACCGAGTTGGCGTGCTTCCAATGAGGCTCGAGTGTAGCACTGCAGGGCTTCGTAACAGTCCTTATGGAAGGAGATCGTGGTACTGCTGCTGCAATTGTGGAGAAGCAATCAACTGGACGGAATAGCCTTGAACGTCAATAAAGAGAGCAATCTAGCTTCTTCATCAAGTATATCCGCTTTCTTCTGTACCTTTTGAGTATCGCGGACTCACTCTCGTTCTCTACTTATTTGAACTCTTGAGCCTCCATTCTTTCACTTCATCACCACCTTCTTTCCATCCTGAGACTTGTCTTAGGTAGTCTGTCTTTCGCTGCTCCTTTTTTTACTCTTTCTGGCTGTGCCATTCGAAAGACCATTATACCATTCGCTTTTCAAACACACGTCACTTAGAACAACTCCGCAACCATGCTCTTCAACCCTATCCGATCCCTCTTAATCCTTGGATCCATTGGCGTGGCATCAGCCGGTACGTAAAGCCCCCTCTTTGAAGAAGTCCGCTTACTGACTGTCTCTTCAAGATGTCTTCGCCGACATCTTTGGCTACCACCATGGCCCAGTCATAGCTACCGCAAGCACGGGCTTCCCCACCGGCACTGCTAGCAGTGGCTTCGTGCCAATCCCCGCAGCCACTGGCGTCAGGAAGCTCAAGGTCCGATATGACCTTGCACCGACTTCAGCACCCTTCGCCGTCCCAGAGCCAACTCCCGGTCGCGCCAGGCGTGAGCGTCGAGGAGCCCTCCTCACAACTGGCACTGGCACTGGCACCGCCAGCACAGCTGGCCCTACGGGAACTGGCTCACTCGGCCTTCCTTTCCCTTCCACCTTCGTCACCGCCCTGAGGCCTATACCTGTCCCCACTGCCATTGCCGAAAAACGAGAGGACGCGCCCAAGGAGTGGTGGATGGATACCCTGAAGCGATGGATCGACGGCGATCAGGCTGGCCCGGAGAACTTGAGGAGATGGGGCAACTTTGGCGCTCATATGTAGAGGGGCGTCATGGCCAGCTGTGCTGTCTAGCCTCAGAAGGCTTCGCACCGATACCATATGCAATTGATCATTGCACATATTAACGGCCGTTGGGATAGAGCAACCCGGCGCATTTCTTTCTGTTACAACCCCATCATGGAATAGAGATGGGATGATTATATTCTTCTAAAGCGGGATTCGCCGCGGTTCCTTGTGTCTATCCAACCTTTTCGTGCGTCAAGAGGCGCACTTATCCAATGAAAGATATATTTGGTATCCAACATTCACACTTTGAATTCACTGTGACGTTAACTAAGTCTACTACTTGTCACATGATGAATAAGGATATCAAGAAGTGTAACCTGCGGGCCTCATCAATTGATTTATGTTCATTAACTATTCTACCTTTTGGTATAACATATCACGTGACCATATCTTGGCACTATCAAACGTCCGTCGGCTCTCATTCGCCTGAACCATCTCAACTCCAACTCAACATCACGATACCACATAACCATACAACCTCTGATCAACCCCAACTAATAACCCCACAAATTCCCATTCAATGTAGCTCACCCCTCTCTGCCACAATGGCAACCTCAACAACCCCAACCACCATCCCACCACCCCAATCCCCTCTCCTCACCTCCCTCGAACGCGACGGCTTCGTAATCCTCCCCTCCTTCATCCCCCCCTCGACCCTCGAAGCCCTCCGCGCCGCCGGCGCCCGCACAACCGCCCTCGCCCGCTCCGGCGCCTGGCCCCACATCCGCACGCTGCCCAAGCAATTCCCGCCCTGGCCCGCCGACGCCTCGGCGGGGATCTGGGGCGTGCAGCACCTGCTGCACCCGGACCTCCCTGACCACCTCCTCTTCGCCTCGAGCTACTTCTCGCCGCCCCTCCTCGCCGTCGTGGCCGAGCTGATCGGCGGCGGCTGCACGGCCGACGAGCTGGTCATGGAGCTCTACAATCTGCTGGTCCGGCCCGACGAGGACTTCGAGCTGCGGTGGCACCGGGACGACGTGCCCGCGGACGCGGGGCCGGCGGAGGAGCGCGAGCGGCTGGCGCGGCCGGCGTGGCATGCGCAGTGGAATCTGCCGCTGTATGAGGACGATAGTTTGATTGTGGTGCCGGGGAGTCATAGGAGGGCGCGGACGGAGCGGGAGAGGGCCGCGGGGCCGTATGAGACGGGGTTGGAGGGGGAGGTTAGGGTGAAGTTGGGCCCCGGGGATGTGGTGTTTTATGATAATAATATTTTGCATCGCGGGAAGTATGAGAAGGGGAGGGAGAGGATGACGTTGCATGGGAGTGTGGGGTGTGTGAGGGGTGGGAAGGGGAGGACGCGGAATGTGCTGCAGCATGGGGTTGGGGAGTGGGTGGGTAGGTGTGATTTTGGGGGGTTAGAGGGGGAGGTTAAGGCGAGGGCGGAGGGGATGCGGGAGAGATTGGTGGAGTTGGGGAAGGTGAGTGGTGATGTTGGGTTTTTCTCCAAGGAGGAGTGAGGGGGAGATGGGGATGAGACAGTCCGTAGTAGGTATGATTCAAGAGTCCTACGGTACGAAGAGCACACTTCCTCTTTCCTCTATGTAAGTGAGTCAAATTGCAATCTCGGTAGTCATATTACTCCTCTCTACCCTATCACCTTACCATGCACGTCTTCGGCTGGACACTTTCCGCGGATGATCACAAGATCCGAAAATCATTGAAGGAGCAAAACACCACAGCCGGACGCACTCTAACGGTAAACCTTGGTGAAGTGCTCGTGCGAGCCTACAGTTGCTGTGATGCTATTCCTCAATCAATTTCCGCACAGTAAAGAGGCGGCAAGGATATATTCCGCGGGTCGAGCTGATTTAAACAGGCAGAGGAGGCATAGAGCTTCTCGGTGTAACAGGAGGAAACAAGATCTCGGAGTTGGATGTTGGCACAAGAGATTTAGCAGGGAGGAATGCGAGTGAGAATCCTCCTCCTTTTGCTCCTACTATTGACCCATCGCGGAAGACCTCCGCGTGCGAGCCACTCGCTCCGCCACAATCTTTCACCTGTGGCTTGACAGCAGACACTCACTCATCCATTTATTCCAGTTAATTCTGCCAACCCCCAACTAATTTGAGCAGCAGGCCGGTCGGGCGCAGTGGCAATGGTCCTCTGCGCAACACAACTGCAAGGGCGCTGGGTTCGACTCCCGCCCTTGTCAGGAATTGACATTATGGCTCTTTCCTATAGATTCGACTGCAAAGTCGCGCGGAAAAGTTTCCTAATAGATTCGACTGAAAAGTCGCGTGGAAACATAATAAGTCCATCGTCAACGGAGTAAACCGCCCGGGGTTTCTACACCCTCCCTCGAGGAGGGTGGTCTTTTGCTCCTCGGGTATTCTTTTGTTTTCCCTCGTGTGCATTGTACGGGAGAGCTGATGTGGTATATGTTTGCTGCATCATCAGGTATGGATGTCTCATCTAGCTATGGATTAGTGAAAAGGATTCGTTGGAGATTTGGACCTAGCAAACTCGTTGGTGAGGAAGCAAGCAGGGTAGGGCTGAAGTGGGAACTACTTCGAGCTTCCGTTTCGGCATGAGCATGCATTTTCATGGTGATGAATAGTTTACTTGAACGCCTAGGCCGAGCTCTGAAAAGTACGTTGGTTGAATCTTGCAACTGTTCATGCAGTAAGGACAGGTGCCTCTGGGCTTAATGGAAGTGTTACTGATTAGATTAAAAGTGAATGGTCAAGCCATCAGTGCGTCCGACGGGGGTTTTTGGCAGCGACCTCACTCAGAATGAAGCTAGTCATTTTCCGGATTAGCCTGAAGGCCGCTTGGCAACATGAAGATTCCACCTAGGCACCTGCAATTGGAACACCGCGTACTCGATTTAGCTGCAGCGATAAGCTAATGATACACATGTACTTGCAAAACATTCCCCTGAACCGTCCAGCTCAAGCCATGCCGTGCGATACCGTGCACATCCGTAAACGCCATCTGCCGACCAGTGCAGCCTTAAACCACAAAGCAGTCCCTATTCCGTCCAGTTACACAACGGATACGATTGAAAGATGCAACGAAGAGCAAATAAGTGATGCAGATATGGCTTTCTTTCCAGTAATACACACTCCTTAACCGAATCCGGGCCGCCTTGTCTTCGAACCCAGCCAAGCGCCTAACGCCGCAATGATGAGGATGACAAGGAAGATGCGTTTGAGGAGCCAGAAACTCCATTCCTTAGCAGATGCGGGAGCGCTATCCGCGAGCAAAGGAGTCAGTGGGTGACGCGGTTTACGATGAGTGATGCGGATAGGATAAAAAGAGGTGCCGACGAGAGAAGTTGGAGGGTGAGTGGGAATTACAGGTGCTAGTCTGAGGGTGTTTATTGCTCCTTTTCGTACCCCTCTGGCTTTGTCATTCCATTGACCTCATAGAAGCGCGAAGTACCTGTTTACAGGGTTAGATACAACTTTCGTTTGCATGATGACGGCGTTCAACTTACATGAATACCCATTCCAGTCAAAGTTATCTTTGGGGTTGCAATGGCACTTCAGATCCAGTCGTGTCTGCTGGCCCGTCGGGCAATGGGTGAATGGCACGTGATAGTATGCAATGTCGTTGAAGAAGTGAATCTCATCCTTCTGGAGCATCAAAGCAGCTGCGATCGAGTGTACAGGCGCGTCGCCCCATCGTTCGTAGAAGAATCCGCCGGAATGGTCGAGGGATTCGAAGTAATCGACGTATGCCTTGGAGCGGAGCCAGTCCAGATTGCCAATCTCGAAGTTGGACCACTGCAAGAACAAAGTCAGATTTTACAGGAATAAGGGGGATTCATTTTACTTACGAAGTGGCAATGATTGTAAGATTCGCCGTTGTCGTCACTCAGGAAGCCCATAGAGTTGTCTTTCACAACATGCTCTGGGTGTGTTGCGGTAAAGTTCTTGACAGCATCCCAAAGGGTTGGGATGGTCTCCACGTATTCGTACAAGCTGAGGACGAAACTGTATTTCTTCTTGTTGTCGGCCATGAACTTGAAGGTATCGTAGTTGATGTCGCAGAAGAGCTCAATGCTGGGCTCCACACGCCAGTACCACTCATAGTCTAGCATCAACGGGTGGCGGAAGAAGAATCCGGATTCGTATCGACACATGTGTCTATAGCTGATGGAGTCACCGTAGATGATCTTCTTCTCCTTCATTTCCTCACGGACTGCGGCAGCCTTGTCCTGGTCGATGAAGTCGGGGAAGGACCAATGCTCGGTGGGGATTTTGCCGTACTTTGTCTTTCCGGAAACCAAGGAAGTGGTAACCTTGACGAACTCGTCGTCAAAGTCATCATCGTTGAGGAAGACCCAATCGTAGTTGAACTTGCGATTGAAGCGGTCCTCGACCTGGCGAATGGAGCGGGAAATCTCCCAGAGATCCGAGTTCCTGGCAAGAGTGACAAAGGTCGCGTTCATACGGCTCCCAGATGCGGTGGCCGGGGGCAACTCATTCTGGGTATTCGGGGTTGTAGGGGCAGTCTTGGGTGAGGTGCTCTGGTTTCCAATCTCCTTTACCGTTTCTGGCTTGCCGCTTTGCCACGGTGTCGCGGGAACGGTGGAGGACGAGGAGATGAAGAAGAGTAGGATTAGGCACTGGACAAGGTCAGTACACGCAATGGCTGATAATCCGCGTGGAATTGGCATACCACGAGGGCAAATATAATGTAGCGCAGATATCGCTGCGTGCCCGCCATTTTGGAAGGCGGCTGTTCGAACCGCTGGCTCTGGCTCTTTTCAGAGGAGTCGCCCGTTTTGCCCTCCACCTTGACGGTTGCCGGAGGAAGATGCGAGGAGAGAAGGTTGTGGGAGCGAGGTCTGGGAGGGACACGAGGGCGAGGGCGGATCCGTTGTCCTCGGAGGGTGGCACAGGGCGGTCCACGGGCGCCCAGACGGACAAAGGTACCAAGGAAAGAAAAGAGGGGACAAAGGGCGCCGGGCAATGGCAACGAGCGGCGCGGCGGGAGGAAGAAGCGAGGGGACGGGAGGCACGGAATCAGGAGGGAGGATCGTGGGGAGAAAAGGGAGAGGGTTGAATTTGGCTGGGCGGACTGATGCGCCTCTCAGGGACGAGGCCGCGCAAGGAGCAGCGAATTGCTTGGCGAGTGCAGCGGCGAAAGCCGTCATCGAGGGCCACCCAAAACATCACCACCCAAAACATCACCACCACACCACCATCGCCAACGAACCTCGCCGTCGCCGTCGCCGCCACCTCACTGCCAACCGCCGCTGCTGCGCTGCTGCGCGGGACACTCGCTGACCGAACTGCAGGCCTAGCTACCTTCATTCGCCACCCATTGTCCATCAGTCTCAACCGGCATCTGCAGACGCACCCGTTGCGCGACACATTGCTAGCCACCCCACCATCCACTCTAGCTTCTTATGTGGCTGCCATCTCACTCTCGTCTATACCGCCCTTGCTCCTGGACATAATCACCGCGACATTCTGAGCCACCGCCAGCGTCGCTGACCACTGAGGCTGCCCCACCATGTCTTTTTTCGGCTTCGATGCCACCCTTCCGAGAGACCGGGGGCACTCGTCCCAGGCACCGGGCTTCGGCCAGGCCCAGGATGCCTTTGCGGGTCTCTCTGGCAGAGGTGCGGCAGACGACGATGATGCGTGAGTCTCTGTGCAAACGTCTTGGTCCTGCGGTGCTAATTTGCCCAGCATCGATTTTGAAGAGACGTACGACGGACTAGGCGACCAGCTCGACGAGACCGACGATACTTTCAACGATGACACTTTTGGAAACGATAAGGCTGTCGGCAAGGACTTCGACTTCGCTGGCCAGACCTCGCGCGTCGCCGATGCCATCGAGGGAGAGGGCCTGCTCTGGCAGGCAAAACAGCCTCCTCCAAACATCCATGCTACGAGGCACACGACCCAGCCGGCCAAACCTGCTAAGAGTGGCTACGAGCCATATGCCCAGCCAACCTACATTCCCGACCTGGAGGCCAATGCGAGCATCTGGGGCATCAACCCCAAAAGGCAAGCCCAGAATCAACAAGCACACCAGCGCCAGGAAACCAATGCTGCTGCTGCGCCTGCTGCTCCGGCGAGGAAGATGATGAGCCTCGAGGAGGTAGAGGCAATGATGCTTGCCCAGAACAAGAAGCCCACGCCTCAGTCTATGCCTCAAGCCCAACCTCCACCGCCAGCGGCTGCCCCTCAACCACAGGCGCAATATCCTTCACATTATGGACAGATGCCTAGTCAACAAGGTGGGTTCTCTGGCCCGCCGCAAATATTGCAGCGTCCCCAGCAGCCGCCTCCTTCGCGCCCCCCACCTAAAGCGCACGCTGAATTGCCTGGTCATGCCATTCCACCACCTGGCCAACAGCAGCCGACGATTCTGCAACGGAACAGGCAGTCCGTACCCGATCAGCCTGCACGGCACACGCCTGTGCAGCAGGCTCAGCGCCCCCCTTCTCAGCCGAGACAAATCTTGCAAAATCCGAATAGGCTCTCTGGCCACGGTCAGCCAATTACTCAACCAGGCCAACAGAAACAAGGCGAGTTTCAACGAGGACCACAGCTAGGGCCTAGCCATGCTCGAGGTCCCTCTTTTCCCGGTGTCGTGACTCACCCGGAGCAGCTCCTGCACCTCACCGAAGAAGAACGAGCTGCGTATCTGATCGAAGATGCCAAGCGTGCTAAGAGAAACCACAAAATCCATCTCTTGTCCAAGGATAATGGGTTGATGACTCCGCAGGACAAGAATTTCATCACTCGGATCCAATTGCAGCAGCTAATGGCTGCGACGGGTGGGCTTGAAGAGCATGGGCCAGAAGCGGCGCTGACAGAAGACTTCTATTATCAGGTGTATTGCCAGATCCGAGGAGCACCACGGCAGAACCCGCATCAGCCCGCTAGCCAGTTCGCTCAAACATATCTATTTCAAACCGGTGGTAGGTATGGCATGGGCCGTAGACACCACCGAGGCGGAGATAACCATATGCAGCGGATGGAGCAGCAGGTACAGAGAGCTGTGGAAGCTGCAAAGGCCAAGCCAAAAAACAAGCAACTTGTAATTGAAGGAAGTCTGGGAAAGATCTCCTTCAGCAATTCAAAGACACCCAAGCCACTCCTGAACATCAAGCGCCCCGATCATGGAGACGGCGCTCAAGGGTCGGGCCGAAGACCTAGCGGAGTAAATGCGCATGGCTCAACCATTATTGATCGCAAGACGACTCTGCGAAACATTGAGAACGTTTACGACTGTCTGATGAAACTGGAGGACCATGAGCGGCGGATGCCTCCACCTTTAGCCGAGAATAGTGATCCGCAAACTATCCAGGCACACATGGAATGGCAAACTGGGACCCAAAGGCTGCATGAAACACTATGGCAAGATCTAAAAATCATGGAGCCCATCAACCCGAAGTAAGTGTGCAACATGTTCAGTTCATTATATCTTCTAACGATATCTTCAGTTCGCTTACGCCTCATCCGTTTATTGCGATACTCTCGCATGCAAAGGGCAAGAAGGCTATTCCACGAATCTTCCGCCAAATCGACGAGCAACAGCGCATCATTATGCTCACCATGATCGTCGTCCACCTTGATATGCTCTCAGTCGTCGCAAAGGCTGTTCCGTCTCCGGATGAGCCGAATCTATCTCCAGCGATCCGCGAAGAAGTGGAACTCTTTTCGCATGCAGTGATGCCGCCGCTCTTTGCCCATATCGCCGAGTCGCCTTTGAACATCGTCATTGGGCTTTTAGGCCTTATCCTGGATCGCACGAATCTGCACCTTGTCACTCGCACCAAGATCGGCATGTCACTACTCACCATGCTCATCTCGCGAGCTGAGCTTGTGAAACAATCAACGCCAGAAATGAATCCCGGTGACTGGGAGCAGTGGATGCAGCTGTACAATCGACTCTTCGACGCTGTGGAGCCCGTCCTTCCGTCGATCTTCCCAGGGTCAGTCAATGACACAGAGGATGTGTATGTTTGGCAGTTCCTCGCGGCTATGGGTGTAGGTGCTAGTCCCGAGCAGCAGCAGAGACTAGTCCTTGGCGTCAAGGATCGGGTGATGGATACTGTGGCAGTAAGCAAGGCGCTTCCGGCTGAGCTGGCTAGTGTGAGATTAGGCCACGTGAATCTTTTCATGCGGGCAATTGGGTTGGATGTGGAGCTGCTTGGTTGATCAAAGCTTGCGGACGAAGCTACGAGTTCTTCTTTCTTCATATGCTTAACGCTCACTTTGGCAAGACTCTTCATTGGGTCATCGAGAGAACATACGCGGAGGCTTGTCGGGATCGGTACGCATATATTCAGCGTTTCGGCTTGGATAAAGCCTAAAAAGCAAGGATGTGAAGCGCCATCAGGATTGGCATTATAGCAAAGCGAGCCTCAATAGTCTTCGACCCATTTGGTAAATAAAGGCATCTCCAAACGAGAGCTTTGATGAAGCACAGGAAAAGGTCTCACTTGATAAAATCTTATAATCAGTAAAAATCCATTCATTCCGAAGGAGTTTGAATCCTTCCAATAATGCTGAAGTGATTGATGATGTATAATAAAATCTTGGCACCACCCCGCCATTCAAAATTCCACGGGTGAAATCTGCAGCGAAACCACACAACCCCGCAATGGATGTATCAACGCGTCTTGGGCAATTGCCTACTGGTAAGACACTTCCGGAATTTAACTTCACCCTCCGTACTTCACGAAAACGACTCTAACGTAGTGAGTAGAGATACTCGAGATTTGGCACGCTCATAGACTGCCCGTCATCTTTTCCGCAATATCGCTGATTGCTGCCATACGACTAATACAGAATGCAAGAAGGAAGCGCGAAAAGCTTTCTCTGTCGCCAGTCCCGATCTCTCCAGCTAAGAAAGATGAAGACATCAGTCTTCCGTGGCAACTAGAGGGTCGCACGGAGAAGCAAGAATTAGACCTAGAACTCCGCGCCGAGGACTCATCACCGCCACTGGTACAACAGCGGAGTCGAGTGCCGAAGACGGTGAAGGGAGTGAAACTGAAATCGGGCCAGAAACAGGCTAAAGACTTCGATCACACAACAGATAAGATTCAGCCGTTGATCTTCTTCTCCTCACTCGCAGGGACAACGGAAGTCTTTGCTACCAAGTTTGCGGAGGAGTTAACGACTTGGATTGAGAATACTTCAGAGCTTCCGTCGTTGCTCAAACCTGAACTCCTTGATCTTTCCTACATCGAGTACGATGACTACTTCATCAGCCCTCCCAAGACGGACCCAAACACCAAATATGTCTATCTCGTTCTACTTCCTTCGTATGATATCGACACCGTACTCGACATCTTCCTCGAAAATCTCCAAGAAACCCACAACGACTTTCGAATCGACACGGCACCGCTGTCTGGGCTGCTTGGATATACTGTTTTCGGCTTTGGAGACAAGCAAGGATGGCCTACAGAGGAGGAAGGATTCTGTTCGCAGGCGAAACAAGTGGATAAATGGCTAGCGAAGCTGACTGCGAGAAAGCGAGCATTCCCACTGGGTATGGGAGATGTTAAAGGTGCTGCACAAGAGAGGCTAAATGAATGGCGACTTGGTGTGCAAGAGGTCCTGGCTGAGATTGCTGCGGGAAAGGGGCTAGGTGACGGAGTGGCAGGGAGTGGAGACGCTGTAGAAAGTGACGAAGAGGACATTGAGGGCGTGGAAAATAGCGACGACGAGACTCCTGTCTCCACGAAAGCGCGGAGACCTCAAAAACTGGTGAGAGTGGACGATCTCGAGGACCTTGGGCGAATGATCAACACAGAGGAACCTGCCGATTCAGCGCCTTTGGCAATCGACTTCACGACGTACAAGTCTAAGCTGAAGACACCTGCGGTAGTTCAATTGAAAGAGATGGTCCCAACGTCCTCTCCGACCCACGCCTCCCTCACCAAGCAAGGCTACAGCATCATAGGCTCTCATTCTGGTGTTAAGATTTGCCGTTGGACCAAATCCGCACTCAGAGGCCGTGGATCTTGCTACAAATACTCATTCTACGGCATTGCATCTCATCTGTGCATGGAAGCCACACCTTCCCTATCATGCAGCAACAAATGTGTCTTCTGCTGGCGCCACGGCACCAATCCCGTAGGAACCACCTGGCGCTGGGTCACCGACGCCCCCGAAGTGATATTTGATGGCATTACAACCGCTCACTACAAGAAAATCAAAGCAATGAAAGGCGTCCCAGGCGTCCGCGCTGAGCGCTTTGCGGAAGCCATGCGCATCCGACACTGCGCCCTCTCCCTCGTCGGCGAGCCCATCTTCTACCCTCATATCAACGGACTCGTCGCCATCATGCACGCGAACCGCATCTCGACCTTCCTCGTCTGCAATGCGCAGCACCCCGCCCAGCTCGAGGCCCTTATTCCCGTCACGCAGCTGTACGTCTCCATCGACGCGTCTAACAAAGACAGTCTAAGGAAGATCGATCGACCGCTCCATCGAGATTTCTGGGAGCGCTTCTGTGCGTGTCTGGACATCCTGAAAAAGCGGAGGTTCGAGCAGCGTACCGTCTTCCGCCTCACGCTCGTCAAGAACTTCAACATGGCGGATGAAGTGCGCGGCTACGCGGATCTGGTCGAGCGCGCGCTACCAGGGTTCGTCGAAGTGAAGGGCGTCACGTACTGCGGTACTTCTGCCGCTGGCGGTGCAGGGATTACCATGGAGAACGTGCCCTTCTACGAAGAGGTAGCCGCGTTTGTAGAGGCGCTTGCGGAAGAGCTGAGCAACAGGGGCTTGCACTACGGCATAGCGGCCGAGCACGCGCACAGCTGCTGCGTGCTGCTCGCGGATAAAGAGAGATTCCTCAGAGACGGGAAGTGGGCAACCCGTATCGACTTTGAAAAGTTCTTCGAGTTGTATGAGGGCGGTGGAGAGTGGAGACCGGAGGATTATATTGGGGGCGATACGCCCGAGTGGGCGCTCTGGGGGAACGGGGGCTTTGACCCCAGAGATACGAGGGTGTGGACGAAGGGAAAGAACAAGGGTAGGGTGATCGTCGGGGGCGGAGGAGTGGGGAGTGAGAAGGCGAAGAGGCAGGGTGTGGAGACAGTAGGGCCAGGGGGAATGGTACTTGATGGGGCGGGAGTGGTTGAGATATGATTTTGCGGTGAAGGGCTGAGATCAGGATACAAAGGTCGTGGAGTTGAACAATTGCGAATAACTTATGAATGGAACCAGGGCGGATACTATAGTGAATTGGCTTGGCGTTCGATTATCGCGGACGGACTGGCTCCCATTCATACATGCAGATGCCTGCTGTTTCCATGGTCTGAATCTGGGTGCTAAGTGGGTGAGATCGAAGCCCTGTCTGAGATGTCACTATCATTGAGCAAAATCGCAACGCCTTTGAGGTCTAAATACCGTAAAATCAAACCTCGAGGTCGAATTGTTAGAATCCACCATCCTAATGCGGCGTGCCGGTCAATATCACGTGCTAAATTCTTTATGGTCATGGCGCCTTGGCATCCCTTTTGACCTCCAGAACATCCCGACACCACACTAACTTTTAGGCGAGACTTGCAACCTTTCCCGCGCCGACAATCTAGAACCTGCCACATATGCAGAACATGAATCGCAAGCAAATGGCTAGACAACATATCTTCCTCCAATTGTAACAGCTTCCAGATCGCCCGGAAACGAGGGTCGCAAGCAATACAAATTTGGATGAGTATTGAACGTCGGTGGCTTGCCGCTAAACCTCATGAGCAGTCTGCTCCGTCTAAGGCCCCTAAGGTTCACAGTAGATATCACCGAGACCATTCGAGGTCCACCTTGGGTTTCGAAAGAGGAGTAATCTTAAAGTTCAGCTCAATGGACTCATGGGAGACCAATTGCACATCTACGTTCGAACGCCATCCACCCCTCCCCGCGCCTATCTTCTTTCATGATTAGTTAGCCAACACATTTTTCACAGAGCCTCAAGCGTTTTCTAGATAAGTGCTTGCGACCCTTAGCCACGCACACAGCATTCGCAAACCCTCTGGAAATTTCCACCATTCGATTGAACCTTGAGATTTCAATCAAGCGTGTCATTTGCCGCCTTGATACGTCCTTCACGACTAATATAGTTATCGTGGATGATGAGCCAGCAACTTTCACAGTGAACGAAGAGAAAGAGGCAGTAGCTGTGAAAGCTCGCTCGACGTGCTTCTTATCGGTGAGAGAGCATGACTCTCAACGCATGGCTTGCTTTAGTGCACGTCAGATATCCTAGTGCACGGCAGGCAGGCGAACCAAAGTCAAAACCACGTGTCGATCTGAACTCACAACTTCCGCAGGTATCCACGGAGCACGGATGAAACCCGTGGCCTCGGTACATGGCGACACCTGATGGGTTTCGGTCGTAAGGCTGCTGATTTCTCCACAGGTTGACGCATACATCAGCCCACAACAGGTATTTCGGGGGATCTGAGTATGGGGAATCTGAATATGAGGGCACTGAACCCCAGTGACATGGTCCAAAGCTCCACTCAGGTTCTCATCACGGCGCGGACATCAAAGTTCTCATCAGCAATACCCACTTATAACGAGCGATAGCTGATGCAGTACCTGTCGACGCTCTAACAGCAATGGGAATTTCCGAGACAGAAAGTCTGGCTGAGGATAAATATTAGGTACGGAAACCCAAGCTGAGACTTCATGCAGCCGAGCCTGGCTGTTCAGGCACGTCGCATGAATGGAGTGGCTGAAGATTAGGCTTAGACGCCCCTGTTCCCCAAGATACCGATCAGACCACCTCCGTAGGTCCGCAGTGGCATCAAAGGACCCTTTCGCTAGCCTAACATGACGAAATCAGCGTTCAACTGAGTGCATCTTTCCAGTTCTCCTGCTTCAAAGATGCCGAATGGGAACAAACTTTTAAAAAAGGCCCTACAGTGGGGATCCGATTTCATCAGGCCGAAGGCGAAATATCGGGCCGCTCAGATACACCGGCATATCAACCGCCACATTACTACGGGAAGCCCACGCAACTTACCGCAAGCCACCTGCATGTATGTACATGCGGGTGGCTGTAAAGAAACCATCCTCCACGTCCTCGATAATCGTAGATCAGCTCCAGATTTTCGGTCAGGATGAGCCCGCATCTGGCCGTAGTGTGTTTTAATAACTTCGACGAACCGTTCCAAATCCTCCAACCCATGTTGGCTGGACGGAAGGAGCCCGCGAGGCTCATCTCAAGAGAGTTCATCGTGTCATGGGCATACCTGTTATGGGGTTTTCACACCGCCCGCTTCCGTGTCTGTCATGTCCCTGAATACGAATCTCACTACTCCCGTCATCCGTGACGCTAGACCCTCACTCCTGCGAGTGTTATAGGGATCACCTTGCACCCATCATCCCCACACTCGAATTTTCCACATTGCGTTCTTTACTTTTTCCTTGCTTCCAAAGCTCTGATTTTCCATCGCTTCTTCTAGCATCGCTGTCACATTGTTTCAAGATGGGGAAGATTATCGAAAGCGAGATGGATGTCCCAAGCATTGCTATGCGGTTCGCTCTTGGCTTCTTTGTTCTCACGTCCATGAAGGCTGCTCGCCAGACTGTTGCGATATACAAGAGAACGCAGCGAGTGTGGAACCCTTACTCATGGATGGTCTGGGTGGAGTTAATCAACAATCTTGTCATGACCATCTACACGTGGTGTTACCTTCGTGGCAATATTCGGCCGTCATTTGGCTTCTTTTTTGGTCTGAGTGAGTTCCCCAAATTATAATGCTCGTACCTTTCGTATGCATTGCTAACGAAGTCTCCGAAGTTTGCATGTGGGTGTTGCAGGTGAGCACCTCGGACTCTTTTTTATCTCTATGTCAAATTGATCCATCTATAGACGCAACTCATTCTCCAAATCATAGCCAACCGGGTTGGTCTTGTCATGGTAGACAAACAAAAAGCAATGAGGCTGAAGTGGCTACTGTTTGTTTTGATTGGCATGGTCAATGTCTCTGTGTTCTGTATCTGGATCCCCGCGCGAATGAAAGTCAATGAAACCTATATTCATATCAACAATGTCTGGGATCGCGCAGAGAAGGTCATTTTCCTCTTTATCGATTTGGCGCTCAATGGATACTTCCTTTTCCTGGTTCGGTCAAAGTTGATCGCGAGGGGCTTGACCAAGTATAAGCCTCTTTTCACATTCAACGCTGTCATCGTTGTGGCGTCGCTAGCTATGGACGTAAGCCTTCAATCTGCCTGCTTTTATTGATAAATACTGAACAGGGATCTAGGTTCTCATTGTGGGAATGATGTCTCTACCTAACACGTTCGTGTAAGTAGATCTTATCCTTTCGGAATGCTTTACTGCCTTGAGACAGTCATCTAATGCGTAATCTTCTAGCTACGTCCAATTCCACCCTCTCGCCTACCTCGTCAAGCTCAACATCGAACTCTCCATGGCAGACCTCATCTCCAAGGTCGTCCGAGGCTCTGATCGCACTGATGCTTTCCACTCGGACAGCCGTAGTGGCGGCACGACCGAGCTTACTTCGCATGGGATATCCAAGCATAGATCTGAACATCCGCTTGGAAACCCAACCACCCAACACGTGTTTGCTAGCAAGGCTGAACCACGCGATAATGACTCCATCAGTTTGGAAGAACAGAATGGCATTATCAAGACTGTCGCGACGACTATAGTGCTTGAATCGGATGGACGGCACGATAGGGATGTGGATAAAGACGACGGGAGGAGTACTTCTAGCAGCACTGCGGAGCTCCATCACTATGGTCGGTAGGATGGACGACGGGAAATACAGTTCGCTTGTATCATTCATGTGGTTAGGATCGGTTATGGTTTTAGACTTGGCACGCAAAAACACAAGACGGAGTTCTGGAAAGATGATGGGCATTTCTCTTTCTGTATACCAGCACTTTACTATATTTCTAATATCTTTATTCTTGACGTCAGGTCACCTCCAAACGTGTGGGTAAGATACCACCGGCACAAGACTGGACGCCACGATGGAAACTCGCTCAATAGGAAGCTTCTCATCACTCTGCGCATATAATACCGTCCTTGCCCCTCAAATATCTAACTTCGAAATAAGTAAGGTTCGTTTCAATCAAGTTTCTTCCCCAATTCCTGTTCTTTTCTTATTTCTTTCATCATTTCAGTCCAACTCATGCCCTATTTTCGTCTTTTCTCACCATACTCACCTTCCGTGCTGGTATCGTAGTAGATAGGCGAGATCTCGGGAAGGATGCTCCGCTAGTCGGCCCTAATTCATCCCTAGGTAGTGCCAAGGCGGCCTTCGCAACAACAGTCACGGTACGATCTTAGCTTCAAAGCATGAAACCTGGTAGACTCGACCACAAATAAACCAAATATCACGAAATTAATCTGCACATTCTTACCGGCAGGGCACGGGACCTCGATGACCAGCCAGAGCAGGGGGAAATAAGGTTACATGCGCGTCGCGGGAGTGGCGGTCTACCCCACGCCCATCATCGCTCCGAGTTCCACCGCGTCCAACCGGCCCTCTTCGCCTAATCGACTTCCTCTTCGACACGCCCTCCATAGGACCACCTCATCCGGTTCCACGGTGGACAAGCCTGCCCAGCAGCCGCTGTTTCTACGATAAGACGACACTTCTAGCGATAGGTAGGCAGGCGTTTCGTGCTTGGCTCTGGGCGCCCAGTCGCACAGATTAACTCACCTGCCAAAACACCTACTCAAGGAGACCCTATAGACGGGGCCAAGCACACGAGAGCCTTACGTTCAACGGCCTTCCTAATGCTGTTTCAACCCTCGGTGTTGCTGATGCGTCGCGATGGCGACGCTGGAGAGACGACTTGCGCAACGCAATCCTGGGATGGCGAGATGTGACCTGCCTCTATCCGCGCAGTTCCAGATGAATTGATAGCTTTGAAGAACCGGTCGTACTCGGCCCAGCGTGTTGGCTTTCGAGTGGTAAGCAAAAATTCAGATTTCCGGTTCTACAAAAGGTACAGCCAAGCTGAGACTTTTCGACTACGACGAGTTTGAGCAGCTACGCTAAATGAGTAGACCTCTCAAATTAATATACTAAGCTAGTATCATCAGTCTAGTTTCGACGGCATCTCGAGAGCCTGCGATGCTCGTTGGAGAGCTCACGTACTACAGGCACAGCTAGGACCCCTTTCCGGCACGCTCCAAGCACTATGCCCCTTACGGAAGGAGACTCATTGAGGATAGATGCAGCAAAAGGCCAGCACTGATTTCATATAGGTCTACAGCTAGGATACGATGAAGCCATGACACACAATGTAAGTTTAGAGTACGGCCTCGGCGAGGACGTGTGACCGCTGCGATGAGTGGGTCCTGCGCGAGTATAAAGATGCCTCCCTCTGCTCTGCTTCATTGTGTTACTCTATCCTCAATCAATTAGAGTCAAGATTGGTCCGAGTCTCTCAGTCATGCTGTTCCCTCGTGCAGTGCTCAGCGTCCTCGCTCTCGCGTCATGCGCTTTTGCCCATGAGATGGCGGTTGATGCTGTGAAAGATGCTGAGCTTTACAAATCGGGCAAGATGCATGAGATGATCATGGCAAAGAAATTCGTACGTCCCTATTACATCTTCGTTTTCTCTGTCCTCGGTATCCCCTAGCTTTTCGGGCACAACACTAACGCTTCTGCTAAGAGCACCTTCGACCGTTAGAAAGCCGCCGGCGCATATAAATCAGAGCAGTACCCGGAACTCGGCTTCGTTCCATGCATAGACGGTCTCGCAACCGCCATCAAAGGAGACGCAAACAACACCTTCCGATGTGACAATGTACGAACCTACGCCCAAACTCTCCCCTGGCTCCTTTAGCTCACGCACTTAGGTCGATTTATATCATTTCCTCAGTCACTCCGCTCTCGGTAGCACAACAGGCGAAGGCTCTTCCTCCTGGGGCTGGACATCAGACGACGGCCGCGAGTTCATTGCCTTCGGTCAGGCTGATGGCGCGGCTTTCATCGAGATTTTGCCAGAGGGCAAGATGAGCTATCTCGGCCGTCTGCCGACGTACTCGGTCAATGCGATTTGGCGTGAGATCAGGGCGTACAAGCACTACATGGTCATCGGTAGCGAAGCCCAGGGGCACAACATCCAGATTTTTGACATGAAGAAGGTATGCATCGTGTGATCCCGCCCACAACTGAATGCTAATGATGGTGCTAGCTCTTGACTATTGACCCTAAGAAGCCTGTTACATTTGACAAAGAGAAAGACTGCACCGGTATCTTCAAGGACTTGCCTTCCGGCCGTTCTCACACCGTCAGTATCAACGAGGCTACTGGATTCGCATACGCCAACGGCGCCGCCCCTCGCACTTCCGCCTGCAAAGCTGGCCTCATCGCCATCGACCTCTCCGACCCATCCAACCCAACATCCCCAGGCTGCGCCTCCGAGGACGGCTACGTGCACGACGCCCAATGCGTCGTCTATAACGGCCCCGACACGGCGTACAACGGCCGCGAGATCTGCTACGGCTACAACGAGGACACACTGACCATGTGCGCTCCCCTCCCCTCTCCATAAACGCCTCAGCCCTGCTAACACGCTGAACTACAGCTACGACATGACGGACAAAACCGCCCCCGCCATCCTCTCCCGCACCTCGTACACGGGCGCCTCGTACACGCACCAAGGCTGGCTCCTCGACGCCACCTACCAAGAATACCTCCTCATGGACGACGAGTACGACGAGTACGACGGCGCCGCGCCCGCCGCCGACGGCCACCCGGTGACGTACATCTGGAACATCGCCAACCTGAGCGCGCCCGTGCAGACGGGCTACTACAAGTCCTCGGCCTACTCGATCGACCACAACCAGTACATCAAGGACGGGGTGTCGTATCAAAGCAACTACGGTGCCGGGCTCCGGATTTACGATGTGAGTAGTATTCCGCGGGATCCGACGGGCGGGGGGGTGAAGGAGCTGGGGTTTTTCGATGTGTATCCTGAGGATGATGGGGAGGTGAATGGGGGGGTGATTGATTTTGTGGGGAGCTGGAGTAGTTTTGCGTATTTGAAGGAGTATGTTTTCGTGAATACGATTGAGCGGGGGGCGTTTTTGGTGAAGAGGACTAGTACTTCTTCTGGAGGTAATGGCACACGGAAGGGGTAGAGAGAGAGAGAGAGAGAGAGAGAGAGAGAGAGAGAGAGATGGGGTGGGCATAGGAAGGATTATGGGAAGCTTTGGATGCAGGTACGTGGGAAGTGGCTAAAGTTTCGCGGTAAATGTTAGATATAAATTGCGTGGCTACTTCTCAGGGCCGTAGACTGCGTGCCGCATAAACGCCCTTCGGCAATTTGCTCCTTTGGAAATCTACGCATAACTACTCCTACCCATCACTAGCCTACGGCGGCGTAATTGAACTACTCGAACTCGGACACCCCGTCACCGTCAACGTCGACACCTGCGCCGCCCCGGTCACCCACGTAACCGCCGCGCTCGTCTGATACGCCTCCAGCGTCACCGTCGTGCTCGCCACGCCACTCTTCGCTGGCGTCGCAGTGGTGAAGCTCGTCGAATCCGTCTGCAGCGTCGAAGTAGCCACGCTCGGCGGGTAAGTCACCGTAACATGCGACGTACTCGCTGTCGTGACCGTACTCGTCCTCACGCCGCTCGGAGCAGGCGTCTGAGTCGATGTCGTCGTCGCGAGAATGTAGGAGGTTGAGGTTGCGATGCCAGACGGGGATGGCGTGACAGTTTTCGTGGTTACAGGGCCGGTCGTGACAGTGGTGTGCGGGATGGGCGGGTATGTGTAGTTGGGCGTCTTGGTGAAGGCAGCTGCGACGCTTGCGCGTGCCTTGAACGGTACGGCGGTGGATATCATCGTTGTCAGGGTGGTTGAAGACGCCGAGCTCGAAGTTTCAGATGTCGAGGAAGCTGAGACTGAAGTCGACGTGGTGGAGCTCGCAGCGGATGAGATTAGTCGGCCGCCCCAGATGCGGCTATCTGACCTAGCTTCCCCTACAGCTGATTTCATGTAGCAGGGCGCGTTTCCGCCGTCGCTTGACGCGGCGTAAGAGACATCGATGCAGCCGGGGGTGATGGAACAGGTGGTAAGGCAGGCCTGGAAGGTGGATTCCCAGCTCAGTGAGATATCGCTGCCGTAATCGTCTGTAAAGCAAGAAATACTATACAGGGCTCCGTTCACAGCATAACATGTACCATCCGAATTAGGACACGAGGGTGCAGACGAAGAAATTCCGTTCGGACAAGCCGAGGAGACACCGGTAGGTGAGCTGGTGACTGGTATACTCGACGAAGACGGAGAGGAGAATGAGGCGGTAGCTGTAGAGCCACTGACTTTCAGCGCGCCCCAAACTTCGCTGTTCGTTTCCATTTCTCCAACGCTCTGCTTGAGATAGCAGGGACCGCTAGGATTGCCGGGCAGGAAAGAAACATCAACACATCCAGCAGTACTGTCGCATAGCTCGATGCATTCCTCGAGATTGTCTTGATAAGACATAGCCAGATTTCCGCCGTAGTGATCAGTGGCACATTCGATAGTGAAGACTGCGCCATCTGCGGCCGTATACGATTTCCCGTCATCGTTAGGACATGAGAGGGGCGTTGGCGTGGCTGCTGCAGGAATTGAGGAGGAGCTCGAGCTAGAGGAAGAGCTTGAGCATATGTATTCCGTGAGCGTTGCGATATTGTCAAGAGTGCTTGTGCTGAGTTCGGTAGCTACGGAAGTGCCGGAATATTCTGTCACTGTCGTGGTCGAAGAGGGTTCGGTGGACAAGGTGATAGTCGATAGAATGGTACTCGTATATTCAGTAACAACTTGAGTAGAAGAAGGCGGTGGAGTTGAGTAATCAGTAGCAAAGACTGTGGTAGAATACGCCGTAGCGGTGGTAGTGGATGATGGTTCAGGTGCGAGAGTATTTACCAAGGTTGTTGTGCCGGTTGTCTGACTTGTTGTCGTAGTACTTGTTGCGACTGGAGGCAGTGTCGTAGAACTTGTTATCGTGCCGTAGACGTAGTCTGTTACATATGTAGGAGAAGTGACGACAAAGACCAGGGGCGCGAATCCCGAGGTGGTCGGCTGCGAGAATTGCAAAGTCCAGGTACCCGTGGGCATCTGGTTATACGTGAAGGATGGACACATGAGGCTATTGTATGTAGTGCTGCCAGAATTGGCGTCGGTAGACGCTGGTGCAAGAAGTCCTGGAATATTCGTTAATTTATGATAATGAATAGTTTGGATCGATAGCTCACCTCCGGAACAGACGGTGGCAGCCATTCCCGGTGGAACAAGGCTCGGCTAGCGAGGATTTAGCAAACAGTTCTACGGATCCAAAGACAGGCTACGCACAGTAATCACGTTTGTCGCTTTAGCTCCTCCAACCGAGTAAACGGTTGGAAAAGAGCAGATGCTTCCATCTTTGCACACGTCAGCCAAATAGCTACATTGAGATCCGCGAGGTGAACTTACAGCCATTTGTGAAGCTTCCCGAGGCCTGTAGAAAATTGGTGTTGGTAGCGTCAATTCCGAAGGTAGGAATGACGCTTCCGACCCTATTTGTGAAGTACGGGCTGTCGAAGGTACACAAAAGTGACGCTGGCGGAGCTCCACCGCCGCCTCCTCCACAATTACTGGCCCGATCACAAATAATCTGCGGCATTGTCGATAACGATGTGCTAACACTGAGAAATGCAAGATTATCCAAAAGGTAGAAACCAATAGCAACTTGAACGAATGTGGAAGACTGTTAATGAGAGTGTGAGACGCTGAGCGTCAATTTCAGGTTGATGCAATGGGCGAAACGAGGAAGAAGATGCGACACAGAGAGGTATCGTAAGTATATAAGCCTTCCTACTATTCACGCGGAGTCTCCGGACGGCGAGGCTCCCTAGAGCCTAGAAGGGACCACTTTTGCTCTAAACGAAGGGCCTATCTAGTAATAAGCGTGCCTAGATAGGTATGCCAGCTCACTGTGGCCGTGGAGGCTGAAATAATTCAAAGCCATGGCGCACGCGGTTCGAGAAGTGGCTTGCGCTATTTCGTATACCCCGAGGAAGCCTGTGCTGAACCATGAAAGCCGAGGATGTTGAGGAAGGGACGAGTCGTCAGGTTGTCTCTGGAAGCCTCGACTAACTGCGAGTTCTGAGGTTCTGAGCACACAGCGGCTATACGAGACGGGAGTTCGAGGCTGGTGGTGTGGCTGGTGGTGTTGTTGCTCTGCAGGTTGATCTTCAGGGCCCCCTATTTCGGGACACGGCACGTGGGCGGCTAGCTTTGCTGGCCCTCTGGACCCGCTCAGTGCCGCTTTGATCACACTTTGGCCTCAACACCACGATCCCATCACGATGCCTTCTTTTGTCTACAATCCCGTCTCGCATGCATGCATCCGCAGTCTTGGTGGCGTGTCACAATCTGCGCTGTTCTGGAGCGCGTTCCTCATTAGACAAGGCTAGCAACCCTCACGGCTGCAACCGCGCGGCTACCTGCTTCTAAGTATCTACATGAAGAGGCATGAGCAAAAGAGAAGAAAAAGAGCAAAATACAAGGAATAAGAGAAGAGAATTTTGCGATATTAACAGATTCCTCTTTCATGATGCTCAGCTGACAACATCCCGCATAGTCATCGTAGATTGTCCCGCCGGCAAAATTTGCCTGACCTCTATTCTAAAGGAAGCCAGTCCAGTCTTGGGCGGCAGTCGCCGCGTTAGCATTCTTGATTGCTCCTGCAACGTCGCCTTTGGAGCTAGCGAGTCCAATCTCGTACCCATCATAACCACAGTTCTCCTGGTGCCCCGATTCGGTCTCATCTTTTCCCGGAATCACCTGCCAATACAACTGCGGGAGGTATTAGCAATGCGATCTGGATAATGCAACAACTTCAACATACCCATGGAATACCAGCTTTATTGAAGACTTGAGCCTGCTTGTCGAAGTCGTCCGTAGATTTCGAATCCACACCCCACTCCTCAATCATGACATGCTTATTAGCATTCTTCGCGGCCGATATCACGTCTTTGTCACCCCCAACGAAGTACGCCCAGTTAGCCGCCGTGCCCATGTATCCATGGACGCTCATGATATCGATGGCACTGCATCGTATGGCCTTGTCAAGCAAGTTGAACTCGTGGCCATCGTACTGGGATCCACCTATTCCACCCGTGGCAATCTTGACTCCTGATCCGTTGAGGAGGGCCTTGAGGTTCCCAGCCCTTCCACACAGCCAGTCGCTCTCGTCGTTTCCGTTCAGGTAATCTATCGCCCCGATCATAGGCTCGTTCTGTAGGTCAAACGCCAGGATCACGTCGAAAAGCTCGCCCCAGGCCTTTCCAAAGTTTGGCGAGTTGTAGCTGATGATCGTCTTCAAGCGGGCATCGTAGGCTGACTTTGCTTCATTCGAAGTATAGAAGTTCGTTCCGGTCCCGAACTTAGTGCAATAAGCATCGCAGGTAGCGAACCCGGCAATGGAATTCGCGTTGTGAGGCGAGATGATGGCTTTCATCCCGTTGTCTGCCATGATTTTGAGCGTGTTGTCGAGTGCGTCTAGCACTGATGTATCATATGTTCCGACAGTAGTTTCTAGATCAGCGACCTTTTGGACGTCGGGGCTGCCTTTGACGCATCCACCGTCGGATCCGACAACTAGAGAACGAATGATCAGCTAATTAAGGGCAAGACGCTCCTTAGGGGATTTGAACTAAGCTTACCCCAAAGTCGAAGGACTTTAGCGCCTCTTCCCGCCAAGGTTTCAATGTAAGTCTTCTGGTCGGCCGCGGGAAGCGCATGGAGGGTGTAAAGGTTGCTGCCCGCCCAAGAGCCGGCGACGGCATTCTCAACCGGGGCAGATCGGACCAAGTTGCTATTAGCCAGCATCAACGCTGGCAAGAGCCACGAAAGCGCAATAGGCATGATGGTTGAAGAGATTCGTTCTAAGATTCGGTATCGACTCTAATTGGCTGAAAAGCAATGTGAGTGGTAAGAGATGATGGTGACGGACATGAGTTGATGAACAAAGAAAGGTAAGGGTGAACGTAGTCGGTACTTTGATATTTCTATTTCTCAGATAGTACAAATCTTATTTAAAAGCCCAATGTCTAAGCGTCTTCGTTTGCTTTGTCCAAGCCATTCTTCCCCACAAATTGCTTAAGCCTCGGCGGCTAGTGTTTCGTTTCTTGCAGCTCCAGAGTGGACCGAGCTCGTCGTTTTACGTGAGAAGGATCGAAACGATCTGCAACGGACCGGGACACTCCACTCTCTAACAGGAAGCTATTGAAACTTCGGGAAGACCGAGAGCCCAATCGTGGCGTCTTGCGACTTGAAAAGCTTGAGCCCTACGGAGCATAAGAAACATCGAGTCTAAGTTTGCGAACTGCGAGCTTTGAATTAAAGTGCCTTCTTAGATTTCAGCATGAAAGGAGTCCTCACAACTCAGCTACTATGGGGGACTCACCTTCCGCATTAGACAACGCAATTCGTATTACTAAGCAGGGGATTACCACACACCAATTTATATACCACGGACTGTCCGACTCCGCCACATGAACGTTCATGATTTCGAAGATCGATTTCGTAGAATAGATGGACCACTCGGGGTTACTCACTTAGGTACTTTGCCTCATGTTCGCCCTCTCGTTATACTTCGATCGCAACCCTACGCATATCGCCTCATTCGGAACCATTCTGCGAAATCCGTAAGCGACGGTAAGCATTAAGGGAGGAGCGCACAAGACTGCAATTTCAGAAGCTTGGCTACTTAGCTTACTTCATTTATGCTGAAAACACGAACCTCGGTGGATAACAGGTAGTACGATATCCCAATGTGCACCCAAGCAATTTCCTTTCCCGTTCAGGGAACTGAGCTGTTCATGCTCCAACCTGAGCTGTGGCTGTGCTAGGTGAGCGCATCCTGAGCCGAGACAGAGCAGCTCGTTGGAACCCAGTTTTGGTGGGGTCATCACCCTGCCTCAGAAGGCCCATGTCCGGGTCCATAGACCTACTAGGTTCCAGGTTCTAGTTTCAGGGCCCAATTCTCGAGTAAACTTACCCACCAATGAAAAACAGCCTGACGCTGATCTGCGCCACTTTATTATCCATGCAAAGGTAAACCCATAAATAGCTAATAGGTTCTGTGAGTTCAGTGTATGAGCTTATGAAAAAGGAAAGTATCTATTGATTTAACTACGGACCAGAGGCAACTATATATTGAGAGAAAGCCCCCTTGTCACGGTTCTTAGTCGGCAGGAAGGCCCTAGCTAGCTTGGACAGGCAGACAGGAATGATAATTGTATTTACTACGTATTCTACGCAGCAGCGGGCAGGCAGGCTGAATAACAAGATGTAGCTCAAGGAGCTACATAGATTCTAAGGGGCGACCGTAAAGTATCTTCTTGCTAAGCCGCTACGGCCGGAGTATCACTCCTCTGTTACTAGCATTCTAATTGTTAGCAACTAACAGTAATACATAGCAATTTGCTGTAAACTGGGGCTATGGTCCTAAACTGTAACACCCCTAAGCTTCTTAGGAAGTGTAATTATAGAGAAAATGATATTGGCGATGTTGAGCTAATTAGGGCCTATCACTTAACCCGCTAATGTGCAACGCTCGGGCGAGAACTTTGTTCTTAGATATACCAACTCATTGACTCGCTGACGCAGTTTTCAAGCAAGCGATAATATGCGCATTATGGGATGGTTCCTGTTGCATTGGCATTAGCCGCAACCCTTGCAGTCTCCCAGGCATCTAGAGCTTTGCAGTACTTCAGCGGCTCGGTTGCGGATCTGCCCCTAACGACTTCATCAGGAATTTCGACCCAGGTTCGTTTGTGCCTTATGGATACAAAGGCTCAAAGCAACATGCATCAAATTCGGCTTGGCTATGCTGAGGTGCCGGAAAAGTGGACGGCATGAATTGTACTTCACCCACTTTAGCTCATCCCTAACCTGAGAAAACAAAGCAGAAAGTTGGATGATAATCTGTCAAATCAACCACCACCACATCCACCGCCGCAACCACCGCCTATGATATAGTCAGTCAAGAACATGTTTAACATAATGGTGAGCTTACCTCCACAGCCTCCACCCCCGCCGCCGCCACATCCTCCTCCACTTCCACACGCACCTGATCCCCCGCCACCACACGCACCTGATCCCCCGCCACCACACGCTCCAGAGCCCGCACAACTACCTGCAGCAACCCCGCCACCACACGTCCCAGCCGCACAATTGCCATAATCCCCATCCCCAACGGACATACAGGCCGGGCTGGCCACGTAAACGCCACCACCACCGCCGCCATACGCCATAAACGGCGTAAACGCAAACACTCCAGCCGTCAGCGCGGCAGTCGCGCCAAGCGCGCCATAAAGCATGACTTTGTTCGCCGCAGAGCTCTTCCCACTCTTCGCCGCTTTCCGCGACGCCTCATCATGCTGACGCTGCAGCCGGTTCATCATCTCGCCACGCTCAGCCGCTAGTTGCGGGACGCGGATCGCGCTGTGCGTCGAAATATGCGGTGCAGTATACGGATCAGTATGCAGATTCGCCTCATCCGCACGCGCCGATACAGACCCTTTCTTTCGACCGAATATCTTCGACGACGCACTTGTGTCGTTCGACTCGCGCACTGCGGCGCAGTACCAGCACGCACATTCCGAATACACATCTCCAAACTTCTTCTGATACACCTTCGAAGTCCACTCAAAAGCGTTGCTGAGTTTCGACTCATCGATCTTATCGTCGTGGTCGATGAAGCTCTTGCCGCTGGTCAGACGCATAGAGTAGGCATAGTAGTGGGGCGGAGACAGTTGGTGTGTGTGCCACGCAAGGTCGACGTCGAGGGTTGGCACGACGGTTTTGCCGGGATATTGGGCGAAGAGGGAGAAGAAGCGCTCATATTTGACGATGAGACGTTGCATAATGTCGCGCGTGGTTGGGGCGTGAAGCCAGTTGATTTTATGCATTTTTTGGCTGTAGGAGTTAGCTAGAGAGGCCTTAGGGGGCAGAGGGCTTACATGAATTGGCCCTGTCGAATAACTGCGCCGGCTAAGTCTAGAGCAAAAGGTGAGGAATTGCCGTAGTATCGTGCCATCATACGTCTAACTGCGATTCTCGCTGGCTTGCGAACTAGATTAGCCTTCTTTGGGACACCATTGACCGAGTACGTCAAGGCATTCCCCCATTTTGCATTCTTGGCATTGTTGGCTTGCCTGATTGCAGGAGTGATCAGAGCTGTGACCTTATCCATGCCGAGATCACCACCAGCGTTGCCATTCTTTCCTAGGTTGTCAATGTCCTTAAGCATAATTTGCTTGATCAGAGAGTTAGGGAACAAGTTGTTCGACGCCAAAGGGGCAACCTTGACCATCTCGGGCAGTCCCTTGAGAGACAAGATTGTCCCTGGCAAAGGAGTATCATTTGACGCAAGATTTTCGACGTCTGTCTTGAACTTAACGAACTCCAGATATTTGTGGTTGATGATATTGCTGCAGCCAGTACACTTGAACTTGAAGTTGGGCTCTGCGAAGCCTTCTCCACCGCCAAGAACATCTTTCAGTTCATACGCAATGCCCTCTTTCAGTGATTCGCGTTTCGAGGCCCAAGGAACGTCGAGAATGGCCCGACACTTCGCACAGCTCAGCTTCTTCGTATCAGATTCAGCAAGGTTATCCCATTTGCGTCTCGTCAGGCCCTCAAAAGCCTGGACTGCCGCCAACGAAGGTCTATATTCTAGAGTGTTAGAATCAATTGCAGAATTGATAGCCTCCCACGGGAATCCAAGAGCCCAAAAGTCCATCTTGCCCAGTCGCACACAGTCTTCAGCAAACGAGCGAGGATTGAGCATATAGGCATGCCAGACCATAAGCACATCCAGAGGCGGCAACCGCTCAGCTGAAAACGGAATTTGAAACCGATGCTGGAAACTTGCTTCGAACAACCTCCCCCCAGAACCTTCCATATCAATCTGCATCAACTTCCGCGCTGGCTGACCACATCGTGTTGCAGGCGCACAACGCGCCCACCATGCCTCGAAGCGATCGACAGCGCGAGTGACATAAACGGCCCAGCGCTTCTCTTGAACGAGGTCAATTTCTCTCACTTCGTTGGCGTCATCCCATTCATTGATAGGCCGTGCAAGCGAGTCTGGGAAGCCGAACAGGTCATCGGTTTTGGAGACGTGTTCGCGGAGGTTGTAGAAGCATTCGAGGACTTCGAGATGAGCGAGACAATGTCCGACAGTCGGGATTGGCGCGTTTCCAGGCAGATCGAGAGCGAGAGATCCGATGGCAGAGGTCAGCCTGGATGCATCGGGGTCAGGAGTTGGTTGAGAAGAGTACTGTGGTGGCGGCGAACGCCCACGAGATTCATTCTTCAGAGGAAAGTCCACTGGTGCTGGATTTTTTGCATCCTTGGGATCGTTCGGCACGGTTGAGACGTACTCTGGTCCAGGGTAGACAGATCCAAGAATTTGTGGGAAGTATGAGTCCTGCTTGATCCCATGTGGTGGGTCAGGAGTCAGCAGGACAGTCGAAGCCGGAGAAAGTGGCGATCGGCTTGGACTCTATGGTACCTCTGGCGGTTCGGTTTGGCTCATGGCGGCATTTGTAGGCGGACTTAGGCTCTGGGATGGTGGCGGCACAGGTTGAGGATGTGTGTATGAAACTAGCCTATTTGGAGTAGGATCTGGGGTGGAAGCCGAAGCGGGAGCCGGAGGTGACGTTGACACATGCGCCAGTGGAGCATTGGGTACCGGGGCATGGAAAGCTGGAGTTGTCAGCGGGGGCGGTGGCAAGGGATATCCAGCTGGATTGTATGCCTGTGGCAGAGGATATTGATAAGGTTGAGCATACTGCTGTGGAGCATGCGGTTGATGGGCTTGATATTGATGGACTTGATATTGAGATGCCGCCTGGGTTGAAGGGGGTTGGTATGTCTGTCCCCATTGTTGCGGATTTTGACCAGGAGGATATTGCAGGGCTATATTTGGCGGTGGATAGCCGCTATATCCATACTGTGGCATTCCATACGGCGGATATCCAGGATACACAGAGTATTGGGCCGTAGGCTGGACTTGGCCATTCTGACCTTCTCTTGCTGGCGCTAATGAAGTCGTCGCAGGAGGCCCAAATGGGGTTGGTTGATAGGGATACTGAGGAGCTGCTGGCGAGTTGTAGCCATGCGCCACCGGAGGAGGTTGCTGCGGAGGTTGCTGCGGAGGTTGCTGCTGCAGATATTGCTGTGATGGTGTTGCACCTGGCAATTTTGGAGGCTCAGGAGTTTCCGGTTTGGTCAACTGTCGTCCAAGTAACTTCTTCATGATTTAGGTGAGCCTTCAAGGCCCAGAGTAGTCTGTTCTCCTTGTTTTCAGCTGTCCCCAGCTAGAGAGGCCAAGCCTCTAGAGGGAACAACAAGCAAAACCAAGGCCGATAGAAAAGTCTTAGCATGCTCGCGATCGGGCGCCGTCCAATTCTTAAGTCTAATTATGAAGGGGAGGGCGTGGAGGGGGAAGGCTGGACCGTTTTTTGGCTTGACCGGCTGAAACCTGCAGCTCAGCTGAACCCAAATCGCAAGCCATGATTGGGGTTTGGGCACCAGGTGGCTGATATAGCGAAGAAAAGCAGCTAATCGTGTCGTCCGGCATTCTGTTGGGGTCTCACAAGCTGAAACAATGAAATTTACTTCACAACAGCAGAGCTCTCCAATATCAGGCAGAAGGCACGCCCGCCCAGCCCCCTCGTCTCCCCGCACACCCTGCTGTCAGGCCATGCCGCGCCATGTGTAATCTTCCCCCGATTCACTCGCACGCTGCCCTGTCCCCGATCGCGACCTGCCCCGCCGTGAAAACCGACAACCCCAACTTGCGCCGCCGGAATTAATAAGCTCAAGGAGCTTGTTACCAAAAATCGCTCCACCAGAGATATGAACACATCACAGCTAGGCGCCGCTATAGGAGTGTCACCAACGACAGCCTACAAGAAAGCCGGGCCTTACAAATCGAATAAAGGCAGAGCGCCTACAGTGGTGTTTAGAACGCAAGGAGTGGCTATCAAGAGTTTATGTTTGGGGGTGTTTCCTATACGATAGAAAAGGCCCATGCCATATCTGGACCTCTGAAACAGCTTAGGAGCGTAAGCAGGCGATAAAGGAGTTCCAGGTTCTCAACAATTTACTAGAGGAAGGCCCCAATAGTGAGTGGGATTTAGTTAATCCAATGTCACGCCTGGGCGCTACTTGTGCCCGTGAAGGCCCAAAGCCGGTATGGAAGTTTACTAAGGAGACGCTAGCTTTTAGAATAGAAGTGATCACACTGTGGTAGTCTGTGTGTCTGCTATTCGTAGTCGAGGTAAGAGCAAGCCACTCCGATGCCGCTGCACGCGGATGTTCTTAGCAAATGATTAGTTGTGATTAGCATGATCAGGGTATTGTAGAGATGGCAAGTTGACTGCCGTCTTTCCGACCGTCTCTAGCATTGTTGAGATACAGGGGACTTCGAAGGGAACGTCCGGATGGTTAGCCTCTACTCTCCTGCTGGTTACCGCGTCACGGGCTAGCACGTGACACGAGGTTCGAGAGTGAATAAGTGGACATTAGAAGGAAGGTAGGCTTCTGAGGTTTACAAACCGTATGGGGCCTTGATTCAGGATCCGGGGCAGGTTCGAGGGCCCCTTCGCTAAAACTTGACAATTTCTGGTGGGTCATATGAGACTGCGAAGCAGCGGGTGAGCGAAGGTGAGTAGACCTTAGGAAACCTGAGCCAAAGCTGAGCCGAGCCTGAGCAGCGGGGGTCGGAGGGTGTGCACATTGGGGTGTTCTTGATAGCGTGCTGATATCAGCGTGCTAGGCTACCCATGGTACCTGTGAGCTCGTCGATCTAGCCAGGTTCAGCCAGATCAATGCTATTGTAGCGCAATGATGGTCAAGTGCTGAGTGGAGCCAAGTACCGTTCTTCCTTGTCCACCGAAACTCGCAACATCAGTCTCTTGTCGGCCAAACGGGCCCACCAGCCTGTATAATGTCAACCAATGCGGACGAACCGACAACTCCTCCATCATGAAGAAAGCCCAGTGAGCTCCTTCAGCTGAGAGCCCCATGCTTCAAGGAGCATTGACGGCCAAGGGTCATGACTAGGGAATTCAAAGCTGCACTCCGGTTAGTCGCAAAGGATAGGGGAATTTCCTTGATGTTAGTATCAGCCAGCCATGTGAAAGGCATTTTAAGACTCTATTGATCCTTCCACCCCCAAGGTCTGACTTGATGCCAACTTCTCCCCACTAGACACTCTCTCGCTATAGATGTCAATATGTTTTATCCGAGCATTTCATGGCCACTGCTACTGTCCATATACTTTCTTTTACCTCCGTACTTGGCTTCAGGCCCCACCAAGATCTACATCAACCAAGTGCCGGAATACTCCCTCCTCTCGTCATGCGCTGAAGCGGAGGTCCGTACGATAGTGCGCGACATGAGTTCCGGCTGCGGCGACGGGGGTCAGAGGACATCCTACGGGTGCTTCTGCTTCCAGAGCTCTGCGATCTTCAGTAGCATAATTTCGCGGGATGTAAGATCAAGCTGCGCGCAGGATCCTGGGCAAGCAACATCCGCGCTGGAAGTATTTAGCAGCTATTGCGAACTAGGTTTCGAAGAGTTGAATGCGACAGGTAGGTTCGATACGAATTCCAACCTGCCATAACGCGTACTGATTAACTCAGGCTCATCGACTATCTCATCAGCCGCAGCTATAACAGCACCATCTTCCCTCTTTTCGACCGCACGTCCGGCGTCAACGCCCTTCCCGAGCACAGCTCGTGCTACCGCTACGTCAAACTCTTCCGAAGGGTCTAAAAACTCCTCGAGCCGCACCGTTGCCATCGCCGCCGGAGTGAGCGTGCCTGTAGGCGTAATAGCCCTCGGCCTTCTCGCCTTGGTCTTTTTACGACAACGACGCCATGTGCAGGAGAAGGAAGGACCACCGGTTGAGGTAGACGCAGAACCGCACACAGGATTGACGGAGATGGTGGGTTGGCCCGAAGCGAGTGACAGAAAGCAGTCAACCCCGCAGGAACTGGAGGCGACGATGGCGCCGGTGGAGTTGGAGAGCCGGAAGGAGAAGGGGCAGAAAGAAGGGTAGTATGCTTTAGGGGTGAAAGTCGCGATTATGGGAAGAGGGAACTGGCGGCATGAGATCCTGAGTATAGTTTGGTCAGCGCATGCTAAGATTAGGTGTGGCTTAATTGGTTGAATGACGAGAGATAATCACGATTCATCACGAGATTTGGCTCCCTAGTTCCCATTCGTCCTTGTCCACGCATCATTGTCAAAGCAAGACTTCAAACTTATCGTGTTCTCCTGGATTTCTCGTCTAAAACAACACATCGCCATGATGGCTATAACGAAGAGTTTTAGAAATGACTCGACCCTACCCCATCGCCTTCTTGACCGCAAAGCAAGACGAAGTCAGACGACAACTTTCCCAACTCACGATGTCATGAGCCACACGTCCAAGCACCAGTGGTGTCCATGGATCCAATCGGACAGAGGCCGACCCGGCAAAAGCATCGAGACCAAGTTACATACAGTACAATACATACGATAGCGCGTCTGGCGCTATCACGGTTGGTCCGGCGTAGGATTTGCATACGCCACGATGATGCTCCGAACGGCAGAAGGAACTTACTCCACTTTATTGACAGCGATCTTCGCGGCAGCATCCGAGTCAGAGCCGGCGTTTACTCCAGCTCCTGAAGTTGTTTGTGGTTCTACGTGGCAGCTGTAGAATCCGCTGTGTGCCTCCGGTCGTACATGTGCAGTAGTACACTGTAGTGCAGTATTTGGGTGCTCTCAACAACTCAGGTACCGACGCATTGGTACGACTCAGAGCTCTTTGATCGGACGTCGGAAGAGCGGAGAGTCCCAGCCACTCAGTATTGCGTCTTGTTTTCCGGAAACCACACAATGCAGCGGCGGAATTAGACAATTGTATCGTGAATGTCTCAATGCCGTTCTAGCCACTGATCTGGCCCCAAGGGACAAAACGTATTTGCGTCATCAGTCCCATGGCATCCCGCCACTGGTACCTTATTGGTTATTAATGCCTCGAACTGACACGGCCTTGCATGGGACAACATATAGGACACGCCGAAACAGGCATGGCCATGGCATAATAGGAAAAAGCGGTGAGGCCTGTGCGCAGCTGCTCAGCTGCATCGAGATCGGCCACTTCCAGCATCGTGTATATAAAGTTCGTGATCGGCTGTGATTTTGCTTCTGTTCATCGCCTCTCTAGCCAGTCTCCATACTGCAAGCCTTGATCGACCGCCTCGCTCTACTCGCTCTAGCTCGCTTTCTGTCGTCCCGCTAACCAAAGTTCGACGATCTTCAGTCAAGATGCCGCATCTCCCTTTCTCAACTACTAAAAACTCACCACCTCCTTCGATAGTTCTGCAGCCAGAACCAGGTCTTTCATCCCCTTGTGGGCAAAGCTCAACGCGTTTCATGAACTAATATGATACCATCTAGAATCTCCAAAGCAGTCCCGTAAACTCTTCGAGCCTAAAGACACCGCGGCGGCGTATCGGGGTCGATATGCGGCGTACCTTGCTGCTACGTTCAATATGAGTCGTGAAGCGGCCCTCGCGGAAGCGGAACACCAGCTTATGCCCAGGAAGGGGAGTGGCTTTAGTGAGCAGGAGATTGAGGGTCGGAATAGTTGACCTCGGTGGCTTGGTGTTGAGATGGAGAAATTTGTGCAGGATCAACTGGCGATGAAATGAATTGCATTTTTTCGGTTGGGAGTTTGGGAACATTGTTAGGCAGGAGGCGACAGGACTGGGCATTGATTGCTAAAGGGATTCCATATGTATCCGCAAGCCGTCATTCAGGCTTGGTGGAATCCAGGAGTGAGAGGAGAAACAACCCCGGATTATCTTACCCGAGGTAGTCCAAAAAGAAACAAGGGTCAATATCACGTGATCTTTACCGTTTTACTCCGTCTCAACTCTCTTTTGACGTTGCATTCCTCGTCATGACCATCAAATCTGTAAAACTTTCATCTATCCTCTATCAACATCTTGTCACAAGTTGCGCCATTTCAAACGCTTAAGAACTACGCTGCCCAGCTGCTTAGCAAGACAGATGCTCGTTGGTTGCCTGGCGCCGGCTCATCACTCACCCTTTTCTCCACCCTACTTTGCTACAACCCATGCAGAATGCGGTATCTCGTCACATCCAACATCTCGGCGTTGAAGCGGAGTCGGCTCACTATCTCTTGCTGTGTTGGCCACGTTGAGCTGGGAAAGCATCTCAGTCGAACCTTTCAGAACAAACAAATTAAGACTTTTTTCTTTCTTCGCAAGTATGATGGGCCTTGCAACACTTCCTGGGTCCACTTACTTACCGTCCATGACTGCCACCCCGCTTGCAATGGTTGTTCAGTCATCATTCAATTGGAAGGCGTCATTCGCCCATACCAAGGTTATGGGAGGCCTGGGCGGGACCCTTCCACGTATCCCGGCCGCTGTTGTGTGCTACCCCACCCGCATTCCCAATCACTATACATCGACCCCCACTGCCGCTCATTCTTCCTCAACTCGCTCCTCGCGCTGCGAAGACAGTCTTTATCTTTATTGAATGGGCGAAGAGAACTCCCAAACTGCAGCTGAGGAGTCGACTGAACCTCCTTTATGCCGTCCCGAAGAAGCTCGAGAGAAGGAACAGACTGTGCTTGACGTACCGAATGAAAACGTACATAATGCCTGGACTAACAAGCATGTCAAAGTGTCTCATACCCTTGAACCCGAAACCGTTGCCGGGCTATTGGACGCCCATCTACAGTAGGGTGATGGACTTCGAAAATACAAACTTCTGCTAACCATCATTCAGACAAGGACTCACTTCGACCGAAGCTGAATCTCGCCTTCGCGAACATGGGCCTAACCTGCTTAAGGAAGCTAAAGGGGTTCCCGTGTGGGAAATTCTGCTGAGACAGGTGTCGAACAGCCTGACTGTTGTTCTACTTGCGACTATGGCCCTAAGCTTCGCCATCAGGGATTGGACCGAAGGCGGCGTCATCACCGCGGTGATTGTCCTCAATGTTGTCGTGGGCTTCCTGCAAGACTACCGTGCCGAGAAGAACATCGCGTCCCTGATGGCCCTCTCTGCCCCGACAGCGACGGTCGTCCGCGATGGACGCACTATGAACATCAAGGCAGAAGATCTCGTCCCCGGTGATGTGGTCAAACTATCCGTCGGAGACATCGTTCCTGCAGACCTGCGCCTCTTTGATGGCATAAACACGACAGCGGACGAGGCTAATCTCACCGGCGAATCGCTTCCAGTCTTGAAAGATCCAATTGCGATATTCGCCGATGCAGACCTCCCTGTTGCAGATCGCAGCAACATGGCTTTCTCCCAGAGCACGATGACCGCAGGGCGGGGGACAGGCATAGTCGTTTGTACTGGTATGGACACTGAAGTGGGAAAGATTGCTGGCATGCTTCAACAACAAGACGACACTCAAGATGTGGAAAAGAAACAAAACAAAGCTATGCAGAAAATGAAGTCCTTCGTTCGTGGTGTCAAAAATATTCTCGGCCTCAATGGAACTCCGCTTTCCGCCAGCTTAAGCAAGTTTGCACTCCTGCTGTTCGCTCTCGCAATACTTTTGGCCGTCATCGTCTTTTCAGCAAACTTGTGGAAATTTCATGGAGAGGTCGTAATTTACGGCATATGTGTTGCTGTGGCCGTCATTCCAGAATCTCTTCTTGCGGTTCTTACTATTACTTTGGCAGTTGGAAGCAAAGCTATGGCTAAAGGAAATGTCCTTACCCGAAACATCCAGGCCTTGGAAGCTATCGGAGGCGTCACGCACATATGCTCGGACAAGACTGGAACTCTTACCCAAGGGCGAATGATCGCGCGGCAGGCATGGATCCCTGGTACAGGCGTTCTCTCAATTCACGACTCAACCAAGCCATTCGACCCAACGAACGGATATGTGAAGCTGGACGACGAGGAAATCGACAGAATCAATCATGTTCCAAGCCCAGGGATGTCCCTGCTCATGCGAACGATTGCTCTCTGCAATCTATCTTCAGTTCAAAGACCACAACCCTCAAAGAGCGTTGAAAACTCTGATCCAGAACAAGAGCCATTTTCTCAAACTCAAGTGGACGGAGCCGCTCCCCCTGAGAAGTCTGCGCAACCCACCCAAAACAACGAATGGACAGCTATTGGAGAGCCTACGGAGATTGCTCTGCACGTTCTCGCACTACGAGTGAACATGGGAAGGGCGGACGTCCTCAACGACGACATGCAGCACGCAGCTGAGTTCTCCTTCGACTCCGCCGGAAAACGGATGACTGTGGTATATCGAACCCCTTCCGGCATGGAAGCTTTCACGAAAGGAGCCGTCGAAATAATACTACCACTTCTAGCCTGTTCGGATCAGGAGAAGCTAGAAATACGGTCCATCGCTGACGAAATGGCTGGAGAAGGCCTTCGAGTACTTTGTGCCGCCCACAGATCACTACCCAATGGCTTTAATCTATCCGATCGTAAACGTGTCGAGGCCATTCTTGATCTCGTCGGTCTTGTAGGCTTGTACGATCCGCCACGCCTTGAGACCGCTGACGCTGTCCGCCGTTGTCAGCTTGCGGGAATCAGCGTACACATGCTCACTGGAGATCACATTCGTACTGCGACTGCCATAGCTCACGAAGTTGGAATTTTGCCATCCACGGTACCACTGGCGGATCATGGCAAGGTGATCATGTCTGCGGAAGCTTTCGACAAACTATCAGATGATGAAATCGATGCCATGGACAATATGCCTCTAGTGATAGCTCGGTGCAGTCCCACTACGAAAGTCAGAGTTGTGGAGGCCATTCACCGCAAGCAGGCTTTCTGCGTGATGACTGGGGATGGTGTCAATGATTCTCCGGCTCTGAAACGTGCAGATGTTGGCGTCGCAATGGGCTTGAACGGGAGCGATGTTGCTAAACAGGCCGCGGCTATGGTCCTCACCGATGACAACTTTGCCTCGATTGTCAAGGCGGTGGAGGAAGGTCGTCGACTGTTCGACAATATCCAGAAGGTATGAGTATTCCTTCGAGCTGCCAGCGTAATAGCTAACTTCCTCTAGTTCTTGCTGCATCTGCTCATCTCCAACATCGCTCAAGTCATACTCCTCTTGGTTGGCCTAGCTTTTCAAGATGATGGAAGAAAGAAAATCAATGGAAAGGCGGAAGAAAAAGGAAGGCATTCCGTCTTCCCCCTTTCACCTCTGGAGATTCTGTGGGTAAATTTGATCACTTCATCGTTTCTAGCACTTGGCCTTGGCCTTGAAGAAGCTCAACCGAACATCATGTTCCGTCCACCTCACTCACTCCGCATTGGAGTCTTCACCTGGGAATTGATCATCGACAAGTTTATCTACGGCACTTTCATGGGCGTTCTCTGTCTTGCCGCGTTCACATCCGTTGCTTACATTCCTATTGGAGGAAACGGAGCTGTTGGAGTTGGAGTAAACCAAACCGATGGAGGAAACCAAACCGATGGAGGAAACCAAACCGATGGAGGGAACCAAACTTATGGGGGGAACCAAACTTTTGGAGACCTCCTTGGAGAACTCCTTGGAGGAAACTACACTGTTGCAGGAAACCACACTGTTGCAACACGACTAGGTTATGGCTGTAATGAGGAATGGAACGACACCTGTGATGGTGTTTTCCGAGCGCGGTCAACTACTTACGCAACGCTCACCTTCCTCCTCCTTGCCACCGCCTGGGAGGTTAAACACTTCTCTCGGTCTTTGTTCAACCTCGACCCCAGATCAGAGCATGGCGGACTCTTCTCCGTATTCCCAACCGTGTGGCGTAATCAATTCCTATTTTGGGCTGTGATCGCTGGGTTTGTCGTCGTTTTTCCGGTAATCTACCTTCCCTTCATTAACAAGAATGTCTTTAAGCATTCCCCCATTCACGAGGAGTGGGGGGTAGTGCTTGGATGCTTGATCGTCTACGTCTTGTTGGTGGAGATTTGGAAGGGAATTAAACGCCGCTTTGGGATTGGCAGTGGAAAGTACCGACTCTTGACCCGCGAGGACGCGGAGAGAAGAGCTGGTTTGGAGCACGTCAAGCAAGAGGGCTCTAAGGAGAACGCGGCGGACGAAGTCTAATAATTCCTACATGTCTCCTCGTCACTCCCTAGGTACTTTCAGTACCGTAACGACTTCCTAATATTATCATTCAGTCTTTATCTAGCTTTTTGTTGCTTTTGAATGCCTATGGTCACAGTGTGCGATACTATGATGCGATGGTTGCGAGCTTCTCATGTTTTATCGTCCAAGCTGTGTCTGAAGCACCACTCTCGAAATAAGACTACTGTTCATGTAGCTCCCACGCCTGCCTACCTCACTCGAAGAAATCAGGCTGAAGTATGAGCTTCCGCTGCCGTGCGCTAGATCATGATCCGCTAACTGTTGGCATATGCGGCATCTGCCACAGAGTTTGCGATGGCGAGGAATCAGGTCGTGGTGGCTAGGAAGGGCGAGACTGCTTTTCCGTCGTCTACAACGGTGGTGAGAAGACTGAGATTTACGAAGTTCCCACTTACCGTAGCCAAGGTCGCTTGCAGACGAGAAGGATTTGAGCAATAATAAGAGAAAGACGATTATTTTTGGACGGACATCGGCTGTGACTGTGGCGCTTGTGGCTGTGAGTAGTGAGCCGCCTTCAAGGTTCTTTTGACGACGACCAGGCGATCCGTCTCCCGAACAGGTCCCGACCTCCGCGCGGCTCCAACCACAACCTTGTGAACTACAAACATACGAATCACGGTTATGGCGTTGACGCCACGCCTGACGCTACAGACACCCGCAGCTATGCAAAAGTCGAGTCATGATCCTCGCTTAAAGAAAGACTTTAAAGGTCATCATCAGTCCCAGCACAACAGCTTTCAACGAACTTCTCAGGCTCTTGTGCCAAGCCGATTTCCACGTTGCGGCAGTTGTGAAGCCTGTTCTTTTCGAAACGAGACGTGTCGTAGGACCAGGGGCGTAATTGTGCCGACCCCGGCTTTGTGAAAAATCTTCCTGCCCACCAACGGTAATCTGACTGAAAGGAAAAGTAAAAACGGTCCTATTGGATCGGGGCTGCCAGCCTCAACAGGAGGTCTGCTCCCCATGATACCTCCCCGGAGTGCGAGAGACAACGACCTTGAGAGACCAATGGGCATTACACCGGACGCACTCGAAAGTTACTCCGACGGTAGACTTTCTGTCTGCTCCTGAATTTGCCATCTTCGTCTTTGCAGACCCCTGGATTGAGGAACACCTAGATACTGACCGCGAAACTTCGAGGAACGAAGAGTGAAGTTCACTATCATATCTGTTCGTTGAATCCACAATAGGACTTGTGTGCTTTAAGCTTACCCCACGTGTCCGGAATCCATTCCTCCCGGACTCAGGAGACGCAAGCGATCAATGCGAGTCAGTCTGGGGTAAACCTTATTGTACCTACGCAACGCCATGTTCCGGGGAACTGCCTGAAGCTGGGGAAATTTGCGGCAAGCGAAGTCTTGCATACATATCAGGATCCACAAATCCATTCCTTCAGCATTCCCATTCGCGTGGTCATGCCGGATGTAATGCCGCCCTGGTCCGTGACCATCGATGTGTCTCTAGGGTTGCTTCATACAGCCCTATGTGGACATACATACGCAGGAAGTGGGTTACAGAGCTAATGCATGGCTGTCACTTTCATTCCGTCTCTGAGCGCTCTCATGCAAGTTCTCATATGTCGTTTCCTGCCCATAGCTTCTCGCCTTCTGCATTCTCTCACTTCTTCTTATTCTTCATATCTCCAGTTGATTCGTGTATTTTTCTCTCGGAATTAGCGTTGATGCCGGCAGCCGGTTACAGTGTATTCGCCTTCCCTTGATGCTTTTGACTTTTGGAAGTCCAGACTGTGTCAGGTATCTGTGTACCCTGTGGCAGATCACTTCGTCCAGTCTTCGAAAGTACGTTACTCTCCGCGATTTGACGCTCGGCATGTCAGCAGGGCTTACTCGCAAGGACGTCGATCAAGCTAATGACTCTCACCCTTGTGCTAGAGGGCGATAACACGTGGGCATACAAGACCTAGCTCTCCAGCTCTGTCCCCTAGATTTCCTCTTGCTGTATATCGGTCTTCATGGTGTTTCACGGGAGTCTTTCCAATACACTCTTTCTTACTCTACATCCTGTCTACAACGAATCATAATGAGTGTTCCTGGAGCTATAGCACCTCCTCCAGGCGTTACACCGCACTTCCATGGACCGATGAACGACAAGCAGAAGCAGGTTGCTACCGCAGCCTCGGTAAATATGGCTCTCTCAACCCTGTTCCTGGTTCTCCGGCTGTATACACGTGGTATCATCGTAAGGTCGTTTGGATCGGATGACTGTGAGCGCTGCCAAAAGATCTATTTTTGTTAAGACGGACAAGGTCACTAACACATCCCAAGATGCGGTGATAATAGCTTGGGTATGAGTAACGCGATTGAGATTATAGAGTCTAGTCTGAGATTTCGTAGGCCTTTGCTGTATCGTTCGCCTCTCTTTCTTTCCCTGGTAAGTCTACACACGAGATGAAACGGATATGACGCCTGGGGTTTATTTATCTTCTAACGAAATGTGAAGCAATACACAGCGGGTTTGGAAAGCATTTCTGGGACATACCAGTCACTGAACTCCATCCATTCCTACAGGTAGGCCGGTGATGCCGTCATGAAGTATTTCATATAAATTAATTCGTCCCAAGCTCATAGGAACGATAGCCATTGTCTACGTCTGGGCAACTACCATGCCTAAGATATCGCTGCTGCTTTTGTATGGCTTGTGTATCATTCTCAATGGTCAGCAGTGCTGACAATATCTTGAAGATATCATCGACTAACCCCAGATAAGACATTTCGGCTCGCCATCTATGTCTTAATGTTCATAATAACGGCCTTTACCATCTCCCATACCATAATCGTCGCCGCTGGATGCAGCCCGCTCGACTCTTCAAAGTCGGGATGTCTAAACACTCTTTCGTTTGCGGCAGCAGTGATCAACATCATTTGCTATGGTTTCGTAATGATCTTACCTCTTCCTTTGGTATGGAGCCTACAGCTACCCCACAGGCAGAAGATTGGCCTGGGACTACTGTTTGCTGGAGGATCATTGTAAGCTCTTGATACAATGTTCCAGTCGCTTTTCTGTCGTTGCTAACTCGGTTCGTTGTCTTGGATAGAGTGATTATTGCAAGTATCATCAGAGTCCGGCTCGCGAAGGCTTTGCAGGGAAAGAAAGACATCTCTTTCGCGGAGGGTGACATTGGTATTTGGTCGTAAGTATGATCCCGGTCTTCCAATCACTACTATTCCCTTTGCACATTTTCTAACGCTGAAGATTCTACGTCACTGTAGACTCGTAGAAATCAATGTCGGAGTAATATGCAACTGTCTAGTCGTCATGAAGCCCTTCTTCCGCCGACACTTAGGCAATATTTTAGGTTCTTCAGGAGCGGATTCGCATAATTCGCCTTATTCGTTCAACATTGGCTCCGTGTTCTCTCGCTTCAAGAAACAACAACGCGAACCACGGTCTTATCGCCTCACGTCTCTTGATAGATCAGGTCGTCCTGGAGATTCGGAGTTGCAAATGCCGCAGAGCACACAGAGGAGTATTACTGTTAGCCATACCTACGAGGTCACGGCGAACCGGGGCGAGTTCGATACGGAGAGTACGGAGGATATGATGAAGAGTGCAGGGCACGAACGAGCGGGGAAAGATCTGGTTTGAATAGGTTACATGCATCACAGACTCTGTTTGACCTAGAGAAAGATAGGACATTAAATATATGAATCAATGGAAATACTGCCGTCAAGTGAAGTAGTCCGAGGCTGTGGCATGCTCGAACTGCATCCATTGAATTTACCTCTACTATCCTTCCCGAAAGACCTCTACTCTGCTCAAATAATGACGTTAGTGCACATATCTTCCGATCGGTCTGCTCTTTCTAGGATACCCCAGAAAAAGATCAGGAGACAAATACTTGGCGTGCAATTTGAGGTCACGTGCACGCCAAGCCCCAAACTTCCAGCTTGCATTTCCACCAGCAGCACGGACAGCCAACATTAACTTCAAGTTCCACACTCGCCTTACCCACACCACCCACTCTGCCCTCAAACAACCATCTAGCCATGTGGATAGTAAACTGGTGCGCTCTCCACGCCTTCCTCCTTCTCCTCAATACTCCCACTAACCTCGCCGTAGGTGTAAGCAATTCCCCCGGCGATCCTCGCATGCTCCGGCTAGGCTTGCGGTTCCATGATATAACAGGCCCGTACACTTGAAGAATAAGAAGGAAAGCTGATCTGATGGTGCGTGCGGGACAGTCTTCGATGTGCTTGCCAGCCTGGGCCTGCTGAACAAGCACGCCAAGCTGCTATTCCTGGGCCTCGACAACGCCGGCAAGACGACGCTGTTGCACATGCTCAAGAACGATCGGGTTGCGGTTTTGCAGCCAAGTAAGCTGCCCTCTTACCCCCCCAAAACCATCAATTACATGTATAGAGAATGTAGGCTAATAATGTTTGTGACCACAGCTCTCCACCCAAGTACGTCCCTCACGACCCCCAACTCACCCCACCTCCACAAGTCTCGCTAGCCACTAACCACCATTCCCACCCGCACCAGCCTCGGAAGAGCTCTCCATCGGCAACGTCAAATTCACGACTTTCGACCTGGGCGGCCACCAGCAGGCGCGCCGGCTGTGGCGCGACTACTTCCCCGAAGTATCCGGCATCGTGTTTCTCGTCGACGCGAAAGACCACGAGCGGCTGCCCGAGAGCAAGGCCGAGCTCGATGCGCTGCTCTCGATGGAGGAGCTGTCCAACACGCCCTTCGTCGTGCTCGGCAACAAGATCGACCACCCAGACGCCGTCAGCGAGGACCAGCTGCGCGCGAGCTTGGGCCTGTACCAGACGACGGGCAAGGGGAAGGTGCCGCTCGAGGGCATCAGGCCGATTGAGGTGTTTATGTGTAGTGTGGTTATGCGGCAGGGTGAGTGCATGATTCGAGAAGTGACTGGAGTTTGGGAGGTTTGCTAATGGGGGATAGGTTACGGCGAGGGGATTCGATGGCTCAGCCAGTACGTTTAGGTGACGCCGAGGCTGCCGGGAGCTGGAGAGAGAGAGGCGAGGTGAGGATCAGATTTGGAGGGGAGGAGCAGGGTCGCTTTTCCAAAGGGTGCTGGCGTTTGGCAGCAACTTTCACGAACATATGATCTCTACCACGACGACTTCTTGCACCCTAGTAAAGCGATTCGAGAGAATGAACGGTGGCAAGCAGACAACACGCTTTGGTGCTTTTTCTTTTTGGGTGGCATGAGTAGAGCTGCGATTTCAAGACTGCTGCAATCAATCAATCAAAGTCACATTACATCGTTATCCGTTTTCGCGAGTACACCTTTTTGGATCGCTAACGAGGCTCAAATTTGGTATTCAATTCTTTCGTTCGAGGGCTATCTCTATCCGAGTTTTGGATGTACAGTACAAACCAGAACCCACCTGAGAAAACAGCGTGCTACAGATGCACCCCTTTAAACGCCGCACCACCGTCCTTTTCCGGCCGCGAGAAAACTCCGGCGAGTAGCCAAATGACTTAAGGAAACCTTCCCTCACATCCCCCATAACCAATCACAGATTAACATCCGCCTCCAGCACCGCCGCCACAAGCTTCGACCGCCCGCTCACCAGAACCCGCTCAGCCAGCACATCTCCCACCTTTTCCGCCAGCCTTTCGCGCACGCCCTCCGAGCTGCCGACCCCGTTCACCATGCCCACGACGCCGCTCTCCAGCCGTATCAGGCCCTGCATCAGCACCCGGATCACCATCTCAGCCTCGTTCTTGCGGCTCTCGTCTGCGAGGCCCTCCTTCAGGATGCTGTCGTAGAGCCGTAGGTTGGGGAGGAGCAGCAGGCGGACGCCGTCGTGGCCGGAGATGCCGAGCAGCCCGATGACGGCGCCGTAGTGCGTGCCGAAGGGAATGTCGGGGTTCATGAACACCTTGAGGCAGGTGCGCGCGATGCGCGGCTTCAGGGTGGTGGAGGTCTCGGCGTAGCGCTTGCAGACGTGCGTGAGGATCGAGGCGGCGAGGTCGCGGAGGGCGAAGTGGGCGAGCGAGTTGGAGGCATGGGGAGTGGTGCCGTTGGTGGTGAGAGAGTCGGAGGTGTTCGTAGTTGTAGGGGGTGGGCCCAGGTGCTTGCCGATGAGGCAGGTTAGGACGGGCGGCACGATGGATGGAATGTAGGGGTCGAGGTAGATGGTGGGGTTTGAGAGCAGCGCGGCGGTCGCTTGCATCATCTGCGTCAGCACGAAGAGGTTCTTCAGGCTGTGTGTTACTTTCTCCGCGAAGAAGGTTATGAGGTATGACACGAGCTGGTGGATGCCAGGATCGGTGCGGAGGGAGGCGAGGGCCGCGTTGCGCCATTCCTCGTTTGTCTCGTCAACGAGGGCGCTGCAGAGCTTGTTATAGAGCTCGATGGACTCTTTGCTGAGGACGTGCTTGATCTGCGGCTTGGCGGCGATGTTGTCGTTGCCATTGACAGCTGCGAGGTGGGGGTTTGCGCCTGGTCCCTTGGGGAGCATCTCGGTATGTCGTGAGTCGGCGGAGGTAGGGTTTTGGGGTATCGAGGGCTGCACGCCTTCTACCGCTAGCCAGTGTGCTGCGATCTGATTAGTCTGGGGCTTCCTTGTTGGGAAAAGGTGTCGTACCGGTGAAAGTGATCTCTTTCGGGACTTTTGGCAGCGGCGAGTTGATCATCTTCTCGAAGTCCACCTCCTCATCCTCAACGTAGTAGAGCGGCTGCCCTGGTCCAATTGACGCCTCCCCAAAGCGCAGTGGTCGCGTGGACTCGTAGCCGTACAGCGGCTCAACGTTCAGCACGCGCAAAGCGTTCGAGATGTCCTGTGTGCCCAGCGTCGTCCGCTTGCCGTGGCGCATGAACTTCAGGGCCTCCTCCAGCACCTGGGTGATGCGGAAGTCGACATCCCGGGCCAGCTCGTCGACCACGTTGTCGCTGAGCGCCTGGATGCCCACTGATTCGGCGACGTCCTTGATGTTGTCGGGGTTCCAGACCGACATGGTGGTAAGCAGAGGCGTGTCGGAGGGTCGTCAGGGCGAGCAAGGCCCGCTGGGAGTCGACGTGGTGGCACGGCGGCGTGTCGGATGGCTGTGGTGTACCACCAGGTGGGTTGGAGAGTGCCAGCCCTATGCAGGGGACCTGAAGGACATTCCGGTTCACTGCATGAAAGACGCGGTCGGCGCCGTGTTGCTCCGGCAGAATTGGGGTGGAAGCAGAGTCGGCGAGTCGGGGCTGCTGTGGTTATGCGCTGGTGGGCCGCAAGAGGTGGCGGCGATGAGTGAGGTGGAGGTGGTGCGGATGGGAAATGGTGAATGGCGGACAGCGGAGGTGAAGTCGGTCCTGCTGCATAAATGCTTGGCACCAGCACATGTCCATGCAGGTGCATATTTCCAACCTCAGCCCGTCAACCTCACTCTTCTCCTAGCCAGCCTCACCCCTCATCGACTCAGTACGCGCATCTTCAGGCCCGCATCAGCTGTCTTCTCATCCTGGGCAACGCAGACACCACGGTTCTGATATCTCTCTCGCGTTTGCTCCTGCACAGCATCCATACAGGCCTAGTTACATGCAGCAAATAAATGCTCCACAAACACCATGTCCTCGGCTTACCGCAACGAGATATCGAGACTAATTGTAGAACCCACGCCTCGGAGCACCTCAAGGCCCGCCGGACCATACGCCTATAGCACAGGCCCATCTCGCCGGCGCGCTCTCACGCCTTGTAGAACGGCATATCAACGGCGCGGGCCGGCTAGCTGCATGCCTCTTTCTCAGTTTGACCGCCTCTTAACACCCAACACTTCGTTGAATAGCGGCCACGATGCGTGGAGGTGACTCCTTGCTGCAGACGGCTCTGCTTACTGCTTCCCCGGACGAATGAGACTGGCTGTTGCTATCGTCATGGGCTGGCGGGCCCCATCACATTCCCACCAACTTTGCCAGCAACTACTGCAAGCTCCACCACGCTGCTTGCCCGACTTCGGTAGCTAAATTCCAGCCACCGTCGCCCGCTGGCTCGAACCTTGTCGGGGTGTTCGCGTGTTTGTGCTCGCCGTCCACGCTGTCGCCCGCCCTCGCCTTCCTAACCTCCAATCTCCCTCTAGGATGAAACGACCTTTCCCGTCTTCCCGCCGGGCCGTTGCGATTGTCGAGATTTGCTTCAGCAATCGCGTTATGTGTTTGCCCGGCGCGCTGTACCTTCTCTTCACCGCTCCAACTGGCTACTTAGGTACTTAACGGCCACTAATCCATTCGTACTTCGCTTTCAGAGAAAACACTTCGATTGCACGCACGCTAAGACCTCCCGTCGAACATACCTAACGCTCCGGGCCTTTCGCTTTCGGGTTTCCTACCTCCTTCGCTATTCTTGTACTTCCTTCTAAGTCGTTTAGGACATCATGGTTTTCGCTGCCGAGTCTCTTTTCTCGCCGTATTTCGAAGACCGTTTGATAGCCACCAAGTTTGCACAAACTCCGCCGATTGCCATGCTGCCAAAGAAGACCTCTTTCCTGGAAATGCTATTCTCTTCTCGGCAGAAGTCTCGAGGAGACCCTCCATCGCCCCCTCCTCAGCCTCCACCAAGTCCGACTGGATGGACCGGGAAAATAGTCAAAGATGACACGGATGTGGTACGTACAGACCATGAAGAAGCCTATCATGATTGCAAGCTCACCAGCTGTCAGATCGCTCTTCCAGGGTGGTACTAGTAGCGACCGGCATCAGAGCAAAGGCGACGGTACCACACCTAAATGTCTCGTGGTAACTTCCAACTGACGAGGGCCCAGAGCTTTATTACACCCCTACGCCTTGAACTCGTTATAACTGTTGGGGAGCAATGAGGACAATTATTCGAAACCTACCGTCATTATTCAGCAATCCGTCGTTCCTCAAATGCGTCCACCTTTGCTGTCGCTACCCCTAGATGGGGTTCATTCCTCAATCTCCTCTTTCACTACCTTCTCGGCTTTCAGTTTCTTTTTGTGATTCTCTCCTAGTCGTTGCTTCGTTGAGACTGAGACTTAGAATGGTTGGATTAGAGCAAGAGTGCGCAAGCAATTTCAGTTTCCCTCCCTCTTCCCTCTTACTGTACTCCAACCAAGATACTTTTCCCAGCTATATTCTAGCGCACATTCTGAAGTCGACTTCTCTCGAGAGCGACCTGGGTTGAATTACGAATATCGTAATTTCGCTACGTTCCTCATTTGTTTTTCCGGTATGTTTAGTTGCTGTACACATTTGGCTAAGAATGCGTTTTGTGCTACAAGCAAGGGACGTGCAACCGTGCATGTCATCAACTCTCTTTCTTTGTCTCTTCCCAATGGCGTGAAACTTCTCTTCCTAACATGCAACCACTAATAAACTCTGTCTGTGTACGGCTAATTCGTCCACCACCCCGTCTACTCCCTTTGTCCTGCAGTCATTGTCAATAATTCTACCCCACCAGTCTCGCATCGTGTCTCTTGCAACGTCCTATTCTCCTTCGTGATCCCACGAGACCCTGTCATAGCACCATGACTCGAGAGCCGCTGAACGTTGTGATTCTAGGTGGATCTTTCGCCGGTATCTCTGTTGCCCATCAATTTCTCGACAATATTATCTCATCATTAAGCACCTTCGAAGAGGCGCCAACATATCGAGTCGTCCTTGTCAGTCCATCCACACATCTGTACTGGAACATCTGCGCACCACGCGCGATTGTCTCTGATGAGCTCATACCGGTAGAGTCTGCCTTCGTGGAAATTGAGCCGGGGTTCAGCCGTTACTCCTTCAATGTTTTCACATTCATGCAAGGGTTGGCAACAAGGGTTGACACGAGCGCGCACACAGTCACCGTTGAGCTTGCATCCAATGACAACAACAAAGCCTCGAAACGCTCCTCTGCGCTCTCGGGAGCTACTGACCGTACCGACTCCACCACAAGATCTCGATCTGCCCTCCCGACCTCCCCGACTACTCCCACCGACTATCGACCCACTGGAGCATCTAGAACTAGCATTATACAGACGATTCCGTACCACGCTCTTATCCTCGCCACTGGGACTTCCGCAAACTCACCCCTTTATTCTCTCCATGGCTCCCACGAAAACACAATCGCGGAGATCCGCCAATTCCATGCGCAAGTTCAAAATGCCCAAAGCATTTTGATAGTAGGAGGTGGACCGTCCGGAGTAGAAACCGCCGGACAGCTTGCTAGCTTTTATAACTGGCATCCACGCTGGCCCTCGCAGCCCATGAAAAGACACAAGACCCCGCCTATAGCGGAGCCCAAACCCCGCAAGAACCGTCTCAATACCCTCAAATCCCTCTCCTGCTTCAGCCCCACCATCAAAGAACTACCTCCTCGCCCAGCCTCTTCCACCACCGCCACCACCCCCTCCATCCAAATCACTCCTCCCACCACCTCCCCGCACCCCCGGCAGCGACGAACCGCTAAAACCATAACCCTCCTCTCCGGCTCCACCCGGCTCCTGCCCAAACTGCCCGAGCCCGTCGGTGCGCACGCCTCCAAGCTCCTCGCCCGCCTCGGCGTGCACGTCGTCCACTCGATCCGCCAAGTCGCCGCCACGCACAACGCTGACGGCTCCGCCAACTGCATCCTCAACAACGACATGACCATCACGGCCGACCTGGTCATCGAAGCCACGGGCGTCACGCCCAACACATCCTACCTGCCCGCCAGCATGCTCGACGACGCCGGCTACGTGATCACGGACCCGGAGGACCTGCGCGTATACGGGCCCGACATCGGCGCGCGCGTCTACGCCGTGGGCGACTGCGCGAGCTACTCCAAGAACTACGTGCTCGACGTGTACGAGGCGGTCCCCGTGCTGGCGAAGAACCTGCAGAACGACCTGCTGGCGCACGAGTACCGGCTCGAGGCGCAGCTGAGCCGGGCGGAGCCGGCGGCCGTGGTGAGGCGCGTGGAGCGGTTGCGGGATGCGCGGTTTGTGCAGAACCCGACGGATAGCCAGCTCATGCCGATTAGCAGGTATGGGGGCGTGGGCGTGATTTTTGATGTCAGGGTGCCGAGTTTTATGGTGCATTTGCTGAAGGGGCGGGATTACAAGTTGGGGAAGGCGGGGGCGGCGGTGGGGAGGGGGCGGAATCCGTATGAGACGCCGGGGAAGAGGTAGTGGGGTAGGGGAGGGGGGTTTCTTGGGGGGCGTTTTCGTTTATTGAGTGCGTCGTGGATTTGGTGGTTGGGTTGAAAGGGTAGAGGCGTGATTTGGCGCTCATATGTCTCGTTGTGATCCAGGACTCGCATCTGGAGTTTAATGAACGAGGCTTTTTTCGGGGGTATGCATTGATAGTCTGAATTTGATTTGCCATAATATTCGAGAACCGATGAGAATTAACGATTTTTGATCTATAAGTTATGTTATCTTGAGGTTGAAATACGGACCGGAGGTGCCTAGATTGGGCAAATAGAGAAGTCTTTACCCATTTCCCACATATTCAAGGAGGTACGAACTGAGCATGAACTTCACGTTTTTGGTCTGAAACTCGATTTCAATTCCGTTCGAAGAGACACGACTAGAGATGGCCGGAAGATTAAACAATTGTAGTAAGAAGTAGTCTACGCGGCTACTTTAGCTTCACGTGATCTATCAGAACGCTAATCCAGCTATAGCAAGCAAGGCGTGAAGATCAAAGTTCAGAAATTATACACCCAGATTGAATGGAAATTGTACATGGTTCTATAGCTTGCTCTTCACCTCGTCAACAATAAGAGATTGGGCTTTCGCAAGGGTGTCAATCGCTTCACGCTCGATGCGCGAGATGAGGACTTGACATGTTGGGATATCGTGGATAAGGCCGATGACTTGACCGGCAGTCCAGACCTGTATTGCAAAGAGGTCAATTTCGGTTCGTGTTGCGGTTGACAGGGCCGTGAGAGGTTTGAAGAGAGAAACTTACACCAAAGTCCTTGTCGCCATTTATAAACACCTGCCTACCCCGCTGTCCACTAACATAAGGAGCCACCTCCTTAAACTCACCCGTCGTGCTCTCCTTCTCGATCTTCACCGCCTCAGACGCGACCTTGTTCTTGAACAAGCGCGAGGTATTCCGCCACCTCCGCAGCACCAACTCGGTGTCAGTCTCCTGCGCCTCGACAATCGCCTCCTTGATCTTCATGTGAATAGGCGCTTCAATCGTGCACATAAAGCGCGTGCCCATGTTGATACCCTCCGCGCCCAAGCTAATAGCAGCCGCGAGGCCCTGGCCGTCCGCAAACCCACCCGACGCAATGAACGGCACGCCCAGCGACTGGCGCGCGCGGCTCAGCAGGATGAAGTTTGTGATGTCGCTCTCGCCGACGTGGCCGGCGCACTCGAAGCCGTCGATGGACAGAAAGTCCACGCCGAGCTTGACGGCCGAAGCGGCGTGCCGGATGGAGGTGCACTTGTGGAGGATGATGGTGTTGGCGGCTTTCAGCTGCCTGATGACCGGGCCGGGGCTGTTGCCGGCCGTCTCGACGATGTTGATGCCCTCCTCGATTATCACGCGGGCGTAGGCGGCGTAGTCCGGGGGCACGAGGGCCGGGAGGAGGGTGAGGTTGACGCCGAAGGGGTTCTTGGTCATGGCCCGGCAGCGGCGGATCTCTTTGCGGAGGTCTTCGGGAGTGGGTTGGGTGAGGGCGGTCAACTGTAAGGTTGTAAATAGAGCTCTTCGTCGTGTGTATGTGGGTAGTGAGGTGTACTATTCCTAGTCCTCCTGCATTGCTCACGGCGCTGGCGAGTTCGGCGTAGCCAACCCATTGCATGCCACCCTGGACGATGGGGACTGTATAGATAGTTAGATTCTTTCTTCCACGTATACTGTATTACGCTGCTTCAAACGCGTACCTCTGATCCCCAGCTTCCGCGTAAGCTCGGTGTTGAAAGGCATCTTAACGACTGTCTACGGCGTCTTCGGAGAGGTATAGGAAGCCAAACAAAGAAATGAATGGACGGGGCCTGGAGGGAGTGAAGTACAGAAGCTACCGGGCTAGCTTAGAGTGAATGATGGAGGGTTTATCAAGGGTGTTGCATGGTACGAAGTTTGGTGTGGGGGAAAGGTCTACCGACCAGATGCCGAGGCCCAACTTGCGCCTCGCTACTAAGTGCTCCTCTCTTGAAGGATGAGACCATCTCAGAAAACATAGTTCGGCTGGTATGAGTAATCACTGTGGCATCTACTCAGTTGAACAGAGTCGTCACATGGACTACATCTCACAGCCGAGCTTATTATTGAAGCTGCGTTCATGTAGACAGCCATTTGCCTGCCAGTTCGGCGTCTCATGTGATAAAGCACGGGCGTTATCCGAGGGAAATGCCAAGAATCCGGGGTAAGGACTCCCTAGATGTCACAAAGGTGAAAGCACCAAAACATCACTTCAATGTTTTCAAAGTTTAAGAGCCTCAAGGCCTCCAAAGCCTTCGGTTTTACTATCCCTGACTCTAGAAGCTACGTCTACAAGGTCAGACCGGCAATATTCGGTAATTCTGTCTTGAAAGCGTGTCTGAGACCTCGAGGCCTCGAAAGCTGCTATTCCACTTCAGGAACGATGGAGGAACTTCAGCAGTTACGGACGTACGAACGATCTGGAATACTAATGCCCTCCAAGAGGTGGCATTCCAACTTGGGCATGTCCAAAGCAAGCTATTGAGAGAGAGCCGCGATATTAGGCCAAGTTTGCATCCAATCACTAACGTATATTACCTTTCATACCAGGTATAGTTACATCAACGCATAAGCATGGGATCTGTTTATCATACGCGTCTCTTTCACCACTCGAAGACATACAACTCCCTTCCGTACGAATGCTTCATTCCACCTATCCCACCCATTCCGCCGCTCTCGTTCCCACTCCCACCACTCAGCCTCGAAAAACAACTCCCACCCGTACACACTAGATCAAACCACTTCATAACCGTCGCCTCCCGATTCTGAAAATTATACCCAACGCCCTGCGCACTATACGCCTCAAACACCGTCCCATAGCTCCTCGTCCACCCACTAACCGGCGTCCGCACTCGTCCCACTCAGACTCCCACTAACCCCCAGCACACTCATCAACTGCTTCATCTCCTCCTGCAGATTCTGCGGATACAGCGTCGTGTCCGCAGTCCCATGGAACACCTGCATCTTCGGCCTAGCCCCGAATCGCCCGGGTACGCAGCGGTTACGAATACACGGCTGGCGTCGCCGGCGTAGTTGCTCAGTGTCCACTGGATCATGGAGACGATGCCGTGGGCGTTGTCGCTGCCGTTTCGGGTTAGGGATTGCGTGGAGCTCACGTCCCAGCACTTGTCGGATGTGCTGGGCGAATCGGGATAGATGACGATGTTGCCGTAGGTGTTGGCTGGGGTGGCATACTTGGTGCCTGTGCAGGCATCTTGCGCTTTGCCATGACAGGCGTGTGGGACGAGGAGGATGGGAGGTTTGCTGGCGAGCTTGTCAGGGACGTAGATGTAGAAGCCTACGTTTGTAGGGTTTGTGGCGAATTTGGTGATCTGTTGAAGGGAGGCCGCAGAGACGAGGCCAGGGACGAGAAGGAAACTGGCGAGTGTTCTTAGTGTTAGCGAGGTCATACTGAAAGGTTTTCACTTTAGCACAGTCCAGGTGTGAAGGGTCGTGTAGAATGAGCACGTAGCTTGCCTTTTAGAGACGTCGTACCTATGAAGAGTATTCTTGCAAATGCGTTGAGCTCCGCACTGTAGACTAGTCCTGACACTACAATACACGTCTTAGAGCATAATCGATTTAAAGTGTGGAGATCCAACGATATCGTGCCGAAAGATCTTTAGATAGATGTCTTTGAACATGAGGCGGCCCGATGGATTAGCGGGCCTTAGAAGGTGGGAAAAGGCTCCAATCGGATCCAGGGATAAACAAAGCCCTTGACAATGGTAGATCCTCTGCATGAAGGACTGGTAACATCCAATGGATAATTAAAATACCTTTCCCGGAGGTCAGGTGAAAATTCAGGTAGATAAATAATATGTAGGGCTTGGCATCTGTTGCCAAGTTGCGATATCGATAGCATTGAGATGCTGAGCATACCGGAGCCAAAGAGTGTGACACGTAAATGGATAATTGTTATGATCAACTGAGGAGAGAATACTCGCCATGTTGAGAGGAGATGACTACCTACATTCCGGATCAAGATCGGTGAACGCCTAATCCTCCACCCGCAACCCAACCCGCTAAAATTCAGTAAGAAGCAATTCACGTCCAACAACTCCATTGTAAATTTCAAGACCAGAACCAGCCTCTGGTCTTCTTCTCAGCTGCTTGCTTGGGCGGCGTTTCCTGCTGCTTGACTTTCGGTTGTGCGCCAGACTCTGAGGGCACTTCAAATCCCGCATGGTTATTGTGACCCTGCGTAGTATGAACCGTCTCTGAAGTCTCTTCCCTTCCATCAGCGAATCGTTTCTTGAGCACCATCTTTGTGGTAACAGTCCCGTCAGGTTGTGTCGTGCGTTCCGTTGTTGTCAAAGTGGACAAAACGGAAGGGCGCGAGCTCGCACTATCGTTAGTTTGATGCGAAGGCGTAAACTGTGTTGGGCCCACAATACGCTCGTACGCATCTAGCTCAGTCTCGGGACCATCTTCGTCATCAACCTCTGAAAATCGAGCAAAGGTGGATGGCGATGCATCAGGACGTGGGGTCGGTGGGTCATCGTGTTGGTCTTCATGATCGTGGCCGTACTCGTACGATTCGTGCTCATCGGCATCGCCTTCTTCGACTTCCGATAGCCATCGACTCCGAGGGATGCGACGCTCTAGATCTCGGGAAAAGACAGCTTCGCCAGTCGCTGGCCAAGAGAAGAATTGACGTCTATAGTTCTCCCTCATGTGACAGCTCGATAAGGTTCGAGCGTGTAGCCGGCTAGTCCAGATGCCTCTCGCGGTCTGTTCAGTCTCTCCAAGCTCTTTTTCAGAAAGGAGCGGTTGACCGGTCTCAGCGCGTAAGAGGTCTTCGAAGGCTTCTCGCCATGCGATATCGGAGTCTCTAAGAGAAGACTCCAATTGGAGAGGCGAATAGTCATTTGACATTAGGAACGGCACCATCTTCGCAGTGAATCCAAGCCCGTATCCGAGGTCTGGGAAAGGGGCCGGCGTGCGGGAATTCCTGCGTAATCCATCTTCTATAACCGCCCAAATGTCCTCTCCAAGTGCACCGAGTACAGGGTGTTGCGCAGCACTATTCGATGAAGCTATCGGGGCTTGAGTATCGCTTTGAGTATCTTCAGATGCCCGAGGAGGATAGCTCCAGCTCCAGTGCCATGTGTGTGCTTTTGATGCTTGATTCCCCGCCTCCGTCCTTCGGTTATGATCATTCCACCGTGGCCAGGCCGTGTCTTCATCGTCTTGTAGCCTTTCTTCCTCGCTCCGACAGCTTCCGAACCTTGAACGCCAGTGACCTCGAAGGCCCGAAGACTTTACGGCATCTTGATCATGGCTCTCATCCCGTTCTTCCCCATTCAACCATGCCGTCATCTCCCTATCCAGCTTATCGATCTCTTCCTCTAACGTGTCAGCGGGTGTGCGCCTCTCGCCACCTTTTCCACTATCCACCGTCCAGGTATATCCATTCCTCTGCTCCTTGTCCTTGTTTGCTTGCATACGATCCTCGGTGTCTTCAGTCTTCGTCGTATGCGAGTCCGGCACTCCCATGACTTTCAAAGAAAGATTCAGGAGCCCGGAGACCTGTTCATCCGCGAAGCGGCGGAAGGAGATAAATGGGTTGTCTTCGATGCGTTTGCGGTCAGACTCATCGTCGTTTGGATTCCGGGATCCCATGATGGCTGTTCGATAGTTATGTAAGGTATGGGTGTTGGTAGAGATGCTGGTTGTGTTGTTCGAGAGATGGAAGCTGTGACTTGGGGAGTCTGGTGATGCCATTAATGGAGGGGTCCGACACGTGAAGCGCGCGACACGGGGCGTTTCAGACAGGGGTAGCTAGAGCACTCCACACCATACAGCCATACGATCATCTTCGTGTCTGTATCGTCAAACGCAGCCTAAATCTCGTGGCCTTGAACTATGAATTACATCCTAAATCATATGGCTTATTGGAGCACTTCAGACAGTGCTATCGTTGATGCATTGCTGACCAATGAGGACTATTCAATAGTCATGTGCACGAAGCTTCATATCGAGCTTTGAACTAGTTTAACCTTCTAACATACGAGCCAATCTAGGTAGTATGTACAGATCTACGATTTCGCTGTCTCCGCAAAACCAATCTTCTCAAGATCTCCAGCAACAGCATCAGGGTTCGGTGTTGGGGCCTCTGACGAGCTCTCTTCGGGGGCATTCAGCACCTTGTAAGCAGCAGGATTCTTCTTCGTCTCATTCTGCCCAGACTTGAATTGGTACCCACGAACCCTGTAGCATGTTAGTACCTGGAAGATGATAACTTGGTAAGCGTGGACTCTTACCTAGGGCCCTGACCGGACTTCTCTGGCAATTCAGGCTTATAGAAGGCCTCAAAGGCTACTTTGTCCTCGCCGAATGTGCCCCGTGCTATACTCTCGCGAATGCCCGCAAAGAAAGCGTCCATGATGGCATGGTTGTGGATTTGAATCAAGACCCAACCGAGCATCTCCTTGGCTGAAAGCAGATGCTGGATGTAGGCGCGGTGGTGTTTTGTGCAGGCATAGCAGCTGCAATTGTCCGAAAGAGGGGTGACTGAGAGGGCGTGCTCAGACTGCCACATATCGACTCCTAAGGTGTACTTCTTGCCAGCGTCCTCTCCGCCAGACACCTCTGACCTTGAGGGAGGAAACGCGAAGTCAAGAGAGATGCCGGCGTCTGTAGCTTCGGTGATGAACGGGATAGTAAAGATATCCATGCCTAGCGATATCTGGTAGAGCAGTGCTCCCGGACTCGACGGCGGATCAAATGATAAACGTGGGAGATCCTGCACTTGCTCTGGGAGATCGGCAAGGAACTGTGCATGGTAGATAGCGAGGCCAGATATATCATCCAACATATCGTCAATCAGATGGTCTAGGTACCACGTCTGCAGCTCCTTTGCCAAAGGCAGTATAGGCGCGAAGATCTGGTAGGAAGCCTTCGGAGCCTTTGCCGTCTTGTCTAAGCCATTCTTTTGGGACACGAGCTCCTTCGTCCATTCCTCAGTCCTATCACTCATTTTGTCAATCCTTTTGAGACCAGGTTGTGGCTGTCCATATGGTATGTCTGCCAACCCTACGACAATATCTGGTCGGACCTTTCGAGAAGCCGCGGCATAGTCTTCCGCGCTAATCTGCCTGAAGCCTACGGAGGTATATATGCTAAGTGCGCTATTGGTATTTGCGGTCGGGCATGGTATGCAGGGTACGCGGCGCGCGCCTACGACCAGCACAGTGTCTTTGGGAAGAGCGATAAAGTCTCTAAGAGGCGACTCATCTTTAGGAGATTCTAGTTGGTATAATGGAGGTGTTTGGCGAGGCAGCTTCTCTACAACTCGTGTAAGTCAGTTACCATGAGCCAAGAAAGTGATACGCAGGTCCTTACAATCCTCGAGTGCGACATAGACGCCATTGATGCTCGTGTTTTTCTGAAAATTATCTTGTGAAATGTGTGATACTGCACCTCGTGAGGTGTTTCCAAGGTAGTGAGGGGTCTCGAGAGCTTTCCGACCAGGTAGTGTAAGCCTGCCGAGTCGAGGCGCAAGAGTCGTGCTGGTTTTGAGGATGGTGAAGGCGCGCATTTCGGGAGGAAGATCTGAGAGTGTAGTAGACATTGCGAAGACTAAAGCTACCAGTTCATTAGCTCAAACTTAGGTCGTGGAAGAATAATGCTGGCGTAGAAGTGCACTTTGTGGAGAGTTGCAGGGTCCGTGTTCGGGGAAGTGCGGGAGTGTCGTTCGAAACTGTGGATAAAACACCACGCCAAGCATCTCTCCCACATAAAGGTTTAAACTAGCGGTATAAATGGCACCAAATGCTTTGAGTATGTTAAGCGAGTTCAACGTGTTCGTAAATCTTTCACATATTGAGCCTTGATGGAATCAAGGACAATGAATTTATGAAGTGAATTCGTTTGTTTTGAGTTATTCTACTATACACCTGCGACTAGACTAATACAACTTGTATCTCATTCTCAGCGTTACCATACTTATCATACCACATTGCAGCATTGACGAGTATGCTCGCTTGAGAAGCAGAGTTCCAAATGCGATCTGTAACCGCTTTCGTCACACCAAACATCAAGACAACAACGAAGTCTTTCCACGCTCTCCAAGAGAGAATTTCACCAAATCCCGCCATCCGCCTACCACAAGCCCTCTCATACGCAGCCTGATCTCTATCCCAATCCAGAACACTCGTCCCGCGATTCGCATGTACATGGCCGCAAACATGTAGCAGCGGTCTTATCCGCCAAATCGCCTTCAGCAATCCAGCACATCCACTCGCAGACACCGAACCGCTTGAAATGTCCCGGTGATAACGTGGAGGGGTATGCGTAACAAGAATGTCAATGTCCGTTGGAATCTCGGCGGTCCAAGAATCGAGATGCCTTGGATACTGAAACGCAAAGCTGCTTCCACCACAGAGAGGCACCAAAGGCGAGCCGTAGACTTTGAGCTGTCTTCCTTGATCTGGGAAAGCCAGGGTAGTCGAAGTGCATTGCAGATACATGACACCTTGCCAATCGATCTTGCCCTCACGGTCTTCTAGTGCTAGCGTAGGTCTAGATGAGGGATCGAGGAAGGTATCGTGGTTACCTGCTACGACAATCTTGTGCCTGTGGGGAAGCGCTGAAAACCAGATGATTTGGGCTTGCAGTTCTTTCAGAGTGCCCGTGTTCGTGAGATCTCCAGCGTGAATGAGTAGATCGCCTTCTGGGACGTTCGGGGTGCCATTATGGGTATCTGAGACACAGACGACACGTATCGGAGGTTTTAACGGAGTTAGGCGTAGCCGAGTGGACGAAAGCAAGCGGTAGAGGCATTGGGCCGTGTATTTTAGCGGCGACCAGATGAACTGCTGAAAGGTTGTAGGCTTTTGAAGTAGAGAAGACTGTTGGAAAGTCATGACGGAGACTCTACGAAGCTTGAAAGAAGTACAAAAGACGAACCTGAGGGCTTTATGGTAGACTTCTGTCTTTATTGAAAGCTGGTGCCTGCCGACCAACGTGAACCGTGGGTCCGTGCTAACAACCGCAAGGTCAATTATTGGTTGATATAGAGATTGAATGAATACTAGTGTTCTGCAAATTGGTAACCACGAATACTTCTATCAATACTAGATGCCTTCATCTTTCCCGTGGGCTCGTTGTTTTCCAATTTGCGTCCTAGTGTGAAATTGATCTTGAATTGTTACCCTTCTATCTAAGGTAGGACAATGTATTTTTCGAGGTGCTTAGGTATCGATCCAATGAGCTTCTTCTCTTCTAACCATTTCCTAGAGAAGAGCCTTTCCGCATAACGATACGCGCCGTCGCAAAGTAAGGTCACTACAGTGTGGCCTGGGCCTAGTTTCTCCGCAACTTCTTTTGCAGCCACCACGTTCAGACACGAGCTTGCTCCAAGATAAAGGCCCTCCTCATCTAAGCATCTGTAGACCATTTCGATAGTTTTCTCGTCTGCAATATGCAAAGAACCGTCCAAGAGGTCAATATCAGGCTTGAGGTTGTCTGTAACGCGACCCTGGCCGATGCCTTCCGTAATTGAAGATCCTGTTCTGTCAACTAGTTTGCCTCCACTGGAGATGTACGAGTGTAGGACCGAGCCTGGGGGGTCCGCCAAGAAGGACTTGACTCTGCCATCCGACTTCTCTTTCAGATAACGAGTGACGCCTGCAAGTGAGCCTCCAGTTCCAGTGGCGCAAGTGAACGCATCGATCTTTCCGCCTGTTTGGTACCATATCTCGGGGCCTGTGGTCTCAATATGTGCCTGGCGATTCGCGATATTATCGAATTGGTTCGTCCACACTGCATTATCGATACTCTCGGCATGTCTCTTCGCCTGGTGATTGTAGTTCTCGGGATTTTCGAAAGCGACAGCCGGGACAGGATAGACTTCTGCGCCTAGAAGTCTAAGCAGATCAATCTTCCCTTGCGACTGAGTGTTCGGCATGTAGATGACCAATTTGTAGCCTTTAGACCGGCACACATGGGCAAGACCAATTCCAGTGTTTCCCGCTGTGCCTTCGACCACAGTGCCGCCAGGTTTCAGCAGCCCTTTATCTTCGGCTTCTTCAACGACGTATAGGGCGGCGCGGTCTTTCACGGATCCTCCCGGGTTCTGGAACTCTGCTTTGCCTAGAACTTCGCATCCGGTCTCTTCTGAGAGCTTCTTAAGCTTGATCATGGGTGTCTTGCCAATTGCTACCGGTTCTGTCAGCCAGGTGCGCTCTAAGAATGTTGGTATAGTCAATGACTACCATCAAGGAGTCCGCGATTCGCAATTCCCTGCACTTTGGAGATCTCAATGCCATGCTGGTTGTGCCTAGCCCTTGAGAAACCCTCAGAGGCTCGCCATGCCGTCGCCACCAGCCGGCGAACTACTGTCCTATTCATCGCTGTGAGACAGAAAGCTGTGGCGAGTGACGCTGCTTTTTTTTTGGTCGATGGCGCTATAGCAAAACGAGAGCGGGGATGGAAAAAGGTAGCGCCGATGTTTATTTCTTGGCAAACAGAGCGGGTGGAAGTGGAAGCGGCAAGCAACTCTGACCCGCATTCAACACCACGACGAACCCACGCGCAATCACACCAAAATGCCTGGACGAGTAGCAGGACGCTCTGGCAGAGCATCTACTGCCGCACCCGCCCGCAAATCTTCAACTCAAACCCTCAAATCACGCGCTTCTGCCTCCGCTCGCTCCTCCGCGCTGCCAGTAGAGATACCAGATGAGGGGCCAGCAACTTCACTACGGACCCAAATATGTGGCATATTCGCAGAAACACAGCGTAACACGGCAACACAACGGAAGTTGATCATCAATCTGAGGAAAATTCAAGAAGCATGTTGCTATGAGCCCACGAGCACGAAGAAGAATCAGAAGCAGGAAGATTTCGAGGAGTCGGATTTCAATGAAGAGGTTGGGCGGTGTGCAATTCGAGTGCTTACGGTCAAGAAGAGCGAGCCGGTTGGAGATAGAATTGTACGGTTTCTAGGCTTGTTCTTGAAGCATGCGAGTGAAAAGGGTACGTGATGGCAAAGCACAGCGCTACCAAGAGGGTTTCATTGCTGACACTACTCAGATAATGCCATAGTGCAGCCTGAAGATGTAGACACGACAGACGCACTCCCCGAAACCCCGGCCAGCCGCCTTACCTCGCACATATTGTCCATCCTTTTGCCATTGTTGACAGTCAGAGACAAGACCGTACGCTTCCGCGTCACTCAGATAATCGCACACATAGTCAATACCTTAGACTCGATTGATGATGAGTTGTTCCAGCTAGTTCGACTCGGGTTATTAAAGCGCCTCAGGGACAAGGAAGCAAACATACGCGTTCAAGCAGTAATTGGCCTCGGTCGCCTTGCGGATGGAGGCGAAGCAGATGAAGATGATGAGGATAGTGACGATGAAGTCGCCGGAGGAATCCTTGAAAAACTGCTCGATGTTCTCCAAAACGACCCCAGCGCAGAAGTACGGAGATCTCTACTGCTCAACCTGCCCTTTACACCAGGCACTCTTCCGTATCTCCTAGAACGAGCCAGGGATTTGGACGCAGCCACTCGGCGAGCACTCTATTCAAGATTGTTGCCCGCTCTTGGTGACTTTCGCCATCTTTCACTCACCCATCGAGAAAAGCTCCTTCGATGGGGATTACGCGACCGCGACGAAAACGTTCGTAAAGCAACTGCCAGGCTTTTCCGAGAACGCTGGATCGAAGACTGCGCCATCTCTCAGAAAGCAGCCGAAGAAGAAGCCCCCCCCCAAGGACAAGTTTCGGCTCCTCGCTTTGAAGCGCTTCTGGAATTGCTAGAGCGTATCGATGTTGTCAACTCTGGTGTGGAGGGCGGCATTGCCTTCGAAGCTATGAAGGAACTCTGGGACGGTCGACCCGACTATGTGGACTTCATCACCTTCGATGATGATTTCTGGAACGACTTGACTCCCGAGAGCGCGTTCGTTGCCAGGACCTTCAACGACTATTGTCGCGAGGCAGAAGGAAACAAGCTTCAAGACATGGTGGAGGACAAGATGCCCGTAGTAACGGCTTTTGCATTTTTTGTTCAGAAACATCTCAACGTCCTTATCGACGACGTCCGCAAAGTGGCGCTCCAAGACCAAGACGACGCGGACGCTGAAGAGGACACTGTTCAACAAGAGTTCTGTGTAGAACAGCTATTGCATATTGCCATGACCCTCGATTACACGGACGAGGTCGGTCGTCGCCAGATGTTCTCTATTATGCGAGGAGCTCTTGCTCTTGCAGAACTTCCAGAGGAATGCACAAAGCTGGTTGTCGATGTTTTACGAACAGTCTGTGGGGTTAACGCAGCTGGCGAGCGTGAATTCTGTGACATCGTTCTTGAGGCTGTCGCCGAGGTCCACGACACCATCTTGGGCGAGGATCCTACTCAGGAAGATGCCGACGAGAGTTTCCATTCCGCAAGGTCCGAGCTGAGTGACGAGCTCACACCAACAAAGGCGAAGAAGAACCAGAAGAGAGGCAAAGATGAAGACAGTTCCGAGATCGACGAAGAAAAGGCCATCCGGGAAATTATGGTAAACATGAAATGTCTCCATATTGCCCAGTGCATGTTGCAGAACGTTCAGTGCGACCTTGAAGAAAACAACATTCTGGTAACGATGTTGAACAACCTCGTTGTTCCAGCAGTGCGAAGTAACGAGGCGCCGATTCGAGAACGGGGACTACTATGCTTAGGCCTATGCTGTCTCCTTAGTAAGGTATGTAATAGTTGCGGGTTCGTCCAACTCAGTGAACTGTTTAACTGACACGATTGCTCAGAATCTGGCATCCGAGAACATGACTTTGTTCCTCCACTGCTTCACGAAAGGGCATGATACACTGCAAATTATCGCGGTTCAAATTCTTACCGATACTTTGATCACACATCCATCTCTCCTCGCCCCGCCTCTAGCAGCGCAGGATGCCTCAACACATGATCCATCCCCAATCAATCCTCTTCTCAAGCCTTTGACTAAAACCTTTCTTCGGGCTCTTGCTTCGCCTTCGCCATCGTTACCTCTCACAGCCTGCCTCGCAGTTGCCAAGCTCTTACTCTTGGGCCTGCTTCCAGCCGCCTCTTCAATGGAAATTCTGAAGGCACTTACCATTGCCTACTTCAACCCTGAGACAGCAGAGAACCCAGCTCTCCGTCAAGCTCTTACATATTTCCTTCCCGTTTTCTGTCACTCGAGGCTGTCCAACGCTGCCCTGATGTCGCAGATAGCTGTGAGTGTAATAGGTAAATTGGTTGTCATGCGAGAGGAAGCAGAAGAGGAGGAAGAAGAGATGGTCGGCTGGACTGTTGTGGCCGGAATGATAGCGGAGTGGACTGATGGCAGAAAGGTTGTTGGTGGAGAGTTGTGTATCAAAGATCCAGGAGAGCGCAAGGATGGTGCCGAGGAGCCGCATGTGCTACTCGCAACGGAGATTCTGGAGAGAGCGCTTGGAGCTGGCTGCAACAGTAAGTACTTCCAACCATGGATATCTCACGGACTCCTTATTGCGCATACTAATACTGCCTGTGTAGAAGACGAACGTAAACCTCTCCTCACTTTGCTTTCGAAGCTTAACATCCCCTCCACCAATTCACCCGACTCCAAATACCAAGCCGTTAGCCAAGAAGCGTTCCAAACACTCCACAGCCTCGTCGCGGAAGCCGTGGAGACTAAGCTTGCTATCGATGCCACAACCCGAAACGCTCTAACGAAGCTCGACACGGCCCTATCAAAGCGGACGGGGGAGAGCGATAAAGTCGTGACCACAACAGAGGTGGAGATTGAGCCAACAAAATTAGTGGATGAAGAAGAAGAGACTATCATGCTAGGAGACGCCCAGGCTGAAGGAACGGTCATGCCGCTAGATGGAAGTGGGGAGGACGACGATGACTTGACAATGAGGCAAGGGGGTACGAGTGGAGTGACAGAAGTCGACGACAGTGTCGTGGATAGACTGTTGGACAGTGAGCTTGAATGATTGCATAAACTGTGATGTCATTTTGGCGCTGTGTTTAGGGTGGACGTTCGAATCTGGGATTGACGACGCTGCGGCTGGTACACGATGTCAATGATCATTCGATTCTTCTATTATGAACAGGACGCTACACAATGGGTTTGCAACTACAGCACGAATGTGCAGATAACCTACTCTATTAATGTCAGGCTCTTCCCGACCCCCCTTGAACGAAAATGGCAGTCTACGAATCTGATTCTATTCCAAAACGACCTAGACTTTAGCAACACACTTCCTTGAGGCTTTTGTGCACTTGTTTAGCACCGCTTAAGGTCCTCTGCTACGGTTTAACAGCGGCAGAACGAGAGTGTTAACAAGGCTGATAGCTGTTTGGACCACTTTAGACGGTGTTGAACTGCCACTTTATGTTCAATGGAGCCTGCCTCCTGTGTATGGTAACCAAAAAGGACCTAGCCTAATTCGCTTGTAGGGAACGTCACCCAAACTCTCAAGATGCTTTCGACCTTTACATCAACACTGCGCTTCCGTCAGGTCTTTTTATCTTGATTTCGAGATGTCAGGTCGCTTTCATCAAACACCTTCTCGAATCGAAGAGTAGTCCGAGTGTTGCACTAGGCTGAACACGGCCTGGCGGGCTCACATGAAGAGAAACGCTTACGTCCATGTCCTACCATTTTCTAAACGGGGACTCGCGGCAAATAAACGTCAGATTGACATGAAATTCGTCCTTGGCTCCTAGTCAGTTTCAGTAATGGTTTAGTCCGAGACTCCTATCTTCCGGCTCTTGGGGGGTCTAGTGGTAAAAATAGCCCCCTTAGTGAATCCTGAGCAGTACAACGGCTGATGCCCAAAACCTCAGAGTAGCCTTTTACAGATATTATCGTGAGCTCTAAAACAACGTGCCCGACGTCTTCTGAAGCCGCAAATCCGTGTGTCTGGTCACTACAATGACAGGGTGCGAGCTAAACATCTCGTCGTTACCCTGCGGTCCAAAAGCTCAGCCACATCGGCTTGGAAGGCATCTTTGACGTCTATTTTTCACCCATATGCACCATGCCCAACGTGTAGTTCTCTTGGCCCTCTCGTAATATTTCTGTATAGCGGGTCGGTATCAGACTCGCGTGGTTGGCTCATCCTTGCTGTGATTGTTGCAGGGCCTCCACAATGCAATTTGCCTGCTGTGCCCCGTCCACATGGCCCGGCCCAATAAGTACTTGTCGATTTGCGCGCCGCAGCTCTACCTTAATGTCGTCCTCCTCGGATTATGCTGCTGATAAGTAGCACTGCTATATCCCTTTCTAGCCTCTTTCACCTGGTCTTGGTTGATGGCCGACCCTTCTACGCCATCCGGGGTTCTCTTATCAGATGATGGAGGACCACAGCGCCGCCATGGACACAAGCCCCCTCGCCATACGCCATGGTTAGCCTTCATTCTAATCTTCTGCATCCTCAGTAGTATGATTGTTTCTATAGCTATCGTCACCGCTTCCAATAATGATCCTGTCAAGCATTGGAAATTTCAACCGGCTGTGTTACTCTCAGTCATGACTTCCATCTTCATCGTTTCCCTAGAAGGTCTGGTCGCCATTGGCCTGGCAATAAGCTGGTGGCGTAGCATTGCAAACGGCACGACATTGAAACGACTTCACTTCATCTGGAACGGATCGAACATTCTTAACATGATCCCGGCTTTCATGGCTGGTGTAGATACACGGAAAGTTGCATTTGCAGCACTTGCTATTGCGTTAGCAAAATTTATCAACGGCCCCTTGCTTCAACGAGCCACCCGCGCCCGAATTTTCAAGATACAATCCGATATTCCAATGAGCATGCTTATAGCTCCAACAATTCCAACGGCTGGTTCGGAACGCACTCGGTGGACACTGCTCCTGGCTTACAAACCATGCAAAACTGGTACTTGAATACTACCTTCTTCACCTCGGCCGCGCCCGGATTCTACTGCAAAGGCAACGGCATGTGTGAAGCCAGAGTGATCGGAGCAGGATTTAACTATGGCTGTGACACCTCGTCAAAGAAGCTCAATCTTACGGACGATAACAGTTATGGAGCCGAGCTCTTCAATATCACTACGTACATGTCTTACGAATTCAACCAGAGCATGCTCTTCCTCTCTACCAAGTACCTAAACTCTGTCAATGGAGAGTGTATAGGAGAGATAGTCACCGAAACTTGCAACGTCATCGCCGCCACTGTCGCATATCCTCTTATCATCAAGAACACAACCATCAGCATAGATTTCAGACAGCTTTTATCCAACCGGACCGTCGTGTCCAACTATACTTCCCCTGGTGACGCCGCCGGTTTTGAACTTACAGACGATAAAGGACCTCTGAGTGGCCTGGATAGCTTGATGGGGGGCTACATGTCTACCGGCGCCTGGCTCGAGCGTTCGAATGTCTATCATCCCACTTCGCCGCTATCAAGTCTTTTCTACGACGCGAACGTATCATATCCGCCTAGCGCTGAATATTGCGGCATTAGCTTCAAGAGCCCAACCGACTACGTGCTCACCTCTTTTTTCGAATTCATGTTGCGGTCCGCTCTCGACGTAGCTCGGAATGCTTCAGACTATCACCAAGACCTCAAGCCCTACACTACAAATTTCACCTCGCACTTCACCGGAACAGAACTACATTACCATTCCGACTTCCGATATCTTGCTGGCGCTATCGTCATCATTTTCATCGGTCTGCTCGCCGTGGTGTTCCTCCTCTGGGGCTGGTGGGAGCTCGGTCGCTCGGTCAGTTTAAGTCCACTCGAAACCGCGAAAGCATTCGGGGCACCCATAACATCAGGAGCTGGGCATGAAAAAGAGGCAGATAGGATCATAAAAGAGGTCGGACATGAAAAAGTTGCATATGATGGGGAGGAGCTTGTTTGGAATGACACAGTGTATGCATCTGGGCGGTGGGAAATGGGGCAAGTGCCGACTGTTAAGGGAGAAAAGGAAATAACGGAGGATCCATGGGAGCCGATATCCCTAAAAACCCGACGGTCAATACTACGGAGGGGGCTTTTGAGAATGTTCTTCTGACCCAGGTACCAGAAAGCGGCCCCAATTTTGATGATAGGAGGGGAAGTGGTGGGAGGCCTATACGGCCTTTGAGTGTGATCGGTGAGACTACACCAAAGTCGTAATGGCGTCTCGTTCTTGGGCGCGCTTTCAAATGGAATCAACCTGTCTCTTTTGTTATATTCCTTCTTAGATTCTATATAGTGCAATACGAATGCTTAATTTTGTCTATCGACTTTCATTTTGTCCGCTCGACAAGGATAACGGCATGAATCCACTGCTAGCTTTATTCGGCTCGCACGCCGAGTACACTTGGCTCTGAACGCGAAGTATGCCCAGACTCGGTAATACATTTCGACACTAATTGCTGACGCTGACGTGTTAGAACTTGAGTAGAACCCTACCGTGCTTACTTTCTATATCATTAGCGCTTAGCCTCACTAGCTACTACATACATACCCGACAACCTACCAAAACTAAGGACTACATACATGCGAATGCTACCCTCGACCCGTCATCCTGACATTCATTTTCTCTCGACTCACCACACCTGCCTCTCCACATCACCTGGCCAACCACCTCAAGCCCACCATCATGGAAATCGACCCCACCGCCCCGGCCCTCCCTGCCTTCAACCTCACGGACCCGCCCAGCATCTCCTGGCACGCGCGCATAACCGTCGCGCCGGAAAACGCGGAGAAGTTCCTTCGATATCTGAAGCCGTGCATGGATGCTGTCAAAGCCGAGAAGGAGTGTGTGTTCTTCCAGGTGTTTCAGGACCCGAGCAAGCCGGGGAGCTTCATGTTCGTTGAGAACTGGAATGCGAGTTTGGAGTGGATGCAGTCGGTGAGTAGCTGAGGTTCGGTTGTGTTATTGGGAGTGGGTTGGGCTTCTGGGGCGCTTGTGTGGTGGTTTTCGTTGTTATTTGCGTGGAAGAAGTATTTGCGTCTGAGAGGGAAGTTGGCAATGGGGACCAGTGCTGTGGATTATTGGATTTTGTGTAGCAGCTGGAGTGGCTGAGTGGTCTTTCAATGCTAATCATGTGGGGCAGGTGCAATTCAAGAAGCCTTACTATATCCCATACATCACGGAAACGGCGCCACTGTGGTTGGACCGGAAGTTCGAGGTTTGGGAGAGGTTGCCAGGTGCGGAGTGGGCGTCTTCTAAGCCAGCCAACTTTGAGTGAGGATCAAGTGGTGGACTTCCGGGCAGGTGTGCTCTGTCTTGGCCTACAAGATAGACCATTCAAAAAAAGGTTTGAACGAAATATTATAATTTTCTCTTCATGTTTGGCCCTAGATAAAAGCAGATGGGTACTGGTGATAGTCAACTCATGTGACGCTCACGTGACTATACCCTTTCAGGTTAGCCCAGCTTAGTCACCCGAAGCTCGAACTCATCCAACTATCACTTGCCTACACGAATCGTCTCGCCTGTTATACACCGGTCACCGACCCTTTCTCCTTTTCTTTTTCGCCTATTGTTCAGCTGTACAGAGCTAGACTTCCTCTGAAGGCTCTGACATTGAGCCATCCCGTCACACAATGCCACGTAGAAAGATGAGGCTATTAGGCGCTTCGACTACCCCTTGCCAAGAAAGCCATCTTCGCCGAGAGCGCAAGCCGTGGCACCCGATTGGAGAGGCTTAGAATCGCAAGGCATGAGGCTGAGAGACAATGGGGCGCAGCAAAGACCTCGAGGAATTTCAGGTAAACCCTTCATCTTTTTCAAACTACCTCGTAGCTACCTAGAATCAACTTTCTTCATCATCTCCCTTCAAAATGGCAAACACCACATACCCCGGCAAGACAATTGTCCCGATTCTCAAAGATTTGCCCCTTCCACAACGCCTGTATGATGAGTGGAATGTCCCTGGTGCCAAGGATTTGGTCTTCTCACGATTCTCGCGTCGTCAAAGGATTAAGAAGGAGACCGAGAAGAAGACTGATCACACCGCCACGGAATTCCGCCTTCTACGACTCCTACCTGGTAAAGAGTCTGACATGATCGCTTGTGAGGATGTCGTAGCATCTTTCGTGGACGCGCAAAGGCCTAGCTACTATGCCTTATCATACGTATGGGGCAACCCAAAGGACCTGCTTCCGATCACATTCAATGGATCTACATTTATGATTACCCGAAACCTCTGGCACGCGCTCCGGCAGCTCCGAGCAGATAAAACTGTAGAGAAGTCCTACCTTTGGATCGACGCCATCTGCATCGACCAAACCGATAACCAAGAACGCAATCACCAGGTCTCCGCGATGGGCCAGCTCTATAGCTCTGCGGCTGAAGTCATCGTGTGGCTTGGCGAAGGCTCGGAGCACGGTTACTACATCATGGAATTTCTGTGCCGTTTCGAAGAGGCAGGACCCAAGAAGATGGCCAGATCAGATGTGAAGCGATTTATGGGGAGTACAAGCCCAAGCGGAAGCCAGGCCATCCAGACTTTACTTAATGTGCAATACTGGAAGCGGATATGGATTATCCAGGAGATTGTGTTGGCAAAAACAGCTCGCTTCCAGTATGGCTCCTTCTCTGTCTCGTTGGCAGTGTTCGAAGACTTCCTCGCAAACATCCGGACTCTCCAGCCATTCAATCGTATGATCGAGGATCGACAAAGCACCTTTTTCAGGCTGGTGGAGGACCGATACAGCTTAGTTGTACTTTTGAGACGACGACATCAAGAGGATGGTCTCACGCTTAGAGACGTTATTAGCAGCTGCGGCCCTGCAGAGGCTACAGACCCACGAGACAAGATCAATGGGGTGTTAGGTCTTGTTACCCGAGGTTTTGGCTCCTCACTCAAACCTGATTATGGGAAGTGTGCATGCAGCGTCTATATGGCAGCAATGCGGGCGATGTGTGCAGACTATAACCGTGAAAATTGGTTTCTCCACTGCTTGAAAACTTGGTCCACTTTGATCTGCGAGCTATTCTCTGATCTGGCCCCGGATCTGCTTTTCGATCCGCCCTCTCCCGCCCGCGAGAATGGCCGACCACGCCGCCAACTTCATCAACGCCCCATTGATCATGGCAAGCACGATGCTGAATTATGCGAACGGTTGGGAGTAGTGCATACATGTGATGGAATCTCTTGCGGGACTTTCCGAGCTTGTTTTATAACGCCCGAAATACTACAGGAACATGAAGAGTTGAAAAAGCATCCAACAGATGAACACATAGAACGAAAACTCGTCAATATCAACGAAGAGAAAGTGGAGATACTGGACCCCTCCGATGTCCACGAGACTGCTTCCCATTGGCATGGACTTCCGGACAAGACTACACCGACGAGAAAGAAGTGGGCCAAGATCATAACATGGATTCATCTGATCAGAACGTCGATATTGCGACTTGGGAAGGAGAGCGGCTCCCTTATCGGTCTGAGGGGCCCCAAACTTCAAAGATGGTCTGCGAGAGGGCGATGTTGCAGTGGCAGAGATTGCACCATTAGGAGTCCGACAGCGGAGTGATAACCGCCGCTGTCGTGGATTCGACTCCCACAGCCCTTCCCTTTTCTCTCCTGTGGCCTTTGTCTCCCACATTAAAAGCAGAAGACACTGCAGCTGCCCCCACCTGCGAACCAAGGGGTTCAAGGAGCGCTTGCCAGCGCTTTCAAAAATAGGCCATGGGCTTCCTATGTAACGGGAGCAACCGAGCCTTGGTGTATAGAGTTATCATGTATTATGGTCGGAGAATGTCTGTGAGGGCGTTATCAGGCTACATGAGCGAGGGAATATGTTTCTTCAGCAGTCCTGGCTAAGGGAAGGTTACAGATAGCGACAGGTCATACGTCTCTGCGCACCCGTTTACCACTGCTCGGGGTACCCCCATAAAGTCTCAGAAACCTAGGCAAGATGTCAAGTTTCAAGCAGTGCAAATTAGGTTGCCTTTTGACTAACTGGCCATTCACTAGCTGGGGTGCTCTTTACAGTGGTGTTAAGCGAGCAAGATTGGAGTCAAGCAGTGATAAATCCGTGTGCCCAGACTTATTGCCTAGTACTATCCCTAGAAAAGAACGGTGGCCATAGCCGCTCTAGAGGGAGGTTTTACCCAGCTTGGGCTGGTTTCCTCCTCCGTAGAGAACATGTATTTCATAGAGAATACCTGTATCTATGGCCTCTAAGTCACTCTAAGCTAGATTATCTTGATCGTGACATGAAACGCATGATAATAGGTCATCATTCTACTAGGCTAGGATATCTCTAAGGAAGAGGCAATTTGGTATAAGAAACTAAAATCCACCGAGCACTCTACATCTCGTCCCCATTAAAGAAAGAAAATTCAGTCCATATCTTTGAAATCATAAGAGCTTCTCAACAGCTTCTCCGTAGACATCGCTAGAACTCGCTGCATCCTCTTCCACTTTCACCGGGCGCGAATATCCTGCTTCTGCAAGTTGCTCTGGGCTCTTTCGCGCATCTGGGATGCTATTAATCACTCCAAGCAGCTCTTCAAGCGCGAATGAGAGTTTTTCGGTATGGTCGGCTCGTTGGCGAAGCCGGTCGCTGAAATCGTCAATGCTGTAGTGCTTGTCTTGACGGACACACAAATGGTCGGCACGGGCGAGGATCTCAAGCGTTTCAATATCGGCATAGAGAGCCGTGATATGAATGGGATTTCGACGTTGCAGACACGGGGAATTGGAGTAATCGCGCCATCTGTCAAGGATCAGGCAAAGGACGTTGTGGCTGTTGCGAGTGATGGCTGTCGTGAGCGGGGTGGCTCCGGATACTGAGACTGCGTTGATATTGGCTCCGTATTCGAGGAATAGCATGGCGAAGCTCGCGTTGTCGGTCCGTGTGGCGCGGATAAGAGACGTGATCCCATCTACTCCACTAGATTCAATATCAGCCCCAAAGTCGAGGAAGCTTTTGACGAGTGGAATGTCGTTTGATCGTCGTGCAGCAACGTCGAGTGGACTGCCTTTCTTGATCTTTGAGGGTACTGGGGCGTCGGGGTATGCGCCTGCTTCGAGTAACAAGCGTACACAGGCTGTGTGGCCTTGGGCGGCGGCATTAGACACCGGTCCAGACATCTGGCCGTCGATGATGTTTTGATCTGCGCCGTGGCTCAATAACGCCACTACGGCGTGTGTATCTCCCTTGGCCGCTGCCCATGCAAGCGGAGTTCGACCTATCCAATCTTGCGTATTGATATTCTCGGGATGCAGTGCGAGTTCTTCCCCCAAGCTTTCCATTGACAACCCAAGAATTATACGATGTATGTCGGTGAAACCTGTCCCGTCGATGAAATCGTCCTAATGGCCACCACTTGTGATGAGCCGCATGACCTCGACTCCGGTATCCGAAAGACCACCCTCGAGAAGGTAGTGACAGGCTTTGATGCGGGGACTATGGTCGTTCCGGGAGATGGGTTTGTAGTCGGGGTCGACCCCAGCATGAATAAGGAACTCGCATGTTGCGTACTGTTTCCCGTACAGTGCCCAGCGCAGTAGACTGGATCCTCTTGTAGAGCTGACGTCTTGCGGAGATGCTAGACCTTGCTGAAGAGGAATTTCAAGCCCTCGATATTTCCATTGAGGGCAAAGTTGACGCACTCAGCGCCATCAGGCACGCTTCAAAAGGTTTGCATAATGGTAGACAAATTTGATGTGGAATACTGAAGTTCGTATTGAAGATGTTTGTTGGTAATGAAAAAGTAGAGTGAGGGAAGGCAAAATTTCAGACCTTCTTATACCATCCATGCCGAGAGCTCCTGACTCCTACCGTCTTCATGAGTCCATTGGGGGTACATTCAGTCCTGGGTCACAAGTTATCACTGCTTCGCTTCAATCTTGCGCACTCGACAGCACTGTGAGGAGCAGCCCAGAGAGCCAGGAGCGAGTTAGTTAAGAGCCAGTCAAATTTACACTACTTGAAACTTAACGTCACGCCTAGATTTCTGAAAATCTATGGGTGTACCCCAAGCAGTGGTAAACGGGTGTGACAGACTTATGACCTGTCACTGTACAGTAGCACAGTGACCACGTCACAGAAGGCGAGGTTTGTGAGTTCGGCGACGCGATCCGCCACAGTAAGGTCAATGCGAGCGTCCCTTCGTCATGTTAGTATCAGAAGGTCACAGCTCGACACTTCAGCTTTAGGATCTTTAACAGTGAATTGGCGTGATTATGTTTTCGTAATGACTCTTGTCTCTACGTATGACTGCCACATGAGTCTCTCTCGGATGCAATATCTGAGCTTGTAGTCACCATCCCCATTAGCCTCTTCCCACCGAAAGCGATAATGGGAAAAATCAAGCTCACCCTCTACCCAACCAACGCAATAGTCTCAATCTCGACCGGCACCCCCTTCGGCAGCTGCTTGACCGCAACACAGCTCCTCGCCGGCTTATGTGCGAAGTACTTCTCATACACACTGTTCATCTCGGCGAAGTTGGCCATGTCATCAAGGAAGACCGTGACCTTGAAGACCTTTTCAATACTACTCCCCGCCTCCTCTAAAATCGCCAGCACATTCTTAATGCACGCCTCCGTCTTATTCGCAATGCTGCCCTCCACTAGATTTCCCTCCTTATCCGCAGGAATCTGGCCGGAGAGGAAGAGATGCGGGCCTGCGATCATTGCTTGGGACTATATTCCCCGCGTCAGCTCTAATCCGTATTTCCACGAAGCTCGACGCGTAGGTTGGAGGAAGAGGACACCTGGAACGTACGTAAGGTCCCACAGCTACAGCATTGCCCACCCAATTAGCCTTGATCTGGATGGTACTCTATAAAAAGTGCGTCATTGAGGATACATACGCGGACACGCATTCTTAGTGAAGATCTTCTTTAACTCGGCCATTGCTCTTGTTTGTACTGTAGCTGTTCCTGTTGGGAATCTGGGGACTCGTTGAGTCAATGGAGTTCGGAAGAGTAGAGCGGCTTGAGTAGCAATTGGTCTGATCAGGGTGCTTCGCATTAAGCTCTATGCTGGGTTGGATGAGAAAGTAAGAGTGGAGTGTTGGTTGGGTTGGTGATGTCGCGGCTTGCAGCGGCATCGGCGGTGGCTTGCGCCGGAGCGAGGAGAGTTTGTGATGCCTGCGGGGGCGGGTTTGGGGTACCCCTGGTATGTATTTGATTACCTAAAGTCACTCCTCTTTGCTTTGAAGGTGAGTAATCTTTCTGAAACCGGTTAGTTGCTTGATTAGACCTATATCTTGCAGTCTTATCGAGGTTCTGAAACTCTGTCTCCGGCCCAAGCTGCATAACAGTGGAGCGCGTATATTGGCACCCTGAACCACGGGCAGTTAGGGCTAGCGCCACCCCCACTACATCCTTGCCCGACTGCCCCTCCATGCAGAATTTTTTATGTCAGAGAGGGGCTTGTGTTTCGGAGCACATCGAATCAGGTCATACTGAAAAGCAAACCACGAACAGTGGTGTTTGGTATTCGAGAAAGCCGCCCGTCTATATGATATGATACTGTGTGTGTGATGGGATATGGTAAAGAAAAGCAGCGTGATAAATGCCGCACGCCATCGTCCAGCTGACGTGGGTGCCGGCTGATATTAGGCATCACCGTGATGAACGATGATGGTGGGAAGAATAATGTGCGGTGGTAGTAGAGAAGCCCCAAGTGACGCCGAGATGTCATGCAAATAGTTCAAAGATCAGATCAACGCCAATCCATGCTGGTAATCGTTCTCGGATGTGAGACATGTGAAAATAAGCATCCGTTCCTGCCTCCGCCGCGGTTTCTCCGATGTAAAGTGCAAGTCTAGAGGCTGAGGACTTTTACTGGCTCGAGAGGAGAGTGTAAACGGGAGCGTCGAGCTTGTCGCGGCCTTTGAGGAAGTCGAGTTCGAGGATGAAGACGTAGCCAACGAGGGTGCCTCCGAGCTGCTTGACCAAAGAGCCGGCTGCGGCAGCAGATCCACCTGTGATACATGTCAGCGCTGTCAAGTTTCGAGCATCACTAGCTTTGTATAGTGAGACAGGAAAGGTCAGAACATACCAGTTGCAATCAGGTCATCCACCACGAGCACCTTCTGGCCGGGTTTGATCGCATCGCTCTGCATCTGGAAGAAATCCTGGCCATACTCCTTCTCGTAGCCCGCCGTGATACACGGCCCAGGCAACTTGCCTTGTTTCCTGACAGCTGCAAACCCGGCACCTATCCTCATGGCCAGGCTGGGACCAAAGAGGAATCCCCTCGCATCTAATCCTACCACGACGTCTGGCTTCTCGTCTGGGCCGTATGTTTGGGAAACGTGGAGATCGAGAGCCCGGATCAGCGCTTCGTGGAGGGAGGCATCGGCGAAGATGGGCATGATATCCTCGAACAGGATGCCCTTGGACGGGAAGTCGGGGATCTGGCGGACAGCCGCGCGCAGCCTTATCTTAAGACTGGCGAGTTCGGAGGAGCCGGCGGCGGCGGAGGCGGGGAGTCTTCCTTGGGCATTGGAGGTGAGGGTCGGATCGGGGCTCGAGGCGGGCGGGTGGGAGGAGGTAGACGTCGCCGTGGCTGCGGGATCTGCGGGAGCTTGAGCGGTAGAGGCAGAGGACTGGGGGGCGAGGCTGTTGGGCGAGGACATAGTGAGGAAGAAGAGAGGAGAGGAGAGAGGAGTGCGGCTGGGCGGTGGTGGGATGAAAAAGTAGCACCTAGGGTGTCTTGGACTGTGCAGCGCGTGTGGGGAGGCACTGGTAGGTGCGTAGAGGCGGCGTAGGCTCGGGACAGGGCAGTTGTTTGCTTGCGATGCCTCACACGGCGCGGCGGTGACAGCTGGGCTGACTGTGGGATATTCCGCGCACGTCGACGATAGGCGGGCTCCCTGCCCACGGGCTGTCGGCGCCCTGCGCGACACGCCGCCTGCGTTTTGGCTCCAGCTTTCCTACAGGGACGTTGCTACCACCGGCCATGTGTGAGTCTTCCGTAGGAGCATCAAGCTTCGCGATGCCCGCTGTGCTAGCTCTATTCGCCGCCGCCTCAGCTGCAACGGACACCTGGGCGCCACCCATTGCCGTATCGCTAGGGCATTCCCGCCGGCTTCACCACCCTGCCTGCGTCTCCCGCTGCCGCCCCGATCGAATCGTCTCTTTGTTAGTCCGCAGCCATTCGGAACTTGTCGCGCCGCTCTGACACGCTCGATAAGCTGCCACCAAGTGCCAGATATCCAGCGAGCAGCACGTCGGGCACCCGCGCTTTGCGTCGCAGGGCTGGCATCCCCAGCTGTCTGTCGAGGTCGAGACGTCTCAGCATGTGCGCGGCGCCTAGCGGTCGCCATCCCACCACTGATTGATGCGAGGGAGGGATGTATATTGGTGTGCATCGAGGCCCTTTCACGGGCTGACTCCTCCACCACTCCATCGAGCGTCCCTAGGGCCTCAAGGCGCGACTGCCGAGAGATAGGTCCCGCCGCCCAGCACTGGCATACGAATGAGCAGGCAGCCGGCTTATTTTTATATTCCCCTTACTCAGGCCCTTGGTTGCTGTCCGGCTGTATGTCCTATCCAAGCAGGTAAAACAAACCCTTCAGGGTTCTTTCTTTCTTTCTCTCTCTCCGTGATGTAACTCCCAGGTTCTTCCTCTCCCCACCGAAATCTGATGCAACTCCGCGTTGCCATTACGATAGCAGCACAGCAGTATCGTTCCATCGAATCCGTTATTGCAGCACCTGCTCGCACCTTCTCTACAAAAAGCACGCCATCCTGCAGCAATTCTGCACGCCGTGGAAACGCGCTCTGTTAGCGATGACCGCACCAGCCCGCACGGTAAGCGGGTTACGCGTCTCTGACCTCTTCTCGAAGTCACGACTTTGCGGGCGCCCGTGAGTCGAAGTCCGTCCCGCACGCAAGCTGTTGGGTACTTGGGTGCCTTGCCATGGCCCCTCGCTATACCCGCTGATTCGCGCGGCTCAAGAGCGTTGGGGTAGACATGCCCACATCTGATACTACGCGGCATCTCCCCTTCGGGGCGAAAGGATGTGCGAATTGCGGGCACTAAATTCTAGGCCATGGCGATCCCTTCTCAGAGCAGCTGGCGAACAGATTCGAGCCTGCGATCGAACGCATCACTGCATATCAGTCGTTATCCGTCGTTATCCATGTGCATCCAATCACTTTGCAACACCCACATCAGCATCTGCCGTGTTCTAGATACTCCGTACCTGTTGCTGACTGACAGCATGAGTCGAACAGAGCTTCCACGCCTGGACACCTGAGTCGCAGAGTCGCTGAATCATACAATATACCTCGTGGAGATACTATCTAGGTACTAAATACCGCATAAGAACGTAAGCCACGGTACCCCAGCCGCATCGTCCGCATATGGGTTGCGGCTATGCAACGGAATCTAGATCCCCTGCTCCGTTCAAGCTTTTCCTATCCTACCTAAACGCCACTGGATGCCACTTGCTAGATACTCTACCCCCTCAACCTCAACTCCAAGCGGACATGTTGTTGACCACGCAGCCCGCATCAGCCCGCTTGGCCAGCTTGCCGACTTCATACACCGTCTCGCCCGCTCCTTTCAGCACGCTGATGGCCTCACTCGCCTTGCTCTGGTCCACCACGAGCACCATCCCCAAGCCCGTATTCCACGCTCTCGAAAACTCCACATCCTCAATCCTCCCCGCCGCCTTCAGCCACCTAAACACCTCCGGAACCGGCCAAGCCTTCGCGTCCAACTCCGCCGCCAGGTGGTCCGGCAGCATGCGTGGAACATTCTCCAGCAAGCCACCACCCGTGATGTGCGCCATGCCCTTGACCAAGCCCTTCTGCGTCGCCGCCAGCAGCGGCCTGACGTAGATCCTCGTGGGGGTGAGGAGGCTATCGCCCACGCGCTGTCCCCTGCTCCACGGCGCGTCGTCGTGGAACGACAGCCCAACGCGCTCGACGATCTTGCGGATGAGCGAGAAGCCGTTGGAGTGCAGGCCGTCGGACGCCAGTCCCAGCACCACGTCGCCCGCGGCCATGGCTGGCTTGTCGGGGAGGATGGTTTGGCCTTGCGCGATGGCGCCGAGGGCACACCCGCCAGCGTCGTACTCGCCTTCTTGGTAAAGCCCCGGCATCTCGGCCGTCTCGCCCCCGACGAGCGTGCAGTCGGCCTGCTTGCAGCCCTCAGCGACGCCGGTGACGAAGGCGACGGCGTCGTCGACGTCCAGCTTGCTACACGCGTAGTAGTCCATGAACATGTGCGGCCGGGCGCCCTGCACGACGAGGTCGTTGACGTTCATCGCTACGAGGTCGATGCCGACGGTGTCGTGCTTGCCCATCTCGAAGGCGATCTTCACTTTCGTCCCGATGCCGTCGATGGCGCCGACGAGGATCGGGGGCGCGGCGTAGCCGGCGGCTTGCAGGTCGAACATGCCGCCGAACCCGCCAATTTCTGCGTCGGCGCCGGGCCGCTTGGTGGATTTCACGGCGGCTTTGATGCGCTGGACGAGCTCGTTGCCGGCTTCGATGCTGACGCCGGCAGAGGCGTAGGTTAGGGATTCTTGGTTTGAGGGAGAGGATGAAGGGCGGGTGACTGTGGTGCCCTCTTCGGCGGGCTGGAGCAGTTTCCAGTCGCACGTGATGTTGTGTTTCTTGAACTCGGTTAGGAGGTCGTTGGCGATGTTGTCGAAGTTGTTGGTTGCGAGCGCGAGGATGGTGGGCCCAGCACCAGACAGACAGATTCCTAGTAAGCCGGGATGGGATTGTGGTGTCACTGAGTGTAGTATCTCGGTGAGTCCGGGGATGAGAGTTTTGCGGTATGGCTGGTGGATCTTGTCTTGCATCGCTAGGTATATCATGTCAGGGTCGGGCGGTGATTCTCCCAGTGCTGTAGTTAGTAGCGCCAGTCTTTGCAAGTTGAATATGAGATCTTTCCTCGAATACGTTGTTGGTAGCACATCTCTCGCTTTAGCTGTTGAAACCTCGAAATCAGGTATTATGCAGATACACTTGATCTCCGGCGCCCACTTGAACTTTTTGTAGTGTCCAATGTTCTTCGGCGGTTCCGGCGGCTGCAGGCCTGTGTCGACACCTCCAGCAGGCTCCGGTAGGACCTCACTCAGAGGGATTTCCAGCCTCGCAGTGTCTTCCGGGTCCAGCTCGTTCAGATATGTTCCCACGAAACCGCCGTACAGTGCCGCAGCCACATTGTCCGGATGTCGCTCTTCCATGAGGCAGTAGTCCAGCATTCGCGCTTTAGATAGACCCAGATTTCCCACCTCGTTTGCTAGGAAGACGCCAGCCACAATGGCCGCTCCAGATGACCCCAGTCCCCTCCCGAGGGGGATCGGATTGTTTATGTGCACATGTGTCTCGGCGGGGAACGCGCGGACGCCATGGCATCGGAGGACGTAGACGGCGGTCCGGGTGATGAGGTTGTCTTCCGCTTGCAGCGAGACGGTTCCAGCGCCAAGGCCTTCGTAGGTAATGCGGCAATTGAGGGAGTGGTCGGAGGAGGGCTTGGTGGTGACTGTGAGGGTGACTTCGAGGTAGACGTTGAGGGCGAGGCCAATGACGTCGAAACCGGGGCCAATGTTGGCCGACGAGCAGGGCACTCGGATGGTGGTCATTTTGGGAAATGTTGGTGGTCGTGGAGTTTGAGATACTCTGGCTCTGACTCTGCATCCATCGCGAATAAAAATATGGTGGTGGGGGGTCGCCGATGTCGTCGGACCGCGGTGCGGGATCCGGGGGCCAAAGCTGTCTAATTAGATAGAGAGATAGGTATCTTCTAGCGGCCTTCGTGAGCAACCTCGTCTCTATCGTTGAGGATGCGTGGGGGACCAGAGCATCATCCTCTCGCTGGTATCTCTCTGCATTGACTCTTGGCTACCTTGTCTCAAGCATCAATGGCCTCACGACTCAGCAAGTAACGACAAATACATGCCTGGTCTAGGCCTGGGTGGCAGCCTGATTCCCTTTTGCACATCTCTAGGTAACCCTCAAAAATGCACCGAGATCTCCACTACCGGTCCGAAACACGGGGAAGGAGAGTCACGATGCTCCTGTGGCGTATCGCTATGGCTGTGCTGCCTGCGTCCGTCTCTCGCCATTCCAGACCGCTTGTCCGCATCTGCGCTGCTGCGGTCACTCGATTGGAGCCATCAAGTATGCACGAAGCAGCAAGGTCGGTGATCGTTTTGATAAGTGCACCTTTCCGATACACCCGCGTGCCAATGAAGCCCATCCACCTGTCAAAAGTGCACCGCTTCGCCAATTTGCCTGCAACATCAGGGTTCAGCTCAGCCTCGCATGACTTCCCCGGCCCTTTTTCCCTGAACTTCTAGGCACCCGTCCCCAGGACTCCACATTTTGAGGCTTTGCGGTTCTGTTTCCGAGTCAGCCTGATCGAACTGACCGGACGGCTGTGGAATTTCACTTCGAGCTAGTCCAATAGGCAACAACAGCTGCATCGCTGGCTGAGTCCCACCTGCAATTCCACCCTTTAAAGAGGGCGGCCGCCCTTCCAAGGTTCCAATGTTCGTAACATTCACATCAGCCACACTCTACCCACAGTCTTAACCCCTTTAGTTTTACTCATTGAAAAATCCATCTCACGACAGCTTTATCTCAACACTATCAGTCTCTTCTGCTCGTTAAGGTGACATCGTGGCCCGCACTAAACAGACCTCGAGGTCGTACATCAGAGGAGGTCGCGCACGCGGACGAGCAGCACTCCGCAGAATGCCAGGACGAGACACCATTTCTATTTCCTCTGGCGAGTCATCCTCGTCGGAGGAAGAGACTTCACCAGTCACCAACGGCGTGAAAAGCACCATCATCACCAACGGTATCAAAGATGAGCTAGAAGAGGAGACTCTTGACCTCGCCAAGGTCGGAATGGAGTGCGGCTTGAAGCATCTGTACTCTGGAAAAGAGGACAAGAAAGGCCGTTATCAATGGCAGGACGAGATCCCCAAAGATGTCGGCAAGCCTGTCGAGAATGCCCAAACAGCCAAGTGGGCTCTTTTGGTGCGCAACGTCAAAGTCTACAACGATCCACGAAAGGTCCTTGCCATCCATTCAATCGTCGTCCAGAGCCCGCTTTTGAAGAAATTGCTTGCACGCGTCCTGAAAGACTACCCTGGAGTCACCCCCGGTCTAGCTCGTCTAGAATTCTCTGGGAAGTTTGAGCCAATCATCCATCGTTGGACGGAACTGAAAGATGCTATCGACAATCTCGGCGATGATACTGAGGATGACCAGAAGACCAAGGAGCACGCCGACCTCTTCTACAACTTGCTTAAGACCGAATTCAAGTCCTTGATCGACACATCTCAGGATATGAAGTTGAAAGGCGTCATGACTTATGAGCATCTTTGGACACTGTTTCAGCCGGGTTCAACCGTCTATGCCCGCCAGGACGGTCAAGAGACTGCCATGAAGTTACATGAGACCAAGTATGGAGCCGATCGGAATGGCAATCCCTGCTTCTGGTTGACCTGCAAATACGTTGATTGGGATGGTGCTAAGTTTGGTTCCAACAAGCTGAACCTTTCGATCCCGCTTTACTCTGGCACTCGGCACATCAACCAACTTCCCGTATATCCTCTGGAGAACCACCACGAAAAGGACGCTCTCCGTACTCGTTTAATCGAGCGAGGGGCCAAGGCCGAGACCCTCGCTGGATCCCACTACAAGTCATATCATGGAATTGGATGGAAGCGAGGGAATTTCGGCACGAAGGACAAGTACAACATCAAAAGCCGAATCGTTATCGACACCTACGGATGGAACCGTTTCAATCCAAGCTATGCCATTTTCGTCGCACCACTCAATCAGAAGGACCCCGTAGGCGGCGCTATCGGCGATGGTAACGACGACGGAGAGGGGGATGAGGATGTCTACGAAGACGATGCTGATGACAGTGGCATGCCGATGGATGGTCAATTCGCCGATGAAGATGACTCAACGAAACGCCAGCCTCTTACCACCGAACAAAAGCTTATTTGCACCCCTCTGATTCGAGGCTACTCGTTGAAAACTAAGATGTGGCTCAACTTCTTTATCAACTGCGTTCAAGAAATTGAGTGGCAGACGGGTGCCTTCGACAGCTTAGTCCTGCCATCCAACCAGAAGGAACTGATCCTAGGCTTCACTGAGTCGCAGCGCAAATTCAAGGAATCATTCGACGATGTCATCGAAGGCAAGGGCAAGGGTATCATTCTACTACTCTGCGGACCTCCTGGTGTTGGAAAGACGCTCACCGCGGAGTCTGTCGCCGAAGAGATGAAGGTTCCACTGTACATGATGAGCGCTGGTGATCTAGGCCTCGATCCCCGAAGCGTTGAGACCAAGCTGCAGAATATCCTGGAAATGTGCACTAAATGGAACGCCATCCTCCTACTCGACGAGGCCGACGTTTTTCTCGAACAACGGTCCCTTCATGAGTTGGAGCGAAACAAGCTTGTGTCAATTTTCCTGCGCATACTCGAGTATTACGAGGGTATCATGTTCTTGACTACCAACCGTGTGCAGACATTCGACCCGGCGTTTCAGTCTCGAATCCACATTTCCCTCGACTATCCAGAGCTCTCCATCGACTCTCGCAAGATGGTGTGGAAGAACTTCCTTGGAGGCTCGCAGCAAAAGAATACCGTCACAGACCGCCAACTTGATCAGCTGTCGCTTATGAACATGAACGGCAGGCAGATTAAGAATGTATTGAAAACCGCGCAGCTACTGGCTAGTCGGAAGGATGCCTCTTTGAGCTACGAGCATGTAATGACTGTGCTTGACGTTACGCAGCATCTTCACAATAGTACGCAGGAGAATGAGAGAACTCGGGCGAGCATTTTCTGCTAGATGTTCATAGGCGGTTTAAGCAGATTTATCGTGTTCTGTGTTGGTTGAGGGACTTCTCTTCTCTCCCGACAAATGATATTTGTGCATATAGACCCATCGTCTTCTTTGGTGTGCTCTCTTTAGTGCTTCCTGGCCATGAGTCTTCTATTGGGTGTCTCATAACGGAGCGGTGTCGGCTTCACGGCGCTCGGGTTTTCAGACAGTAGTATACGAATGAATGAATCAATATATGAACATATATAAAGGCCAAGATGCTTACAATAAGTCTGAAGTGCATAATTGATTCGCAGTACCCCAACTTGAACAGGTTAGCGTGCTGCCAAGCCTCAATTCCAAATTCAACCTCTTAGGTAGTTTCTCGTCAGCTTGCAACATTATTTGCATTTAAACTTGCTCACGACTGTTCCTTTGGACGATCAGGATCCACTGTAATGTCGGAATCCCGGTCATACGAGGCAGAGCACGTTCGTTATGACGACACCTTTTACGCTTTTTGATACCTTCACCCATACAAGTCCTCAATACCCTCACTCTTCACAGCGTGTTATGTTTCCGGACGCAACCGGCCTCCATTAATGTCAGACCAGGAAGCCTGTGCATTGACTTCTTCATAATCTCATTCGAAGGCACAGTTCCGTTCCTAGTCAACTCCATTTTTAACATCTCATCATTACTTCCCAGCAGATCATCATCTCCAAGAGCTGACTGCCATTAGTAGTCACGCTGGGCATGAAAAAGGTGGCACACTCATCAAGTACTCTGCCCGTGGTTACACCTGTCTGCCACTGCATGAAGTGCTTCAACAAGTTTCCACATAACCCAGGGTAAAGAGCTTTTATTTTCTTTAGATTCCCGAAAATACATTGAAGCACCCCAAGCAGTGGCAGAGAGGTGTACACATGAGACAGCTTGTTCTAGGTTATTATCAGCTCTGATAGGAAGTATCCATATTTTGGCCGAAGGTCCTTCCAAATGTTCGAGCTTTCGGCAGGCCGGCAGTCTGAAGCGCGTTGTTCCGCCTTTCCTCGGGGACACCCCTGTCTACCCTGAACTCCGCCATTATTCTGTCCATATCGTGTGAAGAGGCTGTACATTAGCTCGTAATCTTGTGCGCAGAGCATGTACACCGGTTTGCTTACCAGCAGAAACCTCTCCAAGCATCAGAGCGGTGCCTCTCCAGCTGACATGCTTTCCAAATACGCGATACGAGCACGTACCAACTACCAGGACAGTTCAATCTTGAGCACAGGTCGGCCGAGTCTTCCGAGGCATCTTTAGGAACTATATATCGAGGGTCTCTGTCTAAGTGTCAACCATCTTCATAAGACAATCCTCCGTTTATCACATAGACCTGAGTCTCTCAACTGCATACCATTTCGGAGCTTACATCCTCGGACAACGCAAAAAAGCCCTCCAATCTCTCTGATCAACCAGTTACGGAAAACAATGGCAGCCCTCCTCGTTGTTGCTGTTCTCGCTGCAATTTCGCACTCGGAGGCCGTCAAGGCCAACTCCGTTTCTTTCGCCTCTGAGTATCGGCATCCTCCCAACGGTATTTGCGTCGACTACACCATCAAGCAAGATGTCACTTCTACTAACTACATATGGGACTTGGAAAAGTTCACGAGCAACTTCGACACAATCGAATTTCTTACAGAACTCGCCAGGAAAGACAGCAAGACCGTCTATCATCCAGTGAGCAGCAACCCAAAGAATGAAACAAAAACCTATGAGGTTTCAGCTACGTTCTGTTCGCCAAAGAAGGCAAACTACGGAAAGGACAAGATTGTCTTACTCGCTACCCATGGTCTGGGTTACGATAGACGGTATATATCATCATTTTTTACTCTCGTGCGCTTCAAGCTGACTCTTCATCAGGTACTGGGCCTCTGCGTGGAAACCAAAGGACTACAGCTTCGTCGATTTTGCTCTCGACAAAGGATACTCCGTCTTCTTCTATGACAGACTCGGGGTTGGGAAATCGCAAATGTATGTTAAATTAAAGCTAATAGGTCCTTGTCACGAGGCCCAGTTACTCACAGAAATCAGCGTCTCAGGCTACGTAAATCAGGGCTCAATCCAACTCGCTTTACTGGAACGACTTGTTGAGCTGGTTCGCGCAGGCAAATACACAGGTTCTATAGGCAAACCCAAGAACATTGTCCTTGTAGGCCATTCTTTCGGATCCTTCTTGTCGAATGCGGTCATAAGTGATCAGCGCAATCTTGTCGATGGTAAGTCACTCGGAAGTATCCCGATCCTACAGTGACGGGTCATAAGTCTGTGCACACGCATTTACCACTGTTTGGGGCACCCCATGGAATTTCAAACAACCTAGGCCCGATGTCAAGTTTGAAGCAGTGCAACTTAGACTGCCTCTTAACCGGCTGCTTACTAGCTGGGCTGCTCCTCGCAGTGGTGTCGAGGGAGCAAGACTTGAGCTAAGTAGTGATAATTCCATGTGCCCAAACTTATGACCTAGTACTGTATCTCGATCCTATCTCATATCTACTGTGCTAACGACATCACCCAAAGGCGTTGTACTCACGGGTATTGCCTATGCGAATGCAACCGATCTAGCCACCGCTGATTCTGGATGGGGCTTGGAAGCCTTCGCCGCCCGCATTGCCAAGTTCCAGGACAAGAAATGGTCAAACCGCGACACTGGCTATCTCAATTTCGGCGACATCTACGGACACGTCAACGGTTTCTTCAAGGCACCCAACTACGATATTCCGACAGTTGAATACGCGCAGGCGATCGCGCAACCGTTTGCGGCGCTCGAATTTGTTTCGACAAAGTTGTTCAATCTAAATGCTTCGGCTTTCAAAGGGCCAGTGATGGTCACGGCTGGAGAGAATGACTTGCTTTTATGTGGTGGGGAGTGCAAGAGTACGTTTAGCAGCGGTGTTGCTGAGCAGACTTTCAAGAGCTCAAAGGATTTAAATCTCTATGTCCACCCTGGGGCTGGTCATGGCGTCAACTTCGGGTTCAACGCGACTGTGTTCTATGGAAAGATTACGGCATTCTTAGACAAGAACTTCTAGGTGTACGAGAGCTGGAAAGATTGCGACGCAGTCGTGGTAAGCAAAAATAGATGAAGATGTGTGAAGGCTTACGGGGTATGATGCGAGTATTCAGAAGAGAGAGGCGAGAGTCACGATGCTTTCGTGAATTAGTTGTTGGCAGATTCCTCTTCGATAGACTCACTCGTTTCTCTTTCGTATATATTTCACTTTATTCCATTTTTCAACACTATTACTACCTCTTATTTTAGGTACAGTATTGGAACCAGGACATTGGCACATCGAAACACTAACATCGCTCGCTCGCAGTACATAAAAGACAAGCAGAAACTCAAAACGCTAAATCCACAAGCAAAATCAAAAGAAATCAAGTACAAGAAAAGCAAAAAAAGCAATAGTGCCAATGGCCTAACTCGCCGTCCTGGAATCCACTGAGGATTCCCATCCCATACCGATGAAACCCCCATTACGGAGGCCATCCTCTAGGACAGGTCCTCAAAGTTAGAATTCTTCTACGAATGCAATTATCTGCCCAAGTCCAGACGTCTTCACAAATTTCGGATTTTGGGCCTTTTGTCCCTGGAGCCAATCCGCCTAGTGTCGACACATTCTCCGGCACCTTATCCTGGCCTTTCATCTCTCAACACCGTGTCAATATACACCAGCCTCTCGCATGGCTTTTTCGAACCCCATCTGTTCGTTCTTCTCCGCAACGTCCCGAGCTTTTCAGTGGGAACTCTTGTGTGGTTGTTTTCCGAAGCCTTCCACCCCCCAATTTCTTGTGTGCTTTGTTTCCTTCTTGAAAGCCTTTTGGACTTTTCGCCGGAGATTTTTTTGAGGTTTTTTTCCGAAGGTCTTGCGAACCCATAACTGGTGTAGCTTTTCCTTTTTATTTTCAGCTCATAGCTCATCCTCCAGATCTCTCGAGCCAGACGTATCCTCAAACGTCTCAGTATCCGTGTCGGAATCTTCAGAATCGGTGTCATCTGACATTTCGACGTCTTCATCGTCGGACTTTCCTTCGTCCGCAGCCTCTTTCATCTCCTCGTCATCTGACCCGCTTTCACTAGAGCCTTCCTCATCGCTCTCTTCTTCACCAGAGTCCTCTTCGCCGGACTCATTCTCACTCGACTCATCACCCGACTGGTCCTCGTCAGAATCATCCGACGACGACTCATCACAGTATCCCCAGTCGTAGTTCTTGATCTCCTCAACCTTATCCCGGTGCTCCGCTGCGGCCTCGGGAGTTCCAGGGGGCGTAAGGTCCTGCGGATCAGCAAGCTTCTTCTGCTCTGCTCTTTTCATAAGGAGATTGTTGCGTTGCTTGAAGAACTGAGTAGACCCGCGTTCGTCACCGGACAAGTTATGACTACGCGCGAGAGGATAGGGTCTTCCTGGACGAGGAGTGCCAGCGCGTGGGAAGTGTAGCGATTTGGAGTAGGTGGAATGACGCGGGAGGCCGGTCAAAAGATGCCGCGGTGGTTGTTGTCGAGGGCGGTATTGACGGACGTCCCACATGGCGATACGAAACCTACGCTCAACCTCTGCACGGTGTTCGTCCCCTTCAGCCGCGGGCTCGAACGCTGGGGGAGCTTGGGTACCCGCGGGCATAGAACGTGGAGAGAGAAGGCGACGCTTCTTGTTCTGGGCCTCAACTACGTGGTCTTGGCTCCGCTTCTGGACGTGTGCAATGACCGCCTGACCGTCATCGTTGTCCATGTCCTCTCCATCGCTATCTTCGCTGGAAGAGGTAGAGGCAGAAGAAGACACATCAGCATCTTCAGCTCCATCATCAACTTCGTCCCTTTCGGACTCACTCTCGCTGTCAGAGTCAGCGTCCTCGTCCGTGTCGTCATGCTTCTGCGGCGTATGATACTCTTGAGCTTCCGCATCGTGAGAATTAGGCATTTTAGTAGTTCTAGGGAAGGACTCCAGCAGAAGCTGGGCTTTCATCCTTTCTTGCTCTGTCTGCACACGACGGGTTGGCGTTTGGGGATGAGTACGAAGATACTCCTTGTATCTAGCCGCCATTGGAACTGGAGGCGGCGATGGTGAAGACTCTGGTGAGTCTGAGCTGGATTGGTCGTCGGGGGCAAATCTAACGAATCCATCCTCGATCACCAACTTTACTGGAGAGTCATCGTACGAATCCGACTCGCCGTTGGGAAGATCGCGAAGGGAATAGCGCGGCTTCGCATCGTGGGATTTAGCTGGTGGGGAGTCGTCCTCGTCGCTCTCCTCAGCCTCCGCCTCTTCCTCGGTGGCGTTCGTGAGGCTCGTCTCAGTCTTACTCTCTTCAGTCTGCGGTGTTGGTGTGGCCGCACTTGTCGTTTGTTCACCCTGGGAGGAGGATCCGCCCATCTCAACGTTCGAATCGTTGATGGCAGTCCTGTAGTTCTCTTCAGTGCTTTCCATGATTTCATTGTCGACGACTGAGTTTCCCTCGGGGACGTCGATCGAGCCCTTAATACCGCCAGATATGTATTGGAAGCTGTATTCAATTGAAGCATCTTCGGCATCGTCACCGAAGAAGTCTTCTCCGTCCGAGTCGCCATCCCGACTGCGACTCTCGTCGCTCTCCTCAGCGTCCGCCTCTTCTTCGGTGGCGTCCTCAAGGTCCGTCTTCTCTTCTTCAGTCTGCGGTGTTGGTGCGGCCGCACTTGTCGTTTCTCTGCCTTGGGAAGAAGTATCGCCCATCTCGACGTTCGAATCGTCGACTGTGGCCTTGACGCTTCCATCCATATTTCCCGTAAAACTGTCGGCGATTGAGCCCCCCTCGGGCACGTCGATCGAGTCCTCAACGCCGCCAGACAGATACTGGAAACTGTACTCGATTGAAGCATCTTCGGCACCGTCACCGAAGAGGTCGTCTCCGTCTGAGTTCGTATCCCGGCTGCGACTCTCGTCGCTCTCCTCCGCTTTATCTTTCTCCTCCACATCGTCTTCATCCTCCCCATCGTCTTCCTCATCCGCATCGTCTTCTCCTTCCGCTTCGTCTTTCTCCTCCGCATCGTCTTCTTCCTCCACACCGTCTTCCTCCTCCGCGTCTTCTTCCTCCTCCGCATCGTCTTCTTCGGCCTCCCCATCCGACACATTATCAGACGCCCTAGGCACTTCAGCGTCCGCCGTGCATTTGTCCAAAGTCTGGTGCTGCACACCCTGCTCATCAGCTGGCTGGTCATACCTCATGGTTCCGGGTCGAGGCAGAGGAAACATCGTCTCATACGGCGGAATGACGAAGGGCGCCGGCCAAGTATCCGACGGCATCGTCCGGTCTGGATGGTAATCCAGAGGACCAGGTTGATAAGTGCCATTGGTTTCGTACATTAAGCGCCAGTATCGTGCCTCTGCTCTGGCACCGTCTTCACGACCTTGAAGGATCATCTTCCTGTTGGCGAGCGTGCGACGAACGTTCGCCACGACGGCGGGTTGTTGGCTGTAGGCAGAAATATTCCGGAATGAGCGTAACAATAGGGTGAAGAACTCTTCTTGATTTCGCTGGGGAGGACGGGGCTGGGCCCGCGACTTCTTAGGAGGAGGAGACTTCGTCCTCCGCTTCTTGGTGCGCGGCTTGACTGCATCCTTGCCCTTGGATGTCTCGTGGTCCCTGGATCTCTTGCGGGAAGATCCGGCGACGCCTTGGGCACTACCACCTCCTGGAGTGTTTGCCGGCGCGGCAGGAGAAGCAGGTTTGGTGGTGTCAGGCTTGCTAGTGTCGTTCTTCCGAGCTCCCTCGCGAGAAGACACAGCGGTATCTCGGGCTGAATCGCCTCCGGTGGTAGTCGTCGCACCGGTAGGAGTAGCGAAGCTTCCATGTGGCTCGCCTTGAGTTTGACCTTGTAGCAGGCCTAAGGTCTCTCCTTGCGGAATGCCTAGGAGCTCTCCATGGATCTGGCCGTGTGAGCTTCCCGGCTGGTGAGAGATAAACGGTCGATAATCTAAGACACCAGAGACACTTGACGAACGTCGCCTAACTCCGCCTTGAGTAGATCCAAGCTGTGTTGGGGGTAGAGCAGCCTGTGCAGCAACAGATGACGCAGTTGCTTCAGGCTGCTTGGACTTTTTTGCCTTCTTCGGTGGCGGAGATGAAGGAGTGGTCACAGGTGGATGGCCCATAGAGTCTGGGTCCTCCAACCTCCTCCTCCGGATGTGCTCCTCCACCTGCCAAGGCAAAAGAACAGGCTCCACGATCCCAGGCGTGAGGTCCAACGTTTCAGGAACCTTTGGCCACTGCTGCCGCGGCAGATAGGGTGGAAGCCGAGGGCGTGGGCGAGGCGCTGGAGGCACTGGATCAATGTAGACGTCCCGCTCCTCGTTACGATTCCGGTAGTCGTGTCGAAGGTTATCACGGTTAAAATCATCCATGAGCTCTTCATCGTTCTGTGGTGGGTCCTGAGGTCTTTGGAGCGGCTCTGCGGGACCCTTAATAAGAGACCTCCTGTCGGGGCGGATGCGGCTGGTTTGCACCGTATCAGCGAACCTGGCCTTCTTACGCGGTCGGACCGGAGAATCGGAAGAAGCTGGAAAGTCCTTGGTGAGATTGTGGGTGCTGGCCTTGCGGCTGCGCTTGTTGGTAGCCTTGGGCTTGGACAACGCCTCTTCGTCGTCTGCAGTGGCCGTCTCCGCTTGAGTTTCTCTCATAGCTTCAGTCAGAAACTTTTGCCATGTTGACAGCCTTGGGGTGCTCGGAGTGTCTTCTGACTGTGATTGAAGTGTGGTTTCAACGGGCTCTTGGACAGAAATGTCTGTGGCGTCTTGCGAATGCGTAGGACCTTGCAATTCGGTCTCTTGACTATCCTGATTTACGCTCTCTTCAACGAGGGTCGAGGGCGGAGCCTGGATTCCGGGCGATTCGAGGGCTGGTGTTTCCGGGCGGGCGATATCTGAATCGACCACCATACGGTCAATCTCTCTGATCGAAGCGTTTCTAGTGGACTCCTGGTTGGAGGTGTCAGGGGTACCTTCCGGGAGTGACTGCACTGGAAATTCGGCCTGTTCTCCGTCCTGATTATGGGTGTCATGCTTTGAGGTCGGTGGAGCAGCCGGATTTCGAGACGGTTCCCGATGCGATACTTCAGGGCGGGCAATATCAGCATCAAGGGCCGCGGCATTTGTTCTTCCATTAGAAGGGTCTGCAGCTCCCTCTGACTGTGACTTGGTCAGAACTTCTGCTCCTTTACCATCGCGATTTGTAACGTCTTCCATGGAGGTGGATGGTTGAAATGGATTTTGAGGAGCTTCTTGAGACTGGTCACCAGTAGCGACGATATCAGACTCCGCAACCCTCTGCTCTGTACTGTCGTATGCGTCTAGACGCTGCCTCTTGGCCGCGTGGCCATCCTCCGGTGAAGAGCTCCTACTGCCACGAATCGGAGGAGGAGATCGCGGTGGAACGCTGTATGATCGTCTTAGGGACGCCGGCTTGAGGATAGGGTGCCCAATCCCCACAGTCGACATAGCGTCCGACTTCCTTTTGCGGACATTGTTGACCTCAGGCCCGGAAAGCTCTTCGATGTTATTGGCAAGTGCTGGTTGGGTATTGTCCTGAGCGTTGCGACTTGAGGGTGAGGCCTCTGACTGTTCCTCAACATGGTCATCAAGAGTTGTTTCTGGGAGTTCCTTCTCGCGTTGATCAACATTGTTATCCACGGGAGTGTCCGAGGCTCCTTCCACTGCATCTTCTTCGGGTCGTTGGGAAGTTTCTTCATCCTCGAGGCGCTCATCGAAATCGCCAGCAATGGGTGCATTCGTAACTTGTACCTCGCCATCAGCGCCAGATTTTGCGGAAGTTTGCTGGGTGTCTGCCTCTTCCTCCTCAAAATCATCTACGGAGTCATGAGCTACTTCTTCATCATCAGCAAGCTCATCCTCCTTGACCTGCCTACCCCTAATGTAAGACTGAATCTTACTACGGGAAGGGCGGCCTGCTCGAGGCGGGTTTCGTTTCACTGGCTGGGCCGGCGCGGCCTTACGCGCGCGCGACCTCTTGGCTGCAGGAGGAGGAGCAGGCGTAGTAGCTTGAGGTTGAGAAGAGCTACCAGCTGCTGCATCGGAGACCGCTGCGTCGACATTGGCTTCTGAAGCATCCTGCTGAGTATGGTCTTGAGCAGTATCGTGCGCCGTCTCGCCCTCGGCGTCGGTATCGAGCTCCACATGAGCCACGCTGGTCGACTTCTTAGCCCGAGTTGCCTTCTTCTTCTTCCCAAAAGCCAGCTTGGCAGCAAGCGCGGCCTCTTCAGCTTCTCGCTTTGCGTTGCGCGCGGCGAGTCTCTCCTGTCGAGGTTCTGCCGGCGTTTTCACTGCCCGTGTCGGCTCTTGGCCAATAGGTTTCCTCACATTCTTGGCAGGCTGCCTCGTAGGTGCTTTTGTCGTTGTCGCTTTCTTTGTCGGTTGTTTCCTACGCGGTGGCGCGCTGGCCGGTGGTTGAGCTTGATGAGGAGGCTGGACTTGGGCTTGCTGAGGAGGCTGGGCCTGCTGCGCCTGTTTGGCCGCGATACGTGCCGATACGCGCGTGGGTTGTAAATCTGTCTGCTTCCGTGCAGCATACACCACGACTGTCCTCGAGGTATTGGCCAGATGTTCCGTAACTCGCCTCTCAGCAGCATTCTTCCGAACAGTGGACCAAAACCGTTCGGCGGGCTTCGTGGAGGTGATATTAGAGAGCGAAGGTGAATCTATATTCAAGCTGGAAGGAGCCTATTGATAGATGTGTTAGCAATAGAGTAAGTCAATGTACGAGGTGGTTGTAACCTACGTTCAAAGTGCTTTCACCAATTTCGAAGTGTCCAAGGTCAGGTATGGATGGCGTTCCGTTCTCGAAAGGAGTACCATATGATGCGTGCGTCATGCCAAGAGTCGGAGTGGATTCATGAGGCGTAGGGAGTCGAAGAGGTTGAAGAGTGATGTTAGAGGGGGGCAGCGGTGGAAGATTGCGTGGCGGACTGCCAGGCAAATCGCCGCCGCCGCCTGGAGGTGGGCCCGATCCTCTCTCCTCCATGGCGAGAAGAGTGAAAGAATGTTTTGCTGATGCAAGGCCTACAGATGCAAGAAAGGTAGGTTCAGCGGGGTCGTGACGAGCGAAGTCACGGTGGGTCTTGGGTGTATGGAGGGAAGAAGCTGGAGGTTCGAGATTGACTGACGAGCCAAATAAGTATCGACAACACGCCCTAATGGAAAAACAATAGGCCGACCAAAGCCAGCTAAAGAGTCAATGGAAGCGTCGTGGTGCGTCATGGGGACGTCAGGGGTGTGGGAATTTGGGAGGTTGCATTCACCATCTGGAGCATTACTCTCGTGAGAATGAGACAGCACTGTACGCTGGCGACGACATCGACCGAAAGTAGTAGTATAGGGGACTGATTTGAGGTAGAAAGAGTCTGTATAGGGTATAGAGTTATTCTCTTACCAAGGGGCGTTCACTGTACACTCAGGGAGTTCGAGGTAAGTTAACAAAAGCGACACCTCTTTAGCAGGAACGTGAACAATCACTCCAACAAGCCTCAGCAAACCTTGTAGGATCATAATAGAACGAACTATAACGGTGACCTACTAGAATCAGGTCGTTTCATTCACTGAATGGGCACTTACATTAATAGCCTAGGTAGCAGCTCTCGCTTTGATAGAGCGAGAGCTGAACGTAAGTCTTTTCGTGTATGAGAGACTAAGCAACCATTTACCTATTTCACCACTCCTATCGACAATAATCCCATACTTGTTTGACTTATTAGGCCTGAAAACAAGCGCTTTCAACGCTACTAGAGCCGCAATCGCTACCCGTGGGACTTTTCGGAAGCAAACTGCCAGCTATCAATCCATTGAAGTCTAGATCTGAAGGGGAGCGCATCCGCACAGAGAACAAAATGTACTTTCGAAGGTGGCCAGAGGTTCCTGGAGTATTTTTCGGGGTGTATATGACTCAAAGTTTGGGCGAGTGGTGACTTTGCTTCTTTAACTTTAAGCTCTGAAAGGAGAGTGACCAGAGGTAGGGAAAGAGCAGGAAGGGAAATCAAAAGCGCTTACACAAGTCTACCAAGGATTCTGTCGCAATATACGAGATGAATAGGAAATGTGGGGGTAATATTTCAAGTTTGATCATGTGCTCGAAGCAGGAAGTAAAGAATGGGTATATTGCTTATCTATGTACGCTTTGAACATGTATGCTGTTAAAAGACCGTATCGTATGCCAGTCATGTGGTCATTAAAACACTAGATAATGTGGTATCGGAAAAGGTGATATACTGTCGAAGAAGGCGACGTAATGGTATCGAGGAAAACGAGGAGTGATCAAGGTCGGTCCGCAAACACCTCCATTGGCTTGACTCTGATTCCGGCAGACCACCAATCCCGCAGCCTACTTGGATTAAATATCCCCAATCTGCTCTTTGGTATATATTCCGATGGTTTCGCACTTAGGTTCGATCGCCGCGCATCCCTTCGCATGTCTTTTCTAAAGGCCTTGACCTGGAAAAACGCAGCGCCGAGTAGCACGCTTTGCAAGGTTAACGGAAGTTTGAGTCGATGGAGGTTGTACACGTACAATTGTGTAAAGCATGCGACAGAGGCGACGTAGGAGCATATCATTCCCGGTTCGTCGAGCCCAACGCAGTGCTGGAAAGCCGGGCAAGAAGCGTTCTTTTGCACGAGACGGACCTCGCCAACCACCATGAAGGTGCATGCAATTGACCATGACAGAGAGAGGGCAAGGTAGTAGTAATCGCTCGTTGCGAATGGTAGGTAGAGGACGGACACTACCGTGCAAAGTGCCTATATCAAGGTTAGCATTTGATACGAACTCAACATTGTCCAGTTTATGTACTGATACTTACACAAGCAATAGCAATGGCCCAGCCAGCCCGCGCGAGGTCCAGATATGGCTTGGCAGAGGAAATAACCGTGTGAGGGCCATGTTGCGCTGATCTATACCATGCGAGACAAAAGATAGCAAGGACTAGGGCCACGAAACTCCAAAACAATTGCGCCTTGCGCGACGTGTTGCGTTTGTCACCAAGTACCATGCTGTCTGACAGGAAGAGCGCGCGAAAATCAGAAGATCGACGAGGTAGCGCAAAGCATGCGAGAAAAGGATCGGATAGTTGAGGGAGCAATGGGATTTTAAATAAGATCACACCGATTCGTGACCTCGCTTGCTGCTCCGTCGTCCTTTCCTTTTAGTGCTACATCCCACGATGCTATTGGCAAGTAGTCCAAGCCCGGACATCGTCTAGGCCGTTGGCGTCCGCGTTTAGGTCGCGGCGCTTGCCAAGCGAGGTTGGACATCTGCCAAGCGAGGTTGGGCATCTGCCAAGACTTTCGTGAAAAGCTTCAAGTCTGTACAGACGTGATCCTACCGAACAAATCATATGATCTTCTTCCAACGTTCTAGACTTTTGACTTGGTATGAAAAAATGTAGAATTTCTCCGCATAAATGTCTTCCCCACAGCGTCGTTCTTCAGTCTCTGAAACAGAGTGGGATATCGTACCCCTGTGGCGTTCTATCGAATTGCCTCATTCGGATGTGGCTTTCCGTTCAAACAGGTTCTGGAAATCCTGAACCGGCTACGGTGTAGACCCTAGACTGGACTCTGACGACATAAACTAGCTGTAGAACCTCCAGATACACATGTAACGATGCGACTCAGACAGCTGCATCGCTAATACCGCTTCTGCTAGAACGCTTGCGCGGCAGGGGAGCCATGATTGAGCTAGGAAGCCTTTGTTCGAAGCAGAGTGAATGATCCTCCTTAAAGCTACGATAACGTAGAGAATGCTATGTATGAAGTATAATCCCGAAAAGAATACAGCTTCTGTGGCCATAACCAGTGCTAAGCCACGGACGATTTCAAATATCAATCACCTCAACATTTATCATGCCTCAATGAAGCAGCACGTATGTTTTAACGAATTGACAAAGAAAAGAGCTCAACTAAGCGAAAGCAAACGTCAGACACTAGACACTCACGCGTGCTTCAGATTGGTTACCTCTACAAACCTACTACGCGCCCAGTCCTACTGCGCGCCATGCCATCTCAATCACCGTTCCCCTGCTTCTCCCTCGGCTTTCTCAAGTCCTCCGCAACTTTTTTCGCCCACTTTTGAACATCTTTCCAGTTCCCGGCGTCCCCAAAATGGTCTCCGCAGCGCGTGAAGAAGGCCCGGGTGTACCGTCCCGCATGCTCTTTTTCAACATTTTCATTGAACAGCTTATGGCCCCTCAAAACGGGGTGCTTAACTTTCAGTTCCTTCTCGATAGCCTGCGCGATTTTCTTCTCTTCTGATTTCTGCCATTGACCTTGAATGAATTTGGGCATTGCCGCTGGGGCGCCCACGCTGAATGCATAGATAGGCACCTCAGCAAGCGCTGTGGAGTTGTCGTGGAGGAACGCGATAGCATTGGGTAGCCATTGCGTGTCGTGGATGGTGCTACCAATCACGATGGCGGTATAGGTTGGGATAACTGAAGGGTTGACGTCGGTGAGAGGAAGGACCTTCGTCGGTGGAAAATCTTCAGCGAGATAAGAGGAGATGCTTTCGGCGGTCTCCCGTGTCGACCCGTCGTCGCCAGCGTACGCTACGAGGATTGGCATTGTAACTCGTGGGCTTCGTGTTACGTGTGAAGTGTCTTTGTATGTCAGGTGACTTGTTTTGGATGAGCTTAGTGCTTTAAAAATTGCTAAAGAGATAAGTAAAGGAGGTAATGTGTTTTACCATCCGTGATGGTTCCATACAGGTAATATATGGAATCATATTAACGAGCAGGTGATCCTGAGTGGTGCGATCAAGTTTTAGAGACGCAAGTCGAAACGTTGTTTTGTATGACTGTATCGATCATACGATCTCTCGTGAAGAACTTAGCATCCCGGTAGAGAGCCATGAACAACGACAAAAGGTTCGACTAGAATGGATTTGCTCTGCCATTTATTCAAGAACAACGGACCTTGAAGTTCCAGTCTAGCCTCTCTGCTAACATCTCCCAGGCGCTTTCCCCGCCAGCCCTGCTGACGCCCTTCAATCCCGCCACGACAAAGGGCACAAGACGATCGAATTGTTCCTGGATCTTGTAAAGGCTTTCACTGGTCGCCGCGTCGTGAGAAGTGGAGCTCTCTGCATCTCCATCGTACTCATCCTCGGACCCGTCATCTGAAGAGTTTTGGCGAGTAGGGATAATACTTCGGCGGCGATCACGCAACTTCCGCCTTCTCGCATCTCTCTTTTGTTGTGACGTTTGGACTTTAGCTAGAGAAGCGCTCGCATTTGGTCTTCGCGAATGGGCGTCGGCAAAGTCGACAACCAAATCTAGCAAGGACATGATAGCTTGGTATATAGGAGAGAAGTTCTTTGACAACAAGCACAGGTCTTGGAGTCGAGTGATGTAGCTTGTGTGAATTCCAGCCATGGCGTCAATGTCATCAGCAGCGGAGAGAGCTTCTTCCATTTGCGAAGTAGAAGACGCAAAGACAGTCTCGGTCAAATAAGTCCGAAGAACGTCAGTAGACCAGATCAGGCGATGTCGCATCTTGAGGCCTAATCGTGAAAGACTGTCGTCGCCGAGTCCCTGTATATCGTTCCATGACACCTTCTGGAGAAGATATTTGGCGCGGTAGACTTTCAAAAGAAAGCCAAAAGCACGTTGATATATCTGCAGTGAAGATTTCTGAATGATGTTCGCTATTGACCACGGGATCTGACAAGTCAGTTGATCTGATTTTCATGCGTTGGAGACAGTACATACATTATAGTCAACAACAACTGCCGACAAGCCCTTTACAGATCGGCCGCGATGCTTCGTGGTGCTCCTGCGAATAACGAGTCTCTCTGCTTGACCAGGAGCTAGCACAGCGCCGTATATTCCATGTACCAGCTCGGTTAGAAGATATCGATCGTTCCAATTCGAATCAAGTTCATCCATCCTCTCGAATACCAGGTCGGCAAAATCCTGGAGCAGAGATCCATCTGCTCCCAGGTAAACAATCCGGAATGTGTCGAGAACTTCCCAGAGGCCACATTCAGACGACAGCTTCTGTCTGAGGACGGTGGATGCCAAGCTAAATTTGCTGCCAATCCAAGCTTCGAATGCTGAACCGAATAATTCAGAGAAGGGAGCGAAGGGAAGTGATTCGGCTTCCCCGCAGATCGTTTCGAAGTCAAGACGAGGTTCGTCTTGTGCGATGTTGGTATATTTGTGATGATTTGCAAGCTCCTTCAAGAATACAATACTCTTTCCCGTGTTGAATATTCTCAACGCCGCAGGGTGGAGGAAATTCGGAGCATGCAGTTCGCCGTTTAGGTGACGCCTGATGGCATACCTATCGTGCCAGAGCGAAGCAGCCTCGCTGCTTTTGTCGTTCATGAATACGAAGAATGTCTCATTGTCCGGTCCTAGCTCTCCATGTTCCATCCAGATTCTTATGGGTTTGAGATACGGTTGAAGGCAGTCCAGAAATATCCTGGCAAAGAACTGGAAGAGCCCAACATCACTCATCATCTGAGCAAGACTTGTGCGCTCGAAAAGCGCTTCGAGATATAAGAATGGATTCTCTGACAAAGTTGGCATAACGGCGACAACCAATGTTGCCAACTGTAAGATCGGCCCAGCAAATCCACGGACTTCGTTGTGGAGTTCTAGCAAGCTGACGGAAACAGGTACTTCGGGGTTCAAATAGCGAGATTGCAACCCCGCTAGGCTACTATCAAATTGCGCGAGTCTCTTCATTACGGCCGCTTCAAAGGTTTGAAAGAGAGGAATTGGAGGATTGTTGCCCGTCCATTTGCGCAGACGGTAAATCTGGGTGCCGATGCCTCCAAGATCAGATAGAAGATCGTCTAGTGTGAGCGAGACTACGTGGCCTAAAGTGAACACCGTGTTGATCTTAAACTCCCGCAAGTTCGTGTCAATGGTGTAAAGAGTGGTTGGGAGACCTGCAAGCATGAACAAGACTTCACGGATCATTTGTAGCTCAGTGATCTCAGAGGCGCTCTTTTTGGCTGCATGGTTTCCTTCAGCGAGGGCTCCACCAGCCTGATGCTCTGCAGGGTGTCTCCAGAATTGCTCTTTCCGAATGTCAAGTAATGCATCTTTTTGAATAGGAATCACATAGGACTCAGGATCGAGATGGGAGTCTTCTTCGGTGAAGCTGGAGGACGGTGTGGGCTCCGATGCTCTGGCTTTCTCTCGCTTCCGATAATCTTTCTCGTCTTCCGAAGACTCGGCCGCGTAGTCAATGCTTTCCCATATACCCTCCTCGTCTAGAGGGTCATCCGCAATTATTTCCGCCCAGGTGAGCGGCGAAGGAGATTGCGGAGGTTTAAGTAATTCCAAATCGTCTACATTGGACTTCTCCACCGGCCGATCGGAGAGTTGCAAGAGAAGCGAGAGTGTTTCTGGAGTCCACTTGGTCGAGACCTTGTCCAGCTCTTTCAAGCGTTCTAGTAACGCGTTGGCGAGATCATCTCGATTGAGAACGCGGAATTTCTCGTCGAATCCGTCTAGCTTTGCGCGGACATCAAACTGATTCGTCCGACCATATTGGTACCCTCGGAGGCCCCTTGCAGCGAGGTCTTTCGCGTGTTTGAACGCCTGGGCATTTGTAGAAGGCGAGAAGTTCGTGATAGAGGCGACTAGCTCATCTGTGAGAGCACCAATTTGAGCGGGTTGTGGCATTATGTCTTTGTTTCATGACGTCGACGCGTGGTGTTGAGGAACGCGAGCGACTCTCATAGCCTGTAGCAAATGAAATTCACCGGAGCGGAAAAACTATTCTATAATCCAGCGCCAAAGCTTCGATTCCACGACGACCTTGAGAAACCTCGGACCCTCCAAAACCCAACACACACCTTGCCTCGCTACACCACAACCTAGGCGCATACACAATCTGCTCATCTAGGTGATACCAGACAACATGGCGGAAGGAATCGATAGGAAGGCGGAGGGTAGGTTGACTGTCGCGCGCATTAGAGTGAACACTAGCTGACAAGCGCAAAGAGAAGATGGAGTTCTCAACGTCCAAGGAGGTCACAGTGTAAGTTGAATATACGACTGCAGAATGTACAGAGTAGCTGACAAGATGGTAGTGCACCAACTTGTAAGAGAGGCCCTTCGATCGCTCCAATACCGTGCTAACTAGACGGCCATCCAGTCGAGGCTATGCATCTGAAGGGTACTGTACTATTTACTCTCTACGGTTGGTCCTAGCTAATGCGTCCCAGAAAACCTACTCCGAGGAATCTACGCATACGGATACGAGTCTCCTTCAGCGGTCCAGTCTCGCGCCATTGTCCAGATCTGCAAAGGCCGAGACACCATTGCGCAAGCGCAGTCTGGTACGGGAAAGACAGCTACATTCTCCATCAGCATCCTCCAGGTCATCGACACAGCTGTCAGAGAGACGCAAGGTAATATGCTCATGTTCCTCGGCACCTCGCTTATGCTGACTACATAATAGCTCTGGTGCTGTCCCCGACTCGCGAACTCGCAACCCAGATTCAATCCGTCGTTATGGCTCTTGGAGACTATATGAACGTTCAGTGCCACGCATGTATTGGAGGCACCAACGTTGGCGAAGATATCCGGAAGCTCGACTATGGCCAGCATGTTGTTTCTGGGACGCCAGGACGTGTGGCAGACATGATCCGTCGCCGAAACTTGCGAACCCGCAACATCAAGATGCTGGTCCTGGATGAAGCTGATGAACTGCTGAACCGCGGCTTCAGAGAACAGATCTACGACGTCTACCGATACCTACCTCCTGCGACTCAGGTCGTTGTCGTTTCCGCTACTCTCCCCTACGATGTGTTGGATATGACGACTAAGTTCATGACGGATCCAGTCAGAATCCTAGTTAAGCGTGATGAATTGACTCTCGAAGGACTCAAGCAATACTTCATCGCTACCGAAAAGGAGGAATGGAAGTTCGACACCCTCTGCGACTTGTACGACACTTTGACCATTACCCAAGCCGTCATCTTCTGCAACACACGTAGAAAGGTTGACTGGCTGACCGACAAGATGCGGGAGGCCAACTTCACCGTATCATCGATGCACGGTGAAATGCCGCAGAAGGAGCGTGACAGCATCATGCAGGACTTCCGCCAGGGCAATTCCCGTGTCCTCATCTCTACCGATGTTTGGGCACGTGGTATCGACGTCCAACAGGTCTCGCTCGTCATCAACTACGATCTTCCCAGCAATCGTGAGAACTATATCCACAGGATTGGTCGAAGCGGTCGCTTCGGACGTAAGGGTGTTGCTATCAACTTCGTCACTGCTGATGATGTTCGCATCTTGCGCGACATTGAACGTATGTAACCTTTTACTCTTTGTTATGGCTCTCTACTAACACTGCATAGTGTACTACTCGACCCAGATCGACGAGATGCCTATGAATGGTAAGAGAGCACTGCTAGAATAATGAACCTTAACAAATGCTGACGGTAATAGTGGCGGATCTCCTTGCATAAACAGCCTTAGGCTTAAGATGCTAGAGACAGCATCCTACCTTTGACTTGGGTATCAATTGGAGTTGGAGGTGCTATTCTACTGTCGTTCTAGGCAAGGTTAGCGTGGAGGAAAGGGGCTTTGTAGCCAAAAAGTGCGTGCAATTTCCTTAGAATCTCAGTCAGGTCCGCGTTCCAGGCAGGCCCATGCTGACAGAACTGGAATCGGACAGTTGAAACTCATCTCATATGAGAACAAATAATACTTTGCCACCTCAAACGATGTTCATTCGATCGGAGTTGCTTCGGCAGCAGAAGACTCGAGGTCCAGTATTAATGTGGCTTTAGCAGCATTGCTTTCCGACGATCGTGAGCAGCAAATTGCTCCATCATCCATTTCTAAGGTGATTGCAGAAACAAAAGGCAGTGAGTGCCGTGGATCCAAGATGATCCTCGGGGGACTCATTAGTACGCCATGACGAGGGTGCCCATTTTTAGCATGGTGAATTTGAGGCCATCCAAGGGGGGCTTGATAGGTATGATTTACGGTTGGCACGGTCTTAGCAATCGGAACGAGGAACGAAGTGGTCTATGTTCGTACTGTTGTTGAGTAAATATTGGGATACTTCTTGGACATTGAAGAAGCAAATGTTCCACTGAGACTCCACTATGATGTTTGGAGTCCGATGTGAGACATTGATTTCGCTAGGATATAACCGTATAATGCAAGAACGCTAGAACGCCGTACAATAACAATCAACTTTACACCAAAGAAGGCTTCTTCTTGATCCCCAGTGCCGCACTGAAATCCTTCTTCTTTTTGACCTGTCGCTTGAAGGCCGGGACCGGCGGCGGAGGCATGGCCACGGTCGATGCACTCATGGTTGGCGAACTGGCGACAGAACCTTCGCCATCAGTCGAAGGCCCGTCCATCTCGATGATCTCCTCCTCAAGATCAGGCATCTTCTTGCTCTCGAACGCTTTCCTCGCAGCCTCAGCGTCCTCCTCTTCCTGCCGCCGCCGCTCCTCCCCTACAACATCACGCTCTACCGCCGTCGTCCCGCCATCCTTCTCCGCCTTCTCGATCCTCGCATTCCGCGACCGAATCTCGTCCAACGCATCCGCGATCGCCATCTCCGTCTTCGCGTCAATCGTCTTCGCCTCCAGCTCCTTCATAACATCCCGCTCCGCCTCCTCCCTCTCTAACCTGTCCAACCGTTGCTCTTCCGTCTCCTCCGCCAGCTTCGCCTCGCGCCACGGCTCGAAGTTCCGCTTCGCGCCCCGCTCGCACTCGTAGTCCATGTTCGCGGGGTCCGTTTTGAAGGTGATTTCACCCGAGCACCGCGTGCAGCGGATGTAGAAGCGGTAGATGGTGATGGCGTAGTATTTGATGTCTGTGGTTTCTTTGCGCGCGTTGAACTTGCGGCCTTTGTAGATGTATTCGCCGCAGTGGAGGCACTTCATGCTGAAGGGGGCCATGAGGCGCACGACTTGGACTTTAGGCCCCGCTTGCTTGGGCCCGCGCGTGCGGGTGATTTTCGAGGGGTCGAAGTCGGGGGGGTAGTATTTGGAGAGTACTTTTCGCTCGGACATGGTGGCGGCTGTGAGATTGTGAGAGGACTGCTGGAGCTGTTGTGGTTCGCAGAGTGGTGTTGAAGAAGAGCCAGGCGGCGAAGTTCAACTAATGCCGCCCCGCCGCGCTAAGGGTCTGAGGCACGTGCGGATCTCGCGCTGGGATCTTTCACGTTGTTTACGAGGGTGAAGCGCGACTGAATACATAGATTCGGAGGCTCCTGACGCCTGCCATATGGCTTTACAATCCCCTATGGTTACGTTCACTTCTTCCTCTTCTAGCTTTCTTTCCCCTCACATCTTTCGCAGATCGAGATGGAGAAATTCCTCCGCGAGTGGCGGCAAGATGCCTTGAATAAACACCAGTACGACTCCGCTATATTTATTGGGGACAAATTACTGGCTTTAACGAGTACGTCTTTGCACTCACGCAATAGCATCTACTGACTATGCCCAAGATAATGACAAAGATGGATTTTGGCTCGCTCAAGTTCACTTCTCGACCGGCAATTACACCCGCGCCCTGAGCTTCCTCTCTCGACAAGACCTCATTGCAACCAACCCCTCGTGTAAATATCTGGCCGCGCATTGCTGTGTAAAACAAGGAAAGTTTGACGAAGCGTTAAACATTTTGGGCGACAAGAACCCGGTACATCTCATAAGTGCGCCTGGAAGTGCCAGGAGGAAACTCCAGCATGTCGATGGCCGGAAACACTCTAAGCTGGGAGCTAGGAGCGACAGAGTGGACCGCAGCGAAGAGAGGGATAAAGAGGATATCGCAAATATACGGTTCGAGGCCGCCATGTGTTACCTGAGGGGAGTCTGTTACGCCAAACAGAATGCCTTTGATCGAGCCAAAGATTGCTACAAAGATGCCGTTCGGATAGACGTCCAGTGCTTCGAAGCGTTCGACCAGCTCATGAAGAACTCCCTCATGTCCCCGAGCGAGGAGTGGAAGTTTTTGGAATCGTTGAATTTCGACACTATTACGGCAGACAACAACTCGACTTCCCAAGAAGCTGCGGAGTTTGTGAGAATGCTTTACATTACCAGGTTATCCAAGTACGAGCATCCTGAGGAATTTACCGTGGCGACAGAGACCTTGTCTACCCACTACAACCTCGGGGAAAACCCAGATATCCTCCTCTCCAAAGCCGAACTGCTGTTCACTCAATGCCGCTTCAAGGAAGCACTCGCCCTCACTTCGTCTGTTCTAGAGAAGGACCGGTACAACTTCAACACTTTCCCAATCCATCTTGCATGTCTACATGAACTCAACGAGAGAAACGCGCTCTTCCTCCTCGCCCACGACCTCGCAGACAACCACCCCGAAGAGCCTTGTGCCTGGCTCGCCATCGGCGTATACTACCTCACAATTAACCGCATCGCCGAAGCACGCCGATTCTTCTCCAAAGCCTCAATGATGGATCCCCACTTCGGCCCCGCCTGGATTGGTTTCGCGCACACCTTCGCTGCAGAAGGCGAGCACGACCAGGCCATATCAGCCTATTCGACCGCCGCGCGCCTCTTCCAAGGAACGCATCTTCCACAGCTATTCCTGGGTATGCAGAATTTGCAATTGAACAACATGCCACTAGCACACGAGTACCTTAACACGGCGTACGCCCTATGCAAGACTGACCCGCTACTACTTAACGAACTAGGCGTAGTTCTGTACCACGAAGACAACCTGCAGAACGCCATAGCGCTCTTCAAGCTCGCGCTCACGCTGGCGACGGAGGTAGGGTCTGATCCTAGGGCTTGGCTTGCTACGCGTGCAAATCTAGGCCATGCTCTGCGGAGGACAGGTCAATTTCCCGAAGCGCTCGCTTCTTTCGATGACGTCCTCCGGTCTGGTGGGAAAGATGCTGGTGTTTTCTGCGCTAAAGGGCTAGTGCTGTTGGAGATGGGCGACAGCTGGCAAGCCGTCATTGCACTGCACGAGGCGCTGGCTGTCAGTCCGCAGGATCCGATCGCGACAGATCTACTAGGCAAGGCGTTGGAGGTTAACGAGGCTGTTCCTTTGATGGATGGCAGTGAGGAAGAGGAATTTGAGCGGAGGATCGGGGAGCGGAAAGGAGAGACTGCTAATGGGAAGGCGAGGAGGAGGCCTAGGGGGAGGCTGAGTGAGGGTGATGTGACGGGTGCGGGGGAGAGCATGATGGTTGATTCGGATGATGATTGAGTTTTGGGAAGCGTTGTACTGTACTACCAAGTACGTTGATTTGGATATGACCGGCATAGCATTGGGCGGTGTTTTGGAGTAATTCTCCCATAGCTCTTATGATAGTGCAAGCGTTTCTACAAGTCCTGGGATTTCAGTGTATTGGGAGCGTAACTCCCTTGGTACAATGAATCTCGAAGAGGTTATCCATGTTGCTCTTCACGTGATATTGAATTCATTCGATCCGAGAATTCGATAATCTCAGCCACTGATATCTCATGTGCCTCGATATCCACTCCCAAAAATATATTCCAAGCTTAGTAGCTTTCATTTATGCTTCATAATCGTTACCTTATCGCATCTATCCAATCTCATCAAAGTGTGCTTACACCGTGTCATCAAACGTGACGCCGTGGTAGCCCATATATGCCGTGTTCCAGAATCCACCTCTAGCAAAACCCAGTCAACATAGCCAACCCAGCGTTATTCCCCTCACCCGCTAGCATCGCAGGCGGCGCATCGTCTTCCAACAACTCATCAATCTTCTCCTTCTTCTTAATCCGCCAAAACGCCTGCGCGCCATCCACAAACCGATGGCTAATATCCTCCAGCACATCATCATCGACCGCCGCAAAGCACAACCGAAAGCACTCCCACGCATCCCCATCTCTAATTTCCTCCGTCGGCGCGAAAATACTCCCCGGGGCCGCCAGCACCTTATACGGGTTCGTCGTCCAAAACACCCACAGCGCCGCCGACAGCCTTGCGAGCGGCACGCTCTTCCGTAGCGGATGCGTCGTGAAATCGAACCGCACCCACACAAACATGCCGCCCAGCGGCCTCACAAAGTCGTAGATCTTCGTCTTCTCAACCACCGCCCACTCGTCGTCCGCTACCGCTGACAGCGACCCCCGCCGCCCCGCCTTCACGAGCGTCTTCCCGCCGTCCATGATGTCGCACATCGCGTTCATGCGGCGCTCGTAGTTGCCTCGCAGGCCCTCGAGCCAGCGCACCCACCCGTCGACCTTCCAGCCGCTGCCGTCGGCGGCGCCGCCGCGGCCGCCGTCGCTGCGGCTCTGCGGGCCCATGATCAGTTCGGCGATCATGGCCTGCACGAAGCCGGAGGGTTGTTGGGTGCTGGTCTCGGTGATGCGCAGGATGCGCTCGACCAGGACGGGCTGCGCCGTGATCCAGCCGAGGCGGCAGCCCGGCGCGACGGTTTTGGAGAAGGTGTCGAGGCGCACGACGCGGCCTTGGTAGTCGATGGAGAGGTAGGAGGGGATGAGGGAGTCGAGGAAGGGGAAGCCGGAGGATTTGGCGGGGGCAGGCGGCGGAGGGGTGGTGTCGGAGACGGCGGAGGGGAATTGCAGGTACCAGTATGGGTCGTCTTCGATGATTATGACGTCGTATTTCACGCAGAGGGCGTAGATTTCTTTGCGCCGGGCGACGCTGAGGGTGCCACTCGTGGGGTTCTGGCCGATGCTAGGAGAGAAAGAGCAGGTCAGTGTTGGGGATTACTACGGTGAGGTCTGAATTGGGCCACCTACGTTACTGTATACATCAGGTGCGGCCGTCTACCCTTTGAGAAGTCCCAGTTCTCCAGCACATCCTCGAGTCCTCCTTTTCCGCTAGCCATCATGCCCTCGTCGTCGATTTTCACAGGGGCAATGCTGATGCCTCGAGGCCTGGCCGTCTGGATCGCGTTCATGTAGCAGTATTCCTCGACTAGCATAGCTGGCTTCTCATCAATCGGATCGTGGCCCTCACTCCATTCATTAGAAAGAGCCTGGATCGCTTTCGAAAAGCCATCGGTAGCCCCGCATGTCAAGATTATCTCGGCACCGCCTTTGTACGGAATCGTCGGGTGTAAATTTTCCAGGGTGAACTTCCGGACGAAGTAATATAGCGAGGGGTAGCCTTGAGCAGTGCCATATTGCAACGCTGTTGTGAGATCAATGGTCCGCAGAGGGTCGACGATGCCCGCGTCGTGGGGGACGACGACTCGTGTCGAAGCTGGCGAGTCTGAGATTCTAGCAGAAGCTAGCTCTGATGTGGGAGGGTCAATTGGCTTGATTGGCGTGGGTTTGAATCTGTTTGGGAGTGCGACTTTGGCTTCGAGGGTGTCGTACGGGAAGTAACCGGCGTTCGGAAGTCCTAGTACAGATGTCAGCATCCATATTGGAGATTAGAGATTGGGAGGAGGGCGAAGTCCTCTTATTCTAACCTCCAGCCAGCTGTCCAATTCCAGGTATTGCGAAGTACTTGTAAAATGACTTTACGGAGGAGGCTTCCCGCTTTTTGGTACTCCTCGAGAGATGGTGGGTGAGATCAACGGGATCTGGCAGTGCCGCGGAGGCAACATTCGCATTATTAGAAGTCATATCGGCGGTTGACGTATCTATAGATTCTAATAAGATCTATAGCAACATATAGAGAATAGATGAGGAAGTGTTTATTTGGAGTCTAGTCCGCATCTTGTCCGCGCCCTCCACAGTACACTTCGCGATAACTAGCTACCTTGCATTGATAAGCAGGCCTATTCAATGACACTAACTAATCCAGGACGCGCCGCGGGTTGGTATCGTACCTACAGGACCCCTCTACACACGGATTCGAACTCAACGCCTACTTCAAGTGTCCAGGAGCGCCTGGACGGAATGTGTAGATACACGCTAAGCGCCATTACACAAACAAAGGACCTTCCAACGAAATCGACCGTGAGAGAAACCAAACCGCCATGCCGGTATGGCGCCTGTGCCGAAGGGTCCGGCGATGCGACGCTAACGCAGGTGGTGGGCCGAGCACCTGTCCACCATGGTTTCCTCTGCATGAACAACACTGTCCCTTTTGACGTTGGATTCGTGTACATCATACATACCTATCGTTTCTTGTCGGTTTCTGTATAGCTACGCCGCTCTCGTTTCTATCCTCATCCCCATTGCTATTGAGTGCTGCGCGCCAACGACCCATTGGACCCCTTCAAAGTGTCTCCGGAAGCCTCGCATCACGAACTACAAGATATATCCGCCATGGAGCCTTCAGACGACGAAGCAGCTCCTCCCCGCGCTTACCGCGACGATGCGACCAGCGTGAGTTCCGACGGAACCATCACAATCGGGGAGGATGCGGTGCTCATAGATGGAGCCGAAGCCTCCGACGACGAGAACTATCCGTACCGCCAGCCCTCGCCGATGCTCAAATATATACCTACACGGGTTCAGCGGACTTCACGGGCGATATCAAGATGGGCAAAGGGGCCCCAGCCGCCGCGGCCGTGGAAAATACAGCCCTACTTCCCCACTGTACAATACGCGCCCGTCCAATTCGTAAATAACTACTTTCCGAAGCGGAAGCACAAGGTCTTGTTGTTGATATTCTTCTACATGTGCTGGCTGCTGTGTTTTGGGCTGGTCCTACACAGGTCTGCGTTCGCGAGTGATATACCGGGGCATGGCTCTCCCGTGAGGATTACGTGCACTGATAGATTCTGGTAAGCTTAACTATCCTACAGCCGTAGACGTATGCTCATACATGTGACAGGAATGATGGCAACGGCTGTGGATTGAACGGCAATCTCTGCCGCCCGTTCGAGAATAGTACTATGGCATTCCGGTGCCCCGCGAATTGCAAACGAGTCGAAGTAGTCAATCCTCACGCAGTAGGTGATCAGGAGGTCAACTATCGATCTCTTGTAATCGGCGGGCCGACAAACAAAGAGAAAGACCTTGAACACACATTCTATCGCGGCGACTCGTTCATATGCGGCGCCGCAATACATGCCGGCTTCATCAGCAACCAAGATGGAGGATGCGGCGTAGTGTCTCTCGTTGGCGAGCAGAGCAAGTTCCCCAGCGTGAAGCAAAACCGTATCACCAGCATAGGCTTCGATTCCTACTTCCCTAAATCCTTTTCATTCCTATCAGGCACTTCATCAAAGTGTCGTGATCTCCGTTGGCCCCTCCTCGGCGTCTCTCTCACCTTTACCATTCTCCTATCTCTATTCACAACATCACCAGCCGTATTCCTTCCCTCCGTATACACTGGCATCTTCTTCCACGTCGCCCTAGCATCAGACCCGCCAAACCTGACCGACTACTACTCCATCGTCAGCATAGCGCTCGGCCGTTTCCTCCCCGCATCATTCTGCATGTTCGTTGTCTACAAATACTGCGTGCGGCGCCAACAACTCGGGCTGCACGCCCAATTCGAAAAGACCATCCTCTGGCTCGGCGGCTGCTGGATCGGCGCGTTAAACAACTACACCTTTGACCGAATCCCAATTCAGCGCCTAACACCGCACGACATCCAACAACAACCCGGTGCCATCCCCGCCCTGATCATCATCGTCTTGTCCCTCTTCTTCATCGCCGTCGGCCAAGCCTGGGCCATCCGCGTCGAAGGCCGGCTGCCGCGCTACCTCGCCGTCTACGGCATCTTCGTCGCCTGCATCCTCGCCATGGTCGCCGTGCCCAAAATGAACGTGCGCATCCACCACTACATCCTCGCGCTGCTCCTCGTGCCCGGCACCGCCATGCAGAACCGCCCCAGCCTGCTCTTCCAGGGCATCCTCATCGGCCTGTTCATCAACGGCATCGCGCGCTGGGGCTTCGACAGCATCCTGCAGACGCCCGACGAGCTGCGCGGCGACGCGCCGCTCGGCTCGCTGCTGCCGCTCATCTTGCCGCCGATCGTGTATAACAACCCGGTTTCGTCGGGCTTGTTGCCGAATATTACGTTTGAGTGGACGCTTCCGCTTCCTGGGTTGTACGATGGGCTTAGTGTGCTGGTTAATGATGTTGAACGATTTCGGGGGTATGAGGATAGGGGGAAGAATTCGTTTACGTGGGTTAGGCATGATAGGGAGCTGCCGGAGTATTTTAGGTTTGGGTTCCTGAGTGGGAGTCGCACGGCGGATTATACGAAGGCGGGGAAGTGGGCGGCGAGTGGAGGGTGGACGGAGATGCCGCCTGGGCCGGGGTTTGCGTAGGGTGAGTGAGGTGTATAGAATTTGTTTGACTGAACTGCATAGGGGTGTTGGACTAAGGACTAAAGCATCGGGAATTGGAAAGATAGACGCTATTTTGGGAGTTGTCGCATAGCACCATGTTTGAAAGACAAGTCGATGAATCCTCAGCTCATGCAGTTTCCACATTTTGTTTAGCGATCTGATTCCAACATAGCTCTTACAAACTCTCGAATACTCAACAAGTCAACTCACAGTCCCCTTCTTCACAAATACTTCCCAAAGAAATCCCGCAGGATCCCATAGCCACGCAGATACTCCGCCTTCGCCCTCGGATCTTCAAAGTCCGCGCGCGACGCCATCCAGCCATGGACCTGATCCGTAAACGTCTCGACATAGTTCTCAACCGTCAACCCAGCCTTGAACGCATTCACGAGCTACACACACACACGTCAGCCTCCACACATCACTCATCGCTCAAAAGTCAAAACTCACCTCAACATTCTCGTCCCCACTCGGCAGCACCACCAGCGGCACCTCCACCTTCCCCGCATCCTCCACCACCATCAAACTCGGATGCAGCATCGCCGCCGCCTTGAACCCGGCCGCCGGATTCGCCAGCAACGACGCAATCTTCGCGCCCCAGCAGTACCCCACGACGCCCCAGCTCGTGATCTGGGGGTTCGCCTCCTTGATCGCCGCGAAGTACGCCGGGATCTTGGGCAGCGTGTCCGCGGGCGCCGCGGGGCCCGTCATGAAGGCCGTGATGTAGGCGTGCTGCTCGGGGGTCACGGGCGGGTACATGGCGAGGTCGGCGGGGGCGTCGTCGAACCAGTCGGGCATGAAGATCTTGTAGTGCTGGGTGGACGTGGACGTGGAGCCGGGGGCCGAGCCGGAGAGGATGTCGGCGGCTTGCAGCGTTTGCGGGTAGTAGCCGAAGATGTCGTAGATGACGAGGATGCCGTGGGTGGCCGTGGACAGGCCGGTCGTGTAGGTTTTCAGGCCGCCGAGGGCGGTGTAGGCGCCGAGTTGGGTGTAGGGGCCTGAGACGACGGGGGGCCGGCGGCAGCAGGCGGTGTTGGGGCTGGACATGGTTGGGGGGGTTGGGGGTTGGGTTGGAGAGGCTGTGGTGATACTTGGGGATGGGAATGGAGATGGAGATGGAGAGGGAGTTGGTGGATGATTTCGAGGTTCGACTGAAGAGAATAGTAGATTTTATATGAATGTGAAGAGCGTATTGGGCGTGTTGAGGTATGCATGTCAGATGCGTATCAACGGCAGGGGTAAAAGAATCACTTTTGCGTCCTTGTAGATGCCCAGCTTGGGTGTTTCAGCTGCTTCAAGACATTCTGAACATCAGATTAGTCTCTCGAACTGCAGATCGGCACTGAGCGGCTCCATGGCCCTATAATTTGCTAGAAGAAAGGCCCGTCGGGATTGTTGACGGCATCGTTGGAGCTTGAAAGTATTGCGGGGATGAACATGCCGCACGTTGACTAAACAACAAAAGTCAGCTTGCCGACGTCGAAAGGCTGCGATGACGCGGCATGTGTCAGCGCATATTGGGTTGGCAAAATCTGGGCTGCGGGGTCGTGAATTGGAAGTGTGCAGTGCTCGCTGGATCGAAGTGATGCCTAACTTCGTGTAGTTGATGACGGTGCTAACGGAGCCCTAACTCTACCTATACCTCTTGGCGTTTTCAAGGCATGGGTATCGCTAGCTGGATGCAGCCCGAATCACCTAATCAGGACAACGAGCTTGTATAGTCATATAATCGCAAATTGTAGGCGTACCTAACAGAAAGCTTCTTGGTAAAGATTGCTCTGCAATTGTTGCTAATAACGAGCATGACTGTCTGATACCTCTCGCGCTATCCACAAAGGTGCCTGCAATGCTCGTCCTGGTAAACAGTCAGTGGATGATTTGACTGGCTAATCACGCCATGCATCAAAGAAATCTTGTCCTGCCATCTATTGTGGGCGAGCTTGGAATTGTATAAAGAACAGGAGTACTCACTGCATTATTTCGTCTTCATCTCAACCACATCACTGCCTTCATCTCAAATACTTCCTTGCTCTCAGCCACTTAAGATTTCGACAGTTCATAGAAGAATACCTCCTCCAGCTCCATCAACAATGTCGACTGCACAAACAGCAAAGACTCAGTACGTCACGGCGGCCAATGGCACCAAATTTGCCTATCGCAGAATCGGAGCGTCTACGGGCATTCCCCTCGTGACGCATATCCACTACCGCGCCAATATGGATTTCTGGGACCCGCTCTTCATCAACACGCTTGCTGCGAACCGCCCGGTCATTGTTTTCGATCAATCAGGAGTTGGAAGAAGCACTGGCGAAATCCCAAACACTTTCCAAGGCTGGGCGAACGACCTCATTGCTTTCGTCAAGGCCCTAGGACTGGCTCAAATCGACCTCCTCGGCTTCTCCATGGGCGGCTGCGCAGTTCAGATGGTCGCATTGACAGCACCCGAGCTCATCCGCAAGCTCATCATCGCAGGTAGCGCAGCGTCTGTCCCAACTGCTGAAACGGTTACCGAAATCGTGTGGCCGCAGGTTCAGGCCGATCCCAAGTACATCATCAATCTCAACGACGCAGTTACTCCAGAAGAGGTCAAGTATACGCTGGAATACACTTTCTTTCCCGAAGACAAGATCGGACGCGATGCTGCAGAAGCCTACTGGAAGCGAGTGCTCGAACGCAACGTTGCGGATGAGCCCAAGAATCTAGAGCTCGTTGACCGCGACACGGGCGCAAAGGTTCAGCTGGCTGCGTTTCTCGAGGATTGGATCGTGCCGAATCCGCGCAACTCGTTCGACAGACTGGGAGAACTCAAGATGCCGGTACTCGTGATGAACGGGGGTGAGTCTCCATAACCAATCCTTATGTCTGCCTTTGCTTACACGTATTCTACCAGACCATGACGAGCTTGTCCCGACAAGCCGGAGCTGGGAGCTGGTAACCAAGATTGAGAATGCTCAGTTGATAATCTATCCCCACGCGGGCCATGGTTTCATCTACCAGTACGCGGAATTGGTAGGATCAAATGTGAACCGTTTCTTGGATGGAAAGGACTATGCGGCAATCTGGCCCCAGCTGTAGACTGCGTCTCGCCTAAAAGCATTAGAATGTCCGTGTAGCGATAGAATTAGCGAATGCTTGCTTATAGAACGTGGCGTTAATACTACCGTGTCTTTGAGCCCATTAAAAGAGTGATTCGTTGTAATATGTACTGCGTCGTCGAAGGCCCTCGGCTGACTGCACACCAAACTAGACTCAAAGTAGAATAGCTGCTTATTCATCTACTCTGCCATTGTCTAGTTAGAAGGTACCCCTCGAGATTCCCCTTCACATATTACGAGGTCGTAGTCTCTGAAACGTATGCCTCCTATTAACTTCCTACAGCATTTAAATGAGCCAACAAACCATCATCCTCCCCCCGGGACCTCTAGTGCTCGTGCATAAAGGGTGGCAACATGGTCCTAAAGGCTCGGCGGATGGCCTACATCAATTCCATGCTGGCAAATCAAGAAGATCATTCGACGCTTCGATCCCTGTTGCGAAGCCATTGTTGAGCAAAAGTGCTACGAAACGAGTTCGTGAAGAACGTCCTAGACCGCAGACCACCCCAGGCGCAGCTCCCGGGCGAACTCAAGACTGGCTGTTCGTCGATGCTACGGAGCCTCTTCGAAAACGAGACCCCGGGGTACAAAAGCTCGTTCGACGCCACGTCATGAAGGATTACTATGGAGACCCCGAAGCACGTGAGAAAGCGAAAAGGCCCCGGATCAAATCACCCACCTCGTCAGCCGGTGTTGCTTCAGTGCTAGAAAGGGATCATAGAGCAATGCTAAAGGAATCCTTATTTTCCAAGAATCCTCCAGGATCTGCTACTTCTTTATACGGAGGCGGACTACCGTTTGCCATAAAGCCTTATTTCCACAAACTGATGAATTTTTGTATGAGACTCAAGTTCCTTCAGTGTAACCGGAATTTGGTACTAACAATCGGCCAGATATTTCTCAGATAGCTCGTGTTCTTTACCCCTTACAGGACAACATGATATTCAATCCGGCACACAAGTTTTGGTTTCCTTTAGCTCTCACCGATGAAGCTCTCTTCCGCGCCTTACTCTACGTGTCCGCACTCGGCTTGACAACGCTTCCTGGATCAAAAGCCTCGGCATCCGATGACCCGACTGGCTTGACAAGACCGCTTTTTGGCCTTCTCAGTCAAAGATTAAATGACCTCTCAAAGGTTTCTGATGCCACGATCGGGGCGATCTCATGTCTCGCAATGGTGGCGGTAAGCTTTCGTATCCGCGGTAGTCTGCGGCTGACAAGCTGACAAGATTGTAGACGATGTACGGTAAGAAAGACGAATGGAGCATGCACTTAAAGGGAATGGCAGAAATGATCCGAATCAAGGGAGGCCTCTCGGCGATCCCCGAATCACTGCAAAATAAGTTGTGTCGGTACGACTAATCTTCCCGTTGCCATGACCGAAAACGCTCTGCTAAAAATGACTGTAGAGCCGACGTCGAAGGGGCTACCGATACACTTTCAATGCCATATTTGGAGCCGTTGACCAGAACTCAACCTGCAATCTCCTCGATCTTACCGCCTATCGAAGTACCGCCACCAAGCACTGACTTTCTGCATATTCTCGCTTTCACCAATCTAGACCTACCACTGCTCAACATCTTCGTTGATATCTCGCGCTTCATGGAGACCTTGAATTACGCTATCGATAGATCAGAGATCTCAATTCATCCGCGAGCTTTCGACGAAGACGCGGTCTTGATCCAGTACGACTTACTTCACCTCCCTGAGTACGATAAGTCTGGCACACTGGAGGCATGTCGCCTGGGGGCCTTGCTATGCATCAAGTCTCTCACAAGGGCCACTCCCTTTGCGCCGGGATCGTCTGCCACCATTGTTAGCAAGCTTAAATCAGCGCTCGAAGGTGCTCCTGCCAGTGACAGACTATCCTACTTGGATCTCTGGCTGCTCTATACTGGAGGTATTGCCTCTCAGGGGACTCCGGAGCGGGCTTGGTTCACGTACAAGCTCGCCGAGCTTTCTCAGCTAGAGCCGGAGCTCTCGTCTTGGATCAGCGTCAGGAATGTGCTTCGGAGCTCCCTTTGGGTTGAGTCGATTCATGATGGTCCTTGTAGGCAGCTGTGGGCCGATGTCAACGACTTTCGGGTGACGAATGATTGAAGCGCAACTAGTTTCTCACACGACCCCTTGCAACCTATTTTGGAACGCGATGAATTCTTCTTACCAAGCGCCGAGGGAGTCGCATGTGACGGCTGAGAAGATGATACATCGCTGAATGGTCACTCAACGCTCTAACTACAAAATCTCAAATTATCTTTCTAAACTCCACTCCATTATTCATACCCCAGGAAATCGACGTCATTACTTTCTGAATACTCATGTGCGCGCAGGTTCAGGCTTCCAGAGTGTTTGAACAGTGATCGGCTTCAATGCCTCGGCTCTCGGGCTCGATCTCATGGACCATGCCATTCGAACAAAACTACGGAGTCCAAGGATTCAAAGATCCTGCTTTCTCGTTTCCTTCCTCCGCGTGTATGTCGCTTTTAGTATGTGGTGGCTGTCGTGGGTACATCACGTGCTGGCTACGGCCGTAAGACAGGGGTAGGCGAAGCCAAGCTAGCCGACCTCACCAATCAGATCACCCCTCGATCGGTGTAATTGTCGTCAGCTTCGAGCGCTCACGCCAAAGTCTTTCGGGCGTAACATTCATAAGGTCGATGCCTAGTCGTAAAAATGAGTACTTAAATGAGGCCTCGATTGAGTAGTTGGGTTAACATCAATCGAACAAAATACGAGCATAAATTGTACTACCTTCGAATCACCTTCCTCATTACTCTACAGCTTTGCGAAAATCCTCTTCGAGTTTACACAAATTACCGATAATTCAGAGCCAGCTCAACAACATGACGCAATTACTGAATGGACAAGAAAAGAATGGCGTACCAGCTACCTGGCGCCATGAGCAAGGAGTAAGTCATCTCATTATACAACATCACAATTGCCTATCGACTCTACATTTGAAAAATATGTTGAACTTAAGTCTTTTTCATCGTTATCACATGGAAGAGACATATTGCTGACCTACATAGTTTGAGCCCAACTTCGAGCAACGCACTCCAGTCGAGCTTAACGTAGTCGGCTCGATTCCCAAGTACGCCGCTGGTGTCCTATACCGGACAGGTCCTGGCGGACACGAAGAGAACGGCCCGAATGGAAAACCGGTCATCATGTCTCACTGGTTTGACGGCTTCACTCAAGTTCACCGATTCAAGATCGATGCTACTGATGATATTGCCGCGCCTGTTCGCGTGACTTACAATTCTCGTTTGGAAGTTGATGAAATACTGCAAAGAATCAGAGAGACAGGAGATTTGAAGGATTTCACGTTCGGGCAAAAGCGCGACCCGTGTGAAAGCTTCTTCCAAAAGGTCACATCAACTTTCACGTCAGTTGTCTCGGCGGCTACGAAATCTCCCAGCCCGCGAGGACCAACTTCTGTAAATGTTGGTGTGACACTGTCAGTCAACCTACCCGGGTTCCAATCCTCTGAAAAAGACTCGAAGCCTTCGACTGGGAGCCACAGCAGTGGAATTAAGACGCTCCACAACAAAACTGATGCGAACATCTTCCAGCAAATTGATCCGGAAACACTCGAACCTATTGGTTTGGCTACACAGACAATGTTACATCCCTTGCTGAAAGGACAAATGTCCGCCGCGCACGCCAAAGCCGATCCAGAAACCGGGGACATCTTCAACTACAACCTCGAGATTGGCATGAAATCGACTTACCGAGTCTTCCACACCTCAGCGTCGACTGGCCAGACCGAAATTCTCGCTACCATTCACGACAAACCCGCATACTTACACTCGCTCTTCCTCTCTGGATCCTACGTGATCCTCTGCATCTGGGGCGCCCACTACTCAAAAGCCGGCCTCTCGATACTCGCAATCAAGAACATCCTCGAATCAATTGCACCGTTCGATCCAACCAAAAAGGCAAGATGGTACGTGATCGACCGCCGCAACGGAAAGGGGCTAGTAGCAACATACGAGAGCGACCCGTTTTTCTCCTTTCACACCATCAATGCGTGGGAGCGACCGTCACCCTCTGATCCCGCAAAGACCGAAATCGTATGCGATCTCACGAAACACGACAACCTCGACATCCTCCACGCGTTCTACTACAAGAGTCTGATGTCAGTTCCAACACCAGACGTGGTGCGTCCGTCAGTTGCACGCTTTGTGCTCCCAGACGTCCCATCTACGCCCTCAAACGAGCCGCGAGTGGCAAAACTTGTTCTTGATTCTCCGAAAGATCTTGGGGCGGAACTGCCTATTATCAATCCGTCTTATTTTGGGAAGGAGGCGCGCTATGTGTACGGTATTGCGAATCGTGGGCGCAGCACCTTGACGGATGGGCTGGTTAAGTTTGATTTCCAGACGCAAAAGGCGGTGTACTGGGAGAAGTGGTCGCATACGCCAGGCGAGCCGATATTCGTTGCGGATCCGGAGGGGACCAGAGAAGATGATGGAGTTTTGCTTAGTGTGGTGCTGGATGGGGATGTGGGGAAGAGCTACCTGCTTTGCTTGGATGCGAGGACGATGAAGGAAGTGGGAAGAGCGGAAGTCGAGGGTGTGGTTGGGTTTGGGTTTCATGGAAGGCATGTTAGGTTGTGAAGGGTTAGCTATCTGTTCTGCGCGGGTTCTTTTCAGGAGTAGTTTGTAATGCCGGCTGTGTATCACCTTCTATCGATTCGTTCGACCACCTGTCACACTGTCGCTTGGGTAAACACTCACCAGATTTCGAGTTTCTACTCTAGTCGTAATATCAAGCTCCACCAAGAAAACTTTCATAGACATCTTTATGCTTCTCGAGATACGGCCATAATGTCGAACCGATTTTCTACCGTATTATCGGCATTTGAACGTGATCGGCTTTTGGTTCGGCACGAATGATCCATGGAAACTTACCAACCTCCAATTCGTGGAAACCCAAGATCATACAATCTCCTCCCCAAAACTAGCAAGTCGTTCCGGCTACACCTGCCCCGTGACACATCGGGCCAAGACTATGATATGCGGGGAATTGACGTAACGCAGGCGAGCTTAACCCAGCCACCGCATCATCCCCGGGCTCTCGTCGAACGCTACGTTATGTTTTCCTTCAGCATCAACAAGAGGCTTCAGAAACATTGATATCACTAGCTTGTGCTTGAACACAAAGTGCATGCGACTCCAAGGGCAACACCAATTGGTTCCCCCAACCACCCCATCCTGCACCACGGCCCGCCCCTCCGATCCCCTTCCCCAAACCCCCAACCCGCTCGGAAGCCGGGGTAGCTGCCAGCGAGTAGTAGCGCGCCGCGGCACTTCTCCCCCCAAAAAAAGTCTGGGGTTGCACCCGCTTCGCCGCCTCTGGCCACCATCGCCCAACCATGATCCGTGAGTGGATGCAACCAAGTCGGGCACCTTAACGATCGCCCGCCTGCGCACCCCTCCCGGCGCCATTGACGGCGGGGCTCGCAGGCGGTGACGATGGCAGTTGAGTTTGTCGAGGTGTCGTATCATCGGCACGAGCTGGGTTGATAAAGAGCTGCCTTTGTCCCTCTGCCAGATACGTGCTTGCTGAGGGATTGGACTGTGTGGTTGTACTGCTATCTCCTGTTACATTGGCTTTATATCTTTTATCTCGGTGCGCTTGGTTGATACCTCTCTGTCCGTGTCGCCACTTCCAATTCCACCTACAGCTCTTCGAGCTGCTTCATTTCATACGATAAATAGTCATCGCAATGGCTACGGCTACGGACATTACGGGAATTGACGACAAGCTCACTCCCGAGCGTGTCTCGGATACCTATGAACGCGATGTCGGCGGGCCGTCGTCGAGCAAGATGGAGCCACCGTTGCTGGTGGCCGCCATGTCTCCCGAAGTACGCCAGGCGACGGAGCTGAAGTTGAAGCGGAAGATTGATATAAGGTTGATGCCGATGATTATTCTGATGTATATCATGAATTATCTGGATCGGAACAATATCGCGGCTGTGAGGCTTGCTGGGTTGCAGGATGAGCTGGATTTGAGTAGTACGCAGTATCAGGTATGCTGGGTTTTGGGGAAGATTGTTAGAGTTGCTGGTGCTAATTGGCGATAGACTGTTATCAGCATCTTGTTTGTGGGATATATCCTTATGCAGAGTAGGTCGAGACCTATTACTTTTCTGGTAATTGCTAACAGGCGTAGTTCCTTCGAACCTCTTCTTAAATAAGATTGGAAAACCTGCTATATACTTACCAAGTTGTATGGTCGCATGGGGCATAATCTCGGGTTCCACGGCTGGCTGTCACAACTTTGCAGGCTTGATTGTCATTCGCTTCTTTCTCGGTTTCGTGGAGGCTGCTTATTTCGTAAGTACGGATAGTAAGAACTTCAGATGAATGGTGATACTGATGTGGACGTAGCCCGGCTGTTTGTTCTACCTCAGCGCTTGGTATACCAGGAAAGAACTAGGACTACGCACCGCGATTCTTTATTCTGGAAGTCTGGTATCTGGAGCATTTGGAGGGCTAATTACCGCCGGTATAACCAGTAACATGGACGGAACGAAAGGCCTTCGTGCTTGGTAAGTTCTTGCCTCTCACTATATGTGGGCTGCCACTGATTAATTTGATCAGGCGCTGGGTGTTCATAATAGAAGGTGTAATTACTGTCGTCATCGCCGCCGCCTCGTTCTTCATCTTACCCAATTTCCCCCGAACGACCACCTGGCTTACGGAGGAGGAGCGGCAATTAGCCGTCTGGCGCCTACAAGAAGATATCGGTGAAGACGATTGGGTGAACAGCGAGCAGCAGAGCTTCTTCCACGGCATGAAGCTCGCGTTCTTGGATATCAAGACATGGATCCTGATGATAATGCTCCTCGGTTTCGTCTCATCGGCCTCAGTGACGAACTTCTTCCCGACTGTCGTAAAAACGCTCGGTTACAACAACGTCAACACGCTCCTCCTCACCGCCCCGCCGTACGTCCTGGCCGTCATCACGACCTTCGCAAACGCATGGCACGCAGACCGAACGGGCGAGCGCTACTTCCACATCGTGCTCCCCCTCTGCCTCGGCGTCGCGGCCTTCATCTTAGCCGCCGCGACAACGGCCACGGCGCCTCGCTACGTATCAATGATGCTTATGGTTCCTGGAGTGTATACTGGTTATGTGGTCGCACTGGCATGGATTTCTAACTCGATTCCTCGACCCCCGGCCAAGCGCGCGGCAGCGCTAGCTGCGATCAATGCTGTTAGTAACGCGAGCTCGATCTATGCGAGCTATATGTACCCGCAGCAGAAAGGGGTTACGCATCCGAATTTGGTTGTGCCGATGTCGGTGGATTGTGCGACAGCTGTGCTTGCTATCATCATGGCGACAGTGCTGAGATTGATGTTGGTGAGGCTGAATAAGAAGCTGGATCGTGGGCATCATGTGGAGGGTGCGATAAATGCGGTTCCGGGAGAGGCGTCGGAGAATGGATTCAGGTTCTTGTTGTAAGGTCGCGACATTATTCTCCTAGAAGAAGGATCGGCTTTTCATTTCAATTTCTTCATAGCGGTACACGGATGTAGACAGACCGATGATAGGAACTATCGAATCAGAATATACGGCGCTTGGGAGTCCGCCACTCAGCCCGCAATCAAAACTCTACAAGATTAGCCCGTCTATCTAACCGAAGACTCTCACTCCCCGACTCTACTCAACCCCTTATACCCCTTGTGCCCCGGCCCCAGGCCATCCAACCACTGCAAACACCGCAAACGCCACCACTGCAGCCACAACCCTCAACGCGTCGTTCTCCGTCTGCCGCATTACCCCCTCTGCTACCCACTTCGCCGTCTCTAGCCCATGTCCTAGAACCCTTTTCTCCTTCTTCTCCTTCTTCTCCTTCTTCTCCTTCTTCTCCTTCTTCTCCTTCTCCTTCTCTCTAACCTCCCTTTTCTCTTCCACTTCATCCCCTCCCTCTTCCTCTGCATCTTCCTGACCATCGCTCTCCCACGACGCCGGGCGCAGCACCTTCTGCACAAAAAACCGCTGCCTCAACTTCCCGTCAAGGTCCTGCACCGTCATACACACCAACCCTTCCCTTGGCATCCGGTAGTGGTGGGGATCTCTGTAGTACTGGATACGGATGACATTGGCTTTCGGGCCCAGCTCCTCGACTCTACGAATCGGGTGCAGGAGCAGACAGCTTGGTCTGAAAAAGCCGTTCCTTTTTAGGGCCTTGCAGCGGCGTGCTATGTTTACTGAGATGGCTTCGGGGTGGCGGATTGGGAGGCGGGGGGTGGCATGGTGGTGAGGGGGGAGGGGTGGTGGTTCGCGACGGCATGGGGATGGTAGTGGGTGACGGGTTGTGGGTGGTGGTGACACAATTCGATGGTCGATATGGGGAGTGATTGGGACCGTGAGGGCTTTAGAAGGGCCGCTTTGGGAGGGATTTTGACTGAAGAGGTGAATTATACGTCAAAGAACGTGAAGTGTAGGTTTTTGGGAATTCATCCCTCTCGCCAGTACAGATCTGCCATGCCAGAGCACTACTCAAAGAACAGTGAAATGAGGTAATACTCGCCATACTACAATCCCCCAGGCCAACCCGCTAGGACGAATCCCGTAAGTCCAATTACTCCTGCGACTATACTCAATGCTAGTGACTGATGATCCCTTTGCTTCACCTCCATTACCCTCTTCACCACGCTCTCCAGCGTCCCTTCTTTCTCTTCCTCCCAGACCTTCTGAGCAAAGAGGCGCTGCGTGATCCTCCCATCCAGATTCTGCGTCGTCATACAGGACAGCGCCCACCGTGGGATAAGGTATGTCTTAGGGTCTCCGAAGTACTGGATGCGGAGTAGGTCGTCGTCGAGGTCTTCCATTTTGCAGATGGGGTAGTATAAGAGACACCCAAGCCTGAATTTGTCCTGGTGGTCGAGATTGGTGTATCGTTGTGCATTCCTGCTCCACCAGGCTCGTGGATTTATGGCTGGGAGACGCGGGTGGCAGGGGGGAGTTCGCGGGGCAGCCACACCCATGCTGGCATCGTGTTTTTGAGAATGACGTCCATCGGAGGTAGAAACGGGGCTGGCCTGGTCTTCTTTTGGGGCATTTGGGCGGACTGGGTTTGTTTCTAATCTTTGTCGTTTTAGCGTCCGAGGTCTTTCAGTCTCGTTGGTGTGTGCATTGGTTTCTGAAGGATCGGACCTGACGTTGTGTTTCATCGTGGATGGTTTGGAGTCTCCGTTAGCCTTGCGCTTTGTGCCCCTATTGGCAGACGTCGAATCGGCGGAAACAAGAACAGGAGACATGATGTGGCTGAGTAGTCGTGAGCCCGTGGGTTCGGTTGAGACTGCGGATCCAGGTACTAATGGAGTTAAGGGAGCCCTCTAGCGGTATTCATGGAGTTTGTTTTGGCCGAGAAGGTGAATTATATGACATAATCAAGTTCTTTTGCTGGCGAATCCATGATGGTAGCTCTAGAATAGATTGCAGCAATCCGATCTGAATTACCCAAGCTGTTGATATCCACGAACAATGACTTTGGTAACTTCCTCGTCGGCTTCGGAGAATGCTAGTACGGCATTGAGAAATGTAGAGGACGAGATGTAAGCAGCTTTCCGAGGTCGAACACAAATGAGTGATCCACTCCATGGCCTGTCCTTGGCAGCCCATAGCTCAGCTAGTTCGATATGAAGCTTCGAAAATCTCTTTCTGAGCTCTACTTCGAGTGTTCTGACTGTGCGTTCTCGCTGTCCCGGGGAATTAGATATAGTTGCAAGAGAATCAACGGCAACGATCTCGACACGAGCATCAATAACAACTCTGGTGAGATAGACGTGATATCTTGGGGCTGGCCAGATTAAACCTTCTAGCCAAGGTGCCGCTATTTTTGGGAAGTTGACAGCGTCGAAGGGGGCATTCTCGTAGGCGATTGTTTTGGTCTCCCAGTGGCAGTAGAAAGAGTTGGCGGCGTAGAAAACGGAAGCGGCTTCATCATGTAACTGTTTGCAGATTTTCAAAAGGTGGAGGCATGGGACGCTGGTCGTAGGGCGAATGTAGTCGTCTGATATCAGGAGTTGGCTGTAGATGTGATTTCGGATCTCCGGGGGAAGATCTAGGAAACTCGCTTTACTTTGATCTGCCCGATGGCTGACTGGCGTACACCTTTCGGTCTCGGTCTTCTCTCTGTTGAAAGTCGATGAAGTTACGACCTCCGTGGTTCGCGCATCTCGGTCCATGGCACTGATGATCTTATCGTAATCATTTTGGACACTTGCTAAGGGTTTGTTTTGTATGCTAGTCCTAGAGAATGAAGACCCCATTTCATGAAGAGAGAAGTAGTCTATTAAGATGTGGGTTAGGCGACTCAAGGATTTATAGATTCTCTTTAGGCAATAAAATAGAAGTCGGTAGTGGTAGAACTAGTGACCTACTAAGCCATGGCAAACAGCGGGCATGTGGCAATCAGTTTGCTCGTGGTTATGTGAGATGAAGTGGACAGAGAGGAAGGGAAGACGCGTCGAGGGAGGAAGAGAAAGGATGGCGTCGAGTGCTTCCTGGGGCTGAGGAAATGGGGATATCGGGGCTAACCTCTTCCAGAACTGCGCCACCCCCAGCCACCACCTCACCTGGTACTCCTGGCAGGGCTTGGAGAGGTATTGAGGATAGAAATATCTGGTGATGATTTTAAAACGCCAGAAAAATTGAAGAATATGTTATGTTTGTAGCAGTAGGAGACGATGGGACATGAAACCTTACAGTACCATTCTCCAAGAGAGGATTAACGCGGTAACGTGCCCAGGTGTCCCTCCAGCTCGGCCTACGCCGCCCATACAACATCAGATTAGGCAACAAGAAACACCCCTCTATCCACAGTAAAAGTCCGCAAGGCTACTTCCAAGGTGTTTTCGAAGCTTTGACCACTTCGCCTCGGTATCGGTAGAATATATAAAGTCAGTAGGAGGGGCTGAGTCACTTTGCAACAACTCTTTATATGCACCGAGTCACACGTCCGCACGCTTTTCACCACACGCTCTCCTCTCTTGTTGCTCTGAAGCCCATCAATATGGCATCAGCCACTGTTTTAGACTTCCCGCAGTCTCTTCAAAATGCCAATGTCCACTCTCACGACGACAGCAAGATTGGGGAGAGTCTTTTAAGCTCAGCGTACGAGTGGACCGACAAGATTAGGAAGAATCTACTCCTCCTCGGGGAAGCTTCCAACGCCGATGGTACTTTGCCAAATCCCCATGTCATCGACGAGAGTATCCTGGATATACCACGTCGTAGGTCTGCAGACCCTGAGCGAGCCACTCTGGCTGCTTTGATTGCCCAGCTTCTTTACCCTGGGCCCAGCGACTCCCTCGGCCCTCTCATCAAATACGAAGCAGACGTTGTCAAACTTCGAAAAGCTATTTTGCAACAACGCAAGCGGGATATCGAGGAAGCCACGGCCAGGAACAGCCTCCGCAGCTGGGAAGATCGAATCCGACGACAAGGTCCCTGGAACGAGCAGGAGGACCCACTCTCTTTAAATGGTGTCTCTAGCTTGCCTATGCCGGTCAAGATCGCAGTAAAGGAGACTTTGGAGCCATTTTTCGATCACTTGCAGTCCGGAGGCACACACTTGAGAGACTCGACTAGCCGGGGTATAGAGGACGCAGTCGAGGCGGATGAGCCCTTCTACGATACCCAGACCCTCGAGTTCCAGAAAGGTGTTGTCTACTCCGACCATCGTATGGACCTCTGCAAAATGGTAGTCGGCCACACCAATATTGGCGACCTGATGAATAGCCTCAGGACAAACACCTTCATCACTCACTTTCTTTTGGGAAATAATATTATTGGTCCACATGGAGCATATTGTATCGCTGAATTCCTCAAGGAGTTCCCAAATAGGATGGACACTTGGTATCTGGCCGGTAATTGTATCGATGCTCCGTCATTCGAGCTACTCGTCGACCAATGGACGCGCTCAACTACAGTCACCAATATTTGGCTCAAGCGAAATCCATTGATGGCCTCCTCCGCGATGAACGTGTATCGTCTCATTACCGAAACCAAAAACCTACGGACCTTGGACCTAGATCAGACCGAGCTTGGTGATGCAGGCGTTGCGGAATTATTCTCGGCCCTGGCCACGCACAAGTCAGAGACACCTCTTGCCCTCCGCCATATCTACCTCAACATGAATGGTATTAGTGTTCGCGGCGCTACTGCCATTGCTGAGTACCTTTCATCGCCTTCTTGTACTATCACGTCACTGTACCTCACGAACAATCCTCTTGGCTCCGCGGGTGTGGTCGCTCTCTCTAACGGCCTGAAGGAGAACAAGACATTAACCAGACTGACTCTCGCTTCTGTCGGGATGGGCGACCAAGCAGCGACGGCGTTGTGCTCTTCTCTAGTTGGCCATCCCACCCTCACCACGCTTGAGATTGGACACAGCTATGCGACCGAGGACCTTGGGATGCGGTATGTAAAACCTAAAATTCGTTCTGGATCTCAGCTAACGCGATACAGTTATAACTGGATCACGGATCGTTCCGCATTCTCGATTGCCAACATGGTACAATCCCTCCGCACACTCCGATATCTAAGCCTTGGCTACTGCTCCATCAGCACCGCCGGCATCAACAGCATCCTGCGGTCCGTCTGCGACTCAGCATCACTGGAGTGGTTTAACGGAAAGACAGTCCTCCCAGACAAGCGCGACGCCCTCGAGGTTAAAGCCCGCCAAGAGCGCGTACAACTCTTGAAGACAGCCCAAGCGTTGTTCGAAAAGAACGTGCGGAAGCAGTACGGTGACCAGCTCACCTACGACGAGTTTCTCGCCGACCAGAAGCGCTGGCTGGTGAACGACGAGACGGACGTCCGGAAAATCGATAGCGTGTACCGCAATCGCGATGCGGGCATGGCGCGGAGGGGCTTGAAGAAGCTGGATAAGTGGTGGGATGAGGCCGATGATACCCTCCAGGAGGTCATGGCGCAGGGCCCCAGCTGCTCCTATCGGAAACGGCTTGCGGCGTAGGAGGGAGATTACGACCATGACTTCTGTTGTCAATGAGATTTGTATAACGGCTTTTTGACGCTTACCAAGGTGGTCGCGCTACGCTGAAGCCTAGATATATATATTAATACGACATCTCCACTCGCCTTTGCTCTCTGCTTTACCCTTGGGAAATGTGCCATGAGATGCTGCTGAGATGCTGCTTCGGTGCCTACTGCAGCGGAAGAAGATTATTCTCCAAGACGGCCAGCTTCGATATGGAGAATATACTGCATCTAGGCTTCCCCGGGTCTTTGTCGAAGCTGGACGTGTGCGACATAGCGTTTGTGTCTATAAGCCCGCCTTGCCCCTGCGCTTAGTATCTCGTTAGGGGTCGGCAGGCATACTCCTGCAATATCACCAACCAAATACCATAGCTCCATTGCAGCCGCGATAGCGCCACCACGGGACCCTATCTATCCATGGTACTAGATAAGAGACGGGAGATGAGATGCTCAAACGCGGTATCAGAGAGAGAGAGCCCTTGATTGGATTGCAGACGACTACATAGACGCTTTCTCGATATATTCAACATTGTGTAGATCTTCAGCAAACGCAAGGCTGGAGCGGGGGAACCTTCTTTCTATAATCGTAGACATATTGCCTTCGGGTTATGCATTGGTGCCACGCAGAAGAAGCAGGAGTCCATGAAGATGGTCGTCAGCTGCACGGAGTCCACGTTCGCGCATTGTGGCCGGATGGCCGGTGGGCGCATCCTATCGCTGAAACCTATGCGTCTGATCTGCAGGTAAGGGGGATGAGACCTCTTTATAGGGATTTGAAGAGTGCGATGGAGGTTCTTTGACAGTCACAAGTGCTGGTGACACACGAGAAGATGCTAGGCCGATTTGGATGCTCGAACATGTTAGGATCCCATCGGGTCCTTTAAAAGTAGATTGAAGCATTCCGAGCAGTGACACCAAAGCCTCCGGCAATAGGATGAGGTAGTGTTGTGGATTAGGTCTCGGGTGAAATAGTGTGAGCCTCTCATTTCCCACCCAGCAGGATCTCCTCTCAAAAAAAAACCCCCCTCCCCCCGCACCAGCAAACCCATCATTTTCCAACCCGCCTAACTCCAAACGCCATAACCAAAGGGGTATCTCAAACCAAGCCAATCACTTTTGAACGCTCTAAGCCGCGCCCAACTCATCAGACCCATCCCAACCATACCTACCAACCAACCTCTTCAGACCCCAAAATCTTCCCCTCTGCCGTCCCCGTCACCCTCCCCACTATTCCCCATCGACACGCTCGCAAACGCCTGCTGCAGCCCCGGGCGCGGCTTGTTCGCGATATCCAGCTCGGCGAACTTGGACCGCGCGAGCATGATGTTGATGCGCGCGGCGTTGAAGACCTGCTCCGAGGGCGGGATGGCGGCAGCGAGGTTCGTGTTCTCCGTCAGCCGCGTGATGAAGAACATGAAGCGGCCAGTTTTGATTTGCATTTCGGCGAAGTTGGCGCTACCGGGGGGGATGTTGGTGTGTTTGCTGTATGCGCGCCGCGTCAGTCGGTTTACGTTCGTGAGGGTTTGAAGGGGAGGGAGATGAGGGAGGGGGGACGTACGCCATAGACTGCTTATGCGTCTTCAGGATGCTGGAGATCCGCTCGAATCGGTCCGTGAACGGGTTCTGCGATTCTTCGTCCCGTGTGACGTGCGTAACCATGAGACACGTCGTCCGCTCGTATAAGATCAGCTCTCTGGCGTCGATTACCTCCGCTAACTGTCTCAGCAAGCCCTCGATCGTCGCCGCGTTCGGGATCAGGAAGTATATAATCTGCGTCCACGCCTTATACAGGCTCTGATCCCAGATGCTCGTCGGGAAGAAATCAACGGTATCTTTAAACGTCTCGCTCGCGGCGCGGATGTATTCGGAGCGTTCTTCGAAGAGCTGGGAACGGAGGCGGGCTTGCACGAGGTCCATTTTGTGGATGAGGCAGAAGACTTTGGCGCTGGGGCTGCATTCTGAGAGCGCGCGGATGATGTTGCTGTAGGAGACGACGTCGGCGGCGAACTCGCGGGATTCGATGTCGAAGACGAAGATCAGGACGGCAACGCTGCCGAAGACGTGGGCGCGTTGGTGCGTGAGGTAGTTTTCGACGAAGCCGTCTTGGCTGTGTAGAGATGATTAATTAGCAGGTGCTTTCGTGTGAATCGAATTGAAGTGTGAGTTGCGTTGAATCCTAACACGGTCGCACGAGGCACGCCCGGGAGTGTCAGACAGGTGGAAAAAGAGGATCAAAACGGAACTCATTTCCACTCACCCGCCACAATCCCACAAATTAAGCATCAGATTCCCCATGAACTTGATGTTACTGTGCTCGACATCAATCGTCGCGCCCAGCCGCCTAACATCCTTCGCGACGTAATTGCTGAAGACGATGGACCGCATTGACGACTTCCCGGCGCCGCTTTTGCCCATGAGCAGCACCTTGCGCTGCTTCTGGCGCCGACTGGAGTTCATGGCGACGGCAGCAGGGCTCCGGGGGAGATAGTACGCGGGCTTGTAGTATTCGAAGGAGGTTGAAGAGTCGGAGGGCAGGGAGCCGAAGATGACGCTGGAGCTTCGGGAGCTTGTGCCCCCACGTCCCACCCCATGATGCTGCCCCCACATTTGCAACTCCATGGTAAAGCCGAGACCGAATGTGCTCTAATTCATGCTTTTTCGTAAGATGTTTGTAGCTTTGTTGAATGTGAGGAGAATATGAATAGAGGAACGGATGAAGCGCAGAGCAGAGCAGTCACGTCAGTGAGATCAAACAAGTGGTGAATTGAGGAAGGCTTCACTTGGTGATTTTGCTACACATACTTCGTCCCAAGAATTCGTCGTGGAGTAAAGCCGTCTGGCTCTTGAGCCCCATTATGGCTAAGCGGTACTTCTTTTTCTTCCTTCCCCGTAGGTAAACCACCTCTAGCAGTAACATGCAGCAAACAGAGTCCATAACATGCCGTCCTTCAGAATGCAAATAGTAGGTAGCCAGCCGCAAATAGGTAACGCTGTAAATCCACGCTTTACTCGCGGCCAAAGAAGTATAAACAGAGAAGCAACCCATTGAAGACCGTGTGCACCTCCACCGCGCCCCGTACTGTTGCGTACATCTTCGGATCTCCCCTAATGGATCAGAGGAATGGTATGGAAAGCAAGGCGTGCAAGGGTATCTTAGAAAACGGTTCCATCGGACAAGATCATAATCGGAGGCTCCTTGGTGTTGGGCCGCGAGACCTCTGCAATTTCTCGACCACCCTGGAATGGTCAGTAAGAAGTGAAACTGTAGAAGTTTTAGGACTAACCTTCCATGAACCAGCTTCCAGCATCTGGGCAAGGTTCAGCTTGTCTGCACCACGCAGTCCTAGTAGCGTATTGACTTCGGCCAACAACTCATCCAGGAAGCCAACAGTGACAGCTCGCCATTCAACGATCACATCGTCGTCGGCGGTGAAGAGCGGAACCACTTCCATATTTGGCTGGCCCTTCACTTGGGCGTTCCGCTGGTACTGGGCTAGTCCACGCTTCGCATCCTCCGGCTTGAGGGTCAGCAGACCAGTGTCAATCAGAAGACCGCCATTGCGATACTCAGGCAGACCAGTCAACAGCTCACTGCCGGCGAAGTATACGTTTAGGAGTTTCGTCATGGGCACCATCAGAGAATATGTTAGCCATTGGGTAAGCTTGTGGAACGGGACAATGTTCTCCCAAGGGTGGGTCGGGTGCGAGGGCATGACACTGCATGGCCAGGCATCGCCAATGGATATGCCGTCGATTTGGGTGCGAGTCGAGGGCCAGATGGGACCAAGGCCATCCATCAAGACGTTCCACAGTGTGGGCAGTGGTATTATAGGGACCGAGGAGGCCTGTGTCGAGGGATGCGAGAGCAGGTAGTCTATACTTGTCAGCGCAATCCAAATGGAGTTCTCTTAGTAGATTTACCTAGCATATTGCCCGGCCGCGCCTCCAGACCAAAGATGTCCTGGTTTTGCAGTGCATCCGCAAGTCTTACTAGGAGACCCGTGCGTCCCTGCAGCCCATCAATTGGATTTTCCTCACTGACCTGCAGACCACGGGCCATGGTTTTGATGTCCAGTCTCTTCAGGGCGGCACTGTCAACCTGACAGGGTTCGCTGGGGTCACTGCTGAAGACGCCCGCCTTGAACATCTCAAGACTGGCAACGGCCAGGCCCTCGCTTCGTCGATACACGCGGCCAGACTCCTTGCTCTTGTACTGCCACTTTGTTCCAGCACCGGCGTCCAGAAGAACGGACACCAGGAAGAGATCGATCAGACGGCGAGTCCGCTCTTGATTGTCGACGGTCAATGGCCAGGAAGCCATTAGCTGATCAATGCGAGGGCGGCCACCAACTTCGAAATGCTGCCAGCGTCCATGGGGAGGGATGGACGCGTAGTCGGGGGCATAGTCGCGCTGCAATGGCGGCTGTCAGTGGACTATCAAGAAAATCATTGAGCGGAGAACTGACCTTGATGATAGACACGACATAGCCGGCCGTCTCCTGGAACTTGCTCATGTCCACGGTGAAGTGCTTGAGCTGGTTTTTCTTCGCCTTCTCGAGTACGAGCTTGGTGCGCTCTCGCACAGCATAGATGCTGCGCAGGTAGCCCGCAGGGTCCAGGGCAGGATCGGGGGCCTTTGGCAGCGGCACATCGTGAACGGGCGGAGCGGGCTTCGCGATGGACTGGCCATTCGACGAGGCGGGCAGAGCAGGCGACTTCAGCGAGCCATTGGAGGCGCTGGCCGGGCCGTCGCTGCTGGGGACCTGTGGTTTGGCGCTCTTGCGACTGAAGAGACCCATGTCGAGGGTGGGAGACGGGACGAGGTAGACTCGAGGCGGGTGTTTGGAGGGTGGATGCGGGAAAAGCGTCGCTCCTGGGCGGCGAGCAGGTGGATCAGCCCTCTGCACCAGCTCGGTCGGGACAGCTGTGGGTGGAGCGGAGAGCAGGGCCGCAAAGTGTGGTTAGGGCTTGGGATTGTGGTGGTTCGGGAGCGAGAACGAGGCGTGCAGGGACGGCTGCCGAGGAATGGACGGTGCTCTTGCGGCTTCAGCGCCGGGTTCAGGGTTTGTTGGGGCCTTGCCGTGCACCTCAGATCCCCTCTGCAGGTCCCAGCGCGAAGCACTCGCACTCTGGCGGATCGACAAGCCCGCGGCCCTCCGGCCTGGCTCTGGGACCGCCAAAATTGTGCAGGGCTCAGGGCTCAGGGCTCGCAACGGCGTCCTCAGGGGCTGTCGCCCAAGGGATCGAGCCCGACTGCGGCACGAGTCACGCTGCCAGCCTCGTCCGAGCGGCTCGCCGACCGCTGCATCCGGGGACGCGGCAGCAGGCTCAACCGACCTTCGACAAGCCTCACGGAGCCTGGCATCGCGTGCAGCGTGCAGTTTATGTACATATGCACAGGAGGCCTCCCCCGCGGTTCACGCGCGTGGTGTTGAGCGGTGCAGACGCAGCAGAAACGCCAATTGCGCCCGGTGCATTGACTTTAGGCGACTCGGCTCGCTGAACCTTGGCTCGTAGACCCCGCGCCGTCCAAGTCAGTTTGCACTGGAGGGGGAGCCACGGGAGCCTAAAACAACACCCAGAGACGCCGGAGACGCCGGAGACGCTGCGTTTGGCTTGCGAGATGCCGTGCGCGCGATACCACATGGCACAAACACCACGCGAGCTGCTCGATGTTGGGAAGGCACGCTGGACGCAAGCGGAAGGCCCAGGGGTGCACTTTCTCCCTTGTCCGGCAACTGCAGACGCATGCACCGACAAGAGTCATGACTTCTCGAAGCACAGAAAAATGCCGACGGCCGCCCATCAGCGACGCAGTGATGCCACCACTTGCCTATCTCGCGGACACGCTGCTGCTGCCCGACTCGAGCCCTGCTGTCCGTCTCGGCAGATTTGCAGTTGGAGACGCTTCCGCTTCCGCGTCACGTGCGCGTCAGCATGCATCAGCAATGCTCCGTCCGCCGCAGTAAGAAAACACTGACGCGTGTCTCGATTCTCGTATGTCGCGTGTCCATGTTGCTACTACACACCTGTACGAGTCTCTTCAATCGCACAGAGAAACAATTGCAAAGACCCGGCTTATCGTCGCTTGCGATGGCCAAATGTGCGCAATCTGTCCCGCGAACGGGACCGCCCGGCCCGTCTCCAAATGTGCGCCATACACCCGCTTCACGGGCCGTCTGAAGGCTCCCAGCTGCGCTGCACGCACTTTGACAACGCCCTGACAGCTCGGGCTGCTTCGTCTCTGAAACACTGGAACCTTCAATTGCTTCAATTGACTAGGAGGTACATTATTGGCGGGAGTGCAGCTTCTTCGAATGTGTTTCAATTGACCGTCTCAACCTCGACCGCCAGACCACTCAAGCTCCGTTGGACATAAGTGGGCAATCCAACACCGTCTGAGGTGGCCTGATGAGCTATTAGACCTGTCAAAACAAACTTCTGATAACGTACCAGAGGACCTCGCCTACCTAGGTAGGGTGAGTGTGTAACTAGAGTCTAGAAGGGTTTAGAACAGAATCACACATTCATGGACTACCACCTTTTGCTCAAGGGTGCCCAGGGTGCCTGCCACTCTAGTAATGTTCAAAACAAAAGGGTAACCGAAATGTGGACCCTGGCACTGACGGAAGACGCCGGCAGAAGGCACCGCTGAACACTAGACGTTCCTTCTGTATCTACCACGTAGGAGCAATTATGTAGCGATGCACGTGACTAGATCGATGGCTGTTTTGTACAGTTCGAGCAAGTAATTGGGCGGTTATTTGGCCATTTGGAGTCTCATGTAGTAATATCAACAAACTGAAGTCTATGCCACGAGGTGTGGCTGATTGGAGATCGTGGCGGTGCCAGCCTCAACTTCATCACACCGCACCCACTTCAAGATGCGCTCATGACTCTATCTCCTTCTCCACCCTCTTTGCTAATGCGTGTGCGCCTTAACGATGGATGACCTAGCTGGCCTGGACTGGAGCTCCACCAGCATGTCCAACCCCCCTCCCGCCAACAACCCCCCGCCCTCCTTCTATCCTCCTCTGCGCCAGAGCCCTGCCCCTCAGTTGTCTGGACGCTCGACACCGCTGTCCGCGCAGCAGTCTGGGTCTGTCCCGAATAGTCGCGGCCTCAAGCCACCCTCCAAGCCAGCTACGCCCGCGAATGACAGCTTCTCCAGCTTGCTCTCCCTCAATTCCAAGCCAACAAACAACCTCTCGCTCCAGGAACGCCAGAGGCAATTACAGGAGGAGAAGGTGCGTCAGGAGGCGGAGCGCAAGAAACAATATGACAAACAATTTGGGGCACACGATGCTCAGTTTTGGGACACACTGGGCAACGGCAACGCGGCGCCTCCGCCGTCCAAGTCACCTGTAGGCCATGGCAACGTATCTGGGAACACCCTGTCCGCGACAATCAATAAGCCCTTCGCCGGACTGGACACTTCGAAACGCTCCTCGCCGTTCTCGGCAGTTGACGATGATCTACTCTCCGCATTTAATTCTGCCGCTCCTGTTGACGCTTCTACCAACTTCCCAAAACCTGGTCTCAGTGGTCGAAGTACGCCTGCGACGCACACTCCGAAAACACATACTGCGCTTCCCGAATATCAAGGCAACAGCTTCCTTGGGGACGATGATGATCCATTTGGATTGGCCCAATATCCACAGCGCCCATCAAATGCAGTGCCACAAGTAACAGTAGAAAACGATGATGACATCTTAGGTGCTCTGGGGAAGCCGGTATCTGAATTCACGCCAGCAAAGCGAGTCGAACCTAGGACACGGATACCAGTGGAGACGCAGCAAGAGCCCGAGTCTGATACTGGATTTAATGACCCTCGTGACAAGGCTATTGCGGAATTGGTCGATATGGGTTTCCCACCAGACAAATCTGCCCACGCCCTCGAACAGACAGAGTCTGGCACTGATGTTCAAGCTGCAGTAGGATGGCTCCTCACTCAAGCACACAACGAAGCCAAACAAAAGTCCCAAAGTGGTCGCGACGGACGAGGTCGTACTCCCCTCGAAGATAATGAAGACCAACCACGAACAACTTCCAGATCTAATGGTAGAAGTGTAGCTACGGCAAATCCCCCTTGGATGAGGGGACAAGATGACCGATCGAATTCTTCTCAGCGCCGACAAGATAACAAGTCTCCAGGGGGCGAGAAGGACGTCACCCAATACGCATCAGAGATTGGGACCACTCTCTTCAAATCGGCAAACTCGTTGTGGAAAACAAGTCAAAAGAAGGTCCAAAAGGCCGTGGCGGAATTCCAGCAAGAGGGTGATAGCAGCCAGCCTAAATGGATGAGAGACGCCCAGCTTGCAGCAGAACAAGAGGCGCGTCCAAGTCCTAGGAGTAGAGAGAAGGCCCCCGAGCCTGAGTCAAATGTCACTGACGAGGCACTTTTGCTAGAATCTGGCATATCTCGGCCACAAAGGGCGCAACGTCAACCTGCGTCGAGTACACAGCTGCCTTCTTCAAAGCGGGACATAAGGCCAAACGAGTTTGCACTTCCAGAACGGCCCTCGTCTCAGCCCCGGATTCCTCCACAGCGACCACAGCATTTTGATAAACGGCCTACAGAGAAGCTTACGCGACAGGCTGTGGAAGAGCAAGCTGCGCAGGCCTACGTCAGTCCAGCTCGACGGAAAAGGCCTACGACAGACACGAAACCTGCCGAGACGCCAAGCTCGTCAAACAGCTCTCGTCAACCAACCCCCCTAGAATCGCGGAACCCGTTTGCCCAACGAACAGCGACACCGGTTTCGAAATCGCCCTCGGTGACTCCCTTGCCTACCCGACCAAAGCCGCCTCCACGGCGAATCCCTCCTGCATCTTCCTCGGCCTTGTCATCGTCCGCATCTGATCGGAAGAAAGGATCAGAGGCCTTCAAACGAGGCGATTACCACGCAGCGCATATCGCTTACTCTGCTGCCTTGTCTCCCTTGCCAGAGACGCATCCTGTAGCTATAATTGTTTTCTGCAACCGAGCTCTTGTAAACATCAAGGTTGGCGATCCCAAAGCCGCCATCGCTGATGCCGACAACGCACTGGTCACGATTGGGCCGTCCCGAGGCGAGAACGAGAAGATCTCACTCGGGGGTATAGAAGGGGACAAGGACATGAAGGAGTTTTTCGGAAAAGCCCTGATGCGAAAGGCCGAGGCGCTAGAGCATATGGAAAAATGGGCTGACGCTGGAAAAGTATGGAAAGAAGCCGTCGAGGCTGGTGTTGGGGGCGCTATCAGCATACAAGGCCGAAATCGATGCGAAAGGGCTGCCGGCGGCGCAAATAAGCCGGCAACACCGAAACCAGCACCAGTCCGAAAGCCACACCGGAAGAAATCCGCACTGGCGGATCTTGCAGGGGTGCCAGCTGGATCAGAGTCGGAGGCTGTCAAGAAGCTCAAAGAGGCTAACGCCGCAGCGGACAAGGCTGATGACGAAAAATTCGCGTTGACAGACCAGGTGGACGCAAAGCTCATCATGTGGAAAGGCACCAAATCGGACAATTTGAGAGCGCTTCTTGGATCACTAGATAATGTACTATGGGCTGAGGCTGGGTGGAAGAAGGTCGGCATGGGCGATCTTGTAATGCCAAACAAGGTCAAGATCGCATACATGAAGGCCATTGCCAAGGTTCACCCTGATAAGGTGAGACTCCTCTTCCCTCTATGATATCACGCTAATTATTTTAGATTCCGCAAAATGCAACGACGGAGCAACGGATGATAAGTGCTGCGGTGTTTAGTACATTAAATGAGGCTTGGGACAAGTTCAAGAAGGACAACGGACTATGAGACCCATGGAATGGATATCATGCTTAGATTTTAGCAAGCCATGTTATAGAGGATTCTATAGGAGTCTTTGTCTGTTCAAACATCAGAATGAGACAAATTGATTCGGTGTCCTCTTAATGATCCCCACGTCATGTCCTAAGATAGCCTAGCGTTCCCCGGATTTACGATTTAGCGCGCAGCCGTGGCAGGCTTTTCAGCCTCAACCTTGTGACCTCGAAAACTTTCATCTCGTCGCCGTTCTACATTCATCGCCATTATTCTTCCGTCCTCATCTTAACCACTGATAGCTCTGGAGAACTCATCTAAATTGCGCTTATCGACTTCGTAGCTCTTGGCGTCTTCTGGCCTTCTGCACTTTCGACCTATGACGCATCGCCCCAGACTCTAGAACATCGATATTCAAGCATTGGCCCACGAATCAACCCATTGGCAAAACCAAACTTCAAAGTTAGAAAGGTTCCCTGTCACCAATTTTGTTGGTTTACATTACACTCATCCTAATCAACGCCACTCCCTCTCGGAGGGTATTGGAGTGTCAAGATGTTCCCGCCATCTCAAGGCTTGCAACTAGACATTGAAGCCATCAGCGGGATTTGCGGTTCTATCTCTATTGCCTGCTGGGTCGTTGTTTTCTCTCCGCAAATTATAGAGAACTTCCAGAGGGGCTCTGCGGATGGCCTTTCGGTTTTGTTCATCGTGGCGTGGCTAGCGGGTGATGTCTTCAATATCTTGGGAGCTGTGCTGCAAGGAGTTTTACCTACAATGGTTAGTGGAACACTTCCTATTGATCTGAAAAGTATGTTTAATTTCATGTCAGATCATCCTTGCCGTATATTACACATTGGCCGACATTGTGTTACTCGCGCAATGCTTCTACTACAAAGGCTTCACTCTCAAAGACGAGATCAAGAAGCCGGCCGACCGCGATGACGAAAGGCGAGTCGCCTCCGATGAACGATCTCCTCTCCTCAGCAGGGAAAATGGCAACGGCAGCAGCAATGGTCACGGCCCAGCACTCATATCCGACATGGAGCGCCGCTCCTCGCAATCCTCATTCCGAGAACGCTTCCTCTCCGTTGACGGGACCCATTTTTCCCCCGTCATGCCACTCCGACCAGAGCCTAATGTCGTAGACCCTACTCCCCTAGCCCTAAAGCCCTCGCCCTCCATCCTCTTCGCCGTCCTCTTCAACCTCAGCGCCGTCGTCCTCGTCTGCGCCGCCGGCGTCTTCGGCTGGTGGCTCAGCAACCGCTCCAAGCACCCCGACCGCCACCTCGAGCAGCCCGACCAAGACACGCTCCACTTTAACGTCCTCGGCCAGATCTTCGGCTACATCTGCGCGGTCCTCTACCTAGGCTCGCGCGTCCCGCAATTGTTACTCAACTACCGCCGCAAGAGCACCGAGGGGATCTCAATGCTGTTCTTCCTATTCGCGTGCATCGGCAATCTGACGTATGTGCTATCGATCTTTGCATATTCCCCTATATGCAGGCACCCGAGGCATTGTCGGGAGGGCGAGGCGAGGGCGGTTTATGCGAGGTATATTGCGGTTAACTTTTCTTGGTTGTTGGGCAGCTTTGGGACGTTGTTGCTGGATGGGTTTGTGTTTGTGCAGTATTTTCTTTATCGGAGGGATGAGGATGAGGAAGAAGAGGATGTGGCCGTTGTTGTTTCTTAGAGGACGGTTAGACGCATGGAGGGTTTGCTAGACGGCCTGCGCCTGCATAGGTCAGGCGCCTTTAAAATTCAAGAGTGTATATATTTATATATGAAACCGTACAATCAAAGTTATGGCCCTTCTGTTATCACGTTCCAACCTTGACAAAAATAGAAGAAGCGCTTGAAGCCACAGCCATATATAAAGGTACGTAGCATTGACCCCGCTATCACTCGGCTAATAGATTACCCTTTCGCCGTTCATCCCCACTCTCAATCTCCCACAAAGAAAAGGGCCGCCAAAAGAAGAAAAAAAAGAGCGAAAAAAAAAAATTCAATACCATTGGGCGGGACTTGAACCCGAGGCGATTTGAACGCCTAACCTTCTGGATGCTCCAAGAGTGAACTGGAATCAGACGCGCTACCATTGCGCCACGGGTCCTGCAATCTCGTTGAGAGATTCGTGTGCTCTTTGGTAGGAAGAATGGAGGGTTTGCAAAATTAAATGTACTATATAGTTAGTCAGATGAATGAGGACGGGGGATGAGGTTGGAAAAGATGGGATTTTACCGGTGAAAGGTGGGGGAGCTGAGTCATTTTTGGCTGGAGGATTTGTGGGTGAGGGAGGGGCAGGGGGTTAGGGGTACCGAGGCGAGAGTATACCCTTTTTGACCGGAGGACCTCGAGTTATCTATTTCGATGGCATACTGCTGTATACCTAGGTAGCTCATGATGGAACTGGCTGTTAGACTAATGGTAAGATTCTTATTGTAATTGCTTATAATCATGGTAATGATCGAATCTAGGGACAAGTACGATATTCTCGCTAGTACTTGAGAATTGCACAACTAGCACTTACACTTACTTAGACACTCTTTCTTTCAAAGGTCTTGAATGCCAGTGATAATCGAGCATGGCGGGCATGAAGTGCACTCTAGTATTTGTAACGTATTTCAAATTCGCAATCAGACTTGCCCTACTTTGAAGACGGCCCCTTTTGCTTTCCTTCATGTCGTGATAGGTTCTATTACTTAGGAGCTGTTCGGTCGCACCGCCCTCAAGTTCAAACTCGAGCTTGTTTTGCCCACGCTAATTACCTGCCGGCGTAGAATAGCGCGTTGCTAGCAGCGGTTAGCCGGACCAGCTGACTCGGAGTTGTAGAACTCGAAATTGGGCTACTGTTCGGTTCTGGTGTTGTGTAGCGCAGGCCTTGGCACCGCGCAGAAACTTCAACCTCATCAAATAGGCCAATTTTTGTATATAATTGTTCGTTCCTGGTGCTGTATAATGTCAAATCGTCAAACCCGCGTCAGTGATAGGACGCCGGCGTCCACAGCAGAGCCTACCGCTATACCACTAGTAGACTCTGCTGTCGCATCTGCGGTTGCGCTTGAAGCTATCACCACTGTTCCACTCGTCAGTTTACCAGCGAAGAGGAAGAGGGTTAAAACAGCTCGTGCACTTGCATCGCCATTCCCTTCGCCCACGCCTCCTCCTCCTCCTCCTGTTGCTACAACTCGCCGTAGCAAGGCGCTTAAGTGGTCGGACGACATGGTGATAGCCATGTACAACGGCCTGCTTGAAGGCGTGAATATGGGCCTCCGTGCGCAGAGCGGTTACCATCCTAGATGCTGGCAAATTGCAATTGAGAGAGTTCAAGCAGTTACGACGCAGCCAATTAAACTCACGCAGATAAAGTTGAAGCAAGCGGACGGGCGGAGGCTCTGGCAGAGCTGGTGGCCTCATTGCAATCACTCCGGCTGGAGCGTCACGGAAGAGGGTATACCTGTTTCCGACCCTGAGGTTATGGAGGCCGACTTTCTGCAGAACGAATCGCATCGTAGATGGCACCATAAGGCGCCTCTCGCGCACGAGCAGATGCATGCTCTCTTTGAAGGGATTGTAGCAACAGGGCAGTATAGTCAAACTGCTTAACAGGCGCGTGAGAGCCTGCGCGGCGATGCGGAGGAGGCCGATGTGGAGGAGGCCGCTGTGGAGGAGGAGGAGGAGGAGGAGGAGGAGGAGGCATCGGCCGAAGAGGTAGATGACGAGGAGGACGGTGGTAATGCAGAGCTGCCGCGAACTGCTACTGCTGCACCGTCAGTTTTTAGTTCAGTAGCACAAAGAGGGTCTACTTCATCATCTCGCCCTTCTCCTGTTTCTCCTGTGTCCTCTCGGTTATCTACTCCGGTTACTGCTACTGCAACAACACCACGCCCGTCAGCCACGCCTAGGCCGCCGGTCACACCTACGCCTAGGCCGTTATTGATTGCCCTGCGAAAACGGGCAGCAGAAGCGTCAGCTCGTAGTGCGGAAGAGGCTGCAAGGGGGAAGCGTTCAAAGAAGCTCACCATCGCAGAATCAATGGCGGAGATTTCCAAGGAGATTATGGCCTCGAGGCATCTGATAAGGCAGGCAGTTGCTCCACCACCTGTAGCAGCAGTGGAGGATCTCCAGGAGAGAGCGGTGGCGGCGTTCTTGGAGTATGAAGATGTTCTCTCTATTGATGAGCAGTTAGCAGTGCGAGAGGCGTTTGAAGATGACAAGCGGGCGAGGAGCTTTCTCTTGACCTCCGGGGAGCTCCGTGATGCGTGGGTCAGCAAAATTATAGCCCGTACGGTGCAGTTGAACGTTCGGAGTAGTGTTGAGGCTGTAGATGATGTCGAAGAGGAGCCCGTAGAGCAGGAGGAACTGGATTAGCTAGAGGAGGATGAGGAAATCAGGTCGGCTGCAAGAGGATGAGGGAATCAGCTCGGCTGCAGGAGGATGAGAGAATTGGCTTGGCTGCGCGAAGCTGTACAAAATGGATAGATTGTATGATATTCTCCATTTTGTAGTCTATACTAGACTACCTAGACTACCTAGACTAGCTATACTATACTAGACTGCCTAGACTATAAAATGGAGATATCCTACAATCTATCCATTTTGTATAGCCTCGCGCAGCCGAGCCGATTTCCTCATCCTCCTGCAGCTGAACTGATTCTCTCATCCTCCTGCAGCCGCTATCACGTGATCCTCGTCTACAACGAACTACTGCTATATTCTAACAATTCTAGTAATACAGAAGAAGCTTCTAGTGCTGCCAAGGCTGCTGCCTAGTGATTCACGCGTTTTAACGCGTTGAAAGTTGGCCAATTTCCACTGAATAGTGCAGAATTACGTCATACATCGTGAATTTAAGTCCAAAACAGGGGCGTTTTTCGCTGCATAGCGCCAAATTTGCCACTGCCTAGGCTGCTGCCTAGTTAGCGTGTTAGTTTCGTGTTTCCGGATAAGAGAGACGGCCAGGCTACGTGAGACTACACGAAATGGATAGATTGTAGAATATCTCCATTTTATATACAACCTCAATTCTCTGGTAACAACTCGCCTACCACCTCTCCCCTATCTAACCAGCAGTTCCGCACGTACTGATTCCACATAATTCTCGCGAACTAATCTCTCCTGTCATTCATACTAAACTCGCTCTCCGCTTCGGCTTTAAGGGCGTCCTAAGGATCCGGATACACTGGCTCTTCCGCAGGTACGTTTAAATCACTCGGGCGGTTTAAATTAATAAAGTTGTAAACAGCCATACAGCAGTAGACCACTTGAACCTGTACATTTAGCGGGAAGTTCGCCCTCGGCGCGTTAAAGTACTGGAATCTCGATTTGAAGATGCCGAACGTCCTCTCAACAGCGTTGCGCAGAGAGGCGTGTCGTAAGTTAAACAACTCCTTCTCGTTTGCTGGCTTCAACCTTGCTCTCTTATTCTCTTTTAGGTGATAGCGGACTCCACGGAACGGCGCCAGCGTAATGACAGTGTTGCTATACCCAGCGTCTGCTACGTAGTAACGGCCGCGAGGCACCTTAAACGGATAGTCAGCGTTCCTCGCTGCAGCAAACACTCGCTAATCATGAGCAGTACCCTCCCATCCTGCCAAGGCGTACACAAAATTGCACTCGAAATCAACAGCCGCGAATACATTCTGCGTCAGTCGTTGCGCCTTGCCCCTCCACGCCGCCTGACGATTCTCACCACCACGAATAGACACGGGCAGATGCGTGCCGTCAATCGCGCCGAGGCAGTCGTGGAAAGCTGGGTCTCGTTTTGGGTCATCCAGGATGGCATCGGGCGTCTCATTTCGGGGTAGAACTACAAGCTCAGTATAGAGCTCAAGCAGGGCCGGAATAACCTCATGGACCACACTTCCTAACACGTCAGATCTCGCTAACAAACTGGCAGGGCAGCTCGACAGCTTACGAATGTATGGTCGACGAGCTATACTGCGTATGCTCGCCAACCTGGCAATAGGAATTATTCGCCGCAAATACCAACAAAAAGATGAGCAACTTCTCTTCCACAGAGAGTAGCGTTGTGTCCTTCACAAGCCCTGTTCCTCGTAGGAATTCGGACAGCTTAATGAACACGTCGGGTCTCATCCTCACCATGTTTTGCATCCTGATTTCGTGGCCATATATGAGCGAGGCCGTCCACGTTGCGCCTCGAAACATATCCGTATTCTGTACCCTAACGCCCACAGGTTCCTCATGCGCCGCCGTTAGGAGTAGGAGAAGGGCAACATCATAAAGCAGCAAGAGGTGGACTAGCAGTGCGGGTGGCGGCGGTGCCATTATCACGAATCTGCAGACGTTGGTGTTGAGAAATGAGGCTTTGCGGGTGCACGTGACGAACTCGAACTCGCTCGAGTTCTGAACTCGAACTCGAACTGCAACTCAAAGCTGCAGTTCTAAACTCGAGCTCAACTCGAGCCTTGGCGGCCACATAGGGTTTACCGCGCACGCTTGCAGGGTTTTTTGAAGCCGTCGACGCCGTCTCTACTAGCGGGCGAAAACTCTTACAAAACTAGAGGAAATCGCCGAACACTACCGCGAGTTCGAGTTCAAACTGCAGAAGTTCAGAACTCGAGGCTAAAATCGCGTTCCTTGGCGCTCGAGTTCTGAACTCGAGGGTGCGACCGAACAGCTCCTTAGATAACGACTTAGATTAGTAACACCTAAGCAGGAAGTGGGTGCTTAGATCTCAATCTCGAGGAGACGACAAACTCCACCAAGAAAGCCCTGCCCCGAGGTGACTTTGCTTGAATTGCTTGCTTAGTAGTGCTTGCACTAATTTGAGGTGCTACTCTAGTTATTGTTCCGACAATCTACGCAAGAAAGGAAATGGAAACGCATGCTGCAACATTGATCTCTGGCTTCAGTGTTGTGCATTAGCAATTTTCTCCTCGCCTTGCATAAAAGTCTGTCCATAGCACGAACACCAAGCACAGATGCATGTCTACACGGAGCACGAAGCTGCGGCTGGCACACCTTAGTTGCATGAGACTTAGAGGGGTAGATACTGGAGGGCAGGTGGTAGATGTCCACACGTATGTGGGTAGGGTATCTTGGGGGTGCTTCTAAACTTTGAGGCGAAAGGATTATATGATATTATGTGCTTCTCTAGGATGGTAGTCCTCAAGTCTGACAACCTAAAATCCTTACTGTGATGAACTTAAATCCCAAAGCATGGATAATACGTGAAGCATTGGCATATATTAAGCTAACTTCGAGACTTAGCGTTAGTATTGTAGGTGTAATAAATGTAATCCACAGTGAGATGGAATAGGTGAAGGAAAGGAGACGAGATGGATGTGCGGGGGTGGGTATTCGTACATGATACCACTAGCACAAAAGCAGTTAGTGATTTGTCCCATGTCTTGTCAACTTCTCGTCTCGTCCTCTCTTTGCGAACCACTCGACGCGAATATGTAATCACCGTCTGCACGTCTTAATTTCATACCGTTTACGTTTCACCCTGCCGAGTCATGTCATGCCGAAGTAAACAAAACGCGAACATCTCCTAGGCAGCAGCAATCGGACCGAAATGAACATACACCTCTGTACCCTTCATCTACACAATTAAGCCTCGTGAACAACAATTGCATTCCAAACCTCCATCACAATCCTCCCTGTAGCTCCACTGATATACTACCAACCTCCTCTCAATGTCTCCCCCAACGCTCCTTACAATTCCCCGCGAATTGCGCGACGAAATCTACCATCTGCTCCTCCTCCCACCGCAGATGATCCCCTCGACCGCTCCCAAGAACCGCTACGCTAGTCACCACTTCGCCAAACCACCACCCAACTACATCGATAAAAGCATCTTCCTGCCGGCCCAGTTTCCTCTGTACCTCCTCCACGTCTGCCAGCAAATCCGCGCAGAATGCACCCAAACCCTTATCGACATCGCCAACTCGAGTCCCAAACAATCACGCCTGCGGAAACAATGTGAAGGCTTAGTAGAGCCTGACCCTTCTAGTGCAAGCAGCATGTACGAGGCCAGAAAGCTTCTCGAGACTGACATGTGGCCACAAATCACGATGGATGTCCTCCGAGCTGTGCATGCCTCCTTCGGTGGGATGCATATTCCAGAGAGAACCTCGCTTTCGCCCACCTTCTTCTCCCTTCTCCCGATCATGCAACATGTCCGTCAACTCCAGTTCGCCATATGGCCCGGGTGGGCTTGGTGGAACGGCCCTCCCAAAAGACGCGCGAATCCTGTCCCGAGCCTACGCAGCTTACGCCTCCACCGCCTGTCGGGCTCCCCTGATCAGACTTATGAAAGTACAACTCCGGAGTTGGTGGAGACTTCGGAGCCAGACCAGCTGGCCACAGCGTTGGAGGCAGTTCTAGCGCGGCTGCCGTGTGTGGACGATGTCAGTATTGATGTCTTGATGCACATGTATAATTATTCGAACTTCGACTTGCCGGATAAGAAATGGGAAAGGGTGCAGGGGTGGCTGGATAAGCCGGTGGAGACGGGAACAGGGAGGAGGTGGAAGAGGGTTCGGAGGCAGATGGTTGCGGTAAATTTCTCCGCGTCGTGGTGGCTGATACCCTTTTACAAGAAGACAGAGGTGTGGGAGGAGGGCGAGGGCGAAGTGCAGGAAGGCGGAAAGAGAGGGAGAATCGTAAACGTCGTTGAGGAGATGACTGAGGTAGGTTGGCGTTTCATAGAGGTGTTTGGTGGCCCTTGGTCTTCGACTAACGTCTTTTAGTTGGCTGAGGAATGGGAGGATGCGGCGGCCAAAGCTAAGAGGGGTGAGGCAGACGAAACAAAAATTTATACCAGGATCGATACCGACGCAGCTCCAGCAGAGGTCAACTCTACATTGGTTGGTAAATTGGGAACTATGATCTTTGGATCTAGGTAAAGGCGTCGGACGATTAGGCTCGCTCTCGGTAACCTTCCACTAAAAGATAAAAGGTGAAATCTCGACCGTCCTCTATAAGGGGCTCTGTTCAAAGGGAGTACGATACAGTGCTAGGTCATAAATCCAGGCACACGAATATACCAATGCTCTGGCATCACTTGCTCTCTCGAAACCACCGTAAGGAGTGCCCTAGGTAATATGTCTCTAGTTATTCAGAAGGTAGTCTCATTCTTACTTCGGTAACCTTGACATCGTATTCGGAGTTTCCAAAGCCTGTCGGGGTACCCTAAACAGTTGCAAGAAGTGCCCAAACTTACGTCTTAGAACTATACATTATGGTCTAACGAAGTTTCCAAAGCAAGCAGTTGATATATATCTCTTCTTCTTGTTACGTTCCACGCTTTAAGCATCATACCAGAAAATTGTAGACAATTCAGTGCGCAGCAGAGAAAAAGCGCCAAGAAACGAACTCTATTTTGCATACGAAAAATAACCATAGCAACACTACCTTGGCATTAGCATTTCTACATAGGACATTTCCTCTTCTTGTCGCCAAGGTCGATATCATAAGCATGATTCAAATACCGTTATGTTCGAAAGTCATACGAGGTCCACCGAAAACACAGCATATGACGTCATACCTCAAAGCTGACAATCTCACTCAGACTCGCAGCAACTAGGTCTTGCGTACCATTGTTACGTGCCAGCGGCAGGGAAATGCCAGCACAGCGTTATATTACATCTGCCTAACTCGCAGCTTTTACTGGATAGGCGCAGGCTTCTGCCACGACAAGGGGTATGTAGATCCTCATCAAACCGGCAATGATTGATCCCCGGCTCTCTCCCTTGCATCTCACGTGCACCCACTCCGTCGCATACCATTCGAACCAAGACAGTCAGCAGGCTTCCTACCGTCTTGTCCGGGGAAGGCTGTGGTCAGAAGCTGTGCACGATGATGGCACTGCCGGAGCGGGAGCTGCGGACGCGGTAGTGAAGGACGCTGTGTATATTAAATGGTGTCTCCTCTCGCTCCAGGAACTGTGGTTTAATAGCCTTATATTATATTGGGGTAGGGACCAACTACACTGCTTTCAAATGACCTATTCTATAGCATCCTATTCGCTGCTCGTCAGTGCCGCACTGGCATTGGTCGCCACAACACCGATTCATCCTCGCGCCGCAGCGTCGTGGCCGGACCCGGAGCCATGTACAGGCAATAACAGCTATATCCACGACCCGAGTATAATCAAGGAGATACATGGTACCGCTTCTCGACCAACGACAACATCCTCATTGCGAACGCGCCCTCGCTTAATGGGCCTTGGACGTACCAGCAGCAGATGCTGCCCCAGGGCAGCATCATCAAAGTCGCTGCTGATCAAGAACTCTGGGTAAGCAGAGTGTTGCAGAAGCTTGAGCACTTACAATGCTCCCTGCAATGCCCATCAACCTAGCCAACACAACGCGGCTCACATCACACAGGCCCCCGACGTCCACCTCATCGACAACACATACCACGTCTACTACGCCGTCTCCACCCTGGGCAGCCAAGCCTCAGACATCGGCGTCGCCACAGCGCCCTCGCTCGAGGTCGGCAGCACCTGGACCGACCACGGCAGCCTCGGGATCCCCAAGAGCTCGAACTACAACCTCATCGACCCAAACCTCTTCCGCGACGGGGGGGACACGCACCACTTCGTCTTCGGCTCCTTCTGGCGCGACATCTTCCACACAACCCTCTCCGCCGCCGACCCGACGACCTGGTCCGGCGTCACCCCCGCAAACGTCGTCTACAACTCGACCATCCGGCTCGGGACAACCACCACGACCGTCGAAGAGGGCGCCTTCCAGTTCTCCACCACCGTGCGCGGCACGCCGTGGCACTACCTCTTCTTCTCCAGCGGGCTGTGCTGCCAAGCGCCCGACGCCCTGGCGCCCGCGGGCGAGGAGTACAAGGTCATGGTGTGCCGCGCCGCCGCGCCCACCGGCCCGTTCGTCGACCAGGCCGGGAACAGCTGCCTCGCCGGGAACGGGGGCACGCTGGTGCTGGGCAGCCACGGGTTTGTGTATGCGCCGGGGGGCCAGGGCGTGCTGGTTGATGATGGGGGGGGGCGGGATGTTTTGTATTATCACTATGGTATGTGGGGTTTCCTGGTTAGGTTTCTGGGCTTGCGAGATTTGAAATGCTGACTGACGTGGGGTTAGTGGATACGCGCATTGGGTATGCGTATGCGGATTTTCAGTTTGGGTTTAATTACTTGGATTTCGAGTCTGGGTGGCCTGTGGTTACGACTTGATGAATGGATGGGAGGGAGGGGGGATAGGACCTTTTTTATACGACGTTAAGATTGGAATGAAATGAGAGAATGTAATATGGTACCGGCAGGGCTGGTTGTCAAAGCTGTGCGCTCTAGTTCTGCTCGGATAATCCTCGATACTCCTCGATCGGTAGCTTCCATTCAGACACTCCTCAGCGAGTCCTCGGATGCGGGTTTGAGGAATGAATCTGAACGCGAAAATCCGAAAAGACTCTAGTGCCCGAGGAGTTGAAGCTGCCATGCTAGAAAAGGGCGCGTGATTTTTTGGGATACTCAAAAGTAGAAAACGCTCGGGATTTTTCCGCTTTACATGCTCAGATAGCGCAATCTAAGAGGCGTCTCCAAAGAACAAAACTAGGCAAGTATGAATACACTCACATCCTAGCATCCATTGTACATATCCTCTAAGTGTACCACATCTCTTCCAACTCCAACCCAACATCTTATCAACACCCACCTCATCTACCCTCCCCCCTCCGCATCTACGCAAACTCAATCTTCCACCCCTTCCCCACTGCAACCTTCGGATCCCGCACCACCGCCCAGCTCGCCTTTCCCCCTTGGGCCGGATAGTACTTCAACTCTACCTTCTTCCCCGCTTTGCTCTCCTTCACCCCCTCCTCACTAACCCCCACCTTGCTCAAATCCTTCCAACTCGCCGGCGCGCCCACAATAATTACCTTCTCAATCCGCACCTTCGCCATCGTCTTCGCGTACGCCGCCGTCTTGGCGCCCGGTGCTCCAATGTTTATCGAAGAAAGCGAACTCGTCGCCCAATCGAACACGAATTTCCGGTGGATAAACGCGCCCTGCTCGTGATCAAACGTCTCGCCGTCGTCAACATACAGCGTCCCCTCCGCATTGCCAGTATTGTCGAGCACGACCACGAGCGTGAAGGGGTCCCACTTCATGAGCCCGCTGCTGCGGCGCGGGCGGTCGCGGCGCGGGATGACGTGCCCGCCCTGCATGAGCAGTGGGATCTTGTCGAGGGGCGCTTTGACGGTGTGGTAGCCGGCGCCGACGTAAGTCGTGTAGTCGAAGTAGTCGTAGTAGGGCTGGGCGTCGGCGAGGTAGATGTCGACACTCTCGGCGCCCTCGGTGACGACGGGCTTGGCGAGGAGGCCCGTGGAGCCGACGTAGAGCTGGTCGTCGATGGCGAAGCCCTTGTCATCGTCCGGGTGGACGTAGAAGTTGGGCCTGACGATGGGCGCGCCCGTCGTGGCGGCTTCGTGGAAGGCCGTGTACCAGGCGGGGAGGAGCTGGTAGCGGAGGCGAAGGGCTTGCGAGATGATTTCGGTATAGGGGGCGCCGGGGACGTAGGGCTCGCGCCGTCGGGTGTCGATGTGCGCGTGGCCGCGGAAGAAGGGGTAGAAGGTGCCGGTTTGGTACCAGCGGGTTAGGAGCTCCTTGCTTGGGTTGCCGAAGAAGCCACCCACGTCGGCACCGGAGAATGGGAAACCTGAGATACCTTGGTTTAGTACCATGGGAATGGATATGGCCAGATGAGACCATTCCGCTAGGTTGTCCCCGGTCCACATAGCACCGAGACGTTGGCTTCCGGCGTAGAATGAGCGGGTCAGAACAAAAGGTCGACGGACCTCACCCTTCTTCCGTTCTAGCATGGCCTCGAACGTGGCATTGTGGAAAGTCAAACCATTGATGTTATGCACATCACGGTGCTCCCAGTTTCCGTAGTGCAGATTGTCTTTCGGCATGGTCGTTTCAGGGCCGTTGAATACAGAGGGCTCGTTCATGTCGTTCCAGATGAAAGTGTTAGCAAAAGTACCCTTCCAGCTATCGTATTTGAATAGTGTTGTCCACCATTTGATAGCTGCGGGATTGAAGCAATCCACCCAATACGAAGACCCAGGCCAACACCAACCCTCATAATCGTTGCCTTCTTTGTTTTTGACCGCAAGGCCTTTGCTCTTCATCTCATCGATAACAGGGTATTTGTCCGTGTTCTTGATGTGCGGGTCGATGATTGCGACCAGCTTTCTATCGCGTTTATCCAACTGGTTGTGCATTTTCTTGGGATTTGGGAATGTGAGCGGATCCCAAGTGAAGTACTTCTTGCCATCTGTGTACTCAATGTCGAGCCAAATAACGTCGTATGGAATCTTGAACTTGTCGAATTTACGATCAACGTCCATGACGTCCTCGTCGGTGACATAGTTCCATCTGCACTGGTGATATGCAATGGCAAATTGCTGGGGCATCGCCGTAAATCCGGTCAATTCGCCGTACTTATGGGTGATATCCTTGGGAGTAGGTCCAAGCAGCACAAACACATCCAATATCCCACTTTCAGAGATCCAATGTGTTTGCGTGTCCGTGACAGACTTGGTTCCAAGGCTGAGGGGATTTTTGGAACCCTTCGACTTCAAGACATCAATCCAGGTCTCAGCAGCATTCAACCAGAAGACTCCGACAGTAGATCCTTTGCGGTGGGCTTGCATCAACGGAATGGCACCGTAGAGTGTCATAGGGCTGTCCAATTCGTACTCGAAAACGTCGGCATTGTAGAGTCGGTAGGGCTCGCTGTATTTTCCATCTCCGCCTCTACAGACTTGTCAGCGCAAAATTCTCAAGTCAGCAATTGATGAGCTCGTACCTTGTTTCTTTCAACGACAAAGAGCTTGCGTGCTCTGGGATTCCGTAGACGTGTTCGTAGCCCGGGAATGAGATGTCCAAAGCCACGGCTTCTGGTCCCTTGGGCTTGCTATCCGTATTGCCACCAAAAGACTCTTCCCACCAAGTGCTCTCGTCTTCACTATTTTCCTCAGCTGTCTCTGGAGGAGGTTCTTCGCCTTCCTTCGGTGCTGGCTTCTCGATCTTCGCCCTCCAATGCTCCATATTCAACAGACCTCGCTCATTGAACTTGATATGTGTTTCACCATCCCGCTTAAAGTCGATACCGAACGGAGAATGTGTGATAACCGCTTCGTGTTGGCCAGCAGGACCATAGTTCACTCTTGTCGAGCCAGCTTCCGTGTCCCGACTCAATGCAGCACCGGTGCTGATTTCGAGGCCCCCCACAATAGCCCATTTTGATGCTTCATTGTACCGCTCCTTTCTTGCTTTGCTATCATGCCGTAGCGTAATGTCTCCCTTTTGTCGTTTTTCCTCATCCACCGTCACTCGCGCTGTGCCAGATTCCAAAAACGTGACAGTGAGCGGTAACCGGACCGTCTCACCAGCCTTTCCAACCGTCTTGAGTATTGTGCCAGACAACTGCCCATCTTTGAAGGAAACGGAGGAGGGATCGAGGTTGTAGGGGGAGGCCCAGCTCGAAAGCTGGGCTACGTCGTCGGCGAATGCTCTGTTGCGTTTGCAGAAACCAGCCTGAGTGCACGTCTTGAAGTTCTCGTGTTTAACCATGACTACACGCTGTATAAGTATACAGAATAGAATGATAGCGAGCTCAATGGGCGTCAGACGGAAAAACACATACCAACTGGCGTAAACAGGGAACTCAACGCGGCAAAAGAAAGGAAAACACCCGTCCAGCTGCGGGGCTGGGGCATTGTGAACAACATGGTGGCCTAGACGCAGCTGGGTGCTGTCAGGCAGAGTCGCGTTCACTCAGCTGGTGGAGGCTTGGTGTTTGGATTCGGACTGGCCAGGTTGCTCATCACAGGCGGTGGAGCTGCAGCTGGCATCTCGCTCCAATTGGCGCCACCAGGGGCTGCACGGCCTCTCTTTTAGCAGCCCCGCCCTAAAAGTGCCACCGCACTCCCCCCACTAGATACACGACAATTTCTGCCCAGCCGCCGCTATATATGACCTCGCAATTCCCTTCTGGCATCCCCGACCCGCCCATCTTCAAGCACCTAGGACCGAAAGACCGCGCCCGTCTCCGCCATAACATCGAACTCCACGCCGAACAGGAACGAGAAGCCGCCAACATGACTACTGAACAGACGTGAGTTCCCTCGAGTTATCGGGAGAGAGGAGCGGTGAAGCTAACGTTGAGGTCTTAGTTTCATTGCCATCAAGCCCGATGGTGTCCAGGTATGCCAATGTCCTATGCTAGTGTCCTATATCAAAGCATCAAAACATCAGAACCATATACTCTCCTCTTCGTGGCTGCCACCCCGCAAATAACCCAATTGCTAACGCCCTACCAGCGTGGCCTCATCGGACCCATCATCTCCCGCTTCGAGAACCGTGGGTACGTAGCCGCAGTTTCCCTTCGCAAATGTACCCCTCCAAACCCTGAACATCTCGCTGACATCCTCCAGCTTCAAGCTCGCGGCTATCAAGCTCGTCACCCCCACCAAGGAGCACCTCGAGAAGCACTACGAGGACCTCTCCGACAAGCCCTTCTTCCCCGGACTCATTGCCTGTATGCCTCCCTCTCCTATGAACCCCCTACACCGCAATACAAGCACAAGTCCCCATACTGACTCACACAGACATGGGCAGCGGTCCCGTCGCCGCCATGGTCTGGGAGGGCCGTGACGCCGTCAAGACCGGCCGCTCCATCCTCGGTGCCACCAACCCGCTGGCCTCTGCCCCTGGCACCATCCGCGGCGACTACGCCCTCGATGTCGGCCGCAACGTCTGCCACGGCTCCGACAGCGTCGAGAACGCCAAGAAGGAGATTGCTCTCTGGTTCAAGGAGGGCGAGGTCCAGACCTGGAAGAGCGCCCAGTTCGACTGGATCTACGAGAAGCCATAGATTATGACTAGAGGATATGGTGATACGATGCTATGAAAGGACCGATGGTTTGGGGATCGCGCTTGTCCTGGCTTCCGCATGGGGGTCAGGTCCTTACCTAGAATTGAAATGAAAAAAGCATTTTACAATCTTCTTGGTTGAATTCTTTGTCATGTGATAATGACCTTCGGAATATCTGGGGTGGGAGACTGATTCAGAAGTTGTGGATCTGATCATCGAGATTTGAACACCTACGGACAGCAGGGCACGCTGGGCATGAAAACAGTGGCACACTCACCGAGCACTCTGCCTGTGTGTACACACGAGATAGCTTGTTCTAGAACTAGTGTGCCACTTTTTCCATGCCCCGCGTGCAGGGCTACTTGGGATTATTACGGATATCAAATCTTATGATATGAGTTTCATATCCTTGCAAGCAGAGATTGATTTCAGGCGCTCAAGGCTATCAAAGGCCTTCGAAGACTTCAGCAAGCTAATGGAACGTGCACATTACTCAAGCCTAGAGGCCAATACTCTGAGTATATGAACTGTCCATCCACTTCAAATTGTAGACCCGTCCAGTAGCATACATGCTCTAGCTGAACAGTGTACCCAAGCAGCTTTATCACATCCTTGCTCTCTGCCGATCCGATCCGAGATGGCTCTCCCAAAAACCTCTATCTTCCAGCTCTCAGCTCCTTTGACAGCCCGTCTTTCCGAGCCATCTAATTCCCAACAGGTCGTATTGCAGACATGATTACTCGTCTGCCTCCGGCTTGACTTTCACATCCTCTGACTTCTTGTCCGCCTCCTGCTCAACAATCGCCCCCTCGCCAGCTTGCAGAGCCTCTTTCTGCTCCGCCTGATATCTCTCCCACTCAGCCCTGTTCTTCTCGCCCTCCTCCCGCTTCGCCCTCTTCCTGTTATTATAATAATCCTTCTTCTGCTCCCACTTCTCCTTCCGCTTCGCCTTGCCCTCCTCCCCCCTCCTCTCCCGATGCCGCATCAACGACCCCTGCCCCCTCGTCCGCTTCCTCTCATTCAACTCCCTCACCTCCTCACTCAACCCCTCCCCCAGGCCCCTCACCTCCCTCTCCCCAATCCTCGCCCTGACCTCCTGAACCACCACATCCCGAATCCCCTCCACCACCGTCCCCGCCAACCCCTCCGGCACACAAAACGGCGCCACCTCCCCACTGCACCCACACCCACTCCTCTGCCCCACCTTCATCTTCTTCCCATTCTTCCCCCCCTCCACCCTCCTTCCCGGCTCCGCCTTCCGCACACCCTCCCACGGCCTCCCCCAAACCGCCTCCACCACCCTATCCGCCACCACCGCCGCGCCCACCGCGGGCAGTCTCGCGCTCGCCACCACCGGCATCGCCCTGCTCGGCGGCCGCACCCGCCCTACCCGCGCCAGTGCCATCAGCACCTGCGCCTCCTGCGGCACGCTGCCGGGAAACCGCCGCTGCCAGAGGTCCTGGAACGCCGTGTCGCCGCTGAGGTGGCTCTTCAGCGTCGCGGGCCAGCCGTGCAGGCCGCGCGGGAGCACGGACCCGGGGAACACGAGGCTGAAGGCCGCTTTGTGGCGGTCCATTTTCGGGTCTGCGGGGGGAGTGGCGCTGAGGGGCAGGATGGTGAGGTGGGAGGCGAGCGCGGCGAGCGCGGCGCAGCGCGGGTGCAGGAGGGTGCGGGCGGCGCGCGGTTGCGAGGTTGTGTGCCGGAGCCAGGCGGTTAGGGCGGTGCCGTAGGGGAGGCGGGTGAGGGGGGTGAGGCGGGGGGTGCGGAAGAGGGTTGTTAGGTGGGGGTGGGTGGAGTGGTTGAAGGAGACGGTGGAGGTGGAGGAATGGTCTTCGTTTTTGGGAGTGGTCTTGTCCTTGGGGGCGTCTCCGTCCTTGGGAGCGTTTTCGTTCGCGAGAGTGGTTCCTTTCTTAGGAGTGTTTTCGTCCATGAGAGTGGCTCCGTTCTTGAGGGTGTCGATGCAGGTTCCGTACATATCGAGCAAGTCCTTGAGCCCGGTGACCATGTGGTCCCATTGTAGCAGCGTCGTGGTCCAGTGGAGCGGATCTGGGGTTCTGCTTTCAGGAGCTTCGTGGTTAGACACCGAGGAAAGCGCCCTCTCGATATCTTTGAAGACCCACCGCAGACGAATCCTGAGTATGATATGTAAGGCGTACGCGCAATCGTGATCGAACTCGCCCTTCTTCAGCGATGCCATCGCTTGACGCAGTCTGAGCTCGTAAGCGTCGTCAACCTCCACATCCTCTTTCCTATGAAGAGCCTGCTGGACAACCCGAATGACAGCATCTACAAGCGTCATACCCATCGACGAAATCTTAGGTTGATCTTTCGCCAGGAAGGTCAAGGGTTCGAAGTCTTCTCCGAAGTGCGGAAGGTCGCTGAGAATAAACGACACGAAGCTCGACTGCTCGACACCAAAGCTGAGCCGATGGACGTACTCAGGCAGTCCCGCGCCCAGGGAATATGTCAAAAACGCGCGCTTGAATCTTGCTCGCTTGGTTGGCTGTTGGAAATGGTTGTGGTATGCCCGGAGAAGCGTGCCAAAGACCTTGACATGTCTATCGAAGCCGTCCGGGGGAGAATCAGAGTCGGGAAGGACCTCGCAGTCGGTGATCTCGTCCGGCGCGAAGAGGTACTTGTAGTTACTAGACAGCCATTAGACACTATAGTTTGAGCAGTTGAATGCTAGAGTCTCATACCTGCTTCCGGCGTCTTGGTCCATGTTCGTAGCAACCACCAGCTCGTGGTACGGCCGGCTCGAAAGCGCGTCCACCGCCGCGGCGACTGTCACGTTCTCTCCAGGCTCGCGTATTAGGAGCACAGACAAAGCCACCGCTTCTCTGTGCTTGGGGTTTGTGTGCGCTGGGGGCTTCGAGCTGTCGTTGGGAAACTTGTCCATCACGAGCGAGCACATGGTCGAGAGGGCGCGGATCTGCTGGTCTAGCTCGTATGCCCACTGCTTCTCGCGATCATGTTGACTGGCCTCCATCTTGGGTGTACGTTAGCAGAGATGCGATGGGTGCAGTGGAAGTCAGAAGTAGTGAAGCGGGATTTGGTGTGGTGCAAAGCGTGTCGCGTTAGTGAATCAGGAATCAAGCAAGTTTGAAGAGATCAAGAAAATAGGCAGTACTGACTTTGTCTTTAACCCACCGCACAACCCGTATCACTATTGAGAGCATACGTTGCATTCGAATGTACAGGGCGGTGTGAAAACTCTATGTGAGTATGACCATGGACGTCGGCAATGGGGCCTATCCGCTTAGGTTTGTTGAGGGATTGAACCTTGGAAACACAGCAAAGAGACCTTGGTCCACAAAAGCGTTCACTATACGGCAATGGAGAACAATTCAGCTATTGGTTGGATGGAAGACTGAAGAGATGGCGATAGATCACGTGGTCCTCATCCAGATTCTATCGGTCTACGTCACTCTGATTGGAAACAAACAGACCTCAGAGTGCCTAGGCCAGGCAAGGCGCCGCTCAGAAATGCCAGCTTACCACGTGAATGTTCTCACCGTCCAAGCTCACCATCGATACCCCCTACACTCGTTGCTGAATCACTGGCCTCAAGAGTCATTCATGGTGGGCTAGTATCTGTCAGGAAGAAGCACATAAGAAGGGAATGATTTATGAAGCTAGCATAAAGGACACTAGTGTAGATCGCGAGGAGAGCACTCACTGAATTGGCATGGCAGATCACGCTGCTGATTGCTCGTCGTCCGCTCCAGGGCAAAGAATTGTCACCATCCGAGGCTCGACCCTAATGCGCATGGGAGCATGACTTTAGAGTACAGAGCTTTTATCTCAGGGACGAGCATGGCTCTCAGTCGCGATTTCGATTTGGAATCCATCTCCGCAACACAAACTCGCGAACCTTGTACTGTTTCAGGATCTTGCCAATGTCGGTCTGCCCAGCTGCTACCTCGATCTGCGTAGGTGGCGGTATATCCACATATACTAGAACCAAGCTCTTGTGTACTTGTGTCTGAACACGGTTGACTCGATGCAGCCACCACCAATCCCGTTCAACACCCTGCTGAGCTGCTGCTTTCTGGTCCGGATGCTCGGACCAATATGGATCGCTGTATGACGGTATGATAATTACAGCAAACTCAGCATGAGAGAACACAGGTCCTCTATTGTAGAGCAGGTAGTCGACAGCGAATTTCACGCCTGGACGGACTACCCAGCCTAACGATCGGAAGTGATGGTAGACAACGTATTTCAGGAGGAAGGCACCATCCGGCTGTAAGTATTGGGACTCACCAGGCGGGAAGGTCGAGTGTTCAGCAAACAGTCCCATAAGCTTCGAAGACGACATCGGTGAGTTTTTGTCAGATACCTCAAGGGCACCAAGAGCGTAGACTAAGAAGAAGGCTTCTTCGCACGTCAGTTGTAAATGCTCCTGATCCTCGATTTCTTCGTCGAGGTCCTCATCCGCTTTGTCAAGGACATTTGCGGCATCTTGGGTTGACGTTGTGACAGTCTCTGTGTCTGGAAGCAGTGTGGATGAAGGCAAGGCAACGACGGAATCAAGTGTTACGTTATTTGCAATGGAAGCATCGGCAGCCCCATTGAGCTCAGACTCATCATGACTCTCAGGAATGTGAGTTCCCACCGGCAACTTTCCTTCGTCCTTCAGCTGCTGTTCGATAGTCTCTCTTTCTTTCCTTGCACGCTCTAATTTGAATTGACGTCGGGTCTCCCGTCTCTGCCGCGTTACTTCTTCGCTGGTTTCGAAGGCTATGAGCCCTCGCCTTCTCTTTTCCTGGTCTAGCCAGCGAGGTTCACTGCGACTGAGCGTGCCCTTTCCGTAGAAGCCTTGTTCCCAGAGAGCTCGAATTGTAACAGCATCTGTAATATGCACAGCTTGCGTGTCGTGGGAGAAGTAGCCTTTGTAGAGATTCGGTAAGTGAGATGACGGCGGCCAGAAGTATTGGGAGACCACTGTCAAGATGATGCGCGCAACAGACAGTGGGTTGTGAGGAATAAAAGATGGCACGGGGTATATTTCTAGTGGCAGAGGGTGGCTGTGTATCTGAGCGTAGTTGGGTTTCTTCGGCCTAGGCGTCCGCTCTTGAGGTTTCACAGCGACCTTCTCAGGCAGCTTCCCATCCTCATGGCCCGTTATTACAGGTGGTACCACTCCATTCGCACCTTCGACTTTGGAAGTCATCTCGGGGTCCAGATGGCGTCGTTTCGCCTAGTTCTTGTGATACGTTAGCTTTCAGCCGAGCGAATAGACATGAAAGCATAATGATGATGTTTGAAGTTGCTCAGATACCGTTGTAGTCTAATACAAATTGGTCTCTCAGAGGAGAACGAAGAAATCAAAATTCGCTCTTCAAGTGTACAATAAGGTGTCATCTTCGCAATTTGACGCGTCGCCAGTGGGAAAAAGGTTAGAGCTTCACTTACAGTTCTCAGCCCAAGCTGATGGACGGATGGACAAGCAGACGACCGACAGAAGTGAGGGTTGCCGTAGACATCTCCAAGCTTGGTGATCGTAGGAGCTTGGAGCAGCGCAGATTTTGATGTGAGTCGAAAAGGCTGCGGCGCTACATTCTTCCGGAGCTCTTATCGATAAGACACCACTGCAGAAGAATGTCAACGGGACAGGTCAGACGTTCATTCATCCAGCATAGAACGGTTCTAGACACGCAGACATGTTCCTCACAACGAGGTGGTCCTTGAGACTACCTCGACTAATCTACAGGCCTCTGTCGACCTCCAACCGACCCCGAGGCCGTCCCCTAAAGAACTCCCTTAACAAATCGCCACCTTCGCAATTCGTCCGATCACAGAAACAACCTCAAGAGCCTGTCCCAGCACAGCCAAGTAGCGATCCGTCTAAGATTGAAGCGGTGTCAACAGCTTTGAGTCAGGCGTCTGATGCAGATAACAACCTCCTCACACCTGTTCATATACCAGAGGATCCCCATGGCGTCCTTAAAGAGAACCACCCCGCGGTTTCGCTACTCCACAACTCTTCCATCATAGTACAGCGACAGATCGAAATGATGAATGTGTTTTTAGGATTCGAGCAAGCAAATCGATATGTAATAATGGACCCGCATGGAAATCATATTGGCTATTTGGCAGAACAAGAGCATGGAATGGGGAACGCTATTGCTCGCCAGATGCTCCGGACCCACCGGAGCTTCACGACACATGTATTTGATAAGCACGAGCAAGAAGTACTTCGGGTACGTAGATCTATGTTACCTAGACGTTATAAAACAACCCAGATTTCCATTAAATCTATCTACATTGGTTCTCACAAATGTCCTAGTTTCATCGTCCTTTCAGCTGGATTTCTTCAAGGATCAGAGTCTATGATGCCCAAAACGATACTGAATCATACTCGCCCTCCACATCTCTACAAGGCACGAGTGTTGGCTCTATTGCTAGCCAAACGTCCTCCCATATCTCGTCCATACCTCTCTCACAAATGCGAATTATCGGATCGGCCGAGCAAGAGTGGGCACCTTTACGTCGCAAATACAACTTGTTCCTCGCACGCAACCTCAACCAAACCCAACCCGACCCGAACCTGCCCCAACTAACATCAGGCGATCTTCCACTATCGAACTCCAAAGCTTTACAAGTAGTAGAAGGCGACTCGCGCGAGACTGGAATGATGCAGTTTGCTCGTGTCGACGAGCCATTCTTATCCTGGGACTTCACGCTATTATCAGAAGATCAAAGACTACTCGGCTCCGTCAACAGGAACTTTGCGGGCTTTGCAAGGGAAATCTTCACCGATACTGGCGTGTACGCGTTGCGTATGGACGCGGCGGGTCTCGCATCGGAGCCGTCGCATATCATTTCGAAGACCAGTGCACGTCACAAGGAAGACATACAGTTGACACCCGGAATGACGCTCGACCAACGGGCGGTCATGCTTGCCACCGCGGTGAGCATCGACTTCGACTATTTCAGCAGACACAGTTCTCAAACTGGCGGCATGGGATTCATGCCACTGTGGTTTCCCATGGGCGGCGGTGAAGCTGCTGGAGGCGCTGCTGCTGGAGGCGCGGCTGAGGCTGGTGCGGTTGGAGCGGGTACTGCAGAGGCGGGGACTGCTATGGGCGAAGTTGGATCTGTAGCAAGAGGTGTTGGATCCGGCGAAGGGGCGATAGCCGGTGCAGGGACGATGGCTGGATATGAAGCCATGCAAAGAGGTAGAGGCTCCTCCCCGCAACCAAATGAGGAGGAAAGTAAAGGGGACCCCTTCGGTGCAGGAGGAGACCCGCGAGACGGTGACAGCCCGTGGGCTTCAGACGAAGACTCACATTGGTTCGGGGACGATTCTCCGGGCAGCAGTTCTGGCCCAGAAGATGGCGGGAGCAATCTCTCCTCGGGATCACAGGGACCACAAGGTGGTGATGGAGGCGGAGGAGAAGGCGGAGGCTGGATGGATAGTTTTGGTGATTTCTTTGGCGGTGATTGAAGCAGTCAGAGCAGACAAATGTATCACCACCCTGTATTCGGATAGTCTGTAAATCAAAACGCAATATCCAACTCAATACGAGTAGCACGAGAAGATCTGTGTATTTGAACTAAACATAAGCTACACCTGTCAAATTAACTACAACGACCAATAAAGATTGCGCTAGGCACGTGCGTCATTGTCGCAAACTCCACGAACCTCAACCTTCACATTCACTCTCCAAGAGAACACCTCTCACCAACACTTCAACACGCCACTCCCAAATAGGCAGCTCTCTTACTGGCACCGCCAATAGCTCCATCTCCCACTCTCCAAACCAAACCACGCCTCACAACCTCCCAACTCTTCTACCCCCACCATGGCCAACCCCGCCAGCAAACGCCTCTTCAAAGAATACCGCGGCCTCTCCTCCGACCCTCCCGAAGGCATCACCGCCGGCCCCGTCACCGAGGACGACATGTTCCTGTGGGAAGCGCTAATCCAAGGGCCCGAAGGCACGCCCTTCGAAGGCGGCATCTTCCCCGCGGAGCTCAAGTTCCCCAAGGACTACCCGCTCGCGCCGCCGACGATGCGCTTCACGTGCGAGATGTGGCACCCGAACGGTACTTCCCACCCTTCCCAACCACTCATGCGAAGAAGGAATTGGGGTAAAGCTGACGAGTTTGCGGGAGTTGGGCAGTGTACCAAAACGGGACCGTGTGCATCTCGATCCTTCACCCGCCCGGCGACGACCCGAACCACTACGAGCACGCGAGCGAGCGGTGGAGCCCCATCCAGAGCGTCGAGAAGATACTGATTAGCGTGATGAGCATGCTGGCGGAGCCGAATGATGAGAGCCCCGCGAATGTGGATGCGGCGCGGATGTGGAGGGAGCGGCGGAAGGAGTATGAGCGGATTGTGCGGGAGAATGTGAGGAAGGGGTTGGGGCTGTAGGGGAGGTGGGGGGGAAATACGGTGATTTTAGTTGGAGCGCGCGGAAGGATCTGTTGTTAGGATGCATGGCATGGCATGGCATGGCATGGCGTTTATTGGGTTTGATAGGTTATAGTGGAGCGAGTCGGCGCTCACAGGGCAGGCGGGTTTTCATCGTCGTTAAGAAGAAAGACTGTTTTATTCAACTCATTACGAAAAGGATGAATGGTTGTCGTTTGCAAAGTGCATGCGTCGAGGACTGCAGGCTCATGCGCAAGTGTGGTCCAATCAAGTCCCGCTCGCTCATAACATCAGGATCATCCCATAGAACAGAAGGAAAAGAGCAACAGGGACAGGCCTCTCACAAGAAGACTAGTGGACAGAATCAATCGGACTCGCTCGGCCACCCTGGGCAAAGAACCTCCTCATTCGTCTCTTCAGCAGACCCACTCGCAACCGGTGGGGATTCTGGGTCATAGAGATCCTCCTGTTTCTCCTTTTCATCAGTCTTCGGTCTCTTCCCGGCCAAAAACGCACTGCTGGCCAGTCTCTTCTTTGAACCCGTCATATGTCCTCCCCTCATCACCGGAGCTAGTTGCAAGAATTCTGACTTTCGGTGCACGTGGCGTTTACGGTCCGCAACCAATGGATCGATGCTCTTACTATCCTCGTAGGCATACTGCGGCATAGACAGCATCTGCCTATCGTCTTTCGACATATTGGAGTCGCCGTCGTCTATGGCATCCTCTGGTGACAGAATGATGTCAACGGCAGGCGAGCTCTCTCGGCCACGAGACATATTGGAGTCAGTTTTGGAGCTTTCCGATGACTTGGTGGCTAGACACAGTCCCTTGAATTTGCGGCGAGTGAGCTCGGGTGCCCATTGTGCCGGAGGGTATGGGGAAAACGCCTCTGCATCATAAAATCGGGTCTTCGACTTAGGGTCCCAGGCTCCACTCGACCATTGTCCATTGGGGGTGATGTCTTGAAGAGCGTTTGAAGAAGATGGCTCGGGGCTCATGGAGTCATACCTGAGTCGGTCGGGATTCGGTTCCCCTTGACCGCGGCCAGAACCCCGGATCGGCTTGGCAACAACATCCTCGTGAATATGGACAAGTGACTTCTCAAGAGGTGGTACGGTGTCTGTAGGGACCAGTGGAGCTTCAGGGGTGATGTCTTGGAGAGCAAAGATTGGAGACCCTTCGGCAGTTGGCACAAATTCCATGGGAGTAAACGCGCCGGCGTCGAAGTAATTAAAGCCTTCCGAGTTGGAGCTACTCCGTCCTCCTTCCTCTGGAATCTCTGGGTCCAAAAGGGATGACGATCCTAAGAGCCTGTTGGCCTTTGAGATCTCATCTCTAGCACGCATAAACTCAGTAGGGGTCAGAGGCCTACAGATTGGAGACCACGTGGGAGACGGCACAGTGCTCTTGAAAGTCGACGCGGCTTCAACGAAGCGATGAGAACCTTTAAAAGTCGGGCGGGCATTTGCTCCTGTCTCGAGGCATTTTGACCCCGAAAGTAACGGCCCCAGAATGGAGGAGTGTGATTTTGTTCTGGCATGCGCAGGCTTTGGCCATGGCTGTTGTTCCAAGGGCATACCCATCTTAGACAGATAGTGAGGATCGAGTCCTTGACCCCAGGGAGGACGCCGCCAATTGATCATGTCGAATCTCTTTCGCTTTCCTTGACCATCGACACGCCTAATGGCATCCTGGAGAAGCATGCAGCGTGCTGAGCCGGCAATGATGAGCTCGTGATCTCCATTCTCGAGATAGCGCTTGTGCTGGCGCTCGTACGCATCCAGGCGAGCTTGGAGCTGGTCGAGGCTCATCTCGCAGTATCTGATCTTGAACCAATTCATCACGCGTATCGTGCCTCCATACAAAGACCAGAGGAGACTCATGTCCAGATCGGCTGTGGTGATGCAGGTGTCGGGGATGGCTATGTCTCCCATGGAAATGCGGCGTTGCTTGTAGGAACAGAACTGCAACGAGTTGTGGAACACAGCTTGTCCGGCGATGGCATCGTTGAGGATCTTGAGGCGTTGTTCGTGGTACGCAAAGGGGTGGAGTTGGTTGTGGTAGTCCCATTTTCCGTCTGCTGCTTCGTCAAAGAGACCGTCGAAACGGCTAGCGTCTTCGAGACGGGCGAGCTCGTAGAAGGCACGAACTTCCATGTCGGCGGCGTTAAGTGATGCTCAATAGGACGCCGGGAGTATGGATGAGGAGGATGCGATGGGAGTCGTGAGATGGTGGGTAGAGAAGACAACATGGTTTTAGAAGTTTGGGACATAACGAGACGACGACCGAAGGAAACTGCGAACCTTTGCATTCATGCTTACCCGTATTTACGAGCCCGTGAATGGAAAAAGAGAAAGCAGGATGCATTACTAGAAAGCGCAACGGCGTTCCTAGCGTTAGGAGCGCCTCGAGGCGTGAAGAAAAAGCAACCTGAACCTTGGAAGTACCTCCACCTCGAGGAGTCGGTTTATGTGGACATTCAAACTGAGAAGCGACGAGCTCTCTACCTGCGGCTCAAGTATGCTATAGTGTATGCGTAACCAGATGAAGCGAGAGTGGCACTCTACGGATAGTGAAGGAAGCATCGTCAATTCGGCAGGGCATGAAGCCGCTGTTATCCGAGCAATACCTGGGTTGTTTCCCGTCTGAAGACATAACCCTAGCATAGACGTCAGGGTCCGCCCGCGTAGATTGATAATGGCCGTGGTGTTGAGTGGCCACGATGTATTTTAGTGTCAATGGGGGTCAGCCGAGTCCGGTGATTGTGCGGCATCACATCATCGCGATCTCTTGCACGGTTGGCTGTGGCGCGCGACGGGCAAGAGTTTGCTCCAAGCGGCTTCGTGTGGCAATTAGCAGCATATGATACGGCCAAGGGGCCTCCAGGCCTTCGCGGTGCAATCAAGTGTTTTCAAGCATCATTTGAGTATCATTTGAGTGTCTTTCAAGTTTATCCTGCTGATCTGCAGTATCGCCGCCGAGTCCCCGCAAAATCTGACCCCGCCACTTCTCACTGCCAAGCAAGTGCACGAGGAATCACGCAATCGCAGAACACAGTCCCAACATGGTCAAGGTGCGAGTTGGCCCCCCTATAGGCCCTATACACCCTGCCTGAAGGGGCAATTTGTAAATATCCGGCTGACGCTAGGCCCAAAGCTTGAGCATACCGTCCGGAAGCCTTTAAATCGAGAGCCGCCGCTCGAAAAGCTCATCTCCAGGTACTGAACACCTCTGATATATCTCCATCTCCAGCCAGCCATCAATACGCATACCTCCAGAGAGACACCACGCTAACTTATGGCCAATCACGCAGTTTCATCACCGAAGAGGGCGGCTATGACCGGAACCATGGGTGAGTATTCCACCGGCGTCATCCTATCACCCGTCTAATACACTACCAGTCCGATCCCATATCTGGATGCCTCAACTCACCGCGTCGCCATCTACGGCGCCGTTACTCAGCAAGAATTCTCCATCGGCCAGCTCTCCTCACTTCCCCAGCACACCGTAATCTGCGCCCTCCAATGCGCCGGCAACCGCCGCCACACGATGCGCACCAAGCTCAAGGAAGTCAACGGCATCGACTGGTTCGACGGCGCCGTGATGAACTGCCGCTGGCGCGGCCCCCGCCTGCGCGACGTCCTGCTGCGCTCCGGCATGGACCTCCCGCGCGAGAAGTGGAAGGACGCCCACGTCGCCTTCGCCTGCTTCCAGACGCCCTGCCAGGACGACGAGTACTACGGCGGCAGCATCCCGCTCGAAAGAGCCATGCAAGAGGACGCCGACGTGATTCTCGCGCTGGAGATGAACGGGCGGCCCCTGACGCCGAACCACGGCTTCCCTGTGCGCGTCGTCACGCCGGGCATTGCGGGCGCGAGGTCGGTCAAGTGGCTGGACCGGATTACGGTACAGCTGTGTGAGTCGTCGAACTTTTACCAGCAGCGTGATTATAAGATTCTGCCGGAGGAGGCGGACTGCGTTGAGAAAGCTAAGGAGTGGTGGGACAAGTGTCCGTCGATTGTGGATATGCCTGTTAACTCTGTCATTGCGGTGCCAGCCTCTGAGAGCACGGTGAAACGTGATGAGAATGGAGTGGTCTATGTTAAGGGGTATGCACTTCCGAGCGGACAGGACGGCCCTGTGACGCAAGTTGAGGTCAGCGCGGATGGCGGCAAGACTTGGGTGCTGGCAGAGTTAGCCCAAGCCGAGTCTCCGGAAAAAGGGGTGAGCTTGAAATGGTCGTGGACGCTGTGGCAAGCGAAGGTGAAGCCGGAACCTGGCACAGGAAAGAAGTTTTTGAGTCGGGCTATGGATAAGGGTGGCAATGTGCAAGCGCCGTGTCCGAAGTGGAACTTGAGGGGAGTTTCCTACAACGGCTATGGTGAGTCGGAGAATGTTGAAGTCATATGACCTTCTTGTCGTCTCTTTTAGCTGCATTTGCATTTTCGAATAGGTTAAGTAACTTGAAGCTTGTCAAGCGGTATGTCATCATTGGTATCCAATCTTTCAATGGCTCTCCCTTTATGATGACATTGCTAAGAACAAGCTACCTCCAAACTGGTTTCGATACCAAGCGGCAAATGTAAAGAGTGCGCTTGGTTTTTCAGATTTCATTGTCATCTCACAAGATTGGTGATGCTCATATCATCTCTTAAAGATCTTAAAAAGCAAAAAGAAAACTCCCCATCGCGAGTCGAACTTAGGCTTGGCGACGGGCCCAAAAAGAATATTCACGGAGCAAAAGTTCGTCGGGCCGAGCCCTGCACTACATCTTTGTCGTGTGGAGGTCGTGTTACACCAGAGGCTGGATTCCAACCCAGCCATCGAGGCGACTTACGTGGTGCCCCCGGACGGGCACCGATGGCGCTATGGAGGAGCCAAGGAATTTTACTAACTATATACCTAGGTTGATTGATTCCAGTCACGTTCGCCTGCTGAATCACACATCACGTTCATCTGCTAAATCACACAACACGTTTACCTGCTAAATCGCGTTCACCTGTTTAATTTGTAAAGGTGCGCCGAGATGCACGCACATGCTCTATGTCTCTATTTTTCTATCTTGATGGCATCTATATGTATTTACGTCAGCTCTTTTCGGTCGTTATGACGTCCGTTGCAATCTCTTTTCCGCCAGCGCCTCCGGCTTGCTCCTCCAAGGCCTCAACGGCATGATTTTCCTCAATTCTATCTTCGTCCCCCGCCATACCAGCTCCTTCAGTTTTCACCTCCGCCTCCGCCACCCCTCCACCACTCCTCTCATCCTTCACCCTCTTCTTCTCAGCCTTAGCTTTGTCCTCTCTCTCCTTCCTCGCCCGCCTCCACCGCGGCCCATACCGCATCAACACCAAGTTCGCCGGCGTGTACGCCAAAAACACGAGCGCAAAAAAAGTATACGTCCACCCATTCCCTATCTTCCCGAGCATCGGAATCACAATCGCGCTCGCGGCCGCGCCCAACGAGCACCTCACCAAATTATTCGCCGCCGTCGCCGTCGCCGGCTGGCCCGGCCACGTATCCACCATCAAGATACTCATACACTGGTTCGTGGCATTGAGCGTCCAGCCCAAGAAGAAGACCAGCACGAGCGGCACGGCGAGGTTCGCCTCGGCCTCGAGCGCCCAGCCGTACGCGATGACGACGAAGCCGCCGAGCACCTGCAGCGGCAGCGCGATCTGCAAGCGGGCCGTCTCAATGGGGAAGCCCGACAGGTCCTGCTGGCGGTTACGCGTGACGGGAAAGTTGAGTGCGCGCGCGTGGCGGCGGTAGTTCCAGTCGACGAGCTTGCCGGTGCTGAAGGCGGACACGAGGGTGCCGACGCTCATGGGCAGGAAGACGAAGCCCAGCTCGAGGTCGGAGAAGTGGTAGAGGCGCGAGTACTGCGACGGGATGCCGACGTTGATGGCGTAGAAGTTCATGAGCCCGAAGCCGACGGTGAAGAGGATCAGGGCGGATTCGCGGTCCGCGAGGATGCGCAGCGTGCCGAGGGGGTTGGGGACGCTCAGGCGGTAGTTCTCGCGGACGTAGGCAAGCTGGACCGGGTCGATGGGCGTGTTGGTGCGCTGGCGCGACTTCTCGCGCAGGTGGCCGGTGATGGATTGGTTGATTTTGGGAGGGGGCACGCTGCCGTCGCCGACGACTTTGCGGCAGGTTTCTGGGAAGAAGAGGAGGAGGGGGATGGCGTAGACGGCGGCGAAGATGGTCAGGAACCAGAAGATGGAGCGCCAGCCTAGGTACTGGCTGAGTACACCCCCTAGGATGGGGGCCAGAGATGGTCCTAGGACGTTGGGCAGAGAGGACCAAGCCACATACATGCCTCGCTCAGAAGACGTGACGACATCGCCTACGCAACCAATTGCTAGAGCTACGGTTCCGCTACTACCAGCGCTTTGGAGTGCGCGGAGAATCATGAGGGCCACGTAGTTGTGTTGAAGTGCCAGTCCAATGTTTGCAACGATGTAGATGGAGAAGCAGGCCATGTATGCTGGTCTGCGTCCCGCGCCGTCGGAGAAGCCAGCAATCATCGTTGGTGCTATGCCTTGGATAATCTAGAAAGAAATCAGTACTAGCATTGGCTTCTTTGTTTCATATGTCCCCAACATACCATGTACGTGGTGATAGTCAAATTGATCAGTGAGTTGCTGACGTCCATATCTTTGGCAATGGAATTCAGAGCAGGCAGATAAATCTGTGCCGACATTGGCGAGAAGAATGCCCCGAGGGACGCTGTTAGAATTAAGATTTTCTTCTGCTTGTGCGTGAAGATTGAGTATGCCGGTCCAGTGGCTTCTGGCTGTGAACTCGCCGGTTCAGCAGCAGGATCCTGAGCGGTAACATTTTCTGGTGCAGGGGATGCCATAAGTCAAAGAATGCCGCTGAGATAGAAAAAGGTACGTTTTGTTGTGGAACGAGAAGAAAAGAAGTACATGATATTGCTCTAACAAATGGTACCTCGGAGTCGGAGTCTCGTGACCACTCGGTGTGGTGGAGTTAGCGCGACGGAATTAAGACGCCAAAAATCGCCAGTTCAGACGGACTAGCGGCATGAAACCATTGGCGAATCAAACCCGTACGCTCGCTTGCCACTGCATGAGTGGCCTCATAGTATTTTCAGCAGTCCGAAAAGGAGAGAAGTTCGACTTTTTGGACAATCAGTAAACTCGCGAGGCTACCCCAGACAGCGTCAAAACGGTGTATACAGTATCCGCTGACCCTGGTTTCTCTCAGTACGTTGAAGCCCCACAAACAGTGGCAGCAAAGTGTACAGTGCCTTTTCATAGAGATCCGTACACTCGTCTACCACTGCATGAGAGGCCTCAAAATATTTTCAGCGCTCCAAAACAGAGACAAGTTCCACTTTTTAGACAATCAGGAAACTCGCGAGGCCACCTCAGACAGTGTCAACGGGGTGTACACAGATTGGAATTGTATCCGCTGTTTCTGTTTATTAGTACGTTGGAGCCCCACGGACAGTGGCAGGAAGGTGTACGGATATGTATGGCGAGGCACTGTATATCGAGCAATTGAGGGGCATAAAATACACGAATAAGTCCATATTGGATCTTCAGCTTCATATTGAAGCTGATATGCATAAGGCACCTATGTAAGCCTCCTAACATCGTCAGAAGCTCGCCAGAACTGCCACAAAGCATGAAACATCTTTTTAGCTGAGGCCACTCAAACACTGGCAAAGACCCGGCAAAGTACCCCCCAAGCAAACCCAATACAGCATCCGTTGCCTAATCTTCATAGAATGAGTCGTCGTCGTCGTCTGGCAGAGGTTCTTCCGCCAGTGCTGCCATTTCGCGCATTTGCTCCTCTTCGGAGAGGCGAGCGGGAGGGGGGGTAGCAGGACGTGGAGGAGGGGGTGTGGCGGGACGCGGAGGGACGACATCAGACGCAGTGGCCCTGGGAGCATGCGTCGAAGGGCCCGAAGTAGAAGTAGAAGCTCCGAAGATGGAGCCAACGCCAGCCCGATTTACCGCCTTTCTCTCCTTCCTCGCCTTCGCCATGGCCATTTCCCGCCGCTTCTTCTCCTCGTTCTTCTTCTTCTTGGCCTCGATCTCCAGCTGGTCGGCGACGTGTTGCGCAGCCTCCGCAGCCAGGCGGCGGCACCTCTCGCCCAGGATGTAGGCGCGGACCATGTGGTCTGGAAGGAGGCCGATTGATGATGGAACATACGACGCTTCGAACCAGATAGCGTCCGGAAGCTCTCCCAAGTCGACGGATATGGCTGCCGGTGGTGGTCCTAACGGCAAGGCGATCTGGATCGGAGCAGGAAGTTGAACCTGCTGGATGGTAGGCTGAGGTTGCGGGGGAGGGTAGGATGTGGCACCAGGACCAGCAGAGGTGTCAAGTTGCGGCACGATCGGGAAGGTGTCTGGGGCTCGTTTGGACGATGGCTCTAAATCAGGCTCATTGATGGCAGGCTCTGGCGAACGGTGTGCTGGAATCAAGGCGCGCTTGACGATGGCAGGAGCTGGTGGACGCGGACCCGGTCTGGCGCGAAATTGGAAGCGCACTCCACCACGCCAGCCACTTGTCTCGTTACCCTCCAGGTAGGGGACCCACTGTCCAAAGTAGCCGTCAGCCGTCTCGCCATATCCCTCCGTATTGAAGCCGAAGTCTTCATCAATCCATTGGTAGCCATTCCAGCAACGGATCTTGTTTCGCGATGTGATGAACGGACGATGGTTTCTGTCGCCAGGGATTTGACCGTCTATATCATAGAGCTCCGGGTGCGTAAATGGGTGCGTCTTCATGAACTGGGGGTCCTCCAACTCAGCCAACTCCTGGATCGTAGGCGGTGTGGCGGCGTACGGCTTTGGAGGAGGTGGAGAAGACAGCGGCTTGCGCGTCGGCTTCAGCCTAGGCTTTGGCGTAGGCGCTACCGCAGGCTTTGATTCAGCCTCAGAGACAGTGTTGTTGGCGGAAATGGAAAGCGAGACGAAGTAAGCGGTGATGGCGAGGATCAGAATGAAAAGAAACATCGTGGCCTGTACTTTGAGAACGACGAGGCCGATGATGAGGACAAGGAGCCAGCCTATGGGGTCCATTCTGAGAGCGGTCGTGTTTGAGGTGATGGTGTCGCGGAAGTGGGTGTGACGATGGTGAGGAGAGGAAGAGTCGTGTTGCGGAGGTGGATTTGATGATGTTGAGGAGAGGATGAGCAGTGGCGCGACCTGATGGCTTATATGTTTTCGGTGACAATAGAATCCGCTGAATAGGCGTACTATTGTTGGTGAATGAATACGACTGAATGGCAGGAAGAAGCGGGGGAGGTGAACGGCTGAAGACGGATGGTAGACGGCAACGCGAGGAAGTGAGGAGGAATGGAGCCGACGCGAGTAGGTGAAGGTGAGGAGGAATTGAGCCGGCGCGAGCAGGTGAAGGTGAGGTGAAAGGAGGCGGGCGTGAAGCTGCACAGGCCGGGGAGAGGATGGATTCACTGGTGAATATAACACCTTATTGTTCGGTCGTGAAGAGGAGTTTCGAAAGAGCATCTTCTTCAGGGAGACATCCATACGGCAACCACTGGATCGCTTGACTGGCAGCCATTACACCGCTTAGAAGCACGCCTACAGCTTCGAGACTTGTTCAAAACGTCATCCCCTGGGCTTCAGGAATTGGGCACGATCTGTGGTCCATGCACGTGACTGTCCAATTCATCCCACACTCACCATTCTAATTGCGGTTGCTTTGAACTTGAGGCTATAATACCGATCGTTACTGGCTACACTCTATATCATGAGGCTCGTATGTGAGGATTGGGGACCTACGTGACTGTGCGAGATGCCACTGGGTCTACTACTAAAAACAGCCTGCTATGTCGCTCCGGGGCCGATGCAAATCTCATCGCCGCATCCTGCTTTCGGCCCAAGTGCCCAGATCACCAAAATACGTCTCCGGGTCATCTCCTGACCAGTCTTGTAACGCAAACCACACAAAGCGTGCGTCTTGCCCTGCTTGAATTACGCGTTCATAGTCAGGTGCTTCATTGAACAGAACCTGGGTGAACGGTCAATTATGTTCCCATTAGTCTCTGAACCCAGATCTCAGACATACCTTGAAGTAACAGTCAGCCCATTTCTTAAACTCCCTGCGATCCTCTTCGTCCGCACTATCAGGTGCTCTCGTGACGGCGGCCTTTGCGTCCGCGTCCACTACTAGATCGACCGTCACGGCCATCAAGGGGTCTGACAAAAGCGCAGGGAGGATACAGCCAGTCTCCCAGTCATACACAGATGTGACCCGCGGCGTGCCGTTCCAGTCCGTTGTGATGGACATATTGTGGATCCCGAAGTCGCCATGTTCAAGCACAAGCCTGTAAAAGCAACTATCTTCCGTGCCTGTAGGCATGATCTGTGGAACAAGGCGCAAAAGGGACTGCTTGGCTGCAAAAGTTTTTGGCCCGACCGTGTAATTATCACTGGGCCATCCGATTGCTTCGCCTAAGGTTTTGATGGTTGCTTGGATCTTGGACTCAAAGAGATGGATGCAGAACTCGCGGGTGGGAGCGACTGGGATGCTGAATGACGTGGGCTTTTGCTCAAGAAGGCGATCAAGTAACCACATGCTGCTAAATGCAAGCGGGGGGTTGAATTTGAAGAGGGATGCGCGAATGACCGCTGCCTGAACGAGGAGAAAAGTCTACGATGTGTGTCGGTATCATATTGTGGATACATTAAGAAGGCTGCACACATACCTTTCCTTGCTCATCTAGGTCATCCCAGACCTCGTTGCCCCCCTCTGCTCTCTCGAATACCATTAAACGACGGCCTGCAAGATTCCGAGGAGGCTTGACTACAGGCCCACCGTGCTGCGTGGGGATGCGGTAGTAGAGCAGACGTGAGACTAGAATACGGGGCTCTGAGCTTAAAAGCTGGTATGTTGCCGCTTCGAACTTGATCTCTGCGATTTGCACACCAATTGGGAGGCCATCGAATTCGGGCATGTTGACGTCGCCGCGAGCCAGACGAGCGACGAGGTCTAGTCCGTCGTCAGTTTTCAGATGAAGGCCCTACGCGTGGCCAAAAAACAGCGTTCAGTAAATATGAGATTGGAGGGCCAGCATTAAGAACGCACATAATTGTTGGCGCCCTTAAATATGAATGGGATATCGATGACATTTACTCTAAGGTTCCTTTCAATCTCCAGAATGAGAAGATTAACGTCCCAGACTCCATCAAACGGGTTCTTGCCATCATTAACGAGGGAAAGGAGCCCTTTGCCATCAAAAGGGCTGCCATCTGGCATTGTAGGCCAATCATCTTTGATGTATTTGCTCATGACGGGGAGACTGAGTGACGTTGCAAGGGAAGGCAGAAATTCATCGAGGAAATTGATAGGAAAGTTAGAACAATGCACACTTTTCCAGCCCCTAAAAATGCGCTGCTGCTGGTCACTTTTCGACTAATATAAGAAAGAAATAAAAGATAGGGGTTGAAGAGTGATGGAAAGAATCTTGGAAAGATCCCTGGACGATGGGTGCTGCTTAGCTAATGCAATAGCTACTCCGATTGAGCGCCGAGAGCTTCAGGGTGCCTCTTCCTTCCAACAACAGCTGGACCAGTCGTCTCGAGTCACCTTCTGCATGTAGGTTCTTGGGGAGATGTTCGACATGCTCGACTTATCTTCTTTCCTTTTGTATAGTATCTAGGCCGTTCTCTGTTCCGTAGCATAGAACGAAGCTTGATCCGCTCCAATTGACCTGTGGAATAGAGACACCCGCCATACAATGCCCGCCCCGAACCCAAATTCGAACGAGCAAACCCAGAAAGTCCTTGTATCTGCCTTAGATGCCAAAGGCTTCGTTGAAAAGGTCCTGGTTGGTAATGGCGTCCCTCAAGAGAATGCATCCATCGTCGCCAAATGCCTCGTAGAAGCCGATCTACGCGGCGTCGACACCCACGGCATTAACCGCATCCCCTCTTACATGGCACGCATACGACAAGGCGTCCTCGACCCTCAAGCTTCTCCCACCCTCCGCAAAATCACGCCCGTAGTCGCTCAGGTGGACGGACACAATGGCTTTGGGTTTCTCGCAGCACACCTGGGCATGTCTGCTGCGATAAATATGGCACAGGAGATGGGAATCGGCATGGTCTCGGTCAAGCACTCGAACCACTTTGGCATGTCAGCTTGGGTAGTACAGCAAGCACTAGACGCGGGTATGATGAGTCTCGTGTTCACGAACTCGTCTCCCGCGCTGCCAGTCTGGGGAGGCAAGGCCAAGCTCATGGGCGTGTCGCCGATAGCTTGCGGTGCACCCGCGGGGAAGAACAAGCCGCTCATCTTAGATATGGCACCTAGTGTCGCAGCGCGCGGAAAGATCTACAAAGCGTTAAGGCGGGGGGAGAAGATACCGAAGGACTGGGCGTTAGATGCGGAGGGCAGACCCACAGACGATCCTGCCAGCGCGTTGGAGGGTGTAATGCTTCCAATGGGTGGGCCGAAAGGCTCGGCACTAGCTATTATGATGGACATGTTCTCTGGAGTGCTTTCTGGGAGCGCATTTGCTGGACATGTCACGAATCCCTACGATCCGTCGAAGCCGGCAGACGTGGGCCATTTCCTTGTCGCTATCAAACCGGATCTGTTTATGGATCTAGGGGCGTTCAAAGACCGCATGGACTACCTCTACAAAAGAGTCGTTGAGTCTGACAAGATGGCAGGAGTGGACAGAATCTATTTCCCGGGCGAAATCGAGCAACTGATGCAGGAGGACCGTCTCAAGAACGGAATTCCCTATGTCGACGCTGAAATCGAAGCTCTCAACATAGAGGCTCAAAAGGTGGGAGTCGAAAGCATCAAGTCCCGCAACGGCCCGATTGTCAATGAGAAAGCCCGCCTCTGAGCCAGTAGGTCGCGTGTCTACAATATCACTTGTTTTGCTGTGAAACTGGATTGATCCGCTTCTCAATAAGCAATACTATTTCTTATCTTCTGTCTACGGCGATTGATTCCTAAATCTTCCGCCTAGGGAGTAAAATTCTTACTCTGTCATTCGAAGAAGGCAACTAGTCCGACTGTGTTATACCTACTGTACCAACGTATGCAGCTAGGAGTGTCTCGTCGCCTTTGCCTCGAGACGCGGCTTTGTCTTGGCAGCGGGATAGAAAAGAGAGAACGATGAGATGCCTGAGAGTACAACAAAGGACGCCACTTCTACAGCGAGGATCTAGTTTTCTATCTGGATTAATCTCAAAAGTATATTATCCTCTGTATTCTTTTCCATCAATATCTTGTCTGTTTTGCTCAAAAAACAAAAACGTACGCCAAAATGGAGTAAGCATAATGATACCCTATAAACTGTACAAGAAATTAGCACATCTCGAATTCTTGGTCGGTTGCGCGCATGAACCGTACGAGTAGTAACCAAGGTTGCCAAGTTGACTAGTGAGAAGCACGCAGTTCTAGAACCTGTAAGTGTGTTTAGTCTCATAAAATCTTTCACAGTTAGTGTATATCTCAGATCTCGGTTGACCTCGTGTAGGACTACTCCGAACAGCGTCGGCGAAATGATTCTCACGCCGAGGGATTCACCGTCGTCATTCTGGGCAAACCTTGGAGGTGCACGCCAAGTAGAAAGGAAGCGGGGAAGTTTTACACCCTGGAGGCTTCCCACCAACGGCAGTCTATGTCCCACGTCCTCCACACCACAAGGCTGGGTTAGAGGTGATCTTACTCAATATATATCGGCCATTCCGACGACGCCAAGTAGTTCATTAAGCATGCCCAGGAAACTGCTGTGAATGCTTGCCAGGCTTCGACCCCGTTCTTGTGCTCGGTGCTGCAACCCATACCGCCACTCTAACCTTCACCACGATCCATTCCTTGTACACCGGGCGAGTTGCACTGCACTCCACGCTCATTCCATGGCAGCAGCCGTGTCGCTCCCCGCATGGAGTACTGTTTACCGGTGTCTGGTTCAACTGTTGCGGAAATTCATGGGATGGCAGCACAGTCCGGTGCTTGGCCAGTGGATAGCATAAAAAACACGGCAGAGATGCTTGCAATTGTGTCCCACTGTGCAACCCGAGTCCCGCGTGATCAATTCGCTTTGGGGGATTTTGTTACATACCCCTCATTCGCCGCACCTCACTCTACAACCACCGTCTCATCGTAGAGCTAGCTTCGATCAAAGCCTCCCAAACTCTACCATACCGTTGAGATGTGGAATCCATGGCGCGAGAACCTCAAGGACACGCCGAGGGAGTCGCTGAATTGGCGTCTCTGGTTTGGCGTCTTCGGTATGTTTGCTATGCTGATTGACTCGACACTCTATTAATGCTGCGCACAGTTTTTGGAATTATGGGAGCAGCGCGAGGCATTGATGAAGGTCTTATCGGAACTACCGCCACCCTCGACCCCTTCATCAAAAAGTTCGGCCTGAAAGACTCGTCTAAGAACAAACACGAGCAGGCCGAGTTGCTTTCCAATATTACCTCGATGGTGCAACTGGGCTCTATTCTCGGAGCACTCATTGCATTCTACCTCACCGACAAACTCGGACGTCTCTGGGCCACCAGGCAGCTTTGTGTTATCTGGGTCATCGGCATTGCCATCTTCCTTGCAGCCGCTCCCTCAGGTAGCATTGGTATGGTGTACGCAGGACGTTTCATCGCAGGTATCGGCATCGGTCAGACTACCGTCGTTGCGCCTACCTATCTAGCAGAAACCTCTCCAAGGGCCATCCGTGGTCTTTGCGTGGGCGCTTTCTCCGGAGCCGTGTATCTCGGGATTATGCTGGCCTATTTCGCCTCATGGGGCTCATCGATCCACATCTCCGATAAATCCCAAGCTCAATGGCTAGTACCAAACTCCATGCATCTCATGTTCGCAGGCATCATCTTCGTCCTCAGCTTCTTCGCCAAAGAGAGCCCGAGATGGTTCATCAAAGTCGGACGGCACGAGGACGCAGCCAAGAATCTCAGCCAGCTCCGAAACCTCCCGATCGAGCATGCCTACGTCCAGAGCGAAATCATCGACATCAACGACCAGCTAAATCGCGAGCGCGAAGCTACCATGGGCACCTCCTGGCTGGGTCCTGTGCGCGAACTCTTCACCATCCGCTCAAACCTCTACCGAATCATGCTCAGCGTGATGTCCCAAGTGCTCGCGCAATGGTCCGGCGCCAACAGCATCACCATCTACGCGCCCGAATACTTTGCTATGATGTACGCTCCCCCCCCTCAACCTCCCCTCCCCTTCCTCACCTCTAACAGCACCTCGCAGGGGCACAACCAGCCAAAACGAAAAACTCTTCGCCACGGCCATCTTCGGCCTGGTCAAATTCGTCTCGTCGATGCTCTGCGCCCTTTTCCTCGTCGACTACATCGGCCGCAAGCGCGCCCTCTCGACGGGCATCATCCTGCAGCTCTTCTCCATGCTCTACATGGCCCTCTTCCTCGTCATCGACACCTCGGTCGGCGCCGCCGTGCCGCACCAGTCGCCGTCGCAGAAGCGCGCGGCCCAGGGCGCCATCGTCATGATCTACTTCTCCGGCTTTGGCTGGGCGCTCGGCTGGAACAGCATCCAGTACCTGCTCAACTCGGAGATCTACCCGCTGCGGCTGCGCGCGCTCGGGGGGTCCATCGCCATGACGCTGCATTTCGCGAATCAGTACGGCAACTCGAAGGCGGTGCCGCTGATGTTTATTGGCATGACGACGGGGGGCACCATGTTCTTTTTCTCGGCGGTCACGGCGGTCGGGTTGGCGTGGGTGTGGTTCTTCTTGCCGGAGACGACGGGGAAGAGTTTGGAGGCGATTGATGCGATCTTTGAGCTGCCGTGGCATTTGATTGGAAGGAAGGGGAAGCAGATGACGGAGGGGGTTGGGGGGTTGGCGGAGGTGCTGGATCAGGAGGGGGAGAAGACGGTGGAGTTGGAGATGCGGGAGAAGCGGGTTGAGCGGGTGGAGGATGAGGGTGAGGAGACGAGGGTCTGAGGAGGGTTTTACTGGATAGGCGTGGGGCGTCATAGGGGCTTACTAGACCTATCAAATGATTCCCTTTAAGTTTGAGAAATCGAGTGCCCAGGAGTTGACATCACTGCCGTGCAAATTTGGATACACCAGGGGGGCCATGATACGGTTACCCGCGTCTCCAGACAACAACTGTCAAACCCTCGGATTGGAATGTGCAGGAGTTAAGAAGAGCTTCAGCCTCGAATTATAAGATCGGGGAATCAAGTAAGCCTTGAGGGGACTTTGCGTGTGTTCTACTGTACAACTAATTAATACAACAAAAGTTCATTAACACAGCCCTCATCCTCCACCAATCACGTCCACTCCCCCTCCGAAACATCCATCCTGTGCATCACCATAACAAACCCGCCCCCCTCGCGCTTCTCCTTCCGCCGCAAGCTATACGCCCAACTCTTGTGCTTATTCGTAAATAGCCCGTGAATAGGTGTCCGCGGATGCAGGGCGTGCATATGCAAGAACAACAGCAAGAACTGCCAGTCGCTGTAGAACCCGTTGTTGTCGATAGTGATGCTTCGCAGGCCCCAGAGCTTCTCGGCCCGCACTAGCCATTCTTGGAGAGCGATGGGGCTAGGGACAGTGCGGAGGCGGTTGGAGGCGGCGGAGGGGAGGTGCAGTGTGATGGTGACGGTGGTGTGGTCGAGGTTTGCGAGGAAGGGGATGAGGGCGAGATCTTTGAGGGCGGCTTCGAGGGATCGAGCTGGGAGACGGAGGTGGTTGAGTTGGGTGAGTTGCTTTAGGGAGAGGCTGGCTAAATGGCCTTTAAGAGCGTTGATGTCGCGGAAGTAGAAACGGATCCTGGGGAAGGCGATGGTAAGGGCCTCCTCGTAGATTTGGCGGTTGGTCCGGAGGAGCGAGAGGGCTCGGTGGGGCTTTGAGTGCGGCGGAGGGAAGACAAAACGCCATATCTCGAGGCGAAGCTCCGTTGGCAGGCGTAGTAGAAGAGAGGGTTGGAGATCCGGTTTGGGTTTGGAGTCGGGATCGGAGAAGCACAGGGAAGAGATGCGCTTATGTAGCTCGCATGATATTATTGACCACATGGAGGGGTTTCTTTTGGCAACATATCCAGCATTTTGGTGTTGCATCGCTTCTTCTTTAGCGTCGACGTCCAAATGGCGAGATTTCTCGGATACGGATTCTTCTCTACTCGAGTTGTCCGAAGGACGTCCAATTTGCGACGAGGTGCATTCCTCGATCTTTACATAGTCTTCTTCTGTCTTCATTTGCCTTCTGATGATGGCTTGTGCCAAGAGGTAGCAAGGCTCTCCAGGACTGTATGCAATCACGGGCGCTGACTTGTCTAGAGGAAGGTTCGATACTTGGTTTCTCCCTGTTTGTGTCTTCGTGGGTATGATCTCTGTCACGACACGGTCTCCAGTTTCTTTGTATGGCTCCATAGTTTTAGAATCCGATTCAATCCGTTCGAGATGACGATGAATGTCGGTCACGAGATCTGAAGCTTTCTGATCGACGGAAGTCAAGATCTAGTTTGAACGGGAAATGAGGACACGGGCTCTATTCTAGGGGCCTGCGTGTAATTGCAACAAATTGAGGACTTATAGATATGCTTGAGGTGTCGCTCTGGGGTAGGATGTCTGCTTTAAGTGGTGTGGATTCGATGGTGATGGAAGGGAGTTCGCGATGCCAAACGTGATTGCCTGCGCCGCAAGGCTGTTGTATCGGGGCGCCCCTTGGCCCCTGGCGCCGTCTGTCAGCAGGTGGCACAGTCCGCGCTCGTGACACAAGTTCAGCTGAGTTCCTCAACGATACTGCATCAGATTCAGCCACTCTCTCCAGCTTCAACAATGATACCGAGAACACTATTCATAGATGGGGCCCGGCCCGCTGCCAGGCCCCGGCCCCACCAAACTCGTATTGCCTGTGGTGATGCAAGATGAACAGAGATATATGATATATCAATCAGCTCTGGCATAAACTTTGTATGTCGGCTTTCTATATATACGTGATTCGTATTTGTCTCTTTTCTCTTGTTGCTAACGCAGCCTTAGAGATTCTCGAGAGTCCAATGCTACAGATTGTGGGGTGTAGAATAGGGACCTCGTGCGTGTATGACGGGAATCACCACTATCTCCAGGGTCAAGGACTAATACTGTACAATTGTCTCATTCTGTAAGGTATGCTTATGTGGATATATATATAGACAAGAAAAAATAGACTGAAACGGAAAAACGCCACAACATGAACGCCCATTTCCTAAATTTGTTATTTACAATGAAAGCCGAAAGCCCTTCTCACCCCAAACATCTTCATGCCCAAACCCAATGCTACTCTGAGTCTGAGGAGTTATAGCTAGCATCCGACGCATCCTCCATTGCGGCAGCCAACAGCCGAAGTTCCTCGGCTTGCAACGCTTTGCTCATGCCAATTGACAGCTGCAAGCCATCGTCGCCAGCCCTGTGGTAGTTCCAGGAGAGATCGAGGTCCTCTAGAAGATGAGGCTCATCGGTCCGCCCGAGACGGCACTGAACTTTCCGGACTTCGAAGCCATAGACGCCGGTGGAGGAAGAGTCGGTGATATCCATGGATGAGTCTCGGCGGATATGGACAGGGAGGCTTGGCTTGGAGGGTGTGGGTCCCTCGGTCACTGAGACGCCGAGAGGTCCTTCTTGAATAACGGCGCTCTTGAACGTCGCGTTTTTGAGTTGTTGAAGGCCAACAACGAAGTATAAAGTCTGGTTTTGGGCAGCCATCGAACGCATCCAGGCCAGGGCAGCGGGGTCCTGGCAGATGTTGTCGAAGGCGGAATTGGGCTGAAGACTGCGGTATTCCATTTCATCCGCGAGTAGGAGGATGAGGTCTTTCCTTGATGGGTCGACCTTCCGCCCCGAGAGACTGGCAGCTAGGCGGCCTTCATCATCGAAAGCAACGAGGTCTTTGTACCGTGCTTGGATATAGGGTTCTCTAAGGTCCTGTGCTCCTAGGGTAGAGGCACTGAAGAAGGGACCGGATGACGGTGAAAGGGGATTCGGAAGTAGTTGACCGAGAGACAAAGTGTTGGGTGGGAGAGGCTGAGAGAGAAGAAAGAGACCGGGGGAAGCCATTTTGATGATAGTGATATTATATGGAGGACGTAAAGCTGAGGTCGAACGAGATGATATTACGATGAGGGCGATGAGGGCGATGAGGACATATACTTGCCATCCGGGCCCCCGCAGATAATATACACATGCTCCTGCCCCGGGATCCGGGCAAGGATAGACAATCAGCCGAGCTCCCGCCGACGTTTGAGGCGGTATTTTCTTGCAGGAAAGCGGAGCAGTCCCTCAGACCACCGTCAGGCCAGGCGATGCGGTCTATCAGTGGCTACTCCAAGCGGGGTGTACAGGCGGTGCGACACCAATTGTTCTGGGTCTTGGATGCGGTGAAGAGGAGGCTGTCACACATGGTGTGTTGAGGGCATTTCCGGGAGGGAATGCATCGGTTGTCGCCGGTTGGGAGTCTCTCACGATATTTTCCGAAAGGCGGTGATGGTGGAGACTGCCACCGGGCGCTTCCTAAGCAGGGGGTGCGGGAGATGTCGCGATCTTTCTTGCAGTCACGAGGAGACTTACTAGATTTGATTAGAAAGGTACATACATAGGCCTTTACGACTCCGGATAAGATGTAAAGGCTCATGCAGTGGGAATTAGACTGCCTCCTGACTAAAAGGCACCTGGTGGCCGGGTTACTCCTTACAATAGTGTCGAGCGAACAAGAGTGGAGCGTGAGCAGTAAAATAACCGCTTACCCAGCCCTGTATCCTAGCGTTATATTGAGTTTGTTGCATTCGGATGCCTTTATCTCATGAAGTGTTGAATTAGGCGGCGAGGGGCGTAGTTCTACCAAGATGGAATTTGACCTCCGTGGGGTGGGATGCGCGGACAACTTTTAGAAGGCCTACAATGTGGACACAATTCAACCTTAGATGATTCTGAGGACATGGTCAAATTAAACCTGCGTTAGTGTAGCAATGCACTAGGCATTGGAGAAAAGGTAATGCTCCTGGATTCTCACAGCGTCTTCAAACCGTGGCGGAGAGAATACCGAGCCAAGCTGCACCTGGACAAGCATTAATAGAGGGCCTGCATCAGTGGTGTCTGCATAGCGATAGTGTTTGTGGAATAATAAAATGGAGCTGCGCGTTAATAAGCTGCGAATATGCGGTCTTCGGGTTTGAATCTCACGCAACGTTGCTCTTTCTTCAGCATCCTGGGCCCAGCAGAAAAGGGCAAGACCAGCATGCTCTCTGCTTCAGGAGTCACAGTTTCCAGTCGAAAGACCTGAAAAGTCGACATCGTTTTCCTCGTGGTTCAATCGCGGGGACCCGTAGGGCTGACACATGGAATGCACTGTGACACGCGCCCTGTACCAAGAGCCCCAGACGCCGGCGTATGGCGTACTTGAGGAGGCATACGCCCAGGAACAGAGCAATTGGCTCATCCAGACATCGAACTTGACATAGGATGCCCTCGACGGGCGCGAAGAGGACTCAGGCAGAGGTGGCGAAATGATCTCCATCCGGGGGATGATGTGGCGTACAGTGCCACAGTGCTTGGTCAGTAGCCAGTCTCCTCATGTCCTGTTCATTCCCATCTGACGGCATTGCTAGATACTCGCACTGGGCATCCTGTGGGCAGGTGCAACTATGCAGACTCGACCGCCACCGAAGCTACACTCAGCACTATCTTCAGAATGGCCATGGCTCCGAGAAGCGCAGCCTACGGCTCTCTCGGATCTGTCGTCTGACACTGCCACAGCCTGAAAATACAACCTGAGGCGGCGCCATACTCTGTCCTTCCCACTCTTCAGAAATCCACGCAATGGCGGATTCGATGGCCGGAAACCCCCCTAACCCCCCCCCCCGCCGCTCTCGTCCAAATGCGCTCGCCGAGATACAATTCGCGTCCATAGTCGATCCGGATTTCACACCGTCGGAAGACGAGTTCTCGGATCCACAGGGCTTCCAGCCTGAAGATGCGCAATCCGTCATAGGAGTTAGCATTGGACAGGCGCAAACAAGGCTCACGTCTACAAAAACTCCGGCTGCTGAAAAGGCTGCCGCATTGGAAGATGTCGAAGGTGGGGGGCTGTTTGATAGCAGCTGGGAGAAGTCGCCCGCGGGAACACCTGATGAGGAACAAAGGGAATTCGGGGTAGATTCTGGACCAGAAGAAAAGAGAGACACAGACCAGCCAACACCTGAGCAGCCAACGCCCGCACCGCCAACAACTCCTCCTGCAGTTGAGGTATTGCCAGCCTCACCACCTGCCAGACTACCCTCTCCTTGGAAGGCTGGTCCTCGGAAGTTCCAACGACTCGACGAAACCAAGAACACTCTGCGCGAGAGCTTCGGCGGTCAACGTCGGAGAGCGTCCTCTGGAGGCTCAACTTCGGAGACGCTGAAGAAGTATCTGTCGAGTTTTAATTTGCCCTCCATGCCCAAGAGCCCCAACCTGCTGAACTTCTCTTTACCGGGCTTCTCTACCTCTTCAGTTTCAGACAGCAGCCATGCCGGGGATCGCGCCGTAGAAGACTCACAAAGACCGAAAGGACACTCTCGTGCTGGATCTCCTTCGCTAGTGCAGCTGGATGGCCCGCAAGCCCGCCGTGACCCGAAAGCTGCTCATCAACGCTACGCTACCGTTGCAACCAGCTTACTGCAGCGTGACAATCCACCACCAGCTGTTCACAGAGAGCTTGTAGATATTCACCCAGGCCGCCCCCACCCCGCTCCTGACTCAGATCGACTCAGAGCAGTTCAATCGCCAATTCACCACCCCAAACTTAGACGATCCGCATCCGACAACTCTCTCCTCATGCATCGGTCACTATCTCGAGCGTCTTCCTTGGGCGACGATAGCCGTTTTGAACATGTTCAAGAGCAGGTTAATAGTCGTATCAAGGCGATCAAAGATAGCTGGCAAGATGCAAATTTCAAGCTCCCTAGTTTGCCAACGATGCCTAACTTCAATTTTGGTGGTTCTAGGTTAGATCTTGCGCGACAAGTTAATCCTATTGCCACCCACAAGGCGCCTGTCCAACGCATCACGAACGGAGACGCTACCACTGTACCTCGAAAGATGTCCCTGTCCAAAGCGAATCAGACAACAACGAATGCCGGCATGTCAGCAAGCAATGCCGCGTCGCATCCGTACTTTACTGGAGCCTTAAAAGATCTCACGGGCGACGTTGTAATACTCGGTGGCTACAGAGGATCAATATTACGCTCAGCTGATACGAACCAACAAGTATGGGCACCCATCAAAGTCGGCCTGAATCTGCGCAAGGTAGATCTTGAAGTGGGTCTGGAACCAGAGGATGAAGAGTCGATGGAAGAACGAATCATAGAGGGCGGCATGCTCACCAATATTGGCCCAGTCGACATCTCGCGAAGACTTTTCAAGAGATTGAGAGCATCTGAAAACTACCGAAACGGAATCCTTCGTGTCCACAACTACGGCTATGACTGGAGGTTGAGCCCGCACCTGCTTAGTCGGAGACTGGCTACCTACCTGTCAAAATTGCCATGCAACAGACCCGACGCACCACCAGGGGAACGAGGCGCAATTGTCATAGCCCATAGTCTCGGAGGTCTAATAACTCGGCACGTAATCAATAAACAGCCCGACCTGGTCTCTGGCGTTGTCTATGCGGGAGTTCCTCAGACATGCGTCAATATTCTCGGCCCACTTCGCAACGGCGACGACGTGCTACTGAGCTCCCGAGTCCTAACCGCCCAAGTCAACTTCACTATTCGAACGAGCTATGCACTTCTTCCGTTGGATGGCAAATGCTTTATCGACAGAAATACCCGCGAGGAATACCCCGTGGATTTTTTTGATATCAAAACTTGGATCGACTGCCGCCTTTCACCCTGCATTGCATATCCATTGCCAGCACTACACTCGATACTCAGTAGTAACAGCATCAGCGGGCTTCTCAGTTCCATGTCCAGCGTGATTCCTAGCTCCATCATCAGCCGCAAAAGCTCTCTTTCCCGTGGTAGCAACAGTGGCAGCAGCGGCGCGGGCGGCAGCGTCATGAACTCCAATGGTGTGTTCGTCGGCACCACACCGAGCAGCTCCGCAACAATAAACGCTCGCGAAGCCTCTGCAAGCAAATCCCAACACGCGGCGAACGCAGCAGAGGGCGGCACAGAGCGCACAGGTTTTGCTCCTCAAATGGGCCACAAGAACAATTCTGGCTCGAATGACTTCAACAACCCTGCGTCAAACTCGCCGTCGACTACTTCGACCATCCCGAAAGACAAGGCCATTGCGTATCTAACGCGCGTTCTCGCAGAGGTCAAGAAGTTCAAGCAAGAGCTCGCCTTTGAACCTGAACACGCGAAGGCCAACAAATACCCTCCCATCGCTGTCATCTACGGCAAAAGCACACCGACTGTGTACGGTGCCAAGGTGGAAAGCCGGGACTCGATTCCGCGCGCCGATGCATACGACGAGCTCGCGTTCGCAAGTGGCGATGGGGTAGTCCTTGCGAGAGCTGCCATGGTGCCAGATGGATACAGTGTTGTCAGAGGTGGTGTTGTGAGCAGTAACCGCGGACACGTGACGCTGCTAGGGGATCTGGAGACAGTCGGTCGTTGTCTGAGTGCAGTCATCGGGGCGCGAAAAGCGGGTGTCGGCATGGGTCCGGAAGCAATGGCGCCAAAACCAAAGGTGTCAGAGCAGCAAGATGGCAAGGGAAAGGAGAAGAAGAAGAAGGAGAAGGGCAAAGAGAAGGCGAAGGCGTGATCGGGCTGGTTGTATGCATGGATTGGTTGGCGGCATTTTGGTTACACTCATGGCGATGGTAGTGAGCCTTGTTGGCTAGCCATGAAGCTTGGAGAGCACGCCTGGTTTTGGATGACTACCAGGAAACTTTTGTAAATTATCGAACAAATGGGTACTTTGAGTACCACTGGCATCGAACACAATATGTAAGAGTGATGCAGGAAGTGACTGGGTGACAACGTTCCACTCTCAGACCTCATCCGCCAGCATACCAACTGACTTCCTTCCGCGAGTGACCCCAAATCACCTTAACTCCTGAGGTTTTCTCAAGCCTTTTCATCCGCTAAGCCCTCCAAATGAGGGTAGACAAAATCATCATAATGGCCGAGCACAACTCTGCCCATATTGGTCTTCGGATTTCGGACTGCTTTAGATCTCTCCACGTTGCTAGGAGATACGACTCAGCAGCCTTAGCCCATCAGCTGCAGCTGATCATCTGGGGGCCACCTCGTCTGTGCAAAGCTGAGGCAGCGCTTGATGCTCTGCAGATACTTCCGTGTGACCTCGTCGCTCATGATATGCGCAGCGCCTTTGTCGCTCTCGTGAAGCTTCTCTCGCGCGGAACGCTCGTGGATACCAACCATGGTGACTCCAATAGGCCATGCGCTAATATAAAATCAGTACTGAGTTCCCGTGAAGGATATCGGCGGAAGAACTTACGCTTTTCCAATGCTGAGTGTTAGATAGCCATCGTTCGCATCCACATATCTCCGCTGCTGCGCTGCAACGACGATCTCGACCACCGGCTCAAGAATCCCATCCTCAATCTCTCCCTTCTCCAGCTTCTTGAACAGCGGCCGCATGTTCTCCCTAGCCTGCACCATAGCGTTATAGGCCTGTTTTCCCTGGTAGCTGACCTGGACGCTCTCCGGGCGATGCGCAAGCGCCACCTCCCACTCCTTCAGCACCATCGTAAAATACGACGCCAGCTGCCTAAACAAGAACTTCCGCCCCTCCACATCCTTCGGCACCTTTTTCTCAACCTTCATCTCCGCCTCGGGCACCAGCTTCAGCGACGTCGGAATCGGCCCATCCGTGAGCACCACCGCCGCCGGGCCCTTCCCAGAACGCCTCCAATACCGCTTCAACCGCTGCCGATGGCTCTCCCCAAACATCCTCGCCGGCTCCCCCAGCTCCCTGAGTTTCACCACCAGCTCCGCGTCCTCGATATCCTCCTCGCCCTCCAGCAACAGCATCGGGCCCTCCCCATCCTTGTGCTTCGGCGGCAGCTCCGGCAGCCCTAGGCGTTTTCTCCGCTGCCGCTCTGCCTCCTCCTCTTCGGCTTCGCGCCGCGCTCTCGATTCTTCTGCGAGCCGTCGCCGCTTCTCTTTGCGCTCGGCCTCGCGCTCGATTTCCTCTTCTTCGAATTTCCGCTTCTGTCGCAGTTTGTCGAGACGCGCGGCTTCGGCGGCTTGTTGCTCGGCGAGGTAGGCGGCTTGTCGCTGGGCTTCGATCTCGGAGCGCTTGAGGTACTTTTTCGGGGCGGCGGCAGCCTCGGTGGAGGCGGCGGCGGCGGTGGGGGCGGCGGGTTGGGGGTTCGAGGCGGCGATTTGGGATGCGAGGAGTTTGGCGAAGTCCATGGTCGGCGGTGGTGGGTGGGTAAGGACAGTTGAGGGGGGTTCGTGGAGGTGTGAGGTGTATGTTTAGTGTTGAAGGCTGGAGGTGCGATGTAGTTAGAGGGTCGTTGCGGAGGTGAGGAGGGGGGGGTCTAAACTGAATCGCCCTAGGCTTGGACTGCTTCCTCGCAAGGTTACAGGTAGGAATTTGAAACTTGATTTCTTATCAGACAGAGCACTGGTACGAGGGAGTTCGCTATTTTTTAAGTTGCTACCGAAACATGACTGCTTTAATAGCTGACAGCATCCTAAACAGCGCATGTAATATTATTCAAAGAGTGTACTTCTTTAAGCATATAAATTTGTACCGGTACAGTCAAGCTAGAATTAATTTTAAATGGTGGCGAGCACAGGCATAAGTGTGAAGGTAGAGCTACTAGTCACGTGCTAGTAGTGCATAATCTACAGCTATGTATGCCAAGTCTGGCCAGTTTACCAGCTCCCGTTGAGAGACTTAGAGCCGAAGAGCTGCCCACACCTTTGGCGCGTCGCAAAGCATCAAGCTTTCTTTGCAATCAAATTCACGTCAACCTACCACATCTGCCATTGTTCTTCTTTATGCAGCAAATGTTTTGCCTACAAATGACTGCATAGAATCATCTCTCAACCAGCACAATGGCAGCTCCGACGCCCAAGGTCGACCGCCAAACCACGACACCTTTCCTTCTGAAACTATTCTATAGAAGCGGCACGTTCCACCGGTATGTCTCAGATACTCCTTCGATTTCCCTATATCTTCCTAAGGCCCTTCTCCAAGTCTTATGTGAATACGAATCTATCTAACGACACCACCACCACAGCCTCGAGGAATTCTCCCCAAACACCCAAAGCCCACCCCACCTCCAAATCTACACCTGGCCCACCTGCACCCTGAAGGAACTCACCCACCTCCTCCTCACCGCCTTACCCTCCCTCCTACCCTCACCAGCCGTCGGCACACGCCTCGCCTTCCGCCTCGTCTTCCCCGACACCAAGGACGCCAACCGCCCCGGCCCCGGGCGCTACCTCGCAAAAGAACTCGGCAGCATCATCGTCGGCGCCGGAAACGCAACCTACGAGGATCTCGACGCGGCAGACGCGCGGAATGGGAACGAGAATGGCGCAAAAGAGGATGTGAGGGAGGTGTTGAGCCGGCTGGAGGGCGATGCGGACAAGAGTCTTGCGAGCGTGAGGTTTGTTATCGGGGACTATGTGTCGTGCGCTGTGTTTCCCCCGCTGCCGGGCGGAGAGGTTGCGGCTGCGCCGCCGCCGTTGAGTGCGCCGTTTCGAGGGCCGCCGGGTGGAGGCTATGGCGGGAGGGGTGGCATGGGGCCCAGGGAAAATGGGTTTGGTGGGAGGGGAGATTATGGCGGGTTTAGGGGAAGGGGAGGACCGAGGTTTGAGGGGAGGGGAGGCGTGCCATCTGGAGAGTGGAGGAGGGGGGAAGTGCCACAGGGGCCGCCTCAAGGGTTTGGGAGGGGGAGGGGGAGGGGCAGAGGTTGGTGAGAGTGTTGCCTCATTGGTGGGAGGTTAGCATTTGGCATTTGGCAAGTTTGCGTTTAGACCTGCGACAATTCGGCATTGTGAGATTGGTTGCTGGCATGGCCTGGGGATGACCATGAGGTTAAACGTACCTCGAAAGAGAGACGGAAAGCCAGGCTTGGGACTCTTATCAAAAGCCGAAGGTAAGTCATGAAAGTCTCTTGTAATCGGCAAACTGGCGACGGCGAATTGGCTATTTGGGAGGCTTCATTTGATGTGCAGGACAAGCATAGCAATTGGATCCAATGGTCAAGGTCGTATACTTTGATCTTTTAAAAAAGAAGGGAGAACGCGCTGAAGGGAGAAGAAAGTGGGTTATTAGACAAATAACAAGAGTCGGCTCATAAACATGCAATGGGATGCACCAGTTGCGCGTAAATAAACCATGTTCATGCATATCAAATTCGTGATGCGATCGCGAACCCACGTGAAAACGAAGAGCTACCATCTTTGATGGTGGTGTGTCAATGACAAAACAACCACCATCACCAAACATATCTCGCATCTTCACAGCTGGCAGACACGCAAACTCTGCCAGTCCAGTCCTCCTTTCAGTGGGTAGTAGAACGAAATCGCGTCTTGCTGAAGGCCACCATTCGGCACGAGATTCCCCCACCTCATCCCCCACCATGCACGAAATCGTGACGCTCCAATTCGGGCAAGAGGCCAACTATCTTGGGACGCATTTCTGGAACGCACAGGTATATTCTCCGTTCGGACCTCTATCTTAATTCAGTCTTTCACAAGAAACAAATTCCTCCATTGAGCACCCTTCGTACTTCTCACAACTTTATCCCCTCATTCTTAATTATCCCTCACCTCCACGTTTTCCAGTATCTCCATAGCTCATGTTCATCTCCGAAAGCGCTCTAACAGAAGGAATGAAAGGAATCGTACTTCACATACCCGCCCGAGGAAGAATCGCCAGTTAATCATGACATCCACTTTCGACCCGGCATCGCACCAGACGGGTCCGAGACGTTCACACCACGCGCCCTGGTGTATGATCTTAAGGGCTCGTTTGGTAGTCTAAAGAAGGTGAACGCGCTTTACGAGGTTGAAGATGAGGGACCTGTGGGTGGGAGAGGTGTATGGTAAGTCGAGCTCAATATTATGATGTTCTCATCGTTTTCCGACTACAACATTTATCTATTTTAAATGTTAAGATCATCTGATGATCTGCCTCTCTATCACTCGCCCTCTTGTGTTCCTTGAGGAGGACATAGTTCTGATGATGTAAAACATAGGTCCTCTCCCCCGATCATCCGCCACGCACCACCCATTCCGCCATCTCCATATCAAGTCCATCTTGACGCTGGTCTACCACCCCCTCCGCTCACGGCGGCTTCGGTGCGGTATTGGTCGGATTATGCACGTGTTTACTATCATCCTAAGTCTCTAGTCCAACTATCAGAGTTTGATGTCGGAGATGCAACGCACAGAGCCTGGGAGAAGTGGGATGTGGGTGCGGATCTATTCGGGACTTTGGATAGAGAGGAAGATTTGCTTGATCGGTGAGTACAGTTATCCTTTTTTTTAATACTAAGAAGAGAAAGTAGAAGCTCGCCACTGGTTGCTGCTAATCTGCCATCACGTCACATTGTAACCAAAGCTGACCACATCGAATCAGCGACCTCCGTCCCTTCATAGAAGAATGCGACTCCCTCCAAGGCCTCCAAATCCTCACCTCCGTCACCGACGCCTGGGGCGGCTGGACAGCCCGCTGGACAGAGCGCCTCCGCGACGAGTTCGGCAAATTAGGCATCTGGGTCTGGGGCCTCGAGCAAGGCGGCAACGAACCCATCAACCGCGAGAAGCGATTGACCCGTTTAGCAAACTCTGCTCGTTCGCTCTACGAGATTTCAGAGCAGGCGTCTGTGTACGTTCCAGTCGCAAATACGCCGCTGAAAGCACCGTCGTACTTGTCACTCAACGCGAACTCGAAGTGGCAGGCGTCTGCGGTTCATGCTCTAGCGTTCGAGAGTATGACTTTGCCCTCGAGGCTAAGGGCGGGAAATGGGCAGAGAGGATCGTTGAATGAGCTCGAGGAGACGATTAACAGCACTGGGAAGAGAAGGATTGCGAAACTAGAGTTCAGTGTCGCGGACCCAGATATCTTGGAGGACAAGGTCGTGGCGGAGGCAGCGCAGGCTGATAAAGTGGGCGCCGTGCTGACACGTCAGGATGAGAGCAATTCTAAGGACGACCGTCTCAATGACTTTGACGCTGATTTATCGACGACGGAGTTACCTGGTGTCAGACAGCGGGGTGCACGCAGAAAGAAGGAGCATATTTTCGGGCGGGCGGAGTCAAGCAGAGGGGCCTGGAGCATTGCTGAAGGAAGCGAAGGACGAGACATGCATGATGGGTTTCACAATGGTCCGATTGTACAGAGGTATTTCTTACATTTTGTTTCTTGGTCACAGCCTTGCGGAGCGCAAGGCTTTCTGTTGGCAGAGGCTATAGATTACGTTCTGACGTGGTACTGTACCTGCATCTATGACATCTAGACCACTACAAGGTCAAGCATTCGTCCACGATCTAACTCGGCTGCAGATACTCTTCCTCGCTACTGTTCCCGCTTCTCGATAGCTTCCCATCTATCATCAACGTGGGCGATGGCCACGCCAACAAGGTAGCGGTGTACACGGGCTTGACAACTTGCGCTTCTATTGCTGAGCAGGTGAGGGCTACGGAGCAGCTTGTGAGACGTTTGGTGAGTATGGAGGAGAGGGAGGCGATTTCGAACGGGTTGGCTATGATTGCGGAGGAGTATGAAGAGGGGTGGGACAGTGGAACGGACAGTGATGATGATTGATGAAGCATAACGAGCAGGTATGCCCAGAACTCCCGGAGTCCGGCAGTTCCTGGTGCAGGTACCGCTGACACAGTTCGTGCGATGCCTGTAGATAACAGGGTTATACATGGATACCACGGGCACTGAGCAGAGACACAGACGGCGATGACGATGATTGAACGATTGGGAGCCAGGGAGAAGAGCGGGGATGTTCGAAAACAACGGAACGAGCACGGTGGATCACGGGAATTGGAGTCTTGGAGACAATAATTGCAGGGACCAGAAAAAGCATGTTTACGGGCTCCGATCTACGGCCAGCCTTGTTGAGCTAATAATAAGAACCGAAAAAATGACACCTGACTGGGAGAGATATCGGTGTGCGTGGCAAAAATCGAGAAGGCGAGCTAATGGGAGGAATTGGCGCGAAGAGGAACTTCGATGAAGTGAACAGCATTCAGTGCCAGCAAACAGGTTTCTTTGGCATTATCTTGGCTTGGACGGCTTTGACGAGTTGAATCAGCAAAATCTTCATCTGGCGGAGGCGATAAGTACCGCCAGTTCCTTCGACTCCTGCGGGGTGGCCTGGTGGTGCATAAAGTGGAGAGTCTGGTCCGTCGACGGCCGATCTGACTGAGCATGATGCAGCAGAAAGAAAGTATCCCTGCTAGCAGACAGCGAAAGCGCACTGTTTTAAAGCTCAGGGATGTGTCCTGAGTGTGATGTGACGAATCACGGATTTTCACTGCTCGTGCCAACAGGTGGAACGACCCACAAATGCCCTCAGGCACGCGAATCGAGGTGCTGAGCTGAGAGACATGTATCGGCTGTACCTCTGCTGCGAGCGGAGAGGTGCATGACGGAGTGACCGCCGAGTTCCGTTCACTGACTTATGCTGAGGGTTTCTCCTGAGTCTCTCGTCACTTGGAACAACGGGTTCCTGCCGTACCGTGGTTGGTAGTGCGGACGCAGGAACACAAAACAGCAGCGTGGTTTGCCACAGGGAAAAGGAGAGCCTAGCGATGCATCGTGATGGCAGACGATGGTGTTTCTTCGGCAAGTGGTGCGAGCCAACGACTGCCAGCCACTCGGCGAGGACTCGGGCTGGGGACCAACCTCAGCGTCCCCGCCTCTGCCAGGCTGCCTGTCTTCCAGCCTTCTTCTTCTCCACTTCTTCTCCACTTCTTCTCCATGCACGCCCCTGAACCTTGCTTTTCGATAAACCCGCCATGCAACCTCAGCAGCCACGCGACCGGGAGCTAACTCTTGGAGCAAGTCGAGTCGAATGCTGGATCCGCCTGCCTCCGGTGAAGGTGCACTGGAGCCGTCGATGCAGTGCTGCGCTGCAGCTCGCCTGACTGGAGTGCCTGCGTTGCACAATGCGCAGCGCCTAAAAGCAGTCTCGGTGCCTGTCCTGACCGCCTGTCCGGCCTGCTCTCTCCGTCGCTGCTCGCAGGATGCTTCAGTGATGTGTCGTGGACGAGGGAAGCCCAACGGCGCTGTCACCTGTCACTCGCGGGCAACCATCGACTCGGCGCCGTGTCTATCTATTCTGTCTATTTTTACTTCAGCCACCCGACGGCCGAGAAAAAACAAGGCTAGGCACGCGTCTCCCAGTGAACTGTGCCAGACATGGATCGATCCAGCCGACCGTTTGCTGGTGCGTGGCTGTTGCATCATCGCCAGCACCGCGCCGCCAGACCAGACACGACAGTGGTTGGCTGCTTTGGGTAATTATTAGGTTCATGCTGCGAGCGGCGTTGTCCTATAGTGTGTTTCGCTGGCGGGTACGGCGTCAGTGTGCTGTGTTTCCTTCGATTCTGCCCCCTCCCACATCCTCAGTCCAAGTCTGCTTTATCAATATCTCGTGAGTGGTTTATTCCTCTCGCTTGCAGGCCTCAGGGACGGGCGATGTGCAGTTTTCCTACAGATTTGGCGTGAGGAGCAGGGCGAATTGTCAGGCAACGCTGCCCAGTACCTGCCGCTATCCCTGCGCAATGCAAGCGCACTGCAGCCCGCGTTGCCATGGCTGCCAACAGCTGTCTCAGCAATTGGCTCGTCGGTCGGCCTGCAGCAGTCTAGCGCATCCCTCCCCTGTCCCTACGCCTATCGATACGAACCTTCACCACGAGGCCCGCGCTCGCCAGCAACCTACCCGTGCACCCACCACCAGTCTGTCCGTACTCACGGCAACCTACGCTCCATGTGGCAGCTTGCGCCTGGCCGGTATGCCGGAGCTCCTCCACAACGGAGCCGGACCCATGGGAGATCATCATTTCTCCCAGAGGCTCAACGTCAGAGCTCACAAGCTTCACTTGGCGCATGCAACCTGGACACGGCAGCATGCTCCAAGCATGGGAGCAGCCCGATATCCGGCGGCCCTGCCTGCCCTGATTCTTGAGTGCATATAGAGCCAACCTCCTCCCACATTTGAGGCTCTTCTCCAGTGCATCTGTTTGGTACCCAGCCACCCGTTCGCATCCCAACCCCCCAAACCAGCAAGAACTCGCTCGCTACGGTTCTTCTGTTTCTATCGTTTATATCAGACTCGACCATCGTTCAACCACCGTCTAGTACAACTCACATTGTTCTGATCCATCATCATGGTTAAAGTCACACTTTCACTTTTGGCCCTGCTGGGCGTTGCCGTTGCCAACCCCGTCGCTGGAGGTGTAGGTTATTCGTTCCCAGAAGGAGGTTACCCAACTGGAGGATGGCCCACCACCCCGTGTGAGTCTTCGGAGACACCAACGCCGACTCCATCGTCCATCTACACTCCGACTCCAACTCCCTCGTCTACTCCATGCGAGAGCGAGACACCGACGCCTACCCCGTCTAGCTCCACCCCCAGCTCGATCTACTACCCAACGTCGACTCCTTCCGAGACTCCTAGCAGCGTGTACACTCCTCCTCCACCTCCCCCGTACACGCCTCCTCCGTACACGCCTCCCCCATACACGGCTCCTTGCAACGAGACTTCCACCTCGGTCTACTACCCGACTTCATCCCCGTCTTCCATCTACACTCCTCCTCCCCCTCCCCCACCACCAAGCTCGACCTACTACCCTACTTCGGTCTACACTCCTCCCCCACCGCCACTCTCGACCTACTATCCTACTTCGGTCTACACTCCTCCCCCACCACCACTTTCGACCTACTCCCCCACTTCAGTCTACACGCCTCCTCCACCACCGTATGTCAACTCCAGCAGTGTGTACACTCCCCCTCCACCACCAATCTCGACCTTGTACCCTACCTCGGTCTATACTCCTCCCCCACCACCCCCGGCAACCACCCCTGTGTACACTCCTCCCCCGCCGCCAGAGACGGTCTACACCACGATCACCAGCGTCACTACCGTGACTGTTCCTTGCACTGCCGTCATCACGATCACTTCGTCTGGCACAGTGTACACATCTACGATCACCACCGTCACTACCAGCGTCTACACCACGGTCTGCCCGACCAGCTACCCGGCTCCTCCAGCGACCACGCTCGTCCCGATCGTTCCCCCACTCAGCCCGGTCGCTCCCCCGTCCACATACGCACCGGTGCCTCCTCCTGTGTCCACTCCCGTAGTCGTGGTTCCTCCTCCCGCGTCCACTCCCGTAGTCGTGGTTCCTCCTCCCGCGTCCACCCCCGTAGTCGTGGTTCCTCCTCC